TGTCGTAGCTCATGAAGTTGAACCAGTCGACGCTAGGCTCCATGTTTAGAACGTCAAAATGCTGAAGATACCAATATGAAGATGGCAGTGTGGTACTAATTCCCAATCCGCTTCCGAATGAGGCCCTCAATTCAACCAGGAAGGTTGGGAAGTTGGAGAAATCGGCTGCAACACCACCTCGATCGTCGGCAGCAGGGTACTCCCAGTCAATATCCACACCGTCAAAACCATATGTCTGCATGAAATTCCGCAGTGAAGTGATGAAGGCCTGGCGATTTGCCGAGGAGCTGACCATGTCACTGAAGGCATGCTGAGTGTCTGGCGTATTCGTCGCATCGTTGAAAGACCAGCCGCCGATTGATAGCCAAGCCTGCAGTCCTGGTTGCTTTGACTTAAGTGCTGTGAAACGAGAATAAAGGGAGGCCGCATTTGAGTCCATAGGTGAGATCTCGAAAGTAGATGGGTCGAAGAAGGAGAAAGCAAAATTGATGTGCGTTAGACCCGTCAGCTCGAGGTCTTCAGGTGTAAACACATCACAAGGCCGCTCCGTTGCCCAGCTCTCGTAGTACCCAATGCGCCGCGCACTTGCAGAGTTGCTACCACTAGAGCAAGAAGGAGTCAGAGCATCTCCACAGCCGCCGTATCCCTCCTGACAACCAGTGCCACAGAAGTCATCAGTGCTGCCACCTGAGTAAACCAAGTCAGCTTTTGGTCCGAAGAATATGAAATGCCCCAGCAAACTTGAAATAGTAAGACTAACAAAATCCATATTGCGAACAACACACGTTCAAAGGGCACGTTGCATTATCGGGGTTCGCATATTCGCCACAAGGAGCTTTCGCGTCGCAGTTGGAAATGCAGACATCAGCCCCGCAACTCGAGGGGGCATAGGAGCAAACGCCAGTGTTGGAACAACATGCTCCATTTGTGCATGGTACTCCAGGTGCGCAAGTGCCTGTGGGAAGATCTCGTTTACGCAGAGAGCCAGAGTTAGAGTCAAGGTTGTCAATTCTTTCCCCCGGATGCTGAGATAATTGCCGGATGAGGGCCTCGTTCTCGAACTTGGGCTTGCTCTTTGAATAAGCCTCGTAGAGAGGCCGCAGAGCCGAAGACGAGTTCTTTGGCAACTGGGGCGATGGAGTAAACTCTGGCAATTGTGTTGCGTTGTTGCGCTTCCCATGGCTATGGTGCTGTTTATGGCTTTGGGAAACCCCGCAACTTGCGAGAGCAAGAAGCGCTAGCAGAAGAATTCGCATTGAAGCTGCTGCCCAAGCTCAACACGCAGATGGTATCAATGAGGGACTGATGAACAAAAGCCAATATGGCCTTTGTTGTTGAAGATTTGGAGCAACGGCGCAGCAGCCTCCAGTCTGTGGGGAAGAAAGGAGTACAATTCTTTTAATGCAGATAACCGGGAATGACGGCAAAGAAGACGAAACGCCGGTCACACGCCGACGCCCTTTATTTTCCATCCATAATATTGAAGTGATAGTGAATGCATACCCGCCAGGGGCATTCTGCACCTCGAACCACTACCAAATTACCCAAAGAAGATAGTTCCCCGAAGGACCCTGCAATGACTTGCGCTAAGGGCTGAAGTCCAAAAGTACCCGGCAATTGGAAATCTACGGAGATCCGGACCCCCGTGAATGTATGGTTGTTCTCGTACTCAACGCTTCGCTTAACGGCCCCGGGGGCGGAAACAGAGGGGCTTGTGGAAAGTAGGCTAGTGCCCGATGGAAGTTTAGGCTTGGAGGACTAGCCGTGCTAAGAGCAGTACTAGGCCGAATAAGGTCTTGGACCATTACTTTTTAAAAGTTGGGTCAATTGCTTTTACAATCAACTCCATGATAGCACGGCTCGTATAGGTACGGGGGCACTCCGGTTTCGGTTCAACCAAAAACCATCAATGACAAGCATCTGTGAGAGTTGTTTAAAATTTGACATTGTTTACCTGAAACCTCTTATGCAGCCGTCAGATGTAACGTTGGACCCTTGGACCCTTGAACCCTTAGACCCTTAAACTGGACCCTTAAATGATTCTTCACTGGATTGTTCACTTAATGATATATGCGTTAGCGAGGAGCCTCCGCACGTGCACTCCGAATATCCACATCCGTAGCCTTGAGGCTCTTATTGGTCATTCGCGATAAGGATATCATATGAGTTTTCCGCTGCATTGCTTTTCCCACTAGTAAATGTTACCCCAGATATGCTACTACTTCTTAGTTCTCCGGGAGGCATCGGAGAGTCCGCATGTCGCCTCGACTATTGGCTGCAGAACACTGGCACCCGGGGCCGGTTACCAAATGAGGAAGATATCCCGAGTAAGCCTCCACCTCATCTTAGCTGGAAGCAAACCAAGTCCGCAGTCACAAGTCACGAACTTCCGAAGTACCCGAAGTACCTGCATGATGCAGGGGTAAGCCGACAGGGTAAATGGTGGCGTTGGCCATCGAGGAGGGGCACTTCAAGTAGCGCTTCGTGTTGAGATGAAGAAAGAAAAGTGCCCCAAAATTCCTGTCCTCATGCCGTCGACTCCATCCTCGTGCAAAGAGCAATTCGATCATCTTAGCTCTTTGCCTACTCAATGGACAAAATTTCCTCCTTCATGAGACTCTGTTTTGTCCTGCTTACGGCTTGGACAACTTCAGTTGCGGCCGATTTTGCGCTATATGAAAATTATGATGCAGACGCCTTGATTGCTGCGCTCTCTCTGGGTAGTACGTGTCTTGCAGCACTGTGAGTACTTGTCTCTGGTTCCAACTCCCTGGAATGTCTTTTCCCTCTAACACCTTAACAGGAACACCACCATTTCTTGCAATGGAACCGCTATTGCCCTATTAGGCCACGGGGCAGACATCCACTGTAAGGCTTCCATGTTTAAATATGTTTTTGCTTGTCAGCGCAGAAGTGAAGTTAATATTTAACGAAAGTTTGGACGACTTCTGAGGTAGAGAATCTCTGCACGACAGCCTGTACCTCGTCCCTGAATTCCTGGAAGGACAAGGTTGAAACAGTCTGTGCAGAAGAGACTACTCTCCAGGGCAATATCGTGGTCAAGGCGAGAGCGCTCCCACTGACATTTACCCATAACTCCGATCTTGTATGCATGCAGGACAGTTCATCGAATTGGTGTTTCGTCGAGTCTCAGACATGGCAAGGAAGTGACTATATTCGTTGGGATCCAACAATGTGCTTCCCCGATGGTGATGACAACAGCACAGTCGCGTCGCAATGTGACGATCCGGATTTTGACGTTGGTGATATCGATGATGAGATGGCCGCTCTAACCAGTATATATAACGAGGACTTGGTATGTGATCTCCCTACATATGAAGTGCACCTGTGCCACCGAGACTGTCTATTAACTAGACGTCAACTGGTAGTACTGCAATGAGTGCTTCCTGAAACTCTATCGCCAACGTCTCCTGGATCCCTGGCTGCCAGTCACAAATTTCACGGATTATTTAATCGATCAGTTTGACCTTGTTCAAATGAACTGCTCAACAACCCTGCCTTACACCACTTCAGCCTCTACCTTATACGTTGGGATGGCAACTGCTACTGCTACTACCACAACCGGCGCAACGACGACAGGTTCCTCCGCAGTAAATACCGCGACCTGCCTAGGTCAAATGGTGCAGCCGCTGCAGAACTGGCTCACCTGCAATGATCTTTGCGATACGTATGAATGGAACCCCCTCCCATCAGTTGGAGACCTGGCTGATTGCTAATACGCTGCATGCGGCAACTAGGTACAATATATCAACGGGTGACGCTAGAGTTGTCACTGGAGATGATGCTTGTTATTTCAACGAGGCTACCTGTTTCCCCCTTCCATGCGAGATCGATGAGGTTTGGGATGGACCAAGTTGGTATGTAGGAGATAACGGTTGCGTGAACCCATGATACCATAATCTGTGCTAAGCTCTGTGAAAATAGTGACGATCTTGCCACGAGATATTCCAACTCGACATACAACGTGACCACCTCTCAATTCCTTAGCTGGAACAGCAATATACAGGGCAGTTGTACAGGTATTGCACCAGGGCAGCGTGTTTGTAAAGGGTACGTCTCAGATCAATGAGGACAACATAGAAACATTCAGGAAGCTAACCAGCGAGAAAAAAGTGCTCCTGGAGGAACTTTTCCTAAACCCAACGCGACCATCACGGCGCCCGGTGCAACCGGCCAGGCTACTTACTACACAGCAACCACTGCAGCCTACCCGACCCAAAGCGGAACCATCGACGAGTGTGGCGAATACTATCTCGTTGTAGCCGGCGACGACTGTTCTACCATTGACCTGCGCTTCGGTCTGAACTTTAGCCAGTTGCAAGAATATAACACGTATCTTAACTCCACCTGCGGCAACCTGTGGCTTAATTACGACATTTGCGTCGCCCCTGTCACACCTCAGACAGTTTCGACGGACGGTACGTGCCCTCCAGGGGTAACCTGCGAAGGAAGCGCGTTTGGCGACTGCTGCTCGCCATTTGGCTACTGCGGAACCGGTTCGGATTACTGTGTCACCACAACCAACGGCACGGCGACGTCAGACGGTACCTGTGGGCCTGATTATGGGGGTACGACTTGTATTCCCCAATTCGGAAACTGCTGCAGTATATACGTAAGTGATACGATATCCCTTCATAACCATAATTCCTATTCAGTATAGTCGCTAACCATAGACACAGGGCTACTGCGGCAATGGCACGACCTATTGTGGTGCAGGAAATTGCTACTCTGGCAGTTGTGACACCGATAATGGCGGCCCGTCCACAAATGGAGAATGTGGCCCGAACTTTGCTGGAAACAAGACCTGCACCGGTACTCAGTTTGGGACATGTTGTTCCACGTCTGGTTATTGTGGAAGTACCAGTGACTACTGTTCTGGATCAAACTGCTATAGCGGTGCTTGCACGTAATGTCCAAATGCTGCTCAGACTAGGAAGAGGAGTTTCTCAATGTATATACATACCATGTCCAGTAAAAATTCAACTCACCTGAGACGGCACGGATGAATAGCTGAACCATAAAATGTATGAGAAAGGGAGTTCAAGAAGACGGATTTCATGGTTGACAAGGTAGCAAATGAACCCTTGGTTGTAGAGAAAGTCGGACCCGTACGCAATGATATCGATCGAGTAAGGTTTCGCGGTTGCAAGGGCTTCGTGAATGTCGAACTGGTGCCCAATAGCTTTCCGGTAGGGATAGTCCTCACTACCTGCCGCAGCGCGCTGGCCTTCCTTACTATAAGCCATCGTTCTCTGTCTCTGCGGTCAGCACGCTCTTCTTGCAGATGACCCTTGTGAGTTAACTCGACAAACTTGCGAGCAAGCTGTTCATAACACAGGTCCGCATAGAGCTTGGGGTGTGTGCGGCTCAGGTTGATATAATCGCGATCCCCAATGTTCGTGACAATGACGCATATTAAGTCGAATGGGAGGGAGAGCAGGCTGGGACTCTTCATTCTTAACAGCTAGCTATGGACGCTTTTGGCGTATTTGGAGACTACTAGGTGAGCTCAGTGGATCACTGAATATTAGAAGGGAAGGACGACTTGAAGTGAGTAGTGCCCTTTTAGCCACCAATGAAAGCTGTGTACTTTTCCAATACGCACGATCCATACGCAATTCTTATGACCAAATTAGATCTATCTAAAAAAAGACAATAGTACAGAGATAGCTCGTACGCGTCACTAGTCTTCCCAGGTGCTTGGCTGATCGTTTGTCTCCTGTCCCGCGACCAGACAAACACACGGGGACGTCAGTTGTTCGATAAGCGGATCTGTGAACATGCTGGGGCCTCTACGGAGGCGAATAGGGACCAATTTATCAAAACGTTTTATTTTACTGTATTATACCAGAGAACCCTATAGGCCTCTAGTGTGAGTTGTGACCTTTGTTTGTTGTGAAGTCTTTTTTATTTTATTTTTTTCTGGTAGGTAGTATATGTTCTAACCAAAACAAGGGTAAATAACAGAATTAATCTCAGATGAGTCATTAGGTCATGCAAGGAATATCAGGCAGAATCAGGCACCCATAGGCCTTTTTAGGCCCATGGGCATGCCCATCATGGACAATGGATAAAGGTCCTGTTCATGGGTGGACAGAGTACAAGGGTTTTGTCCATGGACAAGGCCCATGCCGAAGTTTAATGATGATTAGCGCCACAGTCGAAGCATAAAAAGCACGCAGGTAGGTGGATCAAAACTCAACCCTAAACATCTTGCTTGTTCTGATGCGCTCTCCATATATGTAGAACAGAATAGGTAATGGGAACATGGCCAGAGCAATAAAGCCTAGCAACGAGTTTCCCCAGCCAAGTCCAAGAGTCTGATACATCGCTGGCCCGGCGAGTGGAAGCAGGGCACCAGCCAAGGATCGGAGAACAGTATTCGCTGCCATAGCAGAGGCAGCATAAATTGTGAACGCATCTACTAGATAAGTGCCGACCGTCATCTGTAGGATCATTAGTAAAGTTCCTCGATGTGCCTCAGGACTTGAAAACTTACGAATGCCAAAATCATGCCAACGCCTAGAAATGAGGTTCCGATGATAGGGGCAATCCAGGCAACTTTATAATACGCTGTCCATCCATACATGAATAAAGCGACCGGAACAAATAAGGACGCGGGAATCATAAGTGGCAAACGATACTCGGGCTTCGAAGCTCCTCCATTCTTGGCCGTAAGGTATTTCAGCAGACGGTCGGAGGTTGCGCCGAGGAACACGAGCCCGATTATGCTGCCTATACCAATCCCTAGGTATGCGAGTCCCACAGAGCCCTGTGAGAAACCATATTGATCCTCGAACACTTCACTGATAGTTGTAAACAACAGATAGAGGTATCCGTAGATCAAGGCAACGTAGAGGGACATCAGGAAGACAATCGGCGAAAGGAACAGCATTTTAGTAGGCCTAACAATTGCGTGCATAAATAATTCCTTTGGCGTCCGGCCAGTATCCAGTTTGGATCGCAAATTAAGATTGCCGGTCTGCTGTTGCATTTTCCTCGTTTTTCGAGCTAGGAGAGTAGGTGGGTAAGATTCCTTGATTGTGAAAATCGACAAAATGCTCACAGTTCCACTCTATAGCCAATTAGTATGCACTCATACATGCTCATCGAACTCTCTGTCCACTTCCAACCTCCATCCACTTACGGCCATGGTAAGAACCCAGAATGTCCATCGCCAGCCCTTTGCTTGAGTGAGATAGCCACCTGCTACAGGCCCTACAACTGGTCCTAAAAGAGGACCTAGGCTCCAAAAGGCCCTGTCGAACGTATTAGCTTTGGGCGCTTTAATGCGGTGCACCGGGCCAGACGGGTCGGGATTGGGCAAGATGACAAGCAAACTTTTTTGCGATCAACCGACCCTGTAGCGGGAGTAAACATACATTGCCGCGCCTCTCTTCTCCTGTACAAACATATCTGCAATAGAACCGGCGCCTATTGTTAAGGGACAGCTTCCTGCGAAGCCCGCAAAAAAGCGAAATACGATTAAGCTCCCAATTTCGGGTGCGACGGCACATGCAACGGTAAATATCACATAGAGAAGGTTGCAGGCGTTGTACATGATTCGTCGACCGTATAATTCAGATAACGGGCCAATAAGGAGAGGTCCAAAGCAGTAACCTAAGAGGTAAACAGAGACCACGAACGATTCGATTTCTGTGCTTGTCAAGTGGAAGTCTTTTGTCAAATACCCTATTCCTGGGGCAAACATTGATGAACCCAATGGCCTGTCGAATAACTGGTAGGTTAATAACGGTGCGTGAATGTAGCATAAGCGGGACATACGTGAGGAGGGTGATCAGCGCGATCGAGACTGTGGCACCGATCTTCTTATTTTTCGTCCAGTTGAGAGGGTTCTCGGGGTCTTCGGGACCATCCCAGTCAACAATATTATCATCTAGAGGCTCAATTTGCAAGTCTGTCGAGGTTTTTGGCAAAAATCCTTTTTCCGTGTCTATTTCCATATGATTTGATGGTTTGTTCTCATTCCCGCGATGGATTCCGGGGTTACTTGTGGCAGACGTTGAGACGTCAGTGGACCTTTCTAAATCACAAAGGATCAAATAATCAGTTTCAGTTAATTTGGTTTTATCTTTCCTTTCCAAACGTATGTGAGGGTGGCTCACTTTCAGAGTCCATTCTGATCGGCAATGAGATCTGCCTTCTGCGACCTGTCCTCCCAACGGGCTATTCTCGATAGGTAAAAATATGTAGAACAGCAATTGTTTCAATTCTTGGACCATGTGAAGTATGAATATGTGGTGCAGGACGTTGTGTTACTGTAGAGTTGCATAAATAATTATTGCGCTGCGGTGCGTCCAAGGATAGACAGAAATAAGATAAAGAATATTGAATCTTCTACGTGGGAAGGCAAGTGGATTAAGAGCCAAAGACTCGGATCTTAGGCACTCCGGACCGTCACATTTATTCACATAAACATTGCATTAAAGCGCCCAAAGGCTAATCCGCTGGACTGGCTTACGCCTCTAATCATGCTGAATAATAGGAAACAGTAGAATATGACTAGTGCATTCGTTTCGATCATGCAGGCTACGGAATTCGGGATATTCAACGGACATAAGCACCACGGTCGATCTCGTGACTTTTGCACTTGAGTCCGGGGACTTGAACCCTCGAAGCGGGGGAATGGGGATCAAAATGCCCGGCACCAAGATGCCGAGTGTTGTCTACTAGCCTTGATCAGTCCAATAGTTCCTACTGTTCTGATTGATGGAATCATTTGTCAGATCGCGGGGCTCAGCATGACCTCGGGTGGCGTTCAGGCCAGCGCTAGGACCCCGTCGTCGAATTAAATCACGGATCGGCGAATGCCTAGAACATGAGGGTTGATTTATTCCCCGCGGAAAGTCCAACCCGAACGGCCGAATAATCACTTCTAAGATTGTTGTGAATCATGGCGCTATGCCATATAATTCAGGTGAATTGGACAAGAAACAAGGATAGCCATGAACGATCAAGATAACATGCATGTTGTCTCGATGGCACATGCAGCTCATATTTGCATGGAATCAATGTTAGGACTTGCTAATCAAGATGACTGGCGAGACATCCTGGCTTGCCGGGTTCAAAGAACAGGTGGTGAGGATTTTGAAATTGATTGAGTTTGATGATAAATGGAGGGATGATGAAAGGGGGTAACTAAGAGCACGAAAGTGAGAGACTTGGAAGTGCACTACAAGTTCGTAACCAGGTGAGGCTCTTTTATGAATGTTTCATCTACATTTCAAGCTTTTGCCACCTCTCTGGAAGATTGGCATTCTGTATCTCCGTATTGGGTGGTATCTTTGACCAGAGACTAACGATATCCAGAATATATGGGCATTAATTCATGTTTACAGGTGACACACTTATCAGTATCAATTTCTCGATGACGAACCCGCTACATTCTCATCCACTTCCTGAATCACAAGCCAAAGTGCCTTTCGAAGTTCAAATTCCTCCTCGTCCTTGGCTGGCTCTTGACCTCGATTTCGAGCCTCCTCGTTCCTCTTCTTCAGCGCCGCATTGAAACGAGTCAATCTAGACTTCTGACTCCACGGAAGAGCAGCGTCCACCTCAAGCTCAGCAATCCACGGTTGAAACAGTTGAATTCTGCGTAGTTGTAAATCGATCTCTTGTGCCATCTCAGACCGGGTCACGGAAAGCGCCTCCAGTTGTCGTACAAGAGGGGCGTCCTGATCGACCTTGCCCTGGGAATCCAGAATAGGAATCTTGGCAATGTGAGCGACTGCATCCAACTTGGCAATCCCAACCGTCAGTCCTCTTGGCTCAAAAACCTCTTTGTTAGCCTGGCGAATGGTGTAATCGGAGCGACTTTTTGAGATCCCGTGACTGCCCAGATTGGCGAGACCGCTCACCGCGGAGCCAAGCCAATGGAGCGGGAATAGGAGTGGGATGGACTGAAGAATCCCGCCTGTTGCATCCAGTACCTGCATTGGCGGGCTGGTGGTCATGACTTCGTTGAGCTCGTCCAGAAACCTCATGAATGATTCTTTAGGTAGTCGGTGCTCTGCTAAACTGGGTGCGTAGGCACGTAGAAATGGAGATTCGTTCGCAGGTGCGATGGCAGGAATTGCAATGATTCTGCCTGTGGTTGGATTGGATGTTTGGCTTCTTGTTGCAGCTGTGGATGAGCTTTCTGCTGTAACTTCGGGAGGGCTGTACTGCGGAGGTTCTTCATCGGGAACTGATGTGTTCGCTTGAGATGACGATATTTCTCGCCCATGGCGATTCAGACCCTCTGAATTCTTGGATTTGCCGTCACTGCCCATGGTAAACTGTGTTAATGAGAGCGGAAATATCAGAGTAAAAATCTCCTAAACATATCTCTTGATCATTAAGAATCGGCAGGGTTATGGAAAGTGGGCCTGACGATGATGATGTGGGGGACCGCAGTGAATACCGCATTAGGAATCAATCGGCGAACCAATCAGAAATCTGGACCACACTCTTCAGTATTTCGCATTGACTTTGACAGCTCAAGACTTCAAAAACTTAGGTATTTTATATGATTAATAACATGTGTGCTACGGTACTACTTCTCGTTGGAGATTATCGAAACGAAATTGGCCATCTTTCTCCATCATGCCAAGTAAAGCCGCCTCCATTTCCTACGATGAGGATGGAATGCGGTGCGCGAGCGATTTGCTTGATAGAATTGTGAAAAGATGGATCAGCTCCGTAATTCAGCAAGATTTGCTGCATTCTAGTCCTTCTTTCTGTCCCTGTGGTCCACGAATAGGCCGTCCACCCATGTCCATCCTTTATGTTCACATCAACCTGTCCAGTTTCAAGAATGCATTTGACAACATCAGCACGCCCACTCTTCGCTGCCAAGTGAAGGCAGCCCATTTTACCAAAGGCCCCAGGGGTTGCATGGATATCCGCGCCTGCAGACAATAAAAGTTGTACTGTCTTGGTATGACCGCATATTACAGCCTCGGAAATTGCCGTGTAGCCAAGGGGCTGATCGAGCCATTTTTCTTTGTGTGCTGAATTAAAAGCTCTACCAAAAGGGTGTGACCTTTCCTGGCTGCCATTGTTAATGGCTGCCAATCAGGGCCTCTAATTGACCTCTCACGCTCGGTTGTCTTCGCAAGGAGGATCTTGACGGCTTCGACATGAGCGTTCATGGCCGCCAGTGCAAGCGCTGATGGTCCGTAAGTATATTTGGGCTCAGTAGCGTAGGGGGAATGGTCGAGAATAATCTTTAAAACCGATGCATGCTCATGCTTCCCTGCCATTTCTAATGGCGAACAGATTCCAGTCTGGAACGTGACCTGTGCTCCTCTGCTGATTAGAAGCTTCACTAACGGCTCGTAACCAAACGCTGCAGCCCAAGCTATGGCGTGCATTTCCCTGTATCGATTTCGGCACCGTATTGAAGGAGTAAATCCAATATTTCCTCGAAATTGTCCCCTGAAGACCAGCGGTCGGTAGAATGAAAGGAGGGACCGAGGGGTTCGGATCTTCACTAATCAGGTAAAAAAAAAGGCTTATGAGAATTTTTTTTATTCCATTCCTCGGTCCCCGGGACATCTTTCTCGAAAAATACGTCGACGGAGGTGAAGATTGGTAACGCAGAATTTCTGACCTTCAGTCTGAATGACTCAACCTCCTCCTCGTAGAAAATATCTTCCCCTCTGTGGAACTTACAGGAGGCATTCGGAAACAGAGTCCCAGTATGGTCGTTACCAAATTCGTTAGCCTGGAAATGAATCCCTCTTGTCAATCTCGGAGTGCCAGCCCAGTATAGTGGAGTCCGCTCAAGTTCAGCCTGGCTGTTTGGGTCTGCTCCAGCTTCTAGAAGCAACTTGACAGTTCCCACACGTCCCTGCTGTGCAGCATATGACAAAGGTGTCCGCCCCCTGGGGCATTCGGCATTCGGATCAATGTTTTTCATGCCGAGAAGAAGCTTCACCATGTCTTCGAATCCCCTCACGGATGCCCAGGCAAGTGGTGACCAGCTGTCACAGCCTTTCTTTGGGCTATTTGGGTTGATTTGCGGTCCTTTTTGCCTTTTCGGATTGATGCAAGGTTGTAAAGACCGTTCGGCATCTAGAAGACGCTCCACAGTGCGAGTAGACCCGGTCTGAGCAGCATACAGAAGCACTACATGCCCTCCATTCTTCTTGATTTCATTCTGGTAAAGCAGGTTGGTGAAGTTGACATAAAAATATCGGCTCGTCAAAACTAGGCTGTTGATATCAGTTGATGTCAAAGAGCTGAAAATTTGCTGCCATAATTCGAGAGGCAGTGGACAAGGCATTTGCATAAAAGGGACCTGTTGGACTGATTAAGACTAAATAAAGACAAAGACAAGCAAAGTGGACAAGAGGTGGGGGCAATACGTTAATCAATATCTGTAAGAGGAAAGGATTTGCATGTTAATGCGGGGCAGTGATTGGTGGAAACTTGCCAGCCTGAGGCTACCATTTTATGCTTAACATCTTCGATTGGATTTTTAGATTTTATCAAGTAACCTTTCATTCTGAATGCCGGAAATGATCTTGAAATAAGGATGAAGCGATATACTAGAGGGGCGGGTAGCGGCCATGTTGTTTAGCGTCTTCCTGAGCTTATATTTGGAACTGAGTATAGTCTTGCGACAGAACTTTCATCAATTGGCCGGATGGTGTAGTTGGTTATCACGTATCGTTAACACCGATAAGGTCCTGGGATCGAGCCCCAGTCTGGTCATTCTTTTTCGAAGATTTTTACATTTTTCCATCGTTCCCATTTTGTGTGGTTGATGTGGAGCTTTTTTGTGGGTACAAAGCCTCTCCCGAACCGGCGAACTTCAGCGTCCAGAAGCAGAATCAGGGAAAAGAAAGCACCTGGGCACTGCATCATGTGTGTCTTTGGGTTTTCGGCTGCTTGTTTCCTTTTGTCTTCTAAATTTGAAATACCAAGGTTTTTGCATTTTACATTAAATGAACTGCATATGTACGTCTGGAACTGATGTGAGACGAACAAAATACATGTAACATGTGAGGGTTACGTACATAGTTACAGGTCCACGGGTCATTTGGTGCTTACTTAAAAGGCCTTGGGCTTTGTGTAAAGCTGAGATCTTACACGATGTCAGCAATCATACTCACATATTCCAAGGTAGAGGCTCGATTCAATTCAGGCGTAGTTTCAGGAGATCCTTCTTGATTAACGGTTCATGCCCATAAATTGGCTTGACCCGGGGGTTTTCAATTCATAATATTCTTCGTTTATTGCTGGCTAACATGGTACCAAGCTTAAACAACGCGTTGGATTGCCCACATAACACAATTATGGGCATTAGTTTGCCAGTACTGTTGACGCATAGATTGATTCAAGGTAGAATCCTGTACATATGTGAGGCCATAGTATATATCCATCGCCATTTTAGATACATTAATGGAATTGTGTATAACCGATGTTGGTGTCTGAGTTACGGACTGAGCGAAACCGCAAACGGTGTCAGGGTCACAGTTTAAGTGTGACATTACTTTTTGGCCAATCACACTTGAGTATCACCTTTAGCGGTCAAGGTGGGTCCTCAATTCAATTAGTCTATTGGTCAGTAAACAATGGATTATCTGATGGACCCACCTGCCTATCTGATCCAATGTCAACTTGAAGTTGCACTTGCACCTGACCAGAGAAACATGATTGAGTAGACACAGAAGCTGATGTTCCGTTACATGAGCTCCCTTGTTTCTCCCACATCTCCTCAACCCCCTCCATCATTCTGTCCATCCTTTCCTGCAAGCTGACCGAGGGACAGACGATTGCTAGTCCTTAGTGTTGATCACCGTTATCTCTGCGACGATGGGCGTGTTCGACACCATTCGCGGTCGTGATGATGACAGCAAACTGACTAGAGCAGTCGTCGATACCCAGAACATCTCAGATCCAGCGAGTAATAATGATCAAACTGCCACTGGTCCAGACTCCATCGAAGATGGCACCGAGTCTCATGGCAAATCTGAGCCTTCCGATGGGACCGATGGGGTGGACTACGATGAAAAGTTAACCGAACTTGATCCGGCTCATGTCACCCACCAGATTGATTTGGGTCAACAAAAGGCCGAAGCCGTGGCTCTGGTTTGGAGCCGGCCCGTTGCGTTCATGATCTATGCATGGTGAGATTATACGATGAGTCCGATTGAAAATTTGCAAACTGACTCTCTCAAATTTCATCACAGGATCTGGGTTTGTTTCTTCATGCTGGCTTTGCACTCATCGATCTGCAGCAACCTTATCCCCTTCGTCTTCTCGGACTTTGATCTCGCACCCCAAGTCAGCACCGCATACATTCTATCCGCAATCATCGGCGGGGTTCTGAAATTGCCGCTGGGTAAAACATTGCAGTTGTGGGGTCGCGCAGAGGCTCTCATCTTTTCGACTACCATTTATATACTGGGGATGATTGTTTTGGCTACTTGTAATGGGGCCGATTCATTCGCAGCTGGATATGTTCTTTACTGGGTCGGGTATAATTGTTTATATCTGATCCTGGATATTTATGTCGCCGATACCTCTGGGATGCGCTCTCGTGCATTTGCATTTGCATTTGCAACGACACCATTCATCTGTACTGCTTTCACTGGGCCTCTCGCAGCTACTTCTATTCGAGCTAATTTAGGCTGGCGATGGGGCTTCGGAATATTTTGCATCATCCAGCCGGTGGTATTCTGTCCCTTGGCATTCGTCTTCAAATATTACGAGTCTAAGGCGAGTCGAATGGGTGTTTGGAGACGCAGGCCCAGTGGGCGCACGAAGATTCAATCCATAATCCACTACATCCATGAGTTCGATGGTGAGTTGCTGTTGGCCTATATTCAAATGATTTGGTACTGATTTCGATTAGTGATCGGCGCATTCTTGCTGATGGCCGCTTGGGTGCTTTTTCTCCTTCCATTTAGTATGGCCCAGTATGGTCGCGCTCAGTACAAAAGTGCCAGCTTTATAGCCATGGTGGTTATCGGATTCTGCACACTATTCGTCTTCGCAGCATGGGAGAAATGGGGTGCCCGTACCCACTTTATTCGATATGAACTACTCCGGAAGCCTACTGTTATTGGTGCATGTGCCTGCTCTGCCATCCTCTATTTCAGCTTCTACCTATGGGACCAGTATTTTTTCAATTTTGTGAGCATCACTTACGACCTCGACTCCACCATCACAGGTTACATGTCACAAATCTACAACGTGGGCTCCTGCTTCTGGTCTCCAATTATCGGTCTAGTTATCTGGCGGACCCGGCGGTTCAAGTATATTTGCTTGTTCTTTGGTGTTCCCTTGATGATCTTAGGCTCTGGTTTGATGATCTACTTCCGTGGAGAAAATCATGGGATCGGCTTCTTGGTCATGTGTCAGATCTTTATTGCCTTCGCTGGCGGTACCCTGGTGATCGGCGAGGATATGGCTGTCATGGCCAGTGCAGGTCGTGAGGGCACCCCTATAATGCTAGCTTTGGTTGGCTTATCATCAAGCATCGGTGGTGCGATCGGGTATGCCGTCTGCATCGCAATCTACAATAATGTCTTCGTGGAGGCTCTGAGAAGTCAATTGCCAAATGACCTGAGGGCCAACGCGACCCATATTTATACTGCTGGAATTATATCCCAAAAAAGCTATCCTGTGGGGTCTCCAATACGCGAAGCAGTTAATTATGCCTGGAGTTATTCCCAGAAGATGAACTGCATTGCCTCAACCTGCGTCCTAGTCTTGCTAATCCCGGCGGTCGCGGTATGGAAGAATTACGACGTCGGAAAGAAGCAGAACAAGGGAACGATGGCTTTCAACTAAAGCCCGTTCGGACTGTCATTTCATGACATTAATGTGAGATTTGTGATTTTCGGAGACATGACTATTCCATGTTATCATCGCGAGACTGCCGATGCAGGCCATCGGCTCGTTGCCATTTTCATGTATTCATTACTTTGCTATGTCTATAAATTGATGAACGTCAAAATGAATATTCCAGGCGTGCAGCCCGAGGTTATCGTATTGTTCTCCTACAGTGACCCCGCACATTCGAGGCCCTTACATCCACACTAACGCTGCAGGGTTTGTATGCATGTCGATCCTGTCAACAATGTGACCCTGCAATCTAAACAGTAACACTCTCCCACAACAGTGCCCAGGCGACTTTCTTCCTTCATCATACCTATCAACGAACCCAGCTAAAAATACGCGTCAGATGCATGGTTTCACTCCACATTCTTCACCTCAACGATGCCTTACCTGCACACAAGCATCCTCGTGACATCGATATCCCTTCTCCGACTCTTCCATCCAACAACAGCAACACAAAATGATCTTCACTACGTCAACCCACTAATCGGATCAACAAATGGCGGGAACGTCTTTGCAGGCGCAAGCCTTCCATATGGCCTCGCCAAGCCCGTCGCAGATGTAGACGGTCAGAACACAGGCGGCTTCTCCACAGATGGGAGCAATGTTACCGGCTTCTCACATATGCACGATAGCGGTACAGGCGGGAACCCATCTATGGGGCAGTTTCCATTATTCCCGCAGTACTGCGCCGATAACGTACTCGACAACTGTAAGTTCCCCAAGGCGGCACGTGCTGCTCACTACGTGAATGATTCCGTCAACGCGCGCCCGGGGTATTTTTCATTGGAGTTAGTGAGTCGGATCGCTGCGGAGATGACCGCTGCTAGGCGAACTGCTTTATATCGGTTTACGTTTCCCGAGAGCAAGACTCAGAATGGGTCTGTATTGGATCCGTTGATCGGGCTTGATCTGACCGATTTGTGGGATAGTCGACAGAATGCGACTATTTCTGTTGATTCTGAGTCGGGAAGGATTAAAGGCAATGGCACTTTTTTGCCTAGCTTCGGCGCGGGATCTTACCAGGCTTATTTTTGTGCGGATTTTGCGGGTGCAAGACTACGTGATAGTGGGATTTGGGTGAATGATCGGGCTGGGTCGGAGCCAAAGGAGTTGTTTGTTACCCGTGGATTCAACAATTTCTATCTCCAGGCTGGTGGCTTTCTAAGATTTGAGCGGCCCGATGATGGTGTTGTGACGGCTAGGGTAGGCGTCAGCTTCGTTAGCACTGATCAGGCATGCTCAAATGCGGAAATGGAAATACCTGATCCACTCAATGATTTTGAAAGACTTCAAAGTACGGCGGAAGATGCCTGGAAAGAGAAGCTTAGTCCTATCAGGGTCACCCCAGGAGGGGTGAGCGATGACATGCTAAGTGCTTTCTGGAGTGGCATCTATCGGACGATGCTTTCGCCTCAGGATATGACCGGAGAGAATCCGTTGTGGGAAAGCGATGAGCCATACTTTGACTCCTTTTACTGTCTTTGGGATGCTTTCCGAGCTCAACATCCATTTCTTACGGTCTTGGATCCCAAGGCTCAGTCGCTGATGGTTCGTAGTCTCCTGGACACTTTCAAGCATGAAGGGTGGCTACCGGATTGTCGCATGAGTCTCTGCAAAGGATGGACTCAGGGTGGCTCCAATGCAGATGTCGTGATTTCAGACGCTTTTGTCAAGAATTTGACAGGTATTGATTGGGGCCTTGCCTACAAAGCAATGGTCAATGATGCAGAGAACGAGCCGCTAGAGTGGTCATATGAAGGACGGGGCGGTCTTCAAAGCTGGAAACGGCTGGATTACATTCCATACTTGGACTTTGATTATTTAGGATTCGGGACGAACTCACGCAGTATCTCGCGAACTGTGGAGTATGCTTACAATGATCATTGTGTTGCTGTGGTGGGCAAAGGTATCGGAAAGAATTATACCACTTACCTCTCTCGCTCAAACAACTGGAAGAACCTTTTCAAAGATGACCAAGTCTCACTCCTCGAAAATGGAACTGATACGGGCTTCACTGGCTTTTTTCAACCCAAGTATCTGAATGGTACTTGGGGTTTCCAGGATCCAATTGCTTGTAGTGCCTTGGCCTCTTGGTGCTCACTGACTTCGAACCCCTCCGAAACATTTGAGTCGAGTATCTGGGAGTACAACTTGTAAGCCTTTGGCTTCCTTTCAAAAGACCAATACTAACTCACTTTTCTCCAGCTATGTTCCTCATGATATGGCAGCTCTGATAAGCCTTTTGGGAGGGCCCTCTTCATTCGTCTCCCGACTTGATTACTTCCATGAGTCCGGACTAGCGGATATCAGCAACGAGCCTGTTTTCTTGACAGTCTATGATTACCACTATGCCGGCCGACCAGGCCTCTCCGCAAAGCGAGCCCACAGCTATATTCCGCGAACATTCAATGCCTCGGATAACGGACTCCCCGGCAACGACGACTCCGGAGCCATGGGCTCATTTCTGGCATGGAGTATGATGGGTCTATTTCCTAACCCGGGCCAAAATGTCTACCTCATAACTCCGCCCTTCTTCGAAGCGGTCGAAATCACACACCCCGAGACCAATGAGACAGCCATGATCCGAAACATCAATTTCGACCCCACGTACCAAAATATCTACATTCAAAGCGCCACGCTCAACGGGAAACCATATTCGAAGAACTGGATTGGCCATGAGTTTTTCACTCAGGGTCTGACGCTGGAACTGACGCTTGGAGAGACCGAGAGCGGTTGGGGTACAAGCAAGGAGGATTTGCCTCCAAGTCTGAGCGACTCGGTTGTCCAAGATGAGATGCAGCATGCATGACGGAATCAACTTTGGTTGATTATGTGCATGTGGCATCCAATGAAAATCTGGTTTTGTAGCGGTCTGTTGAAGCCACACTCGGACCTTCTTACGGAGCATATCCGATGTGGGCTGTGGTACCGAGGTACAATGATCGGCGGAAACGTGGTAAGTTATCAGGCTTTATGGAGTATATATTTCTAGTTGAATTATTATTGGTGAGAATTTTGATGTTTACATGCTGGTAAATACTACAGTACTCCTTACTTTACCTGGGCTTGTGCATAGTTCGCTAGATGCCTAGTTGAAGTGTATAGCAGTTGGATTCAAATGTTCTCATTGGAGGCAAATTTAAGCGCTGGCCCGCTCCCGCATTGGATAGATAACTTACCTTTCATTGTAGTCAAGAATGTTTTGACTCCTTTCAAAGATGACTACAACCAGTAACAATACACTGACAAGGGGTAGTGAGTATGAAAATGTATCACAACTAAATCCTCACCGCGACAGGGTATTCAGTCTTTTTTCTATTGCACTGCTCTGACGTCTATCCATTTCTCGCATGATCGTTCGGCCTTGCACCAGTATCAAGTGAAAAGCCAGAGCACATTGTCCCCGGCGCAAGGGTCAACATACCTTGTATTTTACCTGCTCATTTGATCATATACCCTGGCCCACAATGGTGCTCAAATGCTGACGAATCAGGCAGCGCACTGTTGATGGATGATAAGCTTGGAAGTTAGATTTATAGGTTCGAGTAAAGACTCGCGGGACATTCCATATCGACATTGCATGACGAGACAATGTGCGCCACCAGTCATTAGTGCGGATGTGGCGGAGCTGGACCATCTACAATACATAAGCTCTGACCAAAGGTCCAAGTTTATAAAGACCCTGTCGAATGTACTGTGCAGCCTGGAAACCGGAGGCGACGATCCTGGCAGAACATCACTTATCACTACCCACTGAACATCTGACGTCGATGCGTACAGTATCTAGAGCTCACAAACATCTCTCCGAGAAGGGTTAATAGACAGCAAGGACAAGGATAAAGACTGCCGATCGCTGGGTCTCTTCACGATGCATGACCCGAAAGCTCGCGCGGGCCAGGATCACCCGGACCCGGTGATCGAAGGTATCCTTCTGTTGCGCATGACCTCGGGTGCCGTTATTTCCATGCCACACTAGGTAAATTAGCGTACACTCCCTTTCAGTACACACCATGACCAGTGCCATTCAAGACTTTCCGTCTTCAAATGTTTCCTATCTTGCAGAAATTGTGGTCGACGATCTACATGTAGTGAGATAATGTCGCCATGTCGCAGCCTCGTGATACAAGAGGTCGATACTAGTGCTCTAGTACGGAGTTAGTTGCATGGGGCTAGGAGTTTCTATGACGACAGTGTCAAAGCGAGAAAAATGAATATTTACATTACATTGACATGTGTCACGAAGATGATTACAGATGAAAACAAACCAAACCAGAGATAACTACAGTTTATACTGCACAAATGGGCAGCTCAGGTTTCTTTAGCCTCGAATACTATCCAATGTTCATTTCAGGCACAATAGATAGTTTCGGCTTCCGGCCAAAAATAGCGGGGGCCGGGGGTTAAAGGAAAAATCATAACAAAAATGAAAGTAAGTTCAGCTGCAGGTGATAACAAATGAAAGTGACTGGTCTCCTGACGGGCTCGCTTGACGAGTAGCCAACCAAGCCATCACGATCAGCCAGTGAGCACGGGGATCTCCCGGGGTCTAATCTGTGGGCGCGTCGAGGTTGTCGCGTTTTGAAACAAGACGGGAAAAGGGGGTTTCTATTTTGACTTTTTGTTACCAGGTATCCTGGATGGTAGTTTCGCTTTGCAGTAATATAATATCTTTCAAACCCAACCTCAGACATCGTTGCGAAATGATTGTTCCCCATATTTTGTCTCCATAACACGGACTTGCTTGTCGCCTTATCTCCTTATCTCTTATCGATAACAGGTTCTCTATCTAGTAACATTACTTGATTAGGACTAGCTCTACTGTATAAGGACTAGCGTGTATCCACGCGCCTTCCAGTTTTCGACGCGCAAAAAAGGAAAAAGAAAAAAAAGAAAAAGCGTCGTCTTTGCGTTCCCTCGAAATCTCGACGCATTTGCGCTTTCGCCCCCTAGTCTCCAAGGGATAATATTATTTCCCATTCCCACTTTTCCCTCATTCGCTTTCAATTCACTCCTTGTTTCCCATTAGCTTCTTTCGGAATTGGAAACCTACATTGCGCTGGCGCTTGATCCTCTTCCTGTGGGGTTATCTACATTATGGTGTCCTTTCAATGCGAGGTGCGTGAGAACGACTTGTCGCAAGACCAATTGCCCTTCATTCCGGGGATCACAGTATATCTTACTGACAGTGTGACAGGGTTGTGGTGATGTCCTCACCAAAAAGAAACTCGACCCTCACCGCGGTCAATGTCGTGGCGCGACCTTTACGTGCATTGATTGTATGGTCCACTTCTACGGAACCGATTACAGAGCCCACACGGTATGTATTCATCAGTCATGCTTATCACATCGATCTTGAGCCCTTGCACCCTCCGCGCGCAATCAATAAGCTATCACGTGGCCGGAGGGTACACTGGACTCAGAATCAGCACCAGGAACAGCATCTCTCTGTTGATTTGAACTGTTACTCAATATCGCTCATGCTAACATTGCTTTCTCGCCCTAGTCATGCATGACTGAAGACCAAAAGTACCAAGGCGCGCTATACAAAGAGAAGCCAGCCAAGAATAAAAAGGGCCAGAACAACCCTAACAACCAGAATGCGAAACCAAATCAGCGCAACCAGCAGGCCCGCGTGGAGGATGCGCCTGTATACGTGCCCCCTCCCCGGGCGCCTACCCCCCTCCTGCCGCCGAGGCCAAGCCCACGGCTGACGCCATGGCCGACAACGGCAAGGCCGTCAATGTGTTTGATTATTTGGTCACCGACGAAACACCCAACGCGTCCAAGGCTTCGCTCGTGCCTCCCAAGGAGCAGATGACAATGGTCGCCGAGGCCCGTTCTCTGTTTGAACCCAGCACCGCTCTTGCCAATCCCGATGCCAAGACCGACGATGAAGGTAATTACGATATTGCCTACGAAGAAAACGGCTTTTCATATGGCGCCGATCCTATCCCCCTTTCCATATATCCCAACAATGGTCCTAATCTTTCGACAGAATTCGTCACTCCAGCACCCAAGAAGAAGAAGGATCGCCGCAAGGAGGAGAAGCGCGAATCTGGCTCCGTCAGCGAGAAGAAGCGCAAGCGCGGCAGAGAGAACTCTCTCAGCCCGCAACAGGATATCGATACTCCCATGATGGATGTCCCGTCAAGTGTTGTCAACAACGCCGGTACCCCCATGCTCAACCATTCCGGCCTTACCGGTGGATTGAACCGGATGATGCGCTCGCCCTCGCACGAAATGGATGACACCCCGGCCCACAGTAACCGGGCTTACAAGGACGCCTCGTCGCCCATCAAGCGTAGCCGACGCAGCACAAAGGAGGTCAACGGTAGTGGTGACGCCGGCCTGGGAATCTCGATCAAGAACCGTGCTGGGCGCCTCGTGTCTTCCATGTTCGGTGGTACCGGCTCTGTGGTCTCAGCCAGCAGTGGAGGCCATGAAAATGGATCTCGTGAAGCTATTCGCCGTGGCAGCGCTTCCAGCGGTGAGATGCAACTGGAAGTCCGTAAGAAGAAGTCTCACCGCTCGCGTAACGAATCCGACAATCACGATGAGAGTCGCAAGTCTAAACGCAAGAGCTCCAATCCCACCGATGGTGACCGTCCTCCCCGCCGCCTCAAGCAGGCGGATGAATCTCCCCGCCGCGAAAGCCGTCAGGTCACTGTTTACCAGCACTCCAAGCCCCCGGCTCGCGCAGACGACGTCATGCAACGCGAAATGGCATCTCATTTCCTTTCGCTCGTCTCCCGTGACAGCGAGCGTGGCTGCTCCATCAACAAGGCCCTGAAGCGTTTCCACCGCGACTTCTCTGCTGAGTATGACGATGACCGGGGTCGTGATAATGGACGAAGCGGCGCTGACCGTGAGCGTCGCAGCGAGGATGAGAAGGATCTCTGGCGTGCTTTGCGGTTGAGACGCAATGACCGGGGTGAGATTGTTGTATTTGTCTAAATTGGGACACCTTGGGAGGAATATCAAAACGACAGTTTCTTTTTTCTCTCTTTGTGAAATAGAATAACTTTCACGAGATGAATGGGTTGGGCTTTTTTGCATAGCGCGTTTACTGTTATATTACTGTTTATTCAAACTCTGGCAGGTCTTTTTCTCACATTGTTTTCTCTGGCCCATAATGTCGAATCGTATAATGTCTACATGATATGTCAAGTCTTACACGTCTACCATGTTGCAGTTTTCCCAACGCTAGATAGCCTGAACGTTTTGTCAATATGTCTCGGTTGACTGTGAGGCAGCGTCGTATTCATGACCTTCCGCTACACATAGGGTAATCGTCCTATTACAACCGGATCCCGGCGTGTCATCCGTTGGCCAGGGAAGATATAGGAGTCCAAAGCTATACTGAAACCGAATTATCAAATAGGGAGAAGGGACCATTATTAGCTCAAAATATGCCCTGGTTTTTTTCGTGTTTCACGATAATTGTGATACTTCGTTCTATTCTTTTTCGTGATTTCATTTGCTCTGAGCCATAGTTGGATACGCTCAACACTGGGCAAGCTTGCCATATATCGAGGGTTGAAAAGCTGCCTGAAATTAAAGAGCCTTGTTTCAATTTTGCAAATTTTTCCTCTAGCTGAAAGACACAGCTAGAAGATTACAGCTAGAAGATTACAGCTAGAAGATTACAGCTAGAAGATTTTTCTTGAAAAGGTCAACTGGTTCAAACCCTGTATCTGGTATCATGAGCTTAGTACTAGGTACCAAGATACGTAAAAGAGCTTTAATTTCACTTTAATTCACTTCAACGATTCTCTCTTTCTCACAAACCGCGCACTGAGATTTTCAGAATCAACCACTTGAATCCTCATCACCCATCATCAACCTTCTTCAACCATCGCCAATCCTCTTCATCGAAATTCGAACACAATAGCTGCTAAGATGCCTCGAAACTCGTACAAGAATGTAAGTCGACATTTTCCCCATCAAATCATTCTTCAATTCAATATATCTCGAGTCATCATCCATGGCCTTTATCCCGATATCAAACCCACCTGGTTCATAGGATGCGAGCCCACAACTTGCATCATAACATGGAGACAGTCGGCCATTGATGACTTGGAAAGATCAAATCATTTTCCCCATGCTGATGCGGCCTTTTGATAGCTTTGCATCTACTACGGCTCGCCTGACTTCGGTTATGTGGGTGCCCACTCTCGCGAAGAGGCTGAGAAGACCTCCAACACAGCCAACACTACTTTGACCGATACCAAGTACCAATCCAACCAGCCTGTCCCCCAGGTTTCCGATGACTCTGCCGATAAAAAGCAGGAGGATATGAAAATCAAAGGCTTTGCCAGCCGGGGTGGTCCCTCTGACAACAACACCGCTGTTGGTCACGATGCCCAGGAATCGAACAAGCGGGGCCGCGATGAGAAGAGCCCTGACTTCTCTCCGAGAAAGATGAAAACCGACGAGATGAAACAGAAGAGGAAGCCTAGGAAGGAGGAGAAAAGGAAGAAGCTGGAGAAAGAGGGGAATAAGGAGAAGAAAAAGAAGAAGCAGACCGCCGAATATGATACAGTCCTTTAACTGTATCATTCCAATTTGATCCTGCCAAATTAGGTAGTATTGAGACATCTGGAGATAGTGAATGCATTATCTAACTCTACCATTCCACGCATCCAATCAATTATAACGTTCTAAGATAAAATAAATGTTCGCTAGGTATTGATTGAAATTATATACAGATAAATATAGAGGTACCTTCACTGATTAAAAGCTAGTGATCCTTGCGGTCGCTGTATATACACAATTGACTGGTGTCTTGTACGTTCAGTCCTATTTTGCATGGCAATACTTGGCATCGTTTGGTCCGTACCATTTGGGCCAAAGACCATCACAGGTCGGTAAACATCATGGGACTTATGAGCTACCCTTTTGCCACATTTTGTGCAATAATGATCGTAGTCTGTGAACATCCCAGCCTCGGAAGGAAGGCATAGTAAAAAAGGGCATATAAGACAGCATAACACCGATGTTACTCTATCAAAACAGTTAAGATTGGCATGGGCATACAGAGTTATGGTGGAAGACTTACCTGGTCGAACCGGAGTTTATTTCCATTACACTAGTCTCTGCCAACTTTCTGCAGAATGGACAGTCGATAAATACAGACTGTTTATCCAGAAGGTGTAGTGGCATCACCATCGAAGCGTGGGGGACGTGTTGCTCGACGGGAGCTGAATTATACATGGGTGGGTTCAAAGTATAGGCCGGTGGTGGCTCTGTGAATACTCGATCTATTGCACTGAATGATTGTCAATACTACTCAAGCGGGCCAAATTCCTGAAGTTGAATAATGCTGCTGAAGACATACCAGTTGGAGACTTGATCATCAGATTGGTAAGATGCATTTACCATAGCGGCTTCATAATTAGGAATTGATTCCATGGGAATTGATGTTCCAAGTGAGGCTGAATTATTCGAATTCGAATGCTCCATTTCGTTCCTTTGGTAGAGGATCAAAATATTGTCTGATGATTTATCAGAGCTGCGGACTTTTGGGAATCCGGGGGATTCATAATATTGGTTCAAGCCTCAAAAACTACGTGGGGAGCTAACTGGATCTCGCTTTTATGCCGAAAGTTTCAGGGGTATAATTGCCAGGGTTTTATTCTTAGAGGAAACCAAGTACATGATTAGTCTCCTCACTAGCCATCATGGTTGAAAGCTTGAGGCTGTACAAGCGTAGAGTGCTACCAATTAAAAGAACGAAGATACGCCACAAACAAATATACTAATCTGAAAGCGTGACTTGGTTGGAAAACCTCTCAGGCGAAGACGCTAAATTGCTTATTGGTCACCTTGCTAACGCGATTCGCTCTAGAGGTACAATTGTAATTTCAAAAATAACAAGCGGTTACAATACCAAGTTCCCTAGTTCCCAAACTATCCAGGCTCCAATCCCCACGGCCAGTCTACAATGTATAAAGATTCCCGGCATCTCTGTTTGTTTGAAAAGCAACACTTCAATGGGAATGGTGTTCTATGGAATATTGGGTGGGAAATTGCAAATGAGCGTTGTTTATCTGGTATTGAAATCCTAGGTAAAACGCCAGCATGGATCGCGCGCTAGTGACTTGTCCGACTAGCAATTCGGGGTCTCCGTCTAGGCCCATAGCAATTTCATTCGATCAGGGTTAGCAGCTCAAAATTCAGCCACATGTTAAGCCTCTAAGACTAGACGAGGCACAGCCTCAATACTCATCCATACGAATGTGTCCAATGTTTAGAATTTAATTAAGTAGAGCTGAGAGGGATTGTTTGTATTAAATTTCTTTGCTCTGGTGATTGTGCATAAAGGCCCGGTTGATTTTTTAATCAAATCTACTCTGGGCTTGTAATAGATTTGGAGGACTTCACAAAAGAAAGTGGAGCATTGGAAGCCAAGAGGAAGGACGCTTTGCCAGTCACTTTGGGATCAGGACCGATGAAGTTATTGGGGAAGCCAATATCCAAAGGCTTCTGACTCTCCAGATACTCGATCTGCCCTGCCGTCAACCGGATGCTGAGGGCCTCGATGTTTTCGTTAAGATGCTGGATTTTGCGACCGCCAACAATAGGGAACACATTCGGTGCTTTCGCCATAACATAAGCCAGGGCGACTGCGGTCAATGATTTGATTCCCAGCTCATTTGCGACCTTTTCGAGTGCTGCACTCATCTTCACTTCCTCCTCGCTTTGCTCTGCACTAAGGAGGCTCCGGAGACCCTCCCCTTGGGCCTTGCGTTGCTCGATCTCCTTCTTGGTTTTAAACTTTCCTCCGCCCATGACATCCCAAGGGGCAAGTGCCATTCCGAAATGGCTTGCCATGGGGATGATCTCGCGCTCGAAGTCACGCAGCATGATATTCCATCTACCCTGGTAGACGCTGAAGGGGGTTTTTCCGTGGGCTCGAGCATATGTGTTCGCTGCGGCTACAACCCACGCGGGAGTATCCGAGATACCCAAGTAGAGTACCTTGCCCTGTTCGACAAGGATCTGAAGACTATCCATGATCTCTTCGATCGATGTGGTATGATCCCACCAATGGAGGTACAAGATATCAATCCAGTCGGTTTGCAGTTTCTTGAGAGAATCCCGAACACTCATGTGGAGGCTTCGTTTGTGATTGCCACAATTGTTGGGGGCGTTTCCTTTGCCGAGTGCGTGCGAGCGGTAGTCCGTTGTGAATTTGGTGGCAATAACCATTTGATCCCGGTTATTGCGTTGTTTCATCCATTCACCGATCCAAGCTTCTGATTGTTCATTCTGGTAATTGTTTGCTGTATCGATGAAATTTCCACCGGCTTGATGAAAAGCATCGAGAAGTTTAAAAGCCTCATCCTTGCTCAATGAACCCATTCCTTCTTTCCACGCATCGCCAATGGACATGGCTCCGAGCTGGAGTGGGGAGACGCGAATCCCAGCGGTGGAAGAAAGGACGCGGTAGCGTCCCAACTCGGTAGCCGGCTCAGGAGCAGGAGTAAAAAAAGAACTCGTCATGGTGAGGCTAGGTTATGAGAGTGTAATAAACAAACGGTAAAAATAATTGGAAGTTATGGTTGGAATGTTTTCAAAATCCACTTTGCAAGCATCATTTATAATCTTTCTGCACCGGACGTAAGCGGAAAGGATCGGACTTGGTGAAGTCAGCACTTAGATTCAAACACTATTCGACCAGGATTTCTGGACCAGTTTGGCGCAAGTAAGCTCCTTATTTCCGAAACCTAATGTGAATCACTGGCTCGCTGTCATCAAGCTGCATCCCGTCAGTGGCGACCGAGATTCCCTGGAACGGAACACGGGGATAAACCAGCCTCTTTCGAGGTTTAAATGTGCCAAACATGAAATTCAGGTAAGGGATTTCTTGATGGGCGAGATTTGTAAATTTGTTCTTTATTCTTTTGGTACTTCCCAGGGTGCAATACCCCAGAACTACCATTCCATCCTGACGCCACTCCAGTCTATAAAAAAGCTATTCAGTCTATGCATTGATCTGGGATTTACTCTGGCAAACGGTATTTGAGTCACGTCTTTATCATATTGGAAACTTCGCGACTGAGCTCTGTAGCGAAATATTACAATTCCATGCAATGCTTAACTATGGCCAACTACTTTCTTTGGCTCATATAGATCATCGATGCTCTTCAAATCGGCTGGACTGAGAACAAAAGAAATAGCGTTAACCGCCTCATCAACTCTCTCTTTCTTGCTCATTCCCAGAATTGGCGCTGTAATAAATGGCTTGGAAAGGGACCAAGCAATAGCTACTGTCGTCATCGACACACCATGTTGCTTCGCTATCTTCTCAATTTGCTCGTTGATCTTCTTGTCGCTCTCGGTAGTGGGATGAGAAAGGGGCCCAGCCCTTAGATTCTCTTCACGTGTGGTTTCGAAAACTCACGCCAGGGTCTAGTTAAGAAGCCCATAGCAACAGGGCTCCAAGGGATCCCAGCGATTCCAAACTTGGCACATGCAGGGTACATCTCCCTCTCCTCCTCTCGGTAAGTAGCGTTATGGAGATTCTGCATCGTGATAAGTTCAGTCCAGCAGTGGATGCGAGCGGTGTACTGGTACTCGAGGAGCTGATGGGCCCACATCGATGAAGCACCAATATAGCGTACCCTTCCAGACTTAACGATATCATGAAGCGCCTCCATTGTTTCCTTGACGGGCGTTTTGGGGTCAAAACGGTGGATCTGCAGCAAATCGACTCAGTCAAGGTCGAGTCTCTTCAGACTGGCATCGATGCTGTCGAAGACATGTTTCCGACTCAATCCATACTGATTCACATAGCCGGAATCGTCCTTCTCCTCCTCTGTCATGGCCAATGGCTGATCAGAGCCACGACCAACTGGTGCCCATAGCTTGGTTGCAATGACGATGCTTTCTCGATTCCACTCATACTTCTTGATCGCCTTGCCAAGGATCTCTTTAGACATGCCATTAGAATAGGTGTTTGCGGTGTCGAAGAAGTTCAGACCGGATTTGTAGCAATGATCGAGCACTGGCAGGGCTTCTTCTTCCGGGATTGACCATTTGAAGCGACCCTCGGGGTTTCCAAAACCCATGCATCCCACACCAATAGGGGCGATGCGAAGACCGCTGCTTCCTAGTTGAACATATTCTATTTTGCCCGATTATTAAGAAAAGTTAGTAAAGAGAACAAGACTTCTAAGTCAGATCATGAATAAAACATTACGATAATACCTACACTTATGCTTCCAGCTTCTGGGCGAAGACTAAGGAAATTCACAATTCGAGATGATGTCAAATACCCTGATTGGTCGGATTTAACTTACGATTCGTCATAAACTCCGGCAATAAGCTCCAAAGTCCGGTGCCTGTCTTACCTCCGTCGGCACTAACATTAATAATTTATGCACTGTATACGGAGTAAGGGCTAGGTGATAAGTATGCTCCGTATAGGGCGCTAGTACGGTGGTCAATACCTAGTAGGTACTAGCTGAGTTAGAAGGACAAATACGACACAGAGAGCTATTGAGGGCGGTGAGCCTACTAGATTATAATTCTGGGGTTAGGCTTACTGATACGTGTGGTCCACCGTATGAGTCCTACTGGACTCTGGCTAGTCTTCTCCGCCTATTTCTTCAGCTATCACGAATAGGTGCATCATGTTGGAAAGTCTTCACCTTGCATCTTGTTTGATTTCCAAGGCAGGCGCTGATTATTCGCAATGGCTTCAAACAATACGGGTAATGTGTTTAAGAATGAAATGTATTTCGAATTCCATGAAGCATAGTTTTATGTTTCTTGACCAGGAGGGCTCCTATCAGCCTTTGGCCTTTGACTATTCACAGTACACAAAAGTTTACAAATACAAAAGCAGCTGAGGACAGAGGTCTTTCATGAATTACAACATCTAATTTCTCAATCCTATTGAGCCATGGCTATTAAAGGCACGTCGCAAATCTGCTCGAAGCAATATCAATATGATTAGAGGCCCATGGGAAAGCTTCCATGAGTCAAATTCATATTAAGCAATCTCGAGACGAACAGGAAGAGCAGTCAGTAAATCTTGAGGCTCTTCCATAAAAGACGTTGAGATTCTTCATTCAATCGTGCTTCCCCTATTAAATGACACTTTAGGCTTTCCGCCGCGCATTTCGCGCAGTGCATACCTGGTAATATCGTGAATTGTAACGTCAAGACTGAAATTACCTAATTTACGCTATATCGAATATGGCCTAGCGTTCGGTGGGAAATAGAGTTCAGATTGTCAAAATTGTTAGGTCAGATTCATGAACGTCACTGTCCTTAATAATTTTGTAGTGTATATTGAGTAGTTCTAGTGCCATCTAATATTTTCTGCCATATATCATGTCAGTTTAAGAGATTTGTCAACCTGATTCGTACTACCATACGAAGACAATGTGATTGTGGCCTATTGGTCAAGCATGAGAATCCACTATGAGTCACGACGACATTGATTGAGTCAATCTCACTAACCCGATTTGTAATAGCGACCGCTCTACACGCCGCCCTATATTGCCAGAGGTTTTTGCGAAGCTTTCATGCTTGGCTTTCATAATTATCTCGCCTTCTTGAGATTTACGAATACTGTCTTTTGCTTCCAATTTTGGATTTTTCTTCTTTTAAGCCATCTTCAGTTACGCGGCTTTTCTCATATATTGCGCTGTCTAGCATCCTCTGAGAAGCTCCCGGGTTCCCCGCATCAACAATTAAACACCATCTGCATCAGTGCTACGAATCGTCACCAGACTTGTGTATGAGCGGACCGACGCTGGCATATCAGCCATCCCCGGTCTCAGAGGCAATGTCTGACCCCGTGGCAGCTCCTGCAGCTCCGAGCGCTCCCCGTACCCGTAATCGACGCCGTGCGAGAGGCCCCGCCAACCGCGATGGCCAACAAAATACATCAGCGCAAGCAGCAGATGGTCAACCTCCAGTCCTAACACCACAGACTCAGCCTGGTACTGGCTCGAGTACCGTCGGCTCGAATGGCCCACCTCGACCTCCGAGAAGAAATCGTGAAGGTGGAGGGCCTCGACCACGAAGGGGCCGTGGCAATGGCTCGCAAAAACCGACGATGGAGAATGGAGAACAATCAGAACAACAGCCTCAGGCTCAGTCGCGTGGGATGCGTCTCAGAGGTTTTGGCGGTGGCGCTCGGCTGACCAAACCCGAGCAAGAATCTGACGACGGAACACTAGTGGAAGGCCTTCGGGCTGATGTGGCGGCTTTTGTACCTGGCGTGCCAACCTCAAATATGGATTCAGGCCCATCGACAAAAGGGAAAGGGAAAGCTAAGCCGAAAGGACCGCCAAAGCCACCCAAGGTGACAACGAAGTCAATAGCGAACGATATTGCAACCCGAATCCACGAAGACATCGCCCACAACCTTTACGAATGCCCTATTTGCACCAGCGAGCTAGGTCGACGGTCTAAAGTTTGGTCGTGTGAGTTATGTTGGACTGTATTCCACTTGAGCTGCATCAAGAAATGGTCCACAAATGAAGGTGCGGCTGCCCAGAATAACAACAGAGAGCCAGAAAACGGTGAAGGCTCTGCTCAACCACGGGCTTGGCGATGCCCCGGTTGTAACCTTTCACACGAGCACTTCCCTACCAGTTACACATGTTGGTGCGAAAAAGAGGTTGATCCTAGGGCATTTCCTGGTTTACCACCGCACTCTTGTGGTCAGACATGCTCCCGACCCCGGAAGGGCTGCCCTCATCCATGTGATGCAACTTGTCACGCTGGTCCATGCGCTCCTTGCATCGCAATGGGCCCAACGCAAGACTGCTTTTGTGGTCGAAACTCCAGCACAAAGCGGTGTCAGGATACCAATTATGAACAAGGATGGAGCTGCGGAGAGATCTGTGGTGACCTTCTTCCCTGTGGAGAACACTTCTGCCCGCTCCCATGTCACGAAGGCCTCTGTGGTGCCTGCGAGGTCAAGATTGAAGCCCGTTGCTATTGCGGAAAGGTGGAAACCGAAATGCTTTGCAACTCGAAAGAAGATGAAAAGGATAGCCAAACTGTTCATGCCGATGGAACCAAAGAAGAATGGACGGGTATTTTCAGCTGTAATGATGTTTGCAACCGTACCTTCGACTGTGGGGTACATTCATGTCAAAAGAGCTGTCACCCACAGGATTCGCTTCCTGCCCATTGCCCAAGATCACCAGATGCTGTTACCCGGTGTCCATGTGGCAAAACTGAGCTGAGCGACATCCCAGGATACACCCCTCGTACATCCTGCGAGGCTGAAATTCCGCATTGCTTGGAGTCGTGTGGGAAGATGCTGCCATGTGGTCATTCATGTGATCAAATTTGCCATACAGGCCCTTGTGGATATTGTCTCCGCCGTGTACCGGTCAGTTGTCGATGTGGCCGCAACACCTCCATGAGTGTCTGCCATCAAGGTGATGTTCAAAACCCTCAATGCTTCCGTACGTGCAAGGCTACTTTGCATTGTGGTCGACATACATGCAGCGAAAGATGCTGCCCCGGGGAACAGACAGCCATTGAGCGTCAGGCTTTGCGCCGCAAGCTAAAGGCTCATCTTCGCCCATCCGATGAGGATGTCGAGGCCGAGCATATCTGCACCCGTATATGTGGTCGGATGCTGAAGTGTGGAAAGCATACATGCCCGGAGCTCTGCCACAAAGGTGCTTGCAATACATGCCGTGAAGCTGTGTTTGAGGAGATTTCATGTAATTGCGGAAGGTCGATTCTGTATCCGCCGCAGCCTTGTGGAACGCAACCCCCTGCGTGCTCTTTCCCTTGCAATCGTCCTAAGACATGTGGCCACCCTCAGACAGCCCATAATTGTCACGTCGATGAAGAGACATGTCCAAAGTGTCCTTTCTTGACCGAGAAGCCATGTCTGTGCGGCAAGCGGGTGATGAAAAATGTGCCCTGTTGGCTCACAGACGCCCGCTGCGGCCAAATCTGCGGACAACCATTAAAATGTGGTTCACATTTCTGCAGAAAGGATTGTCATCGGTCAGGAGATTGTGAGGATGCAAACAAGCCGTGTCAGCAAAGCTGTGGTAAAAACAAGACGCTTTGTAGTCATCCATGTACTGAACCTTGCCATGCGCCATACCCTTGCCCAGAAAAGACACCATGCGCATCCACCATCACAGTCACATGTGGATGTGGACGTCTGCGTCAGGAAAGACGATGCAACGCTGCCAAGGCGGTCATTTTCAAGGGTCAGCTACAGCAACCGGAGCGTCTGCCAGTACTCACTCCCTTGGCCTGTGATGATGAGTGTAGCCGGCTAGAGCGTAATCGCTCCTTGGCATCTGCTCTCGGCGTCGACATCAATCAAACCACAACTGCCCAAGCCATATCTTCTACCAACCTCCCCTACTCCACAGAAACCCTTGATCATTACATCAAACTTGCTTCGACGGTATCTCTTTCGACTCTGCAAACATATGAATCCACATTGCATTCTTTGGCAGTCGACTCCTCCAATCGGTCAACCCGTTTCCAGCCCGCGAAATCTGCCCTTCGACAATTTACTCATTCCCTAGCAATAGATTGGGGCTTTGTAACCGAAAGTCACGACCCAGAACCTCATCGCCACGTCTTTGTCTTGAAGCCGTTGACCTGGACCCCACCTATATTTGGCATGGGTAGTGGCTCATCAATCGGCATTGGTGGGATGAGCGTGCGCGAATGCGTGAAGCTTCGCGAACGCGAGCGCACCAAGGAGCGTGAAGCCCAACAAGCTGCAGCCCTTGAGGCCAAGGCTGCCCGTATTGCAGCGAAAGCACAATCTGGCGTGTCTGGGGATGGTTGGGCTCAAGTTGCTTCTCGGTCGAAGGGCAGTGCTAGTAGTACTAGGAGTACTACGCCTGTCCAGAATCCGTTTAGCAGTCGGACCATGTTCTCCGCCCTTTCTGGAGAAGGAGTGCAAGATCCATCGTCTAAGAAGGAGCGTTTAGTTCTTCGGTCGGGCATCGGTGCTGGCAAGGCATTGCGTAAAGAGCTTGCGGCTGAGGTAGTGGATAGCTGGGAGGAAGCAGAGGAGAAAGAGGAACAAGAGGAACGTGAACAGAACAAGATCGCAGTCACCCTGGATGAAGATCAGCAGCCATCAGCTCCTGTGTCTGATGTACAGCATGTCGATCAGCCAGCTGAGACTGGCGATATTGCCACCGATGTGGTGGATTGAACTTTCAAGGTCAATTGATAGCATCATGACTCATGATTATGAGAAAAGCCAACATGTTTGTATGATATCCGGGTAACATTGAGGACCTCGGGGGTGCTGGCCTGCATCTCGGTCTAAAATTCCTATTTTTTTCATTGCCATTCTTTTCAAAAATGGAACCCAATTTAGAAGATATTTTTCTCAGCATCCTCCTACGGATAAAAAGTCCAACTACACCGAAACATTGGTCACGGTCATGGTACTTCCTATTCCAGCCTGCTGCACATGTTTCTGCAATGTGATTCAAAGGGTGACACAGACATACGCAGACTACGATAATGATTGACTAGAGTATGCGTTCTTCAATGAAGACTATGTCATCTGGATCTGCTTTAAGATCAATTTTGCCACTGTTTGTCATAGATCGATGATTACCTTTTTGCCAAAATAGGCAGTGCATCATCAACCCGTATATCATGTGTTACCCTCACCTCAAGCCAGTGTGAAAGCCAGGCATTTATTAAATGGCGAATGCCGATAAGTACTTGAGTAATCCTTCACACAGAACTAGATCGCCTTGACCTCCAATTCTACCAACCAACATGTCTTCCAGCCAAGAACCAGACTCTATCAAGTCAGACGCCAAAATCCTCCTACTGCATGGTAAGAAAGCACCCTTCAACACCATCGTATACCCAACTAACCATCTTAAGACACGGTCAATCAGGACAATCTATCCCCTGCAAAACTCACTTCCTACAAGCCCCTCTAACGCAAGCAATCCAGAATGCCCTACGACACAACCCAGCACAGGGAGAAGTAGACACTGTCAACATCTACTCCCATGTTCCCGGCCAACCCAGATCATCCACGCGATGAGATCAACACAGCCTGGGCCTGGGGACATGGCGATCCGGAAACAGAACAACTCTCAGGATACGGCGAAACGATTCGCCATCTCCTGACCGTCCTTGAACGATATGGTCCCTTTATTGGAATCAAAGGTTTCTCAACTGGCGCTGCTCTCGCCGCTGTTCTTAGTTCCATGCTGGAAAAGAGGGAGACTTATTGTGAGGTTCCATTTCAGGTACGCCAAATGCACTGGTTTTTGTTAAGAATTTTCTCACTATTAGCAGATAACAATCCTCCGTTCGGGTTTGCCGTGTGTTTTAGTGGTTTTCGATTCGAACATGAGGTTTATGACCCGATTTACAGTCAGAGGATTGAGACACCTATTCTTCATGTTGTGAGTAATTTGGATACGATGATTGAGCCGGCTATGACGAAGCGGTTGGCTGGTTCTTGTGGTAGTGCGTCGATTTATCAATTTTCTGGAGGCCATCATATTCCTCGCTCTGCTGACTCTGTGCGAACTTTGAGGGAGTTTGTGAAGCAGGCTTTGAGTGGTAGGATAGGTGATTCTGGCTCTGGGTCAGAGGATGAGATTTATAAGACTATCGAGTACTGTCTTTCCTTTGCCTTTCGATCGTGGACAGCTGATATACTTTCCAAGGTTATTTTATAGACATTTTTTCGGGTTCTACTGCCTATCAATTGATCCGAGTCATAGGAATCCGACGCAAACTTCTTTATGACTCCATTGGATCTTAACGAAATTGTAAATACATGTATCCATCTTTGCATCTCATTCATAGCCTTCAATATACCTTCTAGCATTGACCAGAATCCTCCCCAGGCATAACTTTCACAAACATCAAACACCCATCTCGAGAAGCCCGATAAGGCCCGTGTAACATGCCCGGTTGGCGATACGCATATGCCCCAACGCCCCATGCCTGATCCAACGAAAGATCCTCCAGCCCGCCCTGCAGGAAGCACACCTCTTCAATGAAGGTGTGTGTGATAGGTTCATTGGTTGTCGTGGTATTTGGTTCCCACCATTGTAGCACAGATTTACAATGTCCATTCCCGTTTAGAAGTACTTCCCAGATCCCTAGACCAATGGATTTCCATGGGTTTGATGACTGGGGCGTGTCTGCTTGCGGTAGGGGTGGTGGGGTTGTGAATTCTTTTTGGACAAAGGTCATTTCAAAATTTTTAGGTATCAGATTTCCTTTGCAACGACTTGACTTTGCTTAGTTGTAGCTATTACTCGCCGAGATCCTCAACTTGTAGAACTGAGTGCGTCTTATAACAACTAAATTAGGTTAGATCATAATTGATTAGTAAGCAACAAGAGATCATTTGTTGAACAGCCTGATTCGCTCACGGACTGTTCATAACCGTTGAAATATCTAGTTGGAGTTAATAGGCATCATCTCTCGCAGCTGGAAGTTATATGAAGGCGGGTAAGTTTGTAGATTGTGTATTCCCATTTGATGTACATAATAACAAGGCCGAAAACTAAAAACAGGCCTGCTCTAGCGTCCGATTAGGATCCCACGCAAGATGGCGATAATAACAAGAAAGAACATTAACATATAAACAACCTCGGAGGGTCTAGATCACGCAAGTCATTCAAATCAGGCAAGAACAGAACAGCAGTACAAATGTCAAGAAGGGTAGGTTGGTTAGTGAACAGAGTGGGTCCATTAGACTTGACGCGTAAGGCCGCATGGATAATGGGACCCACGAGACGGGCTAATCGGCCGCCGGGACCTGTCAAGTCGGGAGATGGGACAAATACAAAAGAGGCTCGTGTCCTTTCATCATTAGAGTGGGTATCATGGTATTTAGTTAGATGAAAACAGGCGAAGCGGACGATGGCGTTGTGGGGGTCATTGATCCAATGTTTGGATGGTGCTCGTTTCGCATAAGTGTTTACTTTTCCATAACTTCTTCGGTAATGAAGTCATGGATGTGCTCAAAGTAGCCCGGCTCGGCCACCGAGTCATTGTGAGCTCCGTTTGGCAAAGTGCGCCAGACCTTGGTCTCTGACTTGCAGAGTGCGAATAATCCAGTCATATGGGAAGGCCTGTAGGTTGTTAGACTTGGCATTATCAGTTGCGCTCGAGCTTAACTTACGGCACAAGTTCATCTTTAAGTCCACTCATGAAAAGAATTGGAATCTTGGCAATCTTAGGCAGCCAGTCCTCACTTTGCCAGGTCTGGTGACAGAAGCGTGCAAGGTACCGCGCTGGAGGCATAATACTAGAAGTTTATCAGCGCTGATCTCTTGTGAAGCGGCCGCCAAGGGAAGCAAACTTACGAGGGAATTAGCTTTCGGATACTGAGGAAAGTGTTCTCCAAAATTAGCCCTGCAATATCACCCTGGTCTTGGTTGGTAGCGACGAGGTTGATGGCAACAGAGCCACCCAAGCTCTGTCCATAGATGACCAGCTTTGTGTCTCTCGTTTCCGGGCGCTGTCGCAAGTAGTCCAAGCCAGTCTGAGCATCAATCTTCAGGCCCACTTCGTCCGGTGTGCCAGTGGACTTTCCGTATCCCCGGTATTCAAGCATAAAGACATTGCACTGCAGCGTATCCTGGATTGCTTTGGCGATGGGGACACGGTGGCCAATATTTCCTGCATTTCCATGAAACATCATCACCGTAAGATTGCGCTTGAAGCGCCCCTCGGACTGTCGCAGGAATAGAGCATGAAGGGATTCTCCATCGGGTGTCGGGATTTGAAGTTCTTCGAAATTGGTGATGCCAAATTGACGGGGACTCGGCACATTGGTTCGCGCATCAACGGGGACATTGCGAGGATAGACCACTTCACTGGAATCGGGTTAGTCTCTAGAGCTTCGAGTCGAGGTTGAGGGGAGCTTACTTTTGCTTAAAATACAGGACTCCACTTGCGACCACAGCTAGGCCAGAGGATGCCAGTACTGGCAAACGAAGAAACTGCACTGCGTTGTTGGCCATGCTGCTTATGCTCCACGATGGAGGTGGAGGAGGTGATTGTGACATTGCCAGGGCAAAGAGTTGGAAATGGACAGAAATAAAGAGCCTAGTTGGGAAGACAGGAAGATATAACGCTAAAAGAAAGGTGTACAAGACAAATCCACAAGATCAAGGGCACATTTGGGAGGTTTAGGGGAGTTGTTGTCTTGCGGGGGGCTGGCGATAAAGGGAAACCCTATCAGCGTTGGCGCTTTCTCCTCACCGCCCGAGCTGGACGCGTTGAGCTTCTGCCTTCTTACAGCTCCAATGATAGAGCATCATCCTGTTTCTACCCAATCTCCAACTCCCCCATTCCTCCTTGTTCCTTGCTACATTTCCTCTCTCAATACTGCTTTATTCATATCTGACCGATCAAAATGGTTCATCAACACGGCGTCACTGGCATGCTGGGCGAAGGTGAGCTGAGCTATCGTCATCGACCGGTGGAGGAGCTAACACCCATCCAGATGGCATCCACGTTGACATGAACCACCTGAAGAGTGGCGAGGTTAAGTAAGTGCAATGATGATGAGCTGTCTTGCTTCCCCTTTGAAGACAAACAAAAGCTGAACGTTCACCTTTTCTAGCCTTGGAACCTCGATGTGAGTCGAAGCTTACCCTCATTCCCCCCCACGATCATCGGTTTTTAACGATCCAATAGCATGGCAATCAACTTCAAGGACGGTGTGATTCTTGGTGCCGACAGCCGGACAACCACTGGTGCTTACATTGCCAACCGAGTCACGGACAAATTGACACAGGTGCACGACACTATCTGGTGCTGCCGATCGGGTTCAGCTGCCGACACCCAAGCTGTTGCGGATATTGTCTCCTACCATCTGAACATGTACGGCGTTGTCAACAATGAGGCTCCCAGCACCCAGGTGGCTGCATCGCTCTTCCAGGAATTGTGCTATGAGAACAAGGACGCATTGAGGTGAGTAGGGGAGTTGAGGCATAGAAGCGAGCAGGAACTGATTCCCATCATAGTGCGGGTATCATCATTGCCGGATATGATCCACGACACGGTGGTCAGGTGTACTCGATACCGCTGGGAGGATCTCTACACAAGCAGTCGTTCGCGATCGGAGGATCAGGCTCCACCTACATCTATGGTTACACCGATGCGCACTGGCGGGAACAGATGACGGAGGAAGAGGGTATTGACTTTGTGCGAAACTCCCTGCAAGAGGCGATCAAGTGGGATGGTAGCTCAGGTGGTGTTATTCGACTGGTGGTCTTGACTAAGAAGGGTGCAGTGCGACACCTTTACTTGCCGGACAACGGCTACACTGGACCTGGAGTGACAAATTAAATCTGTACTAATAGCATGCGTTGGTCGTCTGAATGCGAATGGATTATGATCACCTCGATCAACCTGATTTTTTACCTGTCAGATGTTTAGGCTTTAATCATCTGTCATATTGATGAACTGGGTTCCAAGATCAGGATCAGAATGGAACCAACCGATGAGTCTCGGCAGTTCTGACCTTCTAGGATGAGTCTTATGTACTTCTCTCAACCCTCTTGAGGATTACATCATAGTTCAGATTGGGTCGGTATAGGGGATATGCATTATGGATATTTATGGACGCATATCGATGCAGGTCTATAAGGATAGACATGTTCAATCAAGGAAAAATAGAAGTGTTATATCACATACATCACATATATAGAAAGTTTGACATAGATCAAAGTCAATTGATTACCATCATGGATGACCACGGGCGCGTAGAATGGATTGTCATTCGTCCGATATAACTCATCCACACCGTCTAATGGAATGAAATGATAAGACTTATCCCTTGTTATACTGTCAAGACTTGATTTCGTATTCCTTATTTCTTATTTCTTATATTCCTTCTCATCCATCTTCAATATTGAATGTTAGTTTAGTTCTTTGAATTGCTTGTAATTTCCCTGATTTGATCCTTGATTTTGATTCAAGTTGGAACAAGAATTCTTGGAAACGTTCATCTTTAGTCTCCATCCCGGTTCATCTCCACTTGACTTGGAACCAGTTTCTACTGATTTCATCCTTCATCCTGGGTTTTCTCTTCTCTACGCTGCAAGTGGTCTGTTCTGCCTACTTCTTCCTTATGACAATGGCGTTGATCGGCACTCCTTGATTTCCAAACCTTCCATTCGTTCTGGCCCTTCAAACTCGGGGCCTTCGGACCCTTCGTCATCGAAGTGTAGGCTTAACCACAGTTCTAACCCCTCTTTTTTTATCCTTTCATTCCAGGTTATTATTTCTTCTCTCGTTTGACCCATCTAACCACTGACCTGATTTGATCGCAGATCAAAGGTTATGGGATCCATCGTCGCAAACCACGTGTCGAATAAGATCGACAACATGTTCGGAGGCAACTCTGAGGTTTACTCGAGCACGTTCGAGGGCCGCTCTAGATCGATCTCCTCCAACACCCCCACCACCGCCCCGCTAGACTCTGCTCGGCTTCCCGCGCATTCAAACGACATCTCCTCCTACTCCCAACCCTCCCACTCCCACAAGGACCTGTCCCATCCTTCGCCATCCATGACCTCCTCCAACTATGCCTTTCCGACCGATCACCCTTCTCACTCCAACACGCAGACCCCTATTGGCCATGTTGACAACCCGATGATGGCTGCACCGCCTGCACCACCGGCCTATACCCGGTCTCCAGACTCCCCGCGCCTGCAGCCGACCTTTCGAACGATGCAGTCGGTCCCGGGGTCGGAGGCCAACTCCCCTAGCCGCATCCGCGTCCGAAGCTTGTCGCACATCCAGAGCCTAGCCAGTGAAGAATTCCTGGCCCCACCCCCACGATCACACGCGGCTGGACTTGGCTCGCCACAGCGACAATTCGAAATCAGTTCGATGCCAGTGGGCGACGTGATCGAAATGGTAGCCGGCTTGCTCACCAAGATCACTACGACCAACGATTTGCACCACGAACATACACATCGCCACATTCCTCCGCCAGAGGGGACCAGCAACCTCAGTCCACAAGCCACCAGTGTCCTAGCATTTCACGGAAAGAATGTCCCCAGCATCACCATCCTCAGTTACCTCACCCGCATTCACAAATACTGCCCTACGACCTACGAGGTCTTTCTCAGCCTGCTGGTCTACTTTGACCGCATGACCGATCTGGTCAATCGGGGACAGGTCCAGCCACAACACCATTGGGAACCGACCGTGGACGAATCGACTGAATCTTCTCCTGATCCAATGGACACCTCGACAGATCGGCAGCCACAGGATCACGACTCCTCAATAGCCACTCCACCCTCCTCCGCACCCATGACTGCACAAGAGCCAAAGAGCCCCAACACATCGATCTCCCCGGGCCTGTACCCTCAGATGGACGAAGAGAGCCTGTCTCAATATTTTGTGGTTGATAGCTTTAATATCCACCGGCTGGTCATCGCGGGCGTGACTTGTGCAAGTAAATTCTTCTCTGATGTCTTCTACACCAACTCTCGATATGCAAAGGTATGTGGCGTACCCCACCATCACATGAATTTCTTCGCTGACCATTCTGAATCAGGTTGGTGGTCTCCCACTTGTGGAGCTCAACCATCTAGAACTCCAATTTCTTCTGCTCAACGATTTCCGTCTCGCCATCACGGTTGAAGAGCTCGAGGCTTACGGGACCATGCTGGTCGAGTTCTACGCCCGTGAGATCGTCTCACAACAGCAAACATCAGTCCCCCGACCCATTCCGGGCTCGGGTTCTGGCTCTCCTACCGACGCCATGTACATGCGGACTCGCGACAAGCATCGCGACCCTGCTCAATTCGCCCAGACCCCAACCCCCCCTTAAGTGATCTCTGGCAATGTGTACAGCATCCCTTCCTATATCGCTTGTCCACACACCTCACCTCACCTCAACACGCTGAGCGTTCGCTAATGGCTCGATGGTGATGGTTCCTAACGCAAGCTTACCAATCCTGATTCTCCTCGATTTGGCGCCACATACCCTGTCTTCCTTCTCACATTCTGTTGGGTTGTTGCCCGAATTTATAAGCCATGAACTGTATAGATTTTGATTGTCAGCCAGCTCAGCTGATCGGGTTTCTTCCTTCCATGCTATTCCCCCGTCTGCACCTCATACATTTACACCTAGGTCTTACGTTCTGATTTTCTGCGTGGGACTATGTGCTTCTTGATCGCGCTCCCTTTCTCTTTTTTGATTGTCTACCATAGTTGGGTGCTCAGGCGTTTTTACATTAAGTTGAGGGACTTTGGGGGCTACTAGGGCTTTGTTAGTCTCATCCATGCGCTCTTTCCATCGGAATTTCTGTTCTTGTATTCAGTAATCTGCTCGGGGCCCGACCTACCCAACGCTTGATGACCATTACTTGAATATTTGCGCCAGTACTCGAGGCCTTATAGTAGCATTATCTATTTCCAGTACGTCCAGTATACACAATCCTAGAATTTCCTTAAATAGTAGTCCAGATCGGAATGTAATCATATCCACAACCTCCCAGATCGACATCCACGCTAGCATTCCAAGCAAGCACCAAGGTGCTAAAATCTAATCTCGGCCCGAACCGGACAAAAGTACCGTATGTCAAATTTTTCACATCCCTGCATGCCGACCTGCAGCACGATTATAAGTCGAGCGCCCTGGCACACATCTTCCGAGTCTGTGGTACATATACATGTACGTGGTACCTAAATTATGCAGCCGAAATTGAGGCTCTGCCTTATTCTAGGAACCCGAAGAGATTATTTGTGTGATTGTAAGCTTGGTCATGTGCCGTGTGCCGTTTGTCTCCTTCATGTTACCAATCTTTGGAGAGTGCTCTCAGCTTTAAGACTAGGATCTTATGTGGTTGCAAATACCGAACGGCATGAATTGCATTCTGGTCAGCTTTGATGCTTGCTATTCTTGAAGGAAGCCCGGGTGCCCTGAGCATGAACAGACACAATTTTGTCACCAGTTGATATTAGGGCCTTTTTGATTAGCTATAATTAGCTATTGTATATTAATCTTTCCTGGAGAAAAGTGTGAGATCAAGCTTAATATCAGCATCGCCAGCTGACGCAGATATTCTCGAATTGTCTTGTCGAGAATTCGACCTTATCTCTTCTCTTGTTTTAGCTTTGAATAAATAAAGTAAAGCAATGACTATATTGGCATGAGAACCTAGTCAAGCTAATAAGATATTAAAGAATATTGCAGCTGCAATGCCCGCATTCCGTGCTGTCAATCCATCCTGAAATAAAATGCAAAAGTATCGACAGCAGTCAGATCATGCATTTTCGAGGTAGCGATTCATGCACAGCTGTCTCGCTACTTAATATTGAACACTTGAGCCCCTGATCCTATGTTGAATTACTTTTTTATCTAGGTAATCTTTCTCATACTTCTCCACATCTTTCCGGCATGAAAGAATCTTAAGAAGCTCTGCATATGAGAGCTTGAACCGCGGCCCTATTGTCTAGAACTTTAACCTTTGATTATGCCAGATGAGGCAATGAACTTGGTGCACCAGGATTTGATCGCAAATTACCCGTGGACTTGGATAATTATTCCCTTTCTCGTGTGCATTATGTCATCAGCTGTGCGTTAGCCCTAGGCGTTCCTAGTCTTGTCCTCTGCTCGCTTAGCTCTCTGTGTACAATTAATAATCCACAGTCGTATGTATAATTAGAAACCCATCTAATGTGCATGGTTTCTGACAAGTATTTTAATTGGACGAAATGTCTGGGACTGCGGCATAAGTCCTTTGATCATGGAACATGGTTCAAAGATGCCCTGGATAATTCCGATATTTGAGCCGAACATCAATTGATACATTTCAATGGTCCTGTGCCTCATGCAGCCTAATTTTCGGTGACTATCCTGCGAACATTCTAATGGTGATGTCATAGTCACTTTGACTCGATGAATTGAGTCAAATATTGAGCCAGATTTCGATATCATGCACGGGTGTTGATCGTGGTTTTAAAAAGGCTACGCCACAACAGTTGGCTCCACAAAGTATCCACGATTCAATGTTTGGAGGTCAAGAGGTGAAGCAAATGTAAACTCATTTCCGTTGCTAAAAATAGGGCTCGTGCACAGACCACAACCTTATCTGATCGTATAACCAGATATCCACCATTACGATTTTTTCAACCCACTGCAAGTGTTAGCTTATGTTCAATTGCATGAGCCAGATTAGCAACAGAGAATTTACATGGTAATGAGCCGTAGCTCACCACCATCCATCCCAATCGTGCGGCCTCACGTAAAATGTCAATCGCCATTTTCTTCGCTGTCGTTCGGTTCGTTCGCCAGCTATAGGTGTTAGCCTCTGCTTGAATCTATGAGCCGTAGCTCGCCACCATCCACCCCAAGTGTGCGGCCTCACAGAAATCGTCTTCGTCGTCGTCGTCGTCGTCGTCCTCATCGCTCGGTGCGGTCTGCCGCTGCAATGTGCTCAATTACATGAGCCAGAGTAGCAACAGGGTACTTACATGGTCGTGAGCCGTAGCTCGCCACCATCCAACTCAATCGTGCGGCCTCACAAAATGGCCGTCGCCATTTATTCGTAGTCGGTTCGTCGGTTTGTCGTCGGTCGTCCATGGGCTGTCGAAATGGAAAAGGGGGAAAGGGAAACGAAATATCGTGGGGCAAGAAAAGAAATGGGAAGAAACAGTAAAAGAAAAGAGAAGAGACAGTTGGAGGACAGAAAGGGAAAGGAAATGAGAAGAGACCGTGAGGGGGAAAAAAGGAAATGAGAAGAACAGTGCAAAAGAAAAAGGAGCGGACAGTACAGACAGTAGAAGAACAAAAAGGAAAAGAAAACGAGAAGAGACCGTGAAGGTATACAAGGTATACAAAAGAACCCAAGGAAGATACAATCGAACAGAAAGGAAAGGACAGTGGGCATCTAAAAAAGGAGGGTAACCCCCATGAATCCAGAACCGCGAACACAGACTGCAAGAAGAGCAAAGACAGTGGGATACAAAAACAGTGAATGTGGGAGGGATACAATGAGCTTGTGATACAGGAAAAGGAGTGTGGGGACGTCGTTCGAAAAGAATGGCGAATGACAGTCGAATAGTCAGAAAAGACAGTCGGGCAGTCTATGGAACCAGCCAAGTCAAACAGGCAGACCCCAGGAAGCAACAGTGCACATGAACGGCCAGAATAGAACGCCGGCATGCCAAAAAACACCAGAAAAATCCAGCGAATATCCGACACCTAAAGAAAAGGCGATTCAGGCGATTCAATATGGTAAGTACTCGTCGTTCTCATCGTCTTGGCTGTCCTCTTGAAGTTCGACCACGCACCAATGGCAAGCACTGTCGCCAGCACATTGCCCGTCGAGGTGAGCATCCCAGGTTGACAGACGAGAACTGTACTTGGGAGCCAAAACGCACACTGCGTCGTGCGAAAAGTCGTTGGGAAGTGGTAGGTTGAGGCCACAGTTGATGCATCGCCAGGTACCAGGCGTAGCGTCATCGGAACAAGGGCTGTGGACAAAATCCTCCTCAAACAGAGGGATGCGATCCTCTTCCAAACGAGAGCTTCGGACGAAATCTTCCATCAAATCAGAGCTGTGGACAGTCATCTGTTCCAGTCGCGAGCTATCGACCCACTCGCTGTCGGAAACAGGGCTGCGGACAAACTCCTCAGATGAAACGGGGCTATGAACGAACCCATCCTCAGAGTCCGAGCTTTGCAGCTCTTCCTCAGAATCAGAGCAGTGGACAGTCAACTCTTCCAAGTGCGAGTAAACGGGCGACTCGGAAATAGGGCTGCGGACAAACTCCTCTTCGGATATCGGGCTATGAACAAACTCCTCACTCGAGACAGGGCTGTAAACAGACTCAGACTCAGAACAAGGGCTGCCGTACACAAACTCCAACTCATTCCAGAACTTAGTCTCCGATTCGGTATCATGCGGGCGGGAATCCACAACAAGGGATGCTTCCTTGACCCCACGAAGATCAAGCTTCGCAAAAGTCGTGCAATCAACGATATCTGTCGAGACTGGGTCGGACCTGGGTGGCGCAAAGCTCAATGCAGACTCGATTGGGCGTCCCCACACGGGTGTAGCAGCAGCAAAGTGCTCCAAATCATCGACACCAACTGGGATTGTTTCCCCTGACACAACGGAAGGACATTGACGAGCCGGTCGTGCTTCTGTTCGCTCTACCAGGGAGGCAACGGGGAGCTGAGAAACGGAACTAACAATGGGGAGTGAAGTAGTGGTCTTGACTGCGGGAGAGCGGCCGGACCGGAAGGCCTGATGATCCTTCCAAGAAATCCAGGATTCGAGCAGCACTAGCCGACAAGACAGGTCGGGGGCTGACGATCGGGGGGGCGGAGTCGTCAAAGACGTGCTCCGGCTCAATCCAGCGAGAGACGACCATGCTGGTCACACTACCAAATGAAACGAACTTCTTCGGTCGAGCTTCAATCGCCGTCGAATGTGGCAGCTCGCGCTGTTTGATCCACGGACGAGATCTAGACTCACGGAGTTTCCTTCGCTCAACCATGGAAACAGGGAGCGTTGAAGAAACTAAGCTTGTAACCGTTCGAGCAGCTGGGACGAATGTGCGAGGGCGTGCCTGGATGGTACGGATTGGAAGGCATGATCCTTCTAATAGATCCACGGGATCGACAGGCAGTCGTGAGGGGCGCGCAAGATAGGCACCTGCGGTGCGGATTGGAAGGCGAGATCCTTTCAAGAGTTCCGCAAATTGAATACCGGTAGCGGCCTTTACAGGACGGGTGATGGCGATCGGCAGGTAGGAGGTATAAATCGGATTAATCCAGCGCGAGACCTCATGCACAGTGACATCTCCAAATGACACATGCTTGGTCGGTGGGGGGGCCGTTGCTGATTCAGGCACAACAGGAGGGCTTTGAACCACGGTCGGCGGTACAACGTGCTTTCGCTGTTGCAACCACGGACGAGACCGGGACTGTCGCTTTTCTCTTCGCTCTACCAGGGAAGCAACGGGGAGCTGAGAAACTGAACGGGCAATAGCAGTAGCAGCGGGCGAGACTGCAGGGCGGATCGGAAGTCTATCTTCCACGAGATCCAGAATTCGTACACCAACTTGCGACGTGACGGGTCGGGCGGTGACGATGGGGTGTCGAGTGACATGAGACGGAAGACGTGCCGTGCGGAGCTAGAGGCGAGACCCTTCCAGAAGATCCACTTGACGAGCACCAGACTCTACCGTAACCATACGGGAGTTGGCGAGAGGCAGTCGACTGAACCGTGTCAAAGACGGAGGTGTGGGATGACACACAGGACGCTCCAAAGAGGACAACGTCCTGCATGCCATGGCGGGGGTGCAAGGGCGAACCATTTGCGCGAGGGGGACCAGACGTCGGAAAAGCAAGAGGAAGCAAGAGGCAAGAAGCTCGAAATTCCGAAAAAAGAAGAAAAAAAAGCGGCCTGTGATGTGGGAGATCAGAGGTACACTGGGAGGAAGAGGAAGAGGAGAAATGGGCGGAAAGATGGGAGCTTTTATGGTAGAGGGAGAGCATGATGTGAGGAAGGAGTGCAGGGGAAGTAAACAAATGATTTGAAGCAAGAGACGTTGATATAAGGAAAGAGCATCTAGAAAGTCAACTCATGAGTGGCTAAGAGAAGGATCAGAGTTCGGGTTAGGGTTTGGGTCAGGGTTCGGGTCAGCTGTAGATCAAAAGTAGAACGAGTCACAATAAGATTCAGAGATCAGTTTGATATTGATATGAGGAAAGAGCATATAGAATGTCGACAAATGAGTGGCTAAGAGGGAAGTTAGGGTTCGGGTCGGAGTTCAGATCAGACTTTAGCAGATCAGAGTTCAGCAGATCAGAGTTGATATCAGAGTTCACTCACCTTTTACTCTTTTTGGAATTCGGAGTAGAGTTCCTGGTTCAGTTCGACGTTGATATAAGGAAAGAGCTTCTAGAACGTCAACACAAGACTGGTCAAGAGAAGAATCAGATTTCACATCACAGTTTGGATCGGATTTTGGTTCAGAGTAAGGCTCCGGGTTCATTTTGGCGTGGATGTAAGGAAAGGACTCATAGAAGGCCAACACATAAATGGCTTCATCAGAGCTCGGATAACCTTTCAGGATAGAACTTGGATCGGTGTATGGTTCTGAGTCTGTTTAACTGCACCCTTTTGGCTTGTAACAGTCAATTTCAGGGCACAGTTTGATATTGATAGAGGAGAGCATACAGAACGTCAACACATGGATAGCTGAGAGGAACATCAGAGTTCGGTTTACAGTTCATGACAGAGTTTGAATAGGAGTTTGATTCAGATTTTACTTGCCTTGGCCCTTTTGACTTTCTTCGGTCAAGTTCAGGGCTCGGTTTGATGTTGATAGAAGGAAAGAACACATAGAATGTCAACACATGAATGGCCAAAAGATGGATGTGAGTTCAGATCAGATCTTACTGGCCTTTTTGCCTCCCAAATCTTCAGCATTCAATTGATAAGATTTGATCATATTCACTCACCTTCGAACCCGACGGAATTTTAGAGTTCAGGTTTGTTGTTTGTTGTTGTTTCCATGTACTTTTGATACTACAAGGAAATATTGTGTACCGGTGATGTTCATTCGACTGGCTGCTAGAGAACAAGGTTGATGAAAAGGCTAGTAGCAAATAATCTTGTGAGGTGAATAGTATCAGAGATCCCATTTAAACTACATTTGACCACCGATTGGCGGAGTTGATCAAAAATCATCACATCTGACGCCCATCATGAACACCGAGTTCGGATGGTGGATGCTTGACAGCTCACTGGCTCCGCGACTAGACATAGTAGTCAGCATCACAATGTTCCTTTCCGCGTATATTTTGAGAGAAAAGTTCTCACGTGTCCTTGATTGTCCCGATAACAACCCTGAACAGTTCTCGAATGGCCGCTGTTCGTTGTCTGCCGCGTTCTGTCGATCCAGCGAGCCTGGCAATCCACATTTAGCCCAAAGCCCCATGTATTTTCCAGTCAACTTACTCTCACATGCCTGCGCAGAGCAATGAGCTTTGTAGCTCAACTGCCTCAAGAAATCTTCTTGAAAACAACCCGCGCCATCTCGAAGACTTTGGGCGGAAATCGGTCCCAGACACTCCTGCATTCCCTGGACGAAAACCTTCCAGTCCCCTCCAAGTCGCCGAATCATGCCCAGTTTCTGGTGCTGTTGGTTACTGATTTCCGAGCTGGTCCTTTTGTTGAAATGTTCGAGCAGGTTGGCCCGGTCTTGGTATCCTTTTTTGCAAGACGGACACACATAGTCGAGTCTATTGCCTCGAATAATACTCCGGTACCAGGCCAGATCATGAGATGTTTTCCCAGATTCCAGTTCTTTGTCTTGTTTAGAGCCTTCGCATTGAAGGAGTAGTCGGGTCGCGTAAATTGGCTGGACAATTAAAAAGGTCATGCCTCCACCAAGGCGAGCCGGTTGCTCAATCCAAATAGATTGTGCAGGTTTCAGCACCACAGTGCCTATTTTTGGGGCTTCTTCAACTTGAAGAGCAGTGTAAATCGCGAATGGAAGATTCTGGGGCGTTTCAGCTGGTCGAGTGGTTTTTATCAGGGCATACTGAGCACACTATAGAAATTGGCCTTAGCGATGAAACTTCGGAGCATTGAGGTAGGGTAAACGTTAACCTGGACGTACTCACTCCCTCGTATATCAATCGGCGAATCGCCAATGTAGCTTGATCAATCTGACTTGTCCAAATCTGGATAATGCCATTCTCATCGGCGTCCGCAGCTTTCGCATTTCCCTGTAGCCAGGGCTCCAATCCTTTTAGAACGTCAGAAATTTTCCCATTAATTTCCTCATTCCCGAGTATCTGGAGATGTTTGAAAGAACCCATATTAGGAGCGAAATTGAGCTGCTTGAGTTTCGGTTAATGCACCCAGCCGGGGCATCCAATGTCTTGAGGCTGCTTAGCCTGGAGTCAGCCTCGTCTGGGCACGACTTATCAACATACACATCACATATGCCCGACCTATCATCATATAGAATCTCACAGCCCCCGGTTCATCTCACGTCAAAGTACATAAAGAGGCTTCAAGTCCCCACCCCCCGCCGTTCCTCGAAATACCAAATCTTGCATAATGGGCCTCGTCGGCGTCTTCTCAACCCAAGTACCATCAGCCTCACTAATGGAGGAGACATATTCAACAAGTGGACCATACGGACCAGATGTCCTTCATGAGCCAGAATATGCCAACGTGGAGTATGTTGTATAATTCGTAGATCGATCATGGTCGATCGAGAAACGACGCCCCGCAACGGCCCAAGCCACAAGCTAATTGACTTCACCGACTTTAGCATCGTCTTCGTCCACGGACTGACAAGGAATAGGGAATCAAACTGGACCAATAAACAGTCGAAAGCCTTCTGGCCCAAACAGCTTCTTCCTTGTGATCTTCCAACTGCACGAATATGGACCTTCGGCTATGATGCGGATATCATCGGTGCGCTGCGTACGGCTAGTCTGAATACCTTGCGCGACCATGGGAAATCACTTATGCATGACCTGTCGCTGGCACCGCTGAGACTGGGATCTGTGAGTGGGTTTCGTCTTAGGATGATACTAGTACGTACTTGTCTAATGTGTTGGGGATTTTTGTTTCTCTCAAAATCAACGCCCTCTCATTTTCGTTGCGCATAGTTTGGGTGGCCTCGTGACGGAACAGACACTTCTTTGCGCTCGCGAGTCACCACAACAACACCATAAGGACCTTTTTAAATTGACGTTCGCGATTGCCTTTATGGGGACTCCGCATGTTGGCTCCGCGCAGGCGAACTGGGCTACGCCTCTGACGCGGTTGGCGCGTGTTCTGCGTAGGACGAACACGGAGATTGTGCAGGTGCTCGAGCCGGGTTCTGAGATGCTTGCCAATCTTCAGCAGGGGTTTCACACGATGTTGGAGGATTGTCGAAGGAATCAAGGTAAAACGATCGAGATGTTTTGTTTCTATGAAGAGTTGGCGGTCCCAACGATTGGCAAGGTTTGTTTTGTTCGTCTTGGAATGGACAGATTTTCGAGGACCATTCCGCTATTCTGAGCGGCTGTTCGAATCGCAGTATTCATGCTGATCATATGGGGATGACCAAGTTTAGTGGAAATCGTGATCCTGGGTATGTTGCTGTGAGTGGGCAGTTATGGCTCTGGGTCAAGCTTTTGGAGGATATGGATTCTCAGGCACAGACGCAGACGCAGCAGGCAGCATCCACCAGGACAGCGCAACAGCAACGTGCTATAAACTCTGGTGGTGGCCCTATAATCTTCGGAAGTGTGACTGCAGGGCGAGATATTGTAAATTCGAACTAGCCTAGATGAGGATTTGCTGTGTATATCCAGAGATTGAGGATTCGGATCACACTATTTCAAGTGCAATTATAATTTATTGGCAAACACAAAATGCACATTCAATGCAACGCTATAGGTACATGAAGTCATCGCTGCTCACTGAATATTCGTTTTTCGTGGTTGAGGAATGAAAACAAGAAGACAATATGTATCGAAAAAGGTGAGTAGGCATCAATTCATTAACATGAAGTAAAGACGTTATTCAATCCGTGGTGGGCTCCGAGACTTCTTCCCCATGGGACTCCGACTGACACTGTTTCTATGAATTGATTAGTATAGGAGCTTCGAACCAGAATATCCACTGCTGCTTACGATCGTCGACGCTCGCCCTCTTTACGGAATCCCTCAATGATCTTCGCCATCTCCTTGCGTCCAGCGGAGGCATCAACCTTCCGTCCCCCAAGACTCATGCTAATTTTCTCTTGTGCACTAGCCATGAGCAGTCGCTTGAGCAGAAGATGCCGCATGTTTAGACAAACAAATACACCACAGTCGCTGCCGCCATCCTGCTGGGGCGAGTCGCGCAGATGCATGAAGCTGATAGGCAAGTTCAACAAAGCTCCGAACTTCCTCGTCACATCTGCAGCCTCCCACTGGTTCCCTTGGTATAGCGAGTCGTAGTGGAATGCAATGCGGTCAACGACGGAAATGAGTAGCAGCGACCAATGCGAGCCGCCTTCTGCTTGTGTGACATTGCGACAGTCGTTGATGGGGAGGAAGACGTGGGTGGCACGAGAGAAGTCAGGGAGAGCCTCGCGGAGAGTTCGAGGGTCGCGAGTTTGGGCGAGCATAAATGACATGCTAGGTCGGAGGAGTATGATGTTGGAGGATTGGTATTTTGCGAGAAATTCGTGTTCGAGGTATCTATAGTGAATCAGCTCGAGGGTCCTTGGCAAACATCGTCATTGATCCGACGTCGATAGGACTTACTCCTCCCAGAATGAAATCACCTGTAATAAATTAGCTTGATTCTCTGACTTAGTAGCTGTCGCGTTGACAACCCACATTATCCGTGAGCCAGTCGTTCTTGAGAGTCTGCATATCCTCTCTAGTCACTATATGCATGTCAATTGTCGATCAATTGTCTCACTGGGGAGCATCGTGTACATACACCGAACGTCATAGTCTGTGCGCAAAGCCTACCCGTTAGCATATCTCACAAGTCTTCGGCGCTCGCATGACGGCAAACTCACAACTCAAGAAAGCATCTTCCGGCGTCAACTGCGACAGTTAGCAGTTGAGTCGGCAAACAAGCCAAACCAAACCCACCCTATCATTAAACCTCCCCCGCATTCTCTTCTGCAAGCCGTCCAACATGGTGACAATGCTGGACTTATCTCCTCAAATCAGATCCAAGCGGAAAGTTTGCCGGCTGGACCAACGGACAGATGCGCACGATACCAGACTCAAGATGTAATTGCGGCAAATGAGGCTAGGCAGACAATTAATCTCGACTCAAATCGGAGTAAAATGCAAGGGTAGCCGCGCAAGTTTGTTTATACAGTGTAACGCTCAAGTTGCCGAGTTACAGACTCCACCAGATAATATGTACAGTCAAAATACACAGTGGCAAGCAGAGGCGTTGGCGATGGCGAAATGCCGAGTTGATTTGCATCCACCCCAGTTCTGCACTGGCGAAGTGGAGACCGGACGGATACTCCTCCGGATTGGACGGTTCGTTCGGAGAGGCAGACCGTCGTCAGCCTTATGATGGCTGAAGGTAGTATGGAGGCGCTACTGCTTGTGCACGCTTTCCGAGGGCGAACGGGAGAAAGAATAAAGCACTGGTCTCGCTGGCGAAAGTGTTCTTGGCTGCGCTTGTAGGTGATCGATCGTTCGGCTTCGGCGGGGTGGGGCAAAAGGGGAACCCAGACGGTGGTAAAGGGAACCAGGCTTGCTGGCAGCAGGTTTCGGGGGAGGTCAGTGTCAAGTTAAGAACATGACACTGGTATTGTTAGATTTCCAAGAGAACCAGGCACTGGAGGTCCGAATCCCTGCTGTCTTCGGGATGTTGGGCTGCGTCACATGTAGTCACGTGGCCAGCTGCAGGCATTTCTTAACTGGTATGCTTATCTACGTACGTCGTTACCGAAGGAGTACTATACGAAACAAGCTTTAAAAGACGAACCGGTTATAGTAAAATCATCAATAAAACAGGGGTATCTAAACACACATCCCAGCCAGGGCACCAGGGAACATTCATCACACATATGGGAGGAAAAATGATGGATAGCAAGGGGCATAAGTGTAGGTCGGAATAAAAAATTCACGCTTAAGGGCAGATCAAGATGAAAGCAATGTCATGAACCGGAAGCCATCTTGAGTCGAGTCTGGAAATCCTCAAACCCAGGCGTGAGGAAGACACGCCGAAAAAAGATCGCAAAACCGGACGTAAATAACAAATATGGCTTATTTGTCCGGGATGGAAATGCCAGCGACTATGATGACAGCTTGGCAAAATGTTTCATCCAAATCCAGCCAACTTGGCTGGTGGAGTCATCTTGGTTGCGAGCAAGCCACAATTCACCCTTCTCGCCGAAGACATCGAATATTTCACCCGCAACGTAGGTCAGGTAGGGATATCCTGCCTCGCGCCGAGCACGGTCAATATTGAACTCGTAGAGACTTGCGGCGAGGAACAATACTGTAGGTTCCTTGGGAGGGTGGGCTTCAGACTCTTGAGGAGGTTCATGCTCGATGGGTTTATCGGACATCGGCATGGCGGACGAAAACAGACCAGAGTATCTAGCTGGCTCCACTGATGAGTCGGTGCCGCTGCCGTTGGACGTGGTGGCTCGAAGAATTTCGGCCAGTAAAGGCCCGTCGATGCTGAGTCTTGGCAGACTAGGGAATGGTTCGAATGCAACCGAGTGCTGGGAGTGCTGGGAGTCTCCGGTACCAGAGGAACTGCGCATAACATGTTGTAGGCTGTGTGAGGTTTCTGGAGTCTCGGGGATCACTCGATTGGAGAAGGTCGAGTCAACACGGTGCCGGCTGGTGCTCGAAGATCTCTCCAGCCGGGGGGACTGGAAAAGCTGACTGATACCACCGAAGTCCTGGGAGACCTTGGGTGAATCTTCTGCGATCGAGCGACGATGAGTAGAGCTGTTGGCTGTGGATGTTCGACGAGTTGAGCTCATGGATGGACGACGAGGAGAGCTCATACCGCCAATTCCTGCCGATGGCGTATTGAAGTTGACGAGATTCACGGTGTCAGCCAGCAAAGCCCCGTTGCAGATACCAAGGGAAAGGACTTGTGCTTCGGAAAGGGCGTAGTCACTGCTCCAATCGCTAATCAACTTCTCCAAGGCATCTGGAAATGCGTCCACGTGAGCTCCGACTTTCTTCTGCATGACACTCCACCAGGTTATCTGGATCTGGACAAAGTTCTTGAGACAAGCTTCCATAAGCTTCGCAGTCAACGCAGAGAGTCTGGGTAACTCCTCCTTCAAGGTTTCATTCAAGGCGGTGTATTGCTCGCCCTGTTCCGCGGTTTTCCTATCGGGTTTGTCGCCACGATCAATGAGAGCTTTGTAGCGACCATAATCGATTAGACGTTTGTCTCGCTTCTTCATGACACGCTGGGGCCCTTCATACAGCTTTAGCAGCGTGACCATTGGCTGAATGACGCTGCTGCGAACTACGGCGAGATGCTCCGGCAGCGCAACTGTAACTATCTCCCGGATCGAATTTTTAAACAGGCGCCACTTGGTCTCGAAGTCCTGGTATTGTGAGGGTGACACATTGACCATGCCTTCAATGGAAAGGGCATACTCATTGAGTTGATCCATGGCACGTGTCGTTTCCCGGGTGTACATCTCGACGTCACGCATGACCACCTGTAATTGGAAGAACCCGTCATTGAAACTCTGGGCTAGGGAATCGTAGTCCTTGTCCTCCACCACGTCGGACATCCCCACTTGCTGCCGAAATTTTTCTGTGCGACGACCGAAAGCCTTAGATATGCCTGCTCTAACATCAGACTGGTTGCGTTTCCGACCCACCACCTGGCCCACGACGTCGGCACGCTTTTTCATCTCATTGATTCTTATAGAAACGTTGGTGACTTCCGTGTGGGCATTCATGAGCTGTGCATGATCTGGGTGATCAGTTGGTGTTGCAGCCAAAAGCTCATTCAGTAGAAGGGGGTACTTCAGAATTCGTTGCACTGGTTTAACCAACAACGAATCTAAGTCCCAGGCAGTGGTAAGATCTGATGCCCACTCCCGGCACTCCTTCAGCCAAATATCGACTTTCGGATTTCCCTGAAGAATCTGCAGCTTCTTGTTCGCAGAATCATAGTTCTTCAAGTATTCCGAATAGACCCTTTCCATTTGAGCCATGCTGGCGACGAATGCCTCGCCAATTCTGGTGGCGCGATCCTTCTCAAGGTCCGAGAATCCCGCATCCCCCGTCTCCTCCTCGACAGCCTGTGCGGCAGGACGGTCTGTGTTTCGTTTACTGCTCCAGCGCTGAGACTTTGGCATGACGTAAATGCTTCTTGCAGCTTGCTTGAGAGAATCTTGGAAGGACTGAGAAAATTGCACAATGTCGGCAGAGTTGCCGAAAAGGATCTTAACATCTTCCACAGAGAGATCCAAACAGGATCCTGACGTCCCCTTATAAATATCATCCACCACCTTCATATCACGACCAAATGTGTGTTCTGTATCAACAAGCTCTTTGATGACGTTACGTCGTTTTTTCAGGCGTCGCTGCTCTGGTGACGGCGACTTCTTCGACTCCATGCGCAATGGATTTTCAGCCGATGGCGCCAAGGATGTGGCAGACGAGTCTGCAGCTTGATCGGAGTGGATTGGTTCCGCATGTCGGAGTGAGTAGTCTTCACTGCTTCCTGCACTATGAGATACTGCAAGAACGTGGTTTGGCAGAGTCTGATAGCTGGGGTTCGGCTGGGGCTGACTGTGAATATTTTGGAGAGCTGCGGGAGGTCCAAGGGAAGCTTGCGAATCAACTGGAAGCTGAGTGTTAGATAGTCCAAGGCCTGTTTGGTGTTAGAAACATTCCTTTCATCTATGAAAGCAAGCTGTAGTATATCCGTACCATCATTCATGTAGTCGGGCATGTCATCGGCAGGTGTGACTTCTTCGCCCTGGGCAGCCATCTGCATCCAGTCCATAACGGACGGAGAAGCATCCTCCCAGTCACCAGGTCCCATAAGACTTGCCGCATTGGAATGTCGATGAGAGGCGAGGGAAGGATCCTGGAATCGGGGCACTACCACTGGCTCGTCTGTTAAACTATCCATCGGTGCCTCAACTCGCATGGTGGGAACTCGTATGTCTTGACGTATATTCTCTTGTTGTTGCACTGCATACTCCCTCTGTCTGGTGACAGGAGGTTGGCGAGAAGTTGGAAGGCCAGCGGAGGAGTGTGCTGGTAGGAAGCCAGGCAAGGCTCGGGCTGCGGAGAGACTATGGTCAGGAGCCCTACCTCTAGTCAATTCTTCCAGATATAGCTGTGTAACACGTCGAGAGTCCCATTTCCCTCTCTTAGCAAGACTTGGGGGTGTAGAGAAAAGGTTCGCTGTAGGTAATTGTGATGTTTGGAGCGTATCTGGGCCCATGAGTCCCAAGTCCTGGAGTGGACCGTCTTCATTTTCATCGTCTGCGAAAGACACCGGGCGTGTTGAGTCGGCCGAGCACGGCTCGGTCGGTGGCTCTTCTGTCCCGGGCTTAGGCCTGTGGAGACTCAAATCATCCCCGCTGTCTTCGTCGCATTGTTCATCACAGGTTGATTCTTGGTTTTGGACGGAAGATGACCATGAGCTCATACTCCATCTAGGGTCAGATGGACCGGTAACTGTTGACTGCTGCTGTGGCTGAGGTTGTCTGGTCTCTTGGGGATCCAGGCTGCTAGAAGATCGGAATAAGGGCGGCCCAGGAAGCATAATCTGAATCGACTCTTTGTCGTCATTATCGGACAAGCTACAGTCGGGTTCATCACATGAGTCGCTGCTGCTCGAGCTGGATTCACGGATCTGCATGATGTGATTCAGCAAAGTGCGGTGGGTTTGGGCCGCACTAGGCTTGCGTGATATAAGATGCATCTGCGGTTCTGGATCGATATGGGTATTGTCAGAGCCGGCCGAGTTTGGCCTATCCAATAGCTCACGTTGACTACCATCCGGTAGCCCAAGGGTCGGAGAATCCATTGTCGTATGAGGGTCGCTGTTTTCCGGAACTGGAGCAGAGGTATTCAGATGAAGCTGAGGTACCGTACGAGGCTCTATGCCGTCATCAACAGTGCTCTCCGCCTCTGTAACTGTAGCCATTTCGATGGGTAGTGGATGATTGCTGGCAGCCGCACTCGGTGTCGTCTGCTCGTCCTCAGGGGATGCGGGCACAATCACCCTTGTACGACGTCGAATTTCGGCTTCCTCCTCTTCTTTTCGTTCATTTTCTTGAACAGTCCGGTTGAATGCTTGCTGAATGCGCTGCCGACGAGTTGCAAAGTCCACGTTACCCAGTTCAGGTAACTGGCGTTGGCGCGGGCGCGGTTTACTACGCTCCGCGCCACGGTCGGCGACTTTTTGCAAAGACGATACCCTCTTCCCAATTTCGGGAGAGCGTGGTGACCGCGGTGAAGTTGAACCAGCAGTGGAAATGGTTTGACGAGGCCTTGAGCTGCGTAATGGCGGCGACTTTTTGGGGGGTGGAGCGGAGACGTAAGCTTGTAAGAGCTTACTTCGATCTGCTGCCGAATGACGGGTTCGGCCAACGGCCTGGTCCCGGCGGCCACGCGCTGTCATCGCAAACGAAGAGGAATCATCTTCCGTCGTGCGGGTGGGACTATTACTGCCAGATGGTTTAGGGAGCCGACTCGAACCCTTCGGAGCCAATGGAATGGAGCTTGATCGACTGCTGAATGTCGCATTCGCGGTTGGGGAAAGACTCTCCGAGCCGGAACCAGAGCTTAGGCGGTGCGAAGAGATCGGAATGCGGGATCTGGAATTTGGACTTTCGGGGGACCCGTCCCCGGTCTTCCACGGCTGCAAGGGCGCTGAAACCGCCATCTCAGGATTCCACGGGTCTGCAAGGGATTCGCTGTACGGGTTCACAAAGTCGCTTCGTGATCTGCGGTGAGTAAGACCTTTACTCCCACCAGGTTGAACCGCCTCGAGTGAATTGGCCTGCCCAAGATACCAAGCTGTTGGTGTCAAGGGTGACCGAAGAGAGCCTGGATTCGGACTTGCTATACTCCCGTCGGACCCCCGTCGTCTTAGGTGCGCTGGTATTCCAAGACCCGGATCAGCCACCTGCGTATTAAGAGACAGCAGTTCACCAAACAACGGTCGTCGCGAATACGGTTCGGGAATCCGTTGATAGAGCGGTGGTGGAATAGTTGTCAGTGGCCTCGTCGACCCTTCAGTCTGCGGTAATGATGGTAATAATGGCAATGACTCAATCTGCGTGGGGCTGCCCGCGTCAAAGATCGGAGGTAATGATTCGCGCAATTGACGAAGTCGTGAGATGGTAGAGTGTTCGGATCCGTGGTCACTGCCTGTCGGGCTCGTGGCGCGTGAAGTCGGTCGAGATGCGGTGGGAAGGGGGAGAACAGAATCAGAGGTATTGTTGAACCTGTTAACAAGGTCTCTGAATGAGGGTTGTCGGGAGCTGGTAGAGGAGCCTGCTAAAGACACATGGGCAGTGGATCCTCCTCCCAAGGTGGGCGAATCAGATACAGAGCGATAGATGGGGCGTCTAGATGCGACGCTTGCTGGCAGGGCGGACACTCTATCATTCAGGTTAGAGGGGCCTGTCACCATGCTCCTTGCTGTCACATTGCCAACGCCCGCCTCCCGTGGTGCTGACAAAGGTAGACTCTGTCGATAATAGTCGTCGGGATCGGGAGACCCACGGCCAGTCTGGTCTTGGGGCTGACCGCCGGAATGCAGGTGATTTGAGGATATTGAATTGATTGACTCAAAGCCCGATCGGCGGGAGGGAGGATACGTGGTGGTAGCCAAGGTATTGGAGGGGGAGAACGGTATGATCGGTGAGACCTCAAATGAGGAAGGGTGGGTATCGTTCACGGATTGGCTATAAGAGGGTGTCGATGATTGTCGCCCAAACGGAGACGGCTGAGGATGCCGCGGGCCAGAAGCCTGCTCGACACTGCTGCCGGACATTTTGCATGCCTTGGACCGACGTGGACTGGTGAACGGCCTTTCAGAATTTGCAGGGTGGGTTTTGGCGTGATGCGTTGTTCCGGGGGTGTGGTCGCCCAACGAGGTGTCGCAGATAAGTTGACTCAGGCTAACAAGCAATCCCGGGGTGGTGCACCCCCATTCAGCATCATACTCAAGACCCCCAAAAGATCGACCAGGGTTTTCGAGTTGCCCACGTGCAAGCTCGAGAGAAGGAAGCTTTGGGGAGGGACTCGAAGCGGTGGACGAAAAGATGCAGAAACGGGAGAGTCCCGAGTGAGCTGTGTGGAAGAGCACAAGGCGAGAGGCCGATGACGAATGAAATGGCCTAAGGAATATGAGTGGATACTGACGTCTGTTCGTCTACCAACCACAGACTCTGATAGGTTAAGTGGGGAGGGGCGGAAGCAGAGGATTGAAGTGCGGGCCAGATCGTTAGCTTCTTCTGTGTACCCGGGAAGTTATTGCAGTGTCGATCAGGTAGATTAAGAGGCGAAGAATTTTTAAGCTACAGAATTGAACAAAGCAAAGGAGGTTTTGTTTTTCTCGGAGGAAAAAAAAGGTCTGAACTGTAATAAGTTGTGGAAAACAATTGGAGAGTAAAGAAACCAAGTCTGAAACCGTGGGAGGATTCGGTGGGTTCGGGGGCCTTTGTTCATTTCCCCGTACCTATGGAGTACATCTACAGAGTAATCAGTGCATAGGTAGGTTACCTACTAAGTAGGCGCGTTTTAAAAATTTCTATGCACATTTACAAATCCTGCAATCAAGTGCTTCCAAGTATTATCTCAACTTGATTTATCCTAATATCGTATCTCGATCTCGCCCCCAATCGAGTTAGGTCAGGAACAAGATGAACTTGAATTTCTGCCCCTGCCTGAAACGTGGAACAGTGGAGACGCAATTCCTTCATAACGGCCTTTCTAGACCTTCTCGTCGCTTGGTTGAGCAATGGTAGTGTACCGTGGATCATTGTTGGCACAATTTCCGGGTTCTTGTTGATCGTTAATTGGCTTGGATCCTTTTCGGACTTAAGTGGGTCAATGGCCCCGATCTATGGCCACATTTAGCAACATTCGATCTTAGGTCAACATGAAAATGATTCATGTTTCATATATTTCAAAAACAAATAAAATGTAGATACTACCTAGGTATGGTAGTAGTTGACAATATTTGTATACCTACATAAGTTCAATGTGATATCCTTGTTGCATCTTCATAGCGGAAATGTGCTAATGTAGTGGTGAAAATGTATCTACAATATATATTCATAGCGGCTTGATCCGTGACGATTCCTCGTCAACATTTGAACCTGAAGAACGCTAAAATTCTTAGAAATTTACATGCATGACTTGATTCTCAAATAACATTAGGATTAATCACACTTGCGTAAAGGTTCAGTATGTTGCCGATTTCATCATGTAGCGTGCTATCGAATACCACCCTTACGTAGCTACCCAGTTGACATTATCGGGACTTCGGACGCGTCAAAACTCGTGTCACCAACAACAACTTTGAGGAACCGGGATGGTCCACGCAATGGCTCTGTGAAGGGAACTCTCTCTGTATCTCCATTTTAATTGTCCATGAATCATCCACCATGAGCAAAAAGAGAAAGAGACCCAGCAAGGCTAGCGGTCCCGCGTCTCAGACGAGTCTCACTGCAGCGCCCAACCGTTTCAAATCCTCCAAAGAATCGGTTGCGCGAAACATCCGCACAACGCACCCAGTGATTTCACTGTACTACCGAGAGGTTTTGACCCTGCGCCAGTACCTCTTGAATCAACTACCGGCATCCTCCAAATTGCGACGAAGGCGCATCGCATCCCTGCGATTGTCCCCCGAGCGCAGCAATGTTCAACCATTGGCAGATCTGCTAGACTTTACCCTAGTAGGCGTGTTGAAGGAGCCATCTCCGAAGATCGACTCCGACCGGCAGCGCGGGTATCGCGAGTTCACCCAGTCCCAATCACGGTCGGTCCTGGTCAGCACGGACACGGGATCGACATCCCCCCAATCCGAAGTATGAGCCTTTGAACTCGGGACGGTCTGAATTCCAAACGGCTAATGCTTGCCATTGTCTAGGTAGTCGATTTTGTGATCGGACAACTCTTCAAACAACAATCCAAACCTGTCCACATACTCACTCATGGCTTTCAGCGCTCGTCGATGGGGAATGATGACCTTGAGACCAAGATTCCCGGGATTATGATTCAGTTCTCAAATCAGAATGTTGAAACCCTTCAGAAATCCCCATGGACCGAGATTTTGGACCTGTTGGGGCAGAATGGGGATGAAATTATGATGCGACTGCTGTTTGATTGCGGCATTTTTGCTCCTATTGACGCCCAACGAGGCATCTACTACCAATTAAGCGGTATGATTCATCTCCGGCAATGATCGGGAAATTGCTCACCATTGCAGGTCAACCGCTTTCATTTCTCGAACCAGTCCAAGCATCTTGCGCGAGACCCGGTGAATCGATTTCGGAACCAAAGCCATCCGTAAAGACCAAACGCCCTGATCGCCAGGAAATACGCAGTCCCAATAGCATCACTTTCCTTCGGCGCAGCATGTTGTACAGTAGACATGCAACCTGGTCAAACGAAAAGTTGGTCGTTGGTTTAGGCAGGACCCGTAAGTTTCAAACATCTGGAGGTCTCAATCATTCCTGATCGTCTGGATAGATGTCTTCAACCGCTTCCGAGACTTGGACTCGGCCGCGCAGACAATACACGTGATGATGTACATCTTCGCACGCCAATTTGGCCTGCGCAATGTTTTTACCCCGACAGGAGATCGCAGTGAACAGTTTGTAAGCCACGGTCATGCCTTTCGCGAAGATGAAATCTTTGCTGGTGGCGGCTGTTCAAAGCTTCCCAAGCGGCTCCGCGGGCAAGCCGTAGAGCTTGCACACAGCCTTCGAGCCCGACAAGCTCGGTGCTCGTATGAAGAATTATTAAGGCATTATTGTCCTACCGAGGTATGTTATTCGGATGAGAACGCTGTGATATTCTCTAACATTCGCAGCCGAATGGACCCTGGAAATTAGGGGAGGCGTCACCCATCAAGAATCGAGTGCTGGGTGCTGAACTTGGTTCGTCTATTGATGAGAGCTTAGTCACACAATTAAAAGTCAAGACCCCGGTATGTACCAACGATCGATGCCCTGGGCCGGGTTCTCATTCCATGGAGCCTTCCAAGGCGGAGTCGGCATGCGAGAGTCGAATCCAGCAACCCAAGCTTACGCTTACCCACTATGCCACACCGGCCTCCTCGGTATCTGCCTTTTGTCGAGCTGTGCTGCTGAACTTGATACCCTCTAAATTCTTCGGTGATGGCCCAGAAGGTCTTTTCAATCGGAAGCTTATTATGAGACATGTTGATTCTTTCATCAAATTGCGCCGGTTTGAAAGTCTCAGCTTGCACGAGGTGTGCATAGGCTTGAAGGTTTGTTCCCAGTACCAAACGGTAAGAAGTTATGCTAACCCAAAATGCGCAGGTTGCCAATATTTCCTGGCTGGCCTCCCCCAAACTCCACAACTCGCACGGTGGAACAGACACCAAAATGGCAATGTCTGACTTCCAGAAACGCACGGAGATGCTCCACGATTTTGTATACTACATATTTGATTCCATTCTGCTCCCCCTCGTCCGGGCAAACTTCTACGTTACCGAGTCTCAAACCCATCGCAACCGTCTGTTCTACTTCCGTCATGATGTGTGGCAACGCTTGACAAAGCAGCCATTGGCAAAATTGAAAACGACCATCTTTGAAGAGGTCGAGCCATCTCGAGCTCAACGATTGCTCGAACGGCGATCCCTCGGAGTTGGATCGCTGCGCTTACTCCCAAAATCGACAGGCCTCCGCCCGATCCTCAATCTGCGAAAACGCGTGCTCAAGGAATCAAATTGGGGAGGAAAGAAACGAAGTTATCTTGCGGCCAGCATCAATTCCAGCCTCGCTCCGATCTCCAATATGTTGTCATACGAGCGGAAGCGACAGCCCACCAGATTGGGCTCGGCTTTACAATATGTTGGAGATATCCATCTTAAGTTGAGGGACTTCAAGAGACAATTGATTGAACAATTACCTGAACCCAAATCAAGTTCGCTCCCGAAGCTCTTTTTCGTCAAGCTTGATATCCAGGGCTGTTTTGATACCATTCCACAGAAACAACTTCTGGGCCTCATAGAGGAATTGGTATCCGAAGAGACCTATCACATTACCAAGCACGTGGAGATGAGTCCATCTGCCTTTGACGCACGAGGAAAACCTACTCGAAGGTATATTGGACGTGCTATGCCAGCGATGAAACAGCAGGCTTTGTCGGATATGGTGGCCGAACAAGGGCAGTGCCCAAAGGCCAAGACCGTGTACATCGACACAATTCAACAAAAGCTCCACGATGCCGATGATTTGCTCGGCCTTCTCAATCAACACGTGCGCAATAACCTTGTAAAAATGGGCAAACAGTATTTCCGCCAACGTAGTGGCATCCCACAAGGTTCTGTCTTGTCTAACCTGTTGTGCAACTTTTTCTACGGAGAGCTGGAACAACAGGTTTTAGGCTTCTTACGACCTGCAGACTCAGTCCTGCTACGACTTGTCGACGACTTTTTACTGGTGACAACCGATGTGGATCAAGCGATTCAGTTCTTGCAGGTCATGATCCCTGGTCAGCCATCTTACGGTGTGCTGGTAAACCCAGCCAAAAGCTTGGTAAATTTTACCGCCGCCGTAAAGGGGACTCACATCCCTCGAATAGAGGGATCATCACTCTTCCCGTATTGTGGAATTCTCATCAACACACATACGCTCGAGATGATTCGAGATCAAGATCGTCTTTTAGAGGGCGGCGATTCTGCCGCCACGTCCCTGTCCGACACATTAACAGTCGAGACCAGTCGCATACCTGGTCGTACGTTTCGTCGTAAAGTGCTCGCACCGTTCCGACTCCAGATCCACCCGATGTATCTTGATGATGAGCATAACTCCCGAAGTGTCGTGCTTGCCAACCTCCACACTAGCTTTATCACTGCCGCCATGAAGATGTACCGATACATGAAATCCCTCCGAGGCCGCAGTCACCCGGCGCCACCCATTATCATCCAAACGATCTATGATCTCATCCATCAAACCTTCAGGGTGATCCAAACACGGCGGACTTCTCATTCAACACCCTTCTCGTGTTTTGTTCAGTTGTGGCACCTGCAGTACCTGGCTGCATCTGCATTCCGGTTTGTCCTAAAGCGTAAGCAAACGCGGTATGTGGCTGTGCTTGAGTGGTTGGACAGATTAGGAAAAGAATCACGACCAAATTCGAACTTAAAAGCCGTTCGTATGCAACAGGTTGTGAGGAAAGGAATAGCGTTATTTGAACAATGGCGTTTTTAATGGGAAGTTTGAACTAGCCGCAATTCCCGAAGCTTGTCCCTGTCCTTGTTTTTTATCCAATTAGCGTTCCGTACGGTATCGGACCAATATCGAAACCGGGATCCGTGGCACAGTTAATTCTGGTCACCTACCCGACTGGTCAAACAGCTCGATCACTGGAGTTCCCAAGTCCAATTCTAGAAATTTGTGTACTCTTTTCGGTCTAAGTTTATGGAGCACTTTGAGGGGATTGTCGATACTTACCTAGTTAGGTGGCTCATAGGGGGGAATAAAGGTACCTAAACAGTACTTGCACAATACATGACTGTGACTAGTGCAGCATAAGTTCTCCCGAAGTACCCGCGTTTCCTGTTCTCGGCCAGACTGGGCGCGGCCGATTGCCTGAGGCTCCGCTTGCAATCAATCCAACTTCGTTTTCGTTCTCTTTGGCAACGCGACACTCTTTACATCTTATTCTTTTTGCTTCTTTTCTTCACTCACTCTCGTTTCTATACATTTTCTTCATTCGCTTCATTCCAAACTATCCCACCTTAACCACCCCCTTGGTGGCCCCCAATACTCACCCCGTAATCTCGGGCCTCTCCTGATTAGTTTTTATTTCCTACATTTCCACCCGTTATACCTGATCTGGTTACTATCAGCCTGCGGCTGGGCCTGCAATTTCGTTTCTTGACCCGTTGATCGATTGGTCTTGTGTTTTGATTTTCTTGTCTGGAGCCCTGCATCCTGCATCCCTCCCCTCTCCAGAAACACACCCCCGAGCCTTGCGTGCGATCTCGAATCCCTTCCGCCCTCCTCGTCGATTCTTACCTATATTGTTCCTTTGACGGCCGATGGTGTTTGTGGAGGACCAGCTTTGAGTACAATTACATGAGACCATGACCTCCGTCTGCCCGACACCCAATTCCCCGCCCGAATTATCCGGGTCCAAATCTTCCAAATCCTCCTCCTTTCGTTCCTCGCAGATCGACGGAGCTGATGGCATCTTTACCGACATCTCCAATTTTGAAGAAATCGGCCTGGAGGATGATGCGGAGCTCAAGATTGCCGATCCATCCACCCCTTATGCTCGCGGCTTGACCGGCCGGTCGCCCGCAGCTAGACTGCCCATCAAGAGCCCAGCAGCTACGACACGCGATTTGACCGCAGCACCGAAGCCGAGAAAACGAAGTCCTCTTCCCCCGATTCACAGCCAAATTAATGGAGCCATCCGCGCACCGCATTCCGGGGCTTCCCTGTCGTCACGGTCTCCTAACAGGAGGGACAGGAGGGACTCGGCAAGCACTCCCAATTCGGGCGGTTTAACCCCCTCTCAGCCCCGGAGATCACGATCAGTATCTCCATTACGACCTCCGCCCAGCCGATCCGCCTCATCTACTAGTCTCGCCCTTTCTCCGTTATCTGCACGTGCCCCCATCCAGAAGCAGACCTGGCAACCAAATCGCAAGTCTGTGAAGGACCTCGAAGAGGAGTACCATGATTCCGATGATGAGCTTCCTGATGATGCCAGTCTGTGGAACATTCCGATTTCCCCACGCCCAGCCCAAGACCGCCCCAAGTCTCGCGGCACGAGTCCTAGTGGTCGTAGTCCCGGCCCAAGGCCATTGCCGATATCCCATAGCGTTTCTGACATCCCCGCTGAAATCCCAGCGTCAAATGCCTCCAAAGCAGCTCGAATGAGGCGAGCACAGCGATCGAGCTCCGCCGGGCCTGAACGCGGCCAATTATCGCCTCGGAACCCTCGTGCGTATTCGTACAACAGTTACATGTCAGACCTGTCAGAGGAGGCCAGAATTATCACCGAAGCTTTGGAACATCACGCCGACGAAAATGGTCGTAAACGAGAGGATGCAGTGCAGAACGGCGGACCGCGTGAACCAAGCACAGAGTCACCACGAGCTTCGCGAGAAAATATCGAGCTGCCTCCGTTGCAGAAATCTAATATAATGATCGATCCTTTACCAATCAGCAAGGAGAAGGAGAAGGTTCTTTCGAGGACACGGCCAAGTTGGTTGCCACCGAAGGATCAAAAGGAAGAGAAGAAGCACTTGAAGGAGTACCAGCAGATGATGGCCCAATCAAAGGAAACCGGTAGGTTCACTTTGCATCTTGGCGTGAAGTATGCTCCTCACTAACCATATGCCAGACAAACGGAAGGCTGCGCGAGCTGCATCCGCCCAGTGCGAGAAGGATTCCACCCGAGAAGCCCTTCAAAACATCTGGGATGAATTTGTTAGCCCCAACTGGGATCAAGTGTTACGCGAGCCTCGTACCCGAGAACTTTGGTGGCGCGGAATTCCGCCTCGCAACAGAGGAGCTATCTGGAAGCGTGCTCTCGGCAATGAGTTATCTTTGACGGACGACTCGTTCACGAAAGCGCTGAAGCGAGCCAGGGATTTGAGGTCTAAGACTGAACAGGAGCCGAGTGAAAGCAACAAGCGAATGCTGGAATGCTTTGATGCCATTGAGAAGGATGTCTCACAGGCATTCCCGGATTTGAATCTCTTCCAGGAGGGCGGGCCGTTACGTGAGACCCTTGTCGATGTGTTACAGGCATATTCAATGTACCGCAGCGATGTGGGATACATTCATGGCCTTCATACTATTGCCGCTCTACTTGTTCTTCAGTTCCCGACCCCAAGCTCTGCATTTGTTGCCATGGCCAATGCTCTCAACCGTCCTCTTCCAGTCGCTTTCCTTACTTGGGACCGTGGTGCTATGGCACGGACATATACCTTGGCCTCAGAAACTCTCCGTTATAAGTTTCCTCGCCTTGCAACTCACCTTCAGGAGACACTCGGTTTGGCGGAGGAAGAGATCTGGGAACCTATTTTCCGCACCTTGCTCACCAACGGTCTCGATCTCGAGCGTGTCTCGCGCGTTTGGGATTGCTGGGTTTTCGAGGGCGACCGCATTATGATTCGGTCGGCTGTCGCTATCCTTGGCTGTCTTCAAGCCCAACTCTTCTCCTTCAACCAACCGGATGATCAGAGTCGTCTTACCGTGCGCAACATCCTGGGCTGGGGACCCCGCCATGTCGGTGCAAACAACCAGAAACCCAAAGATCGCCACAGTGCGCCTGCGGCTGCCGGCTTTGGTGGTGGTCAAATCTCGAATCCCGGCGTCGCCGATTATTGGGTATTGACTGCCGCTGGCGACGAGGATGGATTCATCGCCGCAGTAAGGGAAGCCGGAAAAGTCCGGCAACAATAGACATGGAGTTGTTTGATTTCACAGCGCATGTCATTATGCAGCATACTCTCGGTTTAGCTATTTCATGCGCCAACACTCGTTTTTGTATGCATTGGCACTCTCGTGTGTCCTGATACCTCTTACCCATATCCGTTCACTAAATACCCGTGTTTGTCATAACTTAGTTTCGTCCTTTTGGATAGCTTTGACTAATGCCAGGTGGCTTGGCCCACCTCAACACTGATTTGCCTATTGTCTATTACTTGACCGTTCTACACATTCGCTCACCACGTCTGTGCTCGTCTGCATAGGTTTTCGACCCATTTTTGTTCCATTTTCACTCCCCACTGTATTTTTACTACTATTCCTCAGATGCATCTCGTTCCTGTCAAGGTCAGTAGCGGTATACGTAGCAATCGAGGCTCTTCCAATCGTCACTGATTTTCAAAACACATCTTGGTACTTCAGTTATGATAATGTTCGGTGGTATCAGTGCAATTCGTCCTCGGATCAACTGGAACCGCTCACTTGTTGAAGAATTGGATTTAAAAGTTCTTTCTCAAGCACTTGAGTTCGAAGGTCCACGGTTCAACCTCTCAGTATTTGACCAGTCTTGACCAGTCCTACACCCGCTGCTTATCATTCCTCATCTAAGTAACCATGGCTAACTTTTGTTATTTTCAGAAAGCACAGATGTAAAGAACTTCTTTCTTCCCATTTGCAAAAGCAACTCACTTCTATGGTAAACCAATGCATACTCTTCTTTCTTCTGGGTATGCATCTTTTTCAACATGAACAGTAGTGATGTTGACCTACATCTAAAAGCAAGAAAAGAAACAGGCAATTGACCAATCGAGGACAAAATTCCAACCCATGTCCTCGAATAAATGAAAGAACAAATCCAATACTTCCGATTCCATTTCTTCTCCATTGTTCACGCACTCCCTGTACTTTTCAACTCAAGAAATTATCAGAAGGGCTATTGACCCAAATTCAAATCCCAGACTCAAGGGATCTCATCCAGATCTCACTCTCCATTCCATGGTTGGCGCACTGTGGGAATGGATCTTGTAGCGTTTAGTCTCTCTAGACTTATCGAGATATCAGGGTCTTCAATCTATGCTCTTTGCATGTGTGAGCATCTTGTCTTATCTGCGGGAATATGATCTATGTATCTAAATGTCCTAGATACTGTGTTCCTTTGGTAACACCGAACTTTTGAATCCATCATAAACCCCATGGGGACATGTGCCTAAGGTGCCCAGTAGCAGACCAACACTAGCTGAAGGGTCTGCATTTGCCAAGCTGAGGCTCTTTCGGCATGACTCAGCGGAATGATATTTGGATGGAAAGGAGATTGATTCAGTCTTCACCTGTTAACTCCCTATCAAAAAAGCCATATCCAACATGGGGTCTCTTCAAATTTCATACATTTCCGAGCCATTTGCCATTCTGACGGATAGGCTTATCCTACTCCCCACCCCGATCGCGGTATCCTCAGCCACCTACCGCAAGCTATACGCAACACTACACGCCGACGCAAGCTTCTGTCAAATGGGCTTTGGAAACAGGTTTCCTGTTAAGAATTGGAGTGACGATGAAACTCGTAATATGATCGAGACGCGCGATATCGCACTATCGTGGACGAAGTTCGACCTGGGAGACTTCGCTGTGGGGTTGCGGGAGTGTCAGTTCAACGATAAGAGCCCACATGAGAGGAAGTCTCCACCCTCGGTGAAGCTGATCAAAGGAAGCGAGTTGGAGAAACTGACGGGGATTGATCTGGCACATCTGGAAGAGATTCATTGGGTTGGCTATGCTGGTATCCGCGATGCGACGACGACTTCACTCCTGCGAGTACGAGAAGCCGGAGACCCCGCTTTTCCGCCTTGGCAGGAGATGGTTGAGGTGCGGTATGGCGTCTCACCAGAATGCTGGGGCACAGGTATTGCTAAGGAAGCAATGGAAGCGGTCATTCGGTGGGCAGTTGATGAAAGGGGAGTAAGGAGGTTTATTGCTGAGACGGAGAGAGAAAATCAGCGAAGTGGGAGAGTGCTGCAGAAGCTTGGATTCAACCTGAGTGGGACAAATTACTTCAAAGAACCATTGGAAATTGAATGGGAATTGGTTGTGTAGTATGAATGAGATATCTTGCAAGTAACATGAAGTCGTGTTCAAGTTTCAAGTCCAAAACAGAAGCAAATTCAAACATTTAATGCGGCGGCATCACTTTCCTCGTATGGATGTTCCTTCTCCACTGAAACGATCAAGGCCTCATGTGCAGGGCTACGGGGCTTGATATCATATTTCCATGCAACCGGGTGGCTGATCACACCGGGTTGGAATTCTGCCCTGACGTCCACCTCCTTACCATTCTCAATGGCTTGACTGATGTTCAAGACCGCTAGCGACCGAGAAACAGTCAGATACACCGTGTTATCAGCCAAGAGTTTACCCGGGCATGCACGACGTCCAAATCCGAACACAACACCGCGGGAATCCATTTCAGGCTCACGGCCATCCATACCCAGGAAGCGTTCGGGGTTGAAAGTCATCGGGTCACGATACACCTCGGGGTCATGCGTCAGGGCCCTGTTCTGTGTCAGTAATTCTGCCCGATGATAGCTCAGGGTGGAATTTACCAGATATTGGGCATGATCAAAGATCCCTTGGGAATGTGATAACCCTCGTACATGTCATCCTCCACAGACATGTGCGGAATGCCCATCGGGGCGACGGGATGCCATCGCAATGTCTCCTTTACAACAGCCTCGATGTACGGAAGACTCGCGCGATCGGCCATCTTGGGAAGTCTACCGGCGCCCAGTACTCGGTCAATCTCCTCTTGTGCCTTACGCTGGACCTCTGGGTAGAGAGTCATGGCCATGAAGAATGTCGATAGCGAGCTGACGGTCTGTGAGCTGTTAGCTGAATTCACTGCGAGCTCCAAGGATTGAATCCATACAGTATCAGCACCACCTGTGTACAGTGATGCGGCGGTCCACTTGGCGACAGTTTCTTCTTCCGTACCAGCGGCGGGATACCCATCGGCCTTGAAAAGATTTGACAAGTATGAAGGCTCAAATTGATCGCTTTCCATCCGCTGTTGCACAAATGCATAAGGAATGTCGGCAGTATTCTCGAGGTTTTTCTTCCATGCTTGTGCCTTGCGCTTGAAACCCGCTCCGGGGAACCAGGAGGGCACATATTTTACTATCTCTGTTAGAATCACGATCGACTCGATCTCGGAGAGGCTCTTACAAGCCGGAATCATATCCACTAGCCAGGCGCCCGGGGTTCCTGCAATGGCAAAGTGCTCAAGAGCCAACCCGGCCATATGCACCAACGGATCTAGCTTATGTGGCTCAATCGTGTATCCATATGCAATTTTCAGAATAATCGCGCCCGCTTCACTGGGGGATGTTAGTCTACTGTCATGTTTTCTTCAGCACAGTGCTTACGTTTGAAGATGTTGAAGCAGATGTGACGGGTCTTTCAACACCCGTGACAAAAGTCGGTGACACTCAATCTCCTGCAAAGAATTGTATTGCGCCACAGCAGCCTCGTGGCCCAGATAAGGATGCATTGCCTTGCGATAAGCGCGAAATCGGTCCGAATAGGTTTGCATCGCCATGATGTGCTCCCAACCGACCCTGAATCCAATTAGCAAATCCTCTCGCCATTTGTTAAATCAAGGAATATTCACATCTCCGATGCAAATACTAGGTTTGGTCGCGATGAGTGAAGGGCAGATCGTTTCCCGAGGAGATCCATTGCAACGCGACTGTCATTGAGAATTACAATGGTCTGACCCATGACCGTAATTGAACTAATTGGACCTATCGACCGTTCAATATGTCGATTACCCACTGTGCAGTTAGAGGTGGATGCCTACCATAGAGATCCTTGTGCTTCAGCCAATGCACCCAATCCTGTGCCCCCGGAGCAGGCAAATCTGCAATGTTGCCCAAAATGGGCTTACCTGCTGGACCCGGAGGCAACGGCCCAGGGGCTCCTTTGCGGAAGAGTATGAGCTTGGTCGCATAAAGTACAACTGCTAGTAGGACTACGCCTATGAGCGTTTGGGACGCCATGCTGATCAGATGTGTTGATATTCCAAGGTGAAAGGAGAACAACCATACGAGATCGCTTTTATCTTTAGTGCCATTGGTCCTTTTGCTAATGTCATTTAGCTCATCGCATTACACCCCACTTGCTTTTACTTCATGTGAACCGAGAGTTCCCCCACAGACGTTGGCCCACCAATCGTGGTCCACCAGTGGATTACGCCACTGCCGTCCCAGGGAAAATGGCGTCTACCCGCTCTTGACCCAGCGATCGGGTTGATGATGGGTCCCTGCTTCAATCTGTTACTTTTAAGAGAAACAGAAGGTGAAAAATGTCATGTGATACTTAAGGACACCCCCAAGTATTGAAGGAAGGTCTGCAAGGAGGTCAATTTTCCCGCGCGAAACGCACAAACCCTTTATCATGGTGGGTCACCTCGGACTCGATCGAATGACAACGATATGCACGCATGGTTTTTAGCGCAGTCTCTGCCGTCTTTCTGACTGACTTGTTCCACAAAACATCAGGAATTTACAGGCTGGTGAAGACCCATGCTTACGACACCGACGCCTGTGGTCCAATCCTGCACAAGCGAGGCGTTAGCACGGTCCGGCCCTGAATTCAAGGATAAGCCAAATGTCAAACGTAATTTTTGACAGCTAAAATCACTCAAGACAGTGGATATCTCATATGACCAATAGAGTCCATCTGCATCAAGTGCAGGATTTGGCCGACCCACTGTGCACTCGCAATTGATAGGGGCTTTCTAAAAGCTCAAGTTTTCTTTTTCCTTTTGTTTTCTTTTGGAAGCAAATACCACCATATGGCTGCTGACTTTTAAGCGAACTTTCTGCCGGCATTTTGCATCGGTTTCAGACCCTTGTAGCCCGCAGTTCGACATGACTTTGGCGGAAGGTCCGTTTGGCAGCCTGTCCTCTTGCGCAGTATGGAGCCCGTGACTATGTGGATCTGGATTTGGACTTGGCATCCTGGATGCGACTAACGCTTCTTTGCCCCTGCTAGTTCAATTGCTTCTCTACGGCAGCGAATCAAACATCATGCGCGGTGTCGAATTCAACATGCCTCTGTCTTGATGCCACATTCTTCACACAGGCGACCGACTGCACAACTCTAGATTGTGGCGTAAAAGCGGGTCTTTGTAAGAGCTTTCCTATAGCTCTGCCTTTCAACGCTAATATGCTATTTTCCAGCGGCCACAAATCTGACTATGTCAGTTTGCGATGTTCCACAAGCTAGCCAAGCTCTTATTTCTCCTATTCTGGCAGGAGTGCTTGGAATGGTAGCTCTCATCTTGGTGGCGTTGCGATTGATTCAGCGCGCCGTCTTCAATCGACTATTTGGACTTGACGATGGATTGATCGTCGCAGCTCTGGTGTGTGCCCTTCCACTGAACTGCACGATGTTTCCAAGTAAGTTCCCTGTGATGCTTTTTAAACTCCGCAGCGATCTTTGACATTGTTTACAGTGCAAAAGTTTGGTCTTGGTACCAATATCTGGACTATCTCATTTGAGCATATAACTAAACAATTAGAGGTATATCTTGTCTGCCCTGCTCAAAAATTGTCTCAGCTCATCAAAATCTCCACACCAGTTACTCTACGTAGCCGAAGTATGTTATATGGCCGCCGAAGCTCTAACCCAGCTATCATTCCTCACCTTTTACCTGCGCATTTTCCCAATTCCACGGTTCCAATTGGTCTGCTACTGTCTAATGGGCCTCTCTATCTGTTTCGGTATCTCCAATACATTCGTCATGATCTTCCAATGCACACCAGTTCCGTATTTCTGGTCGGGATGGACGGGTGAGTACGCGGGCTCATGTATCGATATCAATTGGTTTTCGTGGTACAAAGCAGCTATCCAGATCGCGATGGATATGGGAATAATCAGCCTTCCAATTTGGCCCTTGGCTAAGACGAAGATCGGCACCAAAAAGAAGATCCAAATCATTATGATGTTCTGCACCGGATTCTTGTGAGTTGCCATTTTATTTTCATTTTCCAACCCAATCCCGCTCTAACCGATTATCAAGGATTACTGTAGTCAGTTGTCTACGACTCCGATCTCTTGTTGTATTCTCAAAATCATCCAACACAACATGTGAGTCCAGTCTATTTTAACCACCATGCTGAGAAATCCTACATGGAGATCTCCTCTTCTAACACTCAATTTCAGATGCAAATACTCCTGCAATTTACTGGAGTGTCGTCGAATGCGACGTAGCAATCATATGCGCATGCATGCCTAGCCTCCCCTCTTTACTGAAGAACATCTTCCCCTCAGTCTTCGGGTTGCCATCGTCCTACTACAACAACATCAGACCACCGCAATCTCACGAGCATTCGGGCGGGTCTATTCCATTGGATCGGATTCAAAAAGATACTTCGTGGCAGATTACCAGCTCGGAGACCCAGTTGGTTCATGAACCCGTCGAACCGGATCATGTGAGGCCGGTGCAGCCTGCTTGAGATACAGGTGTACTGTGCATATACAAAGCGATGGCATATATTGATTATAAAATTATAGGTTATTAGATGGTTAATAGAAAACATTGAATCATTATTCAATTAAGACACAATATGTTTTGTGGATGCTGCCTGAAGAACCTTGGGATTTATGACGATCAAGTTGTTGGAAAGGGGCCTGAGATAATTGATTCCTGGTTTCGGCCCTTTGAGCAGGAAGTTTATCCAAGAATGTTATTTGGCAAAAAACCCGACAGCCCTTCTTTTTTGGTATCAAGTCAAATGTTTGATGAGACTTCTTGATATTGATTCACGAGTTATAATATGTTTTCCGCCCTTTGCTCTAATTTGTTTTCGCTGGATCTTATCACTCAATTGCAATTTGCAGATTATGGGGGACGAATTTGTCATAACCAGCCCCACAGTCCGGAATTTGTGAAGCTAGCCAAAAGTATGGGCTGTCAGGCACGCCGCTGTGCTCATTGCTTAAACCTTGAAACGTGCATTGAGTGGTTGCTGCGATGTGGAGGCCCAGCATTGCTGAGCATTGCTGGATGTGCGACTTGCTGATATGGAGATGGTGCCAATTGTTACGAGCGGGGGGTCATTAGATGAGATGAAGATGCAGTGATCCATTCAAATTCGGAGTTTCATTAGATTTTTATCCCTTGCCGCCTTGCATACTAGTAGTACCTTCGTTGCCAAGTCATGGATCCTGCCCCTTCTCAACTCTCCCAATGATGGACTATATGATACTCTTTTTACCATGCAAATTGAACATCCAAGCCAACCTTCAAGGCATCAAAGAATATTTACCTCGGGTATCGATATTTCACATCCGCATATATCACCTCCGTAACCTCCGGATATACCCCCACACATCGGAACTACCCCGCTGATCTAGGACCCACTGCGGAAATATAAGGTTCTTGACAATCCCACATAATTTCTTCATCTTGATACTCCCCACAAACCCTTTCAAAGGACCAACTACTCAATCCTCTTTCCAACATGATCGTCCTTCCACCAACCACTCAAGAGGCAATCAAAAGCCAAATCAACTCGGCCTGTGACACCACAAACGGAATTCCAGGCGCTTCTGTTGCGATTGTGGGGAAAGATGGCAAATTGCTATTCTCCCATGCAGGCGGACTGAGAGGACATGCAAAACCTGAGCCCATGACAACCGAAAGCGTGTTCTGGATAGCTTCGTGCACGAAACTCATTACCGGAATTGCGTGTATGCAACTCGTGGAACAGGGTCTCCTTTCGTTGGACGATGCTGACGAGACCGAGCGTATCTGTCCCGAGCTAAAGGACGTGAAGGTCCTACAAGATGACGGCAAACTGGTTGATAAAAAGCGAGGCATCACTTTACGCATGCTTTTGTCACACACAGGTCCGTACTTACTAGGCAAACTTTGTTTATTGATTCTGACGTCATCTAGCTGGGTTCGGGTATGCTTTTATGAACGATAAGTTGCGCGATTATAGCCATCCAGCTGGGTATGATGAGTTCTCGGGAGATTTAAGGGACTTCAAGCAGCCATTGGTGCATCAGCCAGGTGAAGCTTGGGAGTATGGGGTAAGAGCGACGAAAACAGGGGCTTTAAGAGTATTTGCAGTCACTAATATGGTATGGCATAGGTGAACATCGATTGGGTAGGCGTGGTTATTGAACGTGTCACCAAAAAGTCACTGAATGACTACTTCCATCAATATATCTTCGAGCCGCTGGGCCTAAGTCACATCTCCATGATCCCTACTTCAGAGATGAAGGACAGGCTCGCCTACATGCACCATCGGGATCTGAAGGGTCGGATTTGGCCTCGGGACCACTTGCTCCGCCGAGCACTGACAGCGGAGTCCAAATCGGAGCTAGAATCATATTTCAACAGCGGTGGAGCTGGATGCTTCTCAACACCTGAGGATTATTGCCGTATGTATATCTCCGTTTTCCATCCGCGTCATTTGCTAATATCTTTATAGAGATCTTAGCCGTCCTTCTTAATGGCGGCACCTCGCCCACCACCAGATCCCAGCTTCTGAAGCAGGAAACCGTGGATGCTATGTTCTGCGACCAAATCGCCCATCTTCCGCCTCTGTGTGAAAAGTATCTCTCGGATGCGAAGCCTGATCTCGCAGGTTCCAGTACTGGTCTACATCCAACCGTTGCCGGGGATCGCCAGGGCTGGGGATTAACCTTCCTCCTAAGTGGTGGCTCGACAGGCCGCTCAGTGCGAACGGCTCAGTGGTCTGGGCTCCCGAATCTTTTCTGGTGGTGCGATCGGGATAACGGAATCGCAGGTATGGTTTGCGCGCAGATTCTGCCATTTGGCGATGCTAAGGTTTGGAACCTATTCCAAGATGTTGAGGATCTTGTGTATAAGGGAATTGTGAGATCCGGTCATCTATGAGGATAGGACATGATCTATTGAATAAGTTGAGGCATAATCGTGAGGTTCGCAATCTATGCTAAAGATGAAAATGTAGACCGCTAATATGCTGGGTAATCATAAGTTAAACAAAATACGTAAAATATACAAGTCAAGCGAATAGCCACTTGGTAACACCGGCTCAAATACCCATTCGTTCCATTTGATTTCATGTAAGGAACAAGAGCGTATCCTCCTACCATGACACCCACGCAACTGGACCTTTGGGGAACATCCGCACAAGCACCTTGCGCAGCTCATCCGCAAGGAGAACCCCCAGTGCCAGACCAAGCGGGATGAGCCAGAACTCGATGGGAACAGAGGCGGTTTGAAACAGTGACTGGATACCAGGGACCTCGGTGACGAAAATGGCAATGACAAGAGAGATAACCGCCGCCAGAGGAAGCCATGGGTTGCGACGAGCAGGGCGAATGGGGTCTGCCTGAAGAATTGACATGCGCTTGCTGCGAACGGCTAGGATATTTCCCCATTGCATGATGACCAGAGTGACAAAGTAGACACATTGACCGACATAGTTGAAGTGGTCCAGCTCGTCCTGTGTGTATCCGTGGAATCCATCAGAATACTTCTCGAAGGCGAAGATGAGGTCATGGAACGGAATACCCGCGGCCTTGTACATGTAAAAGAAGAACATTGCATGGGCGCTGATAGTTTCCATGATACCGACAAACAGGTATGACTGGCCGTAAATCCGCAAGTTGATCAGGTGGTCCTCTTTGGGGTTACGAGGGGGGATGCTGAGCAAATCAAACTCCTCCTTTTCCATGATCAGGGACAAGGAGAGGAACAGATCGGTGAAAACACAAATAATGATCATCAAGAAGGAGCTCAGTGGCGAGGGACATCCGAAGAACACATTCATAACGACAGGCCAAATTTCGGACCAACTGCCAGCGGGTAGCAGGTAGGCGATGACCTTTTGGAGGTTCTGAAAGACTAAGCGACCCAGACGAACAGCTTCGATGATGGAATCAAATTTGTCAAGCAGGACAAGATCAGCTGCCTCAATGGCAACATCACTACCGGAACCGATAGCGATGCCGACATCTGCAGCACGCAAAGCAGGCGCATCATTGACACCATCACCAGTGACGGCGACGTAGTTTCCCTTTGCCTGAAGCTCTGACACAATACGGAGCTTCTGTTCGGGGCTGGTACGAGCAAAGACAATCTCTTCATAATCGCAAACAGTGGCCCACTCTCCCGGATTCAAGGATGAAAGGCTACTGCCCTCGAGAAGCAAGCTGCGCCTCGAGTGTGTGGAGTCCTCGGATGGAAAGCCATCACGAAGATCATCAATTGTATCGGGCTCGACGTCACCCTCAAAAATACCAATATCGCGAGCGATTGCCGCAGCGGTCAATCCAAAGTCACCAGTGACCATGAAGAATCGAATACCTGCGCGTCGGCATGCGGCCACGGTCTGAGCTGTTTCTGGTCGAGGGGGGTCGATGATACCGAAGATTCCAATGACAGTCAGATCCTGAACACCAGATTCAAGAATTTCGTCACTAAATCCATTGGATCCAAGCGGGTGAACTGGAGTGTAGTGGCGCTGACAGAGGATAATTACACGCTCGGCGCGGCGAGAGAGCTTAGCCTGAAAGTCAGAAAGCTTCTGTCTGGCATGTGCATCTAGTGGGCGGACGGCATTGTTGACTGCGGACCAGTAGGTGGAGCAGCGACCGAGCAGGACATCGGGAGCACCTTTGACGTAGATCATGTATTCAGTGGAAGAATCTGGATTTTGGTGCATGGTGAGCATCCACTTATTCTTTGAATTGAAGGGAATTTGGTGCACACGCGCAAATGGCTCTAGATTCTTTGCTGTGGCAGCACCCACACTGTGCGCAAGTCGCAGCACAGCAGCATCCGTGGCATTTCCATTGACGGCACGCTCCCAGACTGGTAAATGGATGGTTTCAGAGTCGAAAGTAGCATCGTTGCACAAGACTGATGCGCGCAGCAGATTTTTCAGCCCCTCCGAGGCATCCATGCCAGGCACCAGGTCATTCATGTCGAATTCCCAGTCCACCATGCCAAGGGACTTGACAAACATGCGGTTTTGCGTGAGAGTTCCAGTTTTGTCGGAACAAATCACATTCACGCACCCCAAGGTCTCCACGGTCGCAAGCCCTTTGGGCAAAATGTTTGTCTGCTTCATGCGACGCGCAACCATCATCAGTGTCAATGCGACGCCGACGGGCACACCCTCGGGAATGAAAGCTACCACACATCCCATAACATTATTCAGCATAGCGACCACACTCATGTATCCAGGATGATCTTTGTGCAACCATCCTAGCCAGGTGAATAGAATGAGCGCAGCAAGGCAGACAGTCATGATGACGATAATGGTGACAAAACGGGTGATCTCCTTTTGAATCAGAGTCGGCTTCTGCTTAACACCGGATGTCATTTTCGCAATGCGGCCCATCACGGACCGACTGCCTGTCAGCAACACAATACCAGTGGCATTTCCGTTGGTGACCAGGGTTCCCATCAGTGCGATGTTTCGAGTTTCGAGGAAATTGGCATCGGTCGACTCGGTAGCACCATCAATCTCATCTGACTCGCCGGTGAGAATTGCCCGATCAAATCGAATATCTCCAGAAGTTTGCAGCAAACGCATATCGGCAGGGACCTTGTTTCCGACACTGATCTGCACAATATCGCCCGCCACCAAGTCGGTAGCAGAAATCCGCAGTTGCTTTCCGTCGCGCAGGACCAGGGCTTCTGATGGAAGGAGATTCAAAATCGAGTTCATGACCTTCTTGGTCGACCAGTCCTGAAAGGCGGAGAAAGTAGCCTGGAGGGCAATCACGATGATGATAAGGACAGCCATTGCAAGATTTGTTGGAGACGGTGGGTTACTGAGAGGCTTCCAGCAGATGAAGAAGATAATCACACCGACCCACAGGATGGAGCAGAAACCACCAAAGACATAGAAGAAGATCTTCTTGAAGTAGTTCTCACGGGTTTGAGCGATGACGTTTTTTCCATCGCGCTGCAGGCGCTGTGCAGCTGAATCGACACTGAGACCAACACGCTGGTCGACATTGAACTCCTGACAGACCTTATCCTGTGGAATTGTGTGGAAATTCAAGCTTTCGAAGTAATCTTGATTCGGCACCTTTTCCTTGGCTATCTCAACTTCAACCTCTTTTGGGCGAGTCTGGGATTCGGAGATCTGAATGGAGAGTGTGCGGAATTCGATTGGGATTCCAGCATTGCCACCACCTGGCAAATTCCCACTCCGAGTGCTGCGGATGGTATCAGCGCCCCGAGAGTAGGTACGTCCAAGCTGGGGCGGCTGGTAAATCGAACGTGTTCCCTCCGCATCGTTAATATCGTCAGGGAAGGTAATTCGGGTGTTTCGATCCATAGGGTCGTCATTCTTGACGGTTTCGGCATCGGCCTCAATGTCGACATCAAGGCCGGGCTTTTCGTGAGGATATGAATCCATGATGTGGCTGTCTGAGGAAGGCTCGAGAGAAAACAAGAGTCCAACGAACAGCCAAGCACCGTGGAAACGGTACCACAAAGAGGAAAAAGGAGAGGGATGTGGGAAAAGAAAATGGAGTACCACCCTCGGCCTTTTGTAGGTCAATCAGAATCCAACCTAAAGAAAAATCCGGTGGCTACTGATGAACTAGGAAGGCGAGATCGGGATATTACACGAGGAATGAGAAAAGAACACGAAAAAAAAGAAATCCTGGTGTGACCCAGGCGGAGCCATGCGATCAAAGCCACTCAAAGCCACGAGGCAACTGTGTGCGGTGGGGTTTTCGATTAAAGACGCCTCGAAAATCATGCATTACGGGACCTTTACTAGTTGAATCTAGTACCTGATTGCGGCGATCTATATGGCAAGAGTGACTGATAGGAACAGATAACTTAATACGATATACAGATCCATACTGTATTATTACCCACATATTGCATCCCTCCGCCAATCAGAAACACGGTTCAAGAACTCTAACCATACAAGAACATCCAGCCCTAATGGTTGATTGGGAATTGTCAAAGCTGGTCCTGGCATATAAAATTTTATTGTGTGAAAAAAAGGGTAGAAAATGGCGCATGCAATCTCAGGTTGACCGCAAACGCAAACCGTGGGTAATAAAAGTGGTGGTTGTGTGTCCTAATCCGAATGCGCGATTTATTCTCGCCACAGAATGATTCTTCCTCTCCCGCTCCAAATTGCTACATCTGGTACGGCTTAGGTTATCTTTTCCCCCCCTATTTTCACAGGCTAAGGCAAGCGAATAATTATTTGATAATAGCTTGTGTGTGATTAATTGAGATAAATCCCTCAGCCAAATTGTCAATGACATGCGAAATCGGTACGCTCATGAGCGGTTTCCCATATCCAATGGAAACTCTAGGCTGCAGTGTAAGCAAACTTACCATTGCTTATCCTCTAACCACCATGGGTGAAACCAGGTGAACTAGGTACCAGGTAAAGCCAGGTAATAAGGGTATCTATTCTGTCTCTTTGTAATCCATGGAATTGGTAGAACATGTATTATATGTGCGGAGGATAAATATCACCTACACTGGGCGTATCTATAAATGCCCATAAAAGAACGGAACAGAAAATACTTCCCGACGCTTTCCTCTTCTTTTTCTTTTTCTTTTGCTTTTGCGTTTACTTTTAGAATTTGACTTTCATTGCTGTTTTTACTTTTCCTTGTCAACGTAGCTATCCATGCACGATCGTCATCAACCACATGTATGGGCAGCTACTTCCATGCACCGACCCGATCAAGTCCTCCATCATCACTTTGTGACCCACACAAAATGGTCTACAGGCTCCTCCTTTGATGATAATCAAAGTGCCAAGCTTAGCTGGCCGGGGTTCAGAAATGTGTTTCACCCCAGTCTGGCATCCGTCTCCACGGACCGGCCATTAATGAGATCAGAGACCTCGACAACAACAGCATCAAACCAGCCCCTGATCCAGCATACCTCTCGCCCTTTTGCTGAGAGATATGGTCGATGTCTGGACATCTTGCATTATGGTACCAATAGCACTATCCGACTGCACCAGACTAACCTACCCGGGTCAAGTTCCAAATCCAAACAACTGCTCGCTGTCAAGGTCTACCGATATAACATCCTCGACTCATCAAATCCCCAATCTCGAGCATCACATTGCGCCACTGACTTGATCTCCAACATCCATCCTCAACACCCAAACATCCTCCCTATAATCGATCTCCTCTACAATGAACGCTCCGAACTTTGCCTAGTCATGCCCATCTGTGCAGGAGGAGACCTCCACGAACTCATCTCCCACAACGGAGGCCCAATCTCAACCAATGAAGCCGACTGCATATTGGCCCAGATCCTCAACGCCCTCTCATTCCTCCACGAGCACAACACCGCACATCGCGATATCCGACTAGAAACCGTTCTTCTGACAGAACGCGGCTCCGTCAAGCTTGCCGGCTTTGGCGATGGGCACATACGACGCCTCTGGTCCGATTGTGCAGTTCCGGCGGAAGAAACTTTTCGCCCACGCTCACAGTCTCACCCTGCATCGACAACGTGGTCGTACCCCTTGCATTGGCTATTTTCGTCTTCCCGTGGCCCCTCGCCACGTGGATCCGGCGATTTTATTCATAATACAGCCACATTACCAGGGATGAGTCTACCTTACATGCCGCCGGAGAGATTCCATTCTCGTTCGTATGCGCTGGAAATGGATGAGGATGAGAATAACCCTTGCACGTCGGATATCTGGGCAGCAGCTATAATATACGTGGCACTTATTACTGGACGCCTGCTTTGGCGCAGTGCTCGTCCTAGATATGAGGATCCACAGTATCTGGATTACGTGCGATGTCGTTGTTCAGAGGATGGGTATCCACCGATTGAAGCGCTTGGGAAGGTAAGTTTTGCATAGTTAATTTTTCATGACATTGCATAGCTGTACTAACTAGGTTCTCGCTCTAGAGACGACGAAATGCTATCTATGCGATGCTGCACCCCATTTCGCGGAAACGAATCACAGCCCCGCTCTTGTTACAGTCTGAATGGATCTCACAGGTATCAATATGCGAGGCGGGGCGGATGGGGCTTTAAGGTGGATTCAACAAATATGTGCACATATTTACCTTGAAGTGATGAGAAATCTTTTTTAAATGCTCCAGCTCTGCCCTTTCACTGATAATAATCTCCCGGAACTAATGAATGGCACGTTGGGGTTTCCGATCGGTCTGACAGGCTGTTTCGTGGGAATTGTTTGGCTAACAGTCTGTGCTACCTAATGAGATCGATATGATCGTATCATATCGTGTCAGCCCTAAAAATTCTCGTTCGCTGGGATCAAAGTGTAAAGCCTGGAGGAGAATTAAACCCCATCTGCAAGTGAGGGGAATTGAGGTCCGCGCTACGCGATGCCTAATCTCATACTAATTTGCGGCTGAAATGAGGGGTTTCGCTTTTGGCCCCAACATTCACACCGTCAATACTTAAGTCGCCAATCACCAACATCAACATCAACATCTCTATATTTACATGATGCCTAGCCCAGATCAATACACTGTGGGTTGGATCTGTGCTATTCAAACAGAATATACTGCCGCTGTCGTATCTCTCGATGAACTGCATGATCCCCCGACCTCTCTGCCACCCCGCAACCAAAATGACTTCACCCTAGGCAAGATTGGGAATCACAATGTTGTTATCTCCGTGCTCCCGATGGGAGAGTACGGTACCTCTTCAGCAGCACAAGTAGCCGAGGGCATGGTGCAAGCTTTCCCGAACGTTCGCATCGCTCTGATGGTTGGTATCGGCGGTGGTGCACCGAGCCCAAAGCACGATATCCGACTTGGAGATATAGTCGTCGGTATACCTAAGAACGGTCGAGGTGGTATTTTTCAATACGACTTCGGGAAGGCAATTCAGGACCAGGAGTTTAAGCCGACGGGCTTTCATAATAAGGCGCCCACTTTTCTGCGTAATGCGGTGAGCGGGCTCGCCATGAAGTATGAACATGAAGGCCATCGGATTGAAGATCTTATTCGCGAGCTTTTGGAGAAGAAACCCCGACTGCGAAAAAAGTATTCACGTCCCAATCCAGCGACTGATCGACTATATAAGAGCGATTCCATGCACCCTTTCGGAAACGAATCTTCCTGCGACCTTGTTTGCAGTTCTGATAAAACCTCCCTGGTTTTACGGGCTCCGCGCACCGACGAGGATGATAATCCAGCTATCCATTACGGTCTCATCGCATCAGCCAATACGCTTATGAAAGATGCCAAGATTCGAGACGAAATCGCGAAGAAAAACGACGTCCTGTGCTTTGAAATGGAGGCCGCTGGCTTGGTCAATTCCTTCCCTTGCTTGGTGATTCGTGGTATCTGCGACTACTCCGATTCGCATAAGAATAAGGAATGGCAAGGGTATGCAGCCATGACAGCAGCGGCATATGCGAAGGATCTGCTATACCGAATCATCCCTCAGGGAGTTATCCAGCAAGAGAAGATCACGAATATCTTGAAGCAAGGCGATCATTATATCACCAACAATACTTACAAAGAGGGTGATACCAACATAACGTTTTCGGGCAACAATTCGGGGTTTCAGGTTGGGATGAATAATGGCTCGATTAACGATGTGACAACTGGACGTTAGATATACATTTACTTTCATTTATTCTGGCTTAGAGTTTTCAAGGATCATACTACTTCGTTTCATCTAACAACATCCAATAAGAATGCTTGAAATTCTTCTGACATGGTTGTTCATTACTCAGCCTTGTATATATTTCCGCATATATTTTTCCTCGTACCAAATGGTGCTAAACAATAGTCGGTTTACTCCAGACTATTTAACCTTAACATTTCATGAATATTTAATACCCCAACACTAGGTACTCTCAACTTATTCATCAATTTATCACCAGTCCGAGGACCAGCCTTATCAGACTTGGACTTCGATAAGATAGGATCGCCCAGGTGCTCAATGACGCTCGTACACAGAAAGCAAAAATGAAAATCACTAAGTAATGAGAAATTCAAGGTAGATCAACGGAGTCTGCCAGAGAAGACCTGAGACCACTTTGAAAAACAAATCCAAGAGAAACAGTATGTGTGAGTCTAATTTTGCAATGTTCAGAGTATCAGGTTAGCTAGGTATTTGAGAATTTATATGCGGAATCTAGGATGACCTAGATCTATAAGTACTATGTGCCATAACATGCATCAATAAAGATGACACTACGGTACATAATCAAGCCCTGGAGATCTACAACTTGGCCTTTGGTCCCAGTGCTTCGCTAACGGGAGCAACCTCGACCATCATCTTTCCGGTATTCACACCAGCATATAGATCAACAAGAGCCTTAGGCGCTCCCTCCAATCCACCTTGCACAATATGTTCCTTGCGCTTCAGCTTCCCCTGCGAAAGCCATGAGGCTAGCTCCTGTAACGCAGCCCCATACTTCTTAGCATAGTCAAAAACAATGAATCCCTTGACCGTGACCCGTTGTGACTGTACATCATTAGCTACCAAATCCCAACCCACTCCGTGCAAGATTGAACTCACAATAACATTCATAAAGCTCGTCGGCCCCTGCGGCTTAGCAGCATTATACTGACTGATCGCACCACAGATGACAAACCGCGAATCACGCGCCGCTCTCGCAAGACAGGCATCCAAGATCTCACCACCAGTATTATCGAAAAATACATCAATATACTCTGGCGTAGCCTCCTTCAATTGCCGCTTCCACTGCGGATCCTTATAATTAATCGCAGCATCAAACCCAAGCTCTTCAACAAGAAACTTGCATTTCTCCTCACTCCCCGCTAATCCAACAACCCTCTTCGCACCCTTGATCTTAGCAATCTGTCCCGCGATACTCCCCGTCGCACCCGCCGCACCAGAAACCACAACCGTCTCGCCAGCTTTCGGCTGTCCAACCTCCAGCATACCGAAATACGCCGTTAACCCGGTCATGCCGAGAACGGACATTGCATCGGTAGGCCGTCCGCCGGAGGGGAGGGTGACTTTCTCCACTTCCTTTGCGCCCATCAGGGCGTATTCCTGCCAGCCCGAGTAGGCGACGACCCATTCGCCGGGTTGGAATTTCGAGGATAGGCCGCTTCCTACTTCGATGATTTGGGCAATGCTTTGGCCGCGCATTACGGCGCCGAGTTCGACAGGGGCGATGTAGGAGCGTTTGGCGGTTAGCCATTGGCGCATTGCTGGGTCGAGGGAGAGGTAATGGACGCGGACGAAGAGTTTGTCTGCGGGGACATTGGGACGGGGGACGATGTGCAGGCGAAAGGTGCCTGAGTTGAGGGTGGGATCGATGGCCGGCTCAGGAGCCTTGTTGTAGAGAATTTGTTTGTAAGACATGATGTCTGTTCAGGTATGAAAGGCGTAGATTCAGTTAGAAGATAGACGGAGAATATGGAAACGACAGAAAATTATATGGGGTACTGGGGAGATCGGAGCAACCCCAGATTAGGAAAATTGCTCCACAGGGACCTCGGCACAGTAAGCTGGGCATTATATCGAGTAACCGAATGCAAAACCTTAGGTATTAGGGATACGGTTCAATATGAAGACTTTAGGGACATAGTTCGATATGTACTTCTACTTTGTACATGATTTAACTATAATTAATGGAGCTCTGTGATCATGGTGACGTCATCACCCCAGTATATAAATGGGGACAAATTTCAAGTTCATCCCAACTTGACTCTGTGCCTATCCGAATCATTCGACTTTAATCATGACATCTCCTCGTAAACCAGTGCGCTCCGGATCCTCTACCGGGTCTCCAGGTATCCCAACCTCCATCTCCGACCAGCGCAATCAGTACGATCCCGCAACAACCGGGTATAACTCTGCCACCGGTGCAGGTTACAAGAGGCCCAGCGGATCCGATAATTATCGTCCGCCCTCGCCGACAGGAAGCTTTGATGCGCCTGCGGGTGATTCTCGAATCTCACACGCGCCTAGCACGGCGGAGCGGGTGAAGATGGAGAAAGAAATGGAGAAACAGCAGAAAGCGTCCCGGTCTAATCAGGCTAGTGAGGGAGTTGGTAAAGGGATTAAAGGTGTTGCGGCGGGGATTCATGTGAGTTCTTTTCGCGTTTCAAATGTATTCCTGTACGCGGGGGCTAATTGGTGTATTATGTATAGGGTGCTGGAGAGACACTACGTGGGGCACTTAATGCGACTGTTGATCGGGCATTTGGGTCCCATGAAAGTGCCGAGTGGAATGAGGAGATTGCGCGTCGTGGAGAACAGGAGATATCATCGAAGGATTTCAAAGAAACGCCTCGTCGAGAGTGATCTTCAATTGTTTCTTTTTTATAACATCTACATGTATATGTTCTGCTATGATAGACTTTATCTAAGTTCACTTTTGGAAAGCTTGATTGCACCTGGCTGAGATAGAGTTGGATCGTTTTTTTCTTATTTCATTCTCATCCGAGGTAATTTCTTCCTTTCTACTCCGTATACTGCGTGGGCTAATGGTGGGGGCGAAGCCACAGTGGGGAATAGTGAACGTTCGTCCGAATTTCGGCTTCATACAAACGGGATTAGATTGGGATAAGCATGTCTTGCCAAGATAAGTAAAAGCGGCCCCCATATCCAGGTTTGTCTTAGTTCCGTTACTGTATAAGCAAGGATCCGAAGTAGCAAATCAACAATACAGACGCATATGTGACTGACCTCAAAGTTCCTTTAATTCATTCAGGTTTCATGATTGGATCACGACCTTGAATCCCCGCAAACAAACTTGAAAGCAAGGAAAAGCTTGACTTCCATATGACACGAGTTCGATGTCATAGCGTATTTGATGGGGGCCGATCACCGATCTGCCGGGGCCAAACCACGTCGATCATAAAAAACCAAGCACAAAGAAAAAAGCAGAACATAAAAGCATTTCTAATGGGGCCGGAACTAATAATTGATGAGCTGAAAGCTCCATATATTTTCACGTGGGATTTCGGACAGAGTTTTTGCCTTCCGGTCGACCCGAAGGCTGTGCTGTGGAACCCCTACTGCTTCCGGTTATAATTGATTTCCTCACGTCACTCTTCTACTTCCAAATGTTGTACGAATTTTTGTCCAATCTTCTTCCCAATTCTTGAGAGCTCACATGAGTCAAGACCAGGTTCTTTGAGGCCAAGCTTTACATAAACTTTTTTGCCTGTACAACCTCATGCCCTGAACCTAGCGGTCGGGTTCCTTTTCGTCTGTTTTCTTGTGCCATTAATACCATGTCCCTCCTCGATCAGCCTGATCTGCTAGGCTCTCGGCAAGATAAACGATCCGATCAGCAACCGCCGAACCAGCAGATATCCTATTCCTCCGAATCATCCGGCAATGCGGTCGCATCCGAATCCCCCTCACAGTACTCTTCCTTCTCGAGCTCCGACAGCGATGGCCCAACCCCGCATTATGACAGTGAAAAGGACGAAGATGATGCGAGTGATGTCGTCGGTGTCAGCATTGGCCCAACCCAGAGTCGCATGAAAGCTCGCGCTACACCCGCCGAAGAGAAAACCCGTGCTCTGGAGAACAGCGGTGGGTACTTCAACGAGGTACCGGACACATTCGGCGAGGATGGCCTGTTCGTATCGGAATTGACGGCGGAGCCTGAATCGGTTGAGTCTGATTTGGCGGCCCAACAAGCTCCTGCTGAGCGGACGACTCGGAGGGGCCCAGCGCATCCTCATGCACATTCCTTACCGGTGGAGCGCCGGGCGCCACGCGGTCCCCACACTGGAGGCTCTGCGTCAGCGGGCGTGCATGAGCCCAAGGAATCCGGCCATCGATCGGGCTTTACCCGTTCGCTGCTGAAGACCTCGCTTCCCAGTCGGCCACGGGCTTGGTCTGGGGAGCTAAAGAAGTTCTTCCCGGACCTGGGCGCTCTGGCGAAGCGGCCGACGCTGCCATTTCTAGGGAATGCCCACAACCGGGCTCGCAGTCAAACCGTAGAGGGTGCAAGGAAACGGAATGCGACGCTGCAGAAGAGAGCGAAGTCGTTGGATCGGCGTCACCCGCCTTCTCCTCCGTTGCCTAATGGGGGTCATGATTCAGATGAAGCTGATGATGGGCATCATGTGCCGGAGCTGAAATCGGTGGAAGCAAGCTCCGCTGTTAAGCATTCTTTCTCCCGACGGCCCAGTACAACACCGGGGCGACCGCCAAGTCTTCGTCGATCATCTTCGGATCAATCGCTATACTTGCGTGCATCGTCCACGGCGTCGTCGTTGGAACAACGGCCGCGATATGAGAATGTGCATTCCCAGGTCAATAGCCGGTTCAAGGCGATTAAAGATTCCTTGCAAGATTCAAGTAGCCGCTTGCTTAGTATGCCAGCCTTGAATCTGCAGGACATTCGTAATGATTGGAATTCGCGGCCATTCTTCCCTGATATCGGGGGCTCAGGTAGCTCGGATAAAGATCTGAATGGTTCGACACATGCAGCCGCGACGCCGCCGCCTCCTCCGCGACAGAACACACAGTCCACACATCCAATCCTAGAAGAGGCTATGTCAGAACTGACCGGAGATATCGTGATCCTTGGTGGCTATCGAGGTTCGATCCTGCGATCTGCCAAGCCACCTCATCGACAGCTGTGGGTTCCAATGAAGGTGGGACTGAATCTGCGAAAGGTCGATCTGGAGGTTGGTTTGACTCACGAAGACGAGGAGCGCATGGAAGAGACCATCGTTCCATCTGGTGTGCTGTCCCATGTTGGCCCCGTGGATGTATGCCGCCGGTTGATGAAGCGGCTCCGGAAATCCGAGAATGCTATCCGCGGCGATCTTCGCGTTTGGGACTACGGCTATGACTGGCGGTTGAGCCCAGACCTGCTTTCAAAAAGGCTAATTGAGTTCCTCGAGGGTTTGCCATCCAATCGCCCGAACAGCACTGGCCAGAGACGTGGTGCCTACGTCATCGCGCATAGTCTCGGCGGCCTTATAACTCGGCACGCCGTCAACCAACGACCCGATCTCTTTGCCGGTGTCTTATACGCAGGAGTCCCCCAGCACTGCGTCAACATCCTCGGTCCCTTGCGCAACGGCGACGACGTCCTACTCAGCTCCCGTGTCCTAACAGCTCAGGTCAACTTCACCTTCCGCACCAGCTTCGCCCTCCTCCCAGAAGACGGCCATTGTTTCATCGACAAGCAATCCAAAGAAGAATTCCGAGTGGATTTCTTCGACGCCGCAAGCTGGGACGAACACCGTCTCTCTCCATGCATACAGCCATGTCTCCCACCCATGACGGCCCCAATAATTCGCGGCTTCAAAGACTTCACCCTAATCGGTAAACGATTCTCTATGGGTCCTCGCGATGACGCCGAAACAAGCGTCCAAGACTTCGCAGACTTCAACGAACCAAACACAACCACAGACGAAGATACACCCACCCGCAAACAAGGTTCCGCTCATTCGTCTCGCTCTCCATCGCGCGCTGCTGCAGAAAACATCTCCATCCCAGCCGACGGGATTGTAGGCCCTGTCTCACACCCGCGTGGTAGTGCTGGTTCAAGCAAAGCTTCAACAGCTAGTACCATCCCCAAAGCTGCTGCTGTCGAATATCTGAAACGCACTCTTGCGGAGGTTAAGCAATTCAAGTCGGAACTGGAGTTCCAGCCTGATCATCAGTCGGGTAACAAGTACCCGCCTGCAGCTGTGTTGTATGGCAAGAGTGTGCCTACCGTTTATGGAGCCCGTGTTGTCTCACGCGAAGCGATCAAGCATCAAGATTGCTATGATGATTTGGCGTTCGCGGCAGGTGATGGTGTTTGTCTTGCTTCTGCTGCGATGTTGCCGCCTGGATACCGGATTATCAAAGATGGGCTGGTGAAGAGTGAACGTGGTCATGTTGGATTACTTGGAGATCTCGAGGGCGTGGGGCAGTGTCTGAGGGCTATTGTTCGGGGACGCAGAGAGGGGGTTGGTTTGGGTAGCCAGAATTAAGTTTGCTGGCTTGAGGTATCTGGACCCTTTTTGAGCTTTTGTTTGTTTTTTTGTTCCCCCATTTTCAAGCCATGATACCATACCTGTTACGAGTTTTGATTTATGATTTGTTTTGATCGCGTCTTTTTCATGGACATGCATTGTTTCAGCATTGTTTTATTTGCATAGGTATGCTGATATACACAGAGAAATGTAGTATATAGAAAGGAAATTAGAGAAGGCTTGTGTGCAAAGACATGTCCTTTTAAAACTCGCTATATAACCCAATGCTCTATATACCAGGCTTTTTGTCTTCAAAATTTAGAACCCAGACAAAATCATAAAGATATCATAATACGCAACCGAAGGTTAAACCAAAGAACCAGAGGAACCAAGAAGAAAAAGTGTTGACCAACTTAATCAGTGCGCGAGTTGGCAATGTTCAGCACCAAAATATCCGTAGCTCCAACCTTAATCAGATCATCCATAACAGTAGCAATGCGCTTCTTCTCAACCATGGAGCTAACAGCGACCCAGTTCTCCTCCTCAAGAGCGGTGATAGTAGGCGCGCGCTTTCCAGGGGTAATCTTGGAAGCAACGGCCAGCTCAGAGCGGGGAATGTTGTACTGACACAGAACGAACTTCTGGGCGGTAATGACACCGCGAATGCGGGAAGTGAGCAAGTTCACAAGATCATTGTTCGAGTTCCGCGACTTGACGAGCACAGCAGTGCTAGTAACAACAGTGTCAATGGCCTTCAGGCCAGCAGCCCTCATAGTCTCACCAGATTCTAGAAGTTGTAAGCAACGATGCAAACAAAAATCACCCCAAGTACAGGAGTATCCGTGTGGGGAAAAGAAACATACCAACAAGATCGACAATACCATCTGCGACACCCAGCGCACAAGCAGCCTCAACGCTACCACCAACATACTTAATCTTAGTGCTCAAGTTCTTCTTGCCAGCCTCAACACCCTCAAGCTTAGCGAAGAACTGCTCCGAAAGCGCAGTGAAGCTGGTAACAACATTGCGACCAACGAGCTGCTTGGCTTCAGTGATATCTCCCTTCTCAGGAACCTGCACCTGCAGCTTGCAGCCACCGAAGCCGAGGTCAAGAATCTCCTCGACGCCGGAGATCTCACCGGCAGGCAGGGTAGCGTCGTGCTCAGCAACTTGGTCACGGCCGGTAATACCAAGGTCAACGCGGCCCTCACCAACGAAGGTGGGGATGTCGGCGGCCGGCAGGAAAATAAGGGCGATGGGCAGGTTCTTGACCAGGGCGATGTCGAGGCGGGTTTCGCGGCGGAACTGGACATCACAACCGGCGAGGAGGTCGAGAGTGGCTTGTTGGAGACGGCCCTCTGTATATCATTGCGCGGTTAGTTGGGGTTCAATGGAGTGCATGTATGCGTCATGTCTGTCTTGTTGCGGGATTGGGAGAATGAGTCATTGATGTTGGAGACTTGCTTTTGGGGACGGCGAAGAGAAGTCTTCCTTCGAGGCTGTTTGCGATTGAGTGTTAGCTAAGATTGTCTCGCCGTTGGTATTGCCTTCTTTGTTGGGATTGACTCACTGGTTAACAAGATCCATGGCGATTGAGCGCGGTGCGGGGCACGGAGAGAGTTTTTGAAAAGTCTGGCGGGGAAGCTTTGAGGTAGGAATAGATCTAGTGATCAATTCAATGGTAAATTAGGAGATTTATAAATTTGTCTCGTAGCAATGGTATATGGGAAGGGTAAGGGTGGTTGGCGGGCAGACCGGAGCTCTTTGCGGCAGAAATTGGAGGGGCGACGATTGGGTACTCCGATTTACTTCCGGTGTGAGATTACTTGGTTACTGGTACAGCAAAGGATATGGTCGAGTATGCCCACGTGGATGAGGGTTGGAGATTGACAATCATGAGGGTTGGTTCAATTTCAATTGCATTAGTATATTTTTGTTACACATCATCATCCTTACTACCAATGAAATGTAGAACATAGAGCAAAAAAAGTAAATCTCAATGCAATGACAGTAGATGACTAGTTTCTGCCTAAGGTGTCAAGTTTGTAGATCCATGACTCAGCATCCGCATTGATCGATTGGTGCCTGACGGGTCAGGTGTTGACAGCCCTGAGCCCTCGCGTAATTTGGATAACCCACACAAGGGAAATTCATCTTTACATCCGCCTCTTCCTCCCAGTCCACCCAAACTCTCACCACCCTCGTCCGAGCTCACCCTCATCCTTCAAGATGGATTCCAGCAAGCAGCCCGTCAAGCTCGTCAAGGTGACCCGTGTCCTCGGTCGCACCGGTACGTGACCTCTTCCTACATCCCACACGAAACAAGTCGATATTTGAAGATTTTGAGATCCGAGGCCCGCCAAATCTACACCTCCACAATCGCCGGGATCATGTTGCAGGATGGAATACCGAACTTTCAGGAGAACGAATACTGATCTGTGATTTCTTTGCGTTCTAGGCTCCCGTGGTGGTGTCACCCAGGTCCGCGTCGAGTTCATGGACGACACTTCCCGCTCCATCATCCGTAACGTGAAGGGCCCAGGTATGCGATTTCGATTTCCTTGAAGTTTTTCCCCCGGAGGATATGGAATAGAATACGACGAATGGAGGATTCAATATTCAATATTGAAGATCCGACACGGACCATGGAATTTTTACGAACCGCAATTCCACGAAACACCATCGCTAATACAATATTCTTTCGCCGTACAGTCAAGGTTGACGACATCCTCTGCTTGCTCGAGTCCGAGCGCGAGGCTCGCCGTCTCCGTTAAAAATCCCAAAACAACAATTCACTCGCGCTATGTCTTTCGTCTCTCTTCGTCTCTCGCATATCCCTCACGTCCGGTTTTCTTTGATCGTTCTTCGGCCAAAACTGTGTCCTCGCTTTTCTTTTTCGCCGATCCTCTGACTCCCCCCGACTCCTCAACCTCAACCGCCGCGTCGCCCACTTCACCCACCTCTCTAGTTTCGTTCCCGATGATCCAATGGAGGTGATGATTTGGGTGGATGGGACTTTTTGGTGACGTCTCCAAGAAGTTCCTAATGAAGTCGATCATGGGCCCCGAACGAGAGAGAGAGATGGAGAGAACGAGCAGATCAACCCCCTGTTTATATGAGAAATGAAATGAGGTTGCGCGATGGCTGGTTTGATTTGTGGGAAGGTCTGGTTTGGTTTGATCGGGTGTTTTACTACATACACACGTTTTATTTGACGTGCTTGCATGGGCTCAATGCGACAAACGAGGTTGTGATGTGCTACTTTCTTTTTTTCCTTTGTGCAATGCAAGGTGGTACTAGAAAAGGGCACCGTGATTAAATCAGGTCTGATCGGCAAAAAAGAACTATGGGAATTTAAGAAAAAAAATTCGAAACTTCCGGTTCTATTGTCGAAGGACTGCGGATCATTGTAGCGTAGTGCATAGGCCCAGGTGCTTCTTTAGCGCCCTAGGCTGATATCAGCCAGCTTTCGACATTTATACCCCAGGATATATCAATTGGACCTTGTATTAGTACTATGCACAGGTCCACGTTCCACTTGTATTGATCTGGAGCAACCCACATGCATTATCATGATTGTCTTGAATAACATCATTCGACAGTGCTAAACCTACCAGTGGCCCATATCAGGATATTCTCCGAGACCTTGGATTAAATTCGCCCCGCATTCAATTTGTATATGTGAATTGCTGATATACTAAGCAGCCCTCACTTGAAAACTAATCAAGTTTTCATACACCTGGTTTTTTGTTGACTAGTCAGTTCTTGTATGCGGGGAAGATATCTACCATTCCAGTAAATAGGAAAAAAGTTAGCCTATATACATAATGCAGATACGTTTGAAAGATGCGCACATGATCAACAATGATAAGTAAGTTTTTAAGATATACCAAGACTTAGTAACATGTAGGTTGGGTTAAGTTTAAATCATACTGAAAAAGAAATACAGCAAACTGAGGTCATAACGACCTTTGGGGGAATAGAATTAACAATTGACATCCGTGTGGTCGAGTGGTAAACACCCCCACCAGCTGGCACTATATGTGTCCAAACAAGTTAGCTCACGGGAGTTGAATGGTGTTGTCAATTAGTACCGGGAAATATCAACTTAGAGCAGAACATTCCAAAGTGACCGACAACGGCACAGGAGGAGTTCCTCTGAGTTGATGTTTTGTTTTTTGGTTGAAATTTTTACTCAGATTACACAATCGCTATATCAGGATATCAAGTTAGATTTATTTCAAATCGATTGTGGAGCGCGGTATCGCGTTGGGTGATTTATGGGTGATATCCTAGTTGATGCAAATGAAGCTATTCACAAGTACCGCCTAAGTACATGGTGGGATTAGGCAAAATAGATGCGACGTGGGTTCAAATCCAGCTTTCGCCAAGACTATATTTTGGTTTTATTTTATCCATAGAAAAATGCTTATAATCGATGTCAGTTTATAAAATTGAAAGAGCTCTGTGAAAAATGCTTTTGGTATCCGAAAATCCTCTCGGGGAATAATGTACAATCGATACAAGGCCAGATCTAAACTTCAATCACAAAGATGGAACTAAAGCTGCTCAACACTCGCAAGGAGTCTATCAAGCATATCATTGTCCACAATTGTCTCCTTCTCTTCAACAACCCTCCCAACAGCCCTCCCAAGCGCCGCCAATCTCTTCCATTTAATCGACTCCTCGAGCTCTGAACTCTTCTGTCTCGCCACATCAATCACAGAAGGAGGCAGATTCGCCAACCGCGCCACATTCAATCCGTAACTGCGGTGCGCGACGCCTTCGGTAACCTCATACAAGAACGTGATATCTTCGTCCCCTTCTTCACCGGATTCGGTGAATCCCATATGCACGTTCCGCAGCTCCTGGTTTGGGAATGCGCTGGCCATTCGTGAAAGGTGCTGGTAGTGTGTAATGAACAATGTGAGTGATCGAATCGAGCGAACCATGTAGTCCAGGACGGCTTGCGCGATGGCGACACCGTCGTGGGTGGATGTACCGCGGCCAAGTTCGTCCAGGAGGACTAATGAGCGGGGTGTTGCTTGTTTGAGGATATCTGCTGTTTCGGAGAGCTCAACCATGAAGGTTGATTCACCGGCGAGCATGTTGTCGAAGGCACCCATACGAGTAAAGACTGCGTCTAGAAGACCAAGGCGAGCGGAGGCGGCCGGGACGTATGAGCCTATTTGGCCCATGATTGCGATGAGGGCGACTTGGCGGACGTAGCTAGATTTTCCACCCATATTCGGACCTGTCACGAGGAGTGCGCGGGTGGCGTCTGTGTCGAGCGAAGTGTCGTTGGGGACGTATGGGTCTGATAAAAGTCGCTCAACCATTGGGTGCCGACCTTGCTCGACGTGGAGGCATGGATGGTTTGTGTACTCCGGTTTGACGTAACCGGGCTGTTGAGCGATGGTTGCGAGGGAGAGGAGGCAGTCCAGGGTTGCTAGAGACTGTACACAGTCCCGGAATGATTGGTACTGGGCTGATATCTCGGCTAGCAAGGCCGCGAAGGCTTGATCGCAGGCGGCTGCGAGTGCCTCCTTGTACTGGTCCCTTTGGCGTATCAATTGGATCACTTCGGGTGTGTGGAATCGCGAGACTTTCTTTGTTCCGCTGACCTTGATCCAGGACGCTGGGACTTTCTTGATTCCCAGAGAGTTGTTTTCAACCTCAATCAGATACTCGATGCCAGAGACTGTAGCATATTGCACATGCTTCCTCCCCAGGCGCTCCCCAGCCACAGCGAGATGTTCCTGTAGGTCGTGCTCGACACTGCCAATTCCCATCTTCTGGTCGCCGATGTCTTCAGTCTCCTCTTCTTCACGGAAGAATGAATACTTGTCATCGGTTCGTGCAGCATGGAGGTTGATCTTGTCTAAGTACCGGGTGACATCTGCTCGGATAGTTGGAAGAGACGCAATAGCGTCACTGATCAAAGGTGATTCGAAGCCCGTATCAGCGACAGATTTGACATCCGCAAATTCCATTGCGATCATTTGCATGGTTTGCAGAACGGTGAGAAGCTCCGGTCGAGAGCACTTATGGAGTTAGCGGGAGATTCGCAAACGGAAATGAAGCAACATACCTTTCCATAATATATACGAATCAAACTTCGTTCCAAATCACTCTTGATCTTACCTAGTAGTCCTCTAATCCGTTCCACAGAAACGGTGCGAGCAGGATTCATCAGTTCTTCAACCGAATTGGTACGCTCCTCTAAGCGGCCTTTGTCTAGCAATGGCCGCCCAACCCAGCGTCGCAACAACCGCCGGCCAAACCGCGTTTGTGTACGGTCCATCATCCAAAACAGACTGCCCTTCACCGAGTGATCTGTCTGGTTTTGGTAGATCTCTAAACTGACCAGCGTATTGCCATTGAGAAGCATATGTGACCGAGCTGAGAATGGCTCGAAGTACTTTGTCAGATCAAAGACATGCTCCAGCCCATAATCCGACATATGCTCAATCATAGCTGATAGACAGATCGTAGCGTGTTCTGACAGTCCAAGTACGTTTTGGAGCAGCTTGGCTGCCTGGGCATCCTCTTCCGTGCCAGTCGCTTTCATCTTGCCAGCATAGAAACTTGTAACATGACTGTGTGCTTCCGCAGCGGCCGTCTTCTTTTTCGGGACCCGTTCAACACGCACCGCATCTCCGAAGACATTCGTTTTGCTTCCAGACAGGTGCTGTACCAGCTTCTCGCTAGCCCGAGACATATCTCCGACGATTAAGATCTCGCAAGGCGCAATATGCAGTAGTCTTGTCTCAATCTCACTCCGCATGAACCCATCTTCAAAGTCATCATAGATAACATCTCCAGTGGCCGGCTGAACAGCAACAATACCAATATGCACCCTCTCATCGTTTCCTGAGCCTTTGATGCTAGCTTCCGTGATACATAACATGTAGCCCGTCGCCGGTGAAGAGCTCCCTGCAGCAGGTACAGAGCCCTCGAGCCCCTCGATATCATCAATGTAAGTTCCTTTCGTGTAAAGGTTGGTCAATTTCCGGACGAATGGCGCATTGCGGTTATCACCCGCAGCCTTGAGAGCAGCCGTTTCGATCTGGCGCACAACTCCAACCTTATGACCTGCAGTAACAAGGCGCTTCACATGGACATGTAGTCGGTGAACAGGAATGCTAGCAGAAGCGAAGCGGCCGATATGAGCCTCGGAAGGGTCTATGAAGACGATCAGCTTAGACATAGATCAGAGTATGAGAGGACCTCTCAGAGAACGACCTACGTTCATCAAATCTGAACTTTCCCGGAATACAAACAATGCCCAACTCCTTCGCCGCAATCCGGGCATCTTCTCCGAAGAATCGAAACTTGTACCCAACCTCGATCACAAGCACAGTATCCATATGCTTGCGCTTGATATCAATGACCTGTCGCTCCATCGGGGTAAGCTTGCTACCACCCTTCTTAGCAGCAGCCTTGCCCTTTTTAGGCGGAGGGGAAGGCTCTTCATCTTCGTCCTCGCCTTCTTCTGCCTCAACGGCACCGGCACCGGCGTCACTAGTAACGTTTCTTCCAATACCGATGACACAGTCTGCGCCACCGAGTCTCCGCACGAACTTCTCGTGTATTTTTTCCTTTTCCTTCCTTCGCTGTGCATCTTCCGCGTTCTCGTCTTGGGTGGGTGGTGCGGCCTGTGAGCTTTGGAATTTAAAGATGTCGGTTCGTTGGCTGCTGTTCAATTGAGATGGTGAATTTTTCGGGCCTTCTGTAGAGGATCGACGTTGTTCTTCGAGGGGAGGGCCGTTTTTTCGAGCTCGTTTGGTCGGTGGTGCAACGATGTCATCATCGTCATCTTCGGGTATGGGGTATGATTGCTTCGCCGCTGGCTCCGGCTCCGGCTCGGGGAAGGCAGGTCTCTTCTCAGATGGCTTTAAGGTCTCGTGTTCCTTAGGAGCGGTGGACAATTTTGGTGTTGAGGAGGGTTTTTGTGTGAAAAAGCTTGAGATGGTCGGTTGCTTGCGTTTCAAGGACGGAGATGGTGCGGAGGACGATGGCGAAGATTGGGGCGCCATAATAGCTCGATAATCTTGAATTGAGGCACGCTTGGTATTTCAGGTCAGAAATTCGCGATACTTTTGTCCACTTTAGAGCCAGAGAGCAGTGATGCCTCAATCTTACTCCGGTTGATCAATCAAGTTCGACGCGTACAGACGCGATGGGCGTTAATGAGTTGATGACTCAGCGCCTTGTCGGCGTCGCGATAAGCAACTAGTTATGTATAACCATATCAGGAAAACACCTCAAAGCTTATATGGCTAGACAAGAGTCACGATGAGACACTTGATTCGATTTCGATCATAAGGATTGGGGTATCTATAATCGCTAATAGTAATATTACCTACAGTGATAAACCTGTGCCACGGACAGGAGAGAAATACACAACCTCATCCACACAATATAATGAACACGCGTGATGCTGCAACGAAGGGATACAGATTCAGTCATTGTCGCATATGTCAATGTTCAAGCGCATGACTGTCAGTCTTAAACGGATTTGAAGTCGGTCGATTTGAAACCTCAAAAACGCCTAATCTGCGTTGGTGGCCAAATAGAGACGGGCAAGGTCGTGGTGGTCCTGCTCGGAAATAGTGGCTTCAGAAGACACCGCACGGTGGTACATGCCAGTGATTGTCCAGTCACTGGCATACGTCGGGTCATTCCCATACGGGCTTGCCTCAAAGTATCCCAGCTTCGAGCTCGGGGGCAGCAGAGGGTTGGATCGATGTCCAGTCTTGTCAGATCTATCATCAAGCCCAAGACCGCCATACAGCGGTTCGTCGTAGTAATATCGAGGCGTATAGCTGGTATTCTCTGTGTCACTTTGTCTTGGGAATGGCGATGGCCAATCGTGAAAGTCAATTCGACCCTGGGCGTTGATGATCGGCTCAATGTTCTCCTTGTCACGAAATGATGAACCAGCCTTTGCCACATGGTTGTTAGAATCTGATTTATGGTTCAGAATCAAACGCGCCGGAGTCAAATTGTCCCGTGGAAGCTTGGGGAGCCCGGATTGGTCTTTGAATACTGACTTGTCTTGGCCATCTCCATCCGCGAAGATGGTAAACCCATTGCCGCGTCGTTTTCCAAACGCCTGGACGGCGAGGCCAATCTCACTGTCATCGTCAAATGACGAGTTGAGGCCCTTCAGGCCCCCAAAAGAGAGACAAGAAGATCCATCATTGACGTCCAAGGTTTCCAATTCTGTTCGATTGCGCTTGTCATTCACGGCCTGTTTAGCGCGCTTTCGGTCTTGCTTTCTGTCTTGAGCGCGGGGCAAGTTGGAGTCTGCCCGACGAAGAACTTCTCTCTTGGGACGTGACATGCGTCTTTTCGGAATGGGTGTCTCCCCCTTCAAAGGGCTGTCATCTTCAACATTCCCGGAAATCACGCGCTGCTTCCGCAAGATCCCCGTCGGGGAAAATATAAGCTCAGTCGGCTCCACCAGCGAAGATGTCATCTCCATCATCGTCAACACACTTCGGTCCTTTTTCTGGTTACGCTTGCGTCGCATTTGCTGGGTTGCGGAATCAAATATGTCCATTCCTGGCCACAGGACACCCTTGAGTCTGGCCATTTCATCTGCTCGTGCCTTATCAGCATCAATCTCTTCCAGCGCCTTGCGGCGTATTCCACCATCCATGAAGGGATCTGGGATGCTGTGGCCCGTCGTCCCACTCGGTCTGCCTCTGGTGCGGGAACGTTTCGGTGTTTCTGGCAAAACGGAATAAGACTTCTCTGCACATCCAAGATTATGCCCATGCCCCTCGTGCTCCCCAATGCGCATTGGTGGTGTTGAAGTCTGATCGACACCGGTATCCGCTTGTATGGCGTAGCTCTCAGCCACCGCAAATCTCGTCGGAGTGGCATAGCTTGAGATCAGTGACTCGTCCTTGGCGCTCAATCCAAGTCGCGCTTGCTCAGGGGAGTCCACCAGGCGAGGATCCAAGAAGTCGGGAAAAGCAGGGGCTTGGGGGGGTATGAGTTCTGGCTTCGATCGTCGTGATCTTCTCTGCGTATTCTGAACATTGGCCTCGACCGTTGCCTTCGACTGGGGTTTCCTCTTTTTCTTTCGATCCTCCTTAGACGACATTCTGTCGGACAGCAACTGAGCGAGGTCATTGGTGCCATACCAGTCGTCATATTCTGCGAGGAGCTCAGTGGCTTGAGGCTCCTGGTGACTGCGAACCTGAAGCTTGAAGTAATGGGACAGATGAGACTTGGAAGCAACATGGGTCAGCAAATGCGAGACATCGCTGAATCGAGGTTGCCCGGAGCAGATAATGCATTGCAGCGCAGAATCCATAGTTCCAACAGGATTGGCACCTCCTAACCAGAAGGAAGTGGCATGCAGAACCCAAGCAGAAAACCCGGAAAGACGAAGCAAGAATCACCCTGCCAAAACAAAACGCCGAGGGAACGATGAGAAAACATGAATATGGGAGGAAAGTATGAGCGAGTTTGTGACGGTCATCGAGTCCGGCTCTGACAGGGAAGGTACGTTGATACACCGGGAAGTCACCACTCGCATGAACGCCCAACCAAAAGCAGAGAATGAGATCATGCGAATTTGAAGAGATTGATTGACAAATTATCAAAATATGCAATTTGTATCTCATTAACTATTCTATCTAGTAATGGAGTAAATTATTCGGAAATGAGCCACGATGTCTTAACAGCCTTAGGCCATTGTGGGACGGTATGAAGCGGAATAAGTCAAAGTGGGCAGTTGCTTTCCTCCTGTCTTGTATCCCAAAATCCATGGAAAAGGAGATAAAGGGTTATTAGATGACAGGAGGGATGTAAATGGGTGGATGTGCATGAGAATCATGTTCACTTTCCAAAGCATCGAGCGATGACAGATTTGGGCAGACAGCTGTTACCTGTTAGAAATCGGCTTTTTGAAGACCGCTGGAATGCTACTCACTACACAGGATCGATTTCCTGCAGGCCTTCAACCCCGAGAAGACTCAAGCCTGCCAGACCAAAGTGGGTATGGTAAACATCAACCATGTTTCCAGGTCGGTCGGCTAGGCCACCTCCTTCGGAATCCTGTAATGGAGTTTAGAATGGCGAAACACTGTGCGTTGGTATTGACAAACCTGGCATTGAAGGACGAATCCGGCAAGCTTCTTGCCATCAATCCAGTGAAGTCGGTCAATCATGGCTAGACTTGATCCGACCCACCAAGTATAGCAAGAGTCGGGAAGTTTTTCAGGGCGCCCGTTAAAGCCACCCTTGTCGATTTGGCGTTCACTCAGCCAGGCACCGAGGCGGTCCCTGTTCACCAGATCCAAGCGCCCGGCAATGGAGAGAGCACCAATGCAGGTGAACACTTGCCCAGAGTGAGATTCTGCACCGGGAAAGAGGCCATAGGCCCCATCCAAGTTCTCGCAGCTTTGAACATACGCAACCGCTTTGGGGACATCGACTAGGTCCATGAGATCCAAGAGCGATAGGGCATTGAAAGCACCATAGAGGAATCGAGTATCAGTCTCGCCCCACTCGTCACCCATAAAGGAGCCATCCTCACGATTCTGCAGATTTGCGATGACTGTTCTTTGATGTTAGTATGGAAAGGGATGTCACAATGCACAGGGAGAACCGTACAGGATCCCACTTTCTGCTTGCCCCCTCGACCTCTCTTCTCCAGCTCGTCTACTGCGTTAATCATGACCAGAACCTGGACTGCAGAGACAGTATACAGCATGTGAGCGTCATGGCCAGGGGCGGCACCAAATCCTCCGTTATCTTTTTGACATGAGAGCACAAATTCAATGGTTTCCTCTCGGGGCAATGCGTCGGGATGACCGAGAAGATGCAGGGCTGTCAGGCCCCAATAGACCCCATTGAGTCGCAGGTGCTCGGTAAGCCAATATTCCAGCTCCTCTTTCCTCTATAGTCAACCGTCAACTGTTGCGCCCGCTAAAATTCCTAAAGGATCAGAGTGAGAGTAGCACGCACAGTATCCAGGTTCTTGATGTACGCGACATGTTTCAAGATGTGCAGTTCCTGGTCCAGCGAGGTACCTCCAGCCCTTCCTGGGCCAGATACCAAGGCCATGTCTGTTTAAGGTGTAGGGTAGAGTGGGGGGGGTTACAAGGTCCTGCAGCGAGGATTGATTGGACCAAATGTTAGCTCTGAAAGGGGAATAAAGCTTGTTCGGCAAAGGCCGGAAGATCGAACAATCAATAGTAGCTCAAAATCATACTGTCATCCAGCCGTGCATAAAGGCCAGAGCCAGGCTGTGCAGAGCCGCGGGTAGGCGGACTTCCCGTAGCGAAATGTGGCTTGAGCTAGTTCCGTCCAAATTGGGATCGCACGTTTTGTAGTTTTGTGCGTGTGCACGTGACTGGGGCGGTGTGGCTAGGCCTAGTTGGGTAAATCGCCTTATGTAAGTCACTCCAATGTGGATGGTGGACATGAAATTCTATTTCTATACTGCTCCGTGCGCCGAGGTGACATGTACCCAGTAGCGCCGCTAGTCTAAGAATTCCATGTCCATGTTTCAGAATCCATCCAAGGTTCCCGGGAAAATAATTCCCACCATGCCAATTCGGTATCAATTCAGGGGTTCAAGCGATGGCAAGATAGGAACCAAGTGGAACCGATTAAATCCGCCACCTGCCAACTTTTTGCCTTGTTACGCCCCGGGCTTGCTTTCTACCAAGTTCAAAAGCACTTTTCATCTACATACTCCGTACACATTTCCACTTGTGGCTTACTCACGAACTTAATCCAGTCACGTGGATTGTCAAGTTTTTCGCGGAATGATTGTGGGGGTCATTCAAATATGTAGGTATATACTGTAGGTGACATTGCCACCGGATATGTACGTACGTGTACCTAAATAGAGGTTAAAGTGCCCGATTAAGCGTCAAGCACTTGAGGCCAGATTTTATGGATATGTATAGAATGATCCAGCATCACAAGGATATCAACCCAAGAATAGCTACTCCGTAGAGTGGATTATCGTACAACCCAATGGCAAAAAAAAGTCAACCCCACTCCACTTAAAACCATGGCTATGGAGGGGCACTTGGAGTAGCGTGCGGGAACAAAGTCTACGTCAATGGTCAGAATCTGAAACTCGGGCTAATTAAGACATAAAGGGGGAAAAAGTGGGCCAAATCAAGCGCCGTGCACACGTTTTGTGTGACGACAGCGTGCGGGATTTGCCATTAAATGTAGAATTTATTGGGAGTGGGCCTCAATGGTTTTTTTTTTAAAAAAAAAAAAAAAAATTACCCCTGACAGACGGTTAACAACAGTATGTGAATTCTTTGTTAGTACGGAGTATACAGAATCAGATTTCCTGCTCGGGTACCTGCCAACGTTCCAACCATTTATATCTGGTTCAGCAGGTACCAGAGTGAACCAGAATCAGGACAACCATGGGCCCCAACAGGTACCTTGCAATAGCACAAATGACAATGCTTGTGGGTCCACCAGCACATCCTCCCGTGGTTCCAACTGCCAGACCCAGCGGCTCCAATCAATTAGCGGTGGGGAGGCTCCGATCGGTGTAGACTGGAAGTACAGAATGTTTTTGCCTTGTACCACGTTAACACCAATATATTTCATTCCTGATGACCGAGAAACCCCAAAGAAAAACTATCTTGAATCCAATCAGAATAGTATCCAAGAATCCGAGTCAGGGCGATTCGATGAGGAATGACCTCAGGTTGTACAAAGACAGATATAACAAAGGATAGACATGAAACCCATGGAAACGATAGATGATGTTCACCGTCATCTTTGATTGCATCCTGGTACTGGTTCAAGTTTAGCTACATATAACTTATACAAAATCCCAAAAAAACACTGTTCCCCACCGTCGTTTATCATTGTGGATCTTTCTGATTGTCCTTTCTCCATATTTTTCTTAAAAAGAAAACGAGAATGGAATAAAACTGCTGGGACCTTGCATACTCTGGAACACATTTCTTTCTCTCTCTCTATTCTTGTCTTGACGTCGCTACGAACTGAGATTAGCGCGACTTGGATTTCCCTCCGCACGCTGATCCTGCTAACGAAGCCACTGCATCAACGCTAAAGTCCATTAGGGGACTTTTTGTTTGTTATCCAACGCTTCCATTTTCCCCTGGACAACGTTCATTTCTTTTATCTTTCTTTTGTTTACGTTCTTGTTGGCTTCTTGAAACCTCATTTTCGTGGAGTTGACCCCCCTTCGTGAGTCGCTTGTACCCGAATTATTTTGTCGATCCTCGATCAGCCGAAAAGAGGGGGAAAGGGGAGCACCTTTCAACTGTGTCAACTCCATACCCGTGGAGAAAGTGTCGTGTGAGCAGATCATGAGGGAAACTTTGGTATGTTCTTTTCAGGCATCCGCGAACCGTTGCATTGTTTCAGCGATCCGGTTCCTGGCCTTGTTGATGCAAAACATGGCTTTTGAACGACCCCCTGCATCTGTCGTGGTTTCACTGGTCTTTTTTAGGTTATTTTTCATCTTCAATGACTGACAGCATATCGGATATTCTAGATCCCTTCCCCCCGATAACCGTTCAACTTCCCCGATCCGATCGCTTCGATAACCGAGCTGAGCCTCCCACGCGCAGCTACAAAGCCTCACGCTGTAAGATCACAGGTGATCTATAGTGAAGAGGTATTTGCAACCTCCAGCCTTGGTCGGTTCTCTCATGCTGACCGATGCCGGTCTCTTGACGCACAGCTGGACCAACCCCGGCTCTACAAGTGCATAACACAGCTTGTATCACAACTCCCGATTCCAATTAATCCATCGCCCCCAGTCCTCGCCCAACATGCCGTCTCGACATTCGACTGTGCCCAATCTGGACTTCAGCTTGTTCAGATCTGACGCGAACAATGGAAAGTTACCGTCGCCTCTTTCCCCTGGTCAGAGCTCTGATGGGTTAAGCCCCTTGACACCGCGCTCTCCCAAATCACCGTCGAGCTCACCCCTCTTCAAGGGTGCCACCATTCGTCCCGTCACTCAGGACTCAAACGGCAAAGCGACCAGTCCGACAACTCCGGCTTCACCCAACACTTTGCCCATGGAGTCTACGGAATCCGCTACCGAACAGCCCCCAACCCCCGGGTTCACAGCCATTCCACAATACTTTCCCTCTCCTAAAGGCCCTTCCAAGCATTCACGAGAGCAATCCAAATCATTCTTCGGCAATCTGAAAGCCCCAAAGTCATCTCACCGAGCGCACCGTTCAGACAGCTCAGAAACCTCCACAGAACCTCCGAAAAGCCGTGGAAATTCAAGAGATAGAAGGCTCTCAATGGCGCGCATCTTGTCTGAATCGACACCCGATCTGCCCGCCATGATTGCTCAGTCAGAAGAGCCCGAAAGACGTAAGCTTTGATCCCAAGTGCAGCTGTTTTTATTCTATTTCGCTAAAATCTTTCATCTGATAGTCAAAACATCGTCCGGTGATAAGTCTACACAAAGAACAGGTCACAAGAAAGCCAGCACCGAGCCCGACTCCGCTCCCGCAAAGAAAAACAAGCGATTTGCCAATCTTCTGACGCGGTCTCGGTCTATTCGAGTCGACGAAACGGCTGCAAACAGAGCCCCTGGGAGACGACCTTCAACGGGCCTGGCTAAATTGGAGGAATTCACCAAAACTGAATCACAGAAGCCCGCGATCCAGAAACCTGCGATACATAAACCTGCAACATCTGTGACGACACAACCAGAGCGACCAAACCGACCGACAGGGAATCATCTTGAACGACCAACGGAAATGGTCCCTATCAGAAAGGAGAAGACTGCTCAGTCTATGACTCAGTCTAACTCCTTGAGTCAGGTGTCGGGGGCATCTGCAGCAATCTTTAGCAACCTTAAGCAGTCCTCAAGCGGTGCGGCAGACCGGTTGGGCAAAGCAGGAAAGGGCTTCTTTGGCAAGATTACTCGGAGCGGTAGTACTAATGAGCGAGAGTTGGTAACCGATGATTCCTATGTCTGCTCTGTGATCAATCTTCCCCTGATTGAGCAGGCACGAAAGACACGGATTGCGAAGAACCTGGGAGGCTGCAGGGATAAGACTGAGTTCTGGATGCCTGCTCTTCCATATCGCTGTATTGATTATCTCAACTTTAAGGGCTGTGAGGAGGAAGGCCTTTACCGAGTACCTGGAAGCGGCAGAGAGGTCAAGCACTGGCAGAGACGATTTGATTCCGAGTTAGACGTTAGTCTCTTCGACGTCCCAGACCTTTACGACATCAACACCATCGGATCCTTGTTCAAAGCCTGGCTTCGTGAATTGCCAGAAGAGCTCTTCCCCAAAGCCACCCAAGAAATGATCGCTAAAAAATGTGAGGGGGCGACTTCCCCTCCGCAATTGCTCAAAGATGAGCTCTCCAAACTTCCGCCCTACAACTACTACCTCCTCTTTGCCATCACCTGCCACCTGAATCTCCTCCACTCTTATGTTGATCAGAACAAGATGGACTACCGCAACCTATGCATTTGTTTCCAACCTTGTATGAAGATCGATGCCTTCTGCTTCCAGTTCCTCGTCTGTGATTGGAAAAACTGCTGGCAAGGTTGCTGGACCGAGAAGGAATGGGTCGCCAAGGAGAAGGAGATGGACGAGCAAGAAGAGAAGGCTGCCGAAGAGAAGGCCAAGGCCGCCAAGGCTGTATCGTCCAAGGCATCTTCTACTCATGAACGAGCTGTCTCGTCTAGCTCGAGCTCACAAGCTGAGGAGGAGCGACCTCGTCCTGAAACGTCCCGAGGTCGGAAGAAGGCCCGGCCTCAGAATATCGAGACAGGTGCCATGCACAACAGAAGCATCTCCCAACTTCCGGAACTTGGCCCACCACTTTCGCCTATCAAAATATAGGGCAAATATGGTCTGCTCTATGCCGTTTACGAATCTCAATCCAGTTTTTCGCAGCTTGAGCTTAGCTTGTCTCTGTGTATTCGATCACTTTATTCGGCTGGCCCGATTTTGCGCCGGAATTCGCAGGTCCAGAGACATGACCAATCACTTGACCTTCTCTGCTCTCCAGAATTAAAGATGTTGGCCTCCTTTTTTTTTCTTTTTTCTTTTGCGTGTTGAAATTTTTGCTGGGCGTTGTTAGTTCATCTTCTCGTCTCAGACCAGCATTGTCAGAGTGCATCCTCCTGGCGTCTCCGGTATCTGGATTTTTCCATCATTCCTTCATGATTTATCCTTTCCTGTCTGTATATCTTTTTGTCTCACCGTATACTCAGAACCTGGCGAATGGTGGGTTCGATCTCTTCTCGCTCTTTTCATCTCATGTGCTCGATTGACACAAAGGTCAATACCTTTGGCTTCTCTGCTTCAAGTTTTATGCTGCTCCTTCAGATATCCCTCTGTGTCTCATCCCATCTCGCGTTTCTTTTATTTATTTATTTGTCCTGAATTTGGGCGTGATCTATTGGCGTTTCACTTTGTGTACTGTACAATAGCGGCGCGGGTGGCATGTTTCAGTTCAATGAAGCCCTGATATCATTGGCTGTCACGGAATACAAATGACTAGATTGTCTACAAAACCCTTGAAACAAAGTAGATATGAGGTCTTGAAGTGATATTGATCTAAACAATGCTTTTAATATGGCCCGAATCGACCGTCATAAAATGGAACTAAGCCCGACTCCAACCCCAACGCCCATAGAAACATGATGAGAAATCTCGAATGTACAAGCTCCAGAGATAGAGACAAGTCACAAAAAACACACCCTCAAACACTTTATTTCTTAGCACCCCGGCGATCGTTCGCCCGCTGCTTGCGATCGTTTCTCTTGATCCGCTCCTTGCGCTCAGCACGGGACATTCCCCGAATGTTGCTGCCCTTCTCAGCAGCATCCTCCTCCTTCTTCCACTTCGACTCATCAACCTCAACAAGCCACTGGTCCTCAGACTTGTTCTTTCCCTTGTATCCCCATCGCGGAACCCACTCGCCAGATGCCTCATCGTACACGAGCTTCTTGCGGCGCTCCTTATCCGCAAGTGCAACACCAGGACGCTGGCTGTACTTGCCGACACCCTTCTTGCGCGCAAACAGCTCCCACTTGGTCGGTGGCTTGGGGGTAGGCAGCGGCTTGTGGCGAGGGAGTAGTGTCTGAGGTGCGGGCAGCGAGAGGAGCACGCCGTGCTCGGCTGAGGAAGTGATGTTGCATGTTGTCAGGAGCTGGTTGAGTAGGCATTGGGCACCATCGCGGGCGACATTTCGGAGCGAGTCGTTGAGAGATTCACCCTGGGGAAGCTCCAGAGGGTTAGGATCGTTGGCCAAAAGGTGTCCCAGGTCGAAGGTGTAGGGAGTTGGCTTGTCAACGGTGATAGGACTGCAAAATCATGTTAGTTCCAATGTTGATATTTGCGTTATTTACCTCGGACAAAGGGTTCTGTGGGTTACATACAGTCTCTCGGGCTTGGAGCCTGACATCTCGACGTCCGCCATTTTGAATAATTGTAAAATAGCAGGAAGCTTTAAAGTAAAAAAAGCGTCGGAGAGGTTATCACGCTCGGCAAGGAAAAAAAAAGTTGGTTATCAGCCGTCTGCTTTTCTGCCGGCTGTGACTAAGCCACTCTCCACCGCCAGCCTAATTAGGTCATACTTGGATTCCCATAGTCAAATTATTATTGCCGTCTCTCCCCCGACTTTCACAATCGTCTCCAATCCACCACACTCCCACCACCCCTCCCCCATTCCGCCAATTGATCGACACTGCGCCTGGCGCCAGTGTCCTTGACCAATGGCCTCCGCGTGGTGCTGGAGCTGCCTCTCGCGGCTTCGCCCAACAACACCGCGAGCAATCCTCCCGTCCGCAACTCCCCGGATTTCGAGCGCCGGCTTCCACTCCACCGCGGTGCAATATGCCCAGCCAGCAAAGAAGAAGGGTAACAGTCTGACGCCCATGCGGTACCGACAGGGTCAGACACTTCGGAGGAAGAAGAAGAAGACCACTGAGCGTTCGCGTCCCCCGGCTGTTGGAGAGCGCAAGGCTATGCGGAAGCGCATTATCCTCAGCAATCCCAATGCTCTGGAGGTTGAGGGCATGCAGGAACTTTCGGCTGAGACTATGGTTGATGCTCGTCTCCGTGGCTCCGTTATCGGTCTTCCTGTGCCCATGCTGGATCAATTGAGAGCCGTGGAGGCATTCAAGCCCAAGCAGGGTTGGTCTATATTCCGTCGGCCTGGTACGGTTTTGCGTCGTGATGCTCTGGAGATGGGTCGTCTTTTCGAGAAAATTTCCGGTGATGGTGATGCGCCTGAGACTGGCAAGGTTGTCAAGAAGATAATCACTGGATCGAAGGGATCTGGCAAGACTGTGCACTTGCTGCAGGCCATGGCTATGGGATTCACTAAGAAATGGGTGGTTGTCACTGTTCCTGACGGTAAGATTTGCGTCTTGAAGATTGAGGGGGATGCAGCTGCTAAATTATGGATATAGCTCGAGAACTCGTCTCTGGTGACTTTGCCTACACCCCGATCGAGGACTCCAAGCCGACCCAGTATGTTCAGCCCGGTGCGACCGCCGCTTTGCTAACTCGCACTGTCGAGGCCAATCGCGAGGTTCTGTCTAGTCTTCGTGTTTCCCAGCAACATCCCGCGCTGAAGGGCCTTAAGCCCACATCCACCCTCGTGGACCTGGCTAAGATGGGATACTCTGATGCTGCCCTCTCCTGGCCTGTCTTCCAGGCTTTGTGGAAGGAGCTCACAGCCACTGCTGCTGCTCCCGGTCTGGAGAAGGACTTCCAGCCTCGTCCCCCGATGCTGGTCGCCGTCGACGGTCTTGCCCACTGGATGGTTGAGAGCGCCTACCGCGCTGCTGACTACACCCCGGTCCACGCTCACGACCTTGTTTTCGTTAAGCACTTCCTCTCGCTTTTGCAGCCTGGTGCTTCCCTCCAAAACGGCGGTATGCTGCTTTACGCTACCTCCAAGTCCAACAACCCCTCAACCTACGCTCTTGAGGTTGGTCTGGACCAGCTGGCTGCCCGTCAACAGGGCATTAGCGCCTCCTCTCCTGAATATCCCCAACCAGAGGCATACAGCAACGCTGATGTCCGTGTTCTGGATGTGTTCAAGCCTCAGACCGCCTCCGGCAAGGAGGGCATTCTCGAGCTGCAGACCCTTGGTGGTCTCACCCGCGAGGAGACCCGCGGTTATCTGGAGTACTTTGCCAAGAGCGGCCTGCTGCGCGAGACCATCAACGAGAAGTGGGTTGGTGAGAAGTGGAGTTTGTCCGGTGGCGGTATCATCGGCGAGCTGGAGAAGTTGGGCCGTCGTGTCCGCACTGCTGCTGAGCCTGTTCCCGTCGCAGAGTGATGTAGGATTATATAAATGTGTTTTCTTTTCTTTTTCTGCATTGCTATCCAAGGATTTTTTCCTCATAACCCGAGTCCTGGGTCTGGGTCATTCTGTATGGTAAATGGAACTCCGGGCCTGTCAACCGTTTTACGTCTTCTGTACTTTACAAATCTTCAATCTCCTTTTTCATTGGTGTATGCATATAATGGATGTTCTTTGACAAATATGTATTCCCTGGTCATTCCGATCAAAAGTGAATATGCACTATTCAAAAATAGCATCTGTCTTCCTCCGCGGTCTCCCAGCCAACTTATCCTTTTCATCAATGTTCTTCCTTTGCTCCCGTCTATAATTCACCAACCGCTTATTTTTTAGCTTATCAATCCTCTTCTCCTTCTCTTTCTTAGTTTCATTGGGCATCTTCACTATCTTCTCAAGTTCTGAGTACCAGTTCTCATGTCGTTTATCGGCTTGGAATTTGAATTCGTGGTGCGACTTTGCCTCACGACGCTTTTTTCCCTGCGGAGGATTCGCCTCCTCGAGCTCTCGGTATATCGATACTCGAATATCATCGACTTCGGCGTGTTCTCGTTTTCCCTTGAACTTTTCTTTCAACTTTTCTTTCGGCTCTGTGACAGCTGCATCGACCTTTGTGTCCGTTTTGTGTTCAACTTTTATTTTCTTGCTCGTGTGGTTGTCTTCTTTGGATACTTCTGTTGTTGTTTTTCTCTTTCCTCCTGTTTTTGTTTCTGTCCTTCTGTATTTACTGACATCGGCAAGGCCTTTAGTACCTTGAGATATTTTCAAGGTTCTATCCAACATAGGCTTGTTTGGACGATTGCAAAATGGGTCGCGGATGGCGATCTCTTCGCCTTTTTTGATATCATCGACTGCCCATACTATCACGCGGTTGGGAACTTTGTGATCATAGCCCCAGCTTGCATTTGTCGACACATCTCTCTTAAAGAGACTCAGCCCTGGGAAGAGATACATATTCATGAAAGACGGATCGTGTTCTTTGAATGATTTCTTTTCCTTGACTTTCGTGTCTTGTCGATCAGGGTGCTCGGGACGCTTGTGACTATCACCAGGTAACAGCTCAGGCCCGTCGCCACGACGTTCCTCATCCCAGGGAACAGCGTGATTGAGCAATTTGCGCATGATGGTTTGAATAACCCACGTGTCGAATGAGAGATCTCGGAAGATATCGACGCCCAGGTAAGTCAATATATCGAAAGGAACGATGATGTTGCCAACATACGAGAACGGAATCAAGTCCACCTCTGTGTAGTCAACGTTCGGTACAAGGAGTTCATCGATCTCAAGCGGCGAGAGACGAGGATCATCTTTGCGGCGGTGAAGGGTTATTTCGAATATACTCCGTAGCAAAAGACTGTGCATCGTGCCGTATACATCATTGCATTGAATAATGTACTCCCTGTCCTGCCATTTCCTGATAACAGGTCTCATAGTATCGTGTAGCCATGACCAGTCTTTGCCACAGCTGCTGAAATGGTGTAGCTGACGCGCAATCTGCTGACATGACTTTCCTCCTGTTTTACCGAAGAACTTGCCATTGGTATTTGATCTACAGAAGAGCCGGTCATCGGGGCCGGGAGCAGATTTGCCCAATGGGAAACAAGGACAGCGGTCAACATTGGTTCCAGAGAAGAGAGAGAGCCGAGTCGAGGCGATTTTAATCTTTCGCTTGCAATTCTCACATCTTGCTTCCCCCAAAACTGCTGATTCGTCTCTAATCATTCGTCGAGGTCGGAGATGACTTCGGATCGTCGGTTCTTCGTTGTGTATCATCTCCCCTTTTCTAATATCTCTTGTCGCTAAGACACCAAAATCCACATCCTTTCTCATTATCCGACATGCTTGCGCCATACCAACCCCATGGAAAGTATTTGAATTCACAGTCTCGCAGAATGTTTCCGTCGAGCGATCCACAGGTGCATACTTGTATGGATAAACCCGTGCCGAGACACAGCCCTGAAACCGCTCATGCCAGAACAAGCTCTTGTCCGCTCTTCTTTTCGCCTGTCGACTATTTCTTAGAGGTGTGACGATGTCCTCGAGAAACTGAGGGACTTGTGAGTCTCGATCCTGTACCATAATCATATTCGAGCGAAAGGAGTTATACCGTCCATCCAAATCATGCCAGCAGTTCAGTGCCATGAGGCTGAGAGTGATTGTATGATCCAGAGCTTTCACGAGACTGCTGACGAAGTATGTGGGGCCTCGCTCTCGAAGACGCTGGATCTCAGGTTTGAGAGTTCCGTCCGTGCGAGGCTGAGCGAGTAGATGCTGCTCTATGGCATGCCATATTCGCGGGTACAGACCTGGTCGTCGACTACGTTCATCTCCGTTGGTTAAGACATCACAGAGTGTCTTTGCCCGGTATGCATCACCAAGAGCCAAGTCAAAGTATGCAAGCTGGTAATGGCAGTATGCACGACTGGTCCAGTAGGCTGGGTTGTAGGGACTAAGATGGACAACAAAGGTATACATATCGAGTGTGGTCATCCGGTCATTTTCGAATGGTTGAAGTACATATTTTTCCGAGGTTTTTTTCGCAGTCTCAATATTGCCAACAGACATGGTTTCTGTCTTTGTCCCCCATTGTGGCAGATTGCTGCGGGGCATGATCCCACAATGTCTGGCTAGTTCTGTTCTTTCTGCCCGGTCCATGAGAGCACTTTTATCCCCAGCAGTCGATTCACCTCGCTCCGCTAATAGCTCTCTGATTGCTGACGAGCTCCACGATTTCAGGCTACTGAGCTTGCTTTCTTTGATAATATCATCTCGAAACTCTTCGATGATACCGGCTGTTTCCCAGTTCTTTTCTAGGCCGTCGGCTTCGAATTTGGATTTCACGTCCTGCCGAGAAATGGGGAGAAGTGGTTCGCTCATCAGGTGCTCGTATACATTGTCTACAAGGATGTGGGCCTCGAGGTCACCTGTTCTTTGGGGGTATGGTCGGTCTTTGTGTCGTCGCCATGCTTTTCCAAGTGCTTGATCTGGAAGAGACCATACTCGGTAGGCAATTTTGGCATCTGTCTTCGAGACATATGGGCCCAGTTCAACCTCTTCGAAGATATTTGGTCTGGGCACTCCTTTCTCTGGTTGCAAGGCTTCTAAGGGAGGTCGTGGGAGGAAAGTCTTGTCGAATTTTCGTGCTTTATCACCCATCATGTGCTAAAATTTACAGAAAAATATCCGATGACTTTCGGGCAGTATCTATCAATTATACTTGTCTTGATTTTTTTTCTATTTCATTTCCCTTCCCAAACAAAGACTCACGTTGGCTACATTTCGATAAAGAAAACGCCTTGCCATTCGAGGAGAACAAAGAAAACCTGTAGTTTTTCAAAGAAGTCATAAAGAAACCATGTTCGGTATAGAAACTAATAGTAAATACATGAAGTAATGACTATATCACAAGATCTTATGCTATTTTTAACCGGATTGGCTACGGTGGGGCTGCCTCGTCACTCCCGCTCATGTTTAAGAGAACTTACTTAACTCCATAACTCCTTTACCGTGGTTCCCTTCCTAACTGAACCTCCCTTCTCTTCAGATTTCATCTCTGGTCATGATCCACCATGTACGGGTCAAATCAGTCCGATCCCCAACCAGAATGGCGACTGCCAGCGCGCCGTCCAATACCGACTTCTGAAGCTCCACCACCGCAGCCTCCTCGTCCCCCGACAGGTGTATACCTTCCGGCAAACTATGGCCCAATATCCAATACTACCCCCGTGCGGCCGAATGTCTCTTCATCACCCGTATCCCCGTTATCGGGAATGACAGACCCCCGATCATGGGGGGTGCAGTACAACAAACATACAATTCACGCCCCTCCACCTTTGCCCGTACGTAACTGACAATACTCTGGATGAGATATTTTCTGGAAACTAATAGCTGCTTAAAGCCTCGGCCATCGAGCACCAACGAACGACCCAATATCTATGCGCCGCCTCCGTCGCAACCGCAGCCGCAGTCGCAACCCCACTCGCCGGCCTTGAACCCCAATATACCACCGGCTTCACATCAAGAATTTGAAGCTTTTGCGGATGCTCGGCCTCCATCCGCAAACAGTATCCCACCGCCGTATAATTTCCCGCCCCGGCAAGATCAAGCGCAGACCCCGCAATATCAAACCCCGAATGTGCCTCCGCCGCCGCCCAAAATTCCCCAGGATCAGCATGCAGCGAGCCAGCAGAATGATCCACCCAGTCGACCTCCACTGCTCGCGCAGGGTGTTGGTCCAGCAGCGACACAAGGATCCTACGGGCGTGCTACGGATCCGAATGCAACTTCTACATTCGCATCTGCGCTGGGCCCGGGAACACCTTCTGATTGGGAACATTTAGGCCCAACGGAGGGTGACTTTGATGATGCACCATGGTTTCCGCCCAGGGATCTTGCTCCTCCATCACCGGAGACTATTCAAACACCTCCAGGGTTTTCTACGGGGCTGTCTAGACCTATGCCCAGCGTCTCCACGTCCCAGCCACAGCCCAATTCCAATCAACAGGCCTATAGCCCCATATATCAAACCCCGACACCGCAAAGGAGTGACTCTATTTCGCCTGTCAGTTCCTCTACGGGAAATAGGGTCCATGCAGCGCCCAATCGTATGGACAGCGTCAGCTCCAGTAACACTTGGTCACAGCGTACGGAGAGTATCGACAATGTCATTGATGCATGGGCTAAGCCCTTGGCCACTGCACCAAAGCCAGCTGGGTCCGACCAGGCTAGTTCGATATCCCACCTAGACCTCCACACTAAGAGTAATCGAGGTAGTCCAGTGGAGACTCCGAAACACACACAATCTCCAGCCCAGGATACGGGACCGACCTTCACTACAGGTGTTGCAGAAGTGCGAGGCAATGTTACAACCCAGCCCGTGGATCCATATGAGGATCTTGACCCATGGTTCAAATCCTCTCTGACGCGCTGCGTTGCGATGCTGCGCAAAGAGGCGGTAGCAGACTCAGATGAAGAGCGTTTCAAAATATTCACGGCTTTCATGGCGAAAGAAACTAAGCTCCGAGAGATTATGTATAATATTGAGCATGAATCTCCTGTCGTGCAGGAAGTCCGTTCCTCTAGAGCCCCGCAGCGATCACCAACTCCTGAACGTACGCCAGCCGTTGAGTCTGGGCTGATCCCCGTGGAGACTGAACAAGTCGAATCACCTACCAAGATCACCGAGGACGCAAATGATGACGATGGTACAGGGAGTGAGTACAGTGCAGGTGGTCGTCCCGTCATTGGCAAAGTCGGGCGCGGTTCATCACAGACGCCCAAGATTTCGCCATCTTCGGAGGAAATGCCAAAACCTCCTGCTCGGACTTACTCCCTGCATCTTTCAGAAGAAAAGCCGCCTTTGGAGCCCCTTACAACGGAGCCTCCACGGCCAATCTACACCCCGTTCCAATACACCGAGGGTCCACAACGTGGCTCGGATAATTTGACATTTGCGCGCCCTGCCTATCAGGCTTATTCTGATCTACGACAAGCATCGGCGAGTGGACGTGCGATGTCAAGTGTCCTGCCAGAGTCTGCTCCATTGACTACGTCCGCATCTGCGTCTGAACGAGATGAGACTTTTATTGGTCTTATCCGGCATAAGAGTAATGTCTACCAGGCAAACAATCGGCGGAACGCTACCCCACTTCCATTGCTGCCGGAATCACTCAGGCAAGGACGAAAGGAAGACTTGGTTGAGGATTTACGTGCAATGGTTCGGACGCCTTTAGACAAGCAACCAGCCAGTTCGTGGCTCATTGCAACTCGGGAGAGCCTTACGAAATTTTCCGGTGATCTATCCTACGTTCAAAAGTCCATTGATGACTGGGAACAGGCCGCTACGGCCCGTCGACGGAAACTTGATCATGATCGTACAATGCGACAAGACCAATCGGAGGCCGAGATCGATACACTCTTCAATGAAAAAGAAATTGGCTATGCCGATATCAATACTCTAGAGGAGAACTTCCGGCAGACTGAGGCCCGGACTCAGCTTGATGAGGAACGGAAGGAAGTAGATGATTTCATGTCCCAGGTTTTTAATCCTGTGGACGAACGTCTAAAGGATGAAATCTCGGCACTTCGCAAGTCCTATGAATCCACACTGGACCAGCTTGATCAGGACCAGAAAGGGAAGAGTACTACTGCTGGTCGACACAGTCCATCTGTCACCATGAAAATGGTCTATGAAATCCACAACCAGCTCGAGATCCGGTTCCAAAAGCGTCTCGAACTTGCACTGGATTGTGAGCGACGGCGAAAGCGGGCCGAGCGTCGTCCTCTTGTGTTCATGGGGGACATGGGCAGCCTTCGACAGCTCGATGGTGACTTTGACCTGATGGAAAAACGGAACATTTTGGAAGCCGCCAAGGACCGCGACGGGCGCGCCAACCAACTTATGGATTCCTTCGACGATGCCATCTTGCACGGCTTAGGTATGAATCAAAGCCTTCTGGACGAGCTTTCGTCGAAAGCAGCCCGCCTCGACCCTACGAAACTCCGTGCCTCGGGTCTACCCGATTCTGAAGTCGAACAGATTCTCAAGTCGGCGGCAACCTTCGCCGAGTCGCTTCGTGCCGACTCTGAGGCGATCCTTCGCACCTCGGGAGTCGCAGAGAAAGCTCTCAACGATGCCGATTACGCCGTTTCCGTTGCCGAAGCGCGATATGCAAACTCGGAACCGGATATCTTCGAGCGCCTCCAAGCCGAAAAGAAAAAAGAGGATGCAATGCTCGACCGTGACCTGGAGTCCAAATTGCAAAGTATCCAGAAGGGTCCTCAATCCCTTGATGCCACTATTCAGCGACTTATTCGGGATCTGGCAAAGAACCCCAGAGCTGCGGTTCCATCTGTGGTCATTGAGGAAGCGAGTCCTGTGAGTCAGTCTGTCAGTTTGTCGTCCCTGGAACTACCGTTGGAACTTCGCCCGGCCACTGTAGCTTCTCAGACCCCGGCACAACCTCCTTCGGATCTAAATTCAGAGCACCAAGAGAGATTACGTAGGGCATTGGAGAATGCAAAGAAGCGCAACGCGGCCAAATCTAGCCATTGAGGATTATTTGGAGGGTTGAATGCACGGAATGGGTCGACGACGCCACGAATGTCTTTTTGCACGGAATATACCCCTCATCGTCTTCCTGTTTTGATACCCTCGTGTTTCACGTGTTTTTACTAGTATTGTCGGATAGATAAATGTAATTGAAGAATGAGAACCAATTACGTGAGTATGATTTCCGGAGTAATTTTCCCCTTGTTACACAAAGAATTTGTTTATTTCTTATCTGAATCTGTCAGTGATTTTTCCCTTGGGCCTCTGACGAAACTTTGCAGGAAATCCTTTCAACCCTTTTGATCCCCCCGTACTTTTGACTGGACTCTCCACCAATCGCGCCACCTGATGTGGCTGGCTGCACCTTGACCAGGAGTCAAATCAGTCAAGTGATTAGCAGAACACGCACAGTCAATTTAATGCATATCTGCTCTTTCCTGGAATCAGCCTGACCGAGTGCAGAACACCCATTATTAGCCGCCCGGGCCCAGTGTCTGGCAGTCATCAGCCAGTCCTGATCCTTTGGAAGCTAGTTTCTTTTTTTCCTTCGTCCCGACTTTTGCATTTCTCACTGATCAGCATGCGCAGCAAACAGGCCCACGCAAAACGGTCACAATGATGTCTCCGCTTAGACCGCATCTTACAGGGATGAAAGGACATATCTAGACCCAATACCCAGAACAGCGGGTCGTACTGTGCCGCACGGCAGCTCCGAGACGTTCTCGGATTCGCTATGCCCCCTGCGCTAATCAATAAGACTAATCACAATCGATCCAAAGGGTACGCTAGTGCACAGTTCGCGCGCTGCTTCCCCTCTTCTGGACTATCGCGATCGTTGAGCTTATGCACGGTGGCCATCCGAATCACCAACTCTTTCTATCGGGCATTGAGGACTGGCCATGAGGCCTCTATAGCCTTGTTGACCTCCGATGCGCTTATTCTTCCTGTCTACGACGTGGGTACTTACTCATCTAGGGAGGAGGCTTGATCAAACTGCATGGCCACGATCTGGGATCCCTTGCCTCATTACAGATGGATCATCGCGTGAGCCTGTCATGATGATTGATATGCAGAGAAATGACATGCCAAAAAAATTTAATTTTTTTATGGTGCTGGGGCCTCGAGAAAGAATGCCAGGAAATGCGTAGCCAGCAACAAAACCTCGGCGGGTCGGACAGAAAGGTCAAGATTTCCTCCTCACTGGGATCGGTCCACGATCGCCGCCTACACTGACGCAGACAAGATCGCCAGCCAAGACAATGCTGTGCGAATTCCACCTTTGCTGTTTACAAGTCTAAAGTCAATCTCAGGCTTTACATTCGGTCTACTAATCCATTCCCATTCTTTGACCCGTTCTTCTTTGCCGGGTACGAATCTAGCCAATTCTCCAGCCTCAAGCCTCTACGCCATCGGAGCATGCAGCTTGCCACCAGGATCTGTAGAAACTGTCTTTTTTTACCGGCATAAACAACTGCATGCTCTGTTCAAGTTCGTCTTGGCAATCTGATGAGTGTTCATGATCCTGTCAATGATGTATTTAGTATGAGGAGACTCCACTGTGCTCGTCTTAGACTCGGTTTATGCTCGGAGCAGCCACCGAGACCCCAGGTCAGTTTCATTCCTAGTGGCAAGTCTGTGCGCAATGATGCTGATCAGTTATCGCTGTGCGAGGCAAGATCCAACGGTTAAGCCTTGTTAAGACATCATCCCTTCCACGCCCTTACCAATCTCTATCTTTTTCCCCCGATTTCCCATTCTCCCTTTACTTTCTCCGCGCGCCGCCTCTAGACCCTTTGTTTTAGCGCCGTTGGAAAATGATTCTAGTCCATGGGTTGTCTGCGCTCAAGAGTCAGTTGGCATTTTTAAAAATTTATCGATTTCTCTGACCTAATTTTTCACTGGATGGTGGCTTACGGCCCGAACTCTTTGTTTTTTTTTTGCGCCCCGAAGATCATACAAACCCTTATCCCAGTCCATCATGCGCCAAATCGGCACAGATGGCACAGATGGGCACAGTTGAGCACAGTCTCAAAGTCCTAATTATTTAAAGCGGGCGCCAGGGAGATCCGTTCCATGGTTCTGTGTACCCGCTCCCGTCCATGGGTCGGAAGAACTCTCCAGTGAATCTACCTAAATACCTTTGCCCATCAGGAGTCCACTTGGGAAATACACAACTTGGACATCGTCGCCCCCTTCGTATTTGATCATCCTACCCCTTTTTTCGAGCATGTCTACCCCGACTAGACAGTTTCACAAACTGTCAATCGGTAACATGCCTGAGACTCGGTCCCAGTCGATCCGAACAGTCCCTACCGATCAAAGTGAGCGTGAGGACGAGGGGAGTGAGGCCAGTGGCGAGGAGAGTAGCGGTGGAGAGTCCATTGATGAGATCACCGCGCCTTCTGGGATTACCTATGACATGAGCAATCTAGATGATGAATCTGGAGCTAGTGCCTCGGTGGGTTTCAGATCACAGTTCGAGGTTGTCAACTGCCGGGCTTCGGACTCCGGCTATGAATTTCAGCTATTGGATCGACCCAAGGTGCACGTTGGACCTGACTCGACTACTTGCACCTGTTTAACTTTTCAGGCGCGGCCACAGGCTGCTTGCCAGCACATATTTGTAAGTTTGTCTCTGTCCACAAAATGAGATTCTCTACCGTATGCGAGTAGAAAGGCTGCTAACACAAGGACAACTGGTAGTGGCTTCTTGACCAGCTCCATGCCTACTTTCACCCTGCACCTTCGACGGCCCGCACGGCTCTCTCCAGCGACGGCCGTCCCCAGGTGTCTACACGCGTCGAGGAACTTCTCAATGGTGCCAGCCTACAGACGGTAGCAAATGATCTGCAATGGCAGTGTCACCGGGACGAAGGAAACGGTAGCCATCAAGGAATGACACGAACAGAGAAAATACGGGACGTGCTCTCGGCCTTCAAAACAAATATTCTCCCCGAAGACTTCCGCCCAGATCTGAAAGAAACGACCCAGAAACTCACCGCAGAGTCCTGCGTGGTCCAAGGCGACTTCGAAGCGACAATCTTCCGACTGGCCGTTCACGACGACAGCGTCTTCAGCAGTGTTTGCAAGGCAATGCCCTCCGGCGCATGTGCATCAATCTACTACGAGAAGATCCAGAATCAGTCCCGCCGACTACTAGAAGAATTTGACCGGTACTGTGCGACAGGCGAACGACCTACCGATCCTAGCAGTCCTGGAGGTGGCATCGTGGAAGTCGAAGAAGTGGTCCTCCAACTTCGGCACACTGTCTCGCGCATTCGATCCAACATTGCCACTCGCTCTCCTCACGGCTCCGAGGGTGCTGCCGGTGCCCTTGTCGAGATCCTCGTCGAACTCGCTTCCCGCAATAAGGACCCCCTCGCTGGAAATAATTGGGGCCGAACATCTTTCCACGGCGAGGATGAGGATCAGCGCAATCTTTACCATTTGCTGTTTGGTTCGGATGATGACGATGTGAAACTTGATGCGGAGCTATTTGTGCTCAGCGCGCTCGAGGATCTTCATCCTTCATTTTTGACCATATGGGCTCAAGATCTTCAAAAGTGCCTCAGCAAAATGGAGGTTAACCGGGCGCCGAAGGCCTATCTTGTTCGACTCGGTACTTTGATTCGCTCGGTTGAAGCTGCTGGTGCTGCGGGCTCCTCGGGAGCAGGGTATAAGAGGCCTGCAGTTGGGCACCCAGGAGGTTATAGCAAGCGAAGTCGTTAATTTAACGATTTTGTTCTTCTTTGCATCATATCATACTCCGCATTCGCATTGTCATCGTTGGTTTATTATTATCATGTTTGGGCCGGCTATCTTGTTTATGTATTCCAATACCCCTGCATTTTGAATGTTTGTCCAGGCGAAAAGAGAGGTAAAGCTCCATTACACATTACATGATTTTCATCATTCACCTGCATCAATCCAGCATATACAATCTACCATACATCTGCATCTGTATCCGCATAATACTCCGCTCGAACCAAGTCACATCATCTTGGTCATGACATAGCTTGTTATCTTTTCTAAATGAAATCATTTTTAACCCAAATCCCAACCTTAATACCTTAAGAGCTAATTTCCTATCCAACCCAATTTACCCATGGGACAAATCCCCTCTTCGGTAGTGAACGACCCCATCATGTCGTCATACCGACCCAGCACTTCGGACTTGGGCCCCCAAATTCCATGGTCTGGTTTTCACGGGATGTGTCAGTCTGGCAAAGAATGGGGCATTCGCCCAATTCGACTACTAGTTCCATGGACCCATAGCTGATTTTGGTGGTTGACCCACTTATCGAAATCCCTGAATTGGTTTCATGATTTGTATCACTTTCGGTGTTTCTTTCCTTGTAGGTTTATTTCTCTCTGATTTCTACAATTGATTGTTAACTATTTCTTCAATATAATCAATCGGTGTTGCCGAAAACGCCATAATTTTTACTTTACCTGTAGTAACGTAACGTACAGTAACTGTGGAGCTTATTCACGGTGGAGATATTAGTCTGTGTACTTCGTACTCCGGACCCCGTAACTTAGGCTGGGCAATATTATAGGCGAGAAAGCCCCTTTTCACACGGGATTTACGTACTACGCTCTACAGAAGTGATAATTTCTAACATGTGGAAGCGTGGAAATTATGAGGCTGGTCCACTTTTACGTTTATACTTTATGGGAAGCCACTGTCGGGTTTGTTCGGAGTCCGTCAAGTGATAGGTTTGATACTGAACTTGGATTGAGATGTAGGATTGTAGATCAATCGATATTTGGAATCTGATTATCTAGATACATACCTCTATTGCGCCCTGCGGTACGGATGACCATTTAATGTTTTAATAATCGCTGGTACGATTTGAGGTTTGGAATAATTGGTGGAGTCAAGAAGCGAGCTGGCACACTCATAGGCCCGTGCAGCTAGTTTGGACCCGGAAATGGAGCCGACGGTGGAGAGAGTATTCAGGCTTCTTGATCATTCTCTACGGTGAATAGGCGGATCAGTTCGGATATAAATTTCGTCGGAAGTGTACCGAGATTTGGTATGTATTGTGCTTTTTATTTGTGTAGTATGGAGCACAATAAGCGTAACTATAAAGTCAAATGACTATATACCATACACATGCCTCATGATTAAACCAAGATCCGCAGAAGGCTATACGCTTGTTATAAGCATAATGTAAGTATTGATCGTTGATCGATCAACCATCGCTAGAGGGTTGGCAATAGTCGATATGTGGAGCCACGTGTGGATATCCGGCGGTGAGGCTGCCCAAGGTGAGGCGATATACAAACTGTAGACGACCTTCTTCTAGTTCCCTTACATCAATACTAGTATGTAGCAACTCTGGCAAAAATTAGCTTCCAAAGTTAAAGTGAGCGAAAATTGCCATTCAGTCAACAGATATGGTCTATTTGTGTACTGCGCATGTAGTGAGCAGTCCTTGTACGCATCGATGTTGTTCGTTGCAGGTGCACAACTTCCATGAATCCTATAGATATATATATCCAGGGAAACTTCCGAATGGAAACGCCCTAACAACTTAATATCATGATAGAAAGGGCAATGTAAGATTTAATAAGATAGAGAAGTGAAATCAAGAATATTAAGAATAAATTTAACGTAGAGTTCATAATATCAAGGCATTTAGCAGGTTGGTCCATTTCTCGCCAAGCTCATAGCTGCCTTGAAGAGTGTTTTAGGTTATATAACATAATAAGTGAACGTATTCCATCAAGGCCGGCTGGCCCAATGGCAAGGCGCTTGACTACGAATCAAGAGATTGCAGGTTCGACCCCTGCGTCGGTCAATTTTTTTTGGTGTTTTTTTCGGCAACAAAACCGCCGAACAGAACGAACATGATTTTCTACTTTTATCTTTAATCTTGCTTTATCTTTGATCTTTTTCTGGACCGTCTTTATAATTGTTGACAACGCAAAAATTCCCATGAGACAAATTAAGGACATGAAGGTCCATATTCATATCCCGAATATATGTAGCGCAGAGCTAAGTCCAATCAACCGGACAAATCCAACACAACGCGACCCTGCAATCTCCCCTCCGACATCTCCTGAAAAACTTCAGTCAAAGCATCCATCTTCTCCACCCGATGGTGAGCCTTAAGAACCCCCCTCGCCGCAAACTCCAACGTCTCAACAGCCTCCGTCCGATTCCCAACAGCCGACCCGGTAACAGTAGCATGTTGATTAATAAAAGCCCCAGGGAAAGCCGTCGCAATAGGCTGTGGCTCATGCTCCGGAATTCCCACACAAACCAACGTCCCATTAAATCTCAACAACGGCAACGCCTGCGCATACGCCGCATTCGCAGCCGTACAAACCACAGCAGCATGCGCTCCCAACCCATCCGTAAGGCCCTTAACATGATTCTTCAACGCCACGCCCTTATCATCCTTGGGAAACTGGGTGATATCAACAAAATGTTCCGCTCCAGAAGCTTTGACTAATTCCGCTTTACTGCTGTGGTCGATGCCGATTACACGTAGTCCCATTCCTCTGCTTGCGAGCTGGACTGCTAGGTGGCCGAGACCGCCGCCTGCACCGGAGATCACGACCCATTGGCCTGGGCGGGCGTTGCTGCGTTTCAAGGCCGAGTAGACGGTTACACCGGCGCAGAGCATGGGGGCTGCATCGGCGGAATCGAGACTATCGGGGATGGGTGTTACGTAGTTTGCTGGACCCAGGGCGTATTGTTGGAATGTGCCGGGGGTGTAGAAGCCGGATATCTTTTGGTTGAAGCATAGACCATCTGTGCCTGCTTGGCAGGGTACTGGTGGAATGGATTAGGGTGGAAAGAGATTGTTGAGGGGGTGGAGCTTACGGCAGTTTCCGCATGCACTTGCGACCCATTTGATGCCAACTCGATCTCCGATCTTAAGGCCGCTGGATTCGGTGCCGGGGCCTAGCTTCACGATTTTACCTACGCCTTCGTGACCGCCTACTTGGCCTGCCTGGGTTGGTGGGAGTGCGTGCCACTAGATGGCGTTAGACTGATGCTTTGATAGTGGAAATGGAGGTCATACGGTGTTGGTCATTATTCCAAGGTCTGAGTGGCAGACACCGGAATGAGTCCTGACTCGTTGATTAGCATTGTGTAGAGTCGGATGAAGCAGTTGACGAACAGGTTAATGAGGACTTCACCATCGCTGGGCTCGGGCACGTCAATCTCTACGACTTTAGTGGACACACTTCCAGGCTGGTCGTAGATAACAGCCTTTTGTTTCTGTGGGATCTCGGGGGAAGCCATGGTAGGATCAAAGATTGAAAGATAGATAAGCAGAGTAAGTTGATGTGTGAAGAAGAGTTCCCTGTATCTGCGGAGAAGTCGAACTTTATTTGATTTCTTTGCCAAGTGAAAGAGGAGAAAGGATCTGCCTAGGTCCTAGGTATGTGAAGTTTACCGTGGGGCCGTATTTATGAGTTGCAATACATGTGCCCTTGCATCGGATGTATGCTACCGGCCTCGGATGCACTGGGAATGAATCCGTTATGACCAATCCATGTGGGACAATCGTAGTGATGAGGGGAAAGGTGGAATTATGGAACCGAGGCTGGCCATGATGACGATGGTCGACGTTGAGATTTCCATGAAATCAATGCAGGAGAAATTCAAATCACCGAAGAATTGCGCAAAACATTTGCAGCTTTAATTGCTTTATAGATTGATAATCTCCAAGGTCCTCAGCTTTATCTCTGATATAGCTCCTGTCCAGCAGCGCCTTGCAATATGTGGGGCTGTTCGTCACACATGATTATTTGATGCACGTCTGCACCGTCCAGATAATCACACACTAGTTGATAAAATATCCTGATTAAACATATTGTCTCATCCGTATAACATTCCAATCAATAAAGAGCGAGACTGAATAATTCCAAAAATAATAAACAAATTCCACTTCAATATTGCCCGAGTTCCTTACCCCGCATCCCCCGCAAGCTCAGACCAAGCCGGAACCGGAGACACATCAAGCCTCAAATCCGCGTTAGGTAAATGGCAAGAATGGCATGAAGAAGGTAAGATGCCTCAAATTGGCTTATAAGCAATATATTTAAGTCCCAGCAAAGTCACGCCCCCATCTCATAGCGTAAACTCAAGCAGGTTACCCGCATAATCACGGGCGAAGAACCGTTTGGGATATTCCTTTCCTTGAGTACCTGTCAAAACTAACGTAAGCCCACGTCCAAACAGAAGGATGTGGAATCCTGAGTACCTGAATCCATAGCTCCGGGCTTATCAGCAGCCATCGGCGCCGACGGACCCCCTCGGATATGGTGATTATAAATTCCCTCTTTCAAAGCCTCAAGATCCTCGCTGGAATCCAACTTGAAGCACGGGTGCCGCGAGTGTTCGGGGTCTGTTCGGCCCATGTTTATATGAATCTGCTGCCCGCTCGAGCCGATATTGAACCTGAAGTCACGACTGATCAGCACGACCTGAGCAATTGCTGGAAAATTAGCTCATACCATAGGAGGGTTCCTTTTTGGAGCTCTGGGACTTGTGTCGGAGTTAATCCGAGGGTCTTGCCGTAGAACTCTTGTGCATCGTCTAGCGTGCCAGGATGCACTGAGAGGTTGACGTGGGCGATTCCTTGAATCATGATGGTTGAGTAGTGTGGCGGGTTATTATTATTTTTCTGTTCAGTCAAAGATAAATTATTGAAATGTTGGGTTATGACTTCAATGTTTGTGGCTATTTATTCTTCCCTCGTGTTACTCGGAAACTAGATCCCGTGATTGGACAGCGGTCACGAGACTTATACGATATCCGTTAACAATATCCGGATGATCGTAATCTTGCATCATTTTCTTTCCCGTTCAAGCAGGCGTCGCCGCCCTCAATCTGATATTTATTTAATGCATATTTAAGATCTAATCGCCGATGACCAATCATAGCTTGCCCCACCAACGGATATCATTTCCAATCTATGCCCAAATCATCTTCTCAATCTCATTATCCTGGGAGACGGAGTCGGTATTCTTCATCTCCTCATTCCCTTCCCGGTACTGCCATTGCTTCCCCATAATTTCCTTGAAAGACTTAACGTTCAACTTTCCCCGCACAATAATATCAGAAAAAGCGCGAACGGGCTGAAGATCATCCGAAGGCTTCATCCTCACATCAAGATCCGGAACAACAAATAAGACAGCGCTCAACCGACGCACTTTTGGGACCCAACGAAGACGATGCTCCGCAGCTGACACCCGGCCTCCTCTGGGGACGACCGCACACCAACAGGTTAAAATAACCGTCGCATCACCGGGAATAGGAACCCACGTGCCCGGGTTTTAACCCAGCTCCGGATCCGGTGTACCATCTTGGAAGATGATCGAGAAGATCTCGTAGTCCGTGTGGGCTTCGCATTCATGTAGTGATTCCGGAGCCGCGGTTTCATGGTTGTAGTCACAGAGACGGTACTTCATGTTGTAGGATTTGTGTGCCGTGGACTGATTGGGGCGGGCAAGGATGCTGAGCGATGAAAGTTTGGTGAGGACATACTGCGTACTTGTATTGTTGAAAAAGTCGAGGACATCGCTCAGGCCATGAGGAGCTAGCGACTCTCGCAGAGACTCGGGGATTAGGCAGTTTCGTATTCATGAGAGGTCGATGGTGAATATTTGGTCTGATTTGGTTTTGTATAGAGTGGCTGTCTTCATTACTCCTCGCCGGGGGTAGGTTGCGCTAAGCTTCGTGACATCTTCTGGGTGGGTGTGGAGGTGGTCGAAGAGGGCTTGATTAGCGGGAAATGGTAGCTGTTGATGTTGTTGGTAGCCATGGTCAAGAAAATTGAGTGAATAGATTGGTCAATGGAAACAGTGAATAGTAACAATCTAAGTAAAGACCATCATGACATAATGTAGCTGTAACCGAAGCTGGTAAATAGGAATCCGAAAATTGATTTGAAAATACCGAGATCTGACGTTTAAATTATCCCGAAAAGCCATTGAATAGCTAGTGACAACTCTTAACGAACATGTTCCTCCAGAACCTTCACACGGACATCATTCATACCAATCTCAGTCTGTCCAATAAAGTTGTCTCGAACCATCTTCACATTTCTCTCCGTCGTGTCATGCAAAACTAGATCAAATCGGCGCACAAGAGCCCCTATAAGATGATGCATCCATGACCAGTTCATACTGAAGTTCATCAGTAAAAGTCCAAGCCACATAATTCTTGCGGAATCTTACGTTTGTCCTGGACAACCCAGTGTTCCCTTTGATGCCGGAAGGAGATATTTCTCAAGGTTGCGCAGCTCCTCTGGCTCAAGTAGCCATCGCTCAGGTAGAAACCTGTCAGGCTCAGGGAATATAGCCGGGTCCCTCAAAATAAAGTAGGTGGACATCGAGACAAATGTCTATAAAACTTAGTGTTTGCGTGCCAGGGATGTGCAGTCTACATACTCCAGCTGGAATATCCCATTGCTTATACCGTAAAGCTTCATCTGGCGCGGAGCGAGGAAGTCGGGTCGTAACCACGGAGGAGAGCCGAAGACCTTCTCTAATTGTTGCAGTCTATAATGGTTAGCTCAATGTGATCTGGAGACAGTCAATAACACTGACACCTACCAAATAGGGAATTCGCTCCAATTGATCGATGGATGGAGTGACTGTCACATCTGGAAAAGAAGCAAAGAGTTCCTCTTTGAGTCTCTGATACGTTGCAGGATTGTTGAGTATATGGAACATGGTGATGGCAAGGGTTTGTGACGGGGCATCTGTACCCGCAAGCATGAGAAAGATGGCATCATCTTCCAGTCGGGATTGACTTTTTTCAAGCATCGGCACTTCTGGATTGGCCAATATAGCAGGATAGATAGCTTTTGGGTCATCTAAGAAACGTCCCTTCTCTGCCACATGATTATTTGACTGCATTTCAACCTCCCATTGATCGTATCGAGCGATTATCTGTTGAATTCGACCTCTCACATCCTATTCAACAGGTTATTTACTGGTCCTATGTTGGTAAATCAAAAAGTTACCTGTTCCATCGCATAGACATGTGCATATTGGGGAAGTGCCGTTGAAACCAGATGCGGCACCAGGTGTGCTATTTCACCCATGAAGTTGAAATGTCGGACCGGTCGACAGAACTCAAACATTGAATTCACTTTCTTCTTCCAAGTATCCTTGAGTTGTGGCTCATCTAAGGAACGAAAGCCAAGGTCGTCACCAAAAGCATGTTGGGAGAGGACGTCACTAGAGAAACAGTGAAAAGCAGTATGCAACTCCAATACGTTCTTATCCTTGACCGCCGCGGAAAAGTGCTTGCACAAAGAATTTGTATTTGCTTGAATCACTGGTTCAAGCTCAAGGACAGCTCCTTTCTTAAGGAAGTGCGTTAAAATCTTTCTCCAGGGTCGATGTGATTCGTGAGAATTGAGTGAGAAGATTGACTTGGGATAACCGATGCCGCTGAATAGGGGATCTTTGTTGCGGTGTTTTCCTGGGCCGGCGTAGACTGTGTTATAGTAGTCGGGGTCTTTTATGTGGATCTCCCATGGGGTTATTCGAACAACAGGGCCATATGTGTCGTGGAGATCATTAATATGCCAGGTAAATGTACCTCCTTTGATCAGTTGGTAGTAGATCTCATAGAGGCGCGTGGCGGCTGCTAGACGAGGGCCTGGGAATTTTGCCAAGGGGCTTAGTACCAACCGGTAAAAGATTATTACCGTGAAATAAAATAAACCGAAAAGAAAGATAGGGTAGAGATAGGTTTGAAGTCCATTCATTATGGCGTGGGGTTGAGGCAGTGGATGAGGATTTCCTGGTTTTTCCATGAGGTATACAAGAAAAAATATAGATCAGAATCTACTGGGGATCAAAGAGCGGTAAATGGTATAGGATAATGTGACCCCGCTATGTAGGCATTTTCCTTTTGGTGATAATGTCACTCAACAATGATGATCTTAACCTAATCTTGTAAATCGAGTTCTCGGCTGTAGTACAGCGTCTATACGTTGAGAGCATTATTGCCTTACACTGCTTTTGGTGATAGGGGCTTCACTTACATGTGATGATAACTGCTCAAAATAGCGTTATATAACGTGGGTGCTCAGCTGGTGTGACATGATATGCGAATAATTGATTGCATTGACATCTTAACATTAAAAGTTGTGTAAACTAATGCCGACTGAGCTAAAGACTCTACATCGAAATAAATGTATAGCCTGTGACCACTATTTAATGTTTCTGTTGTGCATGCTTATGGGAATAGACCGGGTGGCGTATGGTGTCAGAGCAGGGGTTATCTTGAAGCCACGGAATAGTAAAATACTCCATGTTCCCAAGCTAACATATTGCATTTCTGCATAAACTTAAAGTATCTCACTCAAAATGGGACTATGCAGTGGTATGTATATCAAAATTTGGTAAAATCACGCCCATGAATTTGATAGAATCGTCATACTATGGTGACCCAGGGAGACAAGGGCTTATTTAATCCCTGTGCCATGAATTCTTTTGTTCAGGGCAGTTTGAGATTGATAAACTGATCCACTCTAAAGCAGTTCAGGTCACATCCCACAAGCGATGTTGTACTTGTGCGACTGGAATCCAATCAATTGAGGCGTATCATGCATCCCCACCAATTAGTTAACGAATTGCTTATGCATCTTGCCCCGCATGGTCATTGCAGATCATCTACCAGAACAAAATATTGAAAATCTTTAATCGCCGTCACTTTGATGTGCGAATCGAGTCATGGAGTAAATTTGGCTCAAAGAGAAAGTTATGTGAACTATTATATTTAATGTAGCCGGCAATATACAACTATTCCTTCACGTATCACATTTAAAGTCATGACCTAGATCAAAGAGCGGAAAACTCTCATGGGAGCTGCCTTGAACCAAGCACCCCAAGTAGGGTACTCGATCTTCGGTGGCAGATCAACATCAAGAATGCCATCACGCATGCCGCTGAAGACATCCATATCCTCAATCTTAATGAACCAACCTCCACGGTCAAGCTTGGGATCCTTGTTGAAATAGGTGTAAACCTGCCAGATAATGAACAGCCCGATGGCGACCGGAGCGGCGAGGTAGTTCATGAAGAAGTCCTCGGCGTTCATGGGGTACACCGACACATAGAACTCAGCGATCAAGCAGAGAACGTTAAGAGCCAGGCCAACCCAGCTACCAATGCTACCGAAGGGAGCGACGTAGGCAAGGTCGCTGACCTCACGGCCATTGTGTTTCCAAGCCTTGCGGAACTGGATGTGTGCCAAGCAGATACTGCCCCAGACAAAGAAGTTGGAAATACCGGACAAGGCAAGAAGCCAGTCGAAGATAACGTCACCGGTGGAGGTAGCCTCGTTGATGAAAGCAAGGAAGCCGAATGCGATCTGGAGAAGGATACACCAGATAGGTCGGCCCTTGCTGTCAATGTAAGCCATCCACTTGGGAGCCATGCCGCGGCCAGCCAGAGCCTGGATAGTACGACTCGATCCGTATGTTGCGGAGTTGGCGACACTGATAACCGAGATGGTGATGACGGCGTTCATGACTGATGGAAGACCGGAGATACCAGCATTCTGGATAGAGACGACGAAGGGAGAGGCCTTGGTGTTAGCGCCTGAGGCACCAATGAGGTATGAGGCGTTGTAGGGCACGATGAGACCGACGATGAAGGTTCCGACGACGTAGAAGATCATGATACGCCAGAAGACTTGCTTGCAGGCCTTGGGGACGGACTTGGCAGGGTTTTCGGCCTCGGCAGCAGCAAGACCAGTCATCTCAGTACCACTGAAGGCAAACGCGGCGGTGGTGAAGACAGAGCAGAAACCGTAGAAGCTTGTGAAAGCGCCAGGGTCGTGCCAGTACTTCGCTCCAATGTATCCACCCTTGGGGGCACCACCGCAGTCGATGACGATACCGAGGATGATAAAACCGATGACGGCAGTGACCTTAATAACACCGAGGACAAATTCGACTGTAATCACTTAGTATTCGAATCCAATGGTTATGAAGTTGTACGATCCTACCTTCACCGTAGCCACGGACACCAAAGACCTGGATCGCAGATAGGACGACTAAGAACACTGCGATCCAAATACCAATGTTCAAGTCATCTCGCCAGTACTGGATGGTCATACTAGCAGCGGTGAGTTCGAAAGGTAAAATGACAAGCCAATTCAGTGCATAGTCCCAGCCGACGGCAAAACCCCTGTTTCAAAGAAGAGTCAGCACGGTACATAGAAGTATGTTATTGATTGATGAGGACTAACCAGGAAGGACTGATGAACCGGACGCAGTAAGTGAAGAAGGCACCATTTTCAGGGTAAAGGACGGCTAGTTCTCCCAGCGCTTGTATGGTTAACAATAACATGAAACCAACAATCAGATAACCAAGAAGCTTGACATTGTTAGTAAGCTTGGATCAATTTTTTTTCTCGTGCCTGGAACTTACCAAAGAGCCGGGACCTCCCTCTCGTAGAGCTGATCCCGTACTGACGAATAGACCTGCACCAATGGCACCACCTGAGCAATATATTAGCCACATTACGTGCGAGGTAATAACATCCATATTTGCATACCAATGGCAATCATCTGCATGTGACGGCCCTTGAGATTTCGCTTGAGGACATTTGTGCCCGCCTCAATATCGGAGGCAGGCGCTTCCTCACCATAAGCCGGAGGCGTGGCATCAGAAGCAGACGCCGGATGAACCGACGGCACTTTCTTCTCAAAGTCTACCTCGGAGGCAGTCATTGTGCAAAACTGAACCGAGTGTTCGTGGAGAATAATGGAACGGAGGCTACCCTGCACTTGGGGGGTAAATTGACATTATATAGGATCGGCCCGATCAGCCACGAGGTAACGCAGCTCCATATTTCGAACTAAGTTCTCGAAAATATCAATTTCTATGGACCACGCGATCCTAACCTGCGATCAGACCATCAGGGCTTGAAGAGATAAGACTCTTAGAGCGAGCAACGGTCCGTATTGGGGTATTCGCGGGACCAATTAGGGGCTTGGTCCGATACTACTCGGAGCTTATCAAGAAGGCAACTTACAGTGGCCCAATTACAAGCGGGACATTTTAAATTGGGAACCCTTGTCTGTGGCGAGAGGGGGCCAGGATCGCTTGGAATATCTTGTTTCTTTACCCCGGCTACTTCCTATTAGCTGGAAGCCTGCGGGGGGGGGGGTTTATATGTTTGTTTTAACTCGGGTAGTCGCTATGCAGATCGTGTATATGCATACTGACACGCAGAAAAGCGATAAAACCAAACCCCCTAGCGAGGAGTTTTGAGTTCATGGTCAGGACTTTGGACTGTGGCGATAAGCCAAAGCCTAGTGGAGTTGAGGTTGTATCGAGTCCACAGATAAGGAACTCTGTTGGAGCTGGAACTCCCGCCCGAGGGCGGCATACAGGATGGCGACTTGATAAGCCAATGTAAAAAAGGATAGGAAGCCATTGGGGTAGACCAAGGCTTAACATGGCTTAGCTTTTGGCATGCATGATAAATTACGTGGAGTGCTTATCGGACCAATTATATCAAGTTGTTCAGCGGCAGAAGTCTAAAATCAGACTAAGAACAAGCCAAGTATCGTGAACCTGGTGAATCATGGCGATAAGCATTGGATACAGAACATCATAATCAAATGTGAAGATACGAATTCGGATTATCAAATTCCTTCACTTCCGTAAATTCAGCCGCGGTATCTATACCCCTGAAAAGACCTTCTAGAAGGTCGAGAAGTAACTTTGGTTCTTTAAAGCTTACAAGGATTTAACTCTCGGCAACTCCGACTATCAGTACTTTTTACATATCACAAACAACATTTGCAGATACGCCCGGGCGTGAGTGGAATCAGCCCAGGTCATGATGACAGGAATGTATCTGGTCCCTCGCTCGAATCCTCCCAAAACAAGAGCTGCAACTCCTCTTGCATTGGGCGTCGATAATATCGCCTGGTACTCGGGCGTACCATGCCACCAACATTCTCGCCTCCGATCGGGCCACTGACAATGATTCTTGGCGTAGATTTCACGAACTATCGCTGTGGTGATTGGGTTGATGATATTAATCCGGAACACGTAGCGGAGCTTCTTCACCTCGTAGAACCGGTACGCGGCAAGGGCGATCTCGGACCAATGCGGACCATCGATGCGTTTGCTTTCCAGGGCGAAGATCACCCCTGGTCCTGTTTGCAAGAGGTAAGTGTTGTCTGTTTTACCTCCCCCTGATTTTGACGGTCGGCGTCTCTGCCTGAGAACTATTCGGGTGTATTTGCGTTTGAGTGGTAAATGATGCGACTGGAGCGCAGATGCGAGATTACCTGGTGGGAAGTAGCGAGTAGCAGTCAGACTGCTTGGGGGGAAGTCTCCGTCGTAGACATACCAATTGTAGTAAAGTGACAGCATTCGGATTGTAATGCGGATGGGTAATACTGGACACGATCGGTCAGGGTCGTCCAGCCACTTTTGCCATTTCCGCCCCTGCGTTTCAGCCTCGCCGTACCTGTCAGCCTGGGGTGAATTGGAGTAGACCACGGACATGAGGTTTTCAATTTGAGAATCGCAAGGTTGGAGGATCATTTTGGAGTCGCTTGATTTTTGTTTTTGGGATACTTAGCATCGAAACCCAAGTCATTTAATATCTATGTATGGGCTATGGGAGACCTAGATAGAGTTCTTGATGAATACCATTGATATTTACGATGATACAAAGAAGCATTAGGGTGTCAAAGCTCAAAGAGAGGTTTGAAAATACCCTTGTTATGTCAACAATGATCAGAATGGATAAAAAGATCGGCACTGAGCACGAGTCAGATCGCAGACACTATATCAAATTAGAAACTAATAAACTAGAATATTCTCTTTGTTTTCCAGTTCTTTCACTAACCCAAGTGTCGCGTGTCAAAGGAGCAATAAGTGGGAACACAGGAAGGATCTGCTTGATAACCTTATCTTACCTGAAACAAGACATAGTAAACTGCAAGCCAATGGATTATTAAATTACTCCGCGCGGTCTAGAATCATTATCATGTCTTATGACTTGGATCGACATATGGACGGATTGGGTGGGACCATCTCACCCCGCGTTTCCACCTGACAGCCACTACAGCCACCTACAGCCATGAAGATCCCGTATTCAGCCTCGGCAGCTCAGCTGATCTCCACCAAGCCCCTGGACCTCGTGCCGTGCAGGTTTCACAGTGCAGGACCTATGAGCACCTTGGCAAAGATACTCGATTCATGGCGGAATCACCGAAGTCTGTGTGAAGCTTTGCCCTAATGGAAAACTTGGCAGGCTAAGCGATCTGTCTAATTGATGCTTTTATCCGGTAAACACCGACTGGACTGAGTATCCTGTTACGGAGAAAGCCGAAACTCGCTCATATGTTAATCCGAGATCACATTCCCTGAATGGGAAAACACATCCCTTTCTCCTACTTCCCCTACTTTACTATCTTTTGTTATTTATATGATGAGTCTCATATAAGTCGGGATTGAATAACCTCTCTAGGGCTTGTTCAACGGTTTTCTGTTCCACCTCCGCAAAAAAACACTGTGTGGATGTTTTCCCCCCGCGAACAGCGCTAACCGCATTCGTGATGAAGCGAAATGTGGAGAAAAGTAGCGAGAGGTGAACGGCCGAGGTAAGAAGCTTTAAATTCCGGCTTTTTCCCTCTTCATCCTTGCAATCTCTGATCGTGTGATCATTCGTGCAATATTGTGTAATTCAGCCTTACGATCCCTGGAGGTCATGCGTGCATAAGCGTTCCTCCCTTTGATCCCCACTTCTCATCCCCACAAGGAAGTGCAACTGTACGGAGTAAACCGCTCGGGCACCGAAAGGAAAAACAAAACCAATGAAACCTGAGATTCGTCCCGAGTTGGCCGATGACCAGGCTTTGGCCCGGTTGGGCAAAAAGCAGGTCCTGAAGCGTCGATTCGGCTTCTATTCCATCGTCGGCTTTGCCATGGCTGAGCTGATCACATGGGAAACTGTTCTCACGCTGTTTTATGAATCTTACGAAAACGGCGGTTCTGCCGGTGCCTTTTATGGTTATATCATCGCCTGTTTATCAACATTGTCAACCTATACTGTCATTGCCGAGTTGGCTTCCATGGCGCCTATTGCCGGTGGACAATACTACTGGGTTTATATGCTGGCCCCGATGCGGTGGAAGAAAGTTTGCTCCTACCTGATCGGATGGTTAACTTCCATGGCATGGATTGCGACAGTTGCAACTGAGACCATTTTTCTGGGTACCATGATTGAGGGTTTGGTCACCCTAAACAACCCGGAATTTGTCCAACAGCGATGGCAAAACACGCTTTTGGCGTGGGCTAGCGTGGCTTGTACATTCTTCATCAACGTTGTGATTCCAAGCATCCTACCTCGATTCGAAATTGTGATCCTCGTCTTGCACTTGGCGGGTTTCATCGGCATCACAGCTACTCTGCTCGCATTGTCGCCCAAGAAGTCGGCTCACTTTGTCTTTCAGACGTCACTGAACGAAGGTGGCTGGCCTACACAAGGAATCTCCTATTGTGTTGGCTTTATCGGAAACATTGCAACCTTTGTCGGTGCTGATGCTAGTGTTCACATGGCAGAAGAAGTCGCCAATGCTGCGACCGTCATTCCCCAGGCGATCATCACCGGGATGACGCTAAACAGTCTTCTCGGTTTCTCTATGATGCTCACAATTTTATTCTGCCTGGGTGACGTCAAGTCGGTACTGGAATCAGCAACAGGCTTCCCTTTCATCCAACTCTTCTACAACAGCACAAACTCTTACGCAGGGGCGTCGGTCATGACTGCGCTTATCATGGTACTAACGATGGCATGCTCTATCGGTATCACAGCCACCGCATCTCGTATGACCTGGTCCTTTGCCCGTGACCAGGGATTCCCCTTCTCCTACTACTTGAAGAAGGTGAATAAGCGCACCCAAATCCCCATCGTATCTGTCTCTGTAGTCTGCGGATTGGCCTGTGCCCTGACCCTCATCTACATCGGATCCACAACTGCCTTCAACGACGTCATTTCCTTGACTGTCACCGGATTTTACTGTACATACTTCCTCCCCAGCGCCTTTCTTCTCTACCACCGGATCAAAGGAAATGTCCTTCCCCATGGCACCATGCTCGATGGAAGTCACCCTGATGCAGCCACTAGCGCCCCTGTCAGTACCAAGGAAAAGCCTACCACCCTTGTGCACCAAGAACCCGGTGAGGATCTCCCCTCAGGCTCCGAACGCAACACTGAGAATGAAGTCAAACGCCCTATGGAGTATGAAATTGCCCAAGCACCTCTCATCTGGGGCCCGTGGAAAGTCCCCGGCATTCTAGGCACTATTAACAACGCATATGCTTGTGTGTACATGCTCTTTGTCGTTTTCTGGAGCGTGTGGCCCCCGCAGACCCCAGTCAACTACACGACCATGAACTACAGTATCGTGGTCACCGCTGGCGTTTTGATTCTTAGTGGCATCTGGTACCTTGTTCGTGCTCGGAAGGATTACAAAGGTCCGCTTATTGATGAGGAGGTTGCTGAAATCATGCACCTGACACCGGGAGCGGTGCGATCGAACTGAGCGCTGGGCCGTGGAGATGAATTTGATGTTGAAAATGTGTTGCAGTCCGACTGTTTACAGTCGCCTGGACACGACTGGACATGATGCTATGCTGTGCGATGAGTGTGATGTTTTTATAGAATCAGGATACCCCTCAATTACTTTGAATGAACCTAAGGGAAAGTTCAGTGTCTGTACAAATTATCTAGAAAAATTGCGGCCTAAGGCAAAAATATTTTAAAACGAGTGACACACAGAAATGATCACAATTCTCCCCTGATTCCAAAGACTCTGTCTAGAGTTATTGCTATATGGTGAAATGAAAAGTTGCCTTTTTGAAACTCGAGCAATTGAAAGTCAAGCCCTATAAAAACATCTACAAAATAAGGTTTGCAAACAGATATGTTGTGAATTCTCCCTGGAACCCAAAAATACAATCCAGGCTAGATTCAATCAGGAAATCAAAGTTATTGTTTTGAAATGTGAGAACCCTTGAACATTAGCCATGGCGAAAAATCATCTAAATTATATAACTCACCCAAAGGAAATGATGGATTCAAAAAAAAGCTTAGACCCAGTCCAGCCGCGAATCAGAGTAGACGATCTACAACACCACCAACAAATCAGCATCCTCCCTCACGAACATGTTCACAGGAAGCTCCGCCGGTCTTCAGACCAGCACGATTCCCGCCGATTGAGTTCCGGCTTACAAGAAAAAGGAAAAGCGTCTTAAAGCTGCAGATGACCCAACGAGTGTTTGCAGATGGTTTTCCTGAGCAGCATTCTGACAGGCCAAGCATCATGACGGACGCAGGAGCGTGTTCCAATATTCGCCTTTGATTTGACCACAGCATCACCTGGATAAAGTGACCCCCAGCGACCCCTGCACCCATTAGGAAGACCATTATCGCCCAGTGCCTATTTCATGCGAATTTGCACTGTACTGACACTCTATATCCACACGGAATAATCAGGACAAAATGGAGTCATTTGGACCATACCCGCTCCCAAAACAATTTGTCCTCTGTTTCGATGGAACAGGAAACAAATTTGCCGGAGATGCATCTGATACGAATCTCGTTAAGATTTATCGCGTAACTCCTCCTTGCCTCCTTCCTTCCCTCCTCTTCCCCCAGAGACAAACACCATGACTTATGCCAACTAGATGCTAGACCGCAGCCAAAGCCACCAATACCACTACTACCAGCCCGGAATAGGAACATACATCACCTCCCACAACCTAGGAAGCAAAAGCCGCCTGGCACGCATTAAATCCGCCTACAAAAAAGCCAAAGATGCAGCCCTCGGCTCCTCATTCGACGAACACGTTCTCGGTGGCTATAAGTTCCTAATGCGCTACTACATCCCTGGCGATGATATATATTTCTTCGGTTTTAGTCGCGGGTCATACACAGCCCGGTTTCTGGCTGAGATGCTGGATTTTGTTGGGCTTCTTCAACCGGGGAACGAGGAGTTGATTCGGTTTGCTTGGAAGACATTTGCGAAGTGGCAGCAGCGTAAGGATTCGACGGAATATGATCGCGAAGAGAAGAGGCGGCTGTTTGGTTTTATGAAGGCTTTCAGGGAGACTTTTAGTAGGCCTGTTGGGAGGGTGAGGTTTATGGGGTTGTTTGATACGGTCAATAGTGTGGCTATGTTTGAGAATGCGTGGATGGAGAGGAACAAGTTTCCTTATTCGGCTCATAGTAGTGCGAGGGTTATTAGGCATGCTGTTTCGATTGATGAGAGGAGGGCGAAGTTTCGACAGGATTTGATTTCGGGTATCAGGTCGGAGGATGTCGGGGGTGGGCATCGGTTGAGAAACTTGATGGATCATGATCCTGAGAAGGCGAATGTGCCGGAGATTGTTTTGGATGGTCATGGAGGTGATCGGAGGGAATCGAGGAGGGAAACTGGACATGATGAGGAGCGATATCGAGCTTCTTCCCCAATGCCGAGTCGAAAGGTCAGTACTGAGATACTGATTCATGGATCGGTGAATGGTGGTTTGATGCCTGATGGGATCTCGCTTAAGAGCACCGTCTCTAGAGCACATCTTCGAATCCCAGGTCTCCATATACCAGACAGTGAAGAAGATAATGAGCAAGACATTTCCGAAGTCTGGTTCTCTGGACAACATGGCGATGTTGGTGGAGGCTGGAAGCTCAATCCGGAAGATAAATGGCCTTTAAGCCATATCCCTCTCGTGTGGATGGTCAAAGAGGCACAGCTTGTCGGGCTGGAATTCGACGCCGAGAAGCTCCGACGCTTCAACTGCTACGAGGGGCCCAATCTAGTACCCAAAGACACAGCTTTGAATGGTTCGTCAAACAGCCACGGCAGCCAGTGTCGTGATCGTGATGCTTTCCACGACACTCTCACCCAGACCATGGACCATGGTATCGTCCACGATTGCCTGACGTACGGTGGGGGTGTATCTTTTCTCTCAACGCTATCATGGCGACTAATGGAGTATCTACCGTTTCGCCGGATGGATCTCCAGGCCGATGGGTCTTGGAAGCCGATTCGCTGGCCTCTTCCTTGTGGAGAGGTGCGTGATATTCCTGATGATGCGCAGATTCATGTTTCCGCTATTCATCGTATGCAAATTGATCCTACCTATCGACCAGGAAATCTTATTATTGGAGGTGGTGGGCGAGGTATAAAACGGGCTCCTAATAAATATGGGATCGGGGAGTGGGAGGTTTGTAAGCATGCGGATGATATTGTGAGACGGACTTATATTCGTAAAAAGCCAGATGTCCTCTCTCAAGAGATACGTTCTTCGGTTTGACTTTTCTGATCTAGATCATTCTATGGATCCTTTTCGTCATATTTGCAATATTCAAGTTTTTAGGTCATCATTTTCTGCATTGAGATCAGATGATCAGGTAATCATCCTGGTGCGTCCTGTCAGGACTATGTGTCTGTAAACGATAAGCAATTATATCAAATTGCAGATTTAGGCGATTGAACTCACGAAAAGCATCCAGGGAGAATTGCTTCGATCATGCGCCGGTTTCTGCGCCCGTGCATGCCATACTTTTTCAAGTAGGGTCTGCGGCGCCGAAACACCCATCTCTGATCTGGCATCAATTTCTCTCAACCGCAACAAGATATAGTGTCGTGAATGCGGAGAAAGACAATCCGCTCCAGCCATGAACAAGGGGAGTACCAGAAGTTCGATCAACGGGCTAGACCCTGGAATATTTGCAATTGAATCCAAAATTTTGGTGACCGAGTCTTGTATGCATGGCTCGGCAGCAGATTCCATCTCGTCTAGAAGACGTCGAGTGCGCAGAATGCAGGTGTGACGATATGCCTCGGCAACAGATGGCCAAAGCGGATTTTCATCGGGGTACAAACAACATGAGCTATCCCAGATATAAAACTTGTGAATCAGGCTTTGCAAGCTTTCATTATACTTCTTGGTACCCAGGTCACCGGTTGAATGAGTCTTGGCATGCTCGAGTACTTCCCCGATCAGCAAGACTAATTCACGGGGACAACCATTCACCGACTCAAATCGCAAATTACCCAATGATAGTAGTTTCTTGCGAAGCCTTTGAGAGAAACACAGTCTCCCAGGGGCGGAAAATGCGCGAATAATATCCAGCCTGAAAGGAACAAGTCAGAATCAGTTAGTGAGTTGACAAAAGCAGACCTACCACGCCAAGTTTCCTAAAAAGAAAACCGTTCGTTCATCTGAAACTGACAACTGCTGGTCCAGCATCAACTGAGAGCTAATCGACATGGCGCCAGAAATGTGAGCTCCATGGGACGATATGCCCGATTCACATAACTGAACGTATTAGCGTTGCCGAAGAGAATATAAGCACATACTTACATCATGCAGAAGAAGAATTTGAATGGTGGCAAAAACACCATCCCGATCATCCGCGCTGAAATCCCCGGAGCATACCTTCTTGATCGCAATGCTAAGCTCGGTGATTGCTTTAAGACGATAGTATACTGCAACGTCTTCGTAAAGGTGTCTATCAGATTTCAAATGACCAAGATGGCATGCAGAAAGCGCGAGCACCGAATATAAGAGGCCAATTTGTTCGTGGGCTAGGGGGATAACATAAAGTCGATAGGGGTTTTCACTGCTATCGATCGGCTGTGCTATCTGATGTGGGCAAATAAAAATGTCATCTGTGTTCAAGTTAGCAAAAATAAGGACCATAGGATGAAGCAATTTACAATGGGAGAGTAGAGTTGCAGTTTCTGCTGACTTGAGAACTTTTTCGATCTCGGGTCCGTCATTTGGCGTGAGACCTTGAGAAATAGAAGCACTCCCGGGGGTACTTGACCCTGAAAAATTGTCTCTCCTGCTCGTCGGGGGGTTATCTGCTGATACAATTTCATCGATAGGAGCATCTCGATTCTTCCACTTCCCTCGGCTGGCAATCCCGCAAAATCGAAATTTGTCGGGATACCCGCCACATTGAAGTCCTTTGCTGATACATCGCTTGCACATCGGCCGCGTACGATCACACCGTCGTGATTTTTGACGACATGTCAGACATGCGGCATCTATTCCATTAACCATATGAGACAAGTTCTAAGCGAAATTCGGGCTAGATTTACCCACTGTTCGGTTTCATGTCCGACGATCCCAGACTGGATTGCCCGATGGGCTTCAGTCTGTCAAGACTCGGTGTGATTCGATTTTAGAAAAGGCATTTCGATCTCTCTGCTGTTCAAGTATGGTAAGAAATGGAGGTCAAAGTTGGGAGAGGGGCCGAATCCCGATTATGTCATCTTTGACTATTGATCCAGGCATCGAAGATATGATCATGGGAACTTTAAGACTTTATTTGCGCGACAAATAAATAAATTCAGCTCTATTTGTCATGAAACACTTGAATAGATCTTATTTTAAGATTATCTATTCAATCAATCGATGTTAAATATCGGAATAATTCCATGAGAACTTAAGTGTTCGCCACGACTCAATAGGATAGTCTGGGCCAATTTATCTTGATCAAGCCATCTAAATCTCAATCAATCTCGATAATCTCTGATTGACGCTGGAAATAGCCTATAGGCTGAGACTGGAGTTGGAACCTTAAAATTCGTATCTATGGAAACCCCTTTTACATATACAATAGATTAAAGAACTCAATTCTTCTTATTAGAAAGTATACTTGAATAGGTTTCTAAATAAATCTACCTTCCATAGGTGTGTCAAGACCACTCTAATATTGGGAGGTATTTTATACATATTTCTCCACGTTTTCGAGAGATTCGGGGATCGGAGTAACTCACTCGGGGTAATGATAAGCCGAGGAGCGAACCCCGTGGCAACGTGCAACGTGCATGTAGCATGTACTTCTGTAATGAATTTCTACGGCTTTCGTGTCAGATTTCAAGATTCCTGCAGTCTTTATACATCTCCGGTTCATCTGAACTTATTCTAGCTAAAATTTGCGCTCTAATGATCCTGTATCAAAGACCTACTTACAAGGCCTTTGCAAACTCTGCTGAATACATGTAGTTGTACGTTGACGATGAAGATCGAATACATTATCTTATTAGCAGCTAATAAGACACATCTAACCGAAAATAAGTACCGAGAACCTTGAACTGTTCTTGGAGTGTCACATAAAGTGGTGTAGACAGCCGAGAAGTGGAGAAACGCGGGGTGCCCCAGTTTTTCTCCCGACCCCAAATCTTCACTTTCCTCTATCTCTTCCCTCGGCCATTCTTGATCATCGGGCTATCGCCGCGATATCTAGACCGGTCCAGCCCTCTGTGGATACTATTCCGTGCATCTTATCTAGCCTGTACGTCATGGTCGATCCTCGATAGGACGTGAGCCTTGCTATAGCACAATGCCGAACACGGCACCCATGCACCACTTCACCCCTGCCAATCAGCGGCCAGGTGATCTCGATAGAGACCAGAGTCCGGCTGAATACTCATCTGGGGAGGACTCTGACAATGATCTTGGCAATGGCTCCGGCAACGCGCGAGCCTTGAAACGGAAACGACCTCTTACCGTCTCGTACGTACCCGAGCCAATTACGCTGGCCTGCCTGGCGCATGGCTGAAGAATGATTCCCACTAATGGTGGTTCCAGATGCGAACTTTGCAAGCAGAGGAAAGTCAAGTGCGGTATGTGGCGATCGCGGTTAAAAATTGGAATATAAGCTAAATGTGACTCACCTTAGATCGTGTGCAACCGAGCTGTGGCTGGTGTACTCGTAACGGCCAGTTATGTGAATACAAAGAACGGAAGAAGCCTGGTCTGAGAGCCGGGTATGGAAAGGAGCTAGAGCAGCGACTGGGTAAGGATATCATGTTAATTTTTATTGAGGAAAACTAATGCGGTGGTAGATCGACTAGAAGAGGTTATCCAATCACAAGCAAGGCTGATCGAGATGCATATTTTGCAAAACCAGCATCCAATAGGAAACCATAGAGGATCCATCTCCTACAGCTCGCCATCCGAACCATCTGCAGTCCACGGCCCCAGCCCCCGCGCGGCTCTCTATTTCAATGATCCCGCCTCTTCAATCACTTTGCCTTCCCGCCGTGCAGATGTGTCGATCACTAGCCCTTCGGATACTTCAGTCAAGAATCTTGTTTCAAACGGCCTACAAAATGGGAGTGCATCGGCCATGGCCTCATTGCCACCACAGGGTGCACATAATAATGATTTCACGGGCAACGAATCATCCTTGTCCGTACCAGTCAGTATTTTTGCAAACCAAGAACAGTCATTAGCCGACCCAGACCTCGACCTACCTCCATATGATTTGCTCTATGCCTTGGTCGACCTGTATTTTGAGCACATTAACTCCTGGTGTCCTATTCTTCATCGTCGATCTACATTGGACACATTCTTTGGCCCATCACCATTGGAGGAGTCGGACCGCATGGTTCTCTATGCCATTGTTGCAACCACATTACGGTTTTCAAATGACAGTCGACTCAGTGAACATAATCGAAAGCGGTACCATGATTCTTCAAAACAGAAAGTCCTGTTATACGGCCTTGAGAATTCGTCGGTCAAGGCTCTACAAGCACTCGTGATCTTAGCTTTGGATCTGGTTGGAGATTCAAATGGACCTCCTGGATGGAAGCTGCTGGCCTTGATTACCCGATCCGTTGTTCAGCTGGGATTGGCAGTTGAGTCTAAATCATCGCTCATCGCTCCAGTCTACCCCTCTATCTATACGCTTAGAGCAGTCACGTTATCCGAGCCCGACTCATGGATTGAGGACGAGAGTAGACGCCGTCTATTTTGGATGGTCTATTTGTTGGATAGGTACTCGACTCTCGCCACTGCATTCAACTTCGCCTTGGACGACAAAGACATTGATCGAAAGCTTCCCTGCAAAGATGAATTCTTCATCAAGAATGAAGTCGTTGAGACGCGAAGATTCCACTACTCAGGCGATCGTGCAGACTATTTGAGCCACGCAAATACCGTGGGCTCTTTTGGGCTTTATATTGAGGTTCTGGGCATTCTTTCGCGTATTCATGCGTTCTTGAAACGGCCGGTGGATATTGGGTCTCTATCTGATGTTGAAGAATGGCAATCTACCTACCGAAAGCTCGACAGTGAGCTGACTACATGGGAGTTCAATTTGCCTGCAGAATACGCCTATGAAAATTCCTCTCGGCTTTTCAACGGGACGAAGCCAAATCGGACTTTGCACAGTGATTGGGTACAGCTTCATGCTACCTATCAAACGTAAGTTTTACTTTTTTATCTGCGATGATCAACTACCCTGATTCTAACTTCACTGTGTAGAGCTGTCATTCGTCTCCACTCATCTGCGGCGTACCCTACAACCCGGTCGCCGATATTCACCCCATCCTACAGCGCTAGTCAACGATGCTTGTTAGCAGTTGACAATATCCTCTCAGTCACTCGTTTCGTGGTTGAGAACAACATGCTTGATAAGCTCGGGCCACCATTCGCCTTTACTCTCTGGGTCTCAGCTCGTCTTCTACTCGTCCACGGATCTACTATCGCCCACACCGTCAGTTCCGACATAATTTTCTTCGTTGATACACTCTCCCGCATGGGCCAGCACTGGAAGGTCGCAGAGCGCTACAGCAACATCCTTCAACGAGTCCTCGACGAGTACGGCGAATATCAGCAATCAGTCGCCATAGATGGCGAACGCTCAACCCCATCTACGGTCAAGATCCTAGCCGACATGCGCCGGTGCGCATTCGATCTCGACTTCCTCATATCTCGCCAGCCACGAGAATCACCCTCCTCCATGAGCGGTAACGGGAACGACGCTGCCCGACCAGCATCTGCAGCCCTAGCCCCTCGCAACCTTGCACCAAATGAACTCGAGTACCTGGACGTATTCGGCTTTTTCAATGTCCCGCGTGTGCCACCAGCCAGAGCTCCAGATTCTGTCGCTGCGACAGCTTCGCATCTCGATATCTCGGACTCGGTACCCAATCCGATGTCCATCCATGGACTGACGGGCAATGGACCCCTTGATGGTCACACTTCTTCAAACGCGAACGAGTTCAATATTACCAATTACCTGATCCCGACTCCTGAAACTGATTGGCTTTTTCGTCCTGCAGGGTGAAAAGCGAACCCAGATCTGAGGTTTTTTGATCTGTTCTACATCCTGAGCATAATATCGCTCATCATGTCGATTTCTCTGCTTATTTTCACTGCCATGAACAAGTAAAGGGGCCAACCACACCCAAATCTTAGGGATGGAATGCAACTGTGCAAGGCGGTTCCCGTCCCAATTGGTACTTGACGGCTCCTTCAAGCTTGGCACAATTCTTTGATCCTCACCAGCAGCGTATGCTTGTTATTTGTACATTTTTGCATTGGGTCAGATAAGGTATCTGTGTATATACCAAATGGTTAAAAACCGAAACTTGACCACTTTGAGAAAGCCACTTCTTCTCTACACCCGGCGTGCTACACATCGCCTTGGCTGGGTGAGAACAGCTAGTCATGGATAAAGACCAATGGAATCGTAAACTCAGACTCTTATTTTTTTTTGTCGTCGATCGCAGATATACAGACCGAAAGAGGTGACTTAGCGTAAATGCTGAAGACTCCACCTACTTTAGGATATACCTGATATTCGCTGTCCATAAAATAGTAATCCGAAGGGCTAGTAGTGCTATTCCTCAGCATCTGGGTTCAAATGTTCCTATTTTACCGTCATATCCCTAGACCTGGGATAAAGTTTCTTACGAAAAGGTGGTCATAAACAAAATTCCAATGAATGAATTCTACAAAGACATGGCAAAGAAGAGGATTTGAACGGCAAAACTAATATCAACACAAGAAGTACCAGCCATCTTTTGTAATGAGCATGAGACCAGGGCAGGTGTATGGGATCGTGAGCAAAGAAATCGTAGGAACCAAGGCGATGTCGAAATTCTCGGCTGCGTATCAAAATATTCATGAAAAGTTGAAAACGGAAGAATAGAGTGGAGCCGTTATGATCATGTACGTGAGAAAAGGAGATGCTGGAGCACTGTGTCTTGTTATAGCACCCAGAATGAACAAGTCTTGACATATTTCAATGGAAAGAAATCAAGTAGAGCCTGGGGCAGCACCAGGCTGAAGCCGTACTAGAATTTCCTCCAGGAAAGCATCAAGTGTGACATCAACACCGCCACCCATCTGGACCTGGTCTTCCATATCCCAGCGATGAAGGTTTGTGAAGGCTCTGGAAATATCATCGACTATATGGTCCATATGGCGGTGGACACGAACGCTTCGCTCCCACTGCTGCTCTTCTTCGGGGGTTGCTTGGTTGTTAGGGTTTCGTGCAGGATCAAGACGAGTGAGATTGCGCCCACGTCGATTCATGGCTGCACGAAGGGCAGGGATAATGACAGAACCGTAAGCAGTTGCCCTCTCATTCTCCACCGGGGTTTTGGCCGGGATTTGTGGTAGTTGTTTTGGCTGCTCGTTTACACGAGGACTAGAAGTGGGGGTCTGTTGTCTAGAAAGACGCTCTTCGTATTTCGGTGCAAGTTTAGACTTGAGTCCAGATGGCGGTCTCGCATTTGGGGATACTACCTCCGGTTGCTTCTGAAGGGCCGTGGCAGGCGCCTGGCGAGGAGGAGCTGGACTTGAATTGACATCAGGGAGAGGACGCTGGGCTTGTGTAGGCTTTCTGGAGAGAGGACTTTGTTCCCTTGTTGCGCTACTAGATCCGACTGCGGGGGATTTGGGCTGAGGTGATACATTGGCCCGAAGCCCACTAGCGTACTCCATCATTGCTTGTGCATATCGTTCACTGGGCCCCTTGGGGGAGTTCTCTTCAAGTGGGCTGGCTGGATTGTTAGGACGAGTCTGGCGTGAAGGGGTGTTCGAAGGTTGTGTATTTGCCTGCTTTACTGGAGAGGACGGCACAGAGAGAGGGAGGGGCTTTTTGGATGGAGAACCTTCAACAGCGGAGTTTGCAGGATTCGGTCGAGTTGGCACTGGTTGAGATGACGGTGCCTTTTTAGCATCGTCTCTCAGATCCCACTCCTCAACCTCCTGAGAACGAGAGTTGGTAGCCGAGTCATTCATTTGACGTAAAGGCGGCGCTGCCGATCGTCCACCAGCCGGGCGAACAGTGCCGAAGTCCCAAAGATCCTCGTGCTCTACGGGGTCTTGCTCAACAGCCTCATATGGTTCATCATATTCATCTTCATCGTCTCCTTGCCCCTGGTGGGTCGCTTGCCAGCGCTCTGCGCGTTCAATGAGCTCGGTGAGGTATGTTGTCCGCTTCGCCCGTTTGATGAACGGATGTTCCAGCAACTCCTTGGCAGAGGGTCGCTCCTTTGGATCTCGTCGCAAACACAACTCAACGAATTGTTTGAAAGGCTTACTGAAGTTGCCATTGAGAGTAGGAGGCGGATTTTTGGGAATCAAAAATAACACTTTCATCGGGTGAATATCGGCATATGGAGGATCTCCGCATGCCAATTCAATTGCCGTAATTCCCAAAGACCAGATATCCGCTTTGTAGTCGTAGCCCGATTGCTTGATGACTTCCGGAGCCATCCAAAAGGGGGTTCCAACGAACGTGTTTTTCTTGGTCATAGTTGCTGATAGTTGACCCGATACACCAAAATCTGCCAACTTGACCTGCCCACTTGCGCTTAATAGGATATTCGCGGCTGATACCAAGTTAGCCTTTTATATCCAAGTAAAAGCAAATAAACACACCTTTAATGTCGCGATGCAATTTTTGATCGCCATGGAGGTAGTCCAACCCTCGAAGAAGCTCTCGCAGAATGATTGCGATATACTCTTCATGGATCACACCGGGACGCAACAAGCCATGACAACTACCACCAGAGCAAAACTCCATGATAATCCAGAGATTTGAGCCCTTCAGATACGAGCCATGGTACTTGGTGACATATGGAGACTTCAGCTCGGATAGAATCGCAATCTCCTTGATGATCTCGTCCACGTCGTCTTCGGCATTTTCCACGTCAATAACCTTGATTGCCACCGAGTCTCCAGTGATCTTATCTACTCTAAGATAGAAAGAGATAGTCAGGATATAGTCGAGGGCAATGCGCATTCAGTGGGGTAATAGACTTCACTCACCCTTTGTAGACCCTGCCGAAACTTCCACCACCTATTCGACCCCGGGTTAGTACCTGAGACAATGATTCACACAGGCATTATCCTTACCAATGCATGCTTGTTTGGTGTAAAGAGTTTCCGGGTCAATCGGTCCGGGCATTGTGACGGCTTATCTAATTATCAGGGAAGGCCGGAACTCATGCAGTGGGGAGCTTCAAATTCGTTATCATCAGCTGAAATCGAGGATTGAATATGGAAATAATCGGGCATTGTATGAAGAGACCTAACAATGCTACAAAATCGCCGTTCATGGGGTGGGGCTGGGCACTGGGCAACGTACTGCGGGATGGGTCCGGACGGCGATAAGGCGATCGGCCAGATCAATGAAGGAAGAGGGAAAGAAGCGTAATTGAGAGCAATGCAATAGCTTTGTTCACTGTAAATGTATGCGACCAGCGTTCAGAGGCAATAAATTGAGCGGTTCGGGCTTTTGTCGGGTGTGTTTCACCTAGCAACAGCAGGATAAGCGGAGCCGTAAACAAAGATGGAAAGAGATCTCAGCGGAAGCAAGATGGCTTCAGGCCCTTCAATTCAATCATGCAAGAGCATCAATCTAATATCATGGTCGAACGAAGTCAAAACATAAAGACGACGGCACTGTATTAAATCGAGAGGGAGGTGTAGAGGATGGCATCCTTGCGTCTGTTTATCGACGCGGGGCCAATTCTGCCAGGCGGTCAGCCTTATCTGAGGCGGTATTGAAGTTATCTACAGCTACACGAAATAGTAAGAAATTAGAATGAACGTTAAATGCTGTTGGTAGTATGGTTCATGTCACGTTTATTCTAGGACTGGAAAAAAAGATGTTTAGATGAGAAAGCAGGACCTCTGCTTTGCACCGAACAACAATGACCATTCTTCAAACATCATCAAATATGGAGATAACGTTTCCATCACTCCATGATGAGTTCCAGGATGGACCGATAACAAAAGCAAGTTGGGTTGATCAGTCTTCCAAGTACCCAATGTTGACGGTTCCGTTCTTCAGCCCCGCACTCTCAATGCTTGTTTGCAGTGATTCTATTAAGTTGCTTCCCAGAGAGTTCAGGTCGAACTCCACACCAACCTTGCCTTCCACAGGGGGATCTGCCTTTAGCCACTCATAGATTCGCTGGACAGGGTCTGTCAGTGCAAACCGCCGAATGACACGGCCAGCGGGGTGGCGGAATTGGATGCGAGTGGTCGTGGCAGGGTCAGCAGCCGGTTCAACGTGGGGCTGGTCACTGGGGATGGAGTAAAATAGAGAGCTTCCGGCCTCTTCGACAGGCTCTGGTTCACCCATTTCATCATCCTCTGTGGCTTTGCCTTTGCCCTTGATATCAGTTGTGCTCCGGGTGAGGTCATCCGGGTCATCCGGCTTTGGGGCTTCATCACCAAGACTGTTCCTCATTGCCATATCTAGCATCTCTTCCTCTGTCATAGCATCCACTGTTTTCTCTGGTTTGTCTAATTTCCGCTTCGCAACCGGATTGCGCACGTTTAGGTTCAAACTGTAACGATCAAGGAACTCGTGGAGCTGCATGAGAAATTCTGGGCCCTTGACAACCGGCTGACCAGTCCAGGCTTTGACCTTCTCACCAGTTCGAGGATCAACGATGGCAATATGAGGGTAGTTATCAGACACTTCGCTAGCTTGGAAGTAGTATTGGAGGTATGGTGCGGCTCGGGGATCATCTTTGGAGAATTGTAAGAAGATGAAATGTTCTTTGATGGTTTCCTGAATGCCCTTGTCTTTCCAGAGGTCACGATTCAAAACTTGACAGTCAAAGATAGACTGATCCTGGATGTTGACCAGCAGCCACTTCTCGTTGTCCCGGCCTTCTTGGCGAGCAACATCCCAGGGCAGACGAGACATGATCTCGAAGGGGGGTCGATACATCTCTGCGAGCATGTTGGATTTAGATGAAGCATCTGATGCGCCGCCCGTCGCTTGCGACAATATTTCTTGCGGGTTTGCTGAGCTACCGGACCATATGGACGCCGAGTCTTGTTGGTTGAAGATCCCAGGTCGACCTAACAACTATTAGCTAAGCTTGTCCTTCATTTCCTGTACTCAAGATCAACCTACCACCTCGTCCACCTCGTCCACTTCGCCCACCATGTAGCTGGCCCAGAATATTGGAGTGCATGCCGCCATCGTGGAAATCAAGCTCCGGTCCCACTAACGTCTCGGTGGTGCGCGCCATAGGCGCCCGCACACCATCATCCTCATCATCGTCATTGTTTGGACCTCCACCCCCATACATTTCCTCCTGTAGGCGACGAGCCATGGCAGCATCATCATCAAACGTGGTACCCGCTCCAGGTTGTGTAGATCGAGTCGGCCTGTCGTCATCTGAGTCGGAATCGATGTGAACAACGCCTGATTCATCTTCGTATCCGGAGTGACGGACTTGGGCAGCTACATCGCCCATGGGGGCGCCTCCGTTTTCGAAAAAGAGCTGCATCGCATGCTCGATGTTGAAATCGGAGAGCTGTAGGTACTGTGTCGCCGTCTCAGGCGTCGCGCCAGTAATCTCAGTGAACTGGGCTACCACGCTGTCATCCATGATTGCGGGTAAAAAACCAGTGTATTAAATGGGAGTCCGGGGAGGAAGAAGGGAAGAAAAAGATAGCACAAAGAATCCAGAGTGAGCTCTGAATTATGAGTAGTTGAATGTGGAGAGGCAATCAGTGCAAACAGCTGCAAACTGAGGAAGCTTGCTGAGTACCCCGCGCACTTGGTATTCAAGGTTTTGGGTGTTTAGATAGTAAGTTCAGATCTGAAAAATGATGCCTTTTATGGGAATTTATATTACCATTCACTTGCGACAGGCAAATAGGACGATCATAAAGAGTGACGTAGACTACTATAAGTCCACAGTGAAGCACACAACTATGTAATATGTACGGAAGGCGGTAAATACCTTTTATGCAAACGCCGATGATTCAGCACTTTGGGTCTTAATGCCTCGCAGTAGATACGCTTACCGCTTTCGGTCTAAAGGAATGCGACGCGACGCGTCTTAATTATCCGGACGCGCAGGCACGGAGACTTATCTCCCAAACGTGCCGCTGGCAGGTGCTTCCACACTTCCTTCCCCCACAACTATGGCAACTACTGTTCTCGGCAAGCGCACTCGCAGTGGTGTTGAAGCGGAAGGTGAGACTCAAATTAAAATGATCAATTAAGATATCGCTGACCATTTCCCAGCGCTTCCAGTCCGCTCCGCAAGCAAGCGCCGAACTGTTGCACCCCGGGTCCATCGTGAGGCTGCTGCGCCTGTTCGTCGAACTCGCTCAACCCGTCTCGCTGCAAAGAATCAGGATGATGAGCAATCACTGGATCAAGAAAATGGGGATGTCATCAATAGGATCTCGGAAAAAGCGCATTCAAAACACACACTGCGCGATGACCAGGGTGGGTCTCCCACAAAGATCAAGTCTCATTTCCGCACCTCGAAGCTCGTGGAGGGTAAGCTGAGGAAACCGGCATAATGCAATTGAACATAATTGGCGGCTAACGGCTTGCAGATGAGAAACCTGAGAACCCCGAGAAGCCTGACAAGCTGGTGGTAGCAGCCCCGGTTGAATTCAAGACCCCGCAAAAGTCTCGATTCCGAGACGCGCTCCAACAATCACCGGTCACTCCACGGCACCGCGTACAGGTGGGAGCCAGGTCTGTGACCCCGCGGACTCCTCGACATGCCGATCTTCCGCCTACCCCTCGCCCGAGTGCTACTCCAACCACCACACAAACCGTTTATTCTCAAGCCCGACAGCTCTTCGCCCGTGGCGCCACCTCTGGTCGACTCATTGGGCGTGAATCAGAGCGGGAAAAGGTCTCCACTTTTATTGAGGATTGTGTTGAGTCTCAAAAGGGCGGCTGTCTCTACATCAGTGGACCACCTGGCACGGGCAAGAGCGCTATGGTCAATGAAGTGTGCCAGGATATGGACCTCTCCAATGTCAAGGTGTCCCACGTCAACTGTGTCAGTATGCGGAACTCCCGCGATGTATACAGCAAGCTCATCCAAGATTTCTGCGACGAATCGGAGGTATTCAAGAAAAGCGAGGCAGACCGACTAAAGGCTATGTTCATTCCAGCGAAGGCGGAAGGTCTGTTTCTGGTCAGTCTAGACGAGATGGATCATCTGCTCCAGGGTGACTCTGGTGTATTGCAGTCTTTGTTTGAATGGTCTTTGCATAGCAAGTCTACTCTTATTCTCATTGGTATTGCCAATGCCTTGGATTTGACCGACCGATCCCTGCCACAGCTGAAAGCAAAGAATCTGCGGCCTACGCTTCTTCCATTCTTGCCTTACAATGCCGCTTCAATTGCTGGTGTGATCACTGCTCGCCTTCGGTCGTTGCTCCCCGTAGGTGAAGACTCCGATCCAAAGTTCGTCCCTTTCTTGCAGCCAGCGGCCATTCAGCTTTGCGCAAAGAAAGTAGCATCACAAACAGGAGACCTTCGCAAGGCATTCGAGTTGATCAAGCGCGCGATTGATGTCATTGAGCAGGAAACCATCCAGAAATCGGAGAAGAAAGCTGTTGAGTTGACTCTGTCTGTCCTAGCTGAAAACGAGAATCTATCTTTGCCGTCCAAGTCAGGCACTACCCCTCAGTTGACAACCATGTCCAGCTACACACCGATGACAGCTCCGCGCGCCAGCATCGCCCACATTGCCCGAATTACAACATCTGCTTTCGGACAGGGCACTGTACAAAGACTGAAAAACATCAATCTGCAGCAAAAAGCTGCTATCTGTACATTGATTGCGCTCGAGCGCAAGCGTCGTGAAATGGATATTCACAACACACCATCCAAATCTCGTTCTTCGGCTCCGACGGTGAAGCAGGCCTTTGACACATACTGTACACTTTGCCGAAATGACAACATCCTCCACCCTTTGACTGCCACCGAATTCAAAGACGTCTTGAGCAACTTGGAAACAATGGGCCTCGTTGGCGAGTACCAAGGTCGTGGCCGTGGTGGTACAGTCGCAGGTGGCTCTGATGTTCGTCGCACACCTTCCAAGTCTGGAAATGTCATGACAACCCCCCACAAGGCGATGGATGAGCAAGGTCTCATCTGCTTTGTATCCCAATCAGAAATCGAAAGCCAGATTGCCGGACCTGGTGAAGGCATTCTGAGGCGCTTGCTTCGTGGTGATGGACTGTGATATTGGCACAATCCTCGTCCTTGTCAACCTCTTGGTCCTTTCTTGAACTCCATCTACCATTTTTGTTCTTCATTGTCTTTTATTACCCACACAGCATTATCAGAGTCCTGTCCAAGGGCATTTTTATCGTACAACACTGAACCGCATTGTTGGAGTCGAGTTGCATTTGTGTTTAGCGCTATCGATACGATTTTCATTTGTTTCATTTTCCCTTTGTTGAAACTCCCATGCATGGCATGACGTCTCCGACATTCAAAACAGTTAAAAAGAACAACTCAAAAAATTAACAAATATGAACAAAATAAGGTCCTCAACTCGTAACATTCGAGATATCTGTCTAAACATACCTAACTCGATGCTTATCAACGTAATGGTGAGAACTTGTAAGGAGGAACAGCCCGTGGGCACAAATCACTACTTACAGATCACAACAGATATGTATCCCCATCTTGCCACCTCAATGATCTCCAACCTTTAAAGGCTGATATATACCTAGGTAGCAAGGCGGGCCTTGAAGTAAGCATTAAGCCGAGTCCCTTTAGTGGGGCCTACTAGGTATCAAGCAGGGTTGCTGAATATATTATCGATATGGGTCGAGGACTTTGAGAGTTTACATTGCTTCCAAATATTGCTTCGGTTCTATATCGCTGAATCTGGAATTATGTCATCAAATGCCCGGCTGGCACAATTGGTTAGCGCGTGAGACTTTTAATCTCAAGGTTGTGAGTTCGACCCTCACGTCGGGCGTTTATTTCCTTTTTTTGCTCTTCATACACATTTCGCTTCTTAAGCCGACCAAGGTAAAGGCTTTATTACAGGCAATATCATTAGGAGTATTTAGACGGTGTAGTGCTAACGGCTGGCCTGCTGTCGAACTTTACCAGAGGTGCAGGTAAAGATGGCTACATTTTTTAGATGTCAATTCTAAAAGACTCACTCCACTAAACATTCGCACAAGTCCTTTTTCCTCAAAGTTTACATAGTATTTGTGTTTCATAAATATTACCTTGCTATGACCGTTTCTTTAGATACAATATAAAATGCCATATCAGAAAGTGGAATCCCATCAATTGATAGTTTGATGGGGTAAGGTTAAGTTTCACCAATAGCCAATCAAGCATGTCCTTTGAGCCATTTTATAAGGTCCACTGTGAGTTTATACGTGGAATTTGAAGTCAATCCGCATGCTGGAGGCAATAAGGTTAAGGTATGTATGTAGTCCAGTGAAGCCAAATCGAAAGAAATAGCTATTTTCTGCGGTATATAAATTATATGATACCCCACCATTCCATGATTCGCCCGGCTGGCACAATTGGTTAGCGCGTGGGACTTTTAATCCCAAGGTTGTGAGTTCGACCCTCACGTCGGGCGTTTTCTCTTCTTCTTTTTTTTTTTTTCCATCTCAGATTAGAACTCCTTTTTATTCGCCTGGTGGAACATTGATAGTCAGCCACAAATTTACAGTGCCTTTGGCATTATTTATTTCTACGCTAATGTTAGTAGCACGCTCTTGCCCAAGGCAGCAGGAGTGAACGAACCTTGACACGAATGGACACCATCGACATGGCGTATAGCCTATGGCCAATGTCTCTATAGCAGCGGCTGCGCCGCTTCATATTGAAGGCGTGAAATACCCCCTGTATAGTCCCGGTTCTTTCAACATTGAAGCTAGCGCAATATATCGCCTATAATCATGCAGCATGTATGTATTCATGTCAATATTATAAAGGCTGACTGACATGTACATATATATATTGGAATTGATAGCAGTGATGCTCCCAGGAGACTGATTGAAAGAAATGTGCAAGATTTACCTAGTACATCGCCCTGGAGTACATACATATGTATGTAACAATTAAAACAATCTTGGAAATAAGAATGTCTTTTTGTATAACATGGAGAACCATAGAATATGGATCTGGATCTCGGGGGAGAATGAACATAAAATTGATGTAGGATTGAGAATCAGACAGAGAAACCTCCCAAGGTTCTGGGAGTGATCCTTACTCTGCTCGAGCCGTCTCTCCGTCTATCGACCACACTACAGACATATAAAACGCCCTCCTTTTCTATGAGGACAGACTCTGCTGCAACTTCACCTCCCATTCTTTCTTCACTTCCTCAAAGAAAGCATCATCAGTGAGCAGATCCCACGCCGTTAGAGCAACAATAGTACCAACATCGGTAGCCCGCTTAAAAGCCTCGGGGGTACCGGATGCTGCTGTAAAGCCTTGGTGATGCATAATCGTGTCGGGAGAGCAATCAATCGCATAATAAGCGTGGACACCCGGGCACTCATAGGTGATATTGCCTGTAAATCATGTGTTAAGTCTGCCAGTCTCACTCATATACAGATGGAATATAGATAGAAAGGAATCATCTTCTTACCGAAGTCAGTTGAGCCGGTCTCGACTTTGGTGGAAAAAGGGTGAACCTTTTCAGTTCCGGTGCTGTTTGCAATGTCCGCGTATCTCTGGCAGAGAGATTCTGTAACAACTTGATCAAGGTACATGTTGCCTCTGAAACGGGATTATCCCATTAGCCAGCTGCTTTAATGTTGATGGGGTAAGAACTTACTCGGTAATTTTGACAGTGCACCCAGAAGCGGCTGCTGCACCCTCAAAGCAACCAATCATTTTCTTTGATAGTTCCTTCAAGGTTCCCTTTGTGAGACTCCGGGCGATCCAGATTGATTTGGTGTAGTGACTAATCGTATTCGGAACGGTAGGTCCCTCTAAGATGACACCGTGAATTCGTTCTTCCGAAAGGGTCTGTTGTCTGAGGCAGGAAACATTGTTGTAAGCCATAATTGCGGCATCGTATGCATTGATACCCTGGTGCGGGAAGCCAGCTGCATGGGCGGCTCTGCCATGGTACTCAACAACCCAGCGTGTCATGGCCAGAGTTGGGAGGGCACCGACACCAGTAATATCAGCTGGGCCCCGGTGGTTGTCTTGCTTCTCTGGAACGTTCGGGTGACTGTCAGGATGTTAGAGTGTTTTCTTAGAGCATAAATTCTTCGGGATGAATGGGAAGGGAAAGGGAAGGAGAGCTAACGCCTCGATTGCTGCATCCACTCCCTTCAGAGCTCCTCCTCGCACCAATGCTACTTTTCCTCCTTGATTCTCCTCTGCTGGGCAACCAAGCAGCTGCACTCTGCCTGGAACACCTTGTTCCTTCAGCGTATGAACAAGGCCCAGGAAGGCGGCAATGCTAGTGGCGGCAATGAGATGATGGCCACATGCATGACCAACTCCTGGGAGGGCGTCGTATTCCGCATCGATACTGATCAATCTGCCGGACTGACCATAAAGAACTTCGAAGGCGGTCTCGACGCCAAAGGCCTTCCTGGTGACCTCGAATCCGAGGCCCTCAAGGAAGTCGCAGAGAGTGTCATGAGCAATGTACTCCTCGAAAGCGATCTCAGGGTTTGCATGAATCTATGTTCCCCAGAAGTCAGAATATAAAGAAAAAGTATTGGAAGGGGTCATTTGAGTCACTGACATGCGCAATGACCTTTTGCAGGCCAGCGAAATGGGGTGCAAATCCAGCTTCAACTGATCTTTGAATCTTTTGAAGCCGCTCAATGCCAGTCAAACCCAGTGCTTTAATAACTGCGGTGGTAGACATTTCGTAGAATTCGACGTTTTTGTTAAGTAACTAAGTTAAAAGGCGTTTTGAATGAAGTTGAATACAAAAGTCATTGAGAGGGAACAGAGTACTTATATATTAATCTACGATGAGTCTCTTTACTTGCTGACTTGGCAATTAATGCGAATACATAGTCTGACAATAAATCTAAGTCACAGTTCTCTAAGTCTCTATGGAGTATAGAACGTCAAATTAGCCGACTTCGGCTATAGGTTCTAGTCTCTCCCTTATCAAAACTCGGCAAAAACAGAATTAATCCCCCGCGTTCGCTCTTATCTTCAATTCAAATTTAGCTTATATGTGTTCTCTTATCTAATATTCACCGTAATGCACGTGCATTAACAATAATATCACCTTTGCTTCCCCCTCGCCTCCTTCACCTCATAGGAGCCGAAGCAAAACCGCGAGACCCACTCAGAAACAGCCGAAGTCATGAGCGGCCTCCATGCAGAACGCAGTAAAATGGGTATGGCAAACTCGGTTGTTTAATCATATGTTCATGCTAATTGGCTAGGATGTTGGACATGTCGCGAACGGAAAATCAAATGCGACGAGTCTCGGCCCAAGTGTAAGAGATGTTTGCCGCGGAATAGACCCTGTCAATATGGACCTCGTCCAAGAGCCAGAAGACGACATGCAGCCCAGTCGAACGAGTCGTTATCGTTATCCAGAAAGGTTGCGATATCCAAGGCCCCCGTCGAAGCTGAGGCCGAAACCGAAGTTGAATTCCAAACACGATCAGAGGTGGATTCAATTAGAGGTGGTTTACTTCGCTTATCATCATTTTCGGATTCGTCATCACCGAATTTGGTGAGCTCGTCATCAGAACTACCATATGGGATCCAGGATAGTGACTGGCCTTTGTCTCTTACTGACACCGACCGTCGAGCACTTCAGTACTATGTCAGAACTATCATTCCTAGGATGGTCCTAAAGACAGCCAGATGGTCAAGTTACTCATATGTCTTATTCATGTGTCTGAAACATCGACTCTTGGCTCATTTGCTACTATCATTTTCTATCCGAGACATGGCAGAGAACCACGAGACGGACCTGATCACGGCTGCTCTGGAACACCACCAAGAAGCGCTAAACTTATTTATCTCCCATCTTGCTACTCTGAACGCGCATTCCTGGGTTACATTCCCGGCCTTGTGGTTCTTCATTCTCTATGAACAGACGTACGGGGAGGACCCGAGGGTCATGGAGGCGCATCTTCGAGGAGTGAGGGATGTCATTGCATCTCACGGCAGGACAATTCTGGCATCCTCTTTGATTGACGATGGTAGCTCATCTGGTGAACCGGAAGAGAGATTTCGGGTCCCTCCTAAGATGATCAACCGGATAGCTTTGTGGACTATTCACCAGGACGCAAAGGCATCGACATTCGGTCTTGGCGGGAGCATGATATATTTGCTGAATGAGAAATATCCGGACTCAATAGACCGGATATTCGAGGATTCGAGCACGGCCTTACAAGATGCTTGGGGCTTGATGTACCCCGCCGTTGAAGATCTGTGGGATAGACAGGTCCATGAGATGTTCAGATTGGTCCACGAGAACACAATGCTACGGTATCAACTCGCCAAGATAGAGAAAGAGTATTATGAAGATGAAGGAAAAGGAAAAACATCACGCAAAATAATGCAATTCGGCCGCGATTTGAAACTCCTGGAGAAGGTATAGTGCCATGCAAGCCACTCGTTGACTTTCTACTGCCCAGGAAATATTTAAATTTGACTAATCCTGAATATACTAGAAATTCTTGCCCTTCATGGAACCTACTCTTTCACGCAGGATTGAAAGAAGTGCGCTCCTCTCGAATATGTGCGTCATAGTAGCCGAGTTCCTGGCCCTAGTTGTCCAATATGAAAGATTAGCATATGATGTTCAGTCTTTGAGCCTTCCAAAACTTCTCCAGGTCTGTGCAAGTCTCTACGAGTACGAGGGCCCGAATTTTTTACGACATGTGGCATGGGCTTTGTTAGTTGCTGGGTTTGAGACCGAGGACTCCGTCTACCAGTCCTGGATTATTGAGAGGTTCGCGCAACTCCAAAAGAGTGGGAATAACATGAGGCAAGCCATGATTCTTTTACAGGCGGTGTTTCTGGAAAAGCGGACTTCCACGAAGCCTATACGGTATAGTGAGTGGCTTAGAGATGACCGCTTCAAGAAATTCTCCATCTAGTATTACAGAAAAATCAGTGTCGAGAAAATTTGCATTAATTGTGATCCATAAAGATATCTACAGGTCTACTGACGAATAAACCAGAAGCCGAAAATGTGACGGTGCAGGAAATTCGTACATGTGCGAGGAATCAAGTATACATACAGGGGTGCGAACTAAAGAGGGAGCACGACGGAAAAGGAGATACATCAAAACATAAAATAAGAGAAAAAAGAGAGTTCCAAGGAGAAATAAACCCGTATCAAAAAGGGCTCTTAGGTATTGACGAATAGCACATGCAGGCAAGACAAGGCAGGTGAAGGGTATGTATGCATGCATGCGTTAGAAAGGCATGACGGCAAAGCAGAAATATCTTTTTAAAAAAAGTCAAGGGGAGGGAAGTATACCAGGTCCTTCGAAGGCTGTGCCGTTATAAAAAGCCCTGTTGTCTCCCCAAGAGTATCAAGGTGCATCATTTTAATCATCCATGGGCTTGTCTTCCAGAGTCACGCCCTTGGGCTCGCTTTCGGCAATGCTGCTGCGGTTGCTATCAGTACCCGTGGCACCGACGGCAGCTCCGGTCGGGAAGCTCGATAGACTTCCGAGGCCGGGCTTGCGAGTGTACCGGCCACCAACGGAGCGAGGAATGGAGGCACGCTTTTCAAATTCGGTGGCTGTAGCAGCTGGGGTGGGTGTTGGGGTAGGAGAATCATCTGAGACGGTCTCCGGGGGAGGAGAGGGGCTCTCAGAACCTGAAGAGGCACTGTCACTGGTAATAGCTGCCGAAGCCGGAGATTCGGTGCTACCATTAGTTGCAATCTCGGCGACATTGGTGTTCACAGTTGGAGGGTGCTCGGCGCTAGTAGGAGATCCATTCGTGACGGGAACGTCGAGACTGGGGCCACGGCCCGGGGTTCGGCGATCGGCTGGGCTGGCCACATTGACATTGATTGGGAATCGGCCAGTCTCAGAAGCACCACTGGAACGGTCTCGACGATGCCGTTGACGGGTTGAAGGGCTAGTTGCCCGGCTGCGGTTGACAATAGCGCGCTGGCGAGCCTCCATGGCGGCACGTCGGTTGCTCTCATCGGTACTGATTGCCCGAGGGCGACTGGAAGTTGATATTCCCAGCGCACTGGACTGGCGCTTCAACTCGCCAAAGATGGTGTCCTTGTGAGCAAACAGATCACGGATCAGGCGGTAGCTGTGACGCTCATCCATGGTGAGACTGCTCTCAGTGCGAGGGCGAAGGATGCATGGTGACAAAACCTGTGCAAGTGCGGTAATATACTGTTCATCGGCCGAGGTCAAGTCAATCAAGCGTGTGAAATGGGTCATGATGGCATCAAGCGTGGCAATGTTGACGAGACGAAGTTGTCCAAGAGTACTTTGCAGGACCTTAATTCGCCCCTCTTCCGTGGTCTCATGAGCGGTAGTCGAGTAGATAGTTTTGACGATTTCGTAGACTTGCGAAGAAACCAGAGAGTCTGCGGCAAATCAGTGTTTGTAGTTTCTCAACATCGCTAGAAGATAACTAACCTGGCAGTTCAAGAAGGTACAATTTCAGAACGCTAGCAACTGTGGGTATTTCAAATGCTGGGAGGATCTCATGATAGTCCGCTTTGCTGTTGTTCAGAGCGTTGCGCAACTGATGCGTATGGGTCAACTTAGGGTTGTGCAGCCAGATAGCACGACGAGCCTCGTCACCCTCAAGTTCGGGGTAGCCTGGGCACAAGTTAGCTCATTTTCCTTTTCGATCATTTGGCCTGTCTTACGGTTGTCCAAGTAGGTCAAAAGTGTCGTCACCAAAACTGGGACACGCTTGCGGTCCACTCGAGCTCTAGCTTCAAGATCAACGCCGAAATTTTGTTCTGTAGATAATCAGTCTCAGTTTCAGATGCAAGTACGATATTCGCATACCTTCAACTGATCCATAGTAATTTTCGTAGGCCTGTACCCGGGGGACAAACCCTCCGGTACGGTAGTTCTCCAGGAGATATCTTAAATCTCCCAGCGGCTGAATCGTTTCCTGATACAGCATCATATGATCGACGGTGCTCTGAAGATTGGGAATGACGTTGCTAATGGCACCAGAAAAGTCAAGGACCACAGCCTTAATGGCCTTGAGACGGTCTAACTCGCACTGCTCCATAAAGCGCAAGTTGTCAATGACGTCTTCCTCGAGGCGGCATCGAATCTGATCGAGCTTTCGCACGCCAGCCTTGTACCGTTCATCGGCCTCCAAAGCCTCTCTCCGTAGCTTCTCTGCCGGAGTCTCATTCGGGTAAGGGTTGTTGAGGGGATTCCAGCCAGCAATCATCTCCGAGACGGCCGAAATTGGAGAATCAACTCCGTCTTCGCTGGAAGAGGCCGCAGAGGTGACTCGCATCAGAGCCTTCTTCTTCTCAGGAATGCCAGTGAGTTGGAAGACCCTGGAGCGCCATTGGTAGTTCATCTTTGAGCTGTTGGCGAAAACACTACCCATGTTTCCGACCAAGCGCAAGAAGCCCCCGTCCACAAGATCCTGTCCGATGCGTTCTGCCTGAGCCAGGCTAGAGGCCTCCATGTATCTCTGAACATACTCCACGATATCCGCACCGGTCGAGACATTCTGGTATGTACCAATGATAGGCACCCTGGCCTCACCAATCCTGATGTTGTTCAGCATATGCAGCAGAATCTTCTTGATATCCTCCGGAGAGTAGACGCGATCTCCCAATTCAACCGGCTCCTCCTCCTCGGGCTCCTCCTCGGTGGGAAGGACAATCTTCGGCGTCGGCTTAACCTTAGGACTTGTCTCTGGATCCTGGAAAGCAAGCTTGTTCTCTTCCTCCAAATCCTCTACCACCCGACACTTGTTGAAATAAGTGCTGCGAAGCTTCTTGACCAATTCAACCTGTTTCGCATGTTCCTTGATCCGCGCCTGGAGGTTGTCATGAGACGTCTGGACCCGATATTCATGCTGGTCACCCCAACGGCGGAATGGAGCCACGACAAGTTCGCGAATATTGTTGGCGATCTTCTGATGATTCCGAGAGGCCTCAACCATCTCAGTTCGGACACCTTCGTATGCCTAAAATAGAAATGCGCCGTCAGTCCGGTTCAAGCCAAGTAATGCTCGCAATGCTTTTCCATTCTTCATACCTTTCTCACACTCGCACCGTCATCTTTGCCGAAACCTGCAGCAGACAGCCGATCCACGCTTGGCGCGATGTCTCCCATGCGAAGACCGTACTGTTCCTCGGCATCTGCCCGCATAGATGCGATCATCAAGATCTGCTTATTCTCCACCACTCCCTGCTGCAACTTCCCATACAAGACGCCGAGACCCGTAGCATAGTCGGGCGTCCAGAACGAGTCCGCAAAGCCAGGCATTGTGACGGCGACCGGCAAGAACACGGTTCACGCAGAAGAAATTAATTCAAAAGTGATCGGCAGCCAGCCAGGAGTGAGAGATGATAATCGAGAGAACGGTGGGTGGAATCCGAAGCTGAAATTGACAGCAAAGATCGTTGGGCGCAAAGTAGGAGACTTCGGTGAACTTGGCGGGCCCGAGCTGAGTCTCCGGATTATCGAGATGAGTGAGTACAATAAAAATCAAAGCAGACCGGCTAGCTTGATCTTAAATCGTGCTGGGATGTAGTACCCAGGAAAAAGGAAGGTTAGGACGTTGCACTTGGCAAAGAAGAAATGAGGCTCGAGATGTGGATGGGATCCCGGGGAATGAGCGCGCGGCAGGTAAGCGCCAAGGAGCGGGCGAATAAGGAAGGGGAAAAAGAGCGAAACAGCGACCGGTGTGGCTCGAAGAACAGCAGATGGAAGAACACAAGAAGTTCTAAATGAAGGAAGGAAAAAAGGGGGGACTTGTTGTCTTGCAGGTGAAAGTTGCCTAATGATGTTGATGAATTTCCATCCGTTGGAGTGGCTTGTAATATTACGGGTTCATCTGAGTACAGAGTGATGATGTGGCTCCACCACACTATTCTGTACTATTTTTGGGAAAATCTTTTTGTGGATTTTGTTGGCAATGGAAATGAGAAGAAATCTTCTTCATTTCTTGGATTTGTCTCACTGGAACCAGAATATCATTGTTTTCCTCGACATTCTCATGAATATTTAACCCCGAGTCATACATGTGGTACCTGAAAGGACGCGACACCCGCCTCAGGCACATGAACTCAGCCGCCTTTTTACCCCGAAACTTTCAATACCGTAACATCCAATACGTACTAGTACTTAGTCCCGAAATGCCTGTGGAAATTGGACGTTTGATCGGCATGACGAAATGCACCAGTTGTCATTCTATAAGGATTTAGATATACTCTGATGTTTAAACCTACTTTAATCACCCAGCCTGAAATACAGAAATACAGAACTACGATAGGTACGTAGTAAGTAGTAGGCACTACTAGTAGTAGGTGCAGTGGGTACATGCCTAGGCCTTGCAACAGACATCGTAGGGCTGAGAAGTTACGTTGACAATCCCGAGGCTTAATAAACTCCAATATGCAGACCAACAAATTTCAATCTTCCTATCGTTCGAGGTCATAAATGAGTAACATATAAATTTTGCATCCTATCGTTATGGTATCTGAAATAATAAAGAACTTTGTGAGTCATAATAAAAAATATACCTAATGTGACAGCAGGCTCATGAGTCATGGCTCATTAACAGAAGAACTTGTAAACCTTCTTCCAGGCAGGCCACTGCTTCTGCTCGGCCATTTCTTGCTCAATAAGGTGCTGAATATCCAGGTCCCGACGACCAGTTGTCAGGTCCATATCGTGCGACCGGTGGACCTTGGTCTTGTACCAGAGCTTGTAGGGAATGTAAGTTGCCAGAATAATAGGCGCTGCAAGGTAAGCCTCGAAGAAGCTCTCAGTCCGTGCACCTCCAGTCATTTCGCCATAACCGACAGGAGCAAAACCGACCCAGAATTGAGCGATCAGGACCAGGACATTGAAGAGGAAGCCGATCCAGGAGCCGAATACGCCGGGTTGCGAACGGAAAGCTAACTCGTCGAGAGTGTGACCCTGGACCTTCCAGGCGCGACGGAATCGAATGTGGCAGAGACAAATGGATCCCCAGGTGAAAATGGATGAGAGACCCGAGATAGCCATCATCCATGTGAAAGCGGTAGTCTCCTGGGGCGATGCGGCGAGGAAGCAGAGCAGACCGAATAGGGAAGCGATCACAATACCCCAGATGGGACGTCCCTTGCGGTCAATATAAGCCAGGAACTTGGGAGCTTGACCCTGCTCGGCGAGGGCCGCGAGAGTCCGCGATGAGCCGTACACGGAGGAGTTGCCAACGGACAGCACAGCAATCATGATCACGACGTTCATGACAGAGGGCAGACCTGAAATTCCGGCGTTTTCAATGGCGATGACAAAGGGAGAAGCGTGAGCGTCGGCTGAAGAGCCACCCGTAACAAGGCGCTCGTCAGTATACTTGACCAGCAAGCCGACAATGGTGAGGGAGACAACATAGAAGAGGGAAATACGCCAGAACACTTGCTTGATGGCAGTGGGTAGAGATTTGCGAGGATTCGCAGTCTCCGCAGCGGCCAGACCAACCAGCTCAGTTCCCGAGAAAGCAAAGGCGGCATTCACAAAGACACTGCAGAGACCCTTGAAACCATTGTGAAAGGCACCTGGGTTATGCCAGTATCGTCCACCGATGTATCCTCCTTGAGGGCCACCGCCGCAGTTAATGACGATACCCAGGATGCTAGTAAGGAAGTCAGCCTTGAAATAAGATAGACATGTGGAACGTGGCGTTGAACAACAACGTACATAAAACCAATGACTGCAATGACCTTGATGGCTGCAAAGACAAATTCGGCCTCGCCATATCCACGCACACCGAAGAGATTGATTGCGACAATCAGAACCCAAAAGATTATGACCCAAGCAGCATTGGAAACATTCGGACTCCAGTAATCAATGGTGATGGAAGCGGCAACGATTTCGAGTGGTAAGACGATGAGCCATTGCATGGCATAGTTCCAGCCCATGGCAAAACCCCAAGCCGGATCCAAGAAGCGAGTAGAGTAGTGAGAGAAGGACCCAGAGACTGGGAACAAGACAGCCATCTCACCCAGTGCATGAACGGTAGTGTAAAGCATGACTCCAATCAAGATATAGGCAATAACGACTGACGCTGGACCACCCGTAGCCAGGACGGTTCCCGAACCAACAAACAGACCGGTACCTAGTGTGAATTATTAGCAAATGCATATCTGAGAATGTGCTGTCGTTTAGAATTCAATCATTAAGGCCATACCAATGGAGCCACCGATGGCGATCATCTGAAGATGACGGCCTTTTAGGCGACGTTGGAGTGGTGAGTGCGCAATATTCTGGGCCGCAGTCTCGAGATCGAATCCTGAGCCATCAGCTCCTGCCCCACGCTGGTTGACGACACGGGCATTAGGGTCGCGCTTGAAGCTGTCAATAATGCGCTGACCCATTCCCGCCTTTGTTGGTTGTGAATCGCCATAAACAGGCAAAGGCTCAGAGCCCGAGTGAGTTGGGACTTTGTCAGACGCGTACGCCTTCTCGTCCTCCATTTTTGCGAAATATCCCGTTTCAGGCCGAGAGAGGGAAATTTGGAAGTAGAGAAGTGGGAGAGGAAGGGGAAAGGGAGGGGAAGAGTGCAGGAAAACGAAAAAGGTGGGATGGCCTGAGGTTACGACAAAGCAAACATGGGGAAGGGATACATTGTATTTAAAGATTTTAAATGGGCCGAGGAATAATCATTAGGTTATTCGCTCACATACAAAGATCCCTGGATAATTGACTGTTCTGGGCTTAGACCCGAAAAGGGTAGTGGTCAATCCCAAATCAGCTTTAGCTTCAATCAAAGTTTCTACATTGATCAATTTGTGGCGATATTACAGGTATGTAGATTATTTTTTTTATGTATATTTTCTTTTACTATTTTCCATGACATCAAGTCCATTGATCATTGATCTATGATCATCTCAAGTGCTATCGGGTTGCTCGGGATGGCCGATGCCGGAAACGGGACCCTTTTGATACCCCAGATACCTAAAATCAGATTGAGCGATAAGATTAATAATGAAAAGAAATACTTTGAGTGTTTCATCCCTCGGGAACAAGACATCGAACGCCACTTTATCATCTGCGTGATTTAGGGGGATTTAGCCTGTCACAACGGGACGATCGCATGGGGCACAGTGCAATGCACCCGACTCTGCCACTCTGGTGACCCCAGTGCTTACAGCTGCTGACTCTGACTACCCTGATTATTTTATTTTTATTTGTGTTTAATCTATGACTAGTATCATGTCTACGAAACATTGAAAATGAACGACGATAACACCTCCTCTGGCTTGAGTGGAACTGACCAGCCAAGCTTCTGGTTGACCCAGAACAGCAAGAATCGAGGACCCGCTAATCTCCGCACTCACCACGCGATAGACAACCCTGACCCAATCAAAACCGCCATGTAAACCTAGTTGTAAGCCAATTCATTCACTTGAGAGGGGTGATGCTGGAACACTTTCGCTTCAGGCAGAGACTAGCTGAGCAAAATCAAATTGCCTGCTTGTTCAAATTGGGATTAGTGTTGGACAGGGATGTTTGTGGCTGTTCCGGGGGAAAAAGCTAGCTAGCTTGGACCCCCCTTCACTGTTCTGCCTATGGAAGACTTCCGACAGGGGTCAGTTTTGTTGGCGTGCGCCTTGGGTCACTCGGGCGTTCTGCATGAAAAAGCAAATCATAAAATTGTGGTTCCAGTGAAATTGACAAAGAAAGACTAGTAGGCCTCCAAGGCTGTGCTGTGCTTCGGCTTCGGCTTCGCCGGTTAACCATGTGCTATGTTCAAGTCCGAGGTAACAGATAAACAAATGGGAACCCTGGAACTACGCCGCCTAAACTCTATGCTGCTGGCTGGCCGGATGGCTTTATGGCGGTCTGCCACGGATATGCATGGAAGCCCGGGAGAACCAATGTTAAAGCAAGGGGATCACGCGGTTGGTCCATGGTCATTCGGTACAGCTCGTATAAAGGGGAACATAGCGCAGAATCCATGCGTCATTTGAGGTGTTTCATGGGCCGCACTATTTTCTTCCATATCCTGGATTCTGTAAGCTCAGCCGCCAAGCCTTCCGCGCCCCGTGAGGCTAGATAAAACTGGGGCCATTCAGATCCAAGTTGCGCGGTCGATCAACGACCTTCGGGGCCAGCTTGCTAGAAGTGGACCAGGGACTGATAAGGGTGGAACCCGAATAGTGGACCTGTTGATATGTTATCAACCTAGAGAGATATTCTGAGAGTCTGAGACCCAGAGCTTCGTTATCTTGTTCTTGGCACCTTGGCCGCGAAAACTTGAATGAAGTTTGTTGGGCCGGCTTCGGATGATCCCATCCTTAATTATGGCGCTCAGCAAGCGCTGTCACTGGCTGTCGATGTGAGCTCGGGGGCCACACGGTAGCATCGGGGCTTGGTGGCCATTTTAGTCGAGGTCTTGGCGCAGCTGGATCTTTGAATAGGACTATGGCCGTGGGATCTTGCAAATAGGGCCTAGCGGCTCGGTGCATGCAGGCGAAGAATTTCTCCAGAAGCGCCGACCTAGGCCCCTAAGAAGCTTCAAGCACCAGGCGCGCTCAATATTAGTCGAGGATGAATTAAAACAACCCATGTACATGTTTCTACATTTGTAATACAAACTTCTGTGCATGTGTATCTTGAAGAATACAAATTTTCTAATTACCCTTATACATGCCTGCGACCACAATAGGCAGGTGAAACAACCCGACCGCAATATTCTTCTCAGACCACAGGATCACACCACTCGTTCAGCTCAACCAACCATTCTACCTCCAAGAGCAAGACAGAGTCATACTTAGTCGCTTTAGAGTTGTTCCGCCCGACGGGGTCCCTTTGGTTATCCGGTTGAAATGCGGGGATGCGAAGTTGTTAGGTAACAGTTTCCACATCGCTCCCGTAAGTCTGGGGTAACGACACTCTATTGCATGGGAGCACGGCAGAAATGACTCGCTTCGATGATCGAATTGATTTGAAAGGAATTTGCATACGTATACACATGGCTCGTGACACGGGTGAGATCTGCATTGATTTTGACGCGCTGCTCTTCGTATCCGGGGAAATGCTTCCATAATTGAGGCTATTGTGCTATTTATTCTCATGCTCTTTGTAGTTGATGAGAAGTCATGTTCACGTAAAACCCTGGTTTTTGGACGTCTACCCCTCTATTACTTGGATACACCGCAGACTTTTCCGCTTTTCCCCTTCTCCTTCCACTTCTCTTCTCTTCTCTTCTCTTTTCTTCTCTTTCTTTTCTATTCCGCTATTTATCAACGAGGAGAGATCTTTGATCACTTGATTAATACGGCACAAAAGAAGGTAGAATACTGAATAATACCGAGTAGGAGACTAAGTAAGAGAATGAGTAGGAAATTTAGTGGAAGGTGTGGTCTAAAACCTAAGTAGGCGCCGGGCAAAAAGCGCGGCGGAAAGCCTCAAGTTATCTATACTGCGGACTATATCAATTCATGCATATCGCGGAAACCACCTGAGGGACCTCTCCCATAACTCTGAAAGTCCGAAAAATCCGGCTGAGCAAGATTAAAGTTCATTTGAGGACCCGCTACATGATACAATTCACCACAATATCATATTTGGAGATAGAAATATGTGGGGAAGTCTGGAGAGTATGAGGGGACGTCCGAATATGCGGTAATTTCGAGACCCGGGGGATCTGCACATGGCAGCAAGCTACCCCGGGATTCGGCGCGGATGTATGCAAGGAAGCTAGGCTTCTGGGAATTTAATTTGAGGATCACCCGTTTTTAAGCTAGAACACAGGAACAACCGGGGGTAGCCGTCCTTCGGCTGCGATAAGGCGTAGCACCTCTACCTATCACTGCAAATGTGGCGCTGGCTTATCAGTGGACTAACGCGAATATGAAAGGCGTCTCCCCCGGGATTCTTGATTGTAGGGATATGTATTGCCAACTAGTATATGCAATATTTAGAATGGTTTTCAGATCTGATCAATCGGTGTTTGGTGCCGTATTCCCTGCTGAGCCTGAACCTGATTCAGTTCTCGCCCATAGAGTAAGACTAAAGGCCCGATAAGACAAGATAGAAGAGTTGGAAGAACAAATTCATAAGTAGTGGAATTAAGTCTTTTTATCGGACTTTTCATGTCGTTGGATTCGGTATCATAACACAAATTTCTTTTCATTATTCCGCAAAGCACCCACCGTAGTCACCTAGCTGGAGATTGGGCCTTCTCCACCGGGAATCAACTGTGCACTGAGTCAGATCTGAAGGGAACAAGACAAACAATGGACTTACCATGCAGATGTTGTTTCCGTTTAACAAAAGCTTAGGCAGCTTGGTCTGAGCACCGGTGTAGTCGCTGTATCAAAATCAGTTTCGTCCAAGAGGTCAGAATTCAAGGAGCCAGAGTCAAGGCAACGCGCTAAGGGAGAAATCGAGCCATTTATCAGACTTTGATACTGCCAAGGCGTGGAAGACGGGACAAGGTCTGGCGCAGAATGCTGAATAAAGCTGAGAAGACCACTCACAATTCGGTGACATCTTCCATGACCATGTCTGAAGGAGAATTAGAAAACTGTAATTGGAACATGGCTGGACATAAAAGGGATACTCACTGACGTAGTCATCAAATCCGAGCAAGGTGCCCGAGAACTCTTTGCGCATGTTAGACTCTCTACAAACTAGCCTGATTGGAGCAATTTGACTCACCCTTGTCACCCTTCATGACAACCCAGATTCGGGAGCCGACACACTTGTCGATAAGCTCTATCGAAATGTTAGTGGGGTTGCTAAAGTGGAAATTGAGCGGACAAACCCAGCGGCAAGAGTTGAGAGGTCATGGTGATAAGAATATGATTTGATTCTAGGAATTTGAAGAATCTCTTTGGACAGCGTAACGATCAGAGATGGCGAAATGGGCTAGACGAGAGATATACAAGTTGCGGTGCATTTGATCTTTGGATTTCAGGAACTTGCTTTTATCCGGGCCGACGGGGCCATTCCCTATCAGGACTAGCGCAACTCCCCGGACTTGATACTCTGTGTTTGGACGCGATCCTAATTTTAACATGTATCTCTTCATTTTGCTTATTCCTGGACAATTTGAGAACGCAAGCTGATAAGAGAGCTTCGGTTTATCAAATAAATTTCGTTCTCGTGTATAGGCCACACTATGCTTGTTGCGCAGAATGCGAACGTGGGCGAGCCTTCCAGCGGGCCTGAGGTCTTCGTTGGCCCCGACAACAGGTGCCAATATACCTACGCGTTGTAGTGCGAGGTCATTGACCCGTGAGATTTCATGCCAGGGGTATTCGCTCCTGTTTAAAATTATTGTCTCTAATTGCTCAATTTGCTGACGATACCCTAGCGATGTTCTCCGCACATTGACCCCTCACGAAACCATTCAACACCGCTTCCCCCACAGCCGAAAATTGAGATACCGGCAACTTCGACGGACATTCTCAAGCACACCTGTGACGCGAATTCGGTTGGAGGATGATGACGAAGAGGAAAATGAGCTGCCAAAAAATGCCAGGGCTTCTAGGAGGCCGGTGAGACAAGCACCTCAGAAGGCTCCGCAAGATTTGAGAAATATAATTATGTCTCGAGGACCGAAGCCCCGCAAATTCAAGCCTATCGACCCGGAGAAGGTTCGTGAGATTGAGGCAAAGGTCCAGATGCTCCCGGATCCACGTCAGCTGGTCAATTACTTTATTGACTCAAGGTACGTTGATCTTGAAGATCAAATCGCGAAGGCCCGGTATGTTAGTCAGGAGATATTCTGTTCTCATGTCGACGACCTGAAGTCCTTGTTTCTCTGCAACAAGGCAATTTGCGAGCGGATTGAGCGTGAATATTGCAAGATTGTCTACCGTAATATTCCTAAATGGACCGCAGCCATCTTTGACGTCGAGAATACTGTTGCACGATTGCGTTACGAGTTCCTCGGGGTTTTTGCCGCACGCCTACAAGATTCGGGGCAATTCATCCACGACACGAGGAAGCTCATCCGGCGAGAATACTTAAACCCTCGACGGTCGGCAAGAGCCAAGGTCGACCGACTTCTAGGTCAAGCGGAAGATCTGAGGACAGAATACCACTTGTTACAGGTGCTTGGAATGGCGATTATGAAAGGACTAAATGAAATCAGATTTTCACTCATGCATTTTAGAGCTCTCGAATTGGCGAGGCCTGAACTCTTGACTTTACCATTCCACGAATTCACCAATGTTTTTGAGGCCCAAAGACGCCATTTTGCATTGGATGCACACAACCATCGCTTCGCGTGGTTTGAGAGAAGAAAAGGCCAAGCTACTGCTCTCGTCGAGTCGCAATTATGGAGCCCCAAGATAGCCAAGCAAAGTCTCATGGAATCGGTGAAAATTTTCCATCAATGCACACCACAGACAGTATTACAGTTTGTAATACGTGGTGGTTTGATGCAAGGTGAGGACATGGCCGTAAGAGAATCAGCACGCGTTCATTTGTCTTTCTATGCGGCTCAATCCATGATCGCTAATCGCCTGCGAAAACTATACACCGCTCAATGGAAGGGCCCAAATCCCGCCAATAGCCCCAAGCTAGGCAAGGTTTGGCGACAGCTTGATGTGATGGCTTTATTTGAAACCCAGCAGGCCTCCAGTGCACTGTTACAGTATGAGGTCTGGTTATTACTAAGATCCTTGGAGGGGAAGTTTGGGCCAATGTGGTCAAACCTTGGCGCCGCAAAGATTTGTCAATACCATGACAAGCTCCATCTGTTTAGCATGGCGTTCCATAATTCTCGGAAAGATTTCGCGACGAATGTTGAAATGTACAGACTTGCCAATTGGGCTCGACTGAAAGTCGAAGAGAAGCAGTTCAGGCTAGGCGGGTTGGACAGTATCCAAGACCGGGGCCTTCTCATAGTGCGAAAGCCGCTCAGCCAGGATGACTCGCTTTTCAACCACTGGGTGAACCAATATGCTGCCATTTCCTTCAAACTATGGACTTTACATAAAATTCTCAAGATCTTCACTGAAGAGAATGACGCATTTACACGGAGTTACTATACTGGTTTGGCAGAAGAACACCTTAAACGTTTGCGCCCGCCAAGTTTTGTGCCAGAAATCGGCTCTGCCAGAGTCAGAGATAGCCGGCGGAAGCGACGAAAGGAGATTAGGAACATGCGTTCTTCATTTCCAGCGCCGCACGGGAATTGGTCCAGCAAGGCATCGACCAAGCCCAAGACATTATCGCCCCCATCAAAAGATACTACAAAAATCTCGTCATCTTCGCCACTCCCTTCACCATCGCAAGCCCTTGATACTCATGCAAAAGCCTCCCGAGATCATTCTCCACCGATGTCTGACACGACCATCTCTATTGCCAAAGGGGAGACCCCCAAACCAGACGATAAAAAGGAGAGTGTAGTAGCAAAGAGTGGAAAACAGATAAGGGCAATGAGGGTGCTTCCAACTGGTCCCAAGCTGTCTAAACAGGCTACCCTTGATGACGTTTTGGCCGAAACCTCCCCCAAATCAGACGATGAAAGGAAGAGTATACCGGAAGAGGCATCCATCAAGCCCAAAGCACGGCCTCCTCCATCAGTTAAGGCTACAAAAAATCCGTCATCTTCGCTACTGCCTTCATCACCACCGAAAGCTCTCAAAACTCCTCCCAAAGACCCCCGAAATCGTTCTCCATCAACTTCTGGCACAAACGTCTCTATTGCCAAGGGGAAATCTTCCAAGCCTGATGGTAAAAAGGAGAGTGTACTGGCAAAGAGTAGAAAACGAATGAGGGCAAGGAATGTGCTTCAAATTGAGCGCAAGCTGATTGAACAGGCTACTCTTGATGATACTTTGGCGGAGGACTTGGGTGATTTCGGCCCTCCAATTCTCAAAAAGGGACAAGCAGCGCAGCAACCCGATCCTCACCAAAAAGCCGATCCAGAATCAAGCCGGAGTCCACCCGCTGGTTCCAACAGAGATAATGCTGTCTTTTTGCCTACATCCAAGTTGAAATCTCGACCTGCGAAAAAGACATACTTAGCCAAGCGGCCACGAGAATCGACCCTTGGTCGCAGACGAAACCCGCTCTCGGGCAGCAATATTCAGCGTAAGCTTAATCTGGATTTTTTGAGCGGAAAGACAACCGCCAGGTTATACAGCACTAGAGCATGTGTTTCTGGGGTGAAGGCCAATGAACACAACCTTCGTTGCGCAGACGAGCAGTCCTTGCCTCTTGACGACCCACCAAGTGCAGAACTTGTTGATGGCCTGGTAGGATCTGCTAAGGATCTGCTTGTTTCATCCGAGGCGGAATTTCCACAAAATGGCAGCAAAGTCAAGGACAAGGCAGCTCCGCTGTTCTGGACTCATAGTTCGCAACGTGGTCCCGCTGGACAGAAGCTGATTGTGCATTACTGCCGAACCCTGGATAGCACAGAGGAAGTTGCAAAGCTTTTCCTCGATAGCAAAGTCATCGGATTCGATATGGAATGGAAGGCACAGGCTTCTGCTTGGGATAGTATACAGAGCAACTTGTCTCTAATCCAAGTCGCAAATGAGGAACGCATTGCGCTTTTCCAGATCGCGCTTTTTAAACCGGATAAAACCCTCCAGGACCTCGTGGCACCGTCACTGAAGCAACTTCTTGAGTCGCCCGATGTCACAAAAGTTGGTGTATCTATCAAGGCGGACGTAACTCGTTTGCGCAAGTATCTTGGCATTGAGACTAGATCTATCTTTGAACTTAGCCACTTGTTCAGATTGGTCAAGTATGGCCTGACTCACCCGAAGCTTGTCAATAAAAGAGTTGTCAATCTTAGCGACCAGGCGGCAGAGCATCTTGGGTTGCCTCTTGAAAAAAGCGATGATGTGAGATGTGGTGATTGGACTCGTCCTTTGAACTACCGTCAGGTTCAATGTGAGTTTAAATACAGCCTAGGAATGTTGAAACAAGCTGATTATTTCTAAACAGATGCCGCGACTGATCCCTACGCTTGTATTTGTCTGTTCAATACTATGAATATGAAAAGACAAGCTATGGACTCTGTACCACCCCTTCCTGCCCATGCAGACCTTAACCTACCCATCATTCTTCCTCCTAAAAAGGCATTGCATGCTGAAAACAAGGATTCATTGCCTTCGAGCGCAGTCGTTATTGATCATGCTTAAGCGCTTTTGACCGTGCATATCCCGGCGTCATTTCAATGTTCTTGCTGCATATAGCCCATCACGTTTTATAGTTCCGAGGTCGTTTTTTGATGTATTTTGGCGTGCACATGTGCTTACAGTTCTATATATGTATTCGATATCCCAGACATTTAAGCTACTGGGCGGAAGTTATGAATCTGAACCTATCAAAAAAGTACCATGACTATTTGAATACACAAATTGACAAGATATATCAATGCATTTACGCTACATTTGGAAAGTCCCATGCTTGGTACGCGAAAACGGAAGAGCAAACGGGGGTATATATTCGTCCAGATCAAGTATGTACATTGATGGAAAGTCCATGTCTGGAATCTTAGAAGAGCCATATGCAAATGCGATCGTATATGTAGAAATCATCCTCTCAGAGGAAGAACCTTTGATAGCAGCACCTCCTGCCGACAAAGTGGACACTCCGGCTTTTCGCGCACCCAATCCCTGACACATATCCAACAAAATACATGACCACAAGTCGTTACGCTCGGGTCTTTCAACACCTCCAAGCACAACGTGCACTTCCGCTGCTGTCCATCCGGGATCCAGGCAACCGCGCAGGGGTCCTCTTCAAGGTCATATCGAGGAGATGAAGCAGACAGCAATGGCACAGAAGCGGGGTTTTGAATCGAAGCAATAACAGCTCCGCCCTGAGACGACGCAGCCTCTGTCCCAGAATTCTCAGTTTCAGCATTGTTCATGCTCTCGCCTATCTTGCGCACGTGCAGGAAACTCTGCACAGCGGCCTGAAGAACCATCAATACACCCAGCACTTCATACCCAATGCGCTGCTCACTCTCATCAATCTTCTTGGTAAAAACGTAGCGCAAACGCCAGATCCGTTTCGAAAGATGATAATACGAGCCCGTAAAATAGAAAGTCGCAATACTGAGCGCATAGATAGGTGAGAGTGAAGTCATCGAGTCGAGATGATCAAGGATGTACTGCTGAATGCGCAACTTCGTGAAGAACGGCTTCGACACTTTACTATTATTATTGGAGTTGGTCGGTTTCGACAGTCCAGGGATTTGCTGCTGTGCCGCCCGGAACTGTTGTCGCGCAATGCTCCGCTCCAGCTTATTTCGCACGCGCTGTCGGAGTGCGGGGAGAAGCCGCTGCAGCCACCATGGTAACAGGATGCTGCTGAGGATATATCCGACGCGGCGAGTGATAGCGGGCAGGCGGAGGGAATCATCTTCCAGCTGAACAAGGTCGCAGTATTCTTCGCCGAGAGTGCGGTTTCCGATTGCGGTGGTGAGGGAGAAGTAGAGAAGTTCAGTGAGATTCTTGATGGCGTCGGAGTAGGCGTGGACGAAGCGGGCGCCTTTTAAAGAACGGATGATTGTTTGAGTTTGTTGGACGAGTCCTGCTGTCATATAGGCATCTTTCTCATGCGAACGGATAATATCTGGGGAGGTCGCGAAGGGGTAGAAGTGGGAGGGGAAGCCGAGGCCTCCTCCGTCCGAAGTTGGGAGGGAAAGATTGGGGTCGTCGTCGGCCATTTTGGTTGTTGATCTGGGCAATCTCTAGAGTGAGGTGGCTCAGGAAATGACCAATGGTTTATGTCTTTGAAGGGTGCAGGGACATCATTGAGGAAGATAGTACCGGGCAGTTTCCCCAGAGTCGGGTTTCCCCAAGTAAATGAGCCTCGGTCCCCCGATCCGATAAGTCAGGTGACTTGTCCGCAAGTCCCACAGATCACATGAACGATGACATAAGCAAGTACCCATTTGGGCAGGTCAATGGTGGTAATTTATGCATTCAGGATTACCCGATGATTACGACAAATACGGTATGGGAGGTCCAGACCCAAGCCGAATCCGGTCAATTAATATACTTCTGGCGGGTTTGCTAAATATAGGGATGTTTCCGTTGGTATTCAATATTGCAGGGCCAAAGAATAGCTTCTAATACCCCCTGATACACCTTTTGAAATCAACGATACATTGGATTTTACTATAAGTGGATGTCATGATCGCTATGCCATCATCGTAGCATAAGAGTGGATGAAGGATAACCCAGAACCGCTCCCCTAACTGCCGATCCAGCAGGATCTTCGTCATGACTGGAGTAGATAGACTCCCCTCATTTCCTAATTATACCTAGAGCCACTAAACTGTGACCCTCTAAGTGGAGCATCCACTGCAAGCCCACTGCGGGCGCGTAATTCCTCGTTACTACCGGGTGCTTATTAACGACTGAAAGCGGACGGGGAAAAGTTCCCTTTACAACAAAATCCCCAAAGCTCACCCCTAGTCACTCTTTTTGTTTGCTTTTGGTACCTCACTTGTTCCTTGTTATACCCCACGGGGATTCATATGTTCATCCTCGGGAAGAACCATTCTATCCTCTGACCTCCCCCTCTACCACCCCTGTTCCATGGAATAATGGGTCCAGATCAACATGCGCAATTGGATGGCTTTGGGCTGGTCTTCCCCTTCCCTATTCGCATAGCGGCTGTCTTGGTTGCAGGTAGGTCTTGCTGTAAATGAACGAGTGAACAGTACCTGACTCTCTATAACAGGTTTCTGGGGATGGGCCCTTAACCTACACTACCTGTCCAAAGTTGACATCGTGAGTGGCGGACCCCTCGGTTCATACCCACGACCATAGATACTAACTGGCTCATCTTTAGGACGTCCCTCGTCTAATCCAATATCCTTCCCATGACCCCAAAGCCCAACCACCACAACGACCACACTACCTCGGAGCCTACCGCTTAGCCACCATCTTCACTATCCCTCTAACTCTCTGGCTCGTTGTCACCTGGGCCGCCACGCACAGCTCTCGAGAGTTGGTAGAACGCCTCGACTTCATTCCGCTGTCGGTCTTTATTATCCTCCTTCTGATCCTTATCTGGCCTTTAAATCGTGCCTCCCGCGCCGGCCGGATCCGGTTTCTCCTGACATTAAAGCGGGTCGCCATCGGTGGTTTGTCGGAGCCCCAGAATGGCAAGTTTGCTGACGTTCTGCTGGCGGATGTCCTGACAAGCTATGGTCGCATTTTGGGTGATCTCTATGTCAGCTTCTGCATGTTTTTCACCGACGGCATTTCGGCCACCTCCAAGCCGAACCGTGCTTGTGGCAAGGATTTCATTGTCCCAATCATTATCGCGGTCCCGAGTGTCATTCGACTACGCCAGTGTCTAACAGAATACGTGCGGGCTCGGCGAACAGCGAATGCGGATCCCAGCCACGGCAACCAACACCTGGCTAACGCACTGAAGTATGCGTCCGCATTCCCGGTCATCTGGCTGGCCGCAAAGATGCGAAACTACAACCCGCTGGACTTTCACGGATTCAGCGAGATGACCATTATGCGTCTTCTGTAAGATCTCCATCTGCCTATTTCATGTTCGTCTGGTCTAACAGATATAGTTTCCTCTTCTCATTCATCAACTCGAGCTATTCATTCTGGTGGGACGTCGTAAAGGATTGGGATATGACTCTGTTCTCCCCTCAACGCCGCGACAGCCGTTATCCGTTCGGACTGCGCAAACACCGCTACTTTAGCTCCGACCGGTTGTACCACTACGTCATCATCGCAGACTTTCTCCTCCGTTTCTCGTGGCTTTGGCGCGTGCTGCCGGGACTCGCGTGGCTCCCGGAAACCGAAAGCGGTCTGTTCATACTCATGGTTGGCGAAGTGGCTCGACGTTGGATGTGGGTGTTTTTCCGAATTGAAGCCGAAGCGAGTATGTTCCACCCCGCTCTCCTAGCAAACCCTAGGACATATTGGCACCAAATCCCAGGGCCTTAGTCTCGAAGTTTCAATGACTAATTATCGATACGAAATAGTTCGAAACGATCACGGATCTGGTTCTCACGACCTTCACCTCCCTAAATACAACGGGAACGGCAAAATAACATCGGATTGAATTTGACAGCTTGCTATACGCGCTTTTTGCCTTTTTATCTACCTTCCACGTTCCACCCTCCAGTATAGCTGGAACGAATATGAGACACAGAACATAACTTCATTAGCGGTTTTTGCGCAACATTTGCTCTTCGTCTCCGTTGGTCCTTTCCCGATTCCTTTCCCGATATCCTCTCCCCTTTTGCAGCTTAGAACAGTCATAAAGACGAGACTCGGATTTCTGGTTCTCCTTGGTATATGGAAGCGCAATCCTTGATTCACTTATATGGCCGTTTTTTTGTTCACTCTGACTCGGTCGATCTTCAAAATTCACATGCTTATGTGGCATAATTCTTATTTCCTTGTCTCGGGATATCATTGACTGGATTTGAGCCCGTGGGTGGCTTTTTGGGCCTAAATGGACTAGGTGTTTGCGTGGTATTAGCCTTGGTGGCGAGCATGGTTTTTGGTGCCTTTTGGGTTTTTTGTCTGGCCTCAATAGGGCCAGATCGACGGGTGCATCTCCTGGACTTTGTATATAGATTCTCTTCACTTGGTTCACCTTGTTGTTTTGGTTGTTTGGGGGCGGGGTCGGGCTAGGATGTACATCATAGATTCCAATCCGCACTATTTCACACTCAATTTGTCCCTTCTCTCCAAGTGAATTGGATTATAAGCTACAAAGTCAGTCGAGTTATATCGGCCTTGAGTACTGCAATGAGCTTCATGTTTCAATATTCCCAGATAAGAGCCATGATTTTACCACCGGAAGATGGTGTCAACATCCCGCACGGTCCTCGACGCTTAGCCCTAGCGCCACGATTGTCGCCAACCTGCAAATCCCGAAACCATCAGTGCCCAAGAATAGGTTCTTGGTCATCTACGCAAAACGGAAGTATGGTATTTTTTATAAGCGACAAGCTTTCTAGACTGCTCATATCCCAATAAAGCATAGCTAAGTTCTGATATTGTCATAGAAACGAGCACTTGAGACGCAGCTGAAACTAATTGTTCCAGCCATGGATAATAAGAATTGAGAAAAAACATGAAAAGGCTTTGTTGTCATCCAAACAGAGCAGTAGATGGATAGCTCTCGTTCCATTATTGCGGTTGATAGGCCAAGAAATCCTGCTCGATTATCCATATGATCCAGGATTTGTTACATGGATACAAAGCATGATCGATCTCGACATCCAAATGCGCGAAATTGTTCAACGCGAAGCCTTTCTAATAAGGCAATACGCTAGTATAAAGAATCCAGCAGACTATCCTAAAATACATTAATAAGATGATTGGAACACAGAACTAAAAGGTCTTAAGCAAAGTTACTAGGAGACGGAGCGCAGAATTTACAATAACACTGTTCGTTGTCCATGTAAGCCTTTACTGCGAGCTTATCTATACACTCAAAGAACGCCGTAGTGGCATACTGATAAATATTGTGGGACGAGGTAGTTGCTATGCTCGAGCTTGCGGATGTTGCTCCAAGCCACGCAGCTCCCGCTCCAAGGGCCATGGACATTGCACAGGAGTTTGCAGTTGCTGTATTCAGGCTCGGGGGTTCCTATTGAATGAGGAACAGAAAAAGCTCTTCCAGCCGACTATCACTATCAAGCAAGATATCCGTGATATGGACGGATATAGTCGCGTTATGCTTAGGGCTTACACCATTGGTTTTAAAGCCTCTTAGTGATCTAGGTTTTGATTGCTTTATGTTTAACTAATGGAGTGCTTGTTTTATTAAGAAAGCTTAGTATGAAGTTTAACTCAGGTAGAGACAAAACCCAATCTCATGTGAGATAGCTACCTCTTAGCAAGATCAAACGTGCTCGATAAATTAGAACTACTACTTCCGTTCATCGGATCAAATTATTAGAATGCCCAAAAAGAAAGAGAATTTTTATCAAGAATTTAAGTAGCTACAGCGCCTCTTAAATAGACTTTCAATCGTCGAAATTAGACATTTGATAATTAAAAAAGGGTCATTCAGAGGCTCCAGCTTCCCGCAAGACAACGGCACGCACAACCACAGACTGTCCTTTAGAAACCACTTCTGATACTGCGAATAGAGCACGCTCAGTAGAAGCAGCTTCCATATCCCAGAGTTTCCAAATTCCGTAAAATACGGAAGAACATTTGAAATAATGGTAGCCTTAATACCAGTAATACAGGTAAAGAAAACATTAGCGTCAATGTAGCTAGTGGCTACCGCAGACTGTCCCTATACGTAAGGTGCTTAATAAGACTTAGTCATAGTAGAAGTCTTCAAGTCTAGATAATAGGCTTTGGCCTATACCCCGCTCTCAAGTACATAGTAAACTAAGAAGTAAGGGAGATATAAGAAGCGTAAACCGCAATCCGACGAATTTCCTAGCAGGAGGTATTTCCAATATCAACTATCTATGGATGATTGTATCCAGTCAAAGTGCTGCCGCCCCTTGCCCATGCCAGTAAGTTTATTACTGAAAGCCAGAATTTGATCTCGCTGCGCAGAGCGCTGCTGGTTAGCCGGAATGTTCTCGTCACCGATGCACCAAAAAAGCCATCCATCAGCATTGGTATACAACAAATAACGCAGTGCGGAACTCATCCAGTTGCACACCTTTATCCTTTGTGACATTTTATCAGGATATCAATACAGAATTATTTTAAATTGATTCTGGAGTGCAGTATCATGGTGGGTGATTTATGGGTGATATCCCAGGTGATGCAAATGAGGCTATTCACAATGTACCTTCGAAGAACTCGGTGAGAAGATGCTCAATTTAAAATCCTGGGAATCGATTTTAGCTTCTATCGAATGCAATCTTTCTCTTTTCTTTTGTCAAGTTACGTACTCCCAATTTAAATTGCGGTGCACGTTACTATTCTAGGCCCTTATACTAGTATTAGGCTATTCCTTAAAAATGCTACGCCTCTCCAGGAAAGCTTCCATTGACTAATTCGTCCAGGTGGATTTGACCTTCAAGGCTGCCAATATGAGAAGCCGAACTTCTGTAACTTGGCCAGTCCAAGCCGTACTATTGTACCGTCAATGAGATGGATGAATGAAAATATTTTTTTTATTTGGAGACCAATAACTCCGGCTATTGACATAATAATGTATAAGAAAAGAACTTAGCGCCAATGCACAAGGGTCCTGGGAAACACTTTGTAAAAGAAAAAAAAAAAAACTAAAATCGTAATAGGGGTTTCCAAATATAGCACACAAGAATGTAGTCGAAGCTGAAACTCAAACGTCACGGAGAAAAACGCTCACGTATTCCCCGTCGTACAGCATACGTAGGACCTCACCGACGACTAGAATCGGTGTCTCGAGGCGACGTATGACTTTCAAACAGGTCCTCCAGGTACGCACTTGGTGCACGCCCCCCGGGGGCCTGGTTCAGGTTCAGAGAGCTTGTAGACGCACCCGCGTACGAGTGGCGCGCATTGTGAGGCGTATCATGATAACCACCAGTAGGTGGAAGAGACGGCGAGCTGGGAGGATAGCCTGGGTTGACTGAATCCCGAACGGGAGTGGAGCTGCCAGCAGCAGCGTAGAACCCGGCAGGAAGGTAGCTCGAGTTCCGATTGCCTGCAGGGGTATTGATACTAGGGTGGGACCCGCCTCCACCACCAGCTGTGGGTGAATAGAATAAGGCACTGCTGTTGCTGGGGACTCGCTGTGAGGGCTTGTAGCTTGCTCGGGTGGCCGTGCCGAGCTTGTCGAGAGAGACGTCCATCGCTGGCGCGGCAGAGTACACGGCTGTGGATCGCTTCTTACGACTACCACGCAAGAGGCGCTTAGACTCTGCGGACTGCGCCATAGCGGCGCGCCGTACTGAGCGATTCACTGACCATGCGACCATGCCCCGCCAGGCTAGCACAGCTAGCCCGATGAAGCCTAGGATAGCGCCGACGGCGATAAAGACTGTACCTTCCGGTGTATTCGATGTTTGCATGTATGGGGCACCGGCGGAAGGAGGTATGGTAACGATCGCAGCGCCAGTTGAAGTGGTGGAAGAGGATGTCGATGTCGATGTCGATGCCGTTGTTGTGGAAACGGAGGACGTTGTGCTGCTGTCAGAAGTAGTTGAGGACGTGGAGGAGGTAGTCGTCGTTGAAGTCATGGTCGTGGATGTTGTCGACTCCGAGGTCGAACTCGAAGTAGTTGTGCTTTCCGATGTTGATGTAGAAGAGGTCGATGAAGTGGTATCGGTCACGCTAGGGGTGCTATCAGTGGTGGAGGGATCGTCGGTGGTCTGGGCGTCTGTAGTGACAGCCGCAGGGTCCGCAGAAACTCGAGCAGCGATGACAACCAGAAGCAATAAGACTAGGAAAGTTGGGTGGGCTTTCCCAAGCCTCCGTGGTGCAAGTCGCATCCCGCTTGTTTTTCCGTAAACAGTCGATCACTTCTCCACAGCGGGTCAGTCGGGGTAGGCCGAATTGCAGTGGACGTCGAGAACAATGAGATCTTCACTCGAGACAAAAAAGATACCCTAGATATCAGATTGTATGACCCGATAGATAGAATACCTTCCAATCCGCCGTTCCTTTTTCGCAGGGAGCTCGCTGGTGCTGTGTCCCTAATTCAGGGGATTCACAGTCAACAGGTTCTGAATGAGCGCAACCCGTGGAGATACCCAGTTGGAACGAGTGTCAGTCTCCTCACCAAGAACAACAAGCGCCAGAGGATTCCAAGAGAAAGGAAACGACAGTAAGTGCAAGTGAGGACTTGAGAGAAGCGAAAGTTGCCAAGTCGCATTCACTACGCTAAAACGGGGGCCTTAGGCCGATGTGTCACATGATGACTTGATTCTGGCAGAAATAGCCATTGTGATATATCATACAGAAATGTCAAAGAACAATGCCCCTGGACCCGAAATTGATAAGAAAAACTCAATTGAAGTATGCATCGCGCAAGGCGTGAACCTGCATCCAGCATCCTGCAACGATAGCTCACTCAATTACTGCGACTTCTTCTGCACGGCAGCTGATGTATCCTTCTCAAAAGCAGCGTAGGGAACCTTAAGGCTGCTCAAAGCATTGATACCAATGTACAAAATAGTGAAGAAGAAAAAGGAGGCCAAGATACCCATGAAGATACCTGTTTCAAGATTAGCATTGGGATACATTATCGGCATATTCAGTGGTAAACGAACCAGGGGTGAAGTACTGGTATTCATCGAACAAGGATTGTTGACGATCCGATTCCGACGAGCTAGAGGGGGATGAGTAGGAAGAGTAATCACGCTTGAGTTCCATGTGAAGGCCGTCCTGGTTGAATTCATCGGAGGGCTGGTATACGACGGAGTCGCTGTCGGGGAACTCCCGAGGGGAGGTCACATAAAGGAGGGTATACTTGGATTCGGAGGGGATGCGGTCAATGATATCGGCAAGAAGACCATCTAAGCCATTAGAGCAGAACGAGTTACATGCAGTCGGGGGTCTACGTACCATTGTCGGAAAGCTGGCGAGCGCGGTCTGAACCCAGAGAAAGCATGGGGAACTCGATGTCAATAACTCGGGGACCGGACTCAAAATATGTGGGATAAGACCCGGCTTCGAATGTTGATTAGCGATAGCTCTTATATTGTACCCGTCATGCCCAGGATGGGCCACGATGGCAACTCACAGGAACCGTCAATGGCGGTAATCTGCGCCTTGCAATTGTCCATCAAGAAGTTCGTAATTTTCTTTGCATCCAACAAGCCTGCGACCTCGTTGACGCTCATGTTGGATCGAATGGACCTATCCTTGCCCAGCATCTTCGCCCCGAGGCGGGGTGCCGACTTGCGGGTGGAGAAGTCGGAGCTGTGCACACCAGGCTGAGAAACAACCACATAGTAGTCGGATGGACAGTTATTCAGGGCGGAGGAGACTTCATCAAGCACTGAAGCGCTAGTCTTGATGTATGCGGAGTTCGCCAGCACCCTGCAGGAACGATTAGCTTGCTGGGTAGCTCCCAAGTGAATCGATTGAACATACTCGGAAGTTGAAGCCAAGAAAAAAGGAGACGTGTCTCTAAAAGCGTCTACTGCAGCTGCCCCAAGGGCGAGCAGCCCAAATCTGCTCATATGCATTGTGTTTGGTTGGAGATGGTATTCGGGGAGGATGATGTTGCCAACGGGAGATCCGACTTGGCCTCGGAGGCGGTCGACTGGGCCCGGGCCCGCCTTGAGCTTTTTTAGATTCCAACTTTTTTTTTTCTTTGGTTCGATCATACTTCTACGACAACGTCCTTTTGGGATTCTATATCTACAATTTGTGAAATCTCGAATCAACTAGCCAATCGTCACTATGGGTATGGGTGCTTACCCCAAAAAGCGGAAGTTGACTCCTAAGGTGGAGGAGGTCAACTTTGACCCGGATGCCCGCCAGGAATGGCTTACTGGGTTCCACAAGCGCAAGGTGCAGCGCATTAAGCAAGCCCAGGAGGTGGCAATTCAGAAGATGAAAGAAGAGAAGAGACATGATCGGGCAAAGGTATGTGGTGTTCCGCTCTCTACGTTTGCGAGAAAAAACAACCTTTGCTAATGCGGTATATCTCCAGCTTCGTGAAGAACGAGCGGCCGATATGAAGCGAGTAATGGAGGAACACAAAGCCGCCCTCAAGCGCATGAAGGCGGAATTCAGCGACAACAGCGACTCCGACGCTGATCAGGAGAGTGAGGAGGAGTGGGAAGGCATTGAGGAACCGCCGGCGGTTGACTACGAGGCCGAATACATCGACGAAGACAAATACACCACTGTTACCGTTGAAGAAATGGATACATCACGAGATGCTCTCCGGCAGTCCGCGAAGGGAGAGGATTCAGAGGAGGAAGAACAGAAGCCAACAAAGAAACCCGAGCCAGAGGCGAAATCCGATAAAAAGGTTCGCAAATATACACAAAAGCCGAAGCAGAAGAAAAAGCAATTCCGATACGAGAGCAAAGGCGATCGTAAAATTGCTGCGTCAAAACAGCGATCATCAAACTCGAAGAAAGCTAAGGCGCGCAGAGAGCAGTGATAAGAGGGCCATATTCAGAAGGATTAAATCGTTTATACCATGTCATCAAAATATTTGGAGGGTCTCTTTTTTCTTTCAAAGCCCGGCTTGTCAATAAAAATTCTATGATTCACGAGAAGATTCCAAAGATGTCCGCAAAAGGCGGTTGATACGCGCAGCAGGGGAACATCGTACTCAATGTGGCATAAAATGCTAAAGAATATCGTCTCCAGCATGGTAGAAAGGCAAGTAACACATTTGATCACATTGCTGAAAAAAACAATAGCTGGAACAAGGGGAAGAAAGCCTGCATTCAACCCAACGTCTCTTTACACTCGAGATCAATACACTGTAGCCTCACACCACTTAAACGTTGCTGATGGAAACCTCGAGCTCGTGCAGCTCCTTCTGCAAGTTGTTGAACTTGGTTGACATTTCCTCATACTTGGCCTCCCACTGGTCGCGCTCGGTCTCGAGGGCCTGAACCTTGCGCTCGTAGTGGCCAGCCTTGACGTCGGTCTGGCGGAGCCTAGGAGCAAATGTTAGAATATTGGGTACGAAATATCCAAGCGAACGTCATACTTCTCGTTGGTCTCACGGAGAGTCTTCTCGTTCTCCTCAGCCTCCTCCTCGAGGAGCTGCACGCGACGCTGAAGGGCCTCGTTCTGGGTGTCATGCTGAGCACTGGCACCAGCAGCATCCTTAGCATCCTTAACGGAGTTTTCCAGCTTCTCAACCTCCTCCTCAAGTAGGGAGTTGCGGTGGTTGAGCGATGTGATTTCCTGCTCCTTAGCCAGGCTCTCCTGTTCGAGTTGTCGGATCTTGGCGTTCAGCTCCTCATTCTTCTCGTGGGCCTCATCCGCCTCAATGCGGAGGTTGTTCATGCGCTGTACTCATATTAGATCAGTATGATTTTGGTTGGATAGAAAATACGTGGGAGTGGTAGGCATGCTGCGGGTGATATGCATCGAGGGGGAAAGGAACAGCTGTCCAAGCTACCCCGCCGGACAGGGGTCTTCAGGGAGACTCACCTCCTTGATACGATCCATTTTGAAATGATCAGGAAAAGAGATAATATGTATGAGTGAATAGAAGAAGGCTTTCGCTCAGCGAGCCAGAGTAGTTGGGATGAGTTGGCGGGGTTGGTGGTTTGGGAAGGAAAGTTGCTGACTACTATTTACAATTACCCATCATATTTATTTTACTGCCTTTACTGCTCTTTACGCCGTACCATACACGACCACCGCCCCGCTTCACCCTTTGTCCAATCACTGCCTTCCGATCCACGCGTCTCCACGGGCAACCACTTCCCGACAACAAGTGCTCCCATCTAGAACTCGTCCTAACCGCGTCTTCAATTCACCGTCTTTTCAAGATTTGCATGTGTATCCACAATCACCATCCGCCACAATGCTGGCTCTTCGTGACCAGGAAAACCTAGTGAACACCCACCAGACCGCCGCTGCCAATAAGCCATTGAACCAGGGAATCAAGCCGCTAGCTCCGAAGACTCCTGGCAGGAAGGTACGCCTTAATGACGAGAACAACACCATCGCATTTGGAAAGCAGACAGTGAAGGGCAATGGAAACCGTTTGGAGAATGGGAAAGCGGGCAAGGATGCGTTTGTGACGCCGATGGGTATGTCAACTCAGAAATATCGGCTACACGGTTATGACGCTGACAGGTTACACCTTCAGAGACAAAGAACCGAGCTCCTTTGGGCAACAAGACAACCAACCTGAAAGCGAAAGGCCTCCAAACACCGGCCCCGTTCGGAGGAACGTTGAAACCCGAGAGAACCAGCCGAAGACCTTCTACCCAAAAGGTCAAGAAGGCTGCTCCAGTCACTCAGCAGCCGCAGACAAAGGTTCACCTTGATGTAGTCCATGATGATGTGGCAGATATAGAATATATGCCCCCACGGGCTCGAGGTATGACTTTAAACATAAAGCCAACAAGAGATATCGCGTTGCTAACGATCCATAGATCTTCCGGACATACCAGATGATCTTCGCTATGACACCACATACCCTCAGTTTAAGCCTCGAAACCGTGCTTTGGGGTTGGAGAGTGTTTATGGACGACAAGAAATTGGGAGCGATGGTCTGACAAGCAAGCAGCGCAAATTTCAGGAGGACTCTGCCAAGTGTGACAAAATGGTCGACGAGATGATTATGAAGCAACTTGATGGCATTAGTTTCAATGAGCGCAGCGAAGATGAGGCGGTAAAGCCCTTGGCACGAGTGCCGCTAGCATCGACTACCCGTTCCAAGGGACTATCCTCAAATGCCCGACCTCTTCGGAGTATCTCTACACTGAGATCTCGGGAGGCAGCGGCAGCTCTGTCGGCACCCAAGACCAGAGCTCCTTCAGCCAGAATCGCTGCGGCTTCCAAGCAAAGCATGACATCTTCTCTCTTGCCCAAAAAGAAGGCCCGTGTTCCGACCAACCCCTCACCCATGCGGAATACTGCAGCTGCGATGAACTCCAACACGACCGTTGGCTACTCCAAGGGCCGCAGTGTTTCATCAACATTGCGGGAAAATGAGGTCAGCGCCAAGACCACCCTTTCTCCCGAGACCTATATGCATCTTTATGGCCCGCCTCCCCTGGGCTCGGAGATGTGGACTCGGTGCAAAGCTGCTGGCTCCTTCGACACTGAAGATGATGCTGGACAGGAGCTCCAGGAGTCTCTTCCCACATTCTCTGAGGATGAAGAGGCCGACAGCTTCCAGCTCACGCTTTAGGCGTCACCACCGCCATTGATTTTATTGCATAGTTTATTGAACCGATCACTACATGATTTCTATGATGTATTTCTTTGCGAGTATTTGTTTTTGGGGACTGGGGTGTCTGCGATTGGGAAACTCGACAGGTTGGGAAGGATTATTATCGGCGTATCATATGGGAATTGAAGGTCTTCGGCTCGACCGCGGATCACACTGTTTCAGGGCCCCCACTTCCTTGAAGATCGCTCTTAGCACAGCCAGGCGAGAACGCACGAATAACTTTGCCGCACAAGGCAGAATAATTCCACGCACTCAGATTTGAGTTGGTGAGCCCCGAGGGAGTCTGAAGACCCGGCATTGTTGTTTCAGCTGTACTGGTGGGGATAGTATAAATCCCTTTTTCCCATTTGCCGTAATTGTACGGAGTATGTAGACTGATCCCCTGCAGGGTGTTACGTAGCCTCCCCAAATACGCACGGGGCACACCCACTTTAACACCTTCACCGCCTCCTAGAACTGCCACCACTTATTTACACCCTGGGGCTCTCCTTTTTACCTCCTCATCCCTCTCAAGTTGACACCTTGCAGCAATGACGACCATCCACCCGGAGTCCACTGAGGACTTCGAGTTCATCCAAACGCCGGATGCTCCTCAGCAGACTAAGCCGGAATTCGACTGTGGTGTCCCCACTACCTTGGTAGGTAGCTACGTAGCTCGAAAACACTTCGAGTACATTCGTCCCTGACCCCAATTCTAATTTCTTTTGGATAGTACCCGGCTATCAAGAATGCCCCAGTCCCCGCCGACTCTCCTGGCAGTGACAGCTTCTCCAATGGCTTGATGATCGCCCTCCTCGTGATCGTGCCCTGGTGGCTGGCTCGCCAGGTTGGTGGAGGATTCTACACCACCATCTTCTTTGCAATCTTCACCACTGTCCCCGTTCTGGTTGCTTTCTGGAGCATCTCTTCTTCTATCTCTCCCCGCAAGACTGAGAAGGCCAAGTACTGTGGCCGTCCCGTCGAATACTACCTGAACTTCCACAGCGAACATGACCGTGCCACCTACCGCGGCAAGAGCAAGATCCCCATGGAGGTCTTCTACGAGAAGTTCTTCAACAGCGAGGTCGACTTCAAGGTCGATGCTCTTGAAGCTCTTGAGTATCGTCACGACTGGGCCAACTTCAAGTTCACCACCGGTCTGTTCAAGCACTTCCTGTTTGGCTTCATCCCCGAGATGCTGCTGCACACTCGTTCCCAGGGTAAGTTTCTTCATGAAAAATAAACTTGATATATATTGAACGCTAAATTTTCCATAGACGAGGAGCAGGTCCGTGACCACTACGACCGAGGTGACGACTTCTACGCTTGGTTCCTTGGCCCCCGCATGATCTACACCTCCGGTATCATTAGTGATATCAACCGGGAAGAGACCCTTGAGGAGCTCCAGGACAACAAGCTGGCTGTTGTCTGTGAAAAGATTGGCCTGCAGCCTGGTGACAAGATGCTTGACCTTGGCTGTGGCTGGGGCACCCTCGCCAAGTACGCTTCGGTTCACTACGGCGCTCACGTTACTGGTATCACTCTCGGCCGCAACCAAACTGCCTGGGGTAACAATGGTCTTCGCAAGGCTGGCATTGAGGAATCTCAGAGCCGCATTGTTTGCTCTGATTACCGCGATTCTCCTCGTATTGAGGGCGGCTACCAGAAGATCACCTGTCTCGAAATGGCCGAGCACGTCGGTGTTCGCCACTTCTCTACCTTCTTGTCCCAGGTTTACGACATGCTTGATGACGATGGTGTTTTCTTCCTGCAGATCGCTGGTCTTCGCAAGTCCTGGCAGTACGAGGACCTCATCTGGGGTCTGTTCATGAACAAGTACATCTTCCCCGGTGCCGATGCTTCTACCCCTCTTGGCTTTGTCGTCGACCGTCTCGAGGGCGCTGGCTTTGAGATCAAGGGTGTTGACACCATCGGTGTGCACTACTCAGCTACCCTCTGGCGCTGGTACCGAAACTGGATGGGTAACAAGGACAAGGTTGAGGCCAAGTACGGCAAGCGCTGGTTCCGCATCTGGGAGTACTTCCTTGCTTCTTCCACCATCACCTCCCGCCAAGGTGGTGCTACCTGCTGGCAGCTCACCCTTGTCAAGAACATCAACTCGACCCACCGTGTTGAGGGTATCCACTCCCAGTTCGGCCTCACTGGCGCCCGCCAGGCTGCCATTGACCGCGCCAACGGCACTCTGCCCAAGGCCCATATTATCAAGAAGGATCTGTAAATTTACGATCCGTTCTTGCCTCATAGTTTAACTTAGTCCTTCAGGGCTATATCGAAGTTATTGAGGATACCAATTGTTTCGAAACTGACGCGGTGTACTTTTTTGGATTTAACATCGTCAGCGGCTACGAACATAGAATTATCTGGACACGCATGATATGAGTATGAAATGAAGTGATAGACCGAGAAAAGTTTAGGGATTGCGATTGGGTTATGGATGAATGTTAGGCCTGGGGCCTATCAGATTATGTGCTATATGCTTCCCGTGGCCCACTCCTGAGGTCTTAATTGAATCTCGTCTTTTTTTCATCCAATTTTCAATGAATTTGAAAGTATATTTGGATACTGTAATAATTACCTGAGTTCCAAGGTATTACGGGTTTTCTGCGGTATCAAATCAGTTGAAATGCTGAATTGTAAGCATATGTGAGGAAGAGAATTTGAATCTCGCACCCGTATTCGTTGCAATCCCTACTTCATTCGTGTCACCTCGAGTTCGTCCTAATATACCGTCAGTAACGTCAATCACTTTCAGAATCGAACACTTACCTCAAACTCCCCAGGCATAATCAAGCCCTTTACACCCCAGCTCTCAACCCCAGCATGCTGTCGAACATGCTCCCGGTACTCCGGAGCCCCAGGTCGAACCACATTATCCGCCACAACCAAAGCACCAGACTGTAACAAACCAAGGCTCTCACACAGCTGGAAATCAGCCAAATAAAGATCCTCCACATGATCCAAAAACAAAAAGTCGATCTTCGCAATCTTCCCCTCCGCCTTCAACCTCCTCATCGAATCCGCCGCGGGTCCCACAACAACCTTAACAATATCACCCAACCCAGCAAGATCAATAATATTCATAGCAATCGAAGCAATGAGTGGATCCATCTCAAGACTCCAAAGCCGAATACTCTCTCCCGGTCCAGCAGCCTGACGCATAGCATCCCCAAACGAGATAGCAGAGTATCCCACATACCCACCCAACTCAACAAGGACAGAGGGCTTCTCCTTCTTGATCAGCTCATGAACCTTCTGTCCCTTGTCACTACCAATATTGATGAGAAAGTCCTCTTGCGCGGCGAACTCGTCCATAACGGCGCAGATGGCGGACGGTGAACCGCGTAGCTTCTCCAGGGAGGGGTGGTTGTAGATGTATCGCAGGAGGGCGGCTTCACGACCATCGTGGGATTCGAGGTAATCATCACTGCCATCGAATTTGGCGAGAGAGGGATACTTTGCGACGAGTTCTGGATCGAAAGACATTTTCAGTGGTGGGTGGATGTGCGGAGTAGACTAGGGAGTAAATTAAATGAAGTAAGATTGGGTGTTCGATTCCATTTATAGTCCCTTCGGACTTAGGGCTACTTCGGCTTAATTTTGGACCGGGCTGGAAAGCTTCTGCTGTTGGATGTAACGTCTCGTGTGCTCTGGTTGGCTTTTGGGTTCGATTGGTGTAAGCGTGTTTTTTTTTTCTAGATCTAATCTCCCCGCACGTCCAGACCTGGGCTTTTTGGTTCGAGGGTAGGAATTAGTGTTAGGTGTTCACCATTTCCATTAGCTATAAGACTGTCTTGAGACTATCTGTGTGTCCAAATGTCGATTTCTTTCTTCATAGATTGGGGTATTTAAGTCAAAATCGCATTCATTTGTTTTTATACGAATCAACGTCAGGAGGGGTAAGTGTGGAAAGTAAATAGTCAATTTCTACAGACAAAAGGAACTTGATTAAAGTCGCTTACATCTTCAATTAACATTTATCAGCAAACAGTACATCTTCCAAATACGTCACATTGCATACATCGCTCTTATTGTGCTGGTGAGTGACCCAAAAAAACAAGCTTAATCTACTTCTGAGACGCGCACTGTTTGCGCCACTTTTAATTCTCCTCAAATGCACCCAGAAGCTTCTAATAATGCTTTACAACAGAAAAAAGACTAAGGTCATGGATCTCATGACTGTTTTTCTATTAAATTAGAATAGAACCCCTAAAGCCCTAGATAAGAAACATTGCTCAAGTAGGGTTTCTAAGCGGGGTCGACCGAGCTTGTGTGGGGTGCGGAGGCGAGTAGCGGCCATGAGGACAGAACCATTTAGCGTAGCGTCTAGTACTTAGGTATTTTATTATTAGTCCTACTTGGTCTCCTACCTAGTCTCCTATTTTAGTCTCTTTAGTCTCCTATTTAGTCTCCTATCTAGTAATCCACCTTCTTTCATACCAGTTTGGGTAACTAGTCAAAGAACTCTCTAAATTTATATGGCGGAATAGATGATAAAGAGAAAAAAGTGAAGTGGAAGGAGACGGTCTGGTGGAGATTTCAAACGTACGTCCAAAAAGTCTGCGATGTCTCCAAATAATGGAGGGGTAGATTAGCTTGGTAGTGTTTATGGATTTCTGCCATTCATTATGTGATATTGAAGATTCTGTCCTTATGGCCGCTGCTCGCCTCCGTACCCATTGGACCGATCATCTTGTGTTGACAACATTTAATTCAATGCTATATTGAATCTTGAGGATTTTCCAAGTTTTCCCATTGAAAATTTGTAAGCATGATGAGATATGTATATTAATCTGGATCTTGTGGGTTCTTGCAGCGTTCTGTATGTACAATATCTAGTCATTCTCAATATGATTGAGTCTATGTTCGTAGAAGATGTGCAAAATATCAAACAGGAATGACCTTTGAAGAGACAGGAAGAATGAGCTGGGATACACCAGCAGCGATTGTGATGGTATGTGTTTGAGGAACGATCTTGTCGCTTCGCACACGATTCTCTTCGGTTCCCAAGCTTCGCGCATACATGGGGAACGATCCACCAGCAATGACTAGTCGAACGCGTGTTCCGACTTTGAATCGATGAGCACAGTCCGCTAGATCCAGCTTTAGGGACTGAGACATATCGCGCGTCGGGTCAAGCGCTTGATACACCTCGCTGATGTTGTGGGAAACGCCCTTGCTGTCCACTTCACTCAGTCGTAAGAAGAGATCTGCAAAGGCCGGATCACTTGAATGCGAGAGCTGGACGGATGGAGCACCGAGTACTTCCAGGTCTGCTGAAAGAGGTTGGCTAGTGAAAGCTAGGACATCCGATCTAGTACCGTAGATGCTGTCGTCGACTCGTCCGCCAGCTAACAGCTGACTGCCACCGATGCTGGGGGTAGGGTTCCGAGGATCGAAGACAAAGGAAGCCGGAGTTACATCCTGTGCAGGTAGCTCCGAGTCGAGACTGGTTGCATCTTGTAGATAAAATGTTTTCGACTCGGTATTGGGAGGCCAGGTGGGCATCGAGCGCCACTCTTCAGCACCAGTGACGAAGATGCGAGCGCGGGACCGACCATATTCTCCAGCCTTGGCTAGATGCTGCGCAAAGAAGTCCATAATCTCGGGTATGGAATGCAGACCGCATCCATAGATATGGTTCCAAGGACCGACAACAAGGCTGACATCTACACCCCTTTCAAACAGACGTTTATATTGCTGCATCGTCTGCATCTCGAATGGGTCATACCAGCCACTGACCAACAAGATAGGAATATTGGCCCTCTCAAGAGCAGCCTGCTGCCGTCTCGTACTCCAGTAGGGATCATCAACATCCGGGTGAGCCAAATACTCAAAGAGCCAGGGAGCCCTATCCTTGAAATAATCCTGCAGACTAGCCTCCAGCGGCAAGCCGGCCACGGCGTTCTCCAGCCCGGAGGACGACAAGAAACTTAGGCCAGGTAACTTCGACAACGTCTCGAGAAAGCTTCCACGCTCCTCCTCTCGAGAAGCCATAGTGTCACTCCAAGCAGCCCGATCCAGACGAAATGATCCAGTCTCCCAAGCATGCAGCGCCTGATCATGAGGCCCAACGGGAATGACAGCAGCGACACAGTCTGCAGGCGGATCGCGCAACATCGCCCACTGACTGTATCCCAGATACGACGCTCCCATAGTCGCAAAAGTACCCGGATACCAGGTTTGCTGACGCATCCACTTAACAATATCCTGGCTATCGTTCGCCTCGTTGATTCCAGGACTAAAGGTACCCTCCGAGCCGTGGGTACCCCGAGTACTGACGAAAAGAGCCTGGTAGCCACGAGCGACAAAGACGCGAGCATTCAGGAAGGAAATTCCTGCGCCTCGGCCATAGCAACATTGGACCATGATCAAGCCGAGTGGCTTTTGACCCTCCGGTAGTTCTGGTTCGTAAAAGTCGGCTGCGAGTTTCATTCCATCTGACATGGGGATCTGGACGGCTTGTGTTGTGTAGCTGCATTTTTCTGGACCTGCATTTACATAGCGTGCTCCCACGTAGTCCAGGGTGGCCCCTGCGAAGCCACGCTTCACGGGTTCTCCTGCCATGGTGTTCGTGATGGTGTTGCGGTTGAGATATGCTTCTCCGCAGGCAGGTGGTTGCTCAAGTGGCAGGTTTCCAAGGATGATTATAAGGTCGATCTAGGCTGCTCCTTCTTTGAAATGTTCGGATGAGAGCTCTATAGTGGGAAGCAAAATCCAGAGCCACGGGAGTCACGCAAATTTTGAAAGTGCAAGGGATCGGGGTCAAAGATTGTGACGTATTCGTATTCGTGAGCACTACTTTTATGCAAAGCCCCGCACGACCCGATCCGAGTTGTGTAGATTTCAAATGTTTCCAAGGTTGTAGGCATTTGAAATGAAAAAGACATTAGTATTATTTTTCCTAAACCTTCGGTTCTATTTACTCATAACTGGATTTGTGTATTAACTCAGAGTCAACCATGGACATATGTAAAATGACGTCATAAAGTCTATATCATCACGTGTACGGGGTATTTCAATTAAGATTCCTTTTCTAGCGATTTCCCGTAGACATCTTAACTATGCATGAGCCGTTATTACCGAGATTCTTTTCACTTCTACAAGGAACAAGACCGGCATGGACTCCCTGGTCACGGTGCTCACATAGAACCGGCACTCATTTTAGCCCCCGAATAAGTCCGCTGGTCTCAACGAGGGGGGCTACGCTCACAAGTCGAAGATTAAATGATAATCATGACATCCGTCTTCCAGAGGAGATCAGCAAACAGAATTCCTTCAAGCAACAAGTCTTTGACCAATCCATCGCCTTATCTCGGAGTCGTATGAATGAATCTACCGAATTAAAGTGTGCATTATTCAACGCAAATGGCTCCACTGCGTTCAAAGAGACACGCCTTACAAAGGCCGAGGTTGCTCAGCAATATGGCATCGATGGCCGGGATCTAAGAAATGCGGACCTTATCTCTGAGGGGATCCCACATATCTTGGTCAGGCCGTCCGCGATATTTATCAGTATCTTTACCCTGCGTCTTCTTATCCAGTGTGATGGAGCTCTGCTCTTCCTTCTCGACTCCGAGACTGATGGTGTGAAAATGCAAGATGTATTCGAACACAATCTGCAGAGCAGAGTGCGTACCGAAATGGGATTGGGATCTTCGCCCAGCCTTCCTTTCGAACTACGCGTCGTTGATGCAGCTCTGGCGTCTGTCACGGCAATTCTTGAAGCAGAGCATCTAATCCTCCGTGGAGAGGTGGAGAAGCGTCTTCAAGATTCCAAGCAGGAAGATGTTGTCCACCTGGCTTTGCGCGAACTGTTAGAACATGGAAAGAATCTGGTCACTATTGAGCAGCGAGCTCGCCAGGTCCGCTCCGCTCTGCAGGAGCTTCTTAACAACGACGATGATCTCGCAACTATGTATCTGACAGATCGTCAGGCTGGGAGACCACATGCTATCGAAGATCATCAAGAAGTCGAATACCTGTTGGAGGCATATTATAAGAACGCGGATGCAATTGCAGAGTCTTCTGGTGCCCTGGTGGACGAAGTTAATCGCACAGCAAGAGCTATTCAATCCATTTTGGATGTTCGACGAAACCAGATCATGATCTTCGAAGCTCATATCGAGATTTGGATGCTCGGATTTGCAGTTTCTACTTTTGTGGCGGGTCTTATTGGGATGAATGTGGTCAACTATATGGAACACACCCCCTATGCAATTGTCTGGCTTGCTTCGGGATGTGTAATAGCGACACTACTCATCTCGAGGATTGGAATGTGGAAGCTTCGAAAAGTCCGGAAAATGCAGCTTTAGACAGCCTGCAAATATTGTGGAAACTTATAGGTCTACACTATACTCTCGTTCAAGGGAGATGTGATCTAAAAGGATTGAACGAGTGGGATGAAGATTAGAGACAAATGACAAGAATACACAGCAGTGTCATACATTCTCATATATTCTCACTGGATCAGAGACCATATATGTACATACAGACGCGCTCGATTCCATTTTCACCTCCTTGCTCTCTTCGATTCATTTCCAACCTTGTATATATTCTTGAAACTAGCCCAGTACAATAGTAATTAACGGCATAGTAATAGCTATTGTATCACTGCCAGATAAGGAATTCCCGACCATCGTGATCTATTTACCGAGTGGATCTATGAAAGCTTGACCAAAAGAGAAATATTGGATGTTGGAGTGGAGCATATCGTGTCATCCGTATGCAATTCCAACCACTCAGATTGCTGCGTTCCACAACCCCATTATAAATTCCGTTTATCGCCGAAACGGGTCAGTCATCTTGAACCATGAAATTTGAACCTCAAGGTCATCATTTCTCAAATTATGAGTAAGAGATAGTGAATTTTCATTGGTCTAAAATCCTATAAAAGGATGTCTTTCTCGACTACAAGAAACTCAAATCCCAACGTTCTCTCTAGCCACAACTTTGTCTTCCAAAAGGTACGTCTGATAGTCACCATGATCGGATGAAGTACTTTAATTTCTACTTTGCTCCTGCTCTTGCTCCCACCACCCTCATTAGTGTCATACTGTCTAACATCACAACCCGTAACAGTCAAACCTCTATCAAACCACCTACCTTACACAATGCCCGAATCAATCATCCTCAAGGGAGGCCACACAGCCGTCAAGCCCACCGCCACATTTACCGGTGATGTCTACGTCGACATGATTCATATGGATGACAAATCTGCTGTCGCCAATGTCACTTTCACCCCTTGTGCGCGGACTCACTGGCATACCCACGAGGACGGACAATTCCTTAAGGTCGTGGCTGGTTCCGGCTGGATCTGCGACAAGGGTGGTGAGCCCCGCCGCATCAAAATGGGAGACTTGATTTGGGCTGAGCCGGGAACTACCCACTGGCATGGAGCCGATGATGGTAGTATCATGACACACTTAGCTCTTGGTTTTGGAAAGACAACCTGGCTTGATCCCGTTACCGATGAGCAGTATGGTGTTAAGAAGGATTAAATGGAAGCGAAATTGCATAGACAAGTCATTTAACTATGAGCTATATCTCATTCTATCAAGTGCTTCTAGATTTAGAGGTCGGAGTCTTATAACTTGTCAGTATTCTACTGTTCATTCCATATTTTAAGGTTTTTACGTATATTTCCACCTTGTCTCAACATTTAAAAACAAGAAGAACATTTGGAAATTTCTCCACGTACCCCCTATCTAAATTGAACAGCAACATACTTGTATATACCCATGGCTTCGAGTTAACTAACTAAATCATGTTTCCTGTAGCCTACCCAGGTAGCTTCAAGTGTACATACTCCAGTATCTACTCTAGTACCTACCATTTCATCTAAGGTGTACTATACTCGTATATCGAATGTACCACGTTCGATATACTTATACAGTATATGTTGATGTGATGGTAGCGAAACGAACACTTAAAATATTGATATTGTAGGGAGGCACTGAATTCGGAGCCATTGGTATATTCCTGCATATGGGCTTAGGTGTACAAGAGTAATTTAGGGGGTACATGCATGTGGAGAAATTGCCAAACATTTACATAGAGCTACCTGGACTGCCTATATACCCAACTTCCAAGGTTGCTACTGGAACTGCATAATCAAATTTCCATCAAAGAGCCCGACCACCCAGTTCCAATGACCAGTACAAGCAGTGTAAAGCCTATTCCAATCCCACGCTGACCGATCTAAGCAGTGAAGTCACAGGGCAGTGAGCCACAGCAGTACCCATGTCCAGCATCCAAAGCACCCTCGAAATCAATATTGTGGCATCCATCACTTGTCCGCCACATCAGAGCATGAAACTCATAGCCACCAGAGCTAGTCTCAGAGAAACTAAAAGAAGTGGTCAGCTGTGTTAGTTATATATGAAATCTCAATACTAACTCGACAATGCATTCCCCGGTTGTGCAGCCATCGAATCCTCCAAACAGAGTACCCGAATAGGTAGAGCCGCTGGTGTAGTCGGTGAGATAGATGATCTGGAAAACACCACCCTCGTTTTCTTCGTAGGCAGAGGCAGCCATTTGGCCGGTGAAGGCGCTTGCGTAGCTGGCAAGCGTGGCAACGGTCACGAACAGGGAGAACTGCATCTTGAAAATTGGATTCGATTCTGTTCAAATCTTTGGTTGAGAGTTTAGTGTGATGATTTATTTTCAAATGATGGAGAAGTTGCTCATAATTTATACGTTTCTGAGTGTGAATGTAGTTGGTGATATTGATATTGGAGATATGATCAAGTGTGGATGTGGCTTTTGAAACGCTATTTTCTTACCGCATACTCTATCATAATTGCACACCGCAACCTGGCTATGGGGCAAGAGTTGCCGAGCTGATATATTTTGAGTTCTATGAGACTTCGTGAGGGCAAAGCTTGGGCTTGTTAGGTTTTTGCATGGTTCAACTTCAACAGCTCCTTGAAAACAACAACTTCGGCTTCACTGACAATATTCGAATATGAAAGATATTTCTTGGTTGATTTTATTTATCCCATTTAATGATTACTACTGCTGTGTTTATTCAAACATCTGAATGCGGAATTGAAAGATCGGTGAAGAGCTTACTCCGTATCGAAACCTGGGCTCGATTTTGGAAAATTTGAAGCCACGATATCACCGTGCGAGCAGCCACTATCACTTTCTCTAATAAAATGGAAATTTTAGCGTGGAAACATTGGGATACGGCTAAATATAGGATGCGAACCCCAGTTCTAAATATGCCCTAAAGAGAAAATGCGTCGATGCCAGATACTGCAAGCCACTCAGCCTACCGTGCAGGTTGAGACTGATACAGCAAGTTGACCTCAAATGCGGCTTAGCAAAGGTCTAAAGAAAGATTATTGGGAAACATTTGGGGAAAAACATAGACACTTGAACTCGAGATTTGTACTCACTAGTAGGTTGAAACTCAGGGCGTAATACCAAGCAATCTTGGGAATGCGAAATTAGCTTAGCATAGACATTGTATACATTTAATGTTAGCCAGACTTGTTTCTCCGTCTTGGCACTGCAAGTCAGTCCACGGGTGTTATCGGATTATTGATCTTGCATAAACGGGACGGAGTTCATGCAGGGCTATACCCGCGGGGTCATGCGCATAAGCTAAGTCAGACATTTATCTTGGCGGCTTCCAGGGCTTGGCTTACAAGATCTTGATTGAGTCCCTCTATCATTGGAAGAAGTGAATTACCATCAGTCTGATATACGATTGTTTTGGTTCGAAGCTTGAATCCTCGTTCTATGGTGACTGGAAAAAGTTGAATACTTCTGTGCTACTCGGATAAGGCACCTTATATGTCAAGGGACCTCTTTGTCACACAGACAGGGGTTAGGCTTGGCGCATGAAACTTGGCTTTATCGAGATTCAATGAGGTGAGCACTTAGGTAAATAAGCCGCCAGGGGACCATAGAGTGAATTGTTAGTCTGCGTCAGTGCTGACATTTCCTATCTCAGAATGCAGGCCACATGAGTTCATCACAAACGCTTATAGAATCTGCCCAACAACTGGTTATAGAGACTGTCATGTGCTAGGTCTGCATGCCTACCATGAAACCCAGAGCCAGATTTCCAAACCCTCAAAAAACCTCCCCCACATGGATTTTGATTTTATCAAGCCCCAACAACAATTGTATGGTAGCCTCCAGTAACTTGTATCAAAGTATAGTTATCCCCGGTCGTTGCAATAGGCCCAAAAGTAGAAACGTTGGCTGTCTGTTTCACCTCGGATCCATCCATAATGATGCGGCTACTCTTAAACCCTAAGTTGGGTACACAGACAACCCCACTACTATTCTCTGGTGTTTCAATCTGAAGATCAAAAGTCCTGTTGGCATTTTTACTCCAAGAAACCAGAATAGATCCTTGTGGAGTCCCGACTTCTCCTCTAGCCCAAGTAAGATCCCCACCATCACTCACAGGGCAGATTTGCCAGGTTTTGAAGCCCGGGCCGGTGGGCCGAACACCGAGGATATAGTTGCTCATCAGCGGCACAATACCGGTAGACCATCCGTGAGACATGGAGGTAAACCCTTCTTCGTAGGGAGATCCGTTAGGGCCAATACCTTCCCAGAAAGTAATCTCTGGATCGTGGGTCGACATCCAGCCATACAAGCGCTTGATTTCTTCGACGGCTGAGTCAGATGCACCGGGTGTAGCAAAACGAGCTGCAAGCTCGAAATAGGAAATAAATGCATACACTCGCTGGGAGAAACCAGTAGACAAGAGGTCATTGTCGTAGAATGCATTCCCATACGGCTGCGATGCCGCGTTTCCGTAATAATTGAGTAGGCTTGTGGCTAGTGAGGCATTTACCGAGCCGGATAGCACAGCTAGCCCATTTCCATCTTGCGCGTGGACATTGCAGATTGCATCTGCTGCTTGGTTGGGACAAGGACCTCCGTCGAAGAATGCACCGACGGCTGGATCCCAGTTACGGGCTAAGAGATCTTCACTAATAGCAGAGGCACGAGAAGTCCAGATCTGACTGTCTACAGGATTCCTCAGGATCGTGGCAACCGTGGCGGCAGATTTCAAGGCGTGGACGTACAGAGCGTTGTAATAGGTTATGACGCCGGACCGAGGTAGAAATGCGTAGTCACCATACCCGTTGGTTTTGTTCACGAGACCACCGTTAGATGTGAGATTCTGACCAAAATAATCGTCCAATGTCTTCTTCATCACGTCGTAATACTGCACGGCAAAGTCTGTATCCCCGGTGTACATGACAAGATCTGCTGTGCAAACAACCCACCACATGGGGTAGTCATAGAGATCCAATGTGTAGTTGTTGCTGGGGGGAAAATAAGACGGTATTTACGGCCAAAGAATCGTAGATTGACTTACATGCTAGCAGGTGGAATCCATCCATCAGACCTTTGGTGATTCGCCAAATCAGCCAGTATGTTGCGGGTCGCGTCAGGGTTGTCGTGCGATAAATACGATGTAAGCGCGGCAACAGCCAAATCACCAACATATGGATCTCTGTCTCGCTTGGCACCATCGAAAAGAACCTCCTTGCCTTCCAAAGTGGAGGAGGCTGAGTTCCGAGGGTCTGTCTCGTTGGCGAGGAAGACATATGTACCCATGTCGGCAGTATACACACCATCATACCACCATTGAGTAAGATCCTCGTCAGAGCACTCAAACCACCCAGTGAAGGTGTTCGGTGTTCCCAGATAGGCAGACCATTCTAATTCAACGTTCGAGATGGACACGGATCCGTATTTCTGGGTAAAAGGGGCATCACTTTCGAGGGCGTCAAGCCAAATTTTCATGTATCGAAAGCCGTGGAGACCATCGGAGCACACTTTATCATTGTACTGGCAACCATTGTGATCTTTCCAGGTATAGGCTTCATTGGAGACGGCAATCTGCATATTTTAGTCTATAGTTTATTGAATATTTGATTGGAGCATACCTGATCTGTTCCATTTGTGAGTTTTTCACCCTGAAGGTTTGTTATTAGTTCACAGGTTTGATTAAGGTGGTGTAGTTGACCTTACTGTGGCCATGTTGTCAGATCTGGTGAAGTCGCTAGTATTGGTCAGATACTGTTGGGTTTCAGAAAAAGCCAACTTCAGCCCAGGAAACCCTTCAGACGCATTGGAAGACCCAGAAAACGTGATTGACACTATGCCGACAACATTTTGCCCGAAATCGACAACCAGAGTAGGAATACTGGGGTCCCCTTCGTTGCGTGTTAGGATGGTTGACAAACCATTCCCACCAAGTAAACCTTCGGGATTGGTGATATTTCCGCTGATGTTTGCGGATGGGATATTCAGGGGCTTCACTAAAGAGCCACTTGGGGAGCGAACATATCTGTGCCACGAATCACCCAATACATCCTCTCGATTTTGGGAGATAGCAGCACTAGACACAGCATATGCTGCAAGGACTACCAGTGACGAACTCCTCAGAAAAGTGGCCATCTTCAATCATATACCGGATGTTCCATACCAACAAGATATCAGCGGAACTTAAGTACTCGAACATTTGAATGTTGTTCAGGGCGGGCATATGTCGGTCTGTCGGTCTGTGCCGCAACCCCAATGCAACGTTGTCTATTGAGTTTATAAACAATACGGACCCGGGGTAATTGATACCGCACCTTTGATTGTCAGTGCGATTGAAACTATACCAGAATCTCCGCATTTGATTACCACTCTGCAGGCTACAATCAAAGTTTCGCTGGTTACAAGCTTCAGACTTAATGAAGTCTGTTGGACCCACACCTCCCCCGCAATGGTTATACCGAGTTTGCTTGGGTTCAGTGACCTCTGTTAATATTATTGTCAATGTTTTCTCTAATCCAGTATCGATCAGAGCGAGCTATCGAATCTCATTGAGCCTGGACTTGAAGAATGTGAGCTGCGATGGCTTGGTAATGATGAATCTAAAAAGGCCGCATAGATAATGGTTGCTTGGTGATAGAGAGAGATGGTCCAAGTAAATGTAAATTCAAAGTCGGTTGATAATCTGTCCAAGACATGCAGGTACTAGATCAACGCAACGGCTAGTGCTAAAGGCAAGGTGTTTGTAAAATCATTATATCGTAAAGGGGTTTCCAAAGAGGGACATCGACCCAGAAGAGAACAGAAGGGGTATAACGCATAGATCATATGCAAATTAGTCCACCCGCTTATACAGCTTTGCCTTGCTTGAGACAGAAGGACCAGCACAGCAGGCCTGCTGGGCTGCCTCGGGGTGGAGAGTGGACTTATTGAATGCCTGCACGGACTGCGGGACGTCCAAAGCGGGGTTTTTGGTAAAGAAACCGTCAGGCTTCAGCATGACACTGACGCGCTCCATAGGCATGACAGGGAAGTCTTCGATGCGAGGATTGTGAGTGAGACCGAAAGTGTGCCAGAGTACGACGTCCTCATTCTCCGTATTGTCTTTACGTTGCACCCACGTCTCGACTCCCTCAGCACGTCGGCTCTGGTTGGTGAATTCTCCCGCTGCATAGAGCTCATCATCCTGGTACTTGGTGACCCAGATAGGCTTCGTGCCAAATTCTGCTCGGCGGTAACCCAGTGCGTTCTTGCTGAGTAGTAGCATCTGACTTGGTGCAGTCTGGAGCTTATAGGAGACCGGCTTGTAAGTAATAGGATTAGTAACGTTATCATTCCGGATTTTGAAGACACGGTGGCGGTCAACACTGGTTTTCGCCGAGCCGGAAGTGTTCATCACGGTAGATTCTGTTGTGTAGCCAACTAGCCAAGGGTTATTCTCATCCTCTGGCATGGGCACACTGTCCTCATAGTACACCGTGTTCTTAAATCCGTCAATGGCAGGGTCGATACGGAAGGAGAACATGTGTTGGTGGAAAGGAGCCATCACACCAGGTCCCACATTGGTGCCCCAGGGAACAGTCTGGCCATTCTCGTTGTCAAATGGAACAGTCGAGAGAATGCCAGTGGCGCGAACCTCCAATTCGATATTGCCGGCTTGGTCAAAGATATATGCAAAAATGTACTCGTAGTTGGCAACTGTACAGATCATCTGTAACACCAACTGTCGATTGCGCACAACTGTAGCAGCTCCAGATCGATAGTTCGTATGCTTATGTTGCAATCCATTGTCCTGCTCGTGCATGCAAATGACATTCTTCAATTGCACCGGATTGCCTTTGCAGTCATTCCGGTAGCCATCAAAGTACTTAATATGACCCAGACAGTCGCATCCGAGAGATAATTGATTGGCATTCATACCAAAACCGGTGTCGCCGACATCAAATGCCTGCTTACGGTGGTACGGCGCACGGGGGTCTAAGATCTTATAAGTACAAGCATCGAAAATAAAGTACCATCACTTACCTCCATATGGCACCGTCATCTCAGAAATAGCCAGACGATAGAAGACATTTCGATTATCGTAGGTAATATTATAAATGACCAGACCCTCTCTGATGTTGAATCCAACGCGGAAGCGCCATTTCTGCCAATATACAGAGTTGCCTTCCGATGTGTAGGACGGGCCCTCAGGTTGTTGTACAATATAGGGCTTGAGATCGGTACGAACGGGTTCATCGAGAAGGCCGTGTGCGTATTGAATTGCCTTGACAGGCTTCCAAGGCTGGGTCTGCTGCGTCTCCGCACCCGCATCCCCAGGAAGATAATCCATCCTGATAAGCTCGTGGGTAAGACCATCAAAAACAGGCGAAAACTTGCATGGTAACGAGTAGTGGTTGTGTTGAGGGTCATCCACTGAAAGCAGGTACATGAAGCACTGGAATAGTCGCCGTGTCTCATTCTCATTGTCGGTGCCATACATCCAAGGATCATTACATACTGTCACACCAGGCGGAAGCTGCATTTTCTCGATTTCAGCAATTACAGCGGGGTGCTTCATGCACAATTCTTCTATCTCCGTGATCTCGTCGATGTCAATCGGTCCCTGAAAGTTAAATTTGTCAGACCCAAGGTACCATCCGCGAACCATTTTGGAACGTGAAAAGACAGAAAAAATTCCAGCATACCTGGACCTCACGTGGAAGCTCTTTCGCATAGACAATGGTGCTTGTATCGGCATTCAGAATAGCCTTATAGAATGCGCCTGTGTCTAGTCGGTGGAACAGAGTGTAAAGCAGACGAGCAGGTGGCGTCGGCAGTGGTCGTCGCAACCGCTCGGCCTCAATGTATGGCAGGACATCTTTCTTGATAGGTTCATTGACATCGATCCGCTTGTAGCGCAGTGACACCCCGGGAAAAGTTGCCTCAAGGATGCGCACGGCAAGCTTGATTTCCTCCGGAGTGATAGGGTCAAACGGGTGAGATCGGGTCACCATAATCGCAAGGGTTCTGTGGGTACAACGAGGGTAGTGAAAGACAAAGACAAGTGAAACGAGGGCAAATTTCAATGGGTATGGGGTAATGAAGAGGGGAAGAATGCGGCGATTTTAAAATGCGGTGGATCTTATCAGTCCAACTGCAAGTGGTGGTTGGACCTTCCTGATCAGGTAAGGGTATGGACGATGATTGTGGAGCGATGGAAACTATCGGGAAACGTTGTATGACAGATTTATAAGGGTCCATGTCATTCGGTGGATTATGAGTTAATGCCACATGTATAGTGGGTCTATATATTAGGTCCTGAATGTATCAATCCTTGTTGGAAACATAAATATTCATTTCAAAGTCCAGGCTGTTTCTACTGTCAAAATCTATAATCTGTTCGATCCTCGATAAGAGTCACGTGTCGCGTTAGATTTCCCCGATTGGGTTTAGCGTGGCCCCTCTAGATTTCCTATCAATTTCGCGGGGAAAGTGTGATTGTTAAATATCTTTAATCATGACAGCCTTTGTGACTAAAGTCATTGATACGGGCTGGGCTCAGTCATCATCGGCTATCTCCGGTGCACCAGCTCAAAAGAAAGTCCGAACGCGACAAACTGGCACTGCATGGACACGCTCAGGTTGCCTAACCTGTAAAAAACGTCGCAAAGGCTGTGATAAGGCTAAACCTAGGTATATCTCTCTTCAACTATTTTCCTAATCAACAATATTGACAAATCACCTAGCTGCAACAATTGCATCAAACGAGGCTGTATTTGTGAGGGCTATGGCTCTCTCTGGGCGGAGCCTTTAGGCCCGTCTGCGCCGGTTTTCAAGGCAACCGATGCTAATACTTCAAAATCGAGACCAAAAGATGAAGCAACATTGGCGCTTCTCCCGTCCCCATCAATCTCTCCACAATCCGACGTATGGCTAGACGCGCAGTCATCTGTCTCAACATCTCCGAACGGATCTATTCCCTCGTCTCCACGGTATTGGTTGAGTGAGAGTGATTCAAATCAAGATCAGAATCAACATGACCAGAATATTGAAGACGCTTTGATCCTCCAAGGATCGCTAGCAGTTGTTCCGCGGCCCCGGAATTATATCAGTCACTTATCAGACCACGAATCACACTATCTCCAATATCACGTCCAACAAGGCTCCCGCCTTCTCGCCAATCTCGAAAGCGATGAGAATCCACTTCGCTCGTTGCTTATACCTCGAGCGATGTCATCCCCACTACTTATGAGAGCCATATGCGCACTCTCCGCGCTTCACCTAGCAAACCGTACTCAGGGCTTTAGTGCGCGAACCGCCTCAGCAACCTTCTACGGCAGAACGCTTAACGGGCTTCGATCAGTGCTTGTTGAATCTTCACCAGAGGCATTCTCGGATGATGCTATGCTAGCAGTAGGCCTAATGTGCAAATATGAAATTGTTCGAGGCAGCGTCAAGCAATGGGTTGTGCATCTCAACGCACTACAACGCCTGATTGCCACCCGTGGAGGCTTACAGTCGATGGATCCAGATGCAGCACATTTCTTAAGGGGACTGTATGTTGGTCAAATTATTACTTAGTATCAGAGACTAACAAGATTTAGATATCTATATGCGTATAATATGGCCCGGATCAGCAACCGCAAGCGAATCACTGCTGCTGACCCGTGTCCCGCAGATATAGATCTCGGTGCACCCAGACTGGATATCTACATCGGGTACACGGAGGAGATCCTGAAGCTATGTGCACGAATCGCAGAGCTTCCATCGCTAAAGGGCGATATAGTATCGCTACGTCGGGCAATAGCTTCTATGTGCGTTGAAATTTCCCACCAGTGGTATTCAGTATGGAAAGAATTCAAAGTTACTAACCTAACCATTTTCTAGAAACGAATCCCTCCTCACATGGTCCCACACTTCTATTCCGCATATCATCCCCCAAGGCCTTAACCCGGAATCTCTCACCCGCCTCCAGCTTGTCGCCGAATGTTTCCGCGATGCAGGGTTCATCTATCTGCACTCGATTCTCGAGCACATGAGTCTGAAATTAAAGACCACAAATACTTCCACAGCACCATACTACACTGAATGGGCATCTCTCATCTTCACTCCGAAGTCCACCGCCGTCCACCGCTGTCTTGCGCGCATTGAAACCTTTCCCTTGGATGACCATTGCGAGTATTCGGCACTCACGTTCCCGCTCTTTATTGCCGGGGCTGAAAGTAATATCCTCGCCCACCGAAGCCTTGTTATCCAATCACTTGCTAAGCTGCGGGATAATTTTGGGATTGGCAATGTCAAACGTGCAGAGGAAGTACTTGGAATCTTATGGGCGAGGAAGGATGCTAATGCCTTTGATGAGATTTTCCTTGGCGAGCACAGTGCAAATGTAAATGCGCAAAGTGCACACTGGTTGGATATCTTGGAGGAGTTGAAGTGGGAGTTAATCCTTGCGTAATGACTGTAATTACATTTTCTTCTTGTAAGATATTTCAGCGACACAAAAATAGATATCATTGCAAATCACAGATTTTAAACAAGCATTCAGTGAGTTATTCAAGAATTCCAATAGATAATCTCAACTTCATTTGGCGACAGTTGAAACGAATATCCTCTTCTTACGGTTATGACCCGGAACTTCTCCTTCTCCTTACAATTCAAAGTACTCAGGAGACCGCGATTCAATGTAGTCACCAGTTTTAATCATTAAATTGATGGGTATTTGGTAATTAGACGATCCAAACGATCTTCATAGCAAAAGAAGAGGTTAAAAGTAGCACGCTTCGAAAAATAATCGGAGAGCAAAAAGGAAACGCCATCGTTTATAGAGACATCATTAGTCCAAACTGGGTCAGCTCAGCCCCATATTCACCTCATCGCTTAGTCCGAATTCACGCTCTGCCCTTTCTGTCCCGTCTACCGCCCGTGTTGCCCACCGGTCATGATGGTCTTGTGAATTGGAAAGCTCTTTCTCACGTAGACTGGCGCTATCATTCGTCGCCACACTGCTTCCCCGACCATGGGACTTGCGGGAGCCTTGGATACTGATCGGTCGTGACGACGTAGACCGTGTGCTCGCCGACCCATCAGCATTCGCCCCAGTAGAACGACCAGTATCAGGCGATCCGTCGCTACTGGCGGTATCCTTCTCCTTGCCAAACCAGCGTCGGCGTCGGTTTTTCAGTGGGGTGGAGGCCGAGAGGCTAATGCCATCTGCATCAGTTTCTTTTCCACTCTCCCCTTTCTCTGTGGCGGTTTTTTCTTGTTGAAGTGCTTGTGCGAGGTTGGATACGGTTTCTTCTGAGGAATTTGGGCCATCGTCCTCAACGTCAACAAGCTCTGCGTCACGGAACCATTTGCGTCGGCGCGTGTATCGATCCCAGCCATCCTGACCGCGGCGTCCATCGTTCCACTAAGGTTTATTAGAGAAAGATCTTTAAAGTAGGAGATGAGAAACACATACCTTATTATCATAGTATATCCATCCTTCATTCGAGGCTTTGGGATCAGAATTGCTGGTTGTATCCGCACCTTCAATGCGCCATTCAGACCCTGCCACCCATCGCCATTTAGCATCACCTGTTCGGACATCGGGCAATTCAAATGAATCCTTCGGCGGAACGACATTTAAATGCTCATCAGTCCACGCGTCACGCTCCGATGGGAATAGCGAGTAAGTCCAACCAATTCCGAGCCAACGCCGTTGGTTCTCGAATACAACAAAGGTAAATCGAACCCCACCGGAGTCTCTACGGCGTTTGGTTGAGACGTTCAAACCCATGCCCTGGGCTTGGGCCTTTTGTGAGTTGCTTGGAGGCTCGGTGACCGATAGTCCGGTTACCATAGCGCAAAGCCGGCGTACTAGACGGGATCTCCATAGAATGACGCGGGATACCCGCGCAGGTCGAGAGTGATAGGTAAGGACCACAGTACCGACAGTCATAGCGATACGGCGAGTGGTAATCAGGTAGAACGGGGGAAGTGTCAACACGATCCAGACAGGTGTGACGAGAAGAATGCGAATAAACAGAGCTGTCAGCGCGGGTCTGGTTGTCGCCGAAGTTGGCGTCCGCTGCGTGGACAGGAAATCGGTCAAATCCAACAGTGGCTCCAGTAGGATATTGCATCTCGTGGTGAGGGTGCGCAACGTCTCGACAATATCGTCCAGGCTCTTCTGGTGGCGGATGTTGCTGTCCGCTGATGGGGTGCGTTGGTGCTTCTCGCCGGTTGAGATCGTTGAGGATAGAGGTGAATACCGTCGTCCATACATGCCAAGGATCAACCCAATAACAACCAGTAGAGGGCCAGCCCAGAGAATGATGGCGTCACTGTACAGTACCACCGCCCAGAAGCTGGCTACGAGCAAGAAGCTCTGCCATGGATCTCCCGTAGTCCATGTTAAAAGACCCACAAACTTGTTCAGAGGGAGGAGGAAGGGATGCGAGTAGGCTAGTGCCCGGGTTATAGAAGGTGGCGTAGCCACCAGAAGTGGTGATTTTCGATGCACGATGATGCTGGAGCGCTGCCGCGACGTAAAGGCCGAGCCAGCGATGGTAGAAGGAGCAAATGCGGCGACTGTGGGCGGTTGCGAGTCAGGATGGCCATGGTCCTGGGCGGTAGATGAGGAGGCCATGGAATCTAGCCACGGAAGATCTTCTGTAGTCGCATGAGCATGAGAGGATGACATATATAGCTTGCAGCTCACCAGTTTAGACAGAATAAAACTTACCGAGAGCTGCCATCCAATTACGAGGGCTTCATAGAGGAGGTGTATGTGCCGGCGATCAGCAGGCAAGCATCCATTATATAAATGTTTGTTGAAAATGGAAGTTGGTTCGGTCTAAAGTTGATCTGCGGGGAGTTCGGGGGAACATGTGACTGTGGGTTTTGCATAAACAGATCAAATGAAAGACAAAGGGAAAAGTGAAATTTTGTTTTAAGTATTGAACTTATTTATTCGTTCAGATTAACATTTCAGTAATGAATTTATCTATAAATTTATATACTATTTTCTATATAATAAGTCCTGTTGTTGGGGGTCCATAGATCCAGATTCCCTCCGTGCCGAACGCTAAAACACGAATCCGAAATTTTCCCTTTTCTTCCTCTCTTCACCTCCTCGTGATCCGCATTTGGTATACGCCTTCGACATGGTAAGTTCCCCCATAACCCATCTTCAAGTCTTCTTATCCTCTACTTGTCAATATGAATTAAATGCTAATTTTTATTTCCTTAGGCTCACCGCATCGTCACCCAAGTCGTCGTCACCGGAGCGCGGGTCTTCGGCCGCGCTTTCGCCGAAGCCTACAAACAAGCCCAGGCTTCCGGTAAACACGCCGCCGCGAAGAAGGCTGCTGGTGTCACTTCCTCCACCTTGGCTCTCGATGAGGCCTGCAAGATTCTCAACGTCAAGCCCCCCGTCGCCGGTGACAACGCGGAGCATGTTATGGAACGATTCAAGAAGCTCTTCGATCTGAACGACCCCAAGAAGGGTGGCAGCTTTTACTTACAGAGTAAGATTCTGCGGGCGCGTGAACGGATAGAAATGGAAATTCGCGAGACAGAACGCCGGGCCGCCGACGAGAAGGAACTGCGCGAGGGCTGGAATCCCAAGGTCTACAAGGACCGGTGAAGTTCACGCGCCTAGATTGGGATCCGGATCATTGTCCTGATCTCGCAAAACCTATGCGCATCTTTCCTCTACGCGTTTGTGTCGACTTCCGAGCATTTACTTGCGCATTTTCGCCCCTCGAAAAGACCTCCGGATTTCCGCTCGACTTTTGAATTTGGCATAGCATGGCGTTTGGGTTACTATGGGAGAGATGGTTGTTTTATCCTCTCCCTGATTAGACTTGTGGGATTCGATTCTTGTGCTTCTTGTGGAAGTTCATCTGATTCAATCCACCTTGACCTTCGGGTCCTGTGTATACCATTTACCCTCCTTTTACCTTGTCTACCTCTCCACTCTGACTTGGACAGCATCATGTACTATAACTGTATACTTGCACATGCGGAATTTTCTTCCCATTTCGAATTGATCATTATTCACTATTGCCAATCCTCTTGCCTTTTTTGTTCCTTTTTAACTGTTTTTTTGCCACCGCCGACTATCACCGTCTGTCATTCGCAGAATATTCAAGATGTCGGGATTTGACTATGTGCAACCTCTCAGAGTTACACTGGCGTATAACTATGAACCTTTGATTCGGCATAGGTCGGTATAGATTGGAATCGGGCCTTACTACCGCAGATATCGACTAAATTGTCCCCCGCCATGGCGCCATCCCGATGTGGGCGGCGCCCGGAGCGATCGATCTCTTACGGATCACAGAAAAACAGGGTCCCACTCTCCCTCAATCAACTGATTTCCGAGAGAATACTCTCTTAAAATAACATTACCTTTAAAGAAGCACCTCGAAGTCAATCGAAATCCGAAATCGTCTCACGTTTTTCGAAAACCATGCGGCCTTCTACCCCACTGTCGGCGGCTCTACCCCCGCTGATAATGGGCACCGCAACCTTCAATTCGCAATACAACGCAGACCCCTACGCCCTTCCTACAACAGAGCTCGTCCAGCGCGCACTCAAGCGCGGGATCCGCGCCTTCGATACATCCCCTTACTACGGTCCCGCCGAAGAACTCCTCGGCCGCGCACTCGCAACCGACTTCGTGCAATCCCACTTTCCGCGCGACTCCTACCACATCCTCACAAAAGTTGGCCGTATCGCCTCCTCCACATTCGACTATTCCCCACCATGGATCAGACACAGTGTTCGCCGCAGTCTGCAACGTCTCCACACTTCCTACCTAGACGTGGTGTACTGCCACGATGTGGAATTCGTCTCCCCCGCTGAAGTCTTAATTGCCGTCCGGGAACTGCGCCGCCTCCGCGACGAAGAGGGTTTAATCCACTACGTCGGTATCTCAGGGTACCCCGTCGACGTCCTCAGTGATCTTGCCGAGCTTATCCTTCGGGAAACGGGTGAACCGATCGATATCGTGATGTCGTATGCGAACTACACGCTCCAGAACACTCGGCTGCGATCTCTTGCGCTGCCTCGACTTCTTGCTGCGGGTGTGGATGTCGTACCGAATGCTTCGCCGCTTGGTATGGGACTTCTGCGTCGAGATGGTGTGCCGATCGGATCGATGGGCGACTTCCATCCTGCCCCGAATGCACTACGTAGTGCTATCCACGATGCGGCGGAATGTGCTACACGGCACGGAGAAAAGTTAGAGGTTGTGGCAATTCGATTTGCGCTTGAGTCGTGGCTAAGGGCTGGAGCCAAGGCGGGAGGTCTTGGAGCACCGTTGGCGAAGCCAATGGATTCCGATCCAGGCTTCTTGTCTGCTACTCATTTCGGGACTGCAAAGCGACTTGGTGTTAGCGTGATGGGAGTTAGCAATCTCGATGAGTTGGAAGAGACATTGCGCGTGTGGCATAGTATTGTGGATGGATTGGAGAACTGGAATGAGGACGACGAGGATATTGAGAGCAGAACTCAATCTGCCGGTTCTTGTACCCCTGGTCAGACTGGGGCTGTCACCGGTGCAGTGCCTTCATCCGCAGAACATGCGTCTAACATCCTCACGCCCTCGGAGGGTCTCATCACCGATCGAGCTTGGTCTCGCGGGCGCGAGGCTCATATTCTGCAATTGGCTAAGGAGATCAGGGACATTCTGGGCCCCCAGTGGGTGGATTACGTGTGGGACAGTCCTAGTCCAGACTTTCAGAATTATCTTCCTGATGAGCATATCGCTACTCTGCAAAAGATTGTTGCGGGCGAGGCACAGGGCAAGGATGTCTCTGGTATTGAATCTAGCTTGCTTGAAAGAGAAGCTATGCCTACACCACCGTTGGATGCAGAGAAACAGCTTGCTTGAATGCCAGCAGCCTATCATCCATAGCAATTATAGCCTGCTACGTATGAATATTTTCTATTCATGACAATGAAGGCAATTAATAAGCGTACGGCCCAAATTGCCACTTGGTTTTCGACTGAATTGATCATGGTTACAGGGGAAAGAGACGCGAAGCCACAAAGTGCCAGAAACGGAATGGTGTGAGTGGATTCAGAAACTAAGAGAGATTGTATTCTTTTGGATATTCCTGTTTTGATGCAATTAAACTCCTCCAAGGTTGTCCAGCTCCTCTGGTCCTCTCCAAGAACTCACATGTAGTGCTTTCTTGATGAGAAAGGAGGATGGGAAGGGGAAGTAAGAAACCCCGAGAAGAAGCAGTAGAATGCCCACCTTTTCATACCAATGCAATTACTCGGAGTTTGAGTCGTTCAATTCAATCACTAATACATGTTTACCTTTATACAAAACGGACATCACGGTCCTACCGCGGTCGATAAGGTAAGCCGGAGCCGAGTTCGAACTCGCATAATTCAGGTTCGAGTGCGAATGAAGCACCGAGAAGACCGAATCGAGACCGCGGGAAGGACGCACACCTAAAGTAAATTCCGCTCCTTGACACGGTTAGCAAGGCGAAGACATGGGTTGGTACAAATTTCATCATTTTTAACCTGGATTGGAAGGATAAAATCAAAACTAAGGGCATCGGGCACCCACCATCAACACCGCTCCAGGTTGATTCACTCCCTGTAAAACAAATATTGGGTATCATCTCGAAATATCGAAACAAACGGATCGGGATATCAAAGGAACTCATTCAAGTCATGAGGATTATCAAAAGCCTCAAGTTTCTATTCACACTCCAGCTTATGGGTTATCCGGTGGCGGGGGGGGAGGACTTTCTCGAACCGGCGGGGGAGGTGGGGGAGCATTTCGTATGTGGGCAAATTGGGGTGCATGGTCATAGACGTCACGCAACACGTCTCGCTGCTCACTGTACTCATCATAGTTTGCCGCAATGATAACATCCAGCAAGCTGGCATTGGGACGAGTTGCACATGTGTCCATGCGAGTTTTCAATGCGCGATGGGCTTGCGAGAAAGCACGGAAGATAAGTGATATTTCATGGGTTCCACCAGAGATATCATGCCTTTTCGTGTTAGGATCTTCAATCATCAGGCGGTCCCTGTTGGTGAAAGAGGGGACATCAGCATATTTATCCTGCGTAGATTACGGTTAGCCAAATATCACAAAAGAAGAGAAAAATTATCAACTGACAAGCTTATTAAAGTACCCCGCCGGATTCATTCGAATGCCATATGTCCAATACTCAAATTGGTTCCCATAGAAGTCGAAGAAATTTAGCAGAACGTAGCCAACATTTTGCTGTTCATTCTTCGGCATGTGTTGTAGAAGACTAACCACAAGGCATGTGATTGAAAATCCCCCTAGGCCACCAGTGGATACTTCGTTCAACCCTCGGAGGAGTAAGAATTGTTTGATCACGGATACAATGGCCGGCATTGTTGGGAACTCCTCTTTCCAAGCTCGGAATGTGACGTTGGCAGGAGTGCCAGTGTCATTGTCAAATGATATGTCCACAGGGAGTCCAGTCAAGTTATCAATCAATTTGAGAATGGGAACCCGAGCACCAGCAATTCGCAAGACAGACTTATGGGCAGCAAAACCCGTATCGTCCGTTTTCTCCAAATGGTCAGCGCAGCCAAAAAGTGTACTACGTGGGTTGGGAGGATAGCCCTTGGTTTTTCCGGAAAAGAGCACCAGATCAATGTCAGCTATGGGAAGATATAATCCCGATGCAAATGAGCCATATGCTTCCAGTGTATCACTACTGTGGTCAGCCTTACGACCATAATGGTAACGGGCAGGGCGATTCCGCAATGCGGTTTTCAAGCGTAATACGAGATCTTCTCGGACGATCTGTTCGTAGTAATGCGGCCTGACCCAGTTGTAAAACGCGATAATCTCGTTGTGCAATCTAATATAACACGTTAGTCAAAGTCACTGCAAAAGGGGAAATAAGTAGTGCGAGAGGAGGGATGGGCGAGGGAATGATGTACCTTGCTGCTGGGTTCAAGTGTGGCGTATTTGTTGAAAGCCAAGGCGTGGAGTTTTGATTAGGCAATGCCCGCCATTCACTGATAATGGAACAATCCGAATTGTGTTTTGGCACAGGCTTGCCCTTGATCTGACCACTACGCGCGCGTTTCAACGCGGTTCCTTTGATCTCAATGCCCTTGGCCTCCATACCCTTGGGGCCTTTGGGGGCATTTTCGGGAGCGCTGTTTTCTGGGACTTCGTTTTCTGGCTTGTTCGGTTCATTCGACTTCTGACCACTGGCTGCATCCGGCATCCCGAGAGATATGAAGTCCTGGTTGTCCACAACCGCGTCGTTCTGCTTCGCCTGGGTAGCATTCGCCAGCCTTGCTTTGCGAATCAACTTGACCATGTCGACCCGTTTGTGTTGGCTCTCATCTGGAGGCGGGAGCGCTGTGTAAGGGTCAGGGTTGGACCACTTCGGTGGCGGTGTAGGGGGTAGTTCGACTGGAGAGTCATTGCCATCGGCGCCAAGCGCGCGTTTTTTGCGGGGGCGAGCCTCTTCATCTGAGTCCGAGAAGTCCATCTCAGCTTCCTCGCTGTCACTGAGCGCGTCAAGAGAGGCGAATTTGAGCGCAGGTTTCTCACTGGCGTCTTCAGCCAGCAACAACTCTGGAGTTTTCTCTCGCTCGGTACTCAATAGTGGGCGTTCGGCAGTAGGTGGGAATCGAAAGCTGAACTCAAAACCACCGCGGCCGGCATTTCCACCGCGTCCGCCACGTCCGCGACCTCTAGGTCGTCCTCTACTACGACCGCCTCGATCGTTACGGTCGTTTCGGTCGTTCCGATCGCTTGAGTTGTTATTTGAGGGACCATCATTCCCTCTGAATTGGTATGCGGGAGGACCCATAGTTGAGAGCGCCCTCGGTTACCTTCAAAATGACTTTGCGACGCAGTGGTAAGGTGGCGCGACTGAAATTTAAGATGGTGAGACTTGAGAGAAACGTAAAGATCGGGATGTATCAATTGAACTTTTTGACGCGTCCAGGTCTGAAACAAAACGCAAAGAACAACAAGTGGAGGGTCGCGGGTCGCACAATTGCAGAACAGGAAGGAAGGTGTGATAAGGAAAAAAAGGCTAAACTGGCAGTAATATCCATTTACAGTAGGCGGTCAATTCATGCTAGTATGTTGTTCTTGTAAACCCGATTCTAATAAACATACCAAATCTTTTTGGATGGCCATTTCTGAGAAACTGACACGATCATGCACCCATTCCAGCCACCCCAGTGCTCTGCTACCAACGCCTTGAAGTAATCCTACGCTGACATCAATCAATGTCGGCCGCTCGTCATTATGCCAGAAGGCAGTCGCCCCGCACCGACCGCAGAATTCCCGATATACCCCCGGAGAGCTGATATACTGCTGCATCTTTCCCCAGCCAAAGTCCAATGGACGGCCACAATGAAATATGTTGGATCTCGGTACAAACGCCCAAGCCTGGATGGGAAAACCACTACCTAGTCGACAAGAGGGACAAACACAAGTTCCAGTTAGATACTTGGTATTTCCAGCTCGAAGCCACCATTTGGCATGGTCCAGGTTCTCTGCAGACTTGGAGTGGTACGGAACCAAAAGGTCAGGCCATGGGGAGGATGCCTGGAAGGAGGAGGCATCAGGGCGAGTCAGATTATACTCGATGCCGCCGCAATGACATCGAGCATGCAGTTCATCCTGACTGGATGGAGCATTTATCGTTTCTGATGGTGTCTCAAGTACATAGTTATCTTCTCGGGCAATAGCTTTCAGCCTGCAATCAATGTTCGTTGCGGGCCCAGGCAGAAAGTTGCTCAACCCCCTGTCGTGACAGTCATTCACCTTCCAATGCTGGATCGACTCTACGGGTGGTGTGTCGTCAGCTATAAGCGTTCCAGAAGCAACCAGGTATCTCTCTCCTGACCGCGCGAAGACATGACAGCCGCAGTTTGGACAAAAGAAGCGGCTCAAATGGGTAAGTTCCCGGTACTCCTGGACTTGATCCAGGGGTGGCCTATGTCGCAAGAGATAATAGGACGTACAGGGCAACCCAGTAGTCGAGCGACAGCTGTTACAATGGCACAACTGCAGCTGGGCGTGGTCGGTCAAAGGGTCCAAATGCACCGAGGATGTTACACCTCCGCACAGGCAAGTAACCGAGGCCGCCATGCTGTGTAAATGAGATTGTCTTTTTCTTATCTTTTGCAACGTTTGAAATGATCAACTAAATCAATCCAATGATACCAAAAAGCCGGTTCTCAAACTGTCACATACTTTAACCACGTAGTCAGTTCAGTCAGGTAAAAACGCCTGTCGCACAGACGAGCTGCGTCAGATATGTGCTCAAGCGGGGTCAAGGCTGCATAAATGCGCTCGCACTCCATTGGAACTGATTCAGATGAGAAGTCAACGATGGTAGAGTCACCGGGAAGTCACGGGGCCCGTGTTTATAAAGTCGCTCAGTTCCACTTCCTCCCCCCACCACACCCATACCATCCCACCATCTCCAAGATCTCACAAAACTTTCTTCGCAACTTTCGCGTTACTTCATTCAAAATGGGTGAGTTCTTCTCATGTTCCCAAAATTCAGAGAATGAGCAGAAGAGAATGAACAGACTCGTAGAGTCTCCTCTTGTAGGAGATCTCGAGCGGGGTCATAGCGGGGGAGATAACCACGTAATTCCGCGGATTCTAACCACAAGCACAGGTCCCGATCACACTTGCAGCTGCGGCGCTTCTTGCCAGTGCCCTTCCGGCGCGTGCCAGTGCCCTGTGAGTAATATCACAATATGCTATTGCCGCAACTGCTAACCACCCTCTCAGAAATAAACCACACGTGGTACCGGGGTATCGAGTTTCTCTACTTCCTCTTCGTCTTTGTCTTCATTTTCGAGATATGCGACAGGGATACGCGGGTGAAATGTTACGGAGAAGATCTAGCGCTCACTAGATCAGAGATGGATGCACGAGGGCAAATGCGGAAGCCTTGATGTTCATCTCCCCAAAACAACCAAAAATCATTTTAGTCGATCATTCTTAGTCAATTTTGACCATGGGCAGTTCCTGAACTACTTTTATTCCTATTCACCAAGTACCTTGTGGGCATCAGATCCAATATTTGGATCTTTTAGGCTCCATGGACGCATCAGGCTTAATTTCACTGCAACGAAGGATCTATCAAAAGCAGAGTCACCACATCACAGCCATAATCCGTTGAAATATGCTAGTCTCCCTTGAAATGGCACTTGGGAACCAGCTGCTTTGCTAGAGATTCGGTGCACCAGTGTGCATTGGCCACATATCTCAATGGGCCCCAGCCCTCATAGGCACCACGGACCACTCTTCTCGGGCTCTTCACTGTGCTCTCATACAGTAAGATCTCCACTGCCACCGGATTTCCTTCGGCTTTTCGCGGCTCGATGTTGGCCGGCCATCCTTCTCATCCACGGCAAACCTTAGTCCCTACTCAGCCTGTACTCAGGTATGTACCCAACGCACTGAGATTGAGACAATTGCGGGATCTCGGTTAGTCTTTCGAAAGTTTGACTGCTGGAAGTATATTCTCCCAGCCAATCATATCCCCACATCATGCATTTTGGGAGGGTCCGTGACACAAACAGGGTATGATATGCTCCGTAGCTTTCAGTTGCATGCAGGAGACAATCCACTTTTTTCTCGGCGACTGTGTAAAATTACAGCAAGTAAGTATCGGGGCGATGTCGGCCGGAAATGCCCATTGTGACGAGATCATATAATTGTGGAAAGGAGAAGTTGTAGTAGCCGGTGAACGGTATAGCCGATGTACGGCAAAGTAGCTATATAGCTTCCTGTTATCAAATCCACAATACCATTTCCAACGGAGGACTCTCCACCGGTTTAGTTCCGTTTCCATTTCTCCGTTCGTTCTTGGTTTTGTACCCAACTGCTGATCCCTTACGCCCATGCCCGAGATGTTTCTTTCGCTACTCCATCTGCACCCTTCGCTATGTCCCCTTCCACTGTCCATAGGGGCTGTAGAAATCATATAGACAAAGCAACGACCTTAGGGCCTCGCAATTCTAATAAAAGGAAAGAGGGCGTATGCTGTGCACTTCAAATAAGGAAACGATTCGAGTTCACCAATGGGGCTTTGGGGTGCCCCTCCTCCAAGGTACTCAATATGCGCAGATACCAGCCTCCTCATAGGCTGCCATTCCAGGAAATGCGGTCCTGCACCGCTCCTGGCGCCAAAAAATAATCAATTTCGTAAAACACTAAGTCTTCTACCCACTCTGGGTGTAACACGTTATACTGTAGTATCCTGCATCCAGGAAGCAATAACAGGTCCGTCCCGAGTAGTGGATATCTACAGAACTCGAAACGTGGCCGTCACTATTATGGCATGAGGGGTCCAATCTACATCTGTACTGCGTATACCGTATCTTTGAATCCTGTATGCTGCATCGTACATCCCACTATCCCATATCCATAGCACGTACTAGTATCTATACGGAGTACGTAGTACGTAGTGACTACAACGCCAAGTATAGCTCCACTATCGTAAAATAGCAAATATGCGATATATAATTCCAGCAAATTAAGAATACCTGCCCGACATCAAGCCATCATATGGAAGCAGCGCATAGAAGCGGGTCTAAAATTCCATAAACAATCCAAGAAAACGAGACAAACCACATTCTAACCACCCAACATCTAAGTATACATGTACAACACGTGCACTCCGTAAGCAGGATCATCACCACATCTAAAAGGAAAACAAGGCTCCGCTCAAGCCCATCGTCATCCGCATGAGCCTAACCGATCCCAGAATCGCCAGCAGCCTGATCGTCTGAAGGCAACACCGATGCATCCTGCAAGACTCCACAAAAAGAAAATAGATCGGAACAAACCAGTTTCCCCACCTGGATCCGCCAGCGAGGCAGTAGTCATTGGTGACTCGGGCTGAAACTGTGTGGTTTCATTGGTGAGAGCGTTAGAGTTGCCCTGTCTGTCGTAGGCGGGTAGCGCGTGAGTGTGAATATGAGTCCGAGTTGCTGGATACTGTAAGCGGAAAGTGGAGATGGAGGGGTGTTGCCCACTGTATGGCCTGACTGGTGTCATGGATTCATTTAACTCGACCACACGATGCGAAATGGGGTTTGCCTTGACTTGGTCTGGATGGATGTGGATGCTCCGATAGGATGAAACAAAGGGGAAAAGAAAAGAAATAATCAGGTTGACAAATGAATTTGGCATGTACTTGTACATGTAGATGGGGTTGGAAGTATAAAGCTGGCCTCATATCCTATCTCCTGACTTTTGTTCAAGTTCTCTCAAGTTATCATCACTAATCAAATCTTTTATATATCTTTTTGTGGTTTCATCCTCAATATATACATCAACATGTCTCCCTGCACCTGCAACTGCTGCTCCGGCGACTGCAAGACTTGTTCTTGCTCTAGCTGCACTGTAAGCTCTTACCTATTTTTACTTTTCTTCTTTTACCCTTGTTTCATGTGGTCCTGATCATTTCTACCAGCACTAAGCCAGCTCATACGCCCTCTCCTCCGCCGTCCTCCTCCAACTCGACAACCCATACCAGGCCTGGAATCCCGTTACTTTCAAACTAGTGGACTTCGGTGACCTGACACGATGTGTTGGGGATGTGCTACATTGTCATGATTATGTCGATCTATTACTGCGTCCTGGATATTGGGGTCCTGTGGATGGGGTTGAGTTTCTATTAGGTCTGAAGACCTCGTGTATGTCTGCATTTAAAGGGCTCTGGCCGTACAATCATAAACTATTGAAACCATCATGTGCTACAATAACAACTAAGCCTTGGGTAATACATAGATTGGATGTCTTGTGTGTATGTATATCTTACTAGTACATATGTCATTTATATGGCGTAGGAAAACCATGATTTAGATGCAGATTTGGATGACAACTCGCTGGAATTTACTTGGACAATCATCTCTAGCTGCAGATTGGAGATCTTGAGTCTAGAAACTATATAGATAAAACAAAAAAATCACTTATGCAACTGATCCGATAGTCTTCAGCTTTACAGCTCATCCTTGGAGCGAGGCTCATCCTCGCCTCCAAGACAGACAGCCGGAGTGGTAACAAGCATGGAGTAAACACATTTCTCGTCCTCGGCCGTCTTAATGATTTCATTTTGCTCACCACATTCCAAGACGACCTTGGTCGACCGGTTGGGACCGTTCCAGCAGGACTGACCACGCTCATATTCCAACGCAACCTTCTCCACCGTAATGACATCCCCGGCTTCGTTGAGCTCCTCAACGGTGGTATATCCGATCCGAGTGAACTTGCCCATGGAAGTGACCGAGCCACCCTTCTTCGCAATCTGCTTGGTTGAGTCCAAGAAGCAGTGCTCGTATTTGTATTCACCGGCATCCTTTTCAATGCATTGACCCTTTAGAGCACGGAAGATGCCTGCGGTGCCGTAGTCCTTTTCAAGATCGGCCCTTTGGTCACGGATTTTGTTCTTGAGGTTGTTTAGAGAATCTTGGGCAGACTTAAGAGCATCGCGAGCCTCAGTAACAGCTTTAGATTCGGTGGTGGATTCGCTGTTAGGCTTGGCCAGGATTCCATTCTCTTCCAGGAAGGCCTTCGCAGAAAGAACCTTGTCCTCAATGAAGTTGACCAGAGACGGCGGTAGGTAGGCTGCGAGCTTGTAGACTGCAAGGAATGTTAGTTAAATCTTAGATGATAAATTTGAAGTTAATATACCTAGGTCAGAATCGGCACAGCCGTCTTCTTCGTTCTCCCAGTGCTCCCAGTCGACACCAGAGTCCTTGTCATCGGCCTTGACTATCTCATCCAAGTCACGCTCCTGGGCATCATTGATAACATCCCCAAGGTCCCGAGCGGCATAGTCTTCCCAGCTGCGAACAGCGCGCTTAACACCCTCATCGTTGAAGTTGGGGTTGTATTCAATCTTGAACTTGGACAAGATCTCCTCGAGCTCCTTCATGCGCTCGCGGGCTTCATCTCTCTGCTGACGGAGTTCCAGAATACTCTCACGGAGTTCCTGCACGCGAGCCTTTGCAACACCGGCAAGAGCATTGACCTTGCCCTTGCCCTTGGTCCGAACAACTTTGCGCTCCTGTTCTTCAACGACCTTCAAATCGGCCTCAAGGCCCTGGATCTTAATCTCCGCGCCCTGGATCTCAGCCTCCAGCCGGGCAACATTATTCTCAATGTCTAGCTGCTGTCTATTGGCTTCCACAAGAAGCTGCTTCTTCTTTTTCAAAGCTGCAATCATAGACTTCTGCTTGGTCTCCTCCTCTTTGCGCCATTTCTTGCCAATTTCCTTGCATCGGTTTTCGCACTTGGTGCCTCCGGGATGCGCCCACTCGTCACTTCCATCACAGCATAGCTCGTAATCACAGATTCCATCGTTGACACGCTGGAAAGGCACGTATGACGGCCGGTGACCCTTGTTCTTGCAGTAGAATCCAGGAAGCGCGAGTGTCAGCTCCAGGTCACTGTGTCCAGGACGATCGGCCACCGTCAGTGGTGAATTGCGCGAGAGGTGCGAGCAGGCAGCGGTACCAGGCTCGTCACTGCCGTCGGGACAATCACAGAAGTCATCGTTGACGGCTGAGAATGGGATCTGGACGGCGGGATTGGAGATACAGGTGAATGTTGTCGTGTCCTGGTAGAATTTGGCAACTGCGAAAGACAATAGTTAGCATATATGGCGCGGATCATGACTAAAAACTACAATTAAGCTCTCATTGATGGCCCGCCAGGTGTGGACACCTCGTCCGGGGGTGGGGATATATGATCTAAACACTCACATTCCGGGGCAACACCACGGGGGCGGGCAGCCTTGTCACTGCTAGCTCGGGCAGATGACCCGGCCACAGCCAGCAGGAAGAGCGACTGAGGTAGTCTCATGTTTAAGGCATTGAGCTAGGGAGAAGTGCGGAGAGAGCTTGCGGCCAGCTGTTGAGATCCCCGGCCAATCTAATCAGTGATTACTAAGCACGCTATCTCTGCGCCTTTATCGTAGTGGCAATCGATTAGTTTCATGACCTCGAATTGTTGTCTGCGCATTCATTCTACAGCTTCCTCAACATGGGTAATGACGGTGGAAGGTGAGTCAACATTTAATAGTGTGCCAGTTATGCAACTTTCTTGAATTCAAGCTAACTCCTCTCACAGTATTCCCACCCGCCGCGAACTCGTCCGCGAAGCAGCCCGCGCCCCGACTACAGCGCAACTGAAAGAGACCCAGCGCGAGCAACAAGAACACGCATGGACAACCTGCCCTCTGTCACATCGAGTTCTCGCCCGACCGATTGTCTCAGACTCTGTTGGGAATCTTTACAACAAGGATGCTGTTCTTCAATATCTGATCGGCGATGACACCGAGGGCATTAGTTCCAAGTCTGACTGCGAGGAGATTCTATGCGGGCGAGTAAAGGGGCTACGGGATGTCGTTCAGCTGCACTTCGAAGTTGACACTGAGCACACCGAACACCCCTCCGGTAAGATCAATGCGCACCGCCACGAGCGCCGCGAAGGCTGGATTTGCCCTGTAACCACGAAGCCACTCGGTGCTGGCGTGAAGTCTGTCTACATTGTGCCGTGTGGACATGTCTTTGCCGAGGAAGCAATCCGTGAAGTGAAGGATGATAAGTGTATAACGGTAAGTAGACCAGGACCCAGTATTTCACAGGATTGTGGATTCTGACATTTCTACTTCAGTGCGGTGTGGCCTATACCGAAGACAACATTATCCCCATTTTACCGACCAAGGAAGAAGATAAACAACGTCTCATTGCGCGTGGCCAAAAGCTCGCCGAGCAGGGCCTCACCCACTCGCTCAAGAAAGCCCCCGGCTCGAAGAAGCGCAAGAAGCACGCCGTGGACAACTCGGAGGACGCTCCCAGCACCACTGATGTTTCTAAATCAGCGACTGGAGCTATTAACCGGAGTGACAGCTCCACTCCCACGCCTAGTAGCAACATTAAAAATGCCTCCGCTGCGAAGATCGCTGCACGTGTTAAGGATGAACAGGACGAGAAGAATAAACGACAGAAGAGAGCGGGTCTCAATGAAAATCTTGAGAGTCTCTTCACCAAGAAGGATAGCAAGAAGGGTGGTGATTTTATGACAAGAGGCTTTACTATTCCTGCTGCTGCGCGGAGGTAGCTTTCTTTTTCTTTGCATGGTTACAAATGGGGGTTTTGCCTGGAGTTCAGGGAAATCTGTTTCTGCGTATTGGATTATGGAATTGAACATTCCAAATGAACCCGACTTACACACAGAATGTGTATTTCTATCTATCTTGACCTCACTTTCCATAGGACATTTAGCACTATGTAAAATACTTCCAAATCACCTGGGCATGAGGGACACTGTACAACATTGAAAGTACCCGCGTGGCTCTGCTGATTTGTGTACTAGGGTTATGAGATGATCGTCAGCATACGGATGATCGGTATCTACCTAATTTTCAAGACACATAGCCTTAATTATCAGACATTGAACAGCTTTGGAATGAATCGAAATGCAATTGAGCAAAAAAAATATTTCTAGTATACACAAATATATCCTGATATCAAAACAGGGGTTCTCAAAGAAGCTGTTGCTTCTACATCTCGTACACTATGGTACACAGATCTTTACAATGAAGAGCAGACTTGAACATAACCGCTAATTGCAACTGCATGGTTGCGGGGATCAGTAGAGCGCTTGAGGCTTCTTCTCATCCTTGGAGATAATCAGGCCTCTCTTGTAGAGCTCAGAGTAGATGGTCTTCTTTCGGCCAAGATCCTCGTCGTTGTCAGCCTTGCTCAGACGCTTGCCGCTGAACTTGAGGTTGGGTGGTAGGTGACCGGCAGCTTTGTACTTGGACAGCTTCTTGGTGACCGGCACAGGCTTCTCCTTGAGCCTGGTAGAAAGACCGGTCACGAACTCGCCAATGGTACTGGAGGAGCTGATGGTCTTGTCTGGGATGCGACGGCCCATGAGCTGGGAGCACCGCTTTGCAAACTGTTGTAGGCGTTAGTAAAGATCCTGCGGCAGCATGAATGGGAGTAACGAACGGCAAATTTAACTTGGGAGTCAACTAATGAGAGAGCATGGTGAGGGCCTTGGGCAATGTTCTTCTCGGGCACCTCCTCGATGATGAATTTCTCCGGAGACTCAATCTGGGCATCTGTCTTTCCGCCAATCTGGCGGAAAACAAAGACAAGAGCTTCCATTGTCTTCGCGTCGGGGAACCGGAGAGCGGTGCTCAAAGGCTCAGAGCCCAAGACAACACAGCTATCAAGCATAGCCTGAATCTTCGGATCGTGCGTAGCAACCTCACAAACACTAGTGAGAGACTTGCCCAGCATATGCATCAAGCAGATCTCAACAGCAGCCTGGTGAGCGGCGAGAGGCACAGCCCGGACCTTGACATCGGCGTCATAACTAAACCAATCAATCGGTTAGCAACCCGTTACCGAATCGAATTGAATTGCGGAACAGAGCCGGAGCCGGAGCGGGAGCAACATACCGAACATACAGATCCGTCTCCTCATTCACACCCTGCACAAACCACTCCTTATTCTCAGTAAATCCAATAACATCCAGCCCCTCCCAAGTATCAGCCTGCACGTATGAAGAACCAGATGCCAGACCTCCCTCCTGCACAGTCTCTCCAGCCGCAAGACCATCCTTTTTATCTTCCACAACTTCCTGCTGTGTCAATTGAGACTCGCCGGTGTATGGGTCCTCTGCGCCCGGGGGCTTTTCTGTGGCCCAGAGTCGGCGGCGAGTGCGCTCGAGGAAGGAAGGGGAGTTGGAGGAGTCGGAGGACGCATTGCGGCGGAATTGATGGGCTAGCGGGGACACGCGGGGAATTGCTCCTTGTCTGCAGTTTGAGCACACGTATAGTGCTTCCCGTAGGGGGACACGCATTGCTGGGCGCATGATTGCGGTGTGGGATGGTTTTGATGTTTCGATCGATGCTGGGAACTTTTGCGCGGCGAAACAAATCTCATGATCACGTGATGGTCTTGGCATTGATGGATTCCCGATATCTGTAGTCTACCAGTTTGATTCTAGCTTCTTTTCGAGAGTCATTTCGTTAATTTCATTCAGTGGACCGAATTAGAATCAGCATTTGCCTTTCCTTCTATTCCATTGGTCTCGGGCAGTACTGGACTGTATTGTACAGTGGCTGGGACATAAGCCCTAAATCATAAAATCAGCCGGTGAGCATGGCTAAGAGCATTAAGGATAGCTGTCTGCATTCTACGCATACTGGCGTAAAAATATTTGTCTTTGGCGATCAATTTCTCACTTAGATTTTCCCAAGTGGGGTGAATTGTATATACATGCTTCGCTGATATCATACTATAACAGAACCATAGATCGGTACATCAAAAATTCAAAATGGCGAACTTTTCTTTTTACTCGCGAACGAACATACCAGCCATACCCATACCGGTACCAATGCACATGCTGACAACACCAATGTCCTGGCCGCTGCGCTCCAACTCAGGAAGCAGATCGGCGACCTGGCGGGCACCAGTGGCACCGAGAGGGTGACCAAGAGCAATAGCACCACCGTTGGGGTTGACCTTAGCCTGGTCAATACCCAGCTTGCGAATGCTGTAAATAGCCTGGGAGGCGAAGGCCTCGTTAATCTCCCAGACACCGACCTCAGGAACGGTGATACCAACGCTCTGGAGCAGCTTGGGGATAGCGACAGCGGGGCCAACACCCATCTCATCGGGGGCACAGCCAGCAACAGCAGTAGCGACCCAGCGGGCCTTGATAGAGCCGGAAAGACCGAGCTCCTCGGCGGTGGAGCGGCGCATCAGCAGCGAAGCAGCGGCACCGTCACTGACCTGGGACGAGTTACCAGCGGTGCTAGCACCGTCGGGCTTGAAGGCGGGCTTGAGCGTGCCCATCTTCTCGGCAGAGATGTTGTGACGAATACCGTCATCCTGAGTAACGGTGATCTCCTTAGCGGGAGCATCGGGGTTCTCGGCATCGAAGAACTTAGTGGTAACAGGGACGATCTCGGAGTCGAAACGACCGGCCTTCTGGGCGGCGGAGGCCTTGGCGTGGGACTCAGCGGCGAAGGCGTCCTGGTCAGTACGGGAGATTCCGTAGCGCTCGGCCACGTTCTCGGAGGTCAGACCCATGGGCATGATGCAGTCACGGGCGTCCTTGGAGTATGACTCCTTCAGCTCGGGCCAGAGGACAGTGGGGATGGCACGGGAGCCGTAGTTGCGAGTCATGTGCTCCATACCACCGCCGACACCGACGTTGAGTGCGCCTGCGCGGATACCATAGGCCACGGCGGTGATAGCGGCCAGACCGGAAGAGCACTGACGGTTGATGGTGTTGAAGGGAACGGAGTGAGGGAAACCAGCGTGGATCTGGCCCATACGACCAGCCTTGGCACCACCGAGCTCCTGCAGGACGGAACCGATGGTCACGTCGTCGATGAGTGCCGGGTCCAGGTTGGGGTTGGCCTTCAATGTGGCGCGCAGGACGCTGGCGAGAAGCTCCTCGGGGTAGGCATCCTTGAAACCACCCTTCTTGGCGCGAGTGATGGGAGTACGCAGAGCAGAGAGAATGACAATATCGTTAGGCGACTTCTGGAGCACCTGCTTCAGACCGCGGGGAATTGGGGAGGCCATGATGTGTGTTTATTATAATTGAAGTCGTAAAAGATCGTAGATGCCGAGATGTAGTTTTCTCGGGGCCGCAGGAACTAAAGTAGCAACAATGTCTAAGTGATGCGCTGTCAATGGGCCAAGAGTGGAGGTTAAAGAAGAGAAGAGGCAATTCCCCAAAAAATTCCCCAACAAACCCGCCCGAGGCAAGAGGTCTCTTAAGGGAAATGCCGGGTGGAATTCCGGGGTCGGATGCACATTGGTTGGCCAGTTACCGTTGCGGCACTGAAGATCGGCTAAGCACTCTGCCATGTGGGGATCAACTACGTAGGTATGCCTACGCCGCATAGACTTTCTTGACTACATCTTTAATCTACACATACTTATACTAATCAGACGCCTGCAGGTAATAAGACAGCTTTTCCTGATGATCCACTGCAATATTATCCCGGAATTGACCATAATACAAATCCATAATCGGATAGACAATGCTGACCAAGTGCCGTCGGCTGCTTTGTCATCCGGTCGGATCGGATGGCGGTATGCCGATGTGGCGATGGGTTGAGTTTCTATATGGAGTGAAATTGATAGGATGTTATTCGTCTAGTTAACGTTATAGCAAATGACTAGTAACATTGAAGATATCGTTCGTTGGCCATGACGGCAAGTGAGATAACACAAAGACAGCGAATAAAACCGAAACTTCAACATGTAAAAAACGCAAATCAATACCCCGATTGTCGTCCAGGTATTCGGGTTAATAATAAGTCCGAAGTATTTCAAAAGTTTGCTTCAGTTCTCAAGTGCCCACTTCGTCATACTGTGCGCTGTCGGATTCTGCTCTCGAGGCACAAGCCAGAATTGCACAGCAACAGTAGGTTCAAGGTGACGAATCCACACATCCACCATGCGCCACAAGCTATCATTGGCAATAGGACGACCCCGCGAATTCTTCCACCCATTAGCTTTCCACTTAGGCATCCACTCAGTGACACCCTGGAAGATATAAAGCGAGTCCGTTCGAAGAACAAGTGTATGGAGTGGATGGGTGTATTCATTTCCATGCTTCGGCTTATCAACCTGACAGACATTGATGGTTGTAATGAGAGCAGAGAGACAAGCCTTGAGTAAAGCGACCTGGGCTGTATTTGGGGTTTCCTTGACCTTTGTCGCGACGTTGTATTCATTGTTGTGCCCGAAGAATACACCCATTGAGCAGGTGGGCTCACCTTTGTTGGGAATGTTACTGGCACAGTCACCGTCAATGTCGACGACGAGGCAACCAAAGTGGAAGGGGAAGTTCCCACAGTCAGGGCATTTTATATTTGCGGTGGGGCATGCGAGGAAACGCCAGGGGCCCCAAGATACTGTGATATCTCCTGATTTGAAGTATTCAGGGTAAGTATCTGGCTTGAAGACGCGATGTGGAGTAAGTTGGTCATTGTTTTTGTTGTCATTAGCTCCCAGTCCTCGGCGCTCATCGTAGGTTGGGTGTGGTGGTGGTTTATGCCCAATCGCGCACCCCCGAGCGTTTACAACAGGATTCTGGTTAGAGGGATAGAATCAGTATACCTAATGGTTGATCTGTATGTCTGCGAGACTGCTGGTGGTAATAAAATGCTGGGGTTCTGTGGGTTCTCTCTCTCTCTCTCTCTCTCTCTCTCTATCGTACCTGAGTTTTCTGAGGGTTCCTCTTCTTGCGTGTCTTGAGAGTTCGGGGGCGGTCCTTGATGATCTCAGTCTTGATCACACCGGTCTTAATAATGTTGTGGTCCATTTTGATTGATTGATTGATTGTCAGTTGGTGGGGATGGTCAGGATTGCCTGTGGGAGTAGATGAGGTAGGTGAGTGAGATGAAGAGATATGAAGAGAGACAAAGGGACGTGATCGAACTCTACAAACAACCTAATGTCAAAGAAATCATGATTGTTATTGAAGTATCCAGAAACACTTAAAAATAGTAACAAAGATACTAAATCCCACTGCCACTCCATGTCCCATATGAAGTTTTTAAACCTGAACGCCAGGGGAATCATGCAGACTAGTGTCATGTAAAAGGCATAAGAGCAGATGGTATGGTACATCAGAACGGATCAGTCTAGACCATAACCGAAATGACCCTCTAACGAATGACAGATGATATGTTTAATTGCGGATGATATGACTGTAGTGCCCTGGGACCCGACTTCGACACTTCTCACAGTCAGCACGGTATCCCATGGCAATGGTTGGTTTCTTTGGTGAAGCACGCTCGGTGCGAACAAAGGCCCGGGGGATAGGAGTGGGTCGGCGGGTTAGAACGGGGGTGAGAAAGGCGGGATTCTGAAGAACCTCCGCATCTGGGGACCCTCGGGGAGAGTGAGAGTATGCAGCCAAATCTGTGTCGCTTGGAAAACTACCCATGGTAGTATCATTGTCATCTTCACTGATAGGGCTTGGAAGTCCAATATGCATGTAATAGTATCCATTTTCATTCACCACATCTTGGGTTGAGTGTTGGTCAGGGTTAGAAGAGCCAGGTCCATATGCGACCGGGCCTGAACTGTGGATCGGGATGGCTGTGTAGGTCCCACTGGTACTGCTTGCTTGATTGAGATTACTGTGGGGCATAACTGACTTGATGCTCATGTCGTTACTGGAGGTCACCAACCAGGGTGAGAACTGGGAGCGAGCCTGAGCAGGTGTTTCCGCAGTGGAGTTGCTGACGGTCGGGGGCCATGGGTGTTCGAGTGAATGTCCCACAATACCATTTAAAGCATACTGAACGCCTTCAAGTTGTTTCTTGGAATTGGCTCCTTCATCAGAGGATTCCACGGGGGTCAGGTTAGGGGCTCGGAAGTGAATCGGGTCAAGATCGATTGAAGGCCCACGGAGGTCCGAGGTTTGCCATGGCTGACAGAGCTTCTGTAATTGAGTGGTTGTTAGTGATGGGCACTGGAGCACTGGGATTCTGACAAAGAGCTCAGGGTGTGAGCTGGAGTTCATGACGTGTCGTCAACCTACCTTGTTCTGGGGATCAGCATCAAGCTCCGAGTCGAGGTCGTCATCTCGATGGCGCTTGACCCCAAGCATAGCTGTGGGTATGCTCACAAGTTGGAGCTGATTGAGTTGGTGCAAGGAACATGAAGAAACAAATCAGTTTGGGGAAGCAAGGGTTGGGAAAGAGTGAAGAAACAGCTTGAGTCGGCAGTCACAAGTAATTTGCCCGGGCGGAGAAGGAGGGAACCACAAATTTCTAGGTAACAAGCTACAAATCCTACATTGAATGCCACGAGAGTTTTCTTATTTCATGGATTGAAAAGCAGATGCCCAGAAATCGAAGTGACTCAGCTCTGACCCCATGATATTAGTTTTATGCCTTGATCCCTAGTTAGATGACTTTGTGAGGTCACACCGCTGACTAAGTAAAATCCTCAAGCCTCGGGATTAATCATACAGATTCCTATATTGGAGCTACAGAGTACGGAGTAGTTTTGATTCTCAAAGATGAAGTTCAAAAATCAAGGTCAATTGTTACGGTGAGCTGGGTTTTGATGTTTGTTTACATTGAGTCCAGCCAGCCCTGATCTGACATGCGTTAAGTAAAAGTGATGGGTATATCCGTGACTAAATCCGATCGTGGGTTGAGCACATGTGTGGGTCTTGATTGGCTGATTGGATTCACGGCGCACAGAAACTACTAGACTTGGTTGATGTACTCCGTACAGGCAATAATTGCACCGATTCGAGGGATCAGATTCGAATCATAGCAAATAGTAAATCAAGGAATAGAAAAAGTGAATCATTTTCAACATGATCTGTCATTCTGTACAACATTGAAACTAGTGGAATCTAGATGGAGTTTCTGCGGAGGGAAATCCCTTGAAAAGCCCAGTGAATCATCAAATCGATGTCTCCACTTTTTACATCTTTCCCATTTAATAGGAATTCCACTTCTTTTCGGTTCCTGACTTCTTAAACAATTTCTTTGTAAGTTTGGTTCCTGTTTCCTGTCTCCTTGGTCTTGTGTGAAAAAGTTTTACATATCTTGAACTCTCTCTCTGACATCTCCTAATTGTGCCTTGACAGCTCCCATTCGTCTGCTACCCACCATGCCTCTCGTCAACACCACAGAATACAACGAGGACACTCGTGGTAAGTATGGCACTTTAGTAGAGTCGCAAAACTCAGCAGTTATCCAATTCACTTTCATTATGCTAATTGTCTTCTATCAGTCCTCGGCTACGATCCTTTGTTGCCGCCGCAGTACCTACAGACTGAGATCCCCGCGGTGAGTCATTTTTTTGTGTGCCACCCCCGCTATTCAGAAACAAACTAACAATGGATCACAGCCCGAACGTGCCATGAAGACCGTTCGTGCTGGTCGCACTGAAGCCGTCGAGATTATCGAGCAGCGCGATGATCGTCTACTGGTCGTCGTCGGACCTTGTTCCATCCACGACCCGGACACTGCCCTCGAGTACGCCCGGCGATTGAAGGAGATCTCCACCAAACTGTCCAAGGACCTTTTGATCATCATGCGCGCCTATCTGGAGAAGCCCCGTACCACTGTCGGCTGGAAGGGCCTCATCAACGATCCTGACCTGGACGAGTCCTTCCAGATCAATAAGGGTCTGCGCGTCTCTCGCAAACTCTACGTCGACCTGACCAGCACCGGTCTCCCCATCGCCAGCGAGATGCTCGACACCATCTCCCCACAGTACCTCGCTGATTTGATCTCCTTGGGTGCCATCGGTGCCCGCACCACCGAGTCCCAGCTGCACCGTGAGCTGGCCTCCGGTCTGTCTTTCCCCATTGGTTTCAAGAACGGCACCGACGGTGGCCTCACCGTCTCCATTGACGCTATCGGCGCCGCTTCCCACCCCCACCGCTTCCTTGGTGTCACCAAGCAAGGTCTGGCGGCCATCACCAAGACTGCCGGCAACGAGCACGGCTTCATCATCCTCCGTGGTGGTAACCGGGGAACCAACTACGATCGCGAGAGCATCCGTGGCGCCCGTGAGGCCCTGCGCGCAAAGAAGCAGCGTGAGGTCGTCATGGTCGACTGCTCGCACGGTAACTCCAAGAAGAACCACCTCAACCAGCCCCTTGTCGCTAAGGAGGTTGCTGATCAACTGCGCGAGGGTGAGACTGGCATCATTGGTGTTATGATCGAGTCCAACATCTACGAGGGTAACCAGAAGGTCCCGCCTGAGGGACCTTCCCACTTGCTCAAGGGTGTCAGTATCACCGACGCTTGCATCAACTGGGAGATGACCGTTGAGACCCTGGAGGATCTTGCAGACAGTGTGCGCGCCCGTCGCATCATCCAAAAATCCAAGTCCAATGGTACCAACGGCACTCACTAGATTCCTGAGGGAGTAGTATCTTGCTTTATATGATTGAATATGTCAAAATTGTGTATCATGGTTGCAGGGGAAAATGTGGTTTGATTTTTTTGTACTTAAAAAGTTCCCCATGGGGTCGACATAGATACCTTTTCTATCCTATTATTCGATAATGCAGCGTTTATATCTCGGTTTCAATTTTCCTACCTTCTCTGAAATGATTGTGCGCTGTAAATGACTAAGTCGGTGTACTGTGTGTGCCCTAAAAATCGGGTGTCAGTCCGTCCGCCTGGAGTGTATAACAAAGTAGACGTCGGAGCTTTCCCCAGAGGACCCACCCCAATCCCCAAGAAATCTTAAATGACAGCTCTCGGGTCCTGAATAAAGTGTCCACAGGATCTACGAGATCGATCTCATTCTCCACTGCGGCGCAGGGGCCAGGCGTGCAGGATTTTAGGGGTCGTGGTGGTGAGAATTTACCGGGGGGAAAGCGCTTTGCCGCTGGTGGCCCGATGGGGAAAGGAGCCTCCTACTTACGGTTAGTGCTGATCCGATGGGGGGAGGACGTTTTCCCACTTAATAATATTGTTAAATTGTCTTGGATTTTCGGGGTTTAAAGTCATTGTGACTCGTGGGTGGTTGGCTGCTACTGTAGCAATGATGATTATCAAAATTTGCCTTGGAAATCAGGCAAAAATTTTAAAGTAGTTAACTAGCGTACTATGTAGTTTGATCCAAAGTACAGAGAACATGCAGGTCATCTGACGGCGGGGTAGTCTCGCACTGCTGCATAATCACTTCAACTGGCAAGAACTAGCATAAAATATGTCAATATGGCATCCAACATATCATTTCAGGGTGTGAACACTGGGAATCAATTTGGGAATAACAGTGGCCATGCGAATATTACGCAGATATGTGGGTCACATGTGTAACTCAAATGGACTCGGAGATAACTCATCAGTCTGACTGTAAATTAGTCAACTCAGGACCACCATTCACTGACGGCTGTCTACGGGATCTTCGGACTACAAATCCCCACGATGACAAAGATCGCATTCAAAACACCAACGGAGGTCTGCTCAAAGACTCATACCGCTGGATTCTGGACAACAGGGAGTTCAAACAATGGAAAAGCGACGAAAACAATGACAACCGTCTGCTCTGGATCAGAGGAGACCCCGGCAAGGGCAAGACAATGCTTCTATGTGGTATCATCGATGAGCTAAGCTCGACTGTGGAGACTGCAAACGTTTCGTCCTTCTTCTGCCAGGCTACCGATCCGCGAATCAACAATGCCACAGCTGTTCTACGTGGCTTGATATATTCGCTTGTTGAGAAGCAGCCATCTCTTCTCCACCATGTGCAGGTTCAGTATAGTCAAGCGGAGAAAGAAGTGTTTCATGATAGAAACGCAGGGCATGCTCTCTCGAGGATCTTTTCGAATATTCTGAAAGATTCAACAATGCAGAGCACTTATCTGGTTGTTGACGCCCTGGACGAATGCACACAAGATCACCCTTTTCTTCTGGACTTCATTATCAAGGAGTCATCTGCCTACCCGCAGGTGAGATGGCTGGTCTCAAGTCGCAACTGGCGTGACATTGAAGAGCGTCTTCATGCTGCAGCCCATACGGCCCCGATCTCGTTAGAACTCAATGAGGTATCCGTATCCGAGGCTGTTCGCAAGTTCATTCAATATAGGATGCACCAATTAGTGGAGGTCAAGAAGTACAACAATTTGACCCGCGACGCGATTTCAGATCACTTACTCGCAAACGCGCATGGTACCTTCCTTTGGGTAGCCTTGGCCCGCCAAGAGCTCACCAGGACCCCACGATGGCAGGCTCTCCAGAAGCTAGCAGCTTTCCCTCCAAGACTTAACGCTTTATACGGTCGGATGATTGATCAAATCCGCAATTCGGAAGGTGCAGAGCTTTATAAACGCATACTGGCAGTCATGTCAACGGTTTATCGACCTACAACGCTAGATGAGCTGCAATCTTGCATGGATATGCCTGACGTCATTTATGACTACGAAGATGTATCGGAGGTTATAGCCTTCTGTGGCTCATTTCCAAATGTTCGCAACAATACCATCAATTTTGTCCATCAGTCTGCAAAGGACTTCTTGGTAAATAAGGCGCTTGCTGACATTTTTCCCGCAGGTATAGAAGCGGCGCACCATTCAATTTTTTTACGCTCTCTCAATGTCATTTCCAACATACTTCGACGTGATATCTTTGGGATCAAGTCTCCTGGGTTTCCGATCACAGAAGTCAAAAAACCTAGTCCAAATCCATTAAGGGCCGCAGAATATGCGTGTCTCCATTGGATCGATCATTTCAGGATTGGAACCTCAGTGAAGATATTAATGGCGACCTTGAAGATGGTGGTTCGATAGATTTGTTTCTACGAACACAATACCTTCACTGGCTTGAGGCGCTTAGCCTACTTGGAGGCGTGTCAGAGGGAATAGCTGCAATGTTGAAGCTGCATGCCTCATTTCAAGCAAGTACTCATTTCATGGCCACACCTTGATATTTTTACTAATCTGTTACCATTACAGAAAATGAGCAAGTCACAAGACCTGATTAAACGCGTTGGTGATGTTTTACGATTTATCCGATACTTCAAAACTGCGATCGAAAATGCTCCTTTACAGGTGTACATTTCAGCTTTGGTATTCAGCCCTACCCAGAGCATGACCAGGGTTTGTTTCCGAACGGTATCACCAGAATGGGTGATCATGAAGTCTGCACCCGAAGATTATTGGCATCCATGTCTCCAAACTCTCGAGGGGTACAACACTTGTGTTGTCTGGTCTCATGCTCGCAATCAGCTCGCATCTGCATCTCCTGATGGAACAATCAACATCTGGGACCCGAATACTGGCCAACGTATCTCCAGTCTAAAGGGACATAGCGATAGTATTACCTGGAAATCCATGACAAAAGAGGGGCACTAAGATACCATAAATTATCTTGCTTGGTCACAAGATGGAGCTCGACTTGCGTCACTGGGATACGGTGGAACAATCAAAATATGGGACCCGGATACTCAACAATGTGTCTTGACTCGGAAGGAAATCAAGCATTCTATCAGGTGTTTTGCCTGGTCATATGATGGAATTCGAATCGCACTAGCGCTTGAGCGGGGCAACGTTAAAATATGGGACCTGAAAACTGACCACACTGACCATTATATGTCGATTATTGGCCATGATCGTTCAGAATGGGCGTCTATTGCATGGTCCCCTGATGGGAGTCTGCTTGCATCAAGGTTGTCAGATTCTACTGTTAGGATCTGGAACCCGGTCACATCACAATGCATATCAACACTTGGGAGAGCCGGCAATCCCGGCCTCTTTCATTCCTACTCCGTTGAATGGTCATATGATGGGTCTCGCCTCGCAATGGCATACTCGGGTTTCGTTGAGATATGGAACCCACGAAATGGTCAACGAATCGCGAATTTGGACGGCGGATCCACGTCTCTTCGACTCCAATGGAAAATACCTATTGCTTGGTTGAACGATGCAACTAGGCTCGCGTCGTCATTATCTACACCGAATGTCATGATTTGGAATCCTACCACGGGCGAACGCACATCGATACTTCGAGGACATAGCCGTCTTGTCTCAGCTATTGCCTGGTCGCACGATGGAATTCGGCTTGCATCGGGATCGGAGGATTGTACTATAAGGATTTGGAACCCGGTCACCGCACAGTGTATTTCAATCCTTAGGGGCCATTTCGGAGATACCTTCGCCCTATTCTGGTCCAAAAATGGGTCCCAGATTATCTCGGGGTCAGATGATGGAGCCATCAAGATTTGGGACCCTTCTACCGACCGCAATACATCGACACCTGATGGACACACTGATCGAAGGTCTATCGCTTGGTCTTGTGACGGGCAAAAACTTGCATCTGTGTCTAATGACTTGACAGTCAAGATCTGGGACAAGTACACTGGCAAATGTACCTCGACTCTCGAGGGACATGAAGCATGCCCTATACACATTGCCTGGTCGCGCCATTCAACTTGGCTTCTATCCACATCTCTTGGCAATCTTAGGGTGTGGGACACCGTGACCGGACAATGTATATCCATTCTGCGACACACCCACGATATTGATTTGTGTGTTTGGTCAGACGAAGGGACCCTCATCGCGTCAAGCTCATATGATGGGACTTTTTCGACCATTATTATTTGGAATCAATTCACCGAACAGATTTTATGTGTATTCAAGCCACCACATGATGCTCCAGTTCACGCACTTGCTTGGTCCCACAATGGGACCATGCTTGCGTCGGCGTCAAACGGAGATGAAGATAGACAGCGCTTTTTAGGAAGAAAAATCCACATTTGGAAGCCATCAACCGGAGAGATTGTATGGTCTTATTGTCATACTTTCAGATTGTCTGTTATCTCCTGGTCATATGATGACACACGGCTCGTAGCAGGGGGGCGGGACATCATGATCTTCGATCTAACTAATGATAGCTTTTCCACCATCGAAGAAGGTCACGGAAAGACAATTTCGTATATTACCTGGTCTCGCGATGGAAGCAAGATTGCATATTTGTCATCAGACATGACAGTCTATATCTGGTACCTTGATGGCACCGGTCCGATCAAACAAACTCACATTGAGCATGTTGGGCTATATGGCTTCGTTCGATTCGATGAAGTCGATTCGAATATCTTACATACAGCGATTGGTACACTGAAACTCCAGCCCTACAACCCTGACCCATGGATTTCTCCAATGCCGAAGTGGGTGGGATATGGCTTGAAGCATGACAGCTGCTGGATAACATTTGAAGGAAAAGATCTTTTGTGGCTACCCCCCAGTACCGGCCAGTGTACTCATCTTTAACAGCTATATCTGGGACGACTGTGGCAATCGGCTGTTTCTCAGGTCGTGTCTTGATCTCGGAGTTCTCTGAGCCTCCCAAAGGATTGTTTGCTTGGTCATGACGTTTCTTCCAATAAACATGATTTTGAAATAATTGATGCAATGGCAATACTCTCCCTGATTATAATGAACTGTCGTAGGCTTTAATAGATAGAAATAGAGCATTCGAAAGCTGGAAAAGGAGACATGAGCAGATTTTCTATGTACTGTACATCAATATACACGGAGGCTTCCCTCGGATCTCGAAACAACCACAATCAGTTAGAAAGACAGTCCAGATAGGATGGGAAAAGAAAATAACAACGAAAACGCCAGAAACCCCACGATGGAAGCAAGCTGCGAGGAAGACCATCGCAAAATGCTATGCAAAAAAAAGAGACAATACTTCGTATGTCAAGGATTTGGGACCGGAATGACCGGAATGCGTGCAGGTTATAATCCATGCCTGTGATATAAGTCATCTCCCGGTCCTTAGCTTTTTGTTTCACTTTCAAATCCACCTTCCTCTATCGGCCAGTCATCCAGCTAACCCAGCCCTTGGTTTTTTCCTTCGTAGCCTGCTCTGCGTTCTCGGCAATCACGTCCAGCTGGCCCGGCCCAGAGGCATTGGCAAAAGCCTTCTTCGCATCGGCAGCCTCAATTATGCTGGACTCGCCCTCAATCGATGATGCAGTGGCGATAGTCTGCACAGCCGGTGCACCGGTATCCTCCATGTTCATCTTCTCGAACAGGAATCGCTTCGCCTTGGCCCACGGGCGCTGTGCCTTCTCCTCCTCACGGTTCCGTTTCAGGATGGCCCCAATCTCCTCCTTCTTGATAAGCTCGAGCTGCTCTTCATTTGCGGTTCCGTTGGCCTGCGCGATGCGAGCCTGGTTGAGGGTTTCGATCTCCTTCTCGATCCAGAGTGTGCGTTGGCGGCGGTTGTACATTGTCAGCGAGACCATCGAGTAAACTGTAAGGACACCACAGACACCTAATTCGGAGAAAGAACGTGTTAGTTAAGTTGCATGTGGTAAAAGGTTCAAGTCTAAGACCCGACACTTGACCGTGTCCCTTGAGAGGGGGGAGGATCAAGTCCTGTAAAGCATACCCGATGCGGCAATCAATGAGTAAACCATGCCCTTGTGCGCCTTGTTTGCGAATCGCCGTCCAAGCTCGATCCACCGATCCACGCCAGATGAAGACTGAGCCATCCGAGCAGCCCGTGCCTGTGCTCGGAGTCGTGCCACCTTCTGCTTCGGAGTCTCGGGGGTACCATCAGGGCCGGGCTGAGGCGCTTGCTTGGTCTTTGAAGATTTATCGTTCGACTTCATGAAATCTGGGAGATTGTAGGGTGTGCCGTTGGGCTTGGAGCTGGCGTATGGCCCGGTGGCCGTGAACCGCGTTGCGTCCGCGGCAGATCGGGACATGGTCGCGTCTCTCGAGGGGGATTTGTTCGGTAAATAGGAATCGATGGGTTCGAGTATCGTAAGTCCCCTTGATCAAATGTGGCTTGCTAGGGGTGAATATGAGTGCGCGGCTTTGGGGGAAGAAACCGGGGATATGAAGGTGGAAAGGTAAATTTTCAAGCGGCCGGATGATGCGCCAAGACCGGACAACAGCTTCATCCCCGATTCGATTATGGAACGACTTACGACTCCCGATAGAAATCTACTTCCTTTTGACCAGCTGAACGCTTTTTTGGAATCGATTCAAAGGAGACTCTTCTTATATATCTTCTTCTCGAGTTACTGATAATTTAGATATTCTAGTTGCCATTTCATCATGGCTGGTCATTCCGATGCCCCAGACTTGAACTCCGTGCTCCAGGCACTTTCCAGTCTTGCTCCGCAAGGAAGCTCATCTCAAATTCATGAGACAAATCCGCCACAGCATCATGTTACCCATCCGCCACGGACAGCAGCAACTCATGCACCCCGACCGGCATATCCGAGCTCATCAAAGCCGGGTATCCCTACTATTGATCCCACGACTATTACTACCTGGGATGAAGCAAAGCGTTATCTCAAGGAAACCGTGAGGATACAGGAAGAAGCAGCAGCAGCACAAGCCAAAGAATACGGAAATGAAAAGGAACAGAAAAAAGAAAGCCCACTCATACTTCGCATTCGTCGCCTCATCAAAGAACAGCATGATTATGAACGTCGATGGTGGGAAGGCCGCCAAGCTCTACTTCAAAGGCAGCAAACTCGAGGTGCTAAAAAAAAGAGCTAGATGCAGTCTTGTACGTACTGGACTTTTTTTCTTCATGAGTCTCGATCTAACCCTTCAATCTAGACTATCGATTGGTGCACCTGTTGACTCAAAAGCACTATCTGTACGTGTTCAATCTCAACGCAGTGTAGAAGTATACACATTAACAACCTCCAGACCGCAGAAGAGGATCAAGCAGAACTCAAAAACTACGATATGAAGATTTATCAGAAGTCTATGAAGATGGCGGAAGATTTAAAAGCTGAATTGCGTGCACTCCGGATTCCCTTCTTTGTTCTCAAGGATAGTCTTGTTCAAGACTCGTCTCCAGCGAATCTTGATGGTGCTCTTGGCGGAGGTTCAAAGCTGTCCAAAGCTGAGCTTATGAATTTGCAGCGTCGTATGCTAGAATTACTTGAGGTTCGTTGTGAAGATTGAGTCGAGAGTCTTTGGAAATATATTGGCCATGGGAAAGCATCAACATAGAGCTGGCTCTCTTGGTGCAGAGGCTATCTAACTAATTCATATGAATGCAATACTTGGAATCATTATGCCTCCTCTCTTCCCATTTCTTTCATCGCGTTCTCCTTGTTATGCGCCTCCGCCGCACGTCTCTCAGACACCGGCATATAGCCGTCCATTGTACCGAATCGGTGTTTAAATCCCGTTATGCCTATCACCGAGTGTTCAACATGGCTGGTAAGCTCGGGCTTTCCATGCTGGCGTTTCAGACCTCAACAGCAAAAACAGAAGCTGGCTTGTTTCTCAAGATACAAACCCCCAAGCTGGGGAAATCTGTAAGTTGCACGTGCTACATCTCGGAATAGCCGTATACAAATTTAAGCATATTCTACTCGTTTCTTAATATCATTGGCCGAGTTCTCGTTAGGCGTCAAGAAGCTGCAATAGCTTGGTGGCTGGCCCACTTGATGATTGAGCTCGGTACAGAGCGATTCTCAAACTAAGAACGCTTCACGAGCCCGGAATACTCACCCATCTACTGGGAAGCTGTTGTGCGATATAAATTTGAGTTCATGTCTAGATGCAACGATTTAGATAATTCCAGGCAGTTCTACAAGCTTGTGACGTTACTCAAACAGGGCTTTTCGAATTTATCAATATCACATAGAAGAGGCCTTCCAGCTGGAATCGGATCTTCGTTGGCTCTTGATAGCGTCATCTTAATGGAATCAGTGCTGTTTACTCCTGACCTGGGTAGTATTACTTAGTTCCTGCATGGTACTACCCGGAAGTAGTACTTTATAATTGGTGGGAGGACATGTTGAAGAAAGAACACATTTAGCTTCAATAAAGAGCATTGCACTCATAAACAGTCACTTATATAGCATTGAAGCTGTGCATACATATAAAGCTGTTCTTACATTGCACATAAAGTTGCGCTTAGAAGCGCGACATCAACCTTGGAATCCACCATTGGTTCCTACATGACCTCTTATGTCAATTCCATCGTCCAACAGATGGTACAAACCCGTGTCATCGAGACCACTAGAAGTAAATTGCAAGGCCTCGTGCAGTATGCCCTTCAATACTCCAAAGATGGCCCAGTCATCTAGCTCGGAGGTTCTGATGCGGCTTCTCATAGTGAAGTATTGATCACGGTGAAAAGTCCAATGTTTTGGACTCGTCTCCTCTCTGGCGCCGATCTTGTGAAATTGAAAATACACCCCAAAAGGCCGATGTATCACTGAGACCATATCTTTAGGGCTTTGATATTTCAAGATATCGACTGTGAGGTCGAAAAGCTACCTACTCTCTTCACAGTAAGTATCAGTATTCAGAGACTCTCTTCCTCATCCACTGGTGTGCATGATCACCATATCACCAAACACAAGAAGCAAGCTAACCAGACCAAGATCGTCCTCCAAAACATCGGAGCCATTCGTCCTAGCTGGCTCCACTCATTCGCCTCCTCCGCCGCCCAGATAATGAAACGAACCAACGACACCGAACAAGCCCAAATAAACGTATCTTCGCACTAAGACACCTCAAACATCCTGTTCTCCAACTTCCGCTCACCAGAATTGAGCTACTCAAGTGCCCACTGGTCCTCAAATCTCACAGAAACACTCGAAACAGCCCAAAGCCGCAAAACTCAAAACCTCCTCCGGAAAGCCATCATTTCTGCCTCACATCACATTCTCGACATCGGCTGCGGCGGGGGCAACTCGCTATCCAAGCTGCACAGACGACATGATGTCGCGTGACAGGAATAACACTTTCAAAGGAACAGAAGAGCTGGGCTGATGACAAGATCCAGGTTGCAGGCTTGCAAGACCGTGTTGAGATCCTGCTGTGTGACTATCGACAAGTTCCTGCTCCGGCGTCCGGGACCTATGATCGGATAATATCCGTTGGAATGTTCGAGCATGTTGGTAGGGAGTATCTGCCGGAGTATTTTGCGATAATTTCGAGATTGTTGAATCCTAACGATGGCATCTTGGTACTTGATGGGATTACGTCGGTGAATCAGGTATTTTTGTACATCTTTCATTGGTCAATTCATGTATAGACTATCTATTGAGAGAAGAAGGCTAATCTGGGATGTGTCTTTCCACTACATATGCATCACATTCAACTGAAATTCGACCTTTTCATCCTGAAGTATATCTTCCCGGGAGGCTATCTCCCAACTATTGGAATCTTAATCAAAAACATTGACGAAACGGGTACTTTGGTGACCTCTGCGGAAAGCTCGGGAACTCACTATGCCAAGTCGGTGGAGGTGTCGAAGGAGAATTTCTTACAGAACTGGGGTACCATTGAGGCAAGCTATAGGGAATGAAATCCACAGTGCACTGACTTTCAGATTGAAGTCTTCCGACGGAAATGGCTGGTAAATATCACGTTTTCTTGAGACCATTTCCTGTACCCCCTCATGATTGATTGGGAGAGGAATGATGATCCCAATTGTGCAGTACTATTTAAGTGTTGCGGCGATCAGCTTTCGTATACATATTGTTAACAACTACACTATCACGGCGGGGACTCCGGGCTCGGGTCTGTGTTATGAGTCTCTCGAGTGTTTATAGCCGAGAGACTGCTTTAGGCTGGCCGATGTATTCCCAGATATCGAAGTGTGTGCAGGTTGGTTGCTTGGTCTAGCGTTTGGCAATCCTTGACTTGGCTCATGTCGATCCATTGAATTGTCAAAATCCCCGGTTTGGATTTGATAGTTCATAATATTCCATAATGTCGGATTTTTCTGAGCCAGAAACCGTCGTGAATGGTGCAAGGGCTTGTTGCTGGTGCCGTGGCAAATTTGAATGTTTAGTCCCTTTAGGATTTCAAGACGCAGGTATTACTTGGGATTATACCCACTTGATCTCCTATTACATTACTCTAATGCTGACCGCTACTCGCTTACATCCATCGTAAAAGTGATCCAAGAATACTACCAAAGGAAAAATGTGAAGCCTGGAAACCAGGTCAAATGATTCTGTAGTCCCTACTCTCCCCATAGAAAATATGCAGACCGAAGGACACAGCAAGACACGAAACCAATCCCACGAATGCGCCATTGAAATGACCACAGGATCCGAAAGAACAGTACTCCGCCCAAGCCAGTAGAAAAGAAATCCAAAGAACCATCTGAAAACCCATGCAAGAAACACCTGGCAAATGCGGATCGAAGCAAAAAAAAGAAGAAAAAAATGCATCCAACCTCCCCTGAAAGTAGGGAATAGGTGAAGAACACGGAGCCCGGAGAAAGAAAAGATGGATCACACGCCGATGACCAATGAAGAAGGAAAAGAAGAATTGACAAGAAAAGGGAGGTGAAGGTGGTCGTTGCGACCTCGGATATCTAGACGTTGCAGTGTAATGCGTCACTCATTTCGGATCTGCTCTTTGGCTTTACCGTTGCTCGGTTTTTTCAGCCACGGCCACGGCCACAGCTACTGCTGCACCTAAGATGGCACTCTCAGGGGCAGGATCCAGACTAATAGGAGACTGAGAACCAGGGTGGGATTGCTCGGATAAAGCATCAAGATAACCTTGGCATGTGTCCCGGAAGCCTGGATATTTGTTGATGACGGTACCGTCGCATGCGATGGAGATCTTCTGTGCAGAATCACTCTCGACGACGGTGATTTCAGGCGCTTGTTTGAGAGAGTCGGTTGCGGATGAAGTGGCAGGGGATTCTACCTCATTGCCTAGGCACCACATGCTATGGATACCGGTAGCAAGGTATCCAGCGGCACGGCGAGAGACAACCTGGCAGACACGGCGGAGGAAGCGCAGATCTTCGACGGAGGGATAGCTCGGGAAAGTGTGTTCTTTTTGCAGGAGAGCGGCGGATGGAGCCAGGGAAATGGATGAATCTTCCTCCAAGAATGCGACGATGCTGGTGTCGAAAGAATAGGGCTCGCGCATCGAGTGTGGCAGCTCGCCTTTAAACAGAGCTGCAGTCTCTACTGCCTCCACAATGATGAGCCGAACAACCTCACCTAGATAACGACCGGTAATCATGTATTCCAACGGCTGATAATCAGGACGTAAGTGGGTACGGTTAAGGAAGTCATCCCAGCGAGTCATGGGCAAAACACCGCCACCAAACATGCTCAGCTCTGTGTTGACAATGACATGCTTGGCGTACTCAAACCATCCATCGGGGCGAACTCCAAACTTGCTGCGTCCGATCTCGTGTACAGGGAAATGAATAGCCATGTTCGTGCCGGTGCCCAGGATCAAAGACATGCGCGTCTTTGGGTCGACATATGCACGCGACAGCAAAGCAGCGGAGCTATCATTAACAATGGCGGCCATTTCCACGTTCAGGCTCCGCTTCCGACACGAATCAATCAACAGCTGGCCCAATTCTTGTCCAACCGTCCCGTTAGAGCAGTGGAACCCCTTGCCCATGTGGATCACCAAGCCGCTGCTAGTCGAGGTCTGATCGATCGGGAAAGACCAAGAGAGACCGATTGGTAGAGCGATCTCGCCGCGGCCGTAATCTGTACCCACATCCTTCAGCATACTATCAATCTTGCTAGCCATCCAGTCAAAGAACAGTATCCCCTCCAACAACTTCACGCTGTTATCAATGTACGAAGACGCCACCCGCACGATGCGCATCTCCTCCTCCCGCCCATACAACTCAATCAACGCAACCCGGAACGTCGAACCTCCCACATCAAGTGCTAGATATGTGCCTTTCTCAGCGCCACTCGGGAGGGCGTGGGTATACGATGGTAGCATATTGCAAGGGCTTTCTTGTAGACAATGGCGGAACTGCGCACGGATCTTCTCCGACATATCGAGCATCTTCGCAGTAGACAAGGGCGTAGTAAAGAGGGTCTCGACCTCGCCAGCGAAGTCATCGAGGGAGCGACGACGCCAGTGGGCGCCTAGGAATGGCTTGCGGCGTTTGTGGCCGAAGCCTCGGAAGAGCGAAGGGAAGAGGATCATGGTCTCGAGGGCGGCGAATACGTTCTGGAAGAGCTCTTGCAGGCGGTGCAAGACTTTCACCAGCGGGGCCGACATGGTCGTGTTTGAGGGTGTTTTGAAAGGACTCAGGGCGACATGGGCAAAGGTAATAAAGAAAGGTAATGAGAGTTGGTTTATGTCTTAGTGTTAGGTGACACTCCCACAGTAGTGTTGAAGGTGGATCGGAGGTGAGTGTAGCAGAAGAGGGAATCCCCACCGAACACTAGAGAGATCCGCGACTTTGGGAGGGGGAAAAGAGAGAAATGAGGAAAGGGTCAGGCCGAAGCATGGATCAACATTGGGTCCATTCTTGGTGTTTGAGTGTCACTCGGAGTGCAACTTGAAGCCCTTGCGGTGTCGCAATGCGCGAAGTGGGTAATGGTACGGTACGGTAACTTAAGACTTGTACTATGATAGGTGTGGTAAAGATGGTATTACTTGGTTACTTTACAAAAAGTTTAAGAAGGAAAACTGAATTCGATGAGAAGTTCATTTTGAAATCCACTTTAATTAATAGGTAGTATAACTTGCTCAGAAAGCAAAATTTGAATTAACAAGTCATGACATTCCAAACGTGGTATGTCCATACATGCTCGATAACCCCCTTGAGTGCAACGGTGGTAGCCGGCCCAACTGGCCGGGACCGTTACACTCATGTGGAACCCCCCTTATAAACCTCGTGGGAAACCTCACTGTTTTCCTTTACCCCGATCAGTTGCATCCATTGTAACCACGGTTCATGATGGCATGTTTCGGATGAACACAGATCTGTAGCATCTTTAGCTCTACAATCGACACTTCACAACCGTGACATCACCCACGTGCCAAGATGCCATAATATTGGGCAATCCGTGAATGTAGACTGCAGAGAGCATGAAACCCTACCATAACATCTACCCCATCTATCATGGCCGCTGATAATGTACTAAACAAGAAAGGTGAGACTATCACGCAAGGGGACTACCTTCTTACCAAGTCCTGTGGATATCAGGGGGTTGAAGTGGCATATCACTCTAGTAACTTGTTACTTGTAACTCATCTGTGTAGGCTGACAAGATCGTTAAAGACGAGGCAGACGCCCAAACAGAGAGTGTGGATCCGCCCAAGGCAAGTCGCCCCCGATTACCGATTCAATTCCATGATCTCATCTCGACATAGGTCATCTTTACTGATCAATACAGGCATGTGGTTTCGCATAGCCCACAACCGGTGGATAAGCATTCAGGCCGGGGGTAAATGGGGATTTAGACATTCCATGGGAACCATAGACAGACCCCAGATGTGATCCAATTTCTGCAAGGCATGTTATCTCTGCCCCACAGATCCCGTTTTTGATCTGCGGGGAACAAGGTCGCATTCAAGGCTTTAGCCTTGTCCAATGAAAAGTTTTTTTGCCCAGTATAGACTTTTTATCGGTGTCCTTCAGGTAAGGGAATGCCCCTGTAACCAGGTCTGTAGCGTTCATGACCAGGGCTGCACCCAGAAAAATGGTCAGTCCCAGGGGTGCTTGGGCAGAAAGGACGTTCTCTCCTCGGTTTCTGATTCTTGCTATTAGCATATATGATCTTTGGATAAGAGTAAATGAGCTTATCCGTATAGGACAACCCATAGAAATGAGCCTCATCGATAGTCTAATGCGGCAAGTAATCACGAGCACAACGGGTAGTCAGCTGACCAAATTTCGCAGTAAGGTACGAGTCCCCTGTATCGAATAATGTCTTGCGCACCGCCGTGGGTGAAAGGATAAAGGGTATAAGCGGGCCTTATCTTGGAAGATATGCCATAGTCACAACGGGAATTTGGAATTTGATCAGCTGACCTCAAACCATAATCCGAACGTTCACATATCGCCAGATGAACGAGGATACCTCGAACAAGGAGGCTAGTCATTCAAACTTGAATTTTCTCATGGAGGTCACCACGGCCATACATAAGTGCCCACCAGGAACCGCCAATCCAGCGGCAACTCCTATCACTTCACCAGGTTGAAGGACAGCACGGTATGTGGTATGATTAAACACCCAGGGACGTCTGTCGCTAGATTACCCTGAATAAGTAGGTGCGATCAGCTATATCTCACGCTACGTTGAACCAATCATTCTAATTGACCTTCATTCAAGCACAGCCAAAACCATGGTCATCCGGACCATCCGCTGACAGAGACCTGTTTACATTCCCACTACGGGATACAGAGTCCACACCTAGCTAGCCCCACGAGTCTATAGACCTGCCAGTTTGCCGACTGGGTCTCCAGCTGGAGTCAGGAGACGCTTCTCACTTCCAGGCCTAGGAAAGTTTGTGGCGAACCATTACGACGCGTCGTTCCGGACTTATGGGGCGCTGTCCGCGTAAACAGATAGATATACTCCGCACGTCATGGGTTTACTGAGTTAACTATACACATCTGTAATAGGTGCCTGGATACTGGATACTGGTTCTCGATCAAATGTCATATGGATTAAGCCGTAAGTGTCGAGTTCGGTTTGGATTTGATGAATCGACATGGATGATGCCAAGAGCTTCGTGGCCTTTAGACGGATCAATTCGGCCCTGGCGCCAATTGACAGTGTGGATCCGCCTCTGACAGATCGACATTGGGAAAGGGACAGCTGAAAAATCAATTTGTCCCTCTTGGTGTTTGATCATTGTACAGTACGGAGTAAACTATGCCGCTACTATGTTTGTTTATGCCTAAATACATGCATTGGCTTCCAGAAGCAGTTTTTTCATGATCATCATTATCTGTGCCGTGGTGGAGGCAGGAGTCACGGTTAAATTATCTTAAATTCTGATCCATCTGGCCCAATTACGGCAAAGTGCCAAGAGTCCAATGCCCCCTGATGTGTGCGGCTCAGCCAGTCGTAGGGCTTTACTGCTTGCGCCCAGACTTGTACCCGGTAATTCGGCAATCCCCGTTAAGAGAACGTACGTAACCATGGGAAAATTAGACAGAGGTTCAAATATTGGACATATGGGGTAAATAAGACCAGTGTGTGGATATTATGAATATACTGACACTGTAGGACTTAGTATTACGAAGCATATACCATATGTACTAGTATTATTGTATCTTTGTGCGTATATTACCAATTGGGTAAACTATACGGTAAGCGCAAAGCCAAATACGAACTTGAGTTCCGCTGGTTATTTGATCGTAAAGTTCCACCCGAAACACCGCCAAGAGGTCGGGATCGTCAGATTCCTCTCCTGAACGTCGGTTCCAAGCCTTTGCCTTCCTTAGCTCTGTCCCCACTGGACTGACGACGCCTTTGAACCTGGCGTCGTCGTTCACTTCTCCCTTTTACAATCCCCTAGGTTCCCCGCAACATCAAGGGAAGATTGTCTTCCCCGGTCACTCCTTCATCATGTTGCTTCTCGGCGCTTTGTTATTATCGCTCGTTCAGAATGCGGTGTCCCAACGACATGACGCTGACCTCATGTCCTTCGTGACGGTACGTTGAATGTGTTCCAGGCGAAAATATCAGCTAATCTCAATGATTAGCTTCCCGAAGTACGCGCCCTGAAATGGGAGGTCACCCACCACGATCGTGAACGTGAGGCCCCCGGATATTGGTTCGTTGCGCCCTACGGACAGATCTCCCCCGAGAACCCCACCCAGAAATACCAGCAGTATCAAGTTGGTCCGTATATTTATGACAACGATGGTGTATGTTGCTTCCTCCCCCCTGGTCTGCAATCACTGACCCACTTTAGGTCCTGGTTTGGGCTGGCCCGAGTCTATACGATAACCGCAATGCCTTCGATTTCCGCGCCAACCACAACATGGATGGCGAGCCACACCTTTCGTTTATCGTCGCATGGGATAATGAAAATGGCGCTGACAGGGGACACGGTGTGATTGTGGATAAGCATTACCAGGTGGAGCGAGAGGTTCGTCCCTTGAAGGATGTGCACGACTTTAACATGCACGAGTTCAACATTTTGGACGGTGGAAAGACCGTCCTGGCCTGTGTTTATCGTCAAGTCGAGGTGGATCTGACGGACTTTGGTCGTCCCAACGAGAAGAGCTGGGTTGTGTCGGGCGGGTTTGCCGAGTTCGACATCGAGACCAATGAGCTTCTGACGCAGTGGAACAGTCTCGATCACATTGCCCTGCATGAATCCAACATGTTTCATGCATGGGATCAGCCTCTAGGTGCGCCTGGTTGGGACTACGTGCATGCCAACGCGGTGGATAAGAACTCGGCCGGCGACTATATCATCTCGATGCGGTTCACAAGCACAATCTACGGTATCTCTGGTGTCGATGGGAGTATTATGTGGCGCCTTGGTGGTCTGGAGAGTGACTTCACCCAGGACTTCTCTTTCTCTAAGCAGCACGACGTGAAATTCATCTCGTCTAACGGCACCCACCATGTGATTTCGTTCTTGAACAATGCCTCTGATGAACGTGGTAAAGATGAGACCGTGTCCTCGGTTCTCCACGTGGAGCTGGACACTGAAACGATGAATGCCCACGTGATAAAGCGTATCAACCGCCCCGATGCTGGCCTGACCCGTCTCCGTGGAAGTGCTGAGGTTCTTCCCAACGGAAACATCTTCATCGGTTGGAGTGAACGAGGCTACCAGAGTGAGCATGCCCCCAATGGCGATTTGTTGATGACCGCCCGATTCGCTTCGACTCGCTATTCAACATACCGCGCATACAAATCCGAGTTCACTGGCCGTCCTCTTACCCCGCCTGATGTGGTGGCCTCGGTCTACGGAACCAGCAGCACCGATATCACTACCATCTTCTACGTTAGTTGGAACGGTGCCACAGATGTTGCTGGCTGGAACTTCTACGCCCAGGCCTACGACCGTGGTGACCCTGTTTTCATTGGCCATGCCAACAAGACTGACTTTGAAACCATGTACATTGTCGATGGCTATATGGACTGGATCACTGCTGAGGCGGTTGACCGTGATGGCAACTCGATGATGAAGTCTCGTGTCATTCGCAGCGATATTCCTAGTAACTGGAAGGCCGTCGGATTCCTAGGTGATCAGAGCCCCTCCCCGGATGACCCATCTATCGTCTCTTCGATTTACGAGCAGTCCAAGTCCAAATCCACCGACACCGTAACCGACACCACTGATACTACTGAATCTACTGACAACACGGATACAACTGTTATCGAGGACAACACTGACACGGCTGATACTACCGATGATACTACTGAGGATACTAGCGATGGCATGGATGGCATGGACGGCATGGATATGGACTCCAGCTCCGACTCCACCTCACCCTACCCTGACGCAAAGGATGTTGCCAAGTCCGTGACCAAAGCCTACGAAGTCATCCGCGGTGTAGGTGCACTCTTGATCCTCATCCTAGTCTCCTGCACCCTCGGAATAGTTGGTTACGCCTTTTACGGCATGTTCCAGCGCCGAAGCGGTCGTTCCTACCACCACATCTCCTTGGAAGAAGATCTCCCCACAGAAGAGATCCACCTGCACTCCCAGGTCCACGAGTAATCTCTTGACCTGTTTACTTTTTAAATATCCATTTTGCATAATTAGCAGCATCTCCGCATCTGCTTTCGCATTTGCACCGCATCCCCCCTGGACTGTTTCTTCCCGGCGAAGACACTATCCAGGGAAAAAAGAACTGGAGATTTACTCCACACTCCATATGGAACCTGAACGAAAGAGATGGACAAGGAGCTGCGAGGGTATGGGTACATATCAGGTCATGATCGTTCTACGCATATCATACCCCTATTTGGCGTTTATTTTTACTTTGGGTGCCTTTCTATCTCCGGGTAGATCTGACGAGCTGAACCGAAATTGGTTTTCAGATCTATTCCTTTTTGACTCAATACCTTTCAATTTTTTACATTCTTGTGTTATATTACCTTTCCACCTGCACTTTGGTCTTATTCATGTTACTTTTCGTTTTGTGTGAACAACCGACAGGTTCATTTGTACATATTCTGCCTAATCCTCAATGATGATCATCCTACCCAACCAATCCGGTGTACCTGTTTGCCACATCTTTCTATACAATACAATACCACCCATACTGGGGCATACGTGTACTCGGCATAGAATGGAAGTGATCTGACACAGAAAGTCCCACATCATGATTCATACGCGCCCTCCTTGACCCGCCTTCCGCGCTAGAAATACCCGTTTCTCCACAGTTGATTAATTAACTAATATGATAATCAAAGTGGCTGTGCACAGTACTGTATTCTTGATGCATACTGTAAAATCACAACTGTCAAGATTGTCCGATCACAGACTGCATGCCAGAGCCAGTCTTGATTGGTTTATCAATCCATCTGTATTCGCAGGTATATGCAGGCGTAGCCCTGATTTTTCAGCTCAGTTCCACTCAAGTGCTGATGAGTCGGGAAATTTTGCCTTTTCTGGGGTGATCGTCAGCATTCACATTGGGTCCACTTGCCCAGGTGGTTCCGCTAGGTTTGAAGCTTTGGATGATTGGCGTGGGTAAATACCGGTAGTTGCGTGCGTAAGTCGGTGATTTTGGGTTATTGCCATATCGTACTCCGTATACAGGAGACCAAGAACCCACGCTCCTTCAATCTAAATCAGAAAACTGGCCAACGTTTGGCGTTTGAGTGGGTGTTGCGCAGGGTTATGGCCTAAAAATATATGGCCAAAGGACTGGTTGGGATCTGATAGAAGATCGGGTTTGCACTGAGTGTTTACGTATGTCGATGTGGAATTGCCTTACGCTCTCGAGGGCTTGTCTTTGTTAACTAGGGAGGTTGTGTACGGATCTGGGGCGTCTTAGGTCATAATAGCGCTGTGGGAGAGCGGAGACTGACCTATAGAGGATTAATACTAGGTGCTAACAAACACTTAGAAGTATGATATACCGCATGTACCTACTGTATCCATACTATGAAATTGGAGCCCACAGAATAATAAAACTTGACCAAATTTTAATATAGTACGATGTAGCTCTACTTTACCCTGTCAGATTGGCAAGTAGGCCAATATCCTCTTTTTCAGCGTGATCGTGGGTAAAAATGGGTAGGTAGTTGAGCCCTTGTATAAAAAGTATAGAATCAAAAAAGCACAATATTTCATTCAATATCTAGGTAAATCAAAGTTTAAGTGATAAAATCTATAAATTCAGAAACATCAAAGGCAAACAAAAATCAAAGCAAAAGCACAGAATATAAGGAAGCAGAAAACCCCTAGGGCCGCGACTTATTCAAAATAATCTCCGCCAAAGCCAACAACGACCCACTAGACAACAACTCCAAAACCTGCACATTAGCATTCGCCTCCCTAGCAATCCAATTCCGAATTTCAATCGCAACAAGTGAATCAAGTCCCAACGACGCAACAGTGACAGAAGGATCCATATCCTCCAACGAAATCTGCAATATCTGCGACAACTTCGCCGCCAGTGCAGCATAAGCAATCTGCAACGCACCCTCCCTATTATCCGCACTAGAAAGCTGCACATTCAACGGCACAGAAGGCCCAGACGGACCCCCTTCACTCCCAGGTTTCGCTTTGGCAGAGTCATAAAGTCCGCTTAACTTAGCATCCTGTGCCCAGAAATGCTCGACCGTCTTGCTAAGACTTAGGCCCGTGATACTTTGACCATTACAGGATTGTGCTAGGTCGCCTGTGATAGCTGCGCCAAGTAGCGCTAGGACCTCGCTTTCGTCTATTGTGTCGCTGCCTATGTTTTTCAAGACTTCTTGGAGACGCTTTGCGTCAACGTCGGCGAGGTATCCTGTGTCGCTGACTGCTGTTAGGTCGATTGCTGTTCCTGGGAGGCCAGCGCTGCGTCTGTAGGACATGAATTCGTCTAGGAAGACGTTCGCGGCGGCGTAGGCTGCTTGACCTCTGTTTCCGATTACGCCGGCGACGGAGGAAAGCGCGATGAAGAAGTCTAGTGGGGTTTCTGAGAGGATGGTGTGGAAGTTCCAGGCCCCTTCAACTTTGCTTGCTGCGACTGATTTGAAGTCGTCTAGGGTCATATTTTCGAAGAGCATGTCCTGGGGGTATTAGCTAGAGGAATGGAAGTGGGTGGGTAAGCTACTTACGCGAAGGACCATTGCTCCGTGGACGACTCCGCGGACTGGGGGGAGATCTTTCATGTCTTTGGTTATGAGGGTGGAGACGGATTGTCTATCGATTACGTCGCAGGCTTTGACTGTGACTAGGGTTCCGTCGATGGCTAGTTCATCGATCAGAGCACGAACTTTATCGTTGATGGATGCTCGTCGGGATACGAGGACGATGTTTCGAGCTCCTTTGGAGGACATCCATTTTGCCATGCTTCGGCCGAGACCACCTGTTCCGCCGATCAGGATATAGGATGCATCAGCTTTGAGTAAAGAGGAGCTGGTCTTGGATGCGACGGCCTATTCAAGTTAGATATGATGTTGTTTTGGGGGAGATGTCGACTTACCCGGACTTGGTCCTCTGTGTGAGGAACAACCACGATCTTACCCATTGCTTTTCCGGTCTGGAGTGTCCGGAATGCGGTCTCAAGCTCGGAAATGTTGTAAACTGTGAGTGGCAGAATGGGATTGAGTGAGCCCTGGCTCAGCATCTGAGAAACCTGGTCCAATAGGTTCTTCATCAAGACCGGCTTGTGCGATGCAACCTTTGTAAGATCGACCGATGAGAAAGTAACATTGTGCTCAAACGGCAACATGTCAAGTCGAGTGTTCTTCATGATGTCCGCTTTGCCAATCTCAACGAAGCGACCAAATGGCGCAAGAGTCTCCCAAGTCTCACGCAGAAGATCACCCGCCAGCGAGTTGATTACCACGTCCACGCCCTGGTTATTCGTGGCTCGGCGGATTCCCTGACCAAAAGACACATCCCGACTGTAGAATACATGGTCCTCAGGAATATTGTACTGCGCGATAAGGAACTGCTTCTTCTCCACACTGCCAACTGTCACGAAGATCTCGGCTCCAATCATCTGTGCCAGCTGGATCGCCGCTTGTCCGACACCACCTGCGCCGGCATGAATGAGAATTCTCTCATCGGCCTGTAGATCACTGAGGTTGAAAAGTGCGTAGTAGGCAGTGCAGAAGACGACCGGAACGGTAGCGGCTACCTCAAATGACATGAAGTTAGGAACGGGTGCAGCGCTGGTGGCTTTGCATCGCGCGTATGTAGAGTATGCGCCCAGAGGTAGGGCCATGACTCGTTGACCGACCTGTAGATGTTGGACCTTCTTGCCGACCGACGTCACGATACCACTGCATTCGATTCCAATGTAAGGTTGTGCCAGCTGACCCATTGTCACGACTATATCTTTGAAGTTCAATCCAGTGGCCTTTACTTCAATCTCAATGTCATCGTCGGCCAGTGGCTCAGGGATGTCGTCTGTGAAGTACATGGTGTCCAAGGATCCAGGGCTTGCAACCTGGAGATTGAATCGGCGATTTGATTGTATTAATGGCTGGGTCGTGATGATTTTTTCATGAGTCTCATTGTGAACAAATGCGTTGGCGGCACTATCCTCTAAAATGCGTGGAACCAGAAGCTCAGCACCCTTGGCCTTGAATTCGAAGTCCTTGCTCGGCTGCGCACCATTGGTTGGCCACAATGCTTCCATGGTAGCAAGAATGAGCTCTAACTTGTCCAGCTCTGCTATGTTGATGCCGAGAGTTGCAACTTTGGACAAAGCCTCTGAGCGTAGACTGCGAGTCAAACCGACAATCATGTGAGCATCGGGGCTTTCTTCGCGGTAGACCCAGAGTACATGGGAAGCAGTGAGTAGAGTCTTCTTGATGCTTTCAAAGTCCTTCGACGTAAGATTGCGAAGAGTCTTGTTTCCGGTCTGAAGCACGATAACGTGCTTATTGGCGCAGTCGAATTGGTCAAATGTGGAGACGGATGGCAGCCAGCTACTCGTAGCTTTAGAGATCGCGCTGCTTAGTTTTTGTGCGACGCCGTCCGGCTTGCCGAAATGCGTAATCAAGATGTCGCTCTGGTGGAGAATACCGTTGCCATTAAGATGCGGTTTGTCATCTGGAGTGACACGTCCGTTCACGCCCCCATTGATATGGGCATGCCCATTAGGAATGGCATGGCTATCGGTCTTCTTAGTGTCACCGTCGGCAACATTCTCAAGTTGAGAAAGTGGGAACCATTCCAGCTTGAAGCAAAGGTCGCGGGCATCAGAACCACGGACCGCGCCGGCATCTTTGAGCGGTGTCATAACCAAACCCTCCATAGAAATCAAAATTTCCGTCGAGTTCTCCGAAGTAACCCAAAGGTCAAACTTGGTTGGTTCAGGTGTCATCTGGATAGGTCCTCCATTGCACCAGGCCTTGACATGTGCACCAGGGTTCGTGGGGATATTGTTGGTGATAGACAAATTCTTGATCATAGTCGGCATGTAAAGCGTCTCCAGCTCCATCTTTCCTTTACCAAGAATTGGCCAGACGAGGTGCAACAAGCCATCCAGGAAGGTCGGATGGATAACCAAAGGCGCTTCAAATTTCTTGGGCATCATAGATTTCGTGTCTCGGACATAGAGATCGGCGCGCGAATGACTAGGACTAGAGAAACAATTCTCCAACCCCTGGAAAGCCAGACCATACCCAGCTCCTACCTCGGCCAGGACCTGATACATATTGCTGGTGTCAATGCTGTACGTTGTTGCGGTGTACACGGAGGTAATTTGATTCTGAAAGTAGTTTACCTCTGTTTCAGAGACGTTGGATACGGCGCTCTGTTGTTTCTTGTTCATGCGAGTTCGAATCAGTCCTGTGCAGTGCTCTGTCCAGCCTCGCTTGATGGACCAGGAGCAGATGCGGAATTCGTCCCATACATCGGAGTTTCCTCGCGTTCCCTCTGCGAATGGACGGAGAGTGATGGTGGTCTCCGCATCTGAATCCTCGCTCAAGACAAGAGCTGAGCCGACTTTCACCTCACGGAAGTCGAAATGAGGGAACATTGCATCACGGCTCTCTGCGCGCCGTTTGGCACCCTCTACCGCCATGGATAGCTTTTCCGTGTCAGTATGCATCATCAGGTGATATATCTGATACTTACATAGCCTGCCATGGGGTACACGGCCATACCCTGCATCTTGTGTTCCCGAAGCCAAGGTATGTCATCAAGACGGACGATGTTTCTCCATGTGGGCTCCAAGTCATTCGAGTAGAACGCCTGCGTTCCTAGGAGATCATTCCGCATACCATCACGTTGGCAGTGCTTCTGCGCGATACGAGACTCGTGCCAGTACTTGGTACTGTGCTGCCATGGGTATCGAGGTAAGTCTCGCAGGAAAGTTCGCGAGGCTCCCCCACTAATGGGAAAGTTCACCTTGGTTATGTCCAGAGTTGCTCCGCGGACAAAGGCAGCACCAGCAGCATCTAGAACAGACTGTACGGGGTCCGCATTGCGAACCACCGTGGGTGTGTAGCCAATCTTCGCAGTGATTGAGCCGATAGCCTTTATCGTGTCCAGGATTGGACCCTTCAGGGCCGAATGCGGGCCAACCTCAATCAGCAAGTTGGGGCGGGTCTCTTCGTCAGCACACATCTTTGTGAGAGCATTGGCGAACAGGACTGTAGACGTCAAGTTCTGCACCCAGTAGGCCGCACCCAACGCGGATGGTTCCGCAATTTGACCAGTTACGGAAGAGAAGAAGGTAGCGATCGCCGTGCTGGAAGGCTTGATGGACTCAATTGAAGAAAGGTATGCCTTGGCAACGTTCTTCATATGGTCAGAGTGGTATGCGACATCAATGTTCAGCTTTCGATTGAAGAGGTGCTTGGCCTGCAGAACACCCTCCAACTCATCGATGGCGTGTACGTCTCCAGAGACAGTCACGCTGGAAGGGCTGTTGACACAAGCAATAGTTGCGTATCCCTTCAGAGTCTTGAGCATTGGCTTGATAATCTCAGGGCTGGCACCAACAGCTATCATTGTACCCTGGAGCAAGGGGAATGATCCTTTAAGTAGCTGGGTCATTTGACCACGGCGGTACGACAGTGCCATGGCGGCTTCTAGGTCATAGATTCCGGCGGCATAAGCAGCACCAATCTCGCCAGAGCTGTGGCCCACAACTGAAGAAGGCTTGACGCCCCAAGACCGAAGAAGATCTGTCAGAGCAATCTGGAGCGCCGTACAGGCGGGCTGACTGAGATGCGGTGAATTGATCTCTGAGTGGGTGGAATCTCTCTCGAGCACTTCAATGAGTGAAAAGTCCGCTCCAAGGTGTCGCAAGAACTTATCAGCCCGCTCCATCGCTTCAGCGAAAACGGCGTATTCCTTCATCAGAGGCATACCCATCTGGGCCCATTGGGCGCCCTGTCCAGTAAAGACAAACGAAATTGTTGGCATTCCCAGCACTCGAGTTGGGTTGGCTTTCAACTGGGCCAGGCGGATACCAAGCTCGTCCAGTGATGTGGCGGAGAGAGCAACTCGGTATGCGAGATGAGATAACTTGCTGCCCAGAGTATGGGCGAAATTGCCGAATAGTGATCTTTCAAACACCTCTGGGCGCTGCTCAAAGTAGACCCCGAAGTCTCTGATTCGTGCCTTCAGCGACTCCTTGTCGTTGGCCGAGATCAAAAACAACTTGTGCGCAGGCTCGAGATCATCATCCGGGTCCTCCTGTGCCTCGGGCGGGGGCGGGGGCTTTTCGAGAACCGCATGAGCGTTGGTTCCTCCAAAGCCGTAGTTTGAAACACTGATGTATTTCTTGCCGCGAGGCCAGGGTCGAGTTGACGTGACGACCTTCATATTCCACTCGCTCATCGGGATATTTGGGTTGGGCTTTCTAAAGTCGGCATTTGGCAGCAACAACCCTCTATCCAGCATCATGGCCGCTTTGATAAGTGAGACCATGCCACTGGCACCTTCGAGATGACCGACATTGGACTTGGCCGACCCAATGTAGAGTGGATTCCTCGCATTGCGGTTCTGACCAAGAGCGCGATGGACGGCCTTTGCCTCAATAGGATCCCCCGCCTTGGTTCCTGTGCCGTGCATTTCTGCAAAGCCACACTCATTTGGATTCAAGTGGCCATCCCGGTATACCTGACGGATGAGATCCTCTTGGGCCTTCCCATTGGGCATGGTGATACCCTTGGTCCGTCCATCTTGGTTGACACCGGTATTAGCAATTATGGCCCGAATGGGATCTTTATCACGCAGGGCAGCGTCAAGTGGCTTGAGAAGCACCACGCCCGCACCCTCGCCACGTGCAAAGCCAGATTTAGCACGTTCGTCAAACGAGTACGTTTTTCCGTCATCATTGAACAACCTGGAATTAAGGTTAAAAAGCGGCCCGAAGTGATCTCGACGGAACGGGAACTTACTGTGACATGGACATGGAAACGAAATAATCAGGAAGGAGATTCAATCTGCATCCAGCGACCAGCGCCTCTTCAGACTCGCCACTGCGAAGACTTTGAACCGCATAGTGCAATGCGACCAGGGATGAGGAGCAGGCCGTGTCGATGGTGATGCTTGGTCCTTGCAGATCAAAGAAGTAGGAAATTCGGTTGGATTGAATAGAAGAAGCGTTACCCGTGGCCTGGAAGGGAGGACATGTTTCGATATCTCGTAGGTTGCGAAGCTCATAGTCGGCAAAGTTGCCACCGACAAAGACACCAACCTTGCGTCCTGCGAGAGATTCTTTGGGAATTCCAGCACTCTCCAAAGCCTCGTAGGAGCACTCCAAAAGAAGCCGCTGTTGTGGATCCATGGCCACGGCCTCTTGGACGGTAACATTGAAGAATGGTGCATCAAATTGAGACAGGGTCTCATCGTCTAGAAAGTAACCTCCTGCCGGGTTAAAGGTTCCCGGCTTGGAAGGATCGGGATGATGATAGGCCCCTGGAGAGAACCGGGACTCAGGGATGGGCTTCCAACCACTCCGACCCCGAGTACATAATTCCCATAAGTCGCCGGGTGATGAGACTTGACCAGCCAGTCGGCAAGCATAACCAATAAGTGCAATTGGTTGTGTCTGGGCGTCCCTCAATGTCCCGTTGGGGTTATCGGAGCTCTTACTAGAGGACATGATAAGATAGAAAAAGAGTATGAAGGCGATCAACATATTCTAGGTGCTGGTCATTGCCATTTAAATAGATATCCCACATGTGCATGAAACGTATCAATGGAGGATCAACTGTTAAGTTGCCTAGATAGGGAATTCATTAGGAATTTCGGGTCTTGCAATTCATGTCTTTCTTCTTTTGTTGCCCTTTTTTAGCGTTATGTATTTTAATAAACTCTATGTCACTCCGAGAAGGATAAGGCAATGGATGCTTCACATTGGATGGATAGATGGACGTAACTTTGAGGTTTCCCATTTGTACCACTTAATTGGGACACAAATTCAGGGACAAGATTAAGGGTTCCATGCAACCCACATGAGCTTCAATCTTTGTTTCGAATCACATGTGGCTAATTTTTCGGAGGGAAGAATGGTCTGATTAACGAGGTTGAATATTCTTGACTACATTCTCTAAAAATGAATTACCCCAAAAAAAGTCAAAAGGGAAGACAATTCCTGTCTTGGGCTGCTATCTTCTGTCCCCTCCCTTCGTCTACTTAGTTCTCATCCTTGTCCTCTGGAGGATAAGGCGTTGTACAACCTACGCTTGGCAAGTTTCATCACCCTTGGTCTAGACACATCTAGGATGAAGTTCCTTTGCCTTCATGGTGCCATTGGCAACGTTGACGTAGGTTAACTTGGAACCATGGAATGGATACAATTGCTAATGCCAATCAATCGCAGAACATTGCTATCCAGCTAGGCACGTTCCACACTAAAGTCCGACTATCCCCACTAACCGGGTAATCAGCTCCGCTGCAGAAGAATTTGGAAGCAGACGATTCGGCCACATTCCATTATATCAATGCCCCCGTGAAAATCACTCCTCCGGAAGGTAAGATCATCCGGAAAGAAGAAAACATGAAACGTGAGAAATCAAAAAAGTCGAACAGGTCTGATGTTTATATCTAGGCTTTGAAAAATACTTCGGCGTAGGTCCTCATTTCCGCTGGGCCGACGATGGAGGTGCGGCCGAGGACTCAATGATCAGTCGTGTACGCAAGATCCCTGACGGTCAAAACCCTGAAGATGTGATGCGTGATCTAATCGGAGAGCGCAATGTGATCTGGCTCAACTACAAGGAGGTGATGGCTTATCTCTATGATACAATGGAGAAGGACCCTGAGATTCAAGGCATCATTGGATATAGTGAAGGGTCCTCGATCGCAGCCACTTTGATTCTCGATGAAGAGAAACGTGCGAGGACAAATGGTCGTCAGCGGCAAATCAAATGTGTCATGTTCTTCACTGGTTGGCCCCCAATGCATCCGGTACATGGAGTTCTTCTCGCAGGTGAGAGTGATGTAATGATTGATATTCCGAGTCTCCATGTTATTGGTGCCAACGGTATATTTCCTCCACCATTACTTGGTGGTTTTTCTCTGCTAATGATGTATAGATCCCTTCCGACACGGCGCTTACGCGCTATACAATGTTTGTGATCCTGATACTGCGCAATTCTTCGACACGGGCAAAGGGCATACAATTCCTCGATCCGGCCTCGTCATTCATGAGCTCGGAGATGCTGTTCGGGGTCTTATCAAGAAGGCATCTAGTACAGAGAAATATTAGGGTCTAGATTTTGGTCATAGCAACCTAACGATATTAGTCAAACTTTCTTCCGAGAGCTAATTCTGTACCATGAGACCCGGTGTAACATTTCCATGGGATTTCATGCTCGATTCGCAATCAATTTGCACTATATTCGCGCTGATTGTACCCAGTTTTCTGTTGTTATACTACTTCACATGTTCCCTCTTTTCTGCTTTTCCGTACAGAGAAGTGATCATACAAGCCTTGACTGAGCAGGATGGAGTGGACGGGCTGGATAAGCCAAAACTCCTCATCAAAAAATGAGAGCAACTCGCTCCAATCAACTCCAATAATCCAAGATTTACTTAATAACCCCTGTCACACCAGCTGAATACCCTCCTTAAATAAGATTGGTGGTATCTTTAACTCCGATCTCATCTCCTTGACAGCAATCCTGTAGAACTATGAAACCTGTGGATGTGACCCCGAGTCCCCCATATAATGGGCCAATTCTCAGTGGCGAGCAAAAGAGCCCAGAAAAGTAGAAACTCCGATCGGCCCATCCTAGCTACCACCCTGATTGCGAATCAACAGCCAATCGTGCTGCACGTCATGTTTTTCCAACTTGCCCTGCTATTAACCTACATCACCTTTCCCTCTCATGCGCAGATCACCGCACCCGAATTCTGCGCGACGGGAGTCCATGCAATTCTCATTCGGGGTCAAGGGAGTGGGGATCACCTGAACGTCATGGTCACCATGCAGAACCTCATTTTACAGCTGATCCCAAATTCCACTAGTGTGGCACTCCCGTATGATCACGGTGGGGATGATCATAGAGTTGTGGCCGTCGATGGTGCTCTCCTGATGCAGTCGTATATCCGAGACTATGTCGCCTCCTGCCCTCAATCGAAGATCTTTCTCATGGGGTACTCCCTGGTATGTCTGTTACGTGCTCAGGAAATCCTTCTCAGGTATCAGTAGTAATCTTTATTAGGGTGGGATAATCGTGATGGATGGCCTTTGCGGGACTAGTTCCCTATGGCTCAATCACGTCGATGCGATTGAACCGCAGTATAACCGAAATGGTACGCATTTAACCCTGGTTCAAAGACGACCTCTAAGTCTCGAATTCAGTGATTGCGGCTGCCTCCTATGGGGAGGAGACATTCATTCCTGGAATGCCCTGGAATGCCGGGACTTGCAAGGATGGATTGGGAGTGAGTAAACCCCCCATGTCTACCAGAGATTGTAACCAGGCTGAAACGTGCATTCAATGCCAACCTATAGACATACCCACGAATTCATCCCGAGTGGTGTGATCCATATGCTGCATCCATTCGAGACTACTGTGACTCGGGCGACGATGCCTGCTGCATGAAGTTCCCACCATTTGATGACGGGGCTCACTTTACGTATATTTTCAAATACAATATCGATCTCTTGCACTTTGTCGAGCGCCGATTGGTAGAGACGCATATGCCTTGACCTCTCTGACCCATAATCCCCAACCAAAATCGACAGCACGATCGGCTTTACATGCTTTATCTTTGGGTCATCATGATTAGGATTGTCTTGGTCGGATTCAAGTGGAGCAAAAGTGGAGCGAAAGTGGAGCGAAAGCCAATAGAAGAAAGTTTAAATGCGGGACCTAAGGACCACATTTATGTTATTCTCATTTGCGTAGCTTTCTTCGCATTTATAGTGTATAAGGATCATTGGATCCCGCATATTACTTCCATAAATACTTCCAGTCTTGTTTGTAGTAGTGGAAATAATAGATAAGTGAAATGAGTGCAGAGGTCTTGAATAAATCTTAGACCATATATATGTAACAGCCCTGATACCTCAACATGCAATCTTTGTGCAGTAGTCAAGCAAACTAAATGGACTTTTAACGGTTTTGGATAGCTCAAAAATGGGCCGGGCAAAAATCCCGGTCTGGAACCCCTAAAAGTCGAGCCTCAGTCTTCAAGCACCCATTTTTGAGATTTAAGCTCAACACTTCGGCGCACATGCCTTATTTTGAATGCTTTTGATACTTTTTAATTTCAGCTCTTGAATAAAAAATAGAGTCTCCGAGTCTACCTGAACGAGATTGATGATGGAGTACTGATCATTAAATTGAAGTATGATGGTTGACTTACTGGCTCGGTCGAGGCTGGCTGAAATTTGAGACTCCTTCCAAGGTTTGAAATAGACTGATTGCACTACTGTATGGAATTAGCAGTCCCTCAAATCAATTTATGGAGGAGTGCATTTTGATTGGAACTGTTGTTTGTCAGGAGGTCTGTCTTTGTTAATCGTAAAAACCGATTTAGGAGGCATATTTTATGCTGGGGCCGGGATTTAGCACTAAGAGACTAATTAGGAGACCGAGTGGGAGACTCGGTAATTTACTACCACGGAGTACGCTCCTGTGGCATCTCGTCGTGAGCAACGTCCCCGATCAATCCAGCAAGATCACCCTCAGCTTCCAATGGTGCAAAGTAATGCGAAACTGAACTATAGAGATGACGACCAAACAGATGGGGTATCTACTCACAGTGAGGACTTTCATACGCATAAGTTGGCCGTGTATGAATCTTCGAGGTAGCTGCCTCGAGCTGACAACCTAGCACTTCGCAAATCATGGCTGGCGTCAGTTGGGAAGAAAATTGATAACGCGAGGAACACGGAGCGCGTTGAAGCCGGCAAGTTGTTTAATCTCGCAATCACGAGAGCCACCTGCATTGGGGGCCGCGATCCAATGCGAGAATTGAAAAATAGGACGCGTGGCATGCTTCTTCATGATCACCTCAAGTTCAGGACGTAACTGATTGCGTCCATCGAAGAACATCACGTCCCCAACAGTTATTATGTTGCCGAAGTCGACTTCTGCATCGGTTGGCAGGGTCATTCAGCCGATAATGATGTGCGGTTGGTCGGCTTTAGGACGATCCGTACTGTAAAGATACGGCATTTGACCGCGGTAGGTATCTCCCAACAGAACGTAATCTCCGATGGATGCTGGCGACAGCAATCCAAACGCCTTGATATCCACAGCCGCGCCACATAGAATCCTGCCCTTCTTGATATGAAAATTCTCGTCAATGAAGTTAAGGTACTGTTTTACCCACTGTCGCCCGCTCATCAATCAGCGCGTGACAAACAGGGTGGGATCGTCGATGAAACCGTTGGAAGTCCAATATACAGACGTGCCGTAGTCTGTCTTGACAGCCCGTCCAAGCCGATTGGTCCAGGAAATGCCATTATAAGCAAAGATAAAAAGTAATTCAAAGACTTCATGATTGGTAAAATCTCATATACATAGGGTCCAAAAACATGCTACAAACATACTGTATCAAAAGACTTGGCATGTTTGCTATGTTTGCGACCCAATTAGGGCCCCGAGGGTTAGGTTAGGCTGGGTCCAGGAAAACTTGGGTCCTGCCGAAGCCTAAATAATAGTAGGTGAGCAAAGTAGAAGGGATGGATTTCGTCTGATGTTGTTACCTATAGGGAGTTGAGGAAGTTAAGACAAAGCGGACATTTGCTAAGATATAGATGATCATCAAGCTGCATCTTAAGTAGTTATTAAGCTTTATATGAATGATTGATGTTCCAATTCACGTGGTCATCGGCCGCAAAAGTACTTAAGCTAACACAAAAAACCGGGCAGTTCCCCCGCAAAACCCCTTTTGACGGAATCTGTCTTCCTTCTAAACTATGATTATTCCAAACGCTTGGACAGAGTTTTTTAAGTTATCCATCTGAAAGCGACTCGTCTTCTTGAGAATGAGCGGCTTTGGCTTCAGCATTGGAGACTTCATCGCACTCCTAGACCTGGCGAACCGAATACGGAAACGTTTTGTGAACGCCCCTACTCAGTTTCAGGGAATTTTAGATGAGTGAGCTCCTGGGTTAATCCGGACCCATGAAATTGGATGAAAGCTTATTTTTTCACAGCGTGAAGGTATTATCGAATGTTCTACGCGACATTGACGATTATGAGCCAGATGAAAGCTTAGATGAACAACGTAAAAGGGATTTGAACATTGTCTCAGAAAGTTGTCAAAGTGTATTGAATGATCTTGATCGGAAGCTTGACAGATACCAGGAGCTCGGCGCGAGTTTCAAATCCATTCACATGAAAAGGATTCCTCGTTGGGCTTGGGAGCGAATCCACTGGGACCAGGCAGAAATACAAGTTTTCAGAAACCAGATATCACAAAATATCGACGCTCTGAATTTACTGCTCACTGGGATCAACAGGTGTGTCTTCTAGGTGAATTCCATTGTTCCCTCAAAGGAGCTCTGCTAATCAATTGCAGCCATGTTGCCCTTCAAACAAAGAATTTGGTCAAGTCCACAAAAGAGGAGATCGACCGTCTTGTCCGATATCAAGACCAGGAAAAAATACAGAGGATCCTTGAGTGGCTCTCTCCAATAAATGCCGCCACCAAGCAAGCAGATATTTTCAGTGGCCGTCAAGAAGGAACCGGTCAATGGTTTATTCAAACAAATAGCTTCCGACAATGGGTTCACTCTACCACGCTATACCAACGCACTCTCTTTTGCCCGGGTATTCCTGGAGCAGGTAAGACTTTTCTGGCGTCGACGGTGGTGAACGAACTCCAGCACTCCTTTCAGCACGACAGCAGTGTTGGTTTGGCGTTCTTCTACTGCGAATTTCGGGAACGTGTTACACTTGAAAGCATCCTGAGTTGTATCTTGGGACAGCTAGCTCGGAAACTGCCAGTATTTCCTGAGCCTCTTGAAGACCTCTATGATGATCATCTGGAAACGAGAACACGCCCATCCGCCAGTAGCCTTCTCGAGGCCCTTGATATTACCATATCAAGATTCATCAAAGTGTTCATTGTGATTGACGCGTTGGACGAATGTATACTGCCTGGTGGAACACGTGCCACTCTTCTCGATAACATTTTCGCTCTCCAGACAAGATACAACCTGGGATTCCTGGCCACCTCAAGAGATCATCCGGAGATTACGGTCAGATTTGACGGTAAACCTTGCTTGAGGATCCGTGCGAACGAGGATGACATTGAGAGATTCCTTCGAGGCCAGTTAGACCAAGTGGACGTCCTTCCGGGTTTCGTTCAACGGAAACCAGAATTGCAGAAAGAGATTGTCACCAAAATTACCAAGGCTGTGGATGGAATGTTAGTAACGTCGTGAATACATCGACTCCACGGCTGATATTTTATTAGGTTTCTTCTTGCTCGACTACACTTTGATTCACTGAAAGGAAAATTGTCATCAACGAAAATTAGGAACAAGCTGAAGACCCTTTCTAGCGGGCTAGACGCTGCTTATGGAGATGCCATAAAGCGCATAGAGAGCCAGCTTCCGGAACAAAGCCAGACTGCGAAGGAGGTTCTTGCCTGGATTGTTTGCGCGACACGACCTTTAACCCCCCTGGAGCTGCAACATGCACTCGCAGTTGACATAGGCGAGCCTTGCCTTGATGAGGAAAATATTCCCGAAATCAATGACCTCATTTCGATCTGCGCTGGACTAGTCACGATTGATGAGCAAAGTAATGCCATCAGATTGGCTCATTACACAACCCAAGAGTACCTCGAGCAAAATTGGACTAGTCTTTTTCCTGATGCTCATTCTTTGCTTGGCAATTCCTGCATAACATATCTGAATTTTGATGCGTTTCAAAGCGGATTTGCACCTCCTGGTCAGGAATTTGATACACGCCTCGAAGAGTATCCTCTCTATTCCTACTCGGCATTGAATTGGGACATTCATATCAAAGCCCAGGATAACCATTTAGACCTCATTTTGGAATTTCTGAAGGACGATGGAAAGGTGACTGCCTGTGCCCGAATACTTCTCAATCAAAGAGAGCCCGAGGTTGCCAGTCAACGTATGGTACAGGAGATAAAGGGCCTACATCTATCAGTTTATCTTGAGCTTTATGAGGCCGCGAAAGTTCTTCTGGCGGAAGGCTGGCAGGTCGACATTTGCGATGGCATCCAGCGAACCCCATTGTCGTGGATGGCAGAAATCGGCTCCCACAGAGCAGTTGATTTCTTGTTGACCGAAGGAGCCAATCCAAACAGCGTGGATATTCACGGCCAGACCGCTCTATTTTATGCAGTGCTGCAGGGACATGAGGAGGTGTTTCAAATACTCAAAGCAAGAGGGGCCCATATGGAGTCCACAGATAAAGAAGGGCGAACTCCGCTGTTTTACGCAATTTGGGGTGGCCATGAGACCATGGTGAAACTCCTTCTGGATGAGGCTATCGATGCAAATTGCGAAGACAATGGCAAACAAACTCCCCTTTTTCATGCAATACAACACACCTTTGAAGGGCGGTTTGAGACAAATAAGAGAGTCAAAATCGTGGAGTTGCTATTATCAAAAGATGTCGATCTCTCTCGCAGGGACAAAAGCGGCCAAGTTCCCCTATCATACGCAGTGCAAGGCGGAAACATGGTTCTGGTAAAACTACTCCTTGAAGCAGGTGCCGATATAGAATTTCAGAATGATAGAGGCGAGACTGCACTGGCAAATGCAGTGACACGTTGTCATGAGGACGTCGTCAAGCTTTTGTTGGAATGGCATGCTAACCCAAGATGCAAAGACTATGACGGTCAGACTCCACTGATAGCCGCAGCAAGACGTGGAATTGAGTCTATGGTGCGCATTCTCCTAGAGGGTGGTGCTGACCCCAATGGTAAGGATGAGCTTTTCGGAAAGTCTGCGCTTTCATATGCAGCTTGGTGCGGGCACCTGTCCATTGTGAATATTCTGCTTGAAAGTCACGCTTATCCAAAGTGCAAGGATAAACAGGGTCGCACCCCATTGTCTTGGGCAGCAGAGTACGGGCATTTGCCAGTAGTCGCGAGCCTGCTTGAACAAGGAATTGACACGATCTTTGAGGAGGATATGTGCCGTAAAACCCCATTGGAATATGCAATATCGAATGGTCATCATGCAGTGGCTGATCTCCTGTCAAGCATGGGGTGTGTTGCTAAAGATCCCAAGTGCAAAGCCATTGAGAGGGGTTGTGGGAGTCAGAGGATGATTAAAAGCTTCGCGATAGAGGATTAAGATTGGCCACTGAAAGCTTATAGGGAGATCATTCCGAGAATACCATCACGATGTGAGACCGTAAGGGCCCAAGGTCATGATTCGTGTAGACCTATCATAAAGATGTGCCTATAAGGTGACCATTAACTAGACCTCGAAGTAACCCGCGGGCGGCCCTCAGAGGGTTACCTGCGGGGCGGACCCGCCTCATGCGGGTTGAGGGCTGGTCTAGCCCGCTCGCGGGTCCTAAAGATCTATATTTACATAAATTATACGCTTTTCAGCTATAATATTAGGAAGAACTTCCTAAATTTAAAGCGAAATCATAGTGGAACAGAATGCAGTCTGGTACTGAATATTTGCAGTCTGCTATGGCCCACTTTTTTGGTATGACTTTTGCAGTCTAGTAGACTGCAGTCACTCCCATAGGATAGTAAGAAAACTATAAAGTAACTAAGTTAGTATTCATTTTTCGCTGTTTCAAATTTTATGGCTTTATTCCTTATAGATAGGGTAGAGGAGTAAATTCCCAGATTTTCAGGGCGATCGGTAAAGTATTTGACATATTAGGCAAAAGAAGAGCTAGGCTTTTTTGATTTATCCAGCGTCCTTCCTCTAGTGTATCGAGAAAAGATGACTAGTCACTCCAAGTTTCCCAAGCAGAGAAGGCAGAGACGCGTTTAAGGGAGTGTCCAGGACTAGGATATTGCGGAGACGTCCTGATCAGCCAAGACCTCCAACGGCTGTGACTGAAACTTGCCATCAGGTGATAGTATAGGAGAGATGTTTGTTGATTACACAGGTCAATATATCATAGAAGCTGGCATATTGCAATGAAACATCTGTTGCCCAAGTTCTCCAATAGCTCACAGTGAACTAAAATTGGTGCGTGGAAGAAAGTATGAAGCTGGAGGAGGAAAAGTGATAAAGATGAATATCAGATATAATCTTGCCTATGTATAGCACATTCTTCTATTTATCTATGTATATGAGCTAATCGTCAAGCGAATCTAACATCTGTAAACACTCCGGTGTTAACATTGAAGGAAAAAGAAACCGAATTCTTGAAATACAAGAAGATATCATGACTATGTAATATATATAGAGAATTGCTAACCAATTTTTTAGTTCCTACTTACTATATCTCCAAGTCAGCTACATTAGTATCATTGTCTGTCAATCACTTAAAAGCTTTGGCTCTTCAATCCTCTTATTTACATACCTGCGCACTTTGTAGCAAAGAGCGAAGACACCTGGACAGGTAGTGAAGCAGATGCATTAGATCTTGGGAAAGCTCGAACATTTACATTAGGTTTATTCAAAGTGATGCGTTTATCATAGCATACTAGCTAGATATGGTATTGAATCGGTGATGGAGTAGCCACTCTCAATCATGGATGAAGTTATAGAAAGGTAGTAGTGGCAACTAATCCCGTTCCGGTCCGCGACATTTGAACTCATTTTTTCTTCTCTCTCCCTTCAACAACCAACTCAATGTCGCTATTCTCTACCACTCGTACAATCACTGGGGTCTTCTCGAAGCCCCAATTCCTTTCCATCGCACGATCGTCGGGTCCCCACCGCCTGTACTCAACGAGGCCGCCGACCCCCAACAACAACGCCCCCCAAAACAGCCGCTCCAATTTCAAGGTCCTACCCATCATCGCACTCCTCGCCATCAGCTCTGGATCTTACGTTCTCCTCGTGAAGTCTCGCACAGGCCAAAACCCCGTCTCCAGATAGAAAAAAAAAAATAAAGAAATCCAACCCCTGAGAACTGGGCCACACCCCCTGAAACCAGCCACGGCCAGAATCTCCAAGTCCCGACTTACCTTACCCAATCCGGATCGTCCCTTAACCCCTCCATCATCTGCACCTCGAAAACCTAAATAAACCCGACACTCCTCAATTCACCACACAACCACTCTCTCAAACTCACAAAACCCTTCCTTTCGCAATGGCTACTACACCTCGCTTCTCGCCGGAAGATGTCACCGTCGTCTTCTTCCTCGGCGGCCCTGGCAGCGGCAAAGGCACCCAGTCCGCAAACCTGGTTAAAGACTACGATTTCGTCCACCTTTCCGCCGGCGATCTCCTCCGTGCCGAACAAGTCCGCGAAGGAAGCCAGTATGGCGATATGATCAAGACCTACATTCGCGAAGGCAAGATCGTGCCTATGGAAGTTACTGTTGCTTTGCTGTCCAATGCCATGGCCGAGTCCCTGAAGACCACCCCCCCGCAAGCTGGTACCAAGGCGCGGTTCTTGATTGATGGATTCCCGCGGAAGCTGGATCAGGCTGTCTTCTTTGAGGCTACTGTTTGCCCGTCGGAGTTGGTGCTGTTCCTTGATTGTCCTGAGGCTGTTATGGAGGAGAGATTGCTGGAGCGTGGAAAGACTAGTGGACGGGATGATGATAATGCGGAGTCTATTCGCAAGCGGTTCCGCACGTTTGTGGAGACTTCCATGCCTGTTGTTGATGATTTCGAGAAGAAGGGCAAGGTTGTTAAGGTTTCGGCTACTGGGTCTGTGAAGGAGGTTTATGAGCTTGTGAAGACTGGTATTGAAGCTTGGGGTGTGCACCGTCGTTGAGATAGGTGACTTTGTATATAATGGCATTGCTGGAGGTGACTTGTTTGCGGTGGTCGGATTTGCTGGCCTGTTTCGTTTCTGTCTAGCCTGGATATTAGATCAATAGACCAATCCTTTCATACTCCTGTTCTACTAGTCTAGGACGTATTTTGGAAATGTTTGTATTCTTGATAAGAAGTTGTCCCTCCAGAAAACATAAAAAAAAAGACATGACATGACTCGTGGGGATCCCAAATCAGCGGGGCCAGTAGATCCATTCCTACAAACTGGCCAGGACAAAAGAGATATAAATGCATAAAAGAAAAAGAAAAAGGATGGCTCCCCTCTATTAACGGAAAGGAAGAAATTTTTTGTGTTCTGTGAGTTCCACTCCACATAAAACACCGGAATCCATGCACTCCCAAGCAACCCAGCAATCAATCAAGACTTTACTCGGCAGTCGCCTCAACCTCGCGGGGCTGAGAAGACTGCACAGGCTGCTCAGACTGCGCGGGCTGGATGCGCCGCCGGTCACCGAAGCGGGCCTTGTCACCGTTCTTGGCCTCCTGGTCCGCAGCGGCCTGGATGCCCTCACGGACAAAGCGCTCACGCTCGGAGCGGATGACGCTCAGGACACCCTCCAGGGAGCGGCGCCAGACCATCAAACGACCCTGAACCTCGGACCACTGCTTCTCGCCAAAGACGCGGTAGGTGGCACGGTGAACAAGGAACTCCTGGCGAAGCTGGGAAAGCTTGCCCTCAACGAGACCAGCACGGATGGTGTCAATAACCCACATCTCAACCTCGGCGGCGGAGACACGCAGAGCAGAGGCAATGGTGGCGTAGGGGAGCGAGCGAGAGGGGGTGGAGGAGGCAAGCGAAGTCAGGGTGAGCAGGCGCATCTTGGTCTGCAGGGCATCGGCGGCCTCGGCAAGAACACCACCGGAGATGGAAGCGAGCGGGTTGGCGGCAATGAAGTCCTCGTAGGCATCGAGGGTGTCGGAGGTGAAGATCTCCAGCAGCTCGAACAGGGTGCTGTCGCTGGAACGGAGACCCTGGACGGCGTCAGAGGCAGTCAGGGGAGTGAAGTCAAAAACAGCGGGGCGACGCAGAGCCATGGCGAGAGCGCGAACAGCCAGGTCGCGAGCCGCGGGCTTGCTGGCGTCGGCTGCGGGGATGGTCTCGAGAGCCTGCACAACGTGCGACTGAGCGAGGTCCTCGTCACCGGCGGCGGTGGCAGCATCAGCAATAGCCAAGTGCAGCTTCTGGGCCTCCTCTCCGTCCAGTTCCCACGAAGCCAGCCATGTGGGCAGCTGGCTGGCCAGCTGAGGCTTCAGGGCCTCGAAAGCGTATCCGGATCCAGACTGGCGAATGACGGCCACGATAGCCAAGAGAACGTGGTACCGGCTGGAGTCGTTACCGGACAGAGTGTTGAAGATGGTGGTGAGGATAGAAATGGCCAGTGTCGGGCCGAATTGAGGGGAGGTGGTGATGGGCTTAGCGAGATAGGCGCAGATGCGAGAAAGGAACATATCCGGGTCGGAGGCCAGGTGAACGAGGTGCACAAGCAGGTTGTAGGAGGGAATAATCTCTGCCATTTCAATCTCATGTCAGTGTCTTCCATCGTCAAGGGAGAAAAAAAGTTGCAGCATTGGTTCGTCGTGTATCATTTTTCTTTGATCGGTCGCAACTTTGTATCCTCGCACTTCGCCCACTCACCTTTCTCAGGGGCACCGTTCAGTGCAGCGGCGGCAGCCACAATCTTCTTCAGGACCTCATCGCGCTGCTTCAGGTCGGGCTCGCTCTCGGACTGTTCCTGCTCGCGGATCGGCTGGAGGAGCGGGGCGATCTCGGACTGGAGGGTGTCCTCTTTGCGGAGAGCGTCGACATACTGGGCGAACTCCTCGGCGAGCTCGGAGAAAGAACCCTCAATGAGGAGGGTGTTAGTCGGAGCGGGCATAATGGGTTGTGGGTGGGAGAGAGGGAAAGAGGGAGGTTCTTTGATGGTGGAGTCTATCGATAAGTTGAGAAATTTCAGTGTGTGCCAAAAAGTCTTGGCGAAGGGAACACTGATTTGTCCGTACAACCAACGTCAACCAACTTTCATACTACAGAGTGTACTGATTTTACGCTACCACCAGAGATCAGGGAAATGATATTTTCATTAATCGAATATCATGAAACAAAATTAGTTGAGTGTAGGCCACTTGTTATTAAAGCACAGTGCGCCAATGCAGACAGCTGATGCGTCGCCGCTCGCAACGAGAGACGAACACCACCTCCATAGACAAGGGGATAACATCAATGCAAGGAAACACCAATACAACGGGGAATCGGATAATTTTTAACGAGCAGAAAGCAAAAGTCGACCTCGCGCTAAGATAATGGGATGCAAACAAAAGAAAACGCGATCCAACTCGGCAACATTCAATCATATGTGTGATCACATCACCATGCGCATGGCAAGGAACATGAGACCAGCCATCAAACCAGTCGAGTAAGTCTCGAGGAGACCTCCCACAGGAACAGCAGCGTTGGTAGCTGAGGTACTCGCGGCTGCCACTGACGTGGTGACGGCCTTGTCAGAGGTGTCGGAGGTGTCAGTGGCCGTGGCCAGAGACATCAGAGTGGTACTGGTTGCGATCCTAGAAGAAGATGTGGAGTGGGTGGCAGTGGCATTTTTGGTTCCACACTTGGCAGCCTTCTTGCAGGCCTCCTGGCCGAAGGAGTCATTAGGGTGGGCATCAACACACTGGCCGTAGTTGGCTTCGCAGACATAGAAGGGGACAGTCTGAAGGTAAGGTGTGGAGTCGGCAATCTTGCCGTCAGCGCAGATGCAGCTGAAAGTCAGGGTGGCCTATGCAAAAAATGTCAGGTCAGAATGCTGGTATCATTCATGTTGCCCGTCTGAGGGTGTCATACCGGATCGCAGGTGTTTTGCTTGGTGTCTCCCTTGCAAATTGCCGGGCACTGGTTGCGTTGACCAATGCACCATGAGTCTGTTACGGATCCGTCAGCTATGGTCGCGTCAAACCTCCAAACCTCCTCTGAGAAAAAAACATACTCAGCTCATCGGGCTTGACGAGACCAATGTTGAAACCTTCAGGGAAGCTATAGGTGGAAGACGAGTTCTGGCCCAAAGCTGTAACAGCAAGGGTGGACAGGACGACGATGGAGGAAAGCATGATGAAAGAGATGTGGAAGTGGTAAATTGATACACTAAAACAATGTAGCAAGGCAGAGAGTTATGGATGGAGGATGAAGGATGTGAAAGGTAGGAACGGAGGATAAGTATTAAATAATGGGTTTGGTTCAAATACCATAACTGCCAGGGTAACTGCGAACAGTCAAATAACTTTCTTCTTTTCCTTGTTTCTCCTCGTTTCTGCTGTTTCCGTTGTTTCTTGTTTGTACAAGTTTCACTTCATGTTGACTTCCCCTTACAACTGTACCAATTGTCAATAAACAGAAAAAAAGTAAATCAACAGCTTTGTAAAGATATCTATTCGCCACTCTATCCTTACTCTGAGTATGGTACAGATGGGACTTTCATACATGATCTCGTGCGGGAATTATTGATTCCAACATTGGTTCCTGCATTCCAATCCGAATTCTTCATCGCAATCACCCAGCCTCCTTGCAGCTGTCACGCGGCGACTCACGCCGATTGCATACGATTGCATACCCAAGTAAGACTCCAAGAAGTCGGGCCAACAAACCCATTAGATTTGAGACACATGGGATAAGTTGATCAATTTATCCCTGGCCTCTGAATGGCCTATTTTCCATGGCAAACCCGCCCAACGTCGATCTCTTATAGATTTCACCGCGAATGGCCGTTTACCCGGTACCGAGGCTCACCGAGCTCCGGGGTAAGAAGGGTGATTAAAGTTGTCCAACAATATCTCTCCTTACAGAAACTCATCTCCTGTGCATAGCCTGCTAATCTTGTGAAACCAAATTAAGAAAAAATAATGGTCGACACGGCTGCTGAGATCGCCCACTTCCGCGCCCATCAGTGGGCCAACTCTCTTATCTCTTCCGAGGACTACATCCCAATTGAGACGGACTCGAGGCGCATCAAACCCTCCACTGGAGAAGATGGCTACTTCTCCAGCACCCTAGGCACTTCATCTACCATCCCACACGTTCTTACCCTTGAACGGCGCAATATCTCACCCCCGCCCTCCGAGGTCCCGACATGGCTCCCCACAAGCAAGCAGGATACCGGCGCGAAACCCACTCCGGCCGTAAACCCGGCCGATGTGCTGATGATTTTTGATCTGGGGAGTCCGGGCTTGTCGGGCCATCCGTCTACTGTGCATGGTGGTATTACGGCGACGCTGATTGATGAGGCCATGTCTCTTGCGGTTGCGGCGCATACCAAGAATCCATCATCCCAACCGGATTCCACTGAAAATAACCCTCGTGGAAGGATCTTCACTGTCCAGCTGGATGTGAGATATCGACAGAAAGTGAAAACTCCGGCTTTACTCGTTGTTCGCGCCAAGGTTGTCGGGCGCGTTGGTCGGAAGTTCTGGGTGCGGGCGCAGGCTGTGCAGGAAGATGAGGAGGGCGCTGGCGGTCATTTAGAATGGGCGAAACGGAAGGTTGTGAAGGCTGAGGCCATGGCTTTCTGGATGACTATCCCAGAGCCACGGCTGTGAAAGAAAGATTATATATACATATAGACCAGGTGATGGGACGTGTGTACATATCTGCATTCCCACAATGTTGGCTTGTAAATATTCCAACGTTGATTTCTCCATCCTCCCGAGGTCTTATTAGAAATAACGCATACATGTATTGAAATCCTGCTATCCCGGTACAATTTGTCTGATGCTCTATTGGAATCGCGTCTCATCTGCAAATCTATACCTAAAACCAAACATCTACAACTTCTCCATCTTTCGGCTGCCCAAATTCCGACTCGCACTAACCACCAAACCAACCTGCGTCCCCAATGCAACAACCTCCCCATCCTGATCCAAAACAGTAACATCCAAATCCGTCCTCCCATCCCTAACAACCTTCGTCACAATCCGACTATAAAGCCATTCCACCCCACCAGCAGGCAAATGCTTCTTCATATCAATATTCAGCGTAACAGTCGGATACCAAAAGTTAGCCTTCATCTCAGCAACGCTCTTCCCATTCTCCTTCGCAATCGCCTTCGCAGAAACACTATCAAACCCATCCAACGCCATGGGAAACATATCAAGCAAATAAACAACCGCTGCGTCAGTCCATCTCCCATCCTGATCTCCACACGGTCTGAACCGCGCCCACTGGTCAATAGCCATCACCCCGCTTCGCTTCTGCTGCGTTTCGCCCTTCCTAGGCCCATATAGTTCTACTTGGGTAGCCGCGCGCCGGAACTCGGGGTACGGAGGTTCGGTCTTCACCCATGCGCCATCCTTGCCTCTTGCGAGGGCGGCGAAATCCACTTGCCCGTCGGGGAGCGAGCCAGGGGCGGGCTCTGGATGCGCTTTCCAGCCCGTCGGGACGCTGATGCCGACTTCTGCATCCGGGGGGCTAACGGTGATGTAGCCTGCTACTTTGGTCTCTAGTTTGTCGGGTTGTTTTTCGGATGGTTGGAGGAGTTTTATGTGGATTGTGCTTGTGCGGGCGCCGAGCTTTATGTCTTCGACTTCTAGGGTTGCGGGGCCGGCTGCTGTGCGGCGGATGAAGGAGAGTTGGAGGGAGATTGGTGAGGCGGGGGTGGAGTATTGCTTTGGGTGGGCGTGTTGGAAGTGTGTTATGGCTAGTTTGTATAGGACTGCTGATGTGTAGCCACCGTGGGGGACTGGGGATGTGTTAGTCAAGTTTCTGCGCCAATTGGTAAGGTAGGAGTAGATAGAATTACCGGTTCCAATGCACCATTCTGGGCGGAGATGAGCGCTGTATTTGTTGGCGCCTTGTGGAGTGACGCAAATTGCGTCTTCAAAGGCGGCGTTGAGAGGCATGGTGAGTTGGGTATATGTAGGTCCACGGTTTTATATGCCTCAGTACATGTAAAATGAGAATCAAGTACTAGGACCGGGGTTCTATATCTATACTTGGGGTATTCTCCACTCCGCATTAAGGGTCTCGATGAACCTCGGCTCAGCGGTTAAGTTGATTAACATCGGCCGACGCTGAGTCAGCCATCATAGCTTTTAGCTTCAAGGTAATATCTCCAACCTTGCAAGGTTCAAATTTTATCTGAAATGTATGTAAATTAATCTTTAGCTGCATGGGTTGGAATTCAATATAATTGAATCGCAAACATTATCCGTAAAGGTTGACGACATCAGATGATTGCTCTGTGACACATCGATATATCCACAATTTCTACAGGAACCAGATCAAAGCGTTTACATCTTGCAACCTGCTGTACCTCCTAATCATCATCCAAAAACAGGGGAAAAAGAGAGAACAATAATGAAATAACTCCTGCTACCTCTTGATATCATGACTTCATTTTAGCACGCTGGAATTTGAGAACATTGATCAGTCTTTAGATTGGATTCGCCGGGCGCTGCTGGGCTTCGGGCTTCGGGCGAGCAGTTAGTTGTTGCAAGCAAGACAGGACACCTAGAAAAATTAGTCATTGTTAGATAAAACCAAAGGTAAATCAAGGCATAACAGAAAGTACTAACCTGTTACTCCCTGAGTCAATGTCGCTTGGGCCTCAGTGCTTCGCGATCCTAATGTGACCGTCATGGCGTAATCGACGGCATTAGCTTTTTGCAACTTATTGGCCCAGCGGAACACGGGCTCATCTTCACGGTTGTCACCAATGACCAGGAGGAAATCCGGTTTCGTGACCTCTTCTGCCTTATCAGATCCTAAGCACCATCGCCAGACCTGCTCTGCAGCTGACGCTTTACTGGTGCTCACGAGTTCCACAATCAGCGCGCCCTCGACGGGGATCGCATGCACACCGTAACTAGCGCAAGCGTCGTTGATATGGTCGGCACATTCAGCAGCGAGACGACTGGCGCCAATACGATCCTCGGCAGAACCATAGTGGAACACGAGCGAGCAGTGGCGTTCCTCGATCCAGCTGCCTTCGGTCCGGTCTTTGAAGTAGCTCAAAATGTTGGACACGGACTTCTTCCAACTCTGGATGTGTGTCTTCTTTGCGAGACGAGTCCACTCGTCAGACTGAGGATCACGGACGAAACATCCGTTCTCGGCGATGAGTCCTAAATTATTGACTTGGCGGAATAGCCGTTCCATCTCCTCTGGCATGCGTGAGCTCATCACGTAGATCAGATTAGCAGGATCATCGGTGAGTTCCGTCAGTGTTGTAATGGCTCGCTGAGGGGTGGTAAGAATGATGCTTTGTGGGGATCCCCATGAGGCAAGGGTACCCTCGTAGTCCATAATCATGAGCCGGCGCTTGGTCTGCCGGTATCGCTCGACAAGCCTGGGGACGGAGAGTCGAGGAACAGCCATTATTTCTCGTGATGACTGCTCATTCCAAACATGTTTCAAAGATTCATTGAACGACTTGACCCAATTACCAGTAGAGTTGCTCAAAACTGCACGATGAAGCTCGTCCCACACTTCTTTACGTTCTTCTTCGCTCCGTGTTAGCGCTGTGTGGATGGCTTCTGAACACTGTCGGTAGTCCCAAGGATTCACAAGGAGAGCGTGATTCCCAAACACAGAAGCGCTGCCAGTGAACTCGCTCAGAATGAGAGACCCGTATTTCTTGTCGCCGTAGCTGCCATCCTGGCAGTAGACGAATTCATGACTGGTCAGATTCATTCCCTCACGAAGACTTGTGATCATCAGAGCATCCGCGACAGTAATCAGAGCGAGATATTGGGAGAAAGCAAGGTCTTGTTTCAAGAAAACCAGAGGTTGATGAGCTAGTGTCGAATGGGTGGAGTTGATTCGCATAGCGATGTCAGATATAGTAGCCTCCAACTCGGGCTGCTCTGTAGTACTAGTCGCGACCTGAATCAAGACTACCTGGTCTGCCCATTCAGGGTAGGTGTTGAGGAATAGCTCGTAGCTTAGCAGTTTTTGACGAATTCCGCGCACCGAATCGATTTTGTCACGAGACACAATTAGCCGTTTGCCTTGGTATCGCTCGGAAATGATATCGACCCATTGTTCCACATCTGGTGTATGGCGTCTCTTATCCCAAGAAGTCGGATCAATACCAATGGGGAAGGTACCCACGTTGATGAAGCGATCCTCCATCTGAATTCCTTCATTGGTTGCCTCCACGCAAAGAATACGACTGCAAGTCTGCAAGAAATGTCGACAGTATTCTTTGGTCTGGAAACCGATTAGATTAGCACCGAGGATGCCTTCGAGCAGCTCCTTGCGCGGAGCTATGCACTTGAAGACCTCAGAAGAAGGGAATGCGATGTGCAAGAAGAAGCCAATCTGTGCATCGGGAAGTAGCTTCCGTAGCATGGCCGGGACAAGTAATAGATGATAGTCCTGGACCCATATCGAATCACCCCGTTTCCAGTGCTTGGCGATCCGGTCCGCAAATTCCTGATTAAGTTTCACATAGTAAATCCATGAATGATCCTCATACGCTTTGCTCTTCGGATTATCAGGGATCTGGTAATGGAACACGGGCCAGAGGATAGTCTTGCAGAAGTGGGTGTAATGTCCATCAAAGTCGCCATCATGCACGAACACGGTCAACGAGTCGTACTCGTCTTCCAACTTCTCTTCAATCTCATTGCGAGTATGTGCTGCCAAGGCATCGGTGGGCATTCCCAGAGTGCCTACCCACATCATCTCACCTAAGTACCCCGAGTCTTTGGCGGAGCGAACCGCATTGCGTAAACCACCGTTTCCTTGTTCCGCGGTCTGAATGGTCCATTCCGCCCGAGAAAAGGACATCTTTCGAGTGACAGATGCATGCTTCTTACGTCCTGGGTATGGCGCGACCTGTTCGGTTTCCGGGATGTTCGGGAGCGTCGGTTTGGAATTCTTGATCGGCACGATGGGATCTTGGTGCTTCAGGATCGACGGAGAAGGAGATACGATGGTCTTCCGCTTTGGCTGAGTGAGGGAATTTGTCGAGCCCCAGGCTGGAGAATGGGCTTCACTCTCCGTGAAGACCTGATTTCCCGTTGGCGGCGTAGATGGAGGAAATGGGTAACCCGAGTGTTGCTCCTCGGCCTTGGCTAAATCATTGGCAAAGATGCGCTCATGATCTGTGGTCGCACCCGGGGTGAGAGCTGGTGTTATTTTGGGGGTTTTCCTCTCGAAAAGACTGGTCGCGGTGTTTTCCGGAGTTACTGGATCGTTGACAGGATTCGCGACCGGGGGAGGAGCCGAAGCAGCAACATTGTTACGGGACTTGGCAACGTGGAAGTTGACCGTGTAGGGCAAAAAGCTATACAGTAGAGTTAGCCATGTGGTTTGGTGTCACCGCTTCTTCCTGTACTTACAGCGACGCAATAAACACGGTCATGATGGAGGGGCCCGGTGGGGGAGGGGTAAAAGGGAACGGAGGGGTACGAAGGAATCTCCGCGTTGAGGTATTTGGTAGTCCACCAAGGTGGTGTTTCCGTGAACAAAGTAAGTGAAATGGACATCAATTGAGAATAAAGATAGGAAGATCGAGACAAATCAGTGGAAAATCAGCATATCCATAATCCCTCATAACTACGTCATGTGTGAGGTTGCGAGGAACACGGGTGTTTTGCTAACAAAAGTTGGTCACTTTTATTACATTTCCAATCACAGTTTTAAGCTAAGTCTTACTTATTTTTAACTCAATGACAGCATGACAAGGGGAAAGACTTTACGAAGTACAAGTTGAACCAGAATTCGACTTGATTTGCAACTTTCCTATTAATCTTTACAGATCCATCATTGGCGGAATGTTCTAGGTGGGTCACCTGACGGCGAGTGAGGTAATCAGTGATTTCTTGATTTACTAGATCCACTTGCACGTTCCAAGTCTATGGCTCAAAGTAAACTTCTGATTGGATCTCAATTGGATTTCATTATTTACTAGGGCTTATCTTATCATTTACATTGTTTGAACCCTCGAAAACTAGCATAATAACGACATTCTGGGGTAAAGTCAACTTTACCACTGGTTTTTGGGACTGAGATCTCTGTTCAAAACATGCGCAGCCCGTACCGCAGCATCCGCCTTGATGTGAGGAACCCTCGATCAGCTCTTTGCGTAGGAACTATATATCCTCATATCTTAGAGTCTTGTAGGACCTTTTATAGGAAGTGGTGATTAAGCTCGATAGAGTGAGATGATGTGATTTTGATCATGCTAAGCTCATAATGGTTGATCTTAAGTTCCCAGCTGATTCTTTGACTAGGTATTATCAGGCTTAAGATCTATAGCTTTTCCTCGTTTTGTATCTTTTCCTGCAGCTTGTTTTCGGCAATAGTAAAGTATATCACAATACCTGAAGTCAACTCATACAAGATCCTATCACTAGCTCGAAACTTTAATATAAGTTCAAAAGGTAGGCAATAACATAAAGAAGTGTGTACTTGCTCATGAGTCATGACTCTAGAACTAGCTGGAAGAATGACAAGTAAGCAAGAGAGTAGTGGGAAATTTGGGAACTAGTCGAATTGTTTCAAGGAGTTCAAGTATGACCAATTGATAGCAAGGTGGATAGTCGACGCTTCTCTAGGACAAACCTTGAGGGATATTGTAACAGTATAGGGTCAGGCAACCCTAATCCACTCTCTCAATAGGACTTACCTGGCGATATTTGTTTGCCGGAAAGAAGCGTTTGTGATAGATATGTGAGGAATGGTTATAGAAATTTGCTATCTTTGATTTTCTGCCACTTTATTATGTGATTTTGGCTGATCTATCGATAAGAAACGTATGGTCAAGCGTGCTTACTGGTCATTCGCTAGTGAGCTGACCCTCGGCCAGAATCCCAGCGCTCCCGGACCGAATTATATTAGTCCCTACACCAGAACGAGGAAAAAGCAAAAAGAAAAACAATTACACTGCCTCAGTCAGCAGCTTCTGGAGCCACGTCGACACCTGTGTTTCATTCTCGTCACTGATGTTGGTGCGGGGCTGGAAATGAGGCTCTGCCGTGGAAGAGAAAAAAGCAGAATATAGATGTAGCTCTGTCTCCTGCAAGAGTCAGGTTGTTGATCAGAAATCTCTTGTCAAATCCCAGGTACCATTTTTCATAAATATATCGTTAAACCCTACCATGAGTCGAGAAATAGTCATCAGAAGCAGACACCCTCGCCAGGATGCCCTGAAGTTTGTGACCGAATATGGCAAACATACTCTCAAAGTGGAACAATTCATCCCGGCCGCCAGACCAAGTGGTCTCGACTCGCACAGCTCCCATCCGACGCGCCGTATCATGCCCGGGGTATTTATTACTAATGTGTGAAATTTCACATTTATCACATTCTGACCACTCGTTTCTAGGGACGAACGGCTCACGAGCCTGCCATTAAGAGCGTCTCGGGCTACGTTATCGAGACGGGAAAGTCGTTTACCATCTGCGACGATTACGACTTTGCCAACCCCTCTAGTAGCGGATTGGGATTCCATGTGAATGCACAGCTGGGCAGGGAGACGAGGGCCTATACCTCGGGTCGCAACAGCTCCGAGGAGTATTACGACCGGGCTAAGATGACGGACGAGTGGTTTATTTCGATGGGGAGCAGGATGCTGCCAGGTGGTATACGCAGGGTCATTTATGCTGAATCGTTTGGACGAAGAATCTACATTTATGTATATGCCCCACATGTGCATGTTCTCTCTCCATGATTTCTCAGGAAGTTGTTGAATACGATCCTCTGGTTGTTAAAGATCAATAAGAAAAAAGTCGGCACTTCCAGAGCGCAAATAGGTACTTTGATTATGATATGGCCGTCAATTTCATTTTAAATTCAATGCATATCTCTTGAACTCAAATAAGTTTTCATAGGTATCTCGCAAAGCCTTCCAAACGGAAACATCATTAGCCTTCTAGGAGTGGCAAGACCTAACTAGAGGGACAGAGATCATAGTTCCCATCGGCGTTATTACCCCACCAATTTGGGAAGGCGTGGGAAGCACCTCCGGCTCCAAAAACCGCAAAGCTGAGAATAAACAACACTATTCCCATAACAGACGTTAGTTCCCAAGCTGTATGAGATGGGATGGAACGTTGGATTTAACTTACCAGTCAGACTTGCACCATCAAATGCACCAGTAATCAGGTAGGAATCTGGATAATCAGTCAGTAAGATTGAAACCCGTCCGAATTGGGGATAAATTCTCACAATCTTTGAAGATTCGAGGTCGATAATTACGCAAATAGTATTGGACGTAGAAGCCGCAGATGACCCAGCTGAAGAGAACACAGGTCTGACTCTGGTTGTAAGGGATGTAGCCAGCGTATTGAATGAACTGAGGCATGTTGATATCGGCAACGTCAAATCCACGAATTTTAGGAACGAACTAAAGAAATGTTAGTCGGTGTATTGCAAAGAACGTGCATCAAGCTACTTACATAGTAGAAGATGCGATGGGCAATAACAGCAGCACCACCAATAGCAATACCAATAGGAACCATCCAGTACTCACCACCCATCTTGTAAAGATAGGAGGCAAGAGCCCAGGAAGTTGCATTAGTGTTGTAGGCCTGCATAGTAGCACCACTCCAGGAGTTACTGCCACTTGATGATTCGAGAACTGCTTTGTTTTCTCTGACAATTGAGATCATCATAGCGTAGTTGACAAACCCGCCAAGAATTGTACCCCAGATTTGAGTCAAGAACATGACACGAGGGGGAATTTTCACTAGGTCTATTTTAGATCAGATACAAATTATATGAGCGAGAGACTCACGATATTCGCCCATCTTTAGATCGTTGGACAGGTTAACCGCATTGGAGATGACATTGTGCGACCAAGCCGCAAAATACATGTTTCCAACAGGACGTCCAGGAATCATCAGACCCGCCAGCATCTTCGAGAGGTTGTTGGTTGCAATACCATTGCCGTAGCGAGAGTACAAGATAGTGCTCTGAGCAAAGTTAGCGCGATCCCGGAAAGTTCAGGTACTAGATTCACTCACGAAGGGCGAAATGATGATTCCAACAATCAAGGAGACAATGTATGCCCAGACTGGGAGCGAAATGTTCTCCTTGATGACAACAATAAGACCAAGGACAAAACTAACGACCAGAATAACCGCATACCACCACCAAGGTGCTTCTTTATAGTGCCTGGTCATATGCTCGTGGTGGCGATCATCATACCGACCTTCCCTGGCTTTTTTAAACGCGGCATAGATGTCCTTGCCCCAGAAGAGGAAGCAATGAACAATAAGAGCGCCAATCTTGAAGATGGTCAGATGATGAATTGGATACGAACATTAGGGTGACTTGGTATGGTACTCACAGCGGCATTGGCCATAAACATGGCAAAAGCAAAAGTTCCGGTCAGTTTGGGTAGGCCATACTCGAGTAAGGCCTCTTCATCGAGCACGCCGCCAACGAAAACATCAGCGACGGGGTATGCGGTTCCGTTACTCTGGAGGAGCTTTGTCGACATGAAGGGAAGCGATCTTGCGCCCCAGCCATTTCCGTAGTAGATGCCGAGCATAGCGATAAAGCAAACTACAAATCCGGCAGCTTGGTGAGCCTGAAGCGTAAGAGGAAGAGAGGTTTGAAAAGAGGTGATCTATAATCATCAGATATTTGCTTAACAGACGAAGTAGTTTGATCTTACGTATTGCCAGTCGAAGGAGATATTGAAAAGACCAAGACCCTCATTGTTCAAGGACCCTCCGAATAGATTCGTAAGAACAGCAGCCTTACTACCAGTAGCCTTCATAGATGCCAGACACTGCGGAAATATGTGTTAGTGGGCTTATTCCGTGTCCAGGCTGAGGGAAGAAGTACCGGGATGGAGACAGAGTTGAGCCAAACGAAGATATAGGCAGGGAAGATTTCATAGAGACTCATGCCGGTAAAAGCATACCAGAAGTATCTCAGTGGCTTTGAATTCTTCAGGTCCTGCCAATGAAGCCCTTGGAGGACTTTGACAGTAGGCAAAGTACTCCAGTAGACTGCATCAACGTGCCAGACCGCAATGGGACGCATGATTCCACAAATTCCGTAACCAAACAGGCCAATAGAAATGGTACTCAATATGACGGTTGTCGGAGTCAGTGACATATCATAGAACAGCTCCTGTGCTGCGAAAACTTGGGAGGAGGCGGCGGCATTTGAAGCACTTGTGGCCGTGATGGAGCAGATTGCATGTTCCTTCAATGTCCAAGGCCCAGTGTTGATGAATTTGATAACAGTGATGTACCAGGGAAGCTTGCCTTGGCCGCCGTTTGCCCTCCATCGAGCCTCGAACTTTTCTCCGCGGGGGAGGAACTTTGCCCATGCCCTTCCGACAAAGTAAGAAATGAGGACGATGAAGGTTCCTTGAATGGTAATCGAGGTCGGTTTGAACTATATGTTGAACAATTAGTTAGAGTATCTACCCATCCATCACTAATACGGTAGAGAATAAGGTAGGGGATATGGTAAGAGACAGGTCATTTAGATGGAGATGTACATACCATGTAGATCTGGTACATGACCGCCTGGAAGCAGGCGAGACCGGAGGCTAAGACGAGGCTTCTGAATGTCAAAGCTGGATCATGATCGTCCCGCAGTGGAAGCAAATACGTTGCCGCATCGGCACCATTGACGATAATTGTATCTTCATTACCATGGTCCTCCCCATCTTCGCCAGACTCGAAGGATGTAGTGGTGAGTTGATGTTCATTTTTGGTGATCACATTGACAGTGGTTTTCTCATCGAGGGCATCGTGGCCTGAGACTGACACAACGCCCTCCACAAGGGAGTCGGAGCGAACAGCTGACATGTTGGGTGTTCTTCCGTGAGCTGTTGTTTGGGAAGAGGTCGTTGAGGCTAAAGCTACACGTAGCCTGACAGAGACCCACAAAAATAGAGTACCTAGGACCTAGGTAGAATAATGGGGGGAAGAAAGGATGAAAGAGAGAAGTGAGGCGATGGTAAGCCTTCAGCACATTGCTGGTCTCCGGAGCATGGACAGAGGTCAAACAACTCTTTCTGTGCAACCAGGTGCTCCCTTCTTATAGACTTGCCATGTGGGAGGGTCTTGAAAGCCACAACACCAGTAAACCTTATCTGGTCTAGCAAATTCGAGTGAGCATTGCGTACATCGTCCAGAAGAAAGCAATACTAGCAATAAATGGAGCCGATATTTCCCGGAGTACGAGGGGTTTTCCATATTGGCTCTAGCAATACTACCTCATAATCAAATATTTGAACGCTTTATGCGCCTCTAAAGTCTTAGAGTCTTGGAATTTGATTGCTATCTGGTACACCAGCCTTAGGCCTGTTCACGAGTGGGAGGATCTTGCCACTAAGCAAGATAACCTCGACCAGTATTCCCAACATTCCGCTATCATACCAAGACTACCAAGAAACCATGGCGGCCACATGTAGGCGAATGTTTTTAAGGCATGCCATTGGCGTGGGTTATCACGCCATGCATTGGCGTTCGACTAGGGAGAGATAGAGATATTACAGGAAATTTAAAAAGAGGGGCGAACATACGCAAGCTTGCTAGTCCCAATGAGGTTTGACAGTTCAACCAGCCATAAAATCGTCGAGGCAAGTCATCGAGCCAAACATCAAGCTTACTAGGCAATTTAAATAGTGACAGGAAACTTTCTAGTCGTTCCAATTCCTCTAGGTTTTTGTGGTATCGAGAATAAGGCCGGATTAGCCGAACGGAAAGATCTTAGGGCTCGGAAGTCCGACGGGGCTCTCACAGCCATCGACAATCGCGAATGAGGTCCACTATGAGGTTATGCAAAATGCCAGTCTTGGTCGTTTTGTCGTTTTGAAAAGTGGGGGTCCTTCCACAACAGCCGAGTTTACTTCACAGAAAGATAGTTACCATGTTCCTCAAGCGAAGTAGATCCACTCGGTCCCCGCGAAGTCTTTCTTAGCCGAGCCAAATAATATAGAACAGTCGTGACAGAGGCTAACATGATAAGAATATATTAGACTGGAGGAAAATAATGACTCGGTATTACAGTCGTGACAGACAGTTCCTATCTTTTCTCTACTCTAAATACTTTGGATAAGATATTTCTCGAGAATCGCCACTCGAGGCATAGCTTATCTTAGGGAGGTTATGTGCCGATGTACATGTGGCGCTAAACCTAACCAGGCAACACTAGCCAGAATAGGGTAATGTAGAGGTCAGCTGTTCACACTTTAAATTCAAATCATAACTTAGTTTATAACTAGGTTAGTTAGGGGGAAAGACTAAGCACAAAACTCAATTGTGAGAAGTTGTGCACTCGATAAAAGCGGAAGGTTATTAATGGGTCACCTGACAGCGAGTGAGGTAATCAGCTCACTCTCTTCCTGTTAGTTTCTTCCTTGTCGCATTCAAGTTTCGTGTTAGGCATGACCTTGCGTCTCACTTCAGCTCCTGTCGCCGGCATTCAAAAACGGAAATCGGCCAAGCCTCCCCCGAGAGCCCGCGCATCGCCCTTTGCCTCTCATGCGCGTCGCAAACCCAATGCCACCCCAGCCGTGAAGCCCACAGACTTCGGTCTAGACGAACCCCTTCCCGACGAAGGTATATCTCATTATATATCGGAAACTGCGACCGCCGAAAATGTGGAACAGGCGATCCGATATGTAAGAAATAAAATGTTCGATGAACTCCCTGAGCGAGCGGGGATGAATAGCACCCGCATTGCGGAGGTTCTGAACCTGCGCCGATCGCTACCCCCACTTGCCTCCGTGGCCCATATACACACTTTGTTGAATGCGCCAACACAGGTTGAGCGAGAAATTGTCGAGCTGGTGAAATCAGGACGGGTGCGCCGTCTGATTATCCCAGGACGTGGCAATGATGCAGCTGGGCTGGGAGATTGCCTGGTTCTCACGGAAGATTGGGAGCAGCTGGTACGTGAAAGTTCAGCTCTGGATATCGGGATCAAGGGTGAGTGCCGCACTACATCGAGGGTAGGGAATAACCGAGGGCTAACTGGTCGTAGAGAAATTCCTCGACATCCTCAATCGCATCGGAACCCACTCTGCGCTCTCGCAAGGAATCTTCGAAACCGACGAGTATAGAGCTTTGATGCGTGCTGGATTTCTTGTCTCTTCTTCGACGCTCACACAGGGATCTTTGAGTCTCGCATCTCTCCCGAACCTGCCTGGTGCAGCAGTTTCGTCAGCTAGTCGGAGTGGGTCGGCCCATTCCGAGCCTGATCGACCTGTGCAGAGCGGCGCTCAGGCTCGTGCTGCGACTTTATTCCTTTCCCTTCCTAATACCGGGACATACCTGCGATTACTCGGCGAAGGGCGCGCGCATCTCCTCGCCCTTCTCCGGCGGTCGCGTTGTGGTGAGGCGCCGCTGAGTTTACTTCGAGACCGGTGGGATGGGGCAGTCGAAACCGATAAGAGCTTCCACTTGGCGAAGAGGGCCCGAGGCGAGTTTGCAGGAATTCTGCCCGGGAAAACAAAGAAGTGGAAAGATATGTATGGCATGCAATTCCGTTGGGTGCTGGAAGAGGCACTAGGCGCTGGACTCGTAGAAATATTCGAAACAGGCAGTGTAGGACCAGGAATCCGCTGTCTATAGTTTATTTTGCCAGTGAAATTGGCTTTTAGAGACGATATAACGAATGAAATGATTTAACGGCCCCATAAGAGGTTTCCCGCTGATAACAACTGCATTGTCCTGATACCCATCGAGAAGCAAGCTCCGCCGATCTGCCCCCTCAAACCTGGAGCTCCCCTTCTACCAAACCCCAACGAATCCACAATGCCGCTCGTACGGTTGCAACCACACTTGTTCACCTCTCTCCCAGTACATCCATCCATCCCAGCCAATGACTCCCGTCCGGAGCTTCGATCGTTCGTTCAAACCGCCCTCCAGGAAGCTCTCGAGCTTCTCCACTCCATCCCATCGTCATTCACAGCAGACCCCAAGCTGCGCCCCTCGCCGCCATGCGAAGCAAAGGTAAAGCTTTTGCGCAACTGGCGCAAGCTTCCAGACGCAGATGCAAATAAAAGCAGAAATAAACCTGAGTTCTGGGTATGTCGACAAAGCGAACATGTCAATGCCGAGGCAAAAGGCACGGCGTCATGGAGCGAATTTGAGACGGGGTTAAGGTCTAACCATGCAGAACATGAAATGGATTACACACCAAGCGTCACGGGCGTAGAAAAACTGTTGGAATGGACAAGAGATGAGATCGGAGAGGTTGAAGTTGATGGGCTCCTTTTCAAGGACGTGGACGTCGAAAGTATGTAGCCAAGATGCCTCACTGTTTGTTATGGACTGACATCTTGACTAGTTAATCTGATAACCCACACTTTCCACCCGGGTGCTCTTATTGCTCCACGCAGCTTTATCTCTTTGACGATCTCTGCTACATGCGACAGTCTCCAGGCTCCAGAGCAGCTTCAAGGACATGCGTCCAAAGGCTTCGTTACCGTCCAGATACCTCTTCTATCAGCTCTATCATCTACGCCAGATAATCTGCGCCAGAGGATTACCTCTGCTGTACCTAAACGGACAATCTTCGCCAACTACGCAAGCGTGGAGCAAGTCACCCTTTTACCCTCCGATAGTGGCCCTGGTCGCATTGAGTGGACGATGGCAACAACCTCCGATGCAGGAGGATCGATTCCACAATGGGTCCAACGAAATTGGACAATGGGTGGGGTGCCACGCGCCGTGGTAGCTGACGTGGGATTGTTCATCGGATGGACTATGCGCCGACGGACTCCTGCGTCTTAGCCTATCTGCGGAGCTGTTTGAGGCTCAAAAAAAATCGTATAGGATGTAGACATGAATATACACGACTCGCATTACGAAATTAAGTTCAGCCAAGATTTCAAAGGATGACCTAGATACACTCCTGACATTCCATCAGGCCTCATGAACACCTACACCTTGAACACTGCGTATGTCTGCAACGCAGCCGACAGACCCACCACCACAGCATTATCTTTGACACCATTCTTGGCATACCAGACCGAACTGGCCCAAAGCAGGATGTTAATGATACCAGCCATGGCTTTGTTCAGAGGATCGCTGAGCGCAGTTGAGTCGCGAGACCATTGGTAATGAAGGAGACCTGGATTGGTTTAGAATCCATAGATATTGGTAATTGTTCAAGGGATGTGACTTACCAGAAACCAAGAAAAAAGCGCTTCCCTGAAGATTCGACACGGTTTAGCTTCATGTTCAATCTAGAGATCACGCATGTATAACAAAGCAATGGAGTGTGCCAACGTACCTGATACCAACCCACCGTCCCACAAGCCCACGGCTTGGAGTTAGCAATAGCTTTAAAGGCCTTCTCAGCAGTCCACTGCCTTCCGCCAATCTACAGGAAATGAAGTATTCGTAAGTCCTGTGTGCATAATGATTTACGTAATCATGGAAGACGTACCGTGTGCCCGATGGACAGCAACACGAATGTCAAAGCAGATGCCCGAAGAGATGAAGACGGTGCCACGGACATGTTGTAGAAGCTTTATATTGCAGTAAGGTGCAAGAGTCGAAAGTGTCGCACCTGGGTATTACAGGGGTCCTTTTGAGGTGCGGGCGCCTCGGCATAATTGCGCCGGTGGAGACTCCGAGGGCTCCGAGGTTAGATCCACTCGTGCATGAGATATCTCCGCTTTTTAGTTCAACCTACGAGTAGAATACACCTATTTGGCATCTTGGATTTATTTCAAGACTGCAACATTGGACCTGAAAGGCGGAAGTCTACTTTAGCTACATGAAATGCTCCTCTGGCCGCTAGAATCAGGGATGATTTGGAAATCTTTAATGCTTACATAGCTCGGGTCGGGTAGCCTGATCTGATTATTTCTGTGGTCTACTCTGGTAGCATCTAGCTTATCTATCTAGATCCCTATCTATTTATTCATAATGCAAAGGGTGTCACAAAATTATTTTTAGAAACATATTAAAGGGGACTTGAAATAACGGTGGCGCTTGACTCAAAACCATCCGAATTGGTTCAGTGCGAGAACATGGGGAATATATAGTAACAATAGATGTGCCTTGGAGGGGACCTCCAAGGCCTGAAGCTCGAGGCTCTATGTTTCTCAAGATATTGAGTTGTTTACTGTCTCTCACTTTCTGCTTTCTATCACTCGTTCTCCCGACAGGTCGTCAAATGCTTCTTGCATCTTTGACCTTCTCAAGTTCAATTCTTTCGGTCATCAATCCCTGACTTGAAACACAATCTCCACTTTCAATCATGGCCAACTTCCAATCCTCAATCTCAATCTACCCACACTCTGAACAGGCGCCGCAATTTTCTCAATCAGATCATTCGGTCAGGATAAAGTTCAAAATGGGCTCGGCTGCGATTTCGAGTTTGACATCTTCGACTCCCAAATTCGACTTCTATTTCGACAGCCCACAATCTGAACTGGCGCCGATGTACCACTCATTCAGTGCTTAGTCAGGACAAAGTTCAGAATGAGCTTGACTTCCAACCTCCAATTCCCTAATCTTGCAATCTTGCATCTCAAAAATTAATCAGCAATTCCAATCTCGGTCCATATTCTCAATCATAGTCACCAATACAATCATCTGTGATGCAAGCATCACACACTCTGATCAACACTGTCTTACTAATTTCGATTGATCCTTCTGGTTGATTCTTTTTTTTGACTCTTCTTTGGATTTTAGTATATGATCTGTACTTAGATATGACAATGTAATTACTATCTACAGTCTCCTAATACTTTCTTCTATCAAATACAAGTAAGATCCCCCAGATCTTGCAAGTGCATCTCATCGTTGAAATTCCCGGTAAGGTCGTACTTCTTGACCTATCATCAGATCTCTTGTGTAACAAAATACTGATTGAACAAGTCCGAGTCCTGACCCCTGCAAGTTGACATCGATGTCCAGCCTATTTGTCAGCAGTTACATACAGTTACATAGAGCTACTTCCAGACTAGGCTTAGAGCCGGAGTTGAGTGAGGTCCTGCGAAGTATTTGACAAAATACAAGTCGGAAGCACATACGGATCGTCCCTTAACTCCGACATTAAAGTAATCAGGAAGACATCCTGTATTATTAATCCCAAGTATACCTGCAGTAAGTCCCAAACATAAATATTCAAACCCAAAGCCAGACCTCTCAATATTCCAACCTACCAAGATGTCCGTCCAAAACTGCTGCGTCCAAGGCTTCGCCTGGAAAGGTAAACCTACCGGTCACACCTCCAGACTCGCCAACAACAATGTCTACAAAACAGGCACGAACACCGACGTTGCCATCCTCTTCATATCCGATCTCTTCGGTTGGACATTCCCCAACATCCGCCTCCTGGCAGACCACTACGCCCGCGAAATCGACGCAACAGTTTACGTCCCCGACTTCTTCGGCGGCGAAGTTCTAGACTTTGACCTCGTTGCCGCGGAGAAATTCGCCGAGCTGGATGTTGAGGGTTTCGTGCAGCGGAATAGTCGGGAGAAGCGGGAGCCGGAGATCTTTGCTTGTGCGCGGGCGTTGAAGCACGAACTTGGGTATGAGAAGGTTGGAGCGGTGGGGTATTGCTATGGGGGGTGGGCGTCGTTTCGTCTAGGGGCGAAGGAGCATGCTGGGGAGCGGTTGGTGGATTGTATCTCAGTTGGACATCCGTCACTTCTTACGAGGGAGGATGTGGATGGGGTGGATGTTCCGGTGCAGGTTCTGGCACCGGAGATTGATCTGGCGTATTCGGTGGAGTTTAAGATATATACGATTGAGAAGTTGATGGGGTTGAATGTGGCTTTCGATTATCAGCATTTTCCGGGGGTTGTGCATGCTTGTTTTGTGCGTGGGGACGAGAACAAGGCTGGGGAGAGGGCGGCGATGGAAAGGGGGAGGGATGCGGCTGTTGCGTGGTTTAGGCAGTGGTTGAAGTAGGAACATGGTTGGTTGAGTTGAGAAATTATCATTATTTAATTAATATTAACAAGGTCATGCTATTCATAATGTCCCTCTATGCCTTATTTTCGGTCTCCTGAGTCTTTTTATGCATATCTTTCTTCACGCTCTTCCACTCCATCGCCAATGCTGGGCCCAACGACAGACAGGCCATGACAATAGCAAGGATGAACGTCTTGGTAATGGCGTTACTGTACTCGCTCAGCACCGCACTCAGTTTGGAAGCAGGGACGTATTCCCGCAAAGCAGTAGCCCCAGCCTTGATGATCTGGGCGGCATTGATACCAGGCACCGCCTCCAGATTCTCCTTCAAGAAGTTGGAGAACAATGTCTGTGCGATACTCACAAAAATGGCCCCATTCAGCTGCTGCGAAAACATGAGCAGTGATGCCCCCACGGGAACATCCACAGGCGCAAGGCATGTCTGCACCGCAATGTTGGACTGCTGGAATCCCAAGCCCAATCCGAATCCAAAAATGACTTGGTAGCCAATCCACTTGGCATGCCCCGTGTCAACCTGGAAGGTGTGTAGCAGACCAGCACCAATCGAGAGCAGAACCACGGAAAGAAGCATGAACGGGTTGTAATAGCCGAACCTCGATACTAAAACGCCCGATAGAATGACCCCGATAACCATCGAAAGCACGAGTGGCAGGTTCATGATACCGGACTTCTCGGCATTGACGTTCTTGACAGCCTGGAACCAGATTGGCAGGTAGTACAGCGTGACCATCATACAGGCACTGGTACTCATAGTCCAGAAAAAGCCCGCAAGAACGGATCGCTGCGTGAAGATCCGCGGCGGCACAAGAGCCTTCTCCCCAAGCCGGATCTCCACGCCCACAAATATGGCAATTAGCACACCAAAAAGGATGAAAAGAAAGATGATACGCCAGTTGGCCCACGCATAAGTCGAACCACCCCACTCCAGCGCAAGAAGCAAGCAAACCACCCCAGGAATCAAGAAAAGGTTTCCCAGCGGATCAAGCTGGCGAATCTTCTGCTTGATAGTCCAGTTACCATTCTTCGGCGCCGGAACATCCAACAAGAAGAAGATCGCAACCATAGCCGCACCACCAAGTGGTAGGTTAATATAGAAACACCAACGCCAAGTTACATCCGTCGTGAAGATTCCTCCCAGAATAGGACCCAGGACAGATGCAATGCCGAACACCGCACCCATGAGACCTTGGTACATAGGTCGTTTCTGGAGCGGAACGGTGAAAACGATGATAATCACAGCTCCCGCTGAGATACCACCAGTTCCTAGACCGGCGATGGCTCGGCCGATAATCAGGGCGATGGATGAGGGTGCGGCGCCGCAGACAGCGGAGCCGATTTCGAAGATAAGAATTGAGCCTAGGAAGACCCATTTGGCGGGGTAGAAGGTATAGATTCGGCCGTAGACGAGCTGGGAGGCTGAGGCTGTTAACATGTATGCACTACCGTACCAGCCGATGTCGTTTAAACTGTGGAATTCGTCGGTGATTTTGGGGGTTGCCGTTGCGACGATCAATCGGTCCTATTTCTTGTTAGATTGTTTCCCGTCAAGGGCTTTGGATAGTATGATGATGGCTTGATGTTTGGTATTTTTCACTCACCAGAGCAACGAGGAACATTGAGATAAATAATGCTAGCATGATCGGGATCACCTTGCTAGTGGAAGGGTACTTGACCGATTCGGCTGTAACGCTGCGTTCAAGGACATCTTTTGTCAATGATGGTTTGTCTATGTCGAGAGACTTCTCGCGTTCTGATGAACCTGAAGCCTCCATGTTGTGAAGAATAAAAATCTTGTATCAGTCCAATGTTGATGATATAGTGAACTGTCAGAGTTGAATAGAGGGCCACCCCTACTATTTGTATTCAGAAAATTTTTCCATTTAGCCTAGATTTGGACCAGTACCACGGAGATAAAGGGTGAGTCAAGAGTCCGTTAGCGTAGATCTTGATCATTAAACGGGAACGCTTCATTCCGTGTTCTTTTATGCTGGACCATCGGAGGGTCCTTGATCACCCTCCGGTCTTTTTTCGGATTCTTCTAAAAACGAAAATCGATCTAAAAGATATCCAATCCATTTCCACTCGAATATCTACATAGACTACTCCGTATAGAATTGCAAAATGCTCTAGATGTGGGACTTTCGAGGAATAAAAATTTGGCCAGCTTGGACCCTTGGAATGCTCCGCTTGAAGAAAGTTCGGGAAATTGCTGGTTCTCGGGAAATTCAAAGGTCCGTCAATGTCCATGATCACCGAAGGACGTATAAGAATTCACTATCCATTTAGCTCATAATCCTTTGACTCTGACAGCACTGCACCCATGACCTCAAGTGCTGGCTTCCTGTTCTATACACCACGTGGGCTGTTCGGGGACGGAATTCCGATCGTCCGCTTTCTTGTCCGCGATCGATCGGGATATACGATACTCTTGACTCGGCGTTAGGATTTAAAGGCGTCTGATCTTAAATAGTGGATCTATCCCTTTTCCTCTGACTAGAAGGCTTAATCTTTTCGGAGATACAAGGTATCATATTTACCCCAGACAGCATAGCTGCGGGCTTATATCGTTTGCTGGACATGCAACTCTTGTATGCACTGTCTCGGGCATTCAAGCCTTAATCTCAACTTAGGGTCACACCAGCGCATCACTACTGCATTTGCACCTGAAGTTGTTAACGTGGATGGCGATTTTCATTTGAGTAACTCCGACGATCCACGTAACTGTGCGACACTTTTCAAACCTGATATGAATGTAGCAGGTGACTTTCGATTCCACAGTCTGAATCGAGGATCTAAAGAGTCTGAAACTGTCAAATCTCGTGCTCATGAATTACTGCTTCAGACTAATAGCAACTCTCGTTCTCTTGGGCCACAGCTAGCTACCATGCAACAGGATGCAGAAGATGCATACAAGCAGGTACTACATCTCTCTGCAAACCTTAGCAGACAAAGTAATTAATCAACATCCTTTTGTAGGTCCTTAGTCTTCTCGATTTAAAGCAAAAGGCATCAAGCCTTGCAGAGTCCCGGTCTACAACTACATGTAGTCAAGGAAAAGCAATTATGCTCTTCACCATTCTCACGATTATATTTGTGAGATTCCTAGCTCAAACCTCATAGGGTATTTAGCGTTCTAATCTACATGGAAACTTACAGTTGCCGCTATCATTCTTCACTGCATATTTTAAACAGAATGTCGAGGAAATCACTGGAGATTCCAGTAACCCCTCGAGCTGGGATCTCTGGCGCATAAACTTCTCGTTTCTAATGCAGTTTGGCATTAGTGCCAACCCCATTAGTCATAATTTTTAGGGCGCTTTCTCTTAACTTCTTTACAATTAGAGTGAGCATTTGGGATAAATTTTGGGCACAGACAGGCAGGCGTTGTATGAGGAGAGACCCTGAGAGATAGATATAACGGTTATATTGTTTCAAAATGTTGGTGTAGAGAATAAATCGACTGGAAGAACCTACGATATAGTCAGTTCACTTCCAAGTTGGGACTGACGAACCCGTGGTGATTTATAGTTCTGACATCGTTCAAACCCTAGACTATAATAACTGCTGAATATGAGGTGTGACTGGAAAATATTACTCATTCAAATAGGGTATATTATCACTACCTAGGTACCCAAGGACACCCAGTCACGGAAGATAAAACGAAACTCCAATCCGGGGTCATTCCATGCATCGATCAAATGCAATCCAAAAGTTGACAAAGGCAGAAGATAAAAATAAATCGAAAAGGACTCCATCCGTGTCATAACCATTCAACACCGTATTGGGATAAAATCAAAGACAATCTTGGATGGCAAAAGTTCAGACTGGCCCACTTGCAATGAAGTGGCCAGTTTTTGGTACTCCGAACGCCTTGAGCCGATCCAGAAGAAAGAAATACCCTGCGAGTCTCGACAGGGAAAAAGACAGAATGGGATGAAATTGATAAAACAAAGGAAATGTGAGTGCCAAGGCTGCGTGCACAGCAGGTATAATATAAGAAATTAGTGCCGCCAACGCCCGTGATTGTCGGCGATCATGAAGGGCATCAAGGTTCGACCCGGCCAGCCTGAAAGGATGGGGGTATGGAAACGTATCAACAAGGAAGAGGAAGCCGACATCCCAAAGGCCAATAGAGCCATATCGTACACGTCAAAAGATCAAACTGCAAAGGCGTAACTACCGGGGAATGGAATTGTGGTTCGCATCTCCCACTGCTGTTGATGGGTTGGAGGCAATATGTGCGCGCAGTGAGGCGACTTCACTTCGCAATCCCGTCAACTCCTCATGCATGGAACGTACGTACGCCCAAAGCTTGTCGATCTGATTTGTATCCCCATCGGACCCGTCTGACCCAACTTTCGGGGCAGGTAGGCCATGATTGCCAGAGTGTGTCGATGTGTGCTTATTGGCCTGTAGCCCAAAGCGAGCTTCTGGTGAGCTGACTACTGGGGGAGGAAGCTGAGCACCTGGTTGTGGCAATGCCAACCCGTGTGTATGATTGGGCGCTGACAAGCTCCCTCGTCCAAAAGGTGCCGGGTGAGGCAAGGACTGGCCCATGCTTGGTGAGTGTCCGCGGTGCGAAGATGCAGCTGAGTCGTGATGGGATAGCGCATTAGGAGATAAAGGTTTGGAGCTCTCGGTGAGAGAGCCGGCGGTGAATAGAGAGGAGCCGGAGGGGTGACCTGCAGGGGGGAATGTCAGATTCCCCGCTTGGGAAGTTACAGCAGACGCTGATCCAGATCCACTGTGCGTACCAGGTGGGGGAAATAGGCCTCCACGGCTCGCTGCGATCGGCGGGTAGGTATTAGATTGACGCGCGGAATTTAAAGAGTCGGATCGGGGAAGGGTATCGTCATGCTTGCGCATGCCCTGAGTGCTCAGTCGTCGCTCTTCCTCCCCATCCATGGCCTCCGGTTCCGCGTAGACCAGGCCATCCATACCGTCGTGGTGGTGACCATCGTATTCGTCATCCGGCGCAAAGCTTCCCATGCTAGATCGTCGACCCGCACATCCACCTTGACCTTTGTTGTGTCGCGCAAGCGCGTCGCCTCGAGCAAACCGCCGTCCACACTTGGGGCAGAGATGGGGTCGTTCGCCGGTGTGCAGCTTGGTGTGTCGTTTCAGGTCGTGCAGTCTACGGAACCGGGACTGGCAGGTTTGACAGACGAATGGCTTTTCTTGGCTATGGGTGAGGAGATGGCTCTTCAGGTTGTGTTGGCGGGTGAATTCGGTAGCGCAATAGGGGCAGCGATGTTTCTTTGCTGATGGTGAGCGCGGGCTACCTCGATTGTAGCCCGCGTTCGGCAAGCTCAGACCGCGCCGAGGGTCATTGATCCCTCCTGTAGGCATAGGGTATGAGAAGGCTTTGTTGCTATCCTGGTCAATATCCGAGTCTGCCCGTTGGCGGTGGCGGTCGCCATCTTGCGAAGCCGACTCCTCAATCGGGCCGGGACTTGCGACCGTTGAGGAGTGTATGAGTGAATTCTGGTGGTCGGCGGAACCGTAGGGGTCTGGTGTATCGTGGTGGGCTTCTACTTGCATCTGTTCCGGAGATGCGTGAATTTGAGGATCTTGGATTGACGGGGCCGGTGACTTTTCGCTAGCCCCCAATGCTTCTCGCGCAACCTGGGAATTATTTCGCTCCGAGTCTCTGTCATGGTCAACCGGCCGGTCCGGCGCCGATGAGGGACTCGTCATCTGGGGGGGTTGAGATCGGGAGACGTGAAGACCGGCGCTGGCGATGGAGCTTAGATTGGATTCGGGTTTGGATGGTGGTTTGAGAAAAGAGATGGGATCGGAAGTCGTAATGGAGTGAGAGGGACCAGTGATGGGGTTAGACACGGCAACAGGCTCGTTGGTGGACTGCATCAATGCCGCCATGGAGGCAGAAGGGTTTGCGCCAACCTTGTAAAGTGATGGACGAACCAAGACAACGGCTACTTGAGTCATGTTAAAAAGATGTGAGTAAAACTAGAGAGGAAATCATTTGACTAACCAGAGACGAGAAGAATGCTGTATATGCTTTGGAGTTTGGGGGGGGGGGGGGGAATTGCTACGGAGGAAGTCCAGGGCGTGTGGGGCGGATACTGTTCTCAAGGAAACCGAGTGTGGCGCAAGCTGACGAGGTTTCGTTTCAGCTATGGATTTTGCCCGGGAGGAGATCCACCATCTAAGAGAAGGGGCTTAGGCCTGCGTTAAAATAGCAATCGGTCGTGGGAACCGACAAGATTGGTTGATAATCAATGGAGCCCGGGAAGTTTGGGGAGTGGCGGGTGTAAAGAGGCGCAGGAACGGAAAATGGACTCCAATACAGAAGTTGTCCTCCGTATGAGCTGTATTTAAGATGAAATCGCCTTGCAAGAACCAAAAGTGTTTGATTCCGAGGGGAATGACAAAATAGAAACTAGGCACAAAGTTGACTTTTGGGGCAAAAAGGTGTACGGTAAAAGTGGTAAATTCCACATTCACGGTCGAGGCTCTTGATGAACCCTGAGATTGGGGGTGGTAATGTATATAATACTTTCTTATATATGAGATATCACATGCATAGTCAAGTACTGAGTACCTAGTTAAGATTGAGGCTGTGTAAACCCACTAACGCGTGTGGCTGGTCGCGGGTCCAACATGTTATTTCTCCCTTTGAGGCTGATCATGTTTGAACTTCTCTACTCCGTATAAAGAGCCTCTTGCCATCTGACCATGTTACTTTGTACAGGTAATAGCAATGATGTCACAGGACAAAAACCTTGGAAGACCCCAAAGGTCCGGCAGATCTACTTGAACACCACGGTTCGGTCTGCTCGGGCGGAGTATGGAATGCTCAGCCACATCAATGAGGCTACACATGGATGGAGTATGCACATAAATCTCGATGTCTTACCGTCACAGCATACATTGATGGTCAAGTCAACTTGAAAAAATATTCAAGACTTCTCTCCTTTCAGTTCCTAAGCTGGCCTGAAGCCATCTGATCTGCATTGAAAATGAACCAATCCGGTCACGTCAGCTTGTTTGCCCGTGTTAAAACAGGACCTGAATATATTAGGCTACCCTGCGATTGGTCCAGAGACAGAGACAGGCAACTAGTGAGGTTGGTTGTAGACCACCGTGGCTTAAGGTTGCAGGGTTTCATGATCACCTTTCATGAGGCTGAACGATTTTCCATGCTTATTCGCCTCTCCCTGCCGTTCGGTGCTGAGTTTGGCCCCCTGGACCCTTCCACTTGAACCTGAATAGATAAGTCTGGGATTCTTGGCTGTTGTCATATCTCGTAAATTCGAATTCGGGCGTCCGTTGATCTGCGGTTGACTTCCTTTTTGATTGGAGATTTTCAATTGGTGACGTTGGAAATAATTATGCTTCGTGTCTTAAAGGCTAACCCGGTACAGTGTAGAGCGTTTGATCGATTCTCTGAGTCCGCTATGCCCAGCCCGTGGTGTGTTCTGTATTAGGTATCTGGAAGGGAAGGTCATTCCTAGAGTAGGTACTTCCTAAATGATCTTAGAAATTCATAGAAAATCTCTCCTTCTGAATACAAGACATTTAGCATGCGGAACAGATCTAAATTCAATATTAATTTCATCATTTTATTGATGTTTCTATATATCTTGGGGTTTCAAAAATCAGCTTCGGGTTTCACCCTATAGAATTTATTCTAGATACAATTTTTGTAATCTAATGAGAGTTCCGATCATATTTATATAAAGAAACGTATTTTATGGATAATTTTATATATACCGACTTTCAATTGCTCAGTTCTTAAAAAGGCGACTAATTTTTTCACTATGTAATCTGTTCTAGATAGGATTTTTGGATTCCGAGAGTTCCGATCGTATCTGTGCACAACAATTAATTCATTGATGTTTTTGCCTAAGGCCATAGTTCATCCATTTTAGGTCAGCCGAATGCCTGAAAATAAAGACACTAATAATCATTTAATGTCAAGTTTGATTGGCCAAGAGATTCCTATGTGCTCAAGTGCTGGAAAAAGTACTTTACATAAACAAACTGGGTTTCTTCCTGATAAAAGTCGCCCATACATTAGACCCGCGGGTAGGTACGTGGCACTTCACAACATCACATTGCTTTCCACTAGTTAATGCATGGTTAATGCGGTTTACTAGTATGGGGTATGTCTTTACCCAGACGATGGGCTGTTTCAACCTTGGAAAGTGCAGAATTCAGACTCCAGAGATCATTGATCTAAAAGTCTACACTCTGTAGCTCACCAAAGTTTTTTAATAGGAATAAGTTTTTGATAGGAATAAGCCATGACTATATACCAAAATAAATTCAACTACAACTGGTCCACGGAGTGATCGTCGTGCTCTGACCTCTCAACAAATCAAACTGTGTGACGAGAGAAGCTGTAGTACGTTGGCGGGTATTTTTGGATAGGACTCATCCAGGAGAGAGTCCCCCCGCTTTCTGAGAAAGCGGTTCTGCAGATTCTGTGGTTGGCCAGACGATCGGCGTGTTAGCGCCCGGTCAAGGTGATGGGCTTGCATGATAATGGGCCAACCGGGGCCGTGACCACAACTTATTGGCTGCTCCACTGTGATAAGCTTGACCGATCACTTCCCCCAACCAGTCACACCTCGTCTCGTGCAGTGTGAATATGCACTCGAAGATGGCGTTGAAGTGTGTCGAGGTACTCTTCCTCCAATCAAATCGTCTATACTCTCCTGCGCACTATCCTCGGCGCTTACTCTAGTCAAGGCACAGAGTGATGGGCTAACATGGCCTGCAGCACCCCTCCCCGCCCATTCACCGGCCATGGGTTACTCGTCCATGATTGATATTCAACACGGCTGCCGGATCTGCCGCTTTTCTGTTTTTTTTCTCATATCCGCCAAGTTTGTTTTTCTTGTTATTCCCCGTGGACGCAGGCTTCGCACACGGTTTCGAGGTGTTTTGTACAGATTCGGCCATTGTCACACACAGCTGGAATCTTACCGGCGGACAATCGACTCGGCTTTTTGAGTATTTGCGTTCTATTTGCAAGAGCTGGTTCTCTTGACTGCGTCAATTTATCGATTTTTATCAACATGTCAACTTCTGGTGACAGCAGTCACGACTCGCCTCATACCTATGACCCTGTCGTTCCTCACGATATTACCCGTGCCTCTTACCACAGTGCAATGGGGGCCCCTACAGGCTTCACAATGGAGACAAAGGAGACTCGAACCTTGGAGAGCAGCGGTGCCTCGATGAAGAGCCCACGCACGGCTCGGTTTGCTGAGGCCACAACAATCTACTCCCCCGTCGAGCGATCCGACAAATCTCCCTTTGCCGACACAGTTGAGCAAGCCCCTCAAGGCGTTGCTGACACCGGGTTTGGCTATGTATCGAATAACAACCCCGTCCAACATGTGGACGACTCAATGCCCCCAATGTCACCATGGCGAGCCGATCTGAAAGTTCCCAAGTCTGCCAGAACGCTGAACCCGATGAGCCCGACTTTCCGCGAGGAATACTTTCTCGAGAAAGGTGAGGCAACCGCGGAGAAGGAGAACGCTCGTGATGTGCGAATTAAGCTTCGTGTCCGCATTGCCAAGATCTTCCTTCGCTTCGTCAACTTTGGTTGCAGTCTGATTGTCCTGGCAATGTTGGCGATGACACTAAGAACCTTCATGGCAACAAGGGATCTTCCAGAGCGCAACTCGTCCTTTGCATGGAACCCCGATACCAACCCATGGGCGCAGTGGCTGTTGCTAGGTCTTGCCTGCTTCTCTCTTCTGGCATGCATGGTTGTCTTCTGGGGTTACTACAAGGGTGGTCACAAGCGCGCCGAGAAGCTTGTCGTCTACTACAGCACCATTTCGGTCATCTACTTCACCTTTAGTTTCGTCATGTGGATTGTCACTGCCGCTATTTACGAGCACTCGAAAGCATCCGGAGACAAAAAGGATCTCTGGGGATGGGCCTGCGCACAAAACACCCGTGAGCAGATCTACTCAGATGCTATCGACTACGCTCTGCTTTGCCGTCTCCAGGTGAGTTCATCCGTTAATTCTCACTTCTCACTGCTCCATATACTAATATAGCCCAGGACTGGGGCCTCGTCTGCGCCATCATTGAGGTCGTCATTGAACTCCTCGTCATTCTCATCTACGTCGTCGTCTTCTACCGCATCTGGTCCAAGCGCCGCCTCATGAAGTCAATGAACCACCGTGACCAAGCCCGCTCAGACCTCTATCTCGCTCAGCTGCACCATCAAACAGCCCCGAACACCCCAGGCTTCCCAGGATTCACCTCCTACCCACCAAAGTCACCCTTCTATGCTTCCCAAGCCTTGGCAATGGACCCCCACTCCTCTGCCGAGAAGGGTGAAGCTGGCCCAGCTCCCCAGGTCGCGATCGTTGCCCCACAGTACGCATCCCAGCGCTCTCCCACCTTCCCGACAGCATCATTCCAGCTCCAAGCCCCTCCCATTCGCGTCCAGCAACCAACCCCACGCACCGGCCAGGAGGAGTTTGGTGGGCCTCATGCCCAGTCCCCATCTCCCCCACCGGCTCATGAGCATATGCATGCCGCACCTGGAGAACAGAGTTACGGCTCTGTACCAATTCCAGGAGCCTACTAGTCGCTGTATCACGAGACGATTCTGGATAAGCCTGGACTTGATCTTTGGCATGGTGTTACACTGCAAACTGAAACGACAAAAAAAAAAAAAAAAATGGAAAATCTGAAAACAAGTAACTGAGTCTCGAAAATTTGGACATATAAATTAGCTTTACTTACCCTTAATCTTTCATTGGGGCTTGTTGAAACTGGCGTGTTGGGCGCTCGGGGTACATATACCTATTTCCACTTTAAAGGAGTTATTTGACTTGATTATTTACACCTCACTTTCCTTATTGATGATAGTCAATGATGAATCTCGCATTATGTATACCTAGTATTCTCGGAGGTTGGGATTGATGTAGAGAATGTGAATCTCTCTCAGGCTCATGCGATTGAATATACCAACACTTGTGTCCCAGAATGTCGGTGCTGCAAACTTCTCCACGTCAAAGATGCCAACTTAAATATGCTTATATTGTAAAAATTTCTGATGACCATGTCGGATTTGCGGTTCATTACCGCTTACTTGATATATTGCCGAATGTTATCTCTGACGAGGGCGAGGTAAGACGAAGTTGATGCAGACACAGCATCACACTCAGCCGCGTGCCACGGCCCCAAGGCGAAGCTTAGCAGGCCCACATGTTCATACGGAGACACTCGACCTGACGATCACAAGTCCTCTCGTCACCCTTGACTGCTCAGACCCTGTCGATAATTCACATTTTGTACAGATTAGTAATATCCAATAGCTTATTAAACAATGGATTTCAATACGTCAAAGTAGCAACCCGAAGATAAGTGCAATGTCTGCATTAAGAGAAAACCGTGATTAAAGCGCCACTGTGCAAACAAAGAAACCGATAAACTCCAGGATCTGCCAATCCATTCCTTTGTGCCCATCACTCATGACTAAGACATTCCGATTCTACTCAGATGTCGAACTGTACAAGGAAAACACCTCACTCACATGCCCCCCTCTTCGCGGATAGCATGGATGTCCTTACTGACAAAGATCTCTTCCAGGCTGCAAGCTCCGCTGGAAATTTTGTCCATGTCACTTTCCAATACAAGGCCTTCCTCGTTGGCCAGATGGAGAAGACAAATGAAGCCAAATGATGTACTGATGTCCCGCAATACCTCATTGGGGTAGACGGACTTGAGCGAGTTCATAATCTGCGTGAAACGTAGCTTGCCCTCGTTAGGCCCGGGACTATTTGTCTGTGGTGTTGGCGGTTCGAGAGCCTCAGCTTCACTCTCGGGCTCGGCTAGTGGTTCGCTAGACGCAGCGCCGGGCTGTGATGCAGAGCTGAAGTCGGTGGTAGCGATCAGACGCTCACCCATGCCCTTCCACATTTCGGTCTTTAATCGTCGCACGTCTACCTTTTTGGCGACACGGGCATAGTTGACGTAGTCTGGGCGCGCACGACGTCCACCCTGGGTTACTAGCTGGGAGCCGTACCCTCCAGCACCGGGCTTTCCTGGAGTGGCTCCGACCATATTCAGTAATGCGGTGAGTCCAGTTTGCGAGCTACCATCTCCAGCTGATGCGCCAGGAGCCCCATCAATCGGTGGCGACAGCATCTCGCGCGCATCGGCAAATGGCATGTTATCGTCATCATCGTCCATATCCATGCCGTTCGGGAAAGCAAGACCGTCATCATCAGCAAAGAAGTTGGCATCATAAGCGCCCGCGACACCTTCCTCATCGTTATTCTCCACCTTGTGATTGGCCCAAAACGCCTCGTCCATGTCCCCGTTCCCAGAAGTCTGCTCTGGCCGAGGAGCTGCCCTTCTGCCCAGGAACTTCTTCGAGCCCATGCGTGCCTTGGGCTTGAGGAAGAGTCGAAGGAGGTTGCGCGAGTTGAAATGCTTGTCATCGGGGAGCAGGTTGCGTCCCTTCGTCTTCCATTGTGTTTTTGGTAGGGAAATGGCGGAGTTGGAGCTGGCGGGAGTGTACATCAACTCGGCAATGGCATGATCCAGAGGAGCCCCAAAGTCAATCTCAAAAGGCTCTTTCTCTTTACGTGGCTTGGGAGCCGATGCGGAGCTGGCCGCTGTGTGGTCCTTGATCCTGCGAATCTTCCAGTGTTCTGGACCAGCCCAGTTCTTTTGGAGCGCATTATCGAAGTAGCTCAAGATGTTCTCATGGTCTTGTTTGCTCGGCTGATGAGACATAGAGACGGCATATGCATCTTCACGGTCCATGTCTTCATCACCATCACCATCTTCCAAACGGTGAACCTTGAGCATCGGTTCTAAAGCTGCCTCTCTTGCCCATGCCTCTCCTCCGTCGCCGAAGCCAGCGTCACCATTTAGGTCAAAACCAGTCAGCGAGGCGTCATCGTCATCAAAACCAACGGCGTTGTCATCATCAAGCATTATTCCCGAAGGGTCATCGCCTTCGTTGTTCTTATCCTGGCGCCAATCTTCGGGCGCCTTTAGCAAAGGAATATCGAGTGTTCCCGCTGGGTCTCCTAGATCAAGGTTTTTAAGAGAAGGACAGATATCCTGCTCCCCAAGGCGGTCCAAGTCGGGGAAAAACTGGCTTGCCAGTGTAGCAAGATCAATATCCGGGTCATCCTCGAATGTGTCGGATGCTGTCGGGGGGGCAGCCTGTGATTCTGGGTCGGTTGACTCCTGTTCGTCCTCTCCCTCTGCGGTCTTGGAGGAGTCATCCACTGCATCGTCGCTACTGTCGAAAACAATTCGTCCAACCCCATCGATGGCCAAGTGGTTGAGCAAAAGACCTTTCGCGCCTCCTTCATCGAAATCGGCAGACGCCTTCTTGAAAAGCGGATCCACGGCGAATTCCAGCTCAAACTTCTTCAGCTGTAATGATGAAAATGAAGGGGCCAGTGTCGCCTCGTGAGAACGTGTCTATGTCATCCAGTACGGTTAGCAGGAGAGCATTATATAGATCATTGACCACTTTACCTTCTTGCGCGATTTTCGTGGTGCTCCATCCTCGCCCTCCTCATCCTCATCGCCTTCTTCTCCTTCGGCATCATTGTCACGACCTCTCTTATCGCGTCCATCGGCCAAGCCACTCAGCAGCCGTCCAGTTTCCGTTGCGACACTGTCCACTCGACTTGTGTAAATTTTGACACACCCATCAAGGGTGCAACTGGCCTTTTGGAAATTCACTGTATCTCCCTCCTTCAAAAGAGACATGTCGTGGAAATAATCGATGAGGGCGAAGTTCCAGGAATTATTCGCATTGATCTTATTATCAGTCGCCATCTTCATCCATTCCTCGAAGTTGGCCAAGATAGGCACACGCTTCATGGGGGTGACTCCGCGACCATTCACATCGCTTCCGCGACTTCGATGGTGGTTGGATCCGCGCGGGGTTCCGGGACTCTCGCTTCCGTCACGCTCATGTGTGCTGTATCGTAGCGGAGGCATGGGTGTTTTGACCGCGGCCTTAATCTGGTTCATCTGACGATCATACTGTGCCTGGCGAGCCCCGATACGGGCCGCTTTCTCGCCCATATCATCGTTGAGGGGGATCCTGCTAGCCGCGTTAGTGATGATCTCACTCTCGCAATGATGGAAGGCGCATACTTGATGGGCGAGTTTTTTTGAGGGGTGGAGTTGCCGTTAGAACGGCGATGGACCTTGTTTGCTACACGAGGCATAATTGCGAGTTCCCCGTTCGGGGATAGCAGGCGCGATGTTCAAGATAAAGCCTGGATGTTACAAGGCAAGAGGGGCGGACAAACAAATGGGGAAGTCAACAAACATACGGCAAAGCATAGTGAACGAGAGTGCATAATATCACATGACTTGACCAGATTATGAAACCTGAAAAATCGGGCATTCAAGCAATCCAATCGTTTCATCCACAATGCTGCCCTTCTAAGGTTCCGGCTCAATTCAAGTTTCTCTAGGTTTTATTTTTGACTAATAAATAGCTCCACTTACTCATTACACGCTGTCTTTCCGTGTCCAAGTCATATTATTTTTAGAATGCAAAACATGCACCCCAGAGACTGAAAGCTTTGACCCACTTCTGCAGCTCCGCCCGCTCTAGGCTGACATCACCGCTTTCACCGCATTGGCAGCTGAAGCCAACTTCATGGAGTGGGCTCGAGTCTTGTGATCAGCTCAAAGCCTTTTTGTGACAAACAGTTACAAGAGGATTCAGAATACCTTTTCAGCAACGATGCTGCCGATGTCGATGCTATAATGAACCAACTCCCATCTATCCTGCGGCCCGCCGTGCGCAAAGGGCCTCGGTATTCCGTCCGCCCGTTTTACACTACTCTCTTGGTATTCGGGGTCCTTGTGGCACTTTGTTGTGCTTTGCGTAGTAATGTAATTGGTCGATACCCTCGAGGTACCACTCAAAATGTGTTCCTGGCCAGGCGAGAAGACGCCCCAGAGGTACAGTGCATCCCTTCTGCAGATAACCTTTCTCGTGGGACAGCAAAGAAAGCTAAATCTCCATGTGACCATTTAGTGCCGTCAAGTTCGCGATGTTAAGGACCAATGCGCTTATATCCTTACCAATTGCCCCGACCACGAAGACGGCCTGCTGTCATACCTGCAACTCTACTACTGCACATTGGCAGATGCGAAACCGCTAGCGTTCATCATCCTCATACTCTGGCTGTCGCTTCTTTTCAGCACAATTGGCATAGCAGCCAGTGACTTTTTGTGCATTGACCTGAGCACACTGGCAAGCATTCTAGGATTGAGTGAAAGTCTTACCGGTGTTACCTTCCTCGCGTTTGGCAACGGCAGTCCCGATGTCTTTTCTACATTTGCCGCAATGCGGTCAAATAGCGGTAGCCTGGCGATTGGCGAGCTGATAGGGGCAGCCAGTTTCATCACCTCGGTTGTGGCTGGCTCCATGGCTTTGGTTCGACCTTTCAAAGTCGCACGGCGGAGTTTTGTCCGAGATATAGGGTATTTCGTGGTTGCTGTCACTTTCAGCATGTTCTTGTTAGCTGATGGCCGACTTCATGTATGGGAGTCAGCTGCCATGGTTGGACTATATGTATTTTATGTCATGATGGTGGTAACTTGGCACTGGTATTTAGTCCGGCGCCGCCGAAAGTACGAGAGGGACCTTGCGGCGCGCACACATTTTCACATCCCAGAAAATCAAGAATTGGATATTGAAGAGCCTGTGGAGGATGACGATCCTGGGGTTGCCTCAGAATCACGGAGTCTGCTTCGTGGAGCATCGACCGATGATTTTGATCTTTTGGAACGGGCCGAGGCTGTTCCCGTTTGGAAAGAAGAAGAAGACGAGGATGACGAAACACGCAACCGTTATCTGGCCGAAATCAGCAATAACATGCATGTTTATCGTCCGCCCAATCGGTCCCGACGAAACACGATGAACATTCGACCCAGTCTCGTTGGAGCACTTGAATTCCAGTCTGTGCTCCAGGCGCTTCAGAATTCCAGGAGCACGAATCGCAATCCAACTATCAGCCTGAGTAGCTACTCAGATGACGGCGAGAACTCTCAAGCCTTCGACACTCGGTCCATTGCATCGCATCCTCGGGCTAGTAGACCGCCTGCTACCAACGACCGCCTGTCCCCGCAAAGTGCAGGCTCTTCTAGAGTTCGTGCGGTGTCAGCTAATGATGCTGATGGCTTACATCTTGACACCAGTGTATTAGGCCGCCATGCAGATGAAACGCCACGCCTGACTGTGAGGCGGCCTTCCAATGAAGCTGGTGATGGGCCACTGGTACCTCCTGAGTTGCCCCGTATAGATACTAGTGCTGAACTGACGGCATCGCCATCCTCTTCCGTCTTGTCATCCCCAGTGGAAGCAGCGCCCCTAACTCCAGACCTATTGGCTCCCCCAGGAGCATTCCATTCTCCCAATTATCACAGTGCCGCAACACAGGATCGATCCCCCGCTCCCGTATCCCCACGAGGAGGCTCTAGTCTTCGAAATGGAGTTCTACCAGAGAGCCCCTCTGCACCTTTCCCCGCGTTCATTGATATTCAACCTGGTCCATCCTCTCGTCCATCTAGCATTCGACTTCCCTATCAATCAAGCCCGTCGGAGCCTTTTTTAGTTCGTGACAGCATGGACGACATAAACACTGGCAATGACACCTTGTTTTGGAATTATTTGAAGCGGTGGTGGCCTTACTCGATCTTTCCTCCTCCTTCGCATATCGGTTGTGCCCTTTTTCCAACCCTGGCTGGATGGAAGTCGAAGGGTATCCTGAACCGATTCCTGGGGATCATTGCTGCGCCCAGTGTATTTCTCCTTACCATCACTATCCCAGTCATTGAACCTCAAGCTCCTGAATCCACGGAGCCAGACCTTATCCCCGCCGTGGTCATTGATGAAATCAATGATGACCATACTGCACCGCGCGTGAGGCTACCAGCTGATAGTCCCGTACTTTCGCCTATTCTGCATAGTCACCATGATTCCGTGCCCCATCTGTCAGTGTCACATTCTCATCGCAAGTCAACCATTCAGGACCGAACTAGTCGTCCGCGCTGGGACTCGGAGCTCCCGGCCGCCCCACCGGTCATGACTGATCCGTCTACGCCATGTAGAGAATGGCATCGCTGGCTTGTTATCATACAGCTTTTTACTGGCCCCTTCTTCTTTGTCCTCATTGCATGGTCAACATTGGATGAAGAACTAAATCCTCGAAATCTTCTTCTTCCATCCCTGGTTTCCCTTTTGTTCTCCTTCATATTTCTCTCGCTTCTCCTCCTCACAACCCGGCGTCGTCCTTGGCACCGACAGGCCTTCAACCCATCCAATCCCCAGCGCCATGGCTCGCTCGAGGTGAATTCACCCCTCTCTCTCCCATCCTCATGGAGACCTTTTCTCTCTCTACTTGGATTCCTGGTTGCCATCTCCTGGATTGCAACGATCGCAACAGAGGTGGTATCTCTGCTGAAAACCATCGGCGTCATCCTCGATATCTCAGACTCGCTGCTAGGCTTGACCGTCTTTGCCGTGGGCAACTCTCTAGGCGATCTTGTCGCGGACATTACCGTGGCCCGACTTGGATACCCTGTCATGGCCCTCAGTGCGTGCTTTGGCGGTCCAATGCTTAACATCCTGCTTGGAATTGGCCTAGGAGGTCTCTATATGACACTGAACGGGGGCAACACCCGACAACATGACGAGATTATTGGCAAAGTCGTGTCAGAGTCAGCTTCTTATGAGATCGCGATATCTAAGGTACTGGTCATCACTGGCGCGACCCTTCTGCTGGTTCTAGTTGGACTTTTGATTATTGTCCCTTTGAATGGTTGGCGAATGGATCGCAAGATCGGGTGGGGCCTCATTGCCGTGTGGTGCGTGAGTACCGTGGGAAATGTGGTTGCAGAGATTGTATGGTCATGATCTTATGCTCGCGTTGCATTTGTATATTTCAAATTTATGGAGTTCGATACTTTTCGATCTCAATTTATGCATTAACGAACGTCAAATATCGCATTCAAATGTTCCAATGTTGTTTTTGGTTAGACTTTATGCACATGTGCAGAATAATGTTCACGGCAAGAGGGTTAGACAATGTATACATGAAGTCTAGTCTCTGAATGCAATTTTTATGTACAACATTTGAAGTTGCCATGCGCATATGATCTATCAATCGGGCAAGTCATGAGGCTCTGCTTCAGCCTATCAAATCTCGGCTATTCTTACAGCGAATGCGAGCTCGCGTTTCATTTCCAAGGTTGTAGGACCACCTGGGTGAATCTCGTATCTGCAGCCCCTGGAAACAATCCACAACTATAAGCCACTCAGGAAAGGTACATTGATGTGACTAATAGTAGTCCTGAAGTCTACATGGAGATACTAAAGTCTTTTTCAACAGCCACCGACATACCTTCGTATTCGTAATTTGGCAAGTTTAAGCGTATCTACCACATTGATCCAAAAGCAATTCATGCAATTTCTACGGTTCTGCTGGTCAATACTATATGTCAATCGTAGCGATTGAATATCTTGCTGAATTGTGGCGTTGGCCACACGAAACCAACCCGGGCGAGCATAGTATAAGAAAAGCCCTCTATAAGAAAAGCCGTATCACCAAGCACAAGATCGCTGAACTCAATTTATTACTTTTTTACAACATTTGTATGTTCCACGATACAAAAAATGAAGCACATTCATACTATCGCCTTCCTCATTTTCGCACGACTCGCATCAACCGAGGAGAACTCATACTGCACCCCAAATGAAATTTGCGACTCAACTTCTCCCCGCGTAAGCTGGGTATCCTCATCCCCACTCCGAAACTCATTCGGCATCCTATTCAGCTGTCTCGCAACCTTCTTCGCCTGCGCCTGGTCCATCCTCCAACTTAACCTCCCCGGTCTCCACGAGACAGCAACCCACAAGTTTTTCCGAAAGGTAAAATGGATGATCATCACAATCGTCTTCCCTGAGCTCCTGGCCGCTATCGCCCTGATCGAGTTCGGTCTTGCGCGACAGTCTCGTAAGGAGATACGACTGCTTCCGGGTAGTCATAGCTGGACGACGACGCATGGGTTCTTTGCGAATATGGGTGGTTTTGTGTTGCGGACGCCTGATCTGCAGGATTTTCCATTGAATGCTGAGTCGTTGAGGGTTGTTGTGGCCGATGGACCGATTCAGATTCCTGTTGTTGAGAAAGAGGATATTGAGGATCGAAGTAAAACGGATTTTTTTGCGAGGTCTTTTGCTGTTTTGCAGGGTTGCTGGACTGTTGTGCAGTGTATTGCGAGGTATCGGGAGGATCTTCCTATTATGGCGCTTGAGGTTAATGCGGCGTTGTTTACCATTGTTAGTTTATGGACTTATGCGTTTGAATGGTCGAAGCCAAAGGACGTTTCTGTGCCGATTATTCTTGTCTCGGAGGAGAGGTTGGATGAGGAGAAGGTTGGAAAGATTTTGAATATTTATAAGGAGTGGTATGGGAAGGATGTTGGAGAGACTCTTGCTATTGAGCGCATCCCTTTTGGTCCGCTCTTTTCGGCTTACTTCGGGAATACGCTTCAGATGGGAGGATGGATGGGGTTTCTCATCTTTGGTTTGAGTCTTGTTACTGGATTTTATAATGGAGCCCATATGTGGGTGCATGAGGATTTGTTTAATCCTGGGATGTGGATTGCTTGGAGATGTTGTGCCTGGGGAGGGATTGTTGTACCATTGGTCGCTAATCCGTTGATTTGGTTTGAGAAATGTCTTCCTACGATTTTTGTTTCTTGGTCTTGGTGGGTTTTGGTGGTTTGTTATGTGATCATTCGACTTGGTTTGCTTGCTGTTGGATTGATGTCGTTCCGATCCTTGCCTGTGGAAGCGTATTATAACGTGACTTGGACAACGTTTATCCCTCATTTCTAGTGAACCCATATACAACATGCAATAGAGATAGGCCCTCACTGTCTCGTCTTACACATTCTCCAATCAAGTCAAATTGAAATTTTGCTCTTACTGGCTGCCCTCTGCCTCTACCTCTGCCTCTTCCGGGGCCGGCTACGGGCTGCGCTATTCCCTGCCACCTACGTCTGGTTCCAATAGGTCCTGCGGAGTTTTACCCTCCGCATTTGGTTGGCTCATTAAAATAGCGGTGTCTTCCCCGGCAGCATCCATCAGAGCACGCAGCATCTCATCCTGAAGTCTGACCTTGTTCGCAGCTGTCACTTCCTCATCTCTCCCATCACGGTGTATATGATCATTCAAAAACCCCCGCGCTGCCGTATGAAAGGGCGTCTCCTGGAGAGTATTCCGAACCCGGAAATCCGTTCCGTGCTCAATCAAGAACTTTGCGGCTGAGACCTGTCGCAAATTCTGAGCAAAGGCGTGCAATGCAGTTTTCCCATAGTTCTCGGTATGATTGATATTGGCACCTTGAGACAGGATTAAATCCAGGAGCGTGGTGTTGACGGGGTCACCTTGATGGGAGTGGTACCCTAATAAATGCAGGATAGTACAGCCCGAGCCATCGGGGATCCGAGGGTCAGCCTTGTATTCGAGTAAAGTGCGGATAGCAAGCTCCGCGTACTGACTGCAACCGCACATACCGTAGCATATAGCAGCATAGTGCAACGGCGTGGATCCAGTGTTGTCAACACAAGGTTGATACCAGTGGAATCATGGTCGAGGAGTAGCCGAAGGGTCTCTGTGATTCTGAGCTGCTTATCCAGGAGTCTATAGTCAAACTCTCCAGGTCCGCTAGCTGCCTAGTGCAGTGGGAGTCGACCATCACTGTCACAAGAGGAAGCCAGCTCAGGGTTAGCATTTTTCTTGTAAATTTGATGACCCAAGAGCAATTTAACAGCATCAGCATTGTAGAATCAACTTACTAGGTGGAGCGTGGCGACATCATGCGTGTGACCCTTTGTTGTCCTGGACTGGAGCGGTACCCTAGCATGATGGAAGTGTTGATACTTAAGGTCGATATCGGCCCCGGAAACAATGAGCCGTTAAACCAATGGGCCATTAGCCCTTGACACAGCAAGCGCAAGCAGACTGTCTTGCACCTGACTTCCCCAAGGAGAGAGATCATTTGGCAAAGGGGTAATAACATCTGTCGCTGAACAGCCCCGGTCGAGAAGAAAATTAATCAACTGATGGCTTCGCGCAATCCGATTCCGAATTCACTCATTCCAACGAAGACTCTCATCTTCTACTTCATCGGTGTCTTTGTCAAGTTACATCAGCGACCCCGCAGCCGCGAGGATCGGCGTATCTCCGGAGTCATCTCTTTGATGCAGATCTACAGTCCCGAGCGGTAAATGATTCTCTGAACTGTCATGGCTGTCCAAGATGAAGGGCACCACATCAACATTTGCCGCACCACATGCGTCAAGCAGCAGACGAAACTTGGGATTGAACCTCTTGACAACTTCTGGGGCCGCAGTGTACACCTCCAAAAAAAATGTGAAGAGCCTCAGCGCTGCCGTACGAGGCTCCATTGAACAAGGTGTCTTTCAAGTAGGGTTCAGGAGCGATCACATCCTCGGGAGAGCACGAGGCAATGAATTGACGGAGTTGAGGGAGGTCGTTCTGCTTAATGATGTTCACAAGGCGGTTTCTGCGCCTGCCGATGATTTGAGAGGGGGATTCCGGGAGGTCTACGTGGCTCGAGATAGGAGAACCGCTCTCTACCATGATAATTTACTCTCTCCTTCTTCTCTTTTGATTTATTTTGCTTTTTATATCAGCGGCTCATCTGTGGAAAGAGCCAGTGTGAGAAAGGAGGGAGATGGAAGAAAGGAGAGGGAAAGAAAGTGAACGGAGAGGGGGAAGAAGAGGGTTTGATTAATGTTACTTGGGCGGCGGCCCCCACTACAATAAATCCACGAGTCTGTGACGGGGTTTTATGGGGAGCCTAATAGTTATATGTACTCTGGAGGCCTTACAGTGTATCCGAAAATTGGTGTCATCACTTACTCGTGCCCGCACCCCTAACCCTTTGGTTATAGGGGTGCTTACGGCTCAAACACCAACCCTCATCAAACACCAGACCTCCCACCTACTTTGCATCATTATCAGTATTAACATAGATATATCAACTACTATTAGGTCAGACCTGAAGTGTTTCAAGTATATTAGCCTGTTTTGGCCTGAACACCTAAAATGAGCTTGGGTTTACAGGTCCATTTGACCTGATTTGCCGTTGGTAGAATTGGGTTCAAACCTTCACGTTTTTGTATTTAGCCTCCTTCTCTTTTCATATCCGAGTAAGCTATTCAGGTATTTTATGCCATATACTATTATATAGTTATGATATATCTCCGTTCTGACATAATCTCAGCTGATCTCCGTATATAAATACTAATAATTAATATAGTTACAGCTGCTTTTATACTTTTAAGTTTTCGGACCATTAAGATAAGTAGTAAAATCGTCCTATTTCACACTTATATCACCGCACAACCACATAATATTAAACCTTATATTTAATATTCATGTATTATTTAGGGGCTAAATGATATTTTCACAGCTTGATTGATGTCATTATATTTGGTAGGGGTAGGTGATTTGATGTTAAAGTAGATGAGATTTCTGGTGTTTGATGAAGGTTAGTGTTTGAGTCGTAAGCACCCCTACACGTATCCAATAGCCAAAGTTATCTCTTTCTGTAGTTGTAACAGTGCTTAAAAATTGCAGGGTTTTGAAGATTTGGTGGGGTCGCTCGTGAAGCCGAACCTCACGTGAGGCGTTCGCTCACGGTTTACTTTAACTTTGAAGGGAAGGGGTTAGTTGGCTGGAATACCAAAGCCGTGCGCTCAATGCCAGTCCCTACGTTCGCTATTCTGCCTCTGATAGCCTGGCTGGCCGAACTGCTAGAATGAAATATCCGCCTGATCTACCCGACTTTCTCTGCGGTGCCCTAGTGCAATCGCTGCTCCCTGCGACGCTCCTGCTGACGACATCCAAAGGGTCTGCTCTCCGCTACATGTCAATTCCATGCATGGTATGGATCGCAAGCCGTCTGGTGTATCCTGTGCCAGGCATTGATACGCTTAGACTGAACGCAGTTTCGATGCTGCCATTGATGGCTCTCCAAGCAGCAAACCTCATGCTGATCAATCCGCTGGACCGAGAAAACCTTTGCGCTGAGAAGCCAGAGCATACTATTTCATGCTTCGGACGTCTCAGTTATGCACTTCAGGTATTGGCCCAGCCTCGTGGTGTGAACACGCCTCGCCAGGTGAAAAATGTTCCCCCTCATCCGGCCTACTATATCCGCAGCGGCAGCCTGACGCCGTGCCGTGGTCGCTTTTTGACTAGACAGTGCGCTATACTAGCCTGGTATTACCTGTGCCTTGATTTTTTACAAACAGTCGCTCGTCAGCAAGCGACGGACGAAGGCTCCCAATCAAAATTCTCACCGATTGAGTGGGCTGTACCGGTGGACAAATGGATCGAGCGGGTGATTACGAACCTTGTCACCTGGCTCGTCGTGACCCGTATAATCATCGATACCTATTACCGCGCGTCATCCATCATATTCGTAGGATTGCGACTGGATTCTCCCTCCAATTGGCCGCCCGCTTTTGGACGCGTGGCAGATGCCTACACTCTACGAAATTTCTGGGGGTGAGTAGTCTCGTTTTCAATTATTAGAAAAACTCAATCTGTCCGTCTCTGACCATACTAAACACCTGACCATCAGGAAATTCTGGCATCAATTACTACGCCAACAATTTACGTCTCTCAGCAACTTTATTGCGCGTGATATTTTGCGTCTCCCAAGACCTTCCATACAGGAGCGGTACACCAACATCTTCATAGTTTTCCTCCTTTCAGGCTTGTTGCATTTCATGATAAATTACTTGCAGGCCATCCCACTTCAGCATTCCGGGGCGATGTTGTTTTTTACTTCTATGGTGCTGGGCATCATGTTCGAAGATGGCATACAGGCAGTCTGGAAACGAATCATGGCTCCCTCTGGAGTGCACCTACCTACCATCCCGGAGAGCGCTTCCGTATCGCCGTGGAAGAGGGCTATTGGTATGTGTTGGGTTACGGCGTGGATAGGCGTATTGTCGACTGTCTATTTTGAACCCCAATCGCAGCTGCCAAAAGAAGAGACCAGCTTGGTCCCTTTCAGCGTTGTCGAACGACTTGGCCTTCGATTTGCTGTGGGGATCTTGGTGACTAGTGGTGTTATATTGAGTATTGTTTTCCGAACACAGATATGACGAACTTGGAAACCTGTGAATAAAGCTTTTGCCGAACAAGGCTAGCATTTCTGCCACCTATATCGAGCCGCCGGGCCCTGATCAGAGTTGCATTGTATATTCTTATCGGGCTAATTTGATGCTCGCTCCTCATCATCAGATGTCCCAACCTGGTTCACAATGTCCGGATCTGGTGGTTTCTCCTTATCTTTGATATCAGTTCAGTTTCATACAGGATAGACAGACTTCACTTATCAGTAGCATGAGCAGTTGCATTTTCGCTTTGAAGATGCACACAGGGGCGGGACACTAGATAGCCTCGCTTCAGTAATGGTTGTGTTGAGCTAAAGAATTGAACTGCGGAAAACGTAAGGTCACGGTCGCGTGAGCGGGTACTTGTTCTGCCAAATCGTTGAGGCTTGGTCGTTCGTTGGATCGGGTTTGAACTTTTGATCATCAAGATACCATTGATTTTTGTTGTATTTGTTGTCTATGACTGTAAGTTCCAGTTTTCATTCGTCGGATTTCTGAGGCTTTCAACGAAGTGTCAGACGAAGCGTTGGTGAGCGCAGCCTTGATTGATGGTAGGCTTTAGCATAGGCCGGCCCATTGGGCTCTGCTAAAGTCTAATTGGTGGGACGCTTTGGATCTACAGTACCCTACGTAGAGATCGACGCGCCTCATAAGGCGCTAGTTATTACGGCCGCCCCTTTTCTCAGAAACTGGTCACCCCTCTATGCGAAGATGTCATCATTTTTCTTGTAAAGAACGTAAGTCTACGTGACGACAGGGGATGACTTCGGTACAATTCGCCATTCCTATTCTAAATCTGAAATAAATCCCAGCCAACCATGGACAAGCTCTGGGACCTCGTCGGCTGGTCCAAACAAAGCACGGCCCGGGACGCACCAGAAGATGAAGTCTACCCTTTGCATGCATTCGATGACCTTAAGACTAGGCGCATCTTTGTGACTCGGGTACTGCGCTTCAACGATGTCCTCAATGCTGATATGCTAAATACATCCCTCTCGAGGCTGTTGGAAATTGGCGACTGGCGAAAATTAGGTGGCCGGCTGCGGTACAAGGTATGTATGAGAATTTTGGCGGTTTTTTTTTTGGTGGTCATAAAAGCAGCGGACTGATGACTATGATATAGGATGACGGACGGCTAGAGATTTGTGTGCCCAGACGCTTTACCGCCGAGCGTCCGGCTTTGACATTCACTCATGACACATTCTTGGATATGAGCATTCATGAGCACCCAACGGCGAGCCGTCTTCATGAGCCAACGGAAGGCCCATCAATTCAAAGTGTGCCTGCAGACCATCCCCTTTTCGCATCAGGACCAGACTTCCCCGTGACTGTTGATGATATGGTTCGTAAGGGTCTGCCTCAACTTCAACTCCATATCACTTCCTTCAACGACGCAACCCTTGTCGCGCTCGTGTGGCCTCACACATTGGCAGACGCTTTCGGCGTGCTGGCCCTGCTGAGGAGCTGGTGTCTCATATTAGCCAATCGCGAGGACGAAGTGCCACCAATGCTTGGGGCCCGAGAAGATGTTATACTGGAGGCCGAGAACTCTGTCGATGAAGGGGATGCAGAGCAGCATAAGCTTGAATCAATGCGCCTTACCGGCTTGGCGATGTATAAATGGGGTCTGCGACATCTGTGGAACCAGTTCTGGAGCCCAGCCCAGGAATCAAGGACCATATTTCTTCCGAAGGATGCTTTTTCTCGATTGAAGAGCCAGATTCAACAGGAGATCGCCGAGACACCAGCGAAGGATGGGCCAGGGAACTTTGTCAGCGAAGGCGACATGCTAACGGCCTGGGTCACACACATTGTGGCATCATCTGAACCAACATCGCAGCCGATAACTGTCTTAGCATTTTTCAACTTGCGAGCCAGACTGTCGCCTGTCATCAACTCTAGGGGTCTGTATGTTCAAAATATGTTGATATTGACGTACGCTTTCCTATCTTCCAAGCTCTTGCAAGGAACGGTAGGCTCGATTGCCGTGACTCATCGACGTCAGTTCCAAGAACAAACCACGGAGCGACAGGTTCTTAGCTTCCTACGGACCCTTCGCCAGGATATCAACACGACCGGCGAGGAGCGATACCTGTTTGGAGAGGCAAACTCTCGTCCGATAATATGTAACAACTTCCTCAAAGCCGAGTTCATCAAAGCCGTCGATTTCAGCCCTGCGGTCTTACACCCCGGCGAGTCATCGAACCATAGAAGTAATCCCCCAGGCACTGCAGTGGTCTATTACTACCACGTATTTGGGTCGCCTTTGGACCGCCTCACGACTTTCTACATGTTGGGCAAGGATCATGCCGGAAACTGCTGGCTTCAGGGAAATCTACGGCCAGCGGCGTGGGCAGAGATGCAACAAAGATTAGATAAGTTGGGATGACAATGATTCAGTAATTCTTGGCCCATCAAAGAAACGCATGAATCAAGATCTTTGGGTATGAGGACCGCATTGAAGATGACTCAAGTCGTACCTTCGGATGCGGATAAACGTACTCGAACGCGGCAGAGCATCCCCCCCAAAAGAAAAGAAATGGCTCGAACGCAAATTGGAAAGACACAGACCACATAAACAGCTGTTGGTGTAGAGGCTGACCTTTGCCCTTGCTTTCTTCGGGGTTCAGAACCGCCGCCAGCATTGTTCCATTACTGCTCCTCCCGAGAATCACTGTCTCGTTGATAGGTGTTGAAGCGAGTCAAACGATGCTGAAATGTTGTATGGAGACTTTGTGGCCTACAGACTCAAGCTGCGAACCGGTTTCATTTTGTGTTCAGGGTTTTGTTCAACAAGCAAATAATATTGAGATAGAAAAACTATTATAGGAACAAGGCGCTTTGAAAGTCGATTTCATAAAGAACCTGTGTGCAAGGGTAAAACTGATTCGGATCCATCTCTTCTTTTGCACCGACTACATCAATACAAAACTTACCATTCCAGAAAGGCACCTAGGCCTTGCTCGGGATCTGGTTCATCATAGTTTCGGTTGTATTTGATGAATATTTTGAGCTCGGTTGGTTTCCGACCCACGTCAGTTGGGGGTGCATGGACGATGCCGAACTGCCGCAAGTTCCTGCGAATGTTGATGATCGTGACCTCGCTGCATTCGGCTTCATCGGCCATTTGAATTGTTGTTAGTGATCGGCTCTCTTTCATGTCACGGATGAGATGTAGCTTTTAGGGGGACAAGTCTCGGGCCCATATTGCAAGTCTAGTGGGAGGATATCGCTCAACAATTGACAAGGGAAAAATCCTGTTGCTTAGAGGAGAAAACAGGGGAAAGTAGTATCGCACGTATAGAATTCCATGTAATTTACAACTGGCACGGGTGTCACTCGCGTCATGTAAAATACAGCTTCTGTTTTAGGAACCCATAGATCGACGGGCAAAGCACATCTGGATCAGTGTGTCTTAAAATAGGGTTCGGGAATGAAAGCCTAAGAGTGTAAAGATAAATCTGATTTCGAATATTACTGTCTGAATAGTTATGTCAGATTATATTGGGGGGAGGGGGGGTAGCATGTCACAATAGTACCTAGAGAGACTGGCAGAAACTGCTGTCAGCTTGTTCAATGTGTTTATGGCCGAGGAGATGATGGAAAAGTAGGGCATACACACTAGAGAAATTGAGCTTGTTTGAATGGAAGACATCAAGATGCCTTTCAGCTTGAAGTGGATCCCTTTTTTAGTGGTAAACTCCCAGTCCGCATCATGGTGATAGGAGTGATTCAGCCCAGTTCCGGTGACAACGCTGCCTTGGCGACTAAGCCAATTCGGATGACATACATGCCATGCGCCATTCCTTTGAACAAAGTTCCGGCTTTACGTGCCGGAATTATAGAGGCTTGCACAAGCCTTCACCACCACACGGCACCGAAGTATGCCAGTACGCCCCAATTTAGACTTTGATACGCCGAAAATTGACTTGTACATCCTAGTGCAAAAGCATACGCAATCTTCGGCCTTCGATACATCATACTACCATACCAATGGCTACCTTTATCGCTAAACCAGGATCTCCCCAATATGGGAATTTCATAGCAGGAATCGGAAAATTTCCTGCGGGGGAGGACTAGACCCTAGTCTAGTCTTCCCCTTATTTCCTCCAATAGGAGACCAGCAACTACGGGACTCGGCACTCGGATGTGAGACCCCAGTTTGTGCATTCTGTGTCGATGGGACCTTGAAAGGACGTGGTTGCTCTTTATATAGGGGTGATAAGGGACAGTCTGCAGTCCAACAACGCTCATCATGGCGCTTCCTCCTAGGTGGTACCAGGTATGTACCTCAACTCTTCTTTGCTGGTCTATACAAATTCTAACTATCTCCTAGTTCCTGGTCTGTGTATTCGCTTCACTGGGATCCGTTCTATATGGATACGATCTTGGTGTCATTGCCGAGGCTATCGCCAGTCCATCACTAGTCAACGAGTTCAACATTGACACTACTCAAAGTGGAGCCATCACAGCAGTCTTCACAGGCGGTGCTTTCTTTGGTGCTATCTTTGCTGGTCCCTTGGGTGATTATACGGGTCGTAAATATACCATCCTTGTCGGCTCTATTATCTTCTTGCTAGGAGGGTGTGTAATCCAGGCTTTTACCCATGTTGTATTGCGCTAACAAGAATAGTGGACTACAAACTGGAGCACAAAAGATTGCCTATCTATATGCCGGAAGAGCAGTTGCCGGTCTCGGGTATGTCAAGCCTTCTCATCTTCACCTACCTAGCTAGGTGCCTTGTTAGGTATCCACGACTAATCACTTCTACATAGCGTTGGCATCCTCGTGATGATAGTACCAATTTACCAAGCCGAGCTAGCACATCCAGACATCCGTGGTCGCGTCACTTCCCTCCAGCAACTGATGCTCGGAGTGGGCTCCCTCGTTGCCTCCTGGATCTCCTGGGGTACATATATCAACTTCGGCCCCACAGACTCTCGCCAATGGCGCATCTCACTGGGGATCCAAATGGTTCCAGCCGTCTTCCTCGCCGCGCTAATTCTACTATTCCCCGAGTCCCCGCGTTGGTTAATCGATCACGGTCGATTGGACGAAGGTCTGCATACACTAGCCCGACTACACTCTCGGGGAGACATCAATGACCCCTGGGTCCAGACGGAGTATGACCAGATTTGCAACTCCATCGCGCATGAGCACGAAGCTGAGGCTAAGTCTTATACGGAGCTTTTCACAGACCGCTCCTGTTTTCGACGGCTGTTCTTGGCCTGTTCCATTCAGGCTGCTGCTCAGATGACCGGCGTCAGTGCTATCCAGTACTTTAGTCCTACGATCTTTAAGCAGATGGGTATCGCTACCAATGATACGCTCAAGTATCAGGGTATCAGCTCTATCATTGCTATCATTGCCCAATTCCTTTGCATGCTGTTTATTGATAAGACGGGGCGACGGTGGCCGCAAATTCTTGGAAATCTTGGAAATTGTCTCTTCTTTGTATGTTCTCATGAATTTTCTTTGAGATCTAATCTAACCATTCCTATAGGTTATTCCCACCATATTAATCGCCAAGTTCCCCCCAGGCGCCACAGATAACAACTCCGCCGGCTGGGCCTTCATTATAATGACCTGGTGCTACAACTTCACCTACAGCTCCACAATTGGTCCACTGACCTGGATCATCTGCGCGGAGATCTTCGATACGAAAACGCGATCTAAAGGTGTATCCATTGCGACGATGGTCTCCTTCGCTTTCAACACCATGATCGGCCAGATTACTGCCCCTGCCATTGCTAATATTGGCGGCTGGGGCTTTTACATCATTTTTTGCGTCTTCAATTTTACTAACGCGGTGTTCTTCTGGTTGATACTCCCTGAGACTACGAGGTTGCCTCTAGAGGATATGAACACGCTATTCAGGAATGAGCCGTGGTTTGTGCCGGGAACACAGACGAAGAAGTTTATTGAGCGAAGTAAGATGCCGTTGCCTATTAGTCCGGAGAAGATTGAGCATTTCAGTACACATGAGGAGACTACTGCTTGATAGTCTACATGGTGCCTTATACCTGGATGCACGAGTTTAAGCTGTGCTGGCTTCTAACTTTGGAAGGGTTGAAGATTGGATACTTAGATATGAGATAGGATTGTGTAAATGTGATCAATGAGTTTACAGAGATCCTTCTCTATGGTTCATTTCATCGGACAATATATCGGGTAAATACCGGGAAATTACAGATTAATGGAATCGATCTTCACAACTCTTCCTCAATCTGTAAACGTTACATCTACAATCTGTAGTTACATCGATGTGGGGATAAACAAGAGAAATTAATAAAAACGTAGTTAAATATCAACTCCTTATCGGTATTGACATTGACATTGAGATTGATCTCAACACCTTCATCACATCCAAAATGAAACTCCTCTTCCTCCTCGTCCCCCTAGTCCTAGCATGCACCAAAAACGAAGACTGTAACCTAAACGGTCAATGCAACCAAACCTGCATCTGCGATCCAGGCTGGACAGGCAAAACCTGCGGAAAGCTCGACCTCCGCCCCGGCCCAACCTCCAATGGGTACAATCGTACAGAAGAGGGGATCTCATCATGGTGTAACGAAATCATCCATGATCCCATAAACAAAGACCTTTACCACCTTTTCGTTTCCGAATTCACGCACGGCTGCGGACTGGACTACTGGTCTCCGTACAGTCGGATTATTCGTGCGGAATCGGTGCATCCTTTGGGTCCGTATACCTTGAAGCAGGTTATTGTGTCTGCTTTTGCGCATAATCCTTCCGTGGTGTGGAGTGAAAGGGACAAGGTATTTCTACTTTATCATATTGGGTGTTCGCAAGATGTGCCGGCCGTGTGTGAGAATATGGAATTCTCGTGTGGGCCTGGGAACACTGTTAATGGGGAGAGTGGGATTAGTGTTTTGTCTTCTGAGGATTTGGTTCATTGGTCTTCCAGGGGACGAGTGGTTTCTGGCAGTAATGGAGGTTGGGATGCTGATGTTACCAATCCTGCTCCGTTGCATGTTGTTGATGTTGGGACTGATGAGACGATGCTTGCTTATCGGGGGTGCCCGTTTAATTGTAATGGGACGGAAAGGATCAATGTTGCGTCTGCGTTGGGGTATACTGGTCCGTATACTGGTCATTCTGGCCCTGTGTTTGAGGAACCCAGTGAGGATCCTTTTGTTTGGGTGGATAAGCGTGGGAACTTTCATATGCTGGTGCATTCTTTACTACCTGATGCAGGATTCGGGGATGGTCCCAATGTTGGGCGTCGTGGTTATTCGAAGTCTTGGGACGGCCCTTGGGTGTTTGATATGGAGACGGTGGCTTTTGATACAAAGGTTTTGTTCAGTGATGGATCAAGCATTGAGTACTATCGGCGAGAGCGTCCTAGTCTTTTCTTCAGTGAAGATGGAGAAATGACTCCGTTGTTTCTTTCGACTGGGGTTCAAGAGGTGAACTCTTCTGCCAGTTATTCGTTGATCCAGCCAGTTGGTGGAACTTAGATGAGTGCAGGGTGGGTACAGGGCTAGGCACAACTTAGAAGAGCAAAATACTGGTGATATTTGTAAATGACAAAACTACTACACCTCCTCTCGTGTCCAAAGCAATCCCAGTTGACTGCTTTATAGCATGAGAAACCCCTGGCCCAATCTGTACAGTATGTACGTCTATAACATTACTTCCTCAAAGAACACGCCCAGCGGAGGAACTCGTACTGCGGTCGTTGGTCTGCACCTTACGGAGACCCGCGCCAGCTTGAATGGAAGCAAGAAGAGCAGCACGGTTGTCACCGCCAGCGGGAGGAGCAGGTGGGGGAGGAATACCAGCAGGGGGAGGCGGAGGCGGGACACCGGGAGCCCCTGAGACAGGGGGAGGGGGAGGAGGAGGTGCAGCCATAGGGACACCGGGGGGAGGGGGTGGTGGTGGCGGCGGCGGCGGTGCACCAGTTGGCGGCGCAGATGGATCAAGAGATGCCACGGGAGGAATAGCTGCAGGCGGGGGTGGGGGTGCGATGGGGCTGGCTTGGACAGGAGTAGCAGTCTTATCCTCATCCATAGCACTCAGAGGGCGAGGGGGCGCCATGGTACCGAACAAAATGCTAGCAAGTTGTTTGGCACTGCCACCAGGTCGGTCATCCTCATCGTCAGAGGATTCGGCCTCAGAACCAGCATTAGACCAGTCATCATCAGCTTCGGGACGTGCGCGGCTCTTGCGTTCCAGGGGAGCCGCACCTGTAAAAGTCGGCTTGATGCTCTCTTGCTGCTGTTGCTGCGTGAAACGGTGGAAGGGGTTGGTTGACTGGGCAGCAGGCGAAGCAACTTGAGTAGACTCGGGCTCAGCAGCCTGGCCGAGTGACTTGAAGTAAGGGTTCTTTGACTCAGCATCAGGCGAGGCAGCAGTGAATGCTGCTTCGGGTGAGCTAGCTGCCAGGCTAGGGACCTTCTCTGCCTCTAGTGACAAAGGCTCAGGTTCAGGAACAGAGACAGTCGGAATAGGCGGTGGAGTGCTGAACTGCGGAGTGACACTCTCAGGGCCCTCATCATCCGAGGAGCTGTCATCGTTTTCCTCGAGTTGACGTTGCAACTCACGTTCACGCTCCCTAGCCTTCTCAAGCTCAGCGCGCTGGGCTGCGAGTCTGGCCTCGTTCTCCTTGGCCTGCCGAGCGGCCTCTTCTTTACGACGCTTCTCCTCCTGCTTCTTAACCTTGCCCTGTCGAACCTGTTCTTCGAGGGCACGCAGTCGAGCTTCTTGAGCTTCTTTCTCTTGCTGAAATTCAGCTTCACGCTGCCTCGACTCCTCCTCAAGACGTTGTGTTTCAATCTCCTGGGCATCTTGCTCCTCCTTAATCGCTTGCTCCCGAGCAGCCTGTTCAGCCTTGCCAGCTTCTTCAGCCTTCTTGGCATCGGCCTGGCCAGCGCTGTCGGTTCGTGCTCTGCGAGTAGGAGGTGCAGGTGGAGGTTTCTTGCTAGCGGCCTTCGGGGCAGCAGCAGTGCTCGGAGCCGGGCCACCACGTTCCTCAGCCAGGCGGCGCTGTCTCTCTTGCTCCCGCTGGGCATCTTCTTCCTCGGCACGCTTGACACGCTCCTCGCGCTCCTTCTTCTCTCTCGCCTGCCGTTGTTGGAGAGTCTCCGTAGCATCAGCTGGCTTTAGACCAGCAGCTGCCATACGCTCAGCAATGCGCTTCTGAGCCCGTTCTCTAGCAGAAGCCACGCGGTCTTCGTGCGTGTTTCCGGTGAAAGATCCCGACGATCCGGTCGACGCTGGGATAGAAGGACGCGATGCAGTTGACTCAGCCGCTGGCGAAGAATACTTCGACCGCTGCTCTTGGGCAGATCTCTCTCGACTAAAATAAATGTAAGCTTAATTCCTACACCGGGAAAACGGGGGGATGGAACATACTCTTCCTTGCGAACGTGTGCAGTCCGGCTGTTACGGCCGAGATCGTAAATGAAGTCCCGGATGATATTCTCAACGCCCAGGGCGTCTTTCCAGCGACGTCTCTCGTGCGAGCGGGTAGAATTGTCTCCCTCGTCACGGAGACTGTCCTCCAGGCTTCGAGCAAAATCGCGGACACTTTCTTCAACATCACGCGTCATTGTATCGTTGCGTTCTCTTTCGGCGTTTGCGTCAGCCCGTTCAGATTCCATCCGGCGAGCAGACTCGCCATTGTCCTCCTCTGTTGAGGGAACAGGGCGTCCCGCCAATTCCGCAGCACGAGCTTGCATACGAGCGCGAGCACGGGCCTTGATGCGGTCTGCCTCAGTAACAGCACCACCGGGACCAGTGCCAACAATGTTGGAAGCACCGTTAGGGTTGGCCTTCGCTTCCTTGAGGCGGAAGAGCTCCAGCTTCGCCTCGGCAATTTCGCGCTCAACACGGCGAACATCAGAGGCAGCCTGTGGAACCTGGTCTTGGAATGCTTGCAACTGGCGACGGAGGACTCTGCGTTCCGCTCCAGTATCCACGTTACGGAATAACGCATTGGGGTGAGTATCAATGTCGTCCTGCACACGCCGAATCCGATCCATGAGAGACTCTGCCTCACGACGGTCCCGACGGTCGAGAGCATCATCGTCCTCGGCCTTGTTCTCATCTTGGAAATCGACTGCCTCCAACATAATATTAGTCTCGCGAATCTTTTTCCGCAATTGGTCCACGGAAAGCTCATCTCCTTCGGATGTGTGAGAAGAAGCAGCAGGCGAGGGTGTGCGAGCATCGTTTCCAACACGACGACGCGCGCTTGACCGGTAGCCGCCCGCGGAGTCGTTGTTCTTGAACATGGTCGCATCTTTGCGGTTGGCGCCAGTTTGTCCTCCACTGCCACCACGGAAAGAGTGATCCTTGAGGTAGCTAACTCCTGTCTTCTGTGGCTGCAAAAAAGCCCCATTGTTCCTCCGGGTCTCCGCATCTTGGGATAAGAGGGACTTCATGGTACCAATTGAATCATTCAAATGTCTTGTGGAAGGAGGAACCAGCTCCGGCGGCAGTCGGTTAGGAACAGGGTAACCATTCAGGGCACGGTAGATCAAATGCATTCCGACGGCGAATTCATCCATATTCAAACGACCACGGTTATGAGGATCGGCGAGCGTCCAGATACGCTCCAGGTCCTTGCGATTCAATCCACTTTGGCCCATGATCTCAATAGCCGTCTCACCGCCAATGAAACCTTTGTGCATTCCATCCCAGGCACGGAAAAGTTCATCATAAATCTTCTTTTCCTCCTTGGTAATCGCCCAAGCTACAGTAGCATTACCCGAGAGATTGGACATGTTGAAGCCACCTTCACGACCAGGTTGAGGCATCAGCTGCTGCTTCATAGCCTCGATGTTAGGCAGGCCCTGCGCCGGAGTGTTGATGAAGCCCCATTGCCCGGGGATGCCAGTGGGCTGAGCAGTCAAGCCACCAGTCTGCGCAGGACTGAGGTTCGATGCGAAACCAGTGGGCATAGGTGGCATTGGGGGCCGAGGACCAGAGTATCCGGTAGCCTGAGGGTTGGTCATGAAACCAGTCTGCTGCGGCTGAAGAAACTGCGACTGATTCTGGAAACCAGTCTGTTGAGGTTGTTGCATGCCAGTTTGCTGGGGGAAAAACCCAGTGGGTTGGGCCGTCAATTGTGTAAGAAGGGCAGCATTGCTCGGCTGTTGAGGTTGGGGTTGCTGCACGATCGGTGGAGTAGATTTGTTCTCCAGGAGAGGAGCATCAAAGTTCGGGGCGTTGGATCGTGGAGCCGGCACCGGCTGGGCATCAGGAACACCAAACGAGATAATGTCAACCATGCTTGACACCTCGTTCTTCACAGTTTCAGGCAATACAGAGGGGACCTCTCGGCCAGTCAATCGCAGATTACACAAGTACATCGCCAATGCGAATTCCGGGAAGAACAGCTGGCCTGACTTGGTAGAATCACACAAGACCCAAATCTTTGATAAATCACTGCCCGGAATCTTGGAGCGCAGCAAAAGGTCCCTTGCCTTCTCGCCATCCATTGTCTTGCTATCGCCGACCGCAGACTTGAAGAGCTGCTCAAACTTGGCTTGGTCCTGAGCCGTAATGAACGAAAGCCGGATACTCGGGATTTTGGATCCCTTGGGCGGGACTTGTGGAGCCGGGGCAGCAGGACTGATATCCTGGAAGGAGTTCGCCATCTCGCTCGAGGTCTTGTATCGCGCAGGGAGTCCGGTGGCCTGAGGAACCTGCAATTGCGGCGGTTGCGGTTGCGCCTGAGGCTGCTGCTGATTCTGAACAGGGAATGCTGTGTATTGGGGCTGCAGGGACTGTTGCTGGGTCGGCTGCGGCTGCAAATGCTGTTGCTGTGGCTGCTGGCCAGGGAAGCCAGTAAACTGCGGCTGGAGCTGTTGTCCCGCGGGGAATCCGGTAGCTTGAGGTTGAAGGTGTGAGGCACCAAACGGCGACGGCTGACCAGCAAACCCAGTCGGCTGGGGAGCCATTAAGCCCGTTGGCTGAGGTTGCTGCATTGGTGGCTGTTGTTGACCTTGGGGGAATTGCGAGTATGGGGGCTGCTGCTGCATGAATGGTGCCTGGCCTGGACGGCCACTGGCACCACCCCCGAGGAAGGTATTCGACGAGGAGTACATTATAAAACCAGCGCTCGCATGGACAAAATGCAGATGCAAAATAACCACAGAGATGAAAAATAATCTAACAAATGCAAAGAGGGGGCGGATCAGGAGCAAGGTAAATGACGCTGTCGCAGGGACGGGGAGGCACGCTAACCTGTTTTGGGGTGCTTAGTCATGACTTTCCCCGTCCTTGAGTTATTAATATCTTTTTCTCCGAATACATGTGCATTCTAGTTTACTCAGATATAGACATGAAGCAATATTCCTACTATACCTCTTATACCATCTATTTACTCAGTCTCCCACTCAGTCTCCTATTTATTCTGTTACCGTATTACTTACATATCCAAACAAAGTACTCTCCAAGATTATAAGTAGCTAATTGGAAAGGAAAAAAGAGAACTGGACATTTTGGCGAGACTGTCGGTTCCAAACCTCAAAGAAATTCTTTTATCCCCTGTACTCATATAATCTTTATTTGAAAGCATAGCATAAATTGCGTTGATTCAGGTAGTAATCAACACTGAAGTCGAGAACTACAGCATTCAAGTGGATTGAATTATTGGGACTTGGATATTGAGGATGTTAGGAGGATCATAATGACGATGTCATTGTGGAGTAACTAAGCTCACGTTAAGAAACAAAAAATCCCAGCTCCGTACGCCAGACAAAGAAAAAACCATTAGAGGTCGGGAAAGCCAGACGTGGAAAATCAAAGAACTCCTTACTCGTGAGTCTGCTGGTTGGCAACATTGGCCATCTTGCGCAGCTCGTACTCCTTGGTGAATTCCCGAGATAGGTGACCCAGCTCCTTAATGAGCACGTTGCAGGTAGCAATGACTGCAGCACGGGGAGTAATCTCGCCGTCGGTCTGCACGCGCAGCTCAAAGTTGGGAGTCAATGGGTGGGGAACCTAGACACAATTAGTCTCACTGGTCATATAGAAAAGACAGACTTTACATACCCGGTAGGCAGAGAAAACCACATGGGGGTGGCGGAGCAAACGAACGCGGAGCAAGTTACCCAGGGTGTGGTCCTCCTTGTGGAAGGTGAAGATAGCCGCAGAAGGCAGACCTAGAAACAAGCTGTCAGAAAACCCATGTTGTTGTATCTCGATAGGTAAATAAATGTCTCACGGGTGTCGACCTCAACATCAATCTTCTTCTCGCCCGGACCGAGCAGAATAGCCTCGTAACTGCATTCAGACTAGTCAGCTATGATTCCGTGTCCATTACGTGAACGCCTGCAAAGGAAACATAGAAAAATGTTGTGATACAGTAAGTGTTCTTCGCCATCATACTAACACATCGGGGCGATCATCCACAGCGCGAAGGTGCTCTTGACGCGAAACGGGAAGACGGCCTCCGGCCCTCGCGATGGCAGTGGTCGCCGTCGTGAAGTTGATGGGGCGATAGCCCGAGGGGGTGGTATGAGCACTCATGACAATATCTTTCACAGTGGTATGACGTGTTGAGTACAGATGGGACTTGATCAGGTAAGGCAGTTGGAACAAACAAGAAAGTTGGGGAGAAAATGGAAAGTGAGGAGCTGGATGGCAAAATGAAAATCATCCATAACACGCAAAATGAAAAGTGGTCAAACGATACAAACGCAAAAGTGAACACATTATAGGCTGCTTCTTGTCCAGATGACTGCGGAGTCATATACCCGCACTCATCTCAACAAGAATGACATTCGAATCAAATGACGCCGCAAATTGAATGACCTCGACGGACCAGACAAGTTACATGGAGGCAACGAGAATTGAAGAACATCTGCAATAGGCACTTACCGATCAGGCGCGTTCATGATGATCCAATTATAGAGTTGGATGGTTGGATTGCAAGAATAGAGGGAAACGGGATAATAATTCGGCCTTGAATAGGCTGCCCGAAGATGTATAAGTATCCTATATTTCACATGCGTGAATGGATCAACGTTACATGAATGATTTTCCAATCAAATGAGGTAGGCGATAGCGTGGACTTGGTAATTTCAAAGCCGGCTCAAAGGGGCGTGATGGGTGGTTTAGTGGCCAGTCTTTCAATAGCTCCAATTTAAATGAGTGGATTTTGGTGCAAACAACCAAGACCAAATCAACTTGATTGCTTTACCCGATCGGTCGACCAAGGATTAAATAGGAGATGCGGATGATGAAGATCTGGAATTGATCTATTTCGATGAAAAGACGATGTCGAGAAGATCGAAATATTAGTCACATGATATCATAAAATCACGTGAATTTGCTTACGTAACATTAGCGCATCTGAATCTTGGAACCAAGAAGTACATTTATGTCAACTGGTAGGAAGCACGCATCAACCACGGTTATATCTCTCCAAGGATTTCATGGTCGACTCACTGCATATTGGTTATTGGTTATGCAACTTAGCCCACGTGCCCAAACTCTCCGTACAAAATTTCATCTCACCACATAGATCCACTTGGAAGCCTTTACATGCTTCTTTTTAAAGCAATCACCTTACTTTGAACTTACTAGAATTAGACATTCCGGTGGCTTCACCCGTGTTCAAGTGTAAGAGGTGTACCGTGAAGTGCTATAGAGGAAGATTCTAGGGAGTGGAATATTGAACACATCTCTATTCTGTCCCCGTTTAAGCTGATCTCGGGTCATCAACGCAAGATCTACAGATCACCCTGGGAAATATTTCATTCCTGCCGGCTGTATAAGCCTTTGTCCGGATACAGATTTTGGGGAAATAGCTATTTTGAAATTAATGAAAATGTCATTCAAATTGAAGCCTTTTCATATTCAACTAAAGCGACAAAAACGGAGCGTTGCGGGAGATTCTACGGACTAAACATAGGGTGAGTGCCTAGGTGTAAAGCGGTCAACGGTCTGTGTACAAATGTGTTATGTACTGTACCTAGAATCCGTGGCTGACCTGGGTGTTCGTATGGTCGAGTATTCAGATAAGTATCTGGGCCTAGGCTAGGTATCTTACGTTGCATTCTCGTCAGGAACTAGGAAAATAGCATGAAAAAGATCATACAGATGAAACATGGAATTAGTCGAGTAGTAGACAATATTCCTACCCGAAGAAAAAAAAAAGATGACAAAACACTATGCAAAGACAAAAAAACCATGAAAATGATCAAACATAACGCCATGGCCTCCCTGCGCCAATGCCAATAGAAACAAAGGAGCATACGTATCCATTTCAGATACCGCTTCCATGGGATATGACGGTGATACTAAAAACAGAGAAAGCCCAAATGAGAGCGGAGACATAGCTCCCGGCACATGATGAAGATAGAAATAGGAAAACAGAGAGGCTTCAGTGAAAGCCTGTATCGATGTATGTGCGTGGTCTTCGTGACGTGGGCAGGATAAGAATTATAAAAATGGGGGCGAAAGAAATAAAAGGACAGGAAGAAAGAGAAAGATTCTATACGCTGCAGCGCTGACAAGGTATCCGCGGAGATGCATGCTTTTGAAAGTTGGGGGAAGAGGTTCCGCTTAATGCACGACGCTCAGCAGATCTCCGAATGAGGAGGTTCCGCGCTTCAACTTCCAGTTACTCTTCTTCTTTTCTCGCTTTTTCACCATATCGGCCCAAGCTTCTTCGTCATCTTCTTCGTCCGAGGTATTCTGTACCTTGCGAATACCGGGACCAGCTTGACTAGCTTGTGAGACAGGGCGGACAGTGACCGTAGCAATCGACTTCGGAATACTGCCCGTAGACTGGGAGAGAGGCAAGTTCGAATTACGATTCTCATCATTCCAGGACTTGTTTAGTGGTGAGGCGTGGTGAGTGAGATCGCCCGGAAGGGCGGAGACGGGGCGGTATCGAGATGATAGGCCTGCGTTGCTGCGCTCAGAGGGAGCGATAGACGGAGCATATCCGGGCGAGTTTTGCTGGAAACCGCCAGACAGATTAGGCATTGGTGAGCCAGTTCGGCGCATGGCAATGTTTGGATCAATCATGCTCAAAGTGCGCTGGTCGTAGTTAGTGGGAGTTGGGGGAATCAGCCCAGGCATGGAGACTGGTCGCATATTGGAGTGGCCAGAAACCGAAGGAGGGCCCATGGGGGCTCCTGGCATAGGTCCACTCATCATCGGTGGTGTTGGCATAGGTCCGCCCATCATAGGTGGTGTTTGCATACCGCCTTGCATCATTGGCGGGGGAGGGCCCTGGATGCCCTGCATATGCATCATCTGCTGCATCCACTCCATCTGCATCTGCATCATGTTGGACATCTGGGCTGATAGTTGAACCTGAGCCTGCTCTGATGCAGTCATCTGAGATGGTGGCATCATAGAATATGGCCGAGGTACGCTTCCCATATCATACATAGCTTGAGTATTCGGGCTGCCTCTTCTCATGGCCCGCGCCTGTTCCTCTTGCGCAATCACTCCAACAAGACCTCCATGAGGCATGGGCGATGCAGGACCGCCGTGTACTGAACCACCACCCATAGCCAGAGACTCTCTGTTGCTCGAATTGACCAGACTAGCACCGAAATAGGGATCTCGTGGGAGGTTCCTGGCGAAAACGGGCAAGCTACCCCGATTCTGCTCGACACCCGCGAGAGAGCTGGAAGACGATGCATACGGATTCATAGACGCCCGAAGATTCGGGTTAGAGCTGACGTTGGCTAGGCGGGTAGGCGGCCGGTTACGATTGGGGAATCCATGAGCTGCAAGAATTCCCAACGGAACTTCGTCATCATCGCCTTCGTGGCTTTTACCGCTCGAAGACTTGTCACCTGAGCTAGCCAGGTAGATGGGAAGATTGGGGGTGCTACTGCTGGCGCCGCTCATGACCGGACGAAGTGATGGCGACGGGGCTTGTTGGCCCGTCACTTTCATCATCTGCTGACGATACACGGACAAATGTGCCTCTTGCTTCCGCCGTTGCTTTTCCGCCTCACGCTGCTTTTCCGCCTCGTCTTGTTCGTCAAACTCATCCTGTTCCGAGTCATTATCACTATCAGACGCATCGCTGTTCGAACGTCGAAGTTCCTGCTGCTGGCGGTAATGCTCGAATTGGGACGGAGTCATCACCTTGTTGCCTGGAGACACCGTCCTAGGCTGATTCTCCGCGAATTGGACCGCAAGTCGTGCACTATGTGCAAGGGATGGATCAATGTGCTCGTTTGAGGAAATCGAGGACATTGGATCCGAGGCTCGGGTTAAGGTAGGGCTGGCCCCCGAACTCTTGAGAAGCGGGGTGCTATTAGATGGGGACAAGCCTCCGCTTCGTACCGGCGGAGGACTGGTATCTTTACTCCACATAAGGGAGTTTCTAACCATCGTTGCGTCCTCGTCGTTGATGGCAGTGGAGTCTCGGTCCCCATAGTGAATTATACTTCTTCGCAACCCCATGTCCGACTGTCTATTAGGCCGGTCTAGAGACCGGTGAGAGGTGGTAGCACCGACCGTTTGGTTAGGAGCAGGGGATTGTCGACGGAACCCAGTCACTGTCTCAGGAGTAGAGATAACGGGGGAATAGGGATCATTGAGCAATCCCTCCTCTGAGTGACGGCTGTTCCATGAGTGAGGGGAAGGTTCAACGGGTGCTGATCGATCTGTATCAATTGGCGGAGGCCGTGCAGCACGACCTGTATTGTAGAATTCTGGTAGAGCTTGCGTTGGGGGGGTTGAGGATAACTATGACCATTAGTTTCGTTCCTTGCATGTAGCAGATCATAGCTGCATACCTGGTTGGCCCGCTGAGGGGAAGGATCTCGCATAAAACTTTCTCGCTTTCCTAAATGATCAAACATCTTTCCAAAGTCATCACCTCCCAGGTTCAAGTCATCGTCGGACAGCTTTGGCGGGGTGGCAGTTTCATCCGTGGTACCGCTCACGGCTCGCTGTCTATTAGATTGATCCGGTGTAGCATGCCGTGGGGGAGCCGGGGCAGATGGCTTGAACCGTCCACCAAACGAGAACGTCCGTCCTGCAGCAGCACGTAGTCCCGCAGCGACCGGAGGTGGTACGGGAATGTCCTGGATTCGGGAATGAGGGGAGGCATCGTCCGGGGAGGCAATCTCTGTGGAGGAAGGCTGAGTAGACGAGGAGCTGAGTCGGGTGGAGGTTGAGCTTTCATAGTTTGTCGTACCACTGGTCCTGGTCCGGCGTTTAGTCCATCGCGTTTTGAGTGAATCCATGGGCCGGGAACGATCATACCGATTTTTGCCCAGGGGCTGCTCCGTCCCCGCGAACATGTTGTCATCCTCCGAGGGCATCGCATTGCCCTCGCTCATCCGTTTGGTCAGCGCAGCACCATCGGTCAAAGATCGTTGAGGGCTCGGGCGCTCAAAGACCCGAAAGGATGGTGTCTCCACATCCTCCAAAACGTTGCCAGATGACTTTCGCCGAGCGAAGCTCTTAGGCAGCTTGATAGGCATCGGGGGTGGTGAAAAGAATAGAACCGGCTGTGAATAACGATCACCTCCTTTAATCGTGAATCAATCCCATAAGGTTCTGTGGTTCCTGGACGAGTTTGTATTTTCGAGGGTTGACGTGTCAAATGTGGCGGAGAAAAGCGACCAGTCACAGCTTGAGGCAATTATAGGGAGGGGTTTTTTTTTTACTTTTCAAGATCGACGAGTTGCAAGGGGAAGAATTGATGATCCACGGAATCAAAAAGTCGATCAGGGGACTGCGAAAGAATGGGGGGTACGAGTCAGTTGATAAAGAAGCTTCCAGCACGGCGATAACAAGCGACGCAAAGCAACTCTTTAGCGGCTAATCAAGTCCCGGCAGGAGTCCACCATGTGGGCTGACACCTTCGATCCTTTGTGCAATCCACTCAAACCCACAGAGTGTCCACGGGGTGTTGGGCAAGGTGATTTTCGGGTTTGGAACGATGCGGGTTGAGCCGATGGAACTCACAATCATCGGAACAACAGAATTCTCTAAGAGAAAACGATGGAGCAGAAGAAAAAAAGAGAAAGAAAAAAAGGTAACCCACCGACTGCGACTTCAGGTAAAGTGATCAGTTTCACTTCGCCTTCGATTGACGATCAAAAGCACAACAGCGAGTCAGATCTGGAGAGTAAAGTGGGGAGTGGAGAAAAGAGAAGGTCAATTCGGGTAGGACCCTGGAGGATCACCGAATCCCGAAAGAATGAAAATGAAATTGCGTCCAAACAACAACAATTCAGGGGGGAGGAGAAATGAGAGAGAATGTCAAAGAGAAAAGGAATAAGTGAAGACTAAACCGGAGTCCAGTCCCTGCATTATTGACCTTTCCGTGGCTGGGCCGGAAAGAGACTGGAGACGCATATAACGCTAAACCAAGTATTGGCCAAATTGGACAATGAGGCGAATCAGGCCAGATCCGAGAACAGTCAGTATGTAGTTTTTAGGTAGTGAATTATGTTGTTTCATAAGAATTTGAATTTTTTTTACTTTTCCCATTCCCCATTTGTTGACGCCCAAGTGAAACCTCCTTACTATGTATAGTAAGCGTGGGTTGCTAGACGGAGAAACCCGCTAAAAATAAACAACCCGAAAAACTAGTAGATTACGGGAAATACTGTAAATTATACAAAGTTCCATGGGCGGAGCACTGAGTTCCACGGATTAGTCTATTCTAAACAAAGATTCAAGGGGAATGTGAATTCTAAATTAGAAGAATGTTGTTGGCTGGAAACATCCTTGAATGTTATAAGAATAAGAATCGAGACTTTTAACTGACCTCAAAAGTGCTAGAATATTCGTCATCCTAAACAACCAAGCAGATCATCTGAGTAAATTCGTCTCATTTATTTTCTCCAGATCCACTTGTGCGTGTACTGTAAACAAATTACTCGAAACGAGGTTCGTCCACTATTGACCCACTAGTGTCACGTGAGATCGACGGCCATTTCCTGTATTGTGATCATATCCGGTCGGCTGATGGTCACCTCGTACAACACCGTCAATCGTCACACAGGACTCGACATTGGTCTACCAGACTTTTGGGGAAATCAATCGGAATAAATGGAGATAAAAAGGGAGTTGGATATACACAGCATGTCAAACGTCCCGTCTTCCACCGCAACAAACACCAACACCTATCGCCTATTCTATCACACAGATAATACATATCCTGCAGTTTATGCAATGATTTCATACCCCAAATCCCATTTCATGTCCTGGTAGGGGGTTTAGGGCGGTTATTTGGCAAAGTGGAGATCGTAGTTCAGCCACTTGCGGGCGTTAACACCGGCGACATCCAGACCAGGGGTGCCATAGGTCAGAGGCGCATAGAAGATAAAGCCACCGATGGTGGCTCCCAGAATAACAATGGTCGCGGCCCATGCGGCAAGCACCGAGTTGAGGCCCATGCGCTCCTTGGCAGTCACGAAGCGGCGTACATTGCGGCTGACCCGGGTACCCTTAGCCTTACCGGAAGGATCATCCACAGGGGGTGCGGCAGTGGTGGGGTCGATAGGCGACACATTGAAGATAAACTCGACCAGCGCTCCGGTCACCATGGTCGAGGCCAGGTGAGACGGCAGATAGTGGTGCAAGAAACGCTGGCGACCCATCAGCCAGAAGGGGAAATAGTGTGCAGCCCAGCACAGGAACAGGAATCCAGTGCTGTTGTACAGGCGTGAACGGGTTCCAGGACCCCAAACTATAAAGGAGAAAAATTAGTCATCAGGTAAGTGGCACGAGGGCTGGGGCGATCTGTAACTTACTTTCCTCCAATGCGTCAATGCCACGGCGAAGTGAAAGCTGGTCAGCTCCGACAATGCCGGCAAACACCGCCAGCAAACTGCTCGCAATCCACCATCCGATGGGGTTACCCAAGAAGTAAATCTGCTCCCGGGTTTCATTCTTAGTCCAGAAGCTCACACCGCGCAGCAGGAAAGGCCATTGGAAGGGCTCGGTGGCATAAGGGTGGCTGCTAGTCAGTGCGTTATTGTGGTGGAACATAGCACCCTGCAACTCAAAGTACTTGCGGAAGAAGGACAGTGATTTGACCTTGCGCTCCTCCTTCTGTAAACGTGGACTACCCTCCTCAATTCCTTCGATGGTCTCCGCATACCAGATGTTGCTGGACTGCAGAATGTTCTTGTTTCCGTTGATCTCGGCCTGCTTGAATCCCCACTCGGGAAGAGGAGTGGTGTGGGTCCACATAGCTACCCGCGTCGGGACATGAATGAGCTTGATCAAGCTTGAGAAAGTGCGGAATTCCTGGAAGGGTTTTCCATTCTCGATCTTGATCTCAAACAGCGTATCGTTGTGACGGTCGCCGTCGGCAAGTTCCTGCGAAACAGTGGTGAACTCCTGGTTGGTAGGGAAGAACGGGGATGCGACATCGTGGGTCAAGAGGAACGAATCAGTGCCAACATGACGGAGTTGAATAACGTCTCCATTCCGCACACTCTGGGGCTTGTCGGCGCTAACCAGGGGAACACTTGGGAGAATCTGCCACAGGTTGTTGGTGTCATTGTGAGGGTATCCAGTGACCTGCTGGCCTTGGCTGGAGATGCGACCATCGTCATAACGAAGGGGATACTTCTCCCAGTGGCTGTGAAGGAGGACCTTGGTGTCCTTGTGGCGGATACTAATCTGGTCGAAATATTGGATTCCAACCGACTGGGCGGTCATCGCATTGTCGCTGAGGGTCTCTTGGAACTCGGGGGACATGAACTCATCGCCAGGGCCGGATCGGTTGAGGATGGTAAAGTGAACCTGAAACCAGAAGAGGTAGAAGAAGAAGGGGATGATGACAAGTGCCACTCCGCGGGCCACAATGTGCTTGACCCAGGTAACCATATCGAGAGCACCGTCGCGTCGGTTGATATCCAAGAGATTCCACAGGTCGATTGCGACCGCTGCACCAATAGTGACGAAAGTGAAGACACCAACATATTTGGTCGAGATGACGCAGCTCATGCAGAAACCGGTCAGAAGCAACCACTTCCACCACTTACGAGTAAATGGCTGGTGTCGCAGCTTGTAGAACCGGACATAGCACAAGATGCTGAGCGCCATGGTGATGACCAAAGTGGAGTCCAAGAGGATCAGTCGGTCCTCACCAACGTGCGCATTGTCAAACACCATAAGACCAGCAGCCAAGACGCAAGCCGGCAACGAGTATCCCGATTCCCACATGATCAAAAAGACCACGGGGATTGTGAGGGCACCGAGGGTCGCCGGCATGGCACGAAGAGACAGGTAAGGCACTTTGTTGTCGATGTACGAGTCGCCGATGTTCTCGAACAAAAAGTGACCGTCGAATCCAACCAGCCATCCCATAAAGGCAAACAAGAGCTTTCCGAATGGCGGGTGAACGTCGAAGAAGTACGTGCGTTGGAGGTAGTACGAGGCAAACTAACAAAACATGACAAGTCAGACGCTGGTTCCGCTTTTTTTCTTCCAATCGCCATTGGAATTGGCAAGCTCCAGGAATCCTACCTTTCCAAAGTGAACCTCATCAAAGACGACCTCATTGGGATAATCGATGCGCCAGAAACGGGTTGCAAAGGCCAACGCGGTCAGAATGGACATGGCCAGCCAATAGTCCCATTCTGACTTGGGCTTGCTCGGAGCTGCCACGGGCCTTAAGGAGCCATCATTGGATGGCAGAGCAGTGTAGGCCTCCTTCTTTCCACCTCTCTTGCGAAGAGAGGGTGAAGGGGACGACATGATGAAAGGGAAAGGGTAAGAGAGCGACCGTGAAACTACCTATAGTCAATAGACTTCCGAAAACGTACAACGTCAGCAAGAGGTCATCAAGTCACGGAAATTCGTTCCATTTATAAAGCTTACCAGAACCACCAAAGGGCATGACACCCGAATAAAAGACCAAAAGCTGAAGAAAGGGTAGGGGAGGGGCCGAATTGGGGATTGCGTGTCTTCTTGGTTTCGGACAAAGGCTAAGGCGGTGGACCCGGAACACGCACGCTACTCAAGGGTCCTGTCCACAGTCCAACTCTGTTATATCCTCTTTACTAGGAAGAATATACGAAGTGCTTTACAAGAAAAAGTTTGTAAATTTTCCCGACCATCGAAATAGATGATACATACATTCCTCATCTTCTTTTTTTGTTCAAAGAATTATACCAACGTGTATAGTATGTTTTTGCTACCATTACTACACAGTTTGTACTGGCAAGAATTACCGAGGCCAATAGGGACCAATTTATCCAACCCCCAAATAGCTTGATCGCCCTTACTAATTTATTTGAAGGGATGATACTCCCTGCATCAACCATTTTCCGAATCAGCATTCGAGTCCTCAACTATTTACCCAACCTATATACACTTGAATTAAGGTTAGTGTTAAGTGCTTAAATAATATCCTATTAACTAGTATTTAAGTACAATGCTATAGGGTAGATATTATACATAGATATATTATAAGTACTTCTTTACTGCACGGGCTTAGATTTACCTCAGAAAACAGTACAGTGCCCTCAAAATTTTTTTATCTTTGATGCATTTTGAAAGTACCGAGATCTAGTTTTTGCTAATAGCACTTCCGATATGTTAATATCTTCTGGAGAAGAGAAATGTTGATTCTCACATGTGTTCTCAGATGTAGATTAAGTATATACATTCCTTTCACCTCCTCACATTTTAGAAGCTTACATATTTGATCTAGTACTTGAGATGCATTACAACATTTGAGTCGGAGATGTCGGTTCTTAACTTACCTTGGACGTGGTTTCTCCCAGCCAAATTGTGCCTTAAATCCTCCGTACTCCTTACTATGTTCGAAATTTGGCACTGGTCACCCGTGCAGGGCAGTGATCGTCAGGACCCACCTAGCGGTTCATGACACCATATTGGGTTTGGCGTAAGACGATGCCTGATCGACATAAGAAACCTTATTCCTTGGGATCTATTGTTCATGACCTATTTTGAGTTGTATACAGCGCTATGATAACATTTTGAATACACAGCCTTGTATCTGTCAGCCTTCTTCATCGTAACCCTGGATTGAACGTGGTAGTATAAGTAGTCGTAGAACCCGAAAAACGATTTTGTTTCCCATCCATCGCTTCCACCTTTCAGTATGCATTCTCCCTTGAGATTGATATCCGTTTTTTGGATATATAGCAGAGTGGTCTACGCTGACTACCTGGGTCCAACATACCCACCACCGGTTGACCTCTCTAGCCAGTAGAGTCTGGTTGCGGGAAATCATTCGCTACCTGAACCCGTCCACCGGCAAGGTAACGGATCTCTATACCAAACTAGGTGATTCGGGTTCTACGGCTCGATCATCGTTTTGATCCCAGATTACGATGCTGGATTTAGCATCCTAGCCGCATCGACTGGTGCTGAGCGCCCAGCAGTCACAAATGCCATTCTCGATTCTATTGCGGATACTGTCCTTCCCGCGCTGGAAGCCCAGGCTGCTTTCGAGGCGACGAGGAACTATGTGGGCACGTACGACTCTACGGACTCTGTCAACTTGACTATTACTGTTGCGTTCAATAAGTCTTCTGTTATAACGTCGAAGTCTGGCTTGAGTATTACGCGCTGGATCTCGAATGGGACGGATGTATTAGCGTCAGATCGAGTCCAGGGTGGTCGACCGAGGCTTTTGCTTAGTATTCCTAAGCAGACGGTGGAAGGGAAGGAAGGTCAGGTGGCTTTTCAGGTTACTCCTCAGCCGCAGCTTTGAAGCTACTTTGCTCTGGGGCCGAAAAGGCTTCAAACTACTGGGCCATTTTCTGGACAGTATAATACTAATTATGATTGGTTGGTTGCTGATGCGGCGCATTATGCTAGGCTTGGGATGAATTTGTTTGTGTTCGGTGTGAATGAACATGGGAATGCTATTTCCTTGAGGCCTGCTGCCCAGAGAGTTACTTTGCATAGGAGGTAGGTAGGTGGATTCTTTAGGGAGATAGAGAGATCTTTTGAAAATTTTTATTTGACTATATTTCTTGGTATTATAGACCGTTCAAGTATCGTCCAAATAGGTAAAGAGCAAGTAGTGGGCAACAAGACAAACAACCGCTGAAACAATATGCAAATGAAACGCTCCGTAACCAAAATGCATCTATGTGGATGTTTCTGCAAAAAAGACGCCTGAAAACGACTCGCATGGCTGGGTATAAGTCAAAATCGACGAAACTCAATTGTCAAGATCAGTCAGATCCAGCAACTCCAACTCGGTCTGCACCATCGCCTGGAACTCAACACGGCTCATACCTGTCGCTTGGGCCAAGCGGAAAAGACTCTTAATGCTGGTACCAATATGCTGCTTCACACCGACATCATAGTTGGACTGGCTAGCCGCCTCCTGCTCCAGTCTGGCAACGGTATCCGAGTGGCTTGAAGAGATGGATCCAGATGCAGGTCTCGGATGGCTGAGCGACCTAGCAGCGTGGTCAGTGGGCATGTCGTCCACCGTGTACCCGTTCGTGCGGGCCCTCTCGTCCGTGTCTAGCCCGTTCTGCCGCCGGAGGAGATTCGAAATCATATCCCCGCTCAAAGATGTCGGGCCAATCTCTGCCTGTTCTTCTTCCGGGTCATGGCTGTCTAGGGCTGGTTGGACGTCGCCGTACTGAGAGAAGTAGGAGGCCTCTGACAGACCGGACGGCGGGAGGTGGGATGAGCCACCAGCTGCAGCTGGAGCTGGGGTCTTAGGCCCCGGCGTACGGTTTGGGGTGGCATCGTACTGAGCCCAATAATCGGCATCGTCGTCCTCTTCCTGTTGGGCGTTCTGGTTGGACCCTTGGTCCTGGACCGGAGAGTCCAGTATATTAGAGTAAAGTCTCTCTTTGGCCTGGATGTTCGCCTCGCTGATCGAAGAGGCCCAGGTGTGTTCATCAGCCGCGGGGCCCTCGCGAGGAAGCAATTCTGCCAGTCGCCAACCACGACCACCGCCCTCCTCGTCAGTGGGGCACCAGACGTACACCACAGCCAAGTTGAATTCGGGTAGCAAGCATTGGGCCCGTAGTGTTTCGTCGTCAATGCGCTTATACATCACGGGCATATCATCCGGCAGTTCGATCTCGCCGGAGACAGGGTGTGGTTCGAAACTGACGCCGTCCACGATAGTCTGCAGGCGCTCTGCTTTGTCGGCATCCCAGCATAGTAATCGCAGCCATGATTCGTTGGCGGAGGTGGAGACGTCGCTTAGGATCTTAACACGCTGGCGGAGGATTGGGGAGAGGAGGGGAAGGAGAGCTGGTGGCGGACGTGGCGAAACAAAGGCTGTGGGAAGACAGGCGAGGAGGGGAGGGAGTAAAGTACGAGACTCTGGGGGATTGATGAGTTCAACCATGGTGGCTAGGTAAATGTAATTTTTAAGAGAGGATTGAGAGAATTAGAAAAGAAAAAAGCTGGAGGGAGGAACCATGTATTCAAAGCTTCCTTGGGGATCCATTCGCCCGAAATTCGTGGGGCAAAACGGGGCCGGAAGCTTACTGGCCTATTGTTCTCAGGCACCAATCGGACCCTAAATAAGTGAAAAAGAAGGTCATGGGGTCAACTTCTTATCGATAATTAGCTATTTCCGTGTGATCGGCCCCAAATACCCCTTTTACTTTACATGGATAGGACTCCCTAATCCTAATTTGGCAAAATGCCGGCTATTCTATACTCCGGAAATAAGCATAATCCTTACCTGGCAAGGATATTCACATGGCCCCCAATGCTCTCTGCTTACCCCTCAGCAAACATGCCATTTTGACATGGGAACTTATGAAAGATATCATAAAGGACAATCCATTTGGTAGGGTCTGAATCGATTCAGATCTTAGTCATTTTGAGGCCTTGGCTGGCTGATGAAATCAGTACACTTCAATCAATATCAAATGTGAATGGTCATATAATACTGATAAAAAGTATCCACAGATGCTAACCGGGCTATTGGCAGGGGATGATATCCCCCTTTCACTACTGTAAACAGCCTTAAACCTCTCTAATTTCCACCCTTGGAACCTAAACCTCTTAGGTTTACTATATAGAATTAAAGTGAACAAGATTTGAATTCTAGGCACAAAGCTGGTCATATCTATATAATACTTATATTATAGTAACTTTTTACGATGGTTTTTTCAAAAACACTCGGCGTTTAAAATTGCACCTTTATTGTAAGACATAGAATCTAGATAAGAAAAAACCATTGGATTCTAAGGAGAAATCTGATCGTTTTACTCTATAACACTCAGTTTATAGATATTTCAGCTTAGAGCGTATCTTTTGATGTAGAAATTCAAGTTAGAAAGAATTGTCGGATTCTATGGAGATTTCTGACCATTTCTGTGTGCTACACTGATTCTAGAATATATATATTTCTGCCTCAGACCACAACCTTCACAAAGGAAGGATCCCTATGAATAGATATAGGTGGAACATATATATGCAATATTTTCTCAAAAGTCTTAATTAATATCAGATGATCAGATTGATGGTAATGAGTCTGGAGCGACCAAAATTGAGACCAGATCTGCAGAGCTTCTGCAGATAATTGGCACTATTATTCCCGCTTTTTAATTAGTCCATTACAGTATACTGAAGGTTTGACTTTGATTGGTGCTGTACGTATCACGTCATCAGCATTCGCTTATCAAAGTCACTTCGTCCATCATTGATTCGGCTACGGAGAGATTCCGGCGTGTTCGGCCATGATCCTGGCATGCAGGAGCTTAGTTACACCGGTTAGCGGGCCACCATTGGCAATCAGCTTGACCCTCAGCTCTTTCTTTGCCACAAAAATAAAACACATTGAAAGAGGAAATCACCACAATTTTCTGTGGAATTTTTTTCCCTAGTGTTCTGCTTGAGCGAAGACTGGAAAATGACCCCAAACAAACATCCATTCTTATCCTCGGCCGCTATTGCCGAGGAACCGCCGACAAGGTTTATAGCGAGCAAGACAGACCTCCCCCACAACTCCGATCAAGAACCCCTCGAACAACATCAAAATGATTTCGAGAGCCAAAATACCGAAGGCCCAGCTTTGGAGAGAAGAGTCCGCTGGAAAGCAGACGTCCGCTTGTGTAGCATTGCAAGCCTTCTGTGTAGCCTGAATCTCCTGGATTCCGGCATCCTCTCCTCGGCAGCGGTAACCACCATGTTAAGTGATCTCCAACTAGACCAGGGCTCCCGGTACTCTGTGTCGATTTTCATCTTCACCATCGCCAGTGTCGTATTCCAGCTACCATGTACAGTAGCCGTGCGCTTCGTCGGCCCTCGGCTCTGGTTTGCGACTATCACATTTGCGTTCGGACTATTGACACTGTGTACCGCTTTCATTCATACCTGGCGCGAGATGATCGCCTTGCGTGTGTTGCTGGGTATCGCAATGTCGGGAATCTACCCTGGACTCACATATCTCATTAGCACATGGTATCCTCGGCGCGAGCAGCAGCTCCGATTCGCTTTCTTGCAGTCTGGAGAGGTCCTGGGGATGGCGACGGGGAATATTGTGAATTTCGGACTTAACCACCTGGATGGCAGGGCTGGTTTAGCAGGCTGGCGCTGGATGTACCTGGTTCAGGGGCTGATTGCCTGTGTGCTGGGGATAGCTACGTATTGGTGGATGGTGGATTTCCCGGAGAATTCTGCTCGGAGCTTTTACTTTCTGTCAGAAAAGGAAGCGAGGATTGCGTCGCAGAGAATTCAGAATGATCGCGCTGATCTGGTGCTGGAGCCGTTCTCGTGGGTCACATTATTTGCCAGTTTCAAGGATCTCAAGATCTATGGTTTTGCTTGCATGTTCTTTCTTCTCAACTTGGTATCGACTTCATTGTCGTATTTCCTTCCGATTATTCTGGAATCGGGGATGGGATTCAACTCCAACCAATCGATTCTACTCTCAACTCCTGTAAGTTTGTCATGCATCTTCATTGACTCGTGCTGACTGGGCTATCTCAGCCTTACTATTATGCCGTGATCCCAGTGCTTCTCACATCTCTAGCGGGAGATTATTATCGCAAGCGTGGACCATTCATCGTTTTCAATGCGCTCTGCTTGATAGCTGGGTTTCTGATGTTTGGACTCCCCCAGTCGAAACAAGTGGCTGTGCGCTATATTGGAACATTTCTAGCCACGGGGGCTTATGTCTCGAACTGGGCTGCCCTCAATGCTTTCCAGGCGAACAATGTTGCCGGTCAGTGGAAGCGCGCGGCTACTTCGGCTGCCGTGACTGCTTTCAATGGACTGGGTGGAGTGGCAGGTAGCTATATTGTGCGTGCACAAGAGGCCCCAAGGTACCAGACAGCAGTGTGGGTATCTATTGGGTGAGTTCTGGTTCAATTGAGATGTTTCATTTTGTACTAACATTTGATAAGATCCCATATCCTTATGATTCTACTCGTTGCTGCATTCGCGGTCTATTTCCATGCCATGAATCGGCAACAAGCTCGAGGACTAAAAGTAATTGAGGGTGTGGTGAGTTTTGAAAAGACACAAAACACTGTATTTTGGCTAACCAATTACGTAGCCTGGCTTTAGATATACTTACTAGAAGAATCGTCCTTCATGCCTCCATAGACAAGCCCATAACTCTATGATCAATCACGAATAACACGCTATAAGAACCCATTCCAAATGTTGAATCGAAGCTAGCCATGATGATGGAACTTAAACCACAGCATATATAATGTATTCTATCGAACCCTAGACAGAAGAATCTAAAATTCCATTTAGCCCGAGCTGGAATCGAATCTGGGTCTTGTCAATTATGGCTATTCACACCGAGTACTTAGAAGGTACATCGTGAATAGCCTCATTTGCATTACCCATAATTTCACCTACAAACTGACCCACCACTATAAAATACCCCACACTTGATATAAGATAAATCTGATGGGATATGATGATCCAACAAGTTGACAATGTAACTCAAAAAATTGTTTAAAAAAAATTCCTACCCAGACGACTCCTGTGCTGTTGTTGGTCACTTTGGAAGGGTCTGCTCTGAGTTGATGTTTCCCGGTACTAATTGACAACACCATTCAAGTCCCGTGGGCTAACTTGTTTGGTCACATTTAGTGCCAGCGGGTGGGAGTGTTTGCCACTCGACCACACGGATGTCAATTTGTGAATTCTATTCCCTTAAAGGTAGTTATAGCCGAAATACTAATTCCCTCTTCTTACTGCTTCTAATGCAGTTGGCTTTTCGATTTCAATACTATTATTATGGTCTTCAGTGATATCATTCTAAAAACACTTTTATTCAACTTTTGGTCTATGCATTTGTTTGTAAAATAAATTTTTGATCGCTAAACTTTTCAAACCCCGGCTGTAATATGCACTTCATAAGAAACCCAGGGATGATGTCGTGGGCCCTCATCTTCATCACCAAGGATCCATGACCGCTGGTCTTCTAGTTCCGCTAGAGAAGAAGGTCGACTACTCCAGCTTACTTCTCGCTGAATGTAATTTCCTTCATATGTATAGTAATCAACACTTTTTCGCTCTGTTTGGATGGTATGTGTGTACCATTGCTCGTGCTCGTGCTGGGGTCTTCTCCGTGATCGACAGCAGGAGATTTTCGTAAGAAGGGACTGGGGCACGAAGTGGGTGACGAGAGGCCCGATACTGACCAGGCAAGTGGCTATGACGATAATGGCACTTTCGGCCATTGAAATGATGCCTAGTTTGATTGAGAACCCTGTAAAAACAGTATTAGCAGGTATGTGATGTTTAGTCACGATTTGTGACTCACAGGTCCTATCGTTCAACTCGGCTCTTGGGCTTGTAAACCAGATGGCCATTCGGAGAACACTGACGACAGTCCCACTGGATAGATGTTAGCTTGTAGGATCTCGAAAGACCAAGACGGTTCTTACAGTCCAGATAGCAGGAATACACCCGTCAGAGCTACTTTCTGCACTCTTCGTGCGTGTAGACTCCACACAAGGGGAATAGGTAGTACCAGGAGCATCAACCCCGTTAACACATTGATAGGGGAGATTGCGCGGTAGAATGTTGATTGGTTGACGCATGTTCCCTGGATGTTGGGGTTCCAACCATGTTCGATTGGAGAGCACTGGAATATGGTCTCAAAAAATACTGTAATTCCCAGCCCCAGCACTAATGCCCCGATGGTATACGGGATGATCTGAAACTTGCGCGTATAAAGAATCCGCATGTAGAAGATTCGCACATAAAAGAGGAGGAGCGATATTTTTGCCGGGGTCACAGTGAAAGGAAAATCAAGGAGTTCCAGGACGAAGAATCCCTATTTTGAGATTGTTAGCTTGATACCGGCATTCCAGTGAGCAACATTACCTTTTTCATTAGGCTTATGTCCCGGATCGGATAGGCAAGGTCGTTCACATGATGCCCAAAACCTGCTACCTCAACCACTAAACGGCGTAAGCTTTTTTCCTTTTGGACGTGGGTTACTCCAAAACTTACAAACAATGAAGATGACCGCTTTAGCTAGGCTTCCAGTCTGTGAAGCACGAGTAAGCATGGAAAAACACCATCAGGAACTGTACATACCAAAGCAACAAGCATAACATAATCATCAGCGCCACATTGAGTATGTTGTAGAGATCGAGTATAGAACCGTGCGATGACAAAAAAAATCTGTAGCACAGACAAGGTCACGCTGACACCAATCAAAGCAGATCCGCCTGTCGATGGTGTCGCGCCTTGCTGCCAGTCAATGCCACCCATACTGAACTAGGGCGGCCGGTTTTCATCGATAGAGCAACAACCTCCGTCATTGAAGATATGAAAAGGATAAAGCTAAAGATCAAATTGGAGGAGCAGGATTATCCATATATCAAGCAAGAAGATCTAATATTATGGTTAGAGACTCCGAATCCTTTGGCCAGCCTCGACTCCAAAAGCTTATCGGAGCGCAGGGGATATATCGGGGCTTTTCTAACCGAAAAGAGGAGGTAAAGTTTTAGCAAGCTATGGGAGACTCGTTCAAAGGCATATTTCCTACTATCATCCATGGCTCCGGGATTTTTGTGTGATGAAAGGTGGGTGCTACATGTCAAGTTGAGGGGGTGTTATCAATCCAAGGCGCTGGGATCGATGAGCCGCGGGGGATTGGAGGAAGTACAAATCCTTTCAAATATGATTGGTGGTTGACTTTAAGGTTAACTGGGTTTCCGTGGATCATCATGATGATAAAGGGCAAGTCGTTCCAGAACGCGATTGACATCATCGCTTTCACCATCTTAATTCTAGAAAAGCCATTCCGTCTTCATTCCGCCCTCGATCAAGTGGGTCAGATGCTTCTTTGACCGATTCGCCCTCCATTCTTCTCTTTCTTTCGTCCATCTCGGCAATCTTCTCGGCAATCTTCCGCCTCCAAATATGCTTTTGGGCTTGTAAAATTGTCGGCAAATAATTATACCTTAACTTTGTTTTATGGGTTGCTAGTGCTTAAGCTCCCGGTTTTCCACGATGTTTCGGCTATCCTCAATGTCAAATGTCTGATTTCCCCTCTTTGGAACCGATCAGTATTCGTTCGCGCATGTAAATTCCTAGAACAGCGACTACCGAGCTGGTAAATTCAAGATTTTGATCAAGTTCTCGGTGAGTTCCGACATCTGGATGTTTGTTCGGCAGTACCTATTCGAATGTATGCTTAAAAAGGAAGATCTTGAGAAAGGAAGATCTTGCTCCTCTTTTACTCAGATTTGGTATGAAGGGGCCAAATTTACAGTGATCTATGTCCGTCGTATCTTGCCATCGGGTCCAGACCTTTCTATGCTTGGCTGCACCAGCTTAAAGATATCAGTGCTATAGATTACTCCATACACAAGGAAAGCTTTGGAGATTGGGCAAGATCGCATCGTCATAGTCTACGGATATGGTGGCTTACCCGATGGACCGAAACATTCGGGCGTCTCGCTACCAATCATATATCTATGCAGTCAATAGCTTACTTCCCCAGTCCTCTAATCCGAATTACTTACAGCAGAGGGTGGCTAAACGTATATCCTATCTAACTTTGCTTGATTGGGATCTGCGCTGTAGCACATGTCTACATCTTCATTACTTGTAAATTTACAGGAATGAACAAAGTTCCAAACAGTACAATTAAGTTAATAGAGAAACAGCAAGCAACCGATAATGGTATGGAAATTAGTGGCTTTCTGTCACATGCTTCGCAAGAACGTTCTTTCTCTTGTAGTACTTCTCACGACTTGGCTGATCGCAAAATAGTTTTAATTCAGAGATGACGATGTATATGCGTTATCAGTTCGTATACATGCAAGCGCTGGATGGTTCTCTGATCTCTTACTCTAAGCATGGAATTTTGGGTGAGTATTGTGGAGTTGATGGGAAGATCTGGTAATGGCCTTGCTTTTCTGGAGGACGATCCCACGACCCACTCTCCTCACATCAGGATCAACCTTTCTATCTTCCATTCAAGGTAAGTCTGTTAGGATTTCTCCCGGCGCCATGTGGCTAAGCTGGGGATGCCAAGCACAAGTAGGTCAAGGCCGGGGAGGACTACACTAGAGCTCCCTCTAAGTAGGTTTAGCGTTATGTAGAAATTAACATCAGAATTTGGCAAGTTTCATAAATCTTTTGTAGATGGAAAAAAGGTGCTGTATTAAACGGAATCAAAACTCATAAATAAGAGTCAGCCACAGAGTATGTTGTTTTGACTTTGGAATAGGCTGACTTGAATCCTGACCCGTGGATGAATATTCCGTGCATGAACTGATTAGACCTTGAATCCTCCAACTTGAGACATCCGAGTGGATATGTCTGATCCGTCGCCAAGAATTTTATCTGTCTGGCTTGAGGTCGTGATGGTTAATATTAAGTGGTGTTTTATATGTAACGGCCTACACAAAAACTTAAACATGTGCAGTCATATCCGATACAATTGTGTGAGTTCATATCCACTGGATTGAAGAATGGTCAACATTCGAGAAGTAGAATATTCAAGAGATACGAACATCGTAGAAGTATGTGATTGAAGAAAGGGGTATATGGCAAGCAAGACTGGACATGGCAGAAATAAAGAGACGATAAAAAGGCTCACGCCACCCGATCCTTCTGTTCCAGCTTCCCTACTAACCGTTTCATGCCTGTCCATTCATCAGCGGGAACCTCTTCCGCGGGCCCACCAAGGCCCTTTCCAACCTCAAAGACAGTCACAACTCCGTTGACACCACCAGTCGCCAGGCGTCGGCCTTCTCGTTCCTCCCAGGCAACCTTGTTCAAACTGCGAGACATAACCGCGCCAGGGCCACGCGAGGGAGTGGTTTTAACCACTGGAACCTCGGTGTCTGCATAAAGATCCCACACTTCCAGGTTACCGGCACCGTCTACGAGGGAGAATACACCTGGTCGGTGAGGAGACCAGCGCGCATCGTAGACCACATCTTCCCGGGTAATATCCAGAATGGGGGACACTACCTGCGCGGAAGCCACAGTAGAAGTGACAGACGCAGTAGTAGCTGGCGGCCGCACGCGCCAAAGCTTGACGCTCCAGTCCAGACTAGAGCTGAGCATGAGGTCACCCAAGTCAACAGGTCCCCGTCCAGGGTGGAATGCAGTAGACATGATTGGTGCTGCGTGGCCGCGGTAGGCGAGGCGGTGATCGGTACCAGCCTTGGCTCCAGCTCGGTCGTATCGATGGCAAGGGTAGATGCCACCTTCTTCAGTACCCACAATAAAGAAAGTTGGGTCAGATTGGGGGAAAGACATGGTGGTGGGTGCGAGATCTTCCGTCTTGGACGGGGGAGGTGTTGTCAACTCGAGATATTCCTGGGGCTGAGAGAGCATGTCCACTGTCCAGCCACAGACTACTCCATCGGTGGAGGCTGTCAAAATGTTATGTGCGTTCTGAGTGCCCACGATTGAGATGCTGTAAACAGGATGAGTATGTCCAGATCCAGTTAATGGCGTCTTCTGCACGGGCGCTCCTCCGCCCATGCGCGAGGAACGAGTGTCCCAAAGGAGAACTTGGCCCGAATATGAACCACCAACAATGAGGTTCGGGTGGAAAGGGGAGAATTTTGCTGTAAGAATGTCGGAAGTCGAGTGGAAAACATATTCGGGGCGGGACTGTAGGTGTTGGTTCCAGACCTGAACGAGTCCGTCCGGTTCATGAGGAGCAGATGGGTTTTTCGTGTAAGATGCAAGAACCAATTCAGGGAACTGGTGATAGGTCAGTATACATTGGTTTTCAAAGGTCGGAGCTATCAAGTCACGCCCACCTTTTGGGAGAAGCTTATGTCTGTGACCATACGCTTCTTGCTCCAACGTTCATCCCAGAATTGGCAGACCTCCCGGATGCCCCTCCGTTTCTTGCCAGTCTCCTGGTCTTCCTCCAAGTCTCCATCCACGCCACCCAGCTCGTAGTCTGCAAGAACGTCGTAGTCTTCGTCTAAAGCTCTCTCGATAACCTTTGACGATCGCTCAACAAAGTCTAGGAAATCTTCCGACGATGTCACAGCCTTCAACTCGTCGTCATCAAGGGATCGTAACGGATACCGGAGCTGTGAAGATTGCGTAGCAGAAGCCCCATTTGTGTCCTGCTGGGCTGCTTGCAGTTCCTCCTCAATCTCCTGGCGAATCCTCTGCCTAATCTCATCATCCCGCTCTCGGTCCCGGCGACTCAGCCGCTTGCTCGATCTTGTTGTATCAGCCAGGTCTTCATTGTCCGACGCAACAGAGCCATCCTGGGACTCTGTTTGCATACCCAAGTCATCTGTCTGAACGGCTTTGCTGTATGTGACAACCTCTGGTCTTGGTTCAGGGGGGTGCGGGGCGTCGGATGCGGAGGCGCTGTAGGTCTCTGCTCCAACAGTCTGCGTAGTCTGTACGGCAATAGAATGCAACTGCGGTCGCAACGATGAAGGGGTATTGGTATCGGCATTCTCCCCACTCAATTGACTGGCACTCAAGACTGAAGCTGGGCGGCTGCCCTTTACAGACTGGCCCTCAGCTCCATAGCTGATCGTAGCAGATCCGGGGCGATCTACCAGACGCGTAATTAGCTCTTCAAGCTCAGCTCTACTGCCAGAGTGACTGGGAACTGGGGAAGCAATCTATTCCGAAATTGTTAGAGACCCTGATGTTTGTAGCTCCACGGGGCGTCGGCATTGTACCTCTGAAGCATCCCCGACACTGTTCCGATTGCTGGTAAACTCCTTCTGACGAAGTTCGCGCTGTTTTTTTAACTCATTCAGCCTAGCCCTTTTGGCCAGAATCTCATTCTTTCGCTGCTGGATAGTCGACATTTTAGAAAACCGACCAGCCAAAGATGTGATGTAGCTGTTGTTATCGTGTTGCGCTTTATTTACGGGGGATGACATAAGCGCCTCCGAGCGGCGCCGGAAAAACTCGCGCAGGGACAGAGAACCTCGCCTTGCCTACATTCAACTGCCATTGACGGTCTCCTGTTGAACGGTCCTTCGGTTTTCTTCTCCCTAATTTTTTACCCACTCCTTAATCTCCCGGAGACCTCGAAATAATGGCTAGCACACAGGGTGTTAACGTGAGTTTTATCCCGGCAATGAGCCATCCTCGACTTTCCCCCTCAAATGCGACATCGGATGTTGACTCCCATTCGCAATGCTATAGGTCTTCCGCTACTCGGCTCTTGTGGCCGGTCTCGTCTACGGAGTCTACCACCAGTCCTCCCTTAACTCTGTCGCTAAGCGCGCTGAGGCCGAGCACGAGTACGCCCGCAAGGAGCGCCTGATCGAGCAGGCCAAGGCCGAGTGGAAGAAGCGCAGCCAGCCCCAGGAGATCCAGACACAAGCCACTGGCCGTAAGTGATCATTATTTTCTGCAAACATTGCATTGAATGGGAAACCCCAACAATGCCGAATACCCCCCGGAAGCGCAGTGCTAAGCCGTGTCTCTCTAGTCATTACCGACCCCGAGAACCCCAAATTCGACCTCGAGGCATTCTTGCAGGCCAAGGCTGAGTCGTCTTGAATATGATGGAAATGGTATAGAGGAGGAATGATGCGCAACTCCTTGCGGAACTCGCACCTCCCCCCAGGGTATTAGAAGTGATTTGCTCGGATCCATTTACTTGTACGATTGTTTGGGGCCAATTCCCCTTGAGTTGCAACATTGCGAGCGAAAGACGGAATGGTCTCGTTTTGATTCGTTTTCTTTTTTTGTCATCGGTTTAGACGCTATCATTTGGGTCCTGTACATACCCTGGGCTGTGGTGCGTCTGTACACTACAGTTTGGACCACAAGAAAGAGCAAAAGATCGTTATGCATTCCGGCGTTACTACTAGGCCCTCATATCCGGCCAGTCTAGAGTTTGATGGGCGTTCTGCCTATTCCTTCGAACCATTTATAGTCGGGTTCCATGTAGATGCGTACTCCAATATTCACCCCAGCAATCCAATTCCTAGCAATTTCAATTACCCCGGTTACCAAGCAAAGCCATTGCATCCTGTATCCCGTTTGATGACTTTGCATCGGCAGACTGTCGATGTATCGGGGTTGGGTATAGCAGCTTTGATTCCGCATCCCATTGCCACCCGTAGTCTGTAAACTTCTTTATAATAGCCGGATCTGCTTGTTCTGCGGCCGTAGGGTCTAGACCCAGGTAGGATGCTGCTGTTGAGAGCCGTATTGCCTCGTAGGAAGTGCTGAGAGCGATTAAGGTCTGGTCTTGGAAGAAGCCTAAGTGATCGATATCAGTATAGGAGCAGCGGTAAGGAAGAAGAGAGCAAGAGGACACAGACTTTCATATCGCTGGACTAAGGGCTGCAAGTTTTCGGACCAAGGAAGATTCCGAAGGATCTGATAAACCTGATCGTGCCGGGTTTGCCAGACTGCTCTTAGAAGAGTTAAACAGCTCTGCAAGCGAGGATCTTGATAGCGTAGAACATCGGGCATTCGCTGGCTTAGAGCACGGGCTTCGGGTCTAGTTGTTTCAAGGTCAGAAGATATATCTTCCAGGACGAGGTATATCATACTGACACTTGTTTAGTGAGGAGATGGGCGAAGAAGAATATAGAGTAGAACAAGCCGAGCAGTTCTGGATCATGATTGCCTGTTAAATACAGGCGAGGATCTGTTTCATACTGCGATAAGATCTCAAATAGTTGTGACGGAGGAAGGTTTGATGCCGCTAAGTTAGAGAGCGCTTCGATAGATGGAGTGGGGAGCTCCATTTTGGAAAAAGATAGACAAATAATGTTTCAAGGAGCGCATAGGAGTCTCGGTACTCAGAAAGTACTCAAACCCCCGGGCGATAAATAGAAAGAACAAGTAGAAGTGGTGGATGCGGGGAGATCATAACGGAGGTGGCACCTTTCTCCGATGCCAAGACCCTCAAGAAGTGACCACCTTGCGCAGCTCCTCTTCCTCCTTCAACTCCCCCGAGCACCAACCAATTTGGCAATTCCTGCCCTTCGTTCTTTTATTTTCATGTTTCACTATTGATTTTCGGTTCTTGGACTTTGCTCCTTCTTCCTGGCCATTATGGCCAAGTTTTCTTCTCTTGATATTCTGCTGAAAGGCAGCTCCGGCCGGAGCACACGCGGTCTCCTGCGGATCGTCATCTTGTTAACTATTGCAGCTGCCGCCGTCGCCAGTCGACTGTTCAGTGTTATCCGTATGTTATGAGGCAACCAAGGCACTCTTGGTCTATTCAAATACTAACAATTGATTCAATTCCAGGCTTCGAAAGTATTATTCACGAATGTACGATTTCCCCTTGGCGCTTCATGCATTATATACAACGTGGCCACCGGCCTTCGATCGAATGAGATATTGACATTTAACGATTATAGTCGATCCCTGGTTCAACTTCCGAGCCACAAAGTATTTAGTCGAGAATGGTTTTTACAGTTTCTGGGACTGGTTCGATGACCGTACGTTCCTCCATCCCCCCGCAGCTTGCGCGTCCCCCAATGGTCTCACAGGGTAATGCTGATGACCACATTTCCCGCTATTTAGGAACATGGCATCCCCTGGGTCGTGTCACTGGTGGCACTCTTTACCCCGGTCTCATGGTGACTAGCGGCGTGATCTACCACATCCTGCGCTTCTTGACGATCCCGGTCGATATTCGCAATATCTGTGTTCTGCTCGCTCCTGGCTTCTCTGGCCTGACCGCGCTGGCCATGTACCTCTTGACTTGCGAGATGTCGACTTCACCGTCAGCTGGTCTTCTGGCTGCGGCGTTCATGGGAATTACCCCAGGTTACATCTCGCGGTCCGTGGCCGGTAGCTACGATAACGAGGCCATTGCCATCTTCCTGCTTGTATTCACATTCTATTTGTGGATTAAGGCCATCAAAAATGGCTCAATCATGTGGGGAGCTTTGACTGCCTTGTTCTACGGATACATGGTGTCTGCCTGGGGTGGTTATGTCTTCATCACCAACCTTATCCCCCTCCACGTTTTCGTTCTGCTTTGCATGGGTCGCTACAGCTCTCGCACGTACATTGCATACACCACCTGGTATGCTCTGGGAACGCTGGGCAGCATGCAGATTCCATTCGTTGGATTCTTGCCCATCCGCAACAGTGATCACATGTCTGCGCTTGGTGTCTTTGGTCTGATCCAGCTCGTGGCATTTGCCGACTTTATTCGGGGTTTCCTTCCCGGCAAGCAGTTCCAGAAACTTCTAACCTCAATGGTCCTGCTTGTTTTCGGTCTGGGCTTTGCTGGCTTGATCCTGCTCAGCATTTCCGGTGTCATCGCCCCCTGGAGTGGTCGCTTCTACTCTCTGTGGGATACTGGCTACGCCAAGATCCACATCCCGATCATTGCATCCGTCTCCGAGCACCAGCCTACCGCCTGGCCTGCTTTCTTCTTTGACTTGAACTTCCTGATCTGGCTCTTCCCCGCTGGTGTGTTCTTGTGCTTCCAGAAGCTCAAGGATGAGCATGTGTTCGTGATTATCTATGCTGTGCTCTCAAGCTACTTTGCTGGTGTCATGGTCCGTCTGATGTTGACCCTCACTCCGATCGTCTGTGTCGCCGCGGCCCTTGCCCTGTCAGGCGTGCTTGATCAGTTCCTGGTGATGTCAAAGCCCACTGCTGAGTCCAAGGCCAAGGCCAATACAGCGGATGCCAAGGCATACGGTAAGATGAGTTCCCCAGTCGTCGGCATTTACTCGTACTTCTCCAAGGCTTTCATTTCGGGCTCGATGACTCTGTACCTTCTGATGTTTGTTGCGCACTGCACCTGGGTCACTTCGAACGCCTACTCGTCTCCTTCGGTTGTCCTGGCTAGTCGTATGCCCGATGGAAGCCAGCACATCATCGATGACTACCGCGAGGCATACTACTGGCTTCGTCAGAACACCCCTGACAATGCCAAGATCATGTCCTGGTGGGATTATGGCTACCAGATTGGTGGTATGGCTGACCGCCCTACCTTGGTTGACAATAACACCTGGAACAATACTCACATTGCCACCGTTGGCAAAGCCATGAGCTCTCGCGAGGAGGTCAGCTACCCGATCCTGCGTCAACATGATGTTGACTACGTTCTGGTTGTGTTTGGTGGTTTACTGGGTTACTCCGGCGACGACCTGAACAAGTTCTTGTGGATGGTTCGTATCGCCGAAGGTATTTGGCCCGATGAGGTGAAGGAGCGTGATTTCTTCACCGCTCGTGGCGAGTACCGTGTCGATGACGAGGCTACTCCCACTATGAAGAACAGCTTGATGTAGGCTCCCTCTCTATAGTCACCTTGGCATTTCGAAACTAACATATCGATAGGTACAAAATGTCCTACTACAACTACCAGTCTCTGTTCCCTCCCGGTCAAGCCGTTGACCGTGTCCGTGGTACAAAGGTGCCATCCGAAAGCCCACAACTCGACACCATGGAGGAGGCTTTCACCAGTGAGAACTGGATCATCCGAATTTTCAAGGTCAAGGACCTCGACAACCTCGGCCGTGACCACAGCAACGCCGTTGCCTTCGACAAGGGTCTGAAGCGTAAGCGTGCTGCCAAAAGAAAGGGCCCTCGCGTTCTGAGAACCGAGTAGACTTGTCTATGCTGTCTTGTTTTGCTTTATGTTTTTAACCTCGATTATCCTGCGACTATGGTTTCTCTGGCATAGCAGGCTATATTCTCATATATTTCCCTCTGGTTGGATATATTCTTGAGTAGAGTACTCGAGATAGTATACAATGAGTGCCTTTAGAAAGACTACATTGCCTTTTCTTTTAATCTTGTTCACAAAGACTTAGGACAGATAAAGCAAGTAAAATGATCCCATAAGAGAGTGACATTCGCAGCTAGGCTATGCACAGGAAAATATGCCAGCAAATCAATTCTGTACAGTGCAACACAGGCACCGAAAACGCACTGTGCTTGCAGATCGAAGAGGAAACATGATCTGCCCGAAAGACTCCGTAACCCCAAATTGCTCCATTACTGCTTTCTCGCCGAGGGGGCTAGCCATCCTGGCCACTTCAGTTAACCTCCCACATGTGGCGAGGATATAGTACACGCAGAATATCGGACCAAAAGTATCTCAGATACCAAACTGTAACGTTCAGGAGTTCGGTCGAACTGAGATCTGTAAAGTCCGTATCACCCAGAGGGTGATGATTTATTTCTTCGCGGGGGCGTCAGGGACCTTCACGTCGGAGAATTCCTCCTGACCGACAGCGCTGATGGTGTAGGCGTCTATATTTTTTAGAACAAGGTATTAGCAATAGTTCATGTAGGTGATTCGGGGAAATATGCTGTGCTGTCCCGTCCGCAAGGTGGTGGGTGGAATGATTCGGTGACAACCAGCGCGACGGTATGGGACTTGTTCTCGCAGGAGCTGTGCAATAGTAGACAGGGGCAGTATCGGCGGTACATACAGACGCCAATTGTGAAGACAACTAGACCGAAGCCGGTGAAAGCGTTCTTGAAGAGGTATGGGCGGCGGGCACGCAGGAGGGCAGCGCCGGCCCGGTAGTCCTTGCCGTAGTATGTGGAGTTGAAGCTGTGATAAAGATAGATTGTCAGTCAGTTTTCAGTAGTAGAGGGTTCAATAATTATCGTACATTCCATTCGCCATGTTGGGTAGTGAGATCTTTGAAGGTCTAGAGGCGAATCTAATGAAATGCGCGAAAGACCGGGATCGCCGAGTCTTGGCGTTGAGAATCTCGATTTGTATAGGAAAAACATATAATTGTCTTATGAACCACATAAGTGCAAAGTGACAAAGTAGAGCTTTGGAATGCATTTGAATTTGAAATTGATTTAAATAACGAATTATATTCGTATATCTCTGTTGTACCTCATAATACTATCGACTGCAGACTGTAGACCAATTCTGCTCGAACGACAACTAGAAATACAGATGATCAGATTATCAGATTATGAAATTTCATTACCTACTAGTAGGTGTTAGGTGAAATTGATTGTCTAGGTTGCCCATATAATTGCACTCTTCCCTTGTCGTTTCGGTCGTCGTGTAAGTCGGGAATCACCCGTAGACATACAACTTCTCCCCCAACTTTTCTCCCTGCTTCATTTCATATTCCTTCTCCACCCCCGAACCCTTCGAACATCTCCCTCTCTTATCTCAGTCGCCAAGTTGTAGCGCGCTGTTCCGTTCGCTATTTTGATTCTCATGCGCGTATCTTCCGCCAAGAACGCAGCTCCATTCGCGCTCCGGTTCGAGTAGAAACACCTCAACATCCATCCATTGTACCCCCGCTACCTCGACCTTTCCCGATCTACCTGTCGCATACTACTCCCATACATATACCGGGAGCCACGATGGCTCAACCGACAGGCGATGTCGTCCACCAAATCGCTCAGCTAAACGCCGCCCGGAACCTGGTCCTAGGTGACGCCGCTTTCTACCCGCAAATCATTAGCGGCATCCTTCCCATCGTCGGACCTCACGCGAAACTGCAATTACGTCGATGGGGCGCAGAATTTCTGGCAGAAACCTTTGCCAGTCCTCAGCTGGCGACCGCGCAGAAGGAACAGCTAGCACAAAATGTCCTGCAGAGCATCCAAGAGACGCTACTGCTGCCGGAGACGGACGCAGCTGTCCTGCAGAGCTTGGTGCAGACCGCTGCGAGCTTGTACCCGCTTATATTTCGCCACATGTAGGTTACTTCCAGTACAGACTCGTAGTCATGGAGCAAGTGGTCCATGTGGTGGGTTATGTCATGGCTAACGCGCTACGATAATAGTGTGAACCACCCGGAAGATAGTCAGTCATGGGAAAAGATGAATACAATCAAACATGAAATCTTGCGGCGGATGGACTCTTTCCCGTGTCCCGTCAAGATCTCCTGTGTCAAGTTCCTACAGCGTGTGGTCCAGGTTCAGACACCTGGTCTGATTGCCGATCCCAGGGTAAGTGCTGCGAAATTCAATACTTCCAACCGAGCTCTTGCTCACTATTCTTTAGCGACCGGATCAGAATGAAACCTCCTTGGCCGTCGTTCCGCGAAATCATGCCATTCTTGCCATTCCACAACTTGAAGCCGAGTCGTCGGGTTTACTGGATAGACTTTTGGGTGTGTTCCAAGAGGAGACAAGGTATGAAACGTCACAGCCTGTAGAGTGTTTTCGCTGCTAATTCATTCTCAGTGATGCTCTTCTTGTCAATGCCACTTTGAACTGCCTCGCGCCCCTGATCCGCACACGTCAGTCAATCGCGAACAAGATCATCAATACTGTTCTGGATTTCTACCCAGCGAAACATGTCCGTCCACCATTTACGCCCGCTGTTCGCATCGGAGTAAAGTCAATGGAACGCACAGCACGCGCATTATTGATCCATATATTGAAAAAGTATGGTCTCCTCGTTGAGTGATAGAACCAATGCTAACGAACTTGGCAGGAATCCGAATCACCCGCTGTTAGGAAAGATGCAAGTGTATCTTGAGCGGCTTATGCAGTCTCGGTTGGAAGTAGTGGATGACGCTTCTCGGAAACGGGCGTTACCTATCGAGGCAGACGCTCTTGATAATGCCAAGCGAGCTCGCCTCGATGCGTCAACCCCGACCACACTCCAGATTCCTCCGATGATGCCCGGCCCCGCAAGCTATGACAAGCTTTTCACTTTGACTCAAGATGTTGGCCTTTCCTCCTTCGACGTGAAGCAGTTGCCTCCTGATCTTGTCGTCAAGATCGCTGTGCCCCTTCTTGCCCAAGTCAATCCGTCAATGTTAACGCAAGCCATCGATGTATGATGATCCCGCGCTAATTTGACTGGTCACAAGCTAACTTCTTAACAAGGCTATTCGAAACCGATACCAAACAATAACCCAAGAGCAAAACTTGGTACGCCAGCAGCAGCAACAGGCCGCGGCAGCGGCAGATGACGATGACGATTATGAACCAGAATATCAGCCCATGGACGTAGCGGAAAATGCCGCAGAAGAAGCTAGTGCCGTCGTTCCTGAAGTGCCTGACTTCCAGCCCGATCTAGTATCTCTTGGTCCATTCGTCCTACCTCAGCCACCCCCACTGAGTGAAGAAGAGGCCGGAGAGGTCGGCCGTAGTGCCGTTGCGCGCGTCTTTTCTATGATCAACGTTGCTGAAACAGAGGCACCCGCCAAGAATAAGAATCAGCAACAGCTCGGCTTCGCACGTTTAGCTGGGAGCAACTTTGACAAAGACGCATGGGTTTTGCTCCTCACTCGGCTGGCCACCCGCGCTCCAGCTGGCCTGGAAGGGGGCGACAAGTTGGGCAAAGGGTCTTCGGGCCGAAGACAACCAACCATCTCTGATTCCATTCGTGAGACTCTGTATCGGTACATCCTGGAGGATTTCAGAGCCCGGTTGAATATTGGCATCACCTGGCTCAACGAAGAGTGGTACAACGACCGTATCCAAATGAAAGTAGTAGCCTCCAACCGCTATGACGATGAAGATTCCCAGACAACGGTGGTCTGCCATTACGATACCTGGGTTATCCGTCTTCTAGATGGGTTCCTGCCCTACCTCGACTCGCGCGATATCAAAGTGATTGTTCGCTTCCTCAGTGAAATCCCCGAAGTCACCGTTGACATTACTCAACGTGTAGCCAGCTTGGCCAAGGATCCTGAGCGTGTCAATCTCTGTGTACAGGCTTTAATGTAAGTGCTGTCTGCTATGGTTCTCCACACTTACACCTTTCCTAACTCAACTCCCTACAGGTACTTGATCATGTTCCGACCCCCAGCACGCGAGATGTGTCTGAACACACTTGAGGATGTCTATCAAACTTGTAAGCCTCATTTCATCCCATACTCCTTAGTGATTTTACTCTAATATCCTATTGTTCAGATGAGGAATCGCGCCCAGCAGCAGGCAAGGTCTTGGCCAAGTGGCGTCCACAGCAGACAGAAGCGGTCACCAACGGGACATCAGACGCAGCACCTCCTGCCACACAACCAGAACAGGCCAGTGCTGCATCGGAGTGAAGTTTGCTTTTTATTTCTTGTACTCGACTGCCGGCGATTAGGGAAGCAAGCATTAGTTCTCCGTGTCGGTACTCTGATTTGGGGTTTAGTTTCGGTCTTCTTTCCCCTCGAATACCAGCTTTGTGAACCGTCTATAGTTATGAATAAGAAAGAAGCTGAAGTCACTTCCTTTTTTGCTAATGTCACTTCCCTAATAACAAATCAAAATCAAATTTTGCTCCCCTAGAACTTAAAGCTCAACACTACAATATCACCTCCTATATCTCCTATTACATATCGGTACGTAGCTAGGTATTTAGTATCCTCTCCAGTATTATAGAAAGTCTATACAGGCAGTCTTTACAGATAGCATTTCACATATGTATACCTGGGTAGATAAAAAACAAAAAAGATTTCTGATATATTTTATGGACTTGTGGTATGTACATTATCAAACTTGGAAGAAACCAGTTCTTCCATTTAAGATAAAACAACTCAAGTCAAGATCAAGACCAACTCCGAATGTAAAAGATTTCTCCCCTACCTAAGTATCTCTAAGTAGTTTTTTCTCTGTCCTTGGTGGGGCTTTCTCTCTGAGCCCCCGCTGCTTTTATGAGGGCACCCCCTCAGAGTCAGGCCTACTGAGTAAATATCAGTCCGAGCTTAGCGTCATCACGTAAGATATCTCCTTGTCCAATGAGCGCTCACTGAAGTACTCACTGATCACTTAAGTTTGTAGTGAGCGTGAGTGGTTGCTCAGTATAACCTCTAAATAGCCTAATTCTATTACGCCAGAAAGATAACTATCTAAATTAGGCTATTCTCTAAAGAATCATAGTTAGTAGACTAGAATGTTTGAAGCAACTCCCGTTAGACATTCCTTGAAGGAAATATTACTCTAAGCGCATATTTAGCAAGGTTATTTGCACTCATCTCACGTGCCACTGTGCTATCATTTATTCAATGTGGACATTATTTGCTGAAGACTTCACTAGGTAGAATAAACAAAGACACTCAAATTTCTTCAAGGAAATAAGCAGCTCGGCACGCCCGGGCCCACCCAAAAGACGCCATCTCAGGCACCCCAGACAAAGCAAAATAATCTGACAAGCAGCTCATTACTACCCACTAAAGACGGCCCGGGGATGTATGCGGTGCTCCGGCGGTACCTGTCCTCGTGGTCTACGGCCTGCAGCTTTATGGGGGTACAAAAGTACAGCAAAACGCTAATTCCCTCGAGAAAAGAACGAATCGCCGGTGATAAAATTAGAGCGCAATCTTACCAGCTCTCAAAGGGTAATTTAGGCGTTCTCCATGGTGGAAGTGACTCTGACTTACAGCTTGGCACGGCTGATATTTTTGAAGTTTCATTGGTTTATTACGCCGTCTCATATCATAAAGGTAAATTACAGATTTGTTTCTCTTAGGTTATTCTGCAAACCAAATTGTAGAGTATTCAAGCAGTGGTGGTTAGACACCTCCGTATCTCCACTCAAGTCTCACCCATGCGAAGCCGTAAGCAGGAAACGTTTCTGTCTAGGCTTATAGGCAATTTAGGATCATTCAAGCGACAAATAACAAAAATGGCGCCATTGATCCTTATAAGGTGCAAAACTAGTCCCAGGGCTTGATCCATACTCGTGGAGATCATGTTGCACGAAAGGTGCATGAAGAGTTTCTCGCACTCTTCCAATCAGGCTGTCGCAATCTTTAACAAATCAGGAAATTGCCTCGCAATGAATACCTAAACAGGAGGGCCTGTATTGGCATCAATCAACACGCATAGCAAAGTTTGACGTGATATAAGGATTTGGGAGATCAGTCAATATGGTAGCAGTTTCTTAGCACTTCTTGGCAAGACAAACCCAACGTATGTACTAGCGCGAAAGGTCACATTCGACCCTAATTTGCATCTCTTCCTGAAACATCAGAGTAGGCCAGCGTGTAAGAGGCACAGACTCGTACACCCAACGGGGGCCTTCATTGCAAGCTTTGTAGCATGAAAGATCTGATTTTGTCTTGGAAATCAAAATGGCGGTGGAGTCTATTTGGTCAAGTTACTCGACTGGTCAGTAGCGCCCAGGATTAAACTGCTTCTATTATTTCTGATTATCATTACGGCTCGTTAGATGTTCAAAGATATTGATTTCAACTTGCATTACATGGCTGAACAAGAGGCTGTATAGATGACTCAAATCCTGCAAGTATCTTGATTGAGCTTACTCCCATGTCTAGGAGATTTCAAATTCACATCCCAAGTCGTATTTAGGCGCCTTAACACTAGAGCTAATTGAGGTCTCAGCCAGTCTAGATCCATTTAGTCAGAAACATCAGACGAGGTTTTGCTTCTGCGTAATTAGGCTGCCAAAGCCACGCGCGAATGCAGACCATACTTTGATTGAAATGGAGATGGCTTGATGGCAGAGCGGCTCTGCAGACTATGCAATACCAACTAGGAGAACACACAAAAACACTTTGAGGCTCTGTAAGAGGCGAGATAAGGTCGCTCTGAATGAGGCACTGCGTACTATCTTGAATGATGCAACATGAACCGAGGAGTGTGGTGAAAGTTGTCATGAATTTGGATAGATGCGTGTTCTATCTCTATCTTCATGAAGAAAATTGTGTATACGCCCGAGATATTCATGACATCTCAGGTCGGACCTGCTTCTATCCCTCATGTCTTTCATACTACAACATGTATACGGTGCGGTGAGTGGTGTGAAGAGCCATTGAAGTACCTAGCAATCGTTCGTTGTAAAAAATGGCGACATGAAACCATTGAGATGACGAGCGTTTTGCCACGGGGGGCCTTTCTGAATATAAATTAGCAGAAATACGACTATAGAGTGGGGGCGGTAATCAGGCCTTGGTATAACTACTAGGTGAGATTCTAAATGCACGATGGTTTTGCGAAACTTCCTCTTTCTGTACCCCGGTCCGCCAAAAAAAAAAAAGGAAAAAAGTGCCTACATGCTAAGACGGAAGGCTAATGCCCAACCTTTCTTTACCCACTGCTTATGTGTATTGGCTACCCTTATCCTGGTTTTACCTTCATCTCACGGCAACGGTTTTCAGATCGACTACTAGCATAGCATGGTGGATAAGAATTCGGCAGACCAACCAAGAACCACTAAAAAGTCACGCCGATCTACAAGCCCAAGAGCCGTAGAGCTGAGAAGGTAAGCGATGCATATATATGTGCGTGTGTCACACCACAACTCGATGGCTGATCAAGAACAACAGACTTCAGAATAGAATCGCACAGCGAAATCACCGTATGTATCAAACTAAAATACTGTGAGATTGTTCTTCCTATCAAGGACTGACGTTTGAGATAGGCCGAAAGGTGCAAGAAATGAACCAGGCCCGTAAGCAATCTGAGAATACTGCCATATCAGGAGAAAGGGATCAAGGGACCCACGACACTAGCATTACAAACAAGCCTCTTTCGCCCGGTAGTTTTCAACAACATCCATCCGAGAACGCTAGCACAGGTCATCAGACCTCGCAAACCGATCTATCTTCGTCTATGACATTTTATGCAAATTTGCCAAGCCTTGCTCCACTAGCAAACGACTACAGAAAAATGATCATGGCCGAGGACATGATGACCCATCAGGGGCAGAGTACGCCCTGGGTGGGTGGGATGATGAAACCTATGCAGGAAAATGAGAACCATATGCCGCAGTCTACGGTGTCAACTGAGAATTGCACTTGCAGTGCGACTACAGGACCTTGCATTGGTCATATGGAGAAGATGCGCTTAGAACTGCTGGGAGAGCTAGTATCCCCGTTGCAGCTACACAACGAGCATCAGCAACAACAGAATCAAAACAATAATGCCTTCGAAGCTAATATGGCAAGGTTGCAGACACGACCATTGACGCCGAGCAGGAACTACAGCAGCTACTCGTCGAGGTAAAATAAGTCCTCTTCTGTTCCATTCATAGCATCATAAAGCTTCTGCTAGACTGCAAGCAAATACTTAGTCACCTTGTTGAGTTTTCGCTAACATTACACTTTCTCATTCAGCGACTCAGGTCAAAGGACTCTCTACTCATCTGACGGAGCCCCTCACATGGATCAACTTAGTCAGTCATCCTCATACACGCCAAAATCCGGGGAGTTGCTCCTAGGTATGAGCAGCCGCTCATCGATATCACAAGATGTCTCCATGACAATGACCCCGGGTATATCATCTAAATCAGCATCAGGAACAAACAATGGGACAAGAATACATACCATGTCCGCGACTGAAAACACACGCCGCTTTAGTGCTGTTCTTGAGGCTGTGTCAAGCGTAGGGTTCCATAACTTGGACGAAATGGTTTTGGAGTACTACTCGGCGAGATTCGAAGCCGGCAGCTTACCCGCTATGGCTCAATGCGCCAGTCGCAGTCGCCGCATCAAGACCATGGTAGAGAGTCTACAGGAAGACAGTCGCCAATGGCCACGATGGGAGTCGAGAGGTTTTTATGAGAGCATGTCGCAGGCGACTAGTAAGTGAATTCACGGGATTTTCCATGACTGTAACGCAACAGGATAGACTGATTCCTTCTCTCATTAGTTTCGCTCTGTCTGGGAGAAATGGAGCGACAGGGCAAGGCTCATGGACGGCACCAGCTGCCGCAAAGCGATCCTGGAAGCCTCATTCTTGCGTTGGAACGGCTGCTACAGTCGAGTGTGCAAAGTAGCCCAACAATCGTGGAGGAATTGAAGCTGTCAGAAACTGCCGACGCAGCCGTCGACGAGGTATGATATAATAGCAGTGGCTTCTGTTGATTAATAATTAACTGATGGTGATGTAGATGCCTCATCTCTGGTCCCTCCTCACAGAACTAGCAGGCTCTCGGGGTTTGTATTGCGATCGGGTAGCCAGGATTGTCTTGGTCATTCTTCTATACATTAGATCTGCTTAACGAGCTTGAGAATAAATGACAACACTAACATGGTTGCATGGGTCTCTGCTTGCAAACTTGAATTGTCTTTGCGATGGCATTACATAAAAGCTTAACATGAGTTTGCTGCGTCCAGAATATGAATTATGACTGCGTCGCAAATTTATAAACCTGTCTGTCCAGAACCTTCCCTTGTAGCTCAGCCGATGAATCAATGGCCAGGGTAGAATAACCATGCTGAAGGGCAAGCAATGAAGGAAAGATGGAACCAATGAAATGTGTTGAGAAATCCCGATCATTGAAACCTGGGCAACCAGGCTCAGGTTTCCAGGTAGCCTCACTCCTTTGAGGTGCGTGAGCGGGTTCCTGTCCTTTTCTCCTCTCTCCACACCTGAAAAGTTCCATCAGATATAACCAATTTTGATTCTTTTCTCTCTCTTCTGATTGGTAAATGCAAATACCACCGGAACTTGGCGCCGTTCATCAGCACTACAACGGTGCTGCCTGCAAAGTCATGGAGCTGCAAAGTCAGCTAATGTCACCCATGTCAGCCACTATAAGCCATACTATACTGCGCAGCATTGGACAAAAATTCATTGCCAAGATTTCAGCACCTTCAAGTCTTTCAACCTCCCCAAGCATGACGCCTAAGCCGCAAATGATGTGTCGTAAGGCTCTTGTTCGACCCTGTTCTAGCGCCGCATTCATGCTTGGTGTTTATCAACTCCACTGTGAGCATGGCATGGACCATTGGGGTTGCCACTAACGGAAGTAATCTTATATTCTAAGCAATTTGAATACAAGGTAACACCCCGATCCTCTTTATCGAGGACCAAGGCTGTGCCAAAGCTGTTCCGCGTTTTTCCACATTGTCAAGATATCCAAGAAATACTCATCCGAAAACCGAAGATGGCAATGGCAATTGCAGAGAACGTTGTTCACATCGCCAATCCAACAAATGATGTCCAATCTACCGGCACAATAAACGGAATTCACACTCCAAAGCCACTTGAGGCCACGATAGTCGACCAATTCGACGACTGGGTTTCCCAAATCCCTAACTCGGTCGCCGTCGAGTGGAAGGGACAACACCTTACATATGAGGAGCTGCAAACCGCCTCACTCCGGGTTGCCCGCGCTCTGCTCGCCGCTGGTGTGAAACCTTATGATAGGGTTGCCGTCTTGACCGACATGTCCCTTGAGATGTTGCCCTCTATTCTTGGCACGTTGCGAACCGGAGCTGCCTACGTGCCTATCGACGTCGCTGCTTGGAGCCGCTCTCGTATCGAGGCAACTCTGTTCGAGCTTTCGTCTCCGTTTGCTATTGTCACGACACCAGTGCCTGGGCTTGCGCTGCCCGAGTCTACCATCTATTTTCAGAAGCAGTGGTTGCGGTCACCGCTTGGCAACGCAGCCCAATTGACTGCTCAGTTAGAAGCGCTCCGTCATGATTTCAAAGACGATTTACTCTCGTGGATCATATTCACGTCGGGAACAACCGGCAAGCCAAAGGGAGTCATGGTGTACCACAGAGCTATCCACGCCCTCGCCATTTCCTTCGATCACAGTGACTACCTCGAGACCGCACTTGGCAAGGAAATCCGTGTCATGTTGGCCTTTTCCGTCGCGTTTGACGCTTGCGCTGCTGTAATCTGGAGCACACTCACCAAAGGCCGTGCCATCGTCATGGCATCCTCGTCAAGCTTTCCAGAGGTAGCTACCACATGCGAAGTACTGCACCTGACCCCGTCCATGCTGGCTTCATTAGCACCATCAAAGGCATACGACCCAGCCGTCTGTATTTTCCTGGGTGCAGAAGCGCCCAACATTGAGGTGATTCGCGAGTGGGCACACCCAGGCAGAAAAATCTTCAACACTTATGGTCCAACAGAAAGCACCTGCGTCATTAGCCTGGGCGAGATCGATCCCAAAAAGGAACCGCCATTTGGCGAAATTGTTGCCGGGGCCAAAGTCGTGCTTGTGGACCACAACCTCAAAGAGTGCAATAAGGGCGAGGTCCTTATTGGTGGCCCCAACCTGGCGGCCGGTTACTTTAATAACGCCGAGTTGACAGCCACCAAATTTATTCAGTGGAACGGTGAGCGGTGGTACAGGACTGGCGACCTTGCTGAAAGGACCGAAGACGGAGATTTTGTGTGGGCTGGAAGGACCGATTCTCTGCTCAAGAATAGAGGATTCTTGATTAACATCGAGACTGAGGTCGGCCCGGCATTACTCAGCTTTCCAACCGTACGTGTCGCCGTCGCTCTGATGTGGCGAGAGAAGCTGGTTGGCTTTGTTCAGCCCTCCACTGTGGATATCGACGAGCTTCGTGCTTTCCTCCGGCAGCGCTACGACGCATTCGTAGTTCCCGACGATCTCGTTGCCCTAGATAGTTTCCCCTTGACAGTGAATAGCAAGATCGACAAGCACGCCCTCTCTGCGCTGCTGGATGAACGATTCTCGCGCGACGACGAAGGCCTGGAGGAGGAAGGGAAGGAGCTGTCCGCCTATGATGCCTTACGCCTCGCCTTCTCCAAGACACTTCACGTTCCCACCAGGGACCTTAACAGCAGCTCATCATTTATCCGACTCGGCGGAAACTCTTTGACATCAATCCGCCTAGCTAACCGCCTCAAAACGTACGGATACTCGATTGTTGCTATCCAGGCCTTGCGTTTAGACACCATAGGAGAGTTAGAAAAGGTCGTCACTGTGATTCACAAGGCAAACGCACCAGAAAACTATACTACTGGCCCAGCATTCGCCACCGACGTGCAAAAAGGATTCCTCAGGAGGTCATACGATAATCCAGATTTCTGTGCCCTCATCGGCACAGCCAGATATGTCGGAGATCGTCTTGCTGTCCCCACTGCGGGCGAGCTGCACAAGTCGTTTATCACGGCGCTATCAGCTCATAGTATCTTCTCTACCCGCTTTGGCGCAGGGGACTTCTCTCTTTCTAATCTCGGTCACCTAAACCTCAACTGGAAGGAAGTAAGTGCAACTCAGGATGACTTTGAGAGCGCCCTTCTAGTTGAGGAAGGCAATGCCCTCCAGGCAATAAAAGATGTCTCTCGCATCGACATCGAGGTTCCTTACTTTGATGTCACTGTCATCACTGTCCCCGACCGCAAAGACATTGCTTTCATTACGCGCGCCCACCACGTCCTGGGCGACGTCTTCTCCACAGCCATCCTCTTCCGCGATGTGGAAAGCGCTCTGAGGGGCGAGGCAGTGGTTCAGGGCACTCGATGGGCCGACTTTGCCCGCTTCATGGATAGTTACAAACAGCAGAACCTACCGAGGGCAATTGCTAGATTCGAAAGGATCCTCGGGCCGCTACCGAAAACATCCGTATTGCAACTTCCTGCGCCCAAGATACCTCCACCTGAAGACCACTACGACTTGAAAATCATCAAGTCGCCCATCAACTTCACCAAGTCCGAGCTCGATGCAGCTGTGTCCTCACAGGGCATCACTGCTACCACCATGGTTTACGCAGCATGGGCGCTTTTCCTAAGTAAGATAAGCGGCTGGGACCGTGTTGGCTTCTCCATCAGTCTCTCAGGACGAACAGTGCCATGGCCCCCAGCTCAAGCTGTCGTTGGCCCTGTCGTAGGAAAGTCGCCTTATAGCACGGATGTTCCCGTGGGTAAGAAGGTAGGGGAGTGGCTGTCGGAGTTGCACAACCTGACGCTTGACATTATGGAGTTTGACGGCGTGACGGCCTCCCTTCCTGAATATCTGCGCGCTAGCCCGACAACAAACACCACTAATGTTCTGTGCTTCCTCGATATGCCCCAGGCCTCGACTAGCTGGACGTTCAAGGACAAACAGAAACATAACTACTTGCTGGATTGGTACCTTTTTTCCAAGGGGGATGGTATCAAGACCGACTTTGAGTTCAACTTTGCAAAGATTGATGAAGAGTGGGCTAAGGAGGCGGCCAAGATCCCGGGTCGCATGCTGGAGAGTCTAATTCATGCTAAGCCGACTACTTTGGTTGGTGAAATCTTAAACTCCACCCAGGGTATCGTAGGTGTATAGATTGAATCAGTTTCAAGGTTTCATGTACTGGACAGCTACAGTTGACTCTCGTAAGCAACAAGCTGGAAAGCTGCACCCCTCGCGAGGATGCAGAATGTTTTCTTCTTTTTCTTCTGTTTTGTCTTGCTCGTGTAAGATTAAGGCCTAGGAAACAAGTTACTTAGTTCAAATATATCTGAAGCGGGACTACAAATTTTGGTTCAAAACATGTTTCTGCTCCCCTATTGTACCAGCTATGCTGTGATCCGCATCGACATCGTCAATTCTACTTGTTTCCTGCTCTAACCAGATCACCAAACCTGCTTCCAACCTCTTGCGCCAACAAACTTGGTTTGCCAACTTCCACAATCTCGCCGGTATCCATGACCACCACTCTATCAAAGTCCATAATCATATCTAGTCGATGGCTGACCGAAATCACCGTGTAATTCTTGAACTCAGTCCTAATAGCCTCCTGCATGACGCGTTCCGTCTCTCGATCAACGCTTGAGCTGACTTCGTCCAGAATGAGAATGCCACCCAGCTGCCTACCGGCCCCAAATTTGCGCTCGCGAACAGACCGTCTGAGTAGGGCGCGACCAAACGAGAGCAGCTGCCGTTGTCCGGCGCTGAAGCTCGAGGCGTTCATTCCCTCAGTCAACCCACCTCGCTTCTCGACATAGTCCCACAAGCCGACGCTTTCAAGTACCGCCCTGCATTCCTCGGGTGTGGCCTCATCAGCAACATCAAGGTTGTTCTGGACTGTAGACCCATCGGGCAAGAAAACGGCTTCTTGGGGCACCGCAATTATGCGCTGGCGCAATTCAGATCGGTTCAGCCGGTGGAGTGGTAGATCGTCAATTACGATATTCTCCGCTGTGGCGGTTGTTGGATCGAGAAGCTTCAGAAGCAGAGCGACAAGACTAGACTTGCCGCTGCCGGTGCGACCACAGATAGCAATCTTTTCGCCAGTGTCGATGGTGAGCTGGATATTGCGGAGAGCAAAGCTTTCAGCCGCGTCATCATTGTCTTTTGTGCTAATCAGAAAGTCAACGCCGCGTCTTATAGTATGTAACTGAAAATGCTTACTCATATTTTGCAAAAATACCTTTCAGTTCAACCACGCCGCGCTGAGGCCAATCTTCAGGAGCATGAACATCCTCTCCATCCCTATCCTCAGGCTTGACCGTGTCGTTAAAAGTCTTCAGTCGGGCAATTGCGCCAAGTGAAGTTTCAAGCTTGGTCCAAAACAGAACAATGCCAGCGAGGTTCTCTCCAAAACTCAAAAGGCTGTACAAAGCAGCACCGGTGAAAGCTGTGTTGGAATGCATGCGCACGGCAAATGCTGTCAGCCCTACTGCCAACAGCATGACTATTATGTCGAGAACGACATTCAGCCATTCTTGGATCATGAGCAGAAGGTACGATGGTCGCTGGCTGGTGGTGAGAAGACTCGCATTCTTTTGAATATCTTCGCGTACAAAGCCTATGTGTTTTGTGTTAGAAACAATAGCGCATCGAACGAACGCGTCAGAATTGTGGTAGTTGTCCTTACCAAATGCCCTTAAAGTTGTGATGCCCCTAACAACGTCAAGGAAGTGGGTGCTAAACGTTCGTCAGTAACGGCAGTGAATGAACAAGGCCCTCTGCTCCTCTCACTTACTATAGCGGGCTCTTGGCTTCCAAGTCGAGCAATCTGAGTTGCCTTGACGTGCGTAGGTAAAACTTTTGCAGCGCGTATAACAGAATGGCGAGAAATGGGAAAGTGATGGCCAAGTAGGGAGCGGAAGTGACCATAACAGCCATTTGTCCGATCACTTGGGTTATCTATCCATTCATGTTAGCTGCTGGAGGAAACTTTTTGAATGATCATGCAATGGCTTACCGAAAAAAGCGTGCTGACTGTGGCATCTGGCAGCTCTGTATCAATGAGATTCAAATCCTGAGAAAACAAATTTGTTGTAACGCCAATGTCGGTCTCGGTGAAGAAGCTTAGTGGTGCCCGGAAAAGTGTCTTCAAAATGTCATCGTGCAAGTTTGCACCAGCGCGTTTGATGGAGACGATCCAAATGGAGGCACCAAGTAGGAGAAGTGAAAGCAGGGCACAGATCTGAAACAGCGCGTAGATCCCGGCCCAGTACGCGGATGAGTGCGCTGGGTGTTGCAATTGTAAGTCATCAACCCAGTACGTGAGCCCTGCAGTACGCTGTTAGTTTCCAAGATGAGATGTATCCCGGATACACATATGTGAAGTACTTACAGATAGTGGAAAAGTTCAAGAAGAAGCCCCAGAGGCAGGAAAAGAAAATGGCAGACCCTGCGAGCAGCCACCCCATGCTCTTCATGTACTCCTTGTAGACAGTGCCATCTCCAACTTGCCGCGACGGATCAACATTGGGGGCAAGGGTAAGCTTTGCAGTTTTTATCCTATTCGCCGGTGACGAAGATTCATTTGCGTTTTCTTCGATGTTTGATTCGTCTGACACTGTGTCGCTTTCGGATGAGCCCTTCACCTCAAGACGGCGGACGTAGCCATCACCAAACATAAGTGTGTCAAATGAGCCTTGCTCGCTAATCCTACCGCCTTCAAGGGCAATGATGTGGTCTGCCGCCTGTAGGTGTCGAACGCTGTGCGTGCAGAGCAAGACGGTGATATGGCGCCTCCTCAGCAGTCCTTCTGGTCCAAAAACCTTGCGGAAGACTTGATCTTCGGTATCCGCATCCAGGCCACTAAATACATCGTCGAGAACAAGGAAATGAGTCTGCAAGTACAGGGCACGTGCCAGGGAAATGCGCTGCTTCTGGCCTCCAGATAGGGAAATTCCGTCGGAGCCCACGTTTGTCCCATCGCCTTGTGGCAGGTTGTCAAAATCAAAGGCGAGCGCCGTTGCCTCAATGACTTCAGAATACCTGTCCTCATTCACCGGAGAGAAGCCTATGATATTTTCCTTAATGCTTCCATTCAACACAAACGCAGACTGATCGCAGAATCCGACGTATGAAGCTCTTGTGCGCAGTGTGACTTTGCCTTGATGGAAAGGAATCTCTCCCAGTATCGCCTTGCAGAGCGTAGACTTGCCCGAGCCAACGGGTCCGACAACAAGGGTAAGTGACGCTTTTGGTATTTTAGCGTTAATGTCTTGCAGGATGAATTTATCTTGTTCCCAGCCGAAACTTCCATTTTCAATATCCACTTCAGGATCATATAACAATTTGCTGCCCAATGAACCCTTTTCGGAAGTCTTCTCAGAGAAAGCTGCGACTTGACGGAAGTCTTCACGAGCCTCACGCTCCATAAAAGCCTGGATTCGGCCAATGCAAGCTAGGGCAGAGATGACTTCAGGAATATTCTGGAAAATTTGAGATAGGGGCTGCGTCATGAGGGTCAAGAAAGAAAGACTGGTGAATACATTTGTCGAGTTCAGCTTAGTCGTGGTAAAGGCAAACGCCAAAGCCGGGCTGATGAGCAGCGGAAGGAACCCAAGTAGGGCCGCCCCGATGTAAATCTTACGGTAATGGACTCCCGCCGTAAGTTCCTCGACGCGAAGCTTCTGCAAAAAAATGGCAACCGATGAAGAAAGGCCGGATATTTTGAGGTTCTTCATGCTGGAAATAACAGTAGCTGTCAGACCAACGCGCCTCTGGACTAAAGACATCCATCTCCTCTGTGCAGCTCCAATAAAGTTCATGAGGATAACAAGGCCAGCGAAACAGAGAATAACTACCCCGATAGGAGCGACGAATACAACGCCTAGCTGCCTATCGAACATCCACGCGCAAAGCGCCACCTGTATCAGACTTGCCCAGATATCATGCAGCTGTCGGAAGCCCATTCTGATTCGCTCAATATCAGTGCTCATTAGGGTTAGCGCAGCGCTGTCGTTGTTGGTTCCAATGCGAGCTTTTGTGGCCGTGATGAACGTCTCAGTAACCAGAATTGATCTCAGCATAGTGCGCATACGATGATGATAGTAGCTTATATGCGTTAGCGGAACCTGGAAAGGTCCATTTGAGGGTCTTCTAAAACGTACCGGTGAAAGGCCCAGCTGACCACAATTCCGCCGTAGATGAAAAAGGCTGCGCCAATGAAACCGTATCCATAATTGGGGTTAAGCCTGCCCCGAGAGAGGTAGTCGAGAAGACCTTCAATAAAAAGCGGCTGAGCAAAGGAGAAGCCGAGGAGGGCGAAGCGGGGAAGAATTGGGAGAAGAAGAGGTCCGATAAGGGTGCGTATTAGGACTTTGGTAAGGCCAAACTTGTCACCCTTCATTTTGGACATGTCCAGGTGTCGATAAAATTTCTCGTGGAGTATTGTTGGGTCCATTGCACCGTCTAATGGATAGAGATCGTTGGTGGAGAAGACATTTTTGTAGCCAGCCAAGAACAAGCGGTTAAGCCAGAAGAAGACACCAAGAGAGAAGATGCCACTTGTTTCCTCTGGGCTATGCTCCTTTCTATCCCAGTCTACCCATCTGGTCTTTTGCTGAGATTCCAGGAGCAGCACGACAACCTTGACGGCTACAGCGGCAGTAAAGAGGTTGCTGTAGGCGCGCTCTGTAGACACGGTGGATGACAGGTAGAGTGTTCTCGATTGTGCTGCGTCGAGGAGAAGCGTCAGGAGCAAATAACTAGTCAGCAGCATAGATGGACGAGTCGTTCGAGAATGTTCAAAGACGCTCAGAAGGAGAATGACAACGGCGCCAAGTAATTTGAGGACCGAAGCTGCAATGAACATGGCCGTGGCGTAGACGTGACCCGCGGCGGCCAAAATCACGAGCGCAGTTTGAAGAATTGCATAGGTTATAATGGTACCCTGTAACCACGTCACCTTATTAAGGTACTCTGCTCGCGTGAAGAAACGACTTTGTAAGGATACATACCACTTTCACAAATCGAAATGCAGTAGGGTTGACGATGGCGGGCTTGTTTGTCAGGGATGCGGTCCTCCATGATGCCCCTACTATGAACAGAACAGACGGAGTAATGGAGAAGAAAACCTGTTCAAATCCTATATTGAAGTCGAACTGCTCACTGTTTTGGTCGAACAAAGAGCCATTTCGGGAGGAGAAGGGCATTTCGGAGTAGGCAATAAGCTGCCAAGCAGCGGAGATAAGTGAGACTGCTTCTGGGTGCTCTAGCTAAGATTTGTATGATAAAGAGAACGGTTAAGGCATAGCAATGAACACAGAGGGCACTATAGGAAAAGGGACGTGATGCGACATGGACCGTGTCGGTGCAAAAAGGAGTTGCTGAGAAATCAAAGACCCAGCTGGGTGGGGAGGGGGCGCCACTAGAGAGACACGCCAATTTGTGAAAAAGCACGGCATAGCTTTAAAGGCTGCAGGGATCTGGCGCTAAGCATTGAGCAGGGGTTTGGGGGCTAGGCACCGGAAACCAGGCGGGCAGCCGAGCCAGCGTCAGCCAAATTCATGCACAGTCATGCACTTGCTGGACCAATGATTCTGCTGCAAATGTTCAGTCCATGGGATCAATTTTTGACTGACTTGAATTTTTTTATTTTAGGAGATGGATGAGATATGGTCGTGGTGAGAGAATGTAAGATGGAAGACAAAACAAAAGTTCCAAATCTGCCACAAAACAAACATTAACAATTCATCACGCTACGCTATTCCGAAAATCCATACCAATACGATGACAACAGGTCAGCTAACGGCAGACATTTGGAAGAGCCAGATCTTTGTGGTAAATTTAGCGGACGGCCAAGGTAAGTACATACGTCTTTAACTGAACAAAGAAAAAGGAGGGAAAAAGCGAAATTGTATAAATACTAACCATTGAATTATATAGATCCAGTGAAAATATCAGCTCGATGGAATATTTCTGCACCTTCAGATACAGAGAGTCGGGTCTATTATCACAGCGTCAATCTGTTGCTTAGTCCGTCTCTCACTAAAGTTACTGGTGAAGCGCTAGGTACTTCTGGAACGCCTCTAGAAAGCATTGTACGTCACGTTTGGCGGTTTCACCAATCTCCTATCGACGGGAAAGAGTCTCTAGTCAAGGTGATTCTGCCTCCCCGGCAGGGATATGTATCCAGGAGCGACATTATCCACCTTCGAATGCAGCACTCTAAGTACGTCGACGGCGTTATATCACTTTCTAGCTGGGACCGTCTTCTTCCTGTTCCAGCCGTCAACTCAGAGAGCTCCTTACTCACGCTTCTGGCCTCTTCCGCTGGTGCTGTCTTTGCTAAGCAGTCGCAGCTATCCACATCTGAAGTTATGCAGCTGCTGGAGGACGACATGGGAATGCGCCTGTCTTTCGACTGGATTCTGCCAACAAGATCTCGCCGTTATCGTGTCGCCTTAATAGGCGGTCGTCCAATGCCCGACCCAAAAAGCGGGCAGCACGGTTCCTCGGGTTTCTTCATGGCCTCTCAGTCCCTCGGTATATCCATAGTGGTATACGACGAGTCGGGCCATTGGCTTGAAGGGGAAGAGTATGCACATATGCGTGAAGACTTTGTAGCCATAGATATGAAGAACTTGGAGGATCTGCCACACAAGCTGGCTCAGTCTGTCGCAAACAGAAAAAATAAGATAGACGGCATCGTTACCTTTACCGACGAGTATGTTGTGGCCACGGCACAGGCTGCTGAGCTGCTGGGCCTTCCAACTGAACCAGCGCAATACATGATGCGCGCGCACCATAAGTCTAAGATGCGTGAGGTTGTTCACGAAGACTACATCCAAGCTGTCACACTTGAAAGAGCAGATCAGCTTGTCGATCCTGCTTTTGCAGAAACATTCCAATCCCTACAGTACCCGCTAATTGTCAAACCGTGTCAGGGCAGGAGATCTAAAGGGGTCAAAAAAGTAACCGACGATGTCAGTTTACACGCCGCGGTGCGCATGCTGAGTGAAGGGGACTTGGTAGAGCATGGCATCTTAATAGAAACCTACGTTGACGGGCCCGAGTTTGACGCCAACTTTGTCCTGTGGGAGGGCCAAATACTCTTCCTCGAGGTGACGGACAATTTTCCCTGTCTCGCCGACGCCAGCGACGCCACACTTGCCGACAACTTTGCAGAGACAGTGCAGATCTCCAACACGGGGCTGCCTCTTGATGAGATTGACGTTATACGGTCATCTGTACCGCGCAGTCTCGCTAAGCTTGGTTTTTCGTCCGGCGTCTTCCACTGCGAGGGACGCATGATAAGATCGACCATGCACTATCGCAACGCCGACAGTCACAACGGGCTGGACCTGATCCCCCACGACGCACCAGAAGTGGTTTGCTCAAAGTCTAAACCAGACGTGTTTCTCATCGAAGTCAACGTTCGTCCGCCTGGCACCGGTGGCACGTGGGCTACACTTTACACGTACGGTGTAGACCTGGGCGCCCTACAGTTCCTGCGTGCTATCAACGACCAGAAGCGGTTCCAAGCTCTATCAGCCCCCTTTGAATATTCACAGCCTAGTCCTGGCGGTGGGGGTGGTGCCCAGTGGTGGACGGCGCATTGCATGATTCCTATTCCAACACACCGTGCCCAGGTTCGCGTGCCAGAAAACTTCTTCGACAAGCTGTTTGTGGCGCTGCCTGATGTGCGATCATACGTCACCAGGGCCGAGATGTATTCGGAGCCGGGATCTATAGTGTCGACCACAGCGGGAATCGGTTGGATAGGGTATGTTTTGTTGGGGACGAGGCAGAGCAGGGCTCATGCGTTGGCCATGTACCGCCAAATTGCTGAGACGAGCAAGAAGATACTGGACGATCATACTTATGACCCTGGTTATAAATCCTGACAAATAAATGTAGAAATAAATCACTGTTGCTGAATATACAAACGCAACGACTTACTACGTCCATTATATGTATTGTGTATGGATAAGTCTTACAAAATGGTCTTCACTTTCATATTCAAGCATTTAAAAATGATTATTTCATTTTCAACACAAGCACGAACATCAAATACGGTCAAAGTATCAGAGGCGTGCGACATTTATAGCAATCACAGGGTTGGCGTGACTTGGCGGGCTCTATTACCCACCATCCTATCATTCTCCTCTCTCATACCCGTCAAAAATTGCCCTTTAGAATCTAAGGTACTCGGACTCTTAAAAACATTGAACTTAAAATCGTGCCATTCGCGCGCCGTCCAAGTCTTACCCGTTGAGTCATTGAATGTGACATCGTCATTTAGGCGCAAGAAGTACGCAATGCTGTACCGGTCCTCATTCTGCGTGTCCTGGAGAGGAATGACGCGGTGTACAACGCTGGCTAGCTCACCCTTGGATGGGAAGTGCAAACTGTCACCAACATTGATAATGGCATGGCCGGGGCGAGGCTCTAGGAGCTCCCAGTGGTTGGTCTGGGGAGACAAGAATTGGAGACCCCATTGTTGGGTGAGCAGGAAGGTGAGAGAGCCTACATCAGTATGCTTGTTGTGGCCCACACTGGTCTGAGGTACGTCATCTTCATGCTTTGGATAGCGCAAAAGGCCAAGGGTGGAAAAGGACGGCTTGGAGTCCACATGGTAGAACTCGAAGCTGGAGGAGCCGCTGAGGCCAAGCTGCAGTGATAATTGCTTGAGGATCAACATGGTGATGGCGTGGGCGCTTTGAATGAAAGAGAAAAACAGGTCTGACTGGGATGAAATAGATGTGGTGAGGTCCATGGTGCCTTTGAGAGATTCCCGGCGGGAAATCTAATAATACAACAGACTAGTTAGTTGACGAGGACTGTGGCAGGTGAGCGGCATGGGCCATTATACCTTGAGCGATTCATAGCCGTCTCTAGTTTTGGGTTTGGGTCCTTCTTCGGTGCCGATAGGTTCGTATCTAAATCGAAAGGTAAGCAATCAAGACCCAGGGACGGCTAGATCTCCTTTGAAAAGCCTACCCGTAGTTGTCGCTGCCCTTAGCGTCTTGCATTTTGACCTCCAATGGTTGCTTGAAGTATCGCTTCATCACTAGCAACAAGTCTTCCCACTGCTTGCATAGTTCCACGTCGCTGGTCAAGTCGAGGTAGAAGAAGCCTTGAGTCTGGCAAGCACGCAGTAGCTTCTTGCTCTCTGCAGCATTTCCAGCCCTAAGAATGTCAAGGTGGATGGTGTGCAGAGACTTCGCAACGACCTCGTAGTCAGTATCAACGGTAGCAATGGGCGCCATTCTGGATGTTCCAGCGCGTCTTGGAAATTGGCGAGGGTGCCTTGAGATGTGAATAAGGCACTGTCAGGTTCCAGACCGGATGTACGAGCAATTCATCTCGACAAAGGCGCACCATTTTGGTATTACTAAGTATGGTCCCCAAAAACATCACTTCTTCGGCGAGTCCCAGGGCAGCTGAGAAAGACATCGCGAGGAGCAATTATTTGCCCGACTATTCTTTCGATGACGAGCGCCTCGCAAAATTGCCGTCAGCTGAAAAACGAAACAAAAAATCATTGCTGGTGGAAGGTGAACATGAGCGGTCATGCCGCATCTGTCATACACTCCCAGCAGTTAGGCTGTAAAAGATCAGCAGGGCGAAGACTGTCAGGCACCATTAGCCTCTAACTGCAACAAAAGTACAATGGCGTGCCATACTTTTTCTGACAAATACTACGGGGATTATGGAATTTGTCAGCCACACAAACAGTCATTGTTTGGTCAATATCTCTCTCTGACGCTAATCATGCGCTGTCAGTAGACTGCGGCAACATCCTCAATATCCACGGACATCCGCATATCCTCTCCGCAAATTGCGGATATGGTATGTCACGTAATATCCGCAATCCTCAATTTTGCGGATATGGTATACCACCTAATATCCTCTGGATATTTAAGGATATCCAATGGATATCAAACCAGCCAAACACGCCTAGCCTCGTGACTTTTTTGAGCGTGTATAAATTATGCGTTTTCTTGTGTATTTTTGAAGTAATCTTCGTGTAATCATCATTTTAAAGATTTCAATCTGGTAAACATGATTCTGTCATTTCTAATCAATACTTAATACTAACTACCTTAAATCAATCTGAAATCCATCAGGTAACCTAGGTTGCTTCCGAATTCGCCCCGACCGTCCCTGCATGCCCTCATCTATTGGCATTTCTGGAAGGTCATCGTCATCGTCATCAAAACATTCGGATGATCGTTTCTTTGATCGTTTGCGCTGCAGTTGCTTACTTTGATCATTATTCTTCCCACTACCCAAATCATCATCGCAGCTCTCTATCTGTTGTGTATCCTCTATGCTAGGCTCTTGATCCTCCTCTTCGTTATCACTAATTGGCTCAAGTGTTTCAAGCTGGGGCATTGGTTTCCAAGCTTGATCTAACAACGCAGCTTCTCCAATGGATAGATACTCCTTGATAACCTCTATCTCCTTCTGCTCAACGTCAAAGTTAGTGGCGAATTGATGAAGCATCAGTCCTCGGATGGTACTTGGTTTCAATTGCCCGCGACGATAGTGGCACATATCGCGAGCGCAATTAAATAATCGCTCAACGCCTGCGCCACTAGCTAGGATTGAGAGATTATCCCGTGCTATCCTCGCAAGAATAGGAAACTCATGCTCATGGTCTTTCCAGAATGCTCTAGGCTTCTGACCCTCGATCCCGCGGGCAAGATACCTCGCAATCTCATCATCTTCGGGCTTTGAGAGCCTATGCTGTGGCTGGCTCTGAGAAGCACAAGCAGCATCAAGATCACCATAATCATCATCCAGGGCCTCTTTAGTGGTATCTTGTAAGACTGTATTGTTTGAATCATGGTGAAGTGTCTCTTTATATCGATCAAACTCTCGCTTAAGAACTCCATGATAGTGATCAACATAGTTAATTTCACCTTGCCAGTCTGATGATGCAAAATATCGAAGTTTTTTTGATGGGCAAAGGATTGTCGCGAGTGCATAGACATCACCATATGATTCATAATCGGTCGCAGTGTAGTACTTTGAGAGCTTCCGCTTAGCAGTCTGAAGAGCTTCGAGCATGTGCTTCTTCCAGACAACACCTTTATTCTTCAACTTACTCTCAGCTTCATCAAGATAAGAGAAAAGCTTGTTGTAAATACTATAGATGTTATGTGTAGTAACATCCTTAGTCTTAGACAACATATTTGTGAAGTCGAAGAAAGGCTTTGTGAGAAGAAGAAGGTATTCAATCTGTCGCCACTCTTCTTGATCAAGTTTGAAGTGAAGATACTGATGGTCTATACAATACTGATCATAGAATGGTTGTAGCCTTTTGGCCCGATTCAGCATGATAAAGGTCGAGTTCCATCGGGTTTGGACATCTTGAACAGGAACTAAACGAGGCTCCTTAGTTTGTAGAGCCATAAATGCCTCCCGGCGTTGTGGGCTTGCATTGATGAAGACCGCAAGACCTCGGATCTAAAACTCTTTTATCAGAATAAACTACAAGCCTTAGGGAGATAGAACTTGCCTTCTTTAAGGTATCTGCAATTTGCCGAGTTGAGCTAGATCTTTTGGTCTGAAATGAATGGGTCCGCTCATCAGACCACTCTAGTTCAATCTCTTTGTTAGGTGGTGTCACCTTTAGCTTCCCAAGAAGCTCATTCAAGCTTAATTGAATCACATGCGCAATACATGGAACTCGGAAAATCAAGGTATCTGATTGGCTTTGCGACTGGATAGTCTCTTGGATGTTCATCATCAAGGTATTGTTATTCGTTGCATTATCTGTTGTCACAGATAACACACGATCAGTGATTCCATGATCAGTTAGAAGCTGGATTACGGTCTTGCTCAGATTTTCACCAGTATGAGATCCATGAAGATGCTCAAACCCAAGAAGAACTTCACAGTAATTCCAGTCCTGATCAAGGAAGTAACCTGTGATGGTCATGAAAGCTTGCTGAAATGGCGATGTCCAGCAATCAAGCGCTAGTGAGAGGCGACTCCCATCTGGAAGCCTTTTCAGAACCCCCTTCTGGTCACTTCTGACTGCAGAATCAAGATAACGTCGTATGCTTCGCGCGGATGGTATATCGATCTTGCTGTGGGCTTGTTGAATAATCTCTACTAGATCTTTGAATTGGGTGTGTTCAACGATTCGGAAGGGTAGGTGAGCTGTAGAAATGAAGTCTAGTATCGCTTTCACCAGACGCTCCTGGGAGAAGGGTTGGTGTCTAGGGATAGTTGGCTTTGGGATAGTTATTAAGATTAGCAAGAGAGATATTAGGGGTCTTGATGAAAGAGAAATATACCATATGTTTGAGTAGCTGATCGATCCTCTGGGTAACTGGCTTCCGAGTACAAGTGCCTGCCTTAATATGTGCATTCATTGGCGATGACCCAGCACGGCGATAGCTTGGATGAACAAGGGTACAGAGACATGATGTACACATAACCTTTGGCTTGCCAGTCTTCTCATGTGCAACCTGATTGAAATTATCCCAGACACTTGATGTCTTTTTCCCATCCCAACGGATCGAGTCTTGTATTTCGGGCGCTGATCCAGACTCTGTATTTAGCCACCACGTTATAAAGCGCTTACGAGATCCATCCATCTCGCTACCAGGCTCGGAGGAATAGAGGACCCAGTACTGTTGAAGAGGGAGGCCAACACGCGTAAGCGAGAGGGGCGCAATCGGAAATGAAATTCGGGACGTGGATGTCAGTGAAGCCTGACTGCCAATGAGCTCAGAGATATCATCTGAATAAAGGAGGTCGGTATTCAGACCTAGATCTGAATCGGCGCAGAAGGAAAATTGGGACTGAGATGCCTGTGAGTAAGACATATTGTACTTGATCACTATACAAGAGAAAGAAAGGGAGAAACGTACAAATAGGACGAGCTGAAAATATCAGGGTTATGGCAATAAGCTGCAACTCGTAAGTTGCGGGGTGCGTTTTCGACATATCTCTTACTTTTAATGACGATGATTGGCTATTACTAATCACCAGTGAGGATAATTGAGGATAATTGAGGATATATCGCGGATATCCGCATGGATATCCTTGGATATCCTCGACCTTACTATCATACTCACTAAGTCCGCTGTCCACAACATTAGAGCTTCCGACCGGTATTTCTTAGAAGGATATATTTAAAAACTTAATATACTTAAAAGATAGGCTTAGGAAACTAATTTAAAGCTAGGCTAGTTAAATTTGACCAAGAAATGGTGAGTTTAGTCATATGTACATCGTTTAGCTAAAAGATCCTACACTACTGCCTTGAGTAAATATATATTTCCATGGTAAAGTAAAGTGGAATTACAAAAAATCATGTATATCCCCCAATCTACTTCAAAAATCAAATTGCTGCTATAAGTAATAATAAAATGAATATAAATTGCTTAATACAAATATATTTCTTAATATTTCATGAGGAATTAGGATAAATAAGGCTAGTAGTATGGTCAGGACCAAACCTGTGTATCTTTTGTTCTGAAAAATAAATTAATCAGCTGGATAAGAGGCACATGACTACCCCTAAGTAGATAATCAGGCGAGAGTTATGCTAGTGCGGATATCCGCAAAATATCCTCATATCCTCGCGGATATCCATGGATATCCTCATTGAGGATATGGTATGGAAGTAATATCCATTATCCTCAATTTGCGGATATGGTATTGAACCTGATATCCAGCGGAGAGGATATGCCGCAGTCTAGCTGTCAGCCACTTTGGAGTATGTTGCATTGAGCTTCGTGGATAACGCCATCCCGGTCAGCCACCTCGGGAGTGACGACGCTTGGGTGAACCGCCCTTTCATTTACATGAGAAAAAAAGCTGAAAGAGTCAGTAGCAGAAATTTCGGCATCCAGATCTCAACGGTTGCCAATACAATGAGAAGGAGACGGGGTTTGATAAGAACTTGTCGATTGGGGAGTTCCGAGGTTGCAGTAAGGAAAGAGAAGAGGTGGTGGATCCCATCTGCAGCAATATAGCTTATCCAATCAAAGGTTTCCAAAATCCCACCGTGCCTTAATTTATTCACTACGCGGTCCTTGAATGTATAGGCTCAATGTTCAATTCTTTCGCCTACATCACCAGACCGACCATCAAGCCGATCAAGCATCTATTGCCTCGAAACACAGAGAAATATCAAACAGCTTTCAAATCATAAAGCTTCTGCAAGTCGGCTAATGAAATACCGGTCTGATAGACCACCTACGCCTACAAGAGGGACTTTTGATTAGGCTTGTAAGGCATGTGCAAAGGTCATGAAGCGTATACTTCCATTGGAGCAAGAAGTGGTAGACCTACGCGCTGCAAACTATAAGAAGAAACAAAAATTCCGTATTGAAAAAAGCGCGATGAGGGCTGTTTCGTTCATGAAGCCCATGAGCAACTTATTGGTCTACCAGGTGATATAGAAGGTGTTGTGAGGTGTCCCCCGCAACACCCATCTAGTCGGCTTCAGCGACCAGCGATCAGACCAATAAGCTTCATGGTACATGCAGCATAAGCAGAATGCCCCGTCATAGGACTAATAACTGAGATAGGAATCAAAGTGAAAGCAAAGGTAATTTAGTTTTTAAGAAGCTTCATGAATATGAAATAAGTGGGTGGCGTGGCCGCTTTAGCGGGAAACACGTTGACACTTTCCCGAATTACTCCAAAGTATCTGAACAGGGCAAATCAACTCCAGCCATTGGCGGTCTGCATTGCGTGGAACTTTCTCATGGCACTTGGTAGAATGTTTTCAGACTCGTCCCGCTCAATTGCAAGCATCTCCTCAATCCACTCCCCGACAGTGACGATGATCCTGTCTACCTCCTCCTTGGTATTGTGCGCGTGGAATAGTATTCTGACAAGAGCTGTTCCCTTGGGCACGACAGGGTAAGCCATGGGATAAGCGTTCATATTTGCCATAGCCAAGTGGACGAAGAGGGAAAAGTCGTGACCCGGCTTGACCTTGATAGGGACAACATGCGAGAGGACAGGGCGCGCCTCATGGTCTTCGGCCATGGGCACGGAGATGAGGCCCTCATCCATCGCTTCCTGCCAAATTGGGTCGTCTAGAAGAGACTTAAAAAAGTACCTTACTATTTCTTGAATATGGTTTTGTTCCTATCGCGTGACACGATTAGCGCAGAAAGGAGAGCCAAGAATGCGTCGCTCACCTTTTGCGTCTGCCCACTTGCCAACAACTGATAGCCTGCCCGTATAGAGGCCACCATGGGCACCGAGGGTGCGCCACTGTAGGTCAAGCATCGTGAGTATTGGGCAAGGGCACTTCGTACAGTTTGATTGCAAAGAATGACGCCTTGATAATGTGCATTTCAGCTTGATGCCAGCTGAGAAGACATAGTTCGCGTGTTTGACTTACCTCCGGTTGAACCCAGCGCTTTGCTACACATGTGCACGCGAATGGCAATCTCTTTTTCTAACCCTAACAGTTGTACCTGAAAATTTTCATGGGTGAGTGGACGTACACTGAAACAGTCCCGAGGGGTCAGTGAGGTAGAAACATACTAATCCTCCTCCGCTAGGGCCAATGACACCGTTACTGTGGGCTTCATCAACGATAAACTGAGCGCTTCCGTTGGGAAAAACCTCCTTAGCGACAGCGACAAGCTCTTTGAGTGGGCAAAGATCGCCCTCCATGCTGTACAAGCTCTCCACACAAATGAGAACTGACCTTTCGCCAGAAGTGAACCCCGCATCGAGCTTTTTGAGCGACACCAGGGCGTCCCTCAAAGAATCTGCGCTGTTGTGGGAAAAGGACACCTTGTGCGCAGCAAGACTAACCTTCATGCCGACACCGGTACTGGCATGTGAGAACTCGTCAAAAACAATTGCGTCTCCGGGTAGCGCGATGGCCTCAAGTATGCCAATGTTGGCGTAGAAGCCCGAGTGGCAGATCCAAGCTGTTTCGGCACCATGGAATGCGGCAAGCTCTCTCTCAACCTCGAGAATGTATTCGTAGTTGCCGTACTGCACTCTGGATCCCGAGGCGCTGAGCCGAAAATCGCCACAGCGGGCGAGTTCAGCGAGGAAAGCCTCGCGGATACGGCCTGTACGGTTAAGGGAAAGAAAATCACTGGTTGTGAGGTCGAGGACGCTGTCGTCCCAGCGTGGCTTGAGCACATTGAGGCGGATCTTTTCTCGATGGACGTCCATGGCCTGTTCGAGCCGTTGGAAGAATGCTGGCTCGTTCTTCTTCATCGCTGGACGGCGGAGTTGCTGGCCCTTGAGCATCTCCTGAAAGAGAGATTCGTAGTATACCATCTTGGCGTAAGAGGAGAGCCAAAAACAACTCGAAAGTTTCGACACAGAATCGTAAGAACAGGAAATCTTAAGAGCTGGACATATGCTTCGAAGCCCTAGAGTGTTTACTCCCGCTGGCAAATTTTCGTCCCCGTGCGTCTATATGGTGAGAAGGCACGTCCTACAAAAGTCTGAAATAATAAAGCATCGGCTTATAGCAGACATAATGAGTTTCAATTAGCCATAGGCTGGTCATCAAGGTTAAGATTTGCTTGATTTAGACGTGAGTTGCTCTAGCATCGACGGCTTCGCCAGCTTACCCTTGGGCTGGCTGACATCGAGTGGCTGATTTCGAGTGGCTGACAGAAGACGTGCAAGTGAAGGTGGAGCAATGTCAGTAGACCCTAACACGTGTGCCTACTCGGCCTGCATTTTGCCCCTTTTGGAAAAGTCTTGACCTGTAGGTATGCAGAATTGACTATGACAGCTACAGCACGCCTTGGATATGTTTCTAGCGTGCGGTGCCGGGTTTCTGGAAGAAGCCCAGAGGAGACGTCTGTAAGAAGTTGCTGCTGGGTCTTGGTCACCGAGCCCGAGTCTATCGTGAGGGAACACGGGGCAGGTCTTGGTCATCCACCGCAAACCTTGAACATATATGGGATACTATATATGAGCGTATGTTGTCAGGGCTTCTTTTTTTATTTGACAGTCTATGAGTCTCATCTAGACCCGTTCTACTCACCCATCTAAGGTTTTTCCATCGTCCCTCATCACTCGTCTTTCTATACATCTTCATCTCCGTTCCTATCTCTCTCCATCTTAGCACGTGGGACATTGGCCAAAATGCCGCTTCTCAACGGGACTGACGGCACACTGCCTCATGACAACATCGCATACACCAATGGTCACGACAAAAATGAGCAAGTCAACACCTGTAGCAATGGCACAAATGGTATTAGCATCAAGCCGACAAATCCAACATTTGAGCCCGTCGCTATTTGCGGAATGGCATGCCGATTGCCCGGGAGCATCGGTTCTCCTAAAGAACTATGGAAGTTCCTCGTCGAAGGGCGAGATGGGCGCGGTCTGGTACCAAAGACGCGGTTCAATATAGACGCCTACTACTCAGCAACCAAAAAGCCGGCAACAAGCATCACTAAGCACGGCTATTTCCTTGATGAGTCAGTGGATGTGGGCGCATTCGATACTTCTTTCTTCTCCATGACCAAGACCGAGGTGGAATTTTTGGATCCACAGCAGAGAATAATGCTCGAAGTAGCGCGCGAGTCAGTTGATGACGCGGGCGAGGTCAACACCAAGGGATCTAGCATCGGAGTTTATGTCGGATCGTTTGGTCAGGACTGGTATGATATTCTAGCACGTGAGCCCCTTCAGCAAAACTCATACACTATTGTCGCGTCGCACGACTTTATGCTGGCGGAGCGCATATCGCACGAAATGGATCTCAAGGGACCGAGGTATGCACTCTGCTGCGTGTTGATAGTCAACTCCTGAGAGAATACTGACCATCTTTGCTCTCAGCATAACTGTCCGTACAGCCTGTTCTTCGTCCCTTGTTGGGCTTAATGAGGCCTGCATGGCTATTGCAAAAGGCGACTGTGAATCTGCCATTGTAGGTGGCTCATCCCTCATTCTCGCCCCAGACGTTTTCACCCGGTTGTCGTACCAAGGGGTCCTGAGCCCCGACGGATCGTGCAAAACATTCTCTGCTGATGCGAATGGCTACGCTCGTGGTGAGGCTGTTGTCTCCCTCTATGTCAAGTCACTAAGCGCGGCCATCCGCGACGGTAACCCGATCCGCGCTGTGATTTCGGGCAGCGCAGCCAACTTTGACGGCAAGACTAATCCGTTGACAACACCAAGTGCTAGCGCGCAAGAGGCGCTGATTCGCAGTGCGTACAAGCATGCCGGCATTGAAGACATCGGCAAGACGGCGTTGTTTGAGTGTACGTCCGTTGAGATGGAGGACGGTGGTGGCATGCCGATTTTCAATGATCATGTTGAGCTAACATTAATACAGGTCACGGTACCGGAACCGTTGCTGGGGATCCAATAGAGGCAGAGGCCATCGCGTCCGTGTTTGGTGACAATGGTATCTACATTGGGGCCGTAAAGCCCAACCTGGGTCACTCAGAAGGTGCCTCGGGCCTCACAGCTGTCCTCAAGGCTACCTTATCTCTCGAGAATCACACCATCCCGCCCAACATCAAGTTTGCTCCTCTCAATCCCCATATTCCCTTTGCCAAGGCCAATCTGAAGATCCCAGAGGAACCTACACCATGGCCAGAAGATCGCGACGAGCGGATCAGCATCAACGCCTTTGGAGTAGGAGGCTCTAATGCCCACGTCATTGTCGAGTCGGCGGCAGGCTATCTGGCTTCCCATCCACATGCCCATGCCGGTGCCAATGCCAATAACGCCAGTACCTCTCAGAAGCCAGCCGTAATCAGCAATGAGCCACATCTACTCCTGTTCTCTGCTAAGACAGCCCGGTCACTCAACGATACTGTGTCCAACTACCGGTCTTTTCTGGCCGAAAATACGTCTATGAAGTTGCTCGACATTTCACACACGCTTGCGAACAGACGGGAGCACTTTCAACGCCGCACATTTGCCATTGCTGCAAACGACAGGTTTGAAGTGGGTGCCCCGGCAAGTTCTAAGGACGGCCCGGCCACTTCGTCCTCGCTTGTCATGGTTTTTACCGGGCAGGGAGCTGCGTGGCCGCAAGTCGGCCGTGATCTACTGCGCTCCAATATTACCTTTTCTAGCGCGATCGATTGTCTCGGGAGGCATCTAAAGAGCCTGGGAGCGAATTGGTCACTAAGGGAAGAGTTGCTTAAGCCAACCAGAACCAGCCGCATCTTTGAGGCTGAATTCTCCCAGCCGCTATGCACAGCATTGCAACTTGCCCTGGTAGACACATTGGCCGCGGTCGGGGTCAAGCCAGACGCAGTCGTCGGCCACTCAAGTGGCGAAATTGGCGCAGCCTACGCCGCGGGCGCTCTCACTGCAGAAGAGGCCATTGCTGTGGCGTACCGTCGAGGAACTGCGACTAAGCCCAAGGAAGCCGTTAAGGTACAAAAGGGAGCAATGGCTGCGGTGGGACTTGGCTGGGACCAGATCAAGGAGTTCTTGGTTCCCGGAGTTGTCACCGCATGTGACAACTCTCCTAGTAGTGTGACCATCTCAGGAGACGCAGACAAACTGCAGACCGTTGTCTCTGCCATTAAGGAGGCACGTCCCGATGTCCCAACAACCACACTCAAGGTCGAACAGGCGTACCACTCGCATCACATGCTCGCTTTCGGGGACGCCTATCATAAATCCATGATCGACTCAGGCGTTCTAGGTCAAGCGCCCGTTATCCCCTTCTTCTCTAGTGTCACTGGCGGGCGACTTGCCAGCACCAAGATTAACCCGCTTGGCCCTCACTACTGGCAGGCCAACTTGGAGCGCCCTGTTTTATTTAGAGACGCCGTCACCAGTATCATCCAATCTGATGATGTTTTCAACCCCATTTTCTTGGAACTTGGCCCGCATTCTGCGCTGGCTGGCCCCCTTCGCCAGATCCTCACACAAGAAATGAGCAGCGCTTCTTACATTCCATCTCTGATCCGCCGTCAAAACAGCACTGAGAACCTGCTGCAGGCCATCGGAAAGCTCTACACCTTACATATTCCTGTCAATTTGCGATCACTGATACCTGGTGGCTCTGCGGTTTCTGATCTTCCGGCGTATGCGTGGGATTATTCGCGAAGACATGTGTTCGAGTCGCGCGTCACCAAGGAGTGGCTCAGCAAGAAATATCCAGACCATTCACTTCTGGGCGCCCGGGTCCCCGAGAGCACCGATCTCGAGCCGGCGTGGCGTAATTTACTGCAGGTCGATACGGCGCCTTGGATTGTTGACCATAAGCTTGGAGATAACGTCGTGTTCCCTTTGGCCGGATACGTCGCTATTGCAGCTGAGGCAGGAAGGCAAGTATCCGGTATCGATGACGGTGTCAGTCTCCGTAACATCGCTGTCAGTGCTGCCTTAGTCCTGAGTGAAGATGCGCCTATAGAAATCATTACCACTATGCGTCGCAAGCGCTTGACAGACAGCCAGACCAGCGAGTGGTGGGAGTTTAGCATCGCGTCTCACAATGGTCATGTATGGACTAAACACGCCTCCGGCGAAGTAAAAGGAGAAAGCCTGGACAAACAGCAGGAAAAACCACAGGCCGGACAACCGGAGCTGCCACGAAAAGTTGATAGCGCCAAGTGGTATGATGCTACCTCGAAGCAAGGTATCACCTATGGACCGACGTTCACAAGCTTGGAGAATATCAGGTCGTCTACGGGTTGGCCAAATAAGAGCACGGCCACAATGAAGAACAATCGATGGGGTGATGAGACACAGCATCATTTGCACCCCGTGGTTCTCGACACCTACTATCAGCTGATGAGTTGCGCTCTACATGACGGCCTTGATCGAGAGTTCCGCCGAACCCTAGCTGCTCGGATTGATTCCATGACCATGTTCCGATGCAACGAAGATAACTTGGATATTTCAATCCGTTCGGAGCCTACTAATGAAGGCTATATTGCTTACGGCTATGTTTCGGCAGGCTCCATCGTCGTCTTGCGGGTCGATGGCTCCCACTCTACCCTCTTTGAAGAGGCCGAACCGGAAGATGAAAGCAATAGCGACATTCCTATGACTTCGCGAGAAGAATGGGTACCTCACTTGGATTTTATGGACCATGGTAGTCTCGTTGGAAATTTTAAAGACCAGGAGTCTGTCATGGCTGTAGTTGACCAACTGGCGCAGCTGGCTATCGGCCACGCTAACGTGATAGCTGACAAGATGACGGACAAAGCACCTATTGCTCACTTGATTCAATATACTGAGTGGCTCAAGACTCAGGCGTCATCTTTAGCCCCAGTGAGAAAGTCTATTAAGGAGCTTGTCGAGGAACTGGATGACACCTTTGCCAAACACGTCGCCACAGCTATCGGTGCTGTGTCCGACAACATTCAAGAGCTGCTGCAGGGTGACAAGACGGCGCTGGATATTCTCAACAGTGCAAACAGCAGTGTCGACAACTTTGTGGCCTTTTTCCGACAGCAGGTGGACGAGAGCAAATATTTGCATCACCTCAGCCACACCAAACCCAACCTCCGTGTTCTCGAAATTGGCGCAGGCATTGGAGATAAGACAATTAAGATAATAAAGGACCTCTCCCGCCCCGACGGCACCCCTCTGTACTCACACTACGTCGCCACAGAGGTGTCTTCCGGGATTGTCAACACGGCCAAAGAACGCTTTAAGGGGAACCGCAACTTTAAGTTCACAACGCTCGACATTACACAGAATCCGGCTGGCCAAGGATTCGAGGATGGTCCTTTTGATCTCATCATCGCAGCAAACATTGTCAATAACACAGGTAGCCGTCCCCAGGACGCCTTTCGCAACTTACGTCAACTTCTCACCCCCCATGGAAAGCTCATCCTTGAGGAACCACGTACTGGGCTTACATGGGCCAAATTTGTCTTGGGCACATTGCCTCGCTGGTGGTCCCACGCCACAGAAGATCTCGACCGAGTACATGAGCCTTTCCTTGGCCCGGAGAGATGGCAAGATGAGCTCGCAGCTGCTGGTTTCGCCATCGCAAGTTATATACAGCCACAATCAGATGTAGAGCGCTGGACAACAAGCAGTGTCATAGTGGCGACGCCTCGGCACCTTGAGGCGCCTTATGAGAAGCGTATCACTCTACTCACACTGGAAAGCAACGCAGAAGTAGAGACGAGCCCAGTTTTACGGGAGCTCGAGGAGCGAGGCTATGGAGTAGACCGTTTCTCACTAGGCCAGACACCGCTCCCTGCGAACCAGGATGTTCTGGCCATACTGGAAGAGGAGCAACCGTTCTTTGAAACATTTGACGCCAACAAGCTTTTGCAGCTAAAAACACTGCTTTCCGAGCTCGGGGGCGCCGGTGCCGGTATTCTCTGGGTTACACGTCTCTCTACAGTTGGCGCCGTCGACCCGCGCTACGCTCAAGTTATAGGACTGATTCGCACGCTACGATCGGAGCTGGCCCTGGACCTCGGCACCGTTCAGACACCTAAAATTGCAGATATTGCAGAAGCCAGAGCCCTGATCAATGTCTTGGAGAAGTTCCTCGCCAGGAGAAACGAGGCTGGAGGTAGTGATGGAGATGATGCTGCTGTGATGGGCCCCGACTTGGAGTATGCCATACAGGACGGCCAGACCTTGGTTAACCGCATCTTCCCCTTTTCTCTTGCAAAAGAGCTCGTCGTGAAACAGGAGGCATCAGCTGAAGCGGTCGTTACACAAACTACTCCAGGCCGTCTAAACAGCATTAAATGGTCGACCCTGTCTCTGACAGCGCCTCGGGCAGACGAGATTGAAGTGGAGGTGTATGCCAGCGGTGTCAATTTCCGAGATGTACTGGTTGGTATGCAAATTATTCCTGGTCGCCATGAGCCTAAGTTCGGCTACGAGACGGCAGGCATTGTGCGCCGTGTCGGGCCAGATGCCACTAAATTAGCTGTCGGCGACCGCGTTGTCGGCGTGGGTGAGCGGACATTCACGTCAGTGATTAATAGTCGCGAGGTGTACTACGAGAAACTGCCCAGCCACATCTCCTTTGTTGAGGCTGCTAGCATTCCGACCATCTTCCTCACTGTTGTGTACGGCCTACGCGATTTGGGACGCCTCGAAAAGGGTCAATCTGTCCTCATTCACAGCGGTGCTGGCGGTGTCGGTTTGGCTGCCATTCAAGTCGCCCAGATGCTAGGCGCCGAGATTTACACAACCGTTGGTAGCGAAATCAAAGTGGACTATTTAATGAAGACATTTGGGCTCGCCCGGAACCGCATCTTCAACTCACGGAACGACTCTTTTGTGCAAGACCTCCTTCGTGAGACACAAGGTAAGGGTGTTGATGTCGCCCTGAACTCACTCGCTGGCGAGCTTCTTCACGCCACTTGGAAATGCGTTGCCAAATGGGGTACTATGGTGGAAATTGGAAAGCGTGATCTTGTTGGCAACGCGCAGCTCGACATGGGGCCCTTCCTGGGCAGTCGCAACTACTGCTGCATCGACATTGATCAGATGCGTGCTGAACGCCCGGAAATGATCGGGTGTCTGCTACAGTCCGTTATGGACTTCTTTGCCCGGGGCCTGCTGCAACCTGTTCGGATAGACCGCATCTTTGGCGCAGCACAAGTCTTAGATGCCCTACGCTACATGCAACAAGGTAAGCATATGGGCAAGATTGTGCTGGAGATTCGCCAGGAGACTTCCCATAAGCTTCTAGTCGACAAAATTGACAATGCAAAGACATCTAGAGTGGCACTGGATGCACAAGCATCATACCTTCTGGTCGGTGGCCTCGGTGGTCTCGGTCGCTCGATGTCTGTGTGGATGGTTCAGCGAGGCGCTAGGCATCTTACGTTCTTGTCCCGCAGTGCTGGTAGTGGGGAACACGACGCCGACTTTGTTCGTGAGATAGAAAGCATGGGATGCACAGTCCAGCTCGTCAAGGGTGACGTTACTAATGCTGAAGATGTCACCCGGGCTGTCAACGGAGTGCTGGCCCCTCTCAAGGGTATTGTGCAAATGTCTATGGTCCTGCGCGACCAGATGTTTGACGGCATGAACATTCAAGACTGGAATGCTGTAACCCAGCCCAAGGTCCAAGGTACTTGGAACCTGCACAACGCCACCCTGACCAGCAACATCTACCTCGACTTCTTCCTCCTCTTCAGCTCCTTATCTGGTATCGTGGGTCAGGTTGGTCAGGCCAACTACGCCAGCGCAAACACCTTCCTCGACGCCTTTGTGCACTACCGCGCCGGCTTGAATCTCCCCTGCACAGCCATCGATCTCGGTGCTATGAAGGGTATCGGCTATCTGTCCAATAGCAGCAGCGCGCATCTCCTTAAAAAAATGCAAGGCACAGGCTGGAGCGTGGTGCACGAGACCGAACTCCTCGCCGCTCTGGACCTGGCCATGATGTCTCAGGCTACGCGCGCCCAGCGAGGCAGCAATGCTCCTGACGGCTTTCTTCTTGGTCTGGTACCGACTTCGCCCTTGAATCGGTCATCAAACGGCTCCCGGCTTAATAGAGACGTCCGCATGGCTGTGTTCCATAATCTCGGCAACTCTGGCACCGATACCAAAGCTGGATCTGCTCCTGATGGCCTCCGCGCGTTCATTTCATCTGTTAAACAGGACCCAAGCGCTCTACAGTCACCTGATGCCGTCACGACGCTTGCCGTAGAGATTGCCAGAAAGCTTTTCAGCCTTCTCTTGATAGATGATGTGGACGTGGATATCACCAAGAACACCGCGGATATGGGACTCGACTCGCTCGTCGCTGTCGAGCTGCGAGCTTGGTGGAAACTCAATTTGGGCTTTGATATATCGACGCTTGACATGTTGAGCTTGGGAACTCCCACGGCTCTAGGAGAACGTGCTGTCGAAGGTCTCATTAAATTGTACGACTTATAGCGTGCATTTAACATCTACATTCTTTTCTGTGCCTCTTCTTGTTCCCTGTTCTTGTTCATTTCAATTCTACTTCATTAGCTCTTGTTCAATCTGCAGTAGTCTCCCTGCCTAATGATTATCGCATTCTCCACGCTACGTCCCCAAGCACAGAATACAGTATACTATTGGCCACCTAGCACAAGTTGTACACTTTTCAGTCCAATGACCGCTGCTGCCCTTTGGCTGATTCTAATTATCCCTAATCGTTCTATGTCGTAGTCCTCCGACATGCCTGGTCAATTGTATTGGCCAGTACCAGTAGCGCACGCTCGGTTGTACGTCCCGGACGTCCCCCAAACTGAGTGTCGGGCAAATGGTTCGTCTCGAAACGTAACTGGTCAACTACTATCGAAAGAGACTCTTTACACGATGGCCCAAAAAAAAGCTCCGGCTTAAATAATCAAGACTTCTTCTACCAAAGCTATCGCTAATTTTATCAAACATAAGGTTCAGAACGTGACAGAAAAACGAAATACAACACTGAAGTCCGTTATGCTGGTTTCCTAACACTTATTATCAAACACATAAAGTACCTTCCTCGGGGTAGCATTAGTTTTCGAGAAACTTGCCGAAGTCGCGAAAAGAAAAATTTAAAAGAATTTGGATAAATTCCCTCTGGGCCTTAACGAGCTTTATAAGCGAACCATGCATCCTACGCAGTGTATCCTATAGACCCGAGTCAGTATAAGATGTAGCGCCAACTGGTAACGATACTGTTACGAATCGACGACTCGAGGATCGCGTATCTACTTGATAGGATAAAGAACAACATTGATGACGCTAGGCTTTTGGTGATAGGTATTCTAAAAAACGAGGGCTGTACTTGATACGACTAGCGTATTACGATTTATTGATGTACCCTACTTAGGCCGCTTATCCCTAGGCTTAGCTCAAACTTAGTAAGCAACCAAGGCGCTCAGAGCCGTCCTCGATTCTACTCCGTGAGACAAAAGCGGCAAGAGGTGAGCACGAATCTGGAAAGAGAAAAGCCAAAAACTAAGATAGGAAATCCACTACTCGTGCACGCCGCCCCACAACTAGACCTCGCCAAATGGGCGGGTTGGGTTTCGACCCTTGACCCAAAACCCGCCAAGAGATTAAAATACACGTAACATATACCTGATTACATCACTCTATATCTGGTATTGGTTGTATTTCAACAGTAATACTGTAATATACAGGTAAATGGGTTCTTGGCGGGTTCGCGGGTATTCCTTCGGGTACCCAAAAAAGCAATATGGCGAGGTCTACCCACAACCCTTTGGGCCATGGGGGTGCTCACGAATCGAACACCAACCCTCATCAAACACCAAAAACTTGACCTATTCTAGCATCAAATCACCCACCCACCACTACCATGTATATAGAAAATATGTATCTTATTTAGACCCGAGACAACGTATAAATAATGAATATAAGATCTTTTACTGCATGTTTCTGCTGTGACATGAGTGCGAAATAGTACGATTTTACCACCTATTGTTATGGTCAGAAAGCCCAAAATGAGCACAAAAGCACCTGTTATAATATTGATTAATGTTATAAACATATGAGCTGGTTTTAGATCAGTAGATCAGAACGAATATGTTTCGATGTTTCGTATATATTAGCCTACTGTGGCCTAAAGTTACTCAAAGATGTTTATATTTACAAAGTTCCCCGTTCCCCCTACATGACCTGATTTGCCGTTGGTGGAATTAAGTCTAAACCTTTCGCACGAATATCACAGCAGAACCATATTATATAAGACCTTGTATCAATATTTGTACGTTATCTCCGGTCCATATAACATATTTATAGCTTTATATATATATATATATATATATATATATGGTAGTGGTGGGTGATTTGATGCTAACTTAGGTGAGATTTTTGGCGTTCGATGAGGATTGGTGTTCGATTCGTGAGCACCCCCATAGCCAAAAGGGTTGGGGGATACGTGCTCCAGTAACTAGGTATCAATCGTGGAGGAAAACAAATCACGTTAAAAAAAATTACCAAAAGGCCACTCCCATGACCGGACACCGCCGTATGATAAATGATAATAGTCCATTTCCCTTTATGCAGTGACGAGTTCTGCATCTTTCCCATATGTAAAACGTTTGATGAGATCTCACTGCCCCATAAACAACACATAGACCATGCCTTCTCGCCCTTTCTAGCTCAAAACGCTCATCAAAATACACGTGCTATTGCATCAATAGCATGAATGAAAGAAGGAAAAACAAAACATGGAGGGGAATCTTCATTAGAGAGAGAGAGGAAGGAGGAAAAGGACAACAAGTTCAGGGTTGTTGATTGGACAGGCATTGACACAGAGCCTACAGATGAGATCAAAGGTGGGTGTTGCTCATCGTGTAGGCATGTGGTTTGGACCTGCGGTTGAAAGCTCCGACTGAGGGCGATAATTTAACGCGTCGACTGTCTTAGAGGCCAAAGTCGGAGAGATATCTGGCCTGGACGGCTGAAATAGACCTTGGCGAGCGGGTTGTGGGGAGAAGATGGGGTTGTGGGAGGACTCGGGTAAGGGGGAGCGACGTTCCATGACATGGCTTGCATGCGGGTGGGACTTTCGCACATCTAGCGGCGATGAGCTCTGAGATCGGAAGCCAGATTTACGCTCGAAGTCATAATCCGGATTACGGAAGGGCCCTTGATGATGCATTCTTGACTCCTGCTCAATACCGTAAGGTGTATTGTTGGCCGAGGAGTTTGCGGCCGAGACATTCTCCGGTATTGTAGACGCGGATCCGTTCGGTGCGTTAACGTCTACCACCCGCTTTTGAGCCGCTGGAGTTGCAAATGATGACACTTGCGGGTTCTCAAAGGCACGCCCTTGAGGACGATGTTGTTGGGAGTATTGATGCGGTGCCTGTTGCTGATGGATTGGATGTTGTGGGTTAGCCCACGGCGTTTGCTCTAAGAAAGCTTCTTCGGCTGCTGTGCGGAAAACGTTGGATGACATGGCCGATATGGGAGGCCGGGGAGGCAATGTCGATGAATGTCGTGGGGCTGAAGCCCGGGTTTCAACAGTGATCTTGTTATAGATGTCAGCAACCGATGCACGAGCCAATCAAGTAGGCCAACTTACCCCCATCTTTTCGAGATCGTCGTCCAGTTCCGACGGCCGCGCGCCTAGTAATGTAGGAGCAGCTGGGAAACCAACATATTTTGCAATACCGGCCATGATCGAAACCTCTTGGTTGTAGGCGGTTTGATTTGCGATCTGCTGTGAGCGACGGGTGGGGAATGAGATGATGTGATGTGGGCTTAATTCATCTGTCTTGAAGCGGTCATGCTGGATAGCGTAGAATTGCTTGCTGACCGCACTTGAGTGTGTCTCTCGCGTATCTCGGATGCGTTGGAAGAAAGTACTGTGTGCCTGTGCCCGCTCCGCCAAGGTTTTGTTCAATAGAGCCTTCCTGCGGTAATAGAACAACGTGTGTTCGTACTTGATCTTGGCATCGCGGTAACGTTTCACACACTCAATCTGGCGTAGATACTCGGGGTGTGTTGGGGTCGGACCACTGAGCATTTCAAGCTCGCGGTTGAGCTTCGTGATTCGTTCGTCATAAATTCTATATCGGGTAAGCCACAGACCGAAATAGGATGATAAGGATACTTACTTGTCACGCAAAGTTGCGAATTCTTTTTCGAGAGTTGCCAGAGACTCCATCGCAGACATCTTCTTTGTGGCTGATGATAAGTTTAGTCAATTGATTCTGCATGTCACACCGTGAAGCAAGACTTACATTCTTCCTCCAGCTTCGCCGCTGTTTCAGCATCGTTGGCTTCCTCGCGTTCGACGGGCTCATCGTCTTCCCCAAGATTATCATCAGCGACGTCCTCTGTCACAGCATCGCCACCTTCGGTCTCTTCATCCGCGTCTAGGGCTCGTCTTCCTCTGCGCTTACCCCTTTTGCCTCTTTTGCCTTTAACTGGCGGGGCGGGAAGGTCGAACTCAGGGACGTCGTCGGCCGGCAACTCGTCGTCATTGGTAGCGATGGGGTCTTCGATGGGCTCCGGGGAAAGAGGCATGTCGTCGTCAATTGGATCGCTCAAGTCGCTTTTGATCGAACTTCTGCGCTTCTTAATGGGCTCTTCGTCGCCGAGTTCGGTGCCGGTATCGTCACCAGCTTCAACGCGCTTTCGCTTTTTGCCGGTGCTATCGGGGAGATCCATATCGTCCAGATCTGGAATGTCATCGGTCAATCCATTGTTATGAGAGGATCGCGGTTTGCTCGGCGAGTCGTCCAGCAGCTGCTCTTCATCATCGACGTCGGCCAGGGTCGTTGACTGATGGAGCTTGCTTGGACTTGGGCCAGCGCTGCCAGCACTGAGCACAATATCCCCACGCTTGCGAATGTTGTGAGGGGAGTCCTCGATGCGCTCGGTCTCCGCCTCCGAGTCATTCTCGAGCTGTCTTTCTGCTTTGATCGAGTCTTCAAAGTCGGAGGGTTCGTTGTCCGACACATCATCAATCTCACTTAAGCTACTGGATCGACCATCATCCATGAGCGGGTCATCCAAGAAGGGGTTTCGCTCTCCATTGGTCATGGTGGACTCTGCCCCCGCAGGACCAACAGAGCTATGTTCTCTGCTTTCGATCACCTCCATCGGTAAGAATGAAGATAGTCTAAGCAATAGAATACTTGAAATGAGGATATGATGTAGTTGGGATGTTTGTGGCTTGCCAAAAGTTGCTTTCGGCAAAGTGGAGAGGCTGTGGGGGGAGAAAAGGCGGCAGGGTCACCGATCGGCCGGACAAGGTTTTTGTTTGGGGTTCTATGTCAATCATGGGATAGATTAGCTCAATTGCCATGCTAAATGGGTAAAGACGCTGCAGAGAGGCTAAGTAGAGGAGAAATGGGTGGGTGGGTTGCAAAAAGGTGCTCAGCGCCTCCAGAAGGCGGTGCGGAGATTGATCACCGCCGAAACGCCCCCAGAGTCGGCACCAGTCTCTTGGAGGGCTGGTGAACGCGCAGCCCCAAATAGTGAATTTGACAGCTTTCCAAGGATAGAAAAGCCATCAAGTAACCAATTTATAGACCCAAGAACCATGCAAATGTAGGCAAGAGTGCAAGCGACGTACCGTCTCAACAATGCGCCGGGAGCAACGCTGGTGAGGAGAACAACTGCTCGTGATCGAACAGTATTCTGACAGCCACCGTGTTCCAGAAGCACTGGTCAAAAACTAGGACTAAACCCACGCGTCTTGCTTTTGTAGAATTTCACCAGGAGCTGTCGAACCACTGATGCGCCAGCACTGGGATGGCGAGGGGAGGGCGGCTAGGAAAGGAAGCAGGACCACAGTCGAACGGAAGGGTGTGGGATAGCGGTCGGCATGAAGATAAACCAGAATGTTCTGGAGAGGGCGAACACGATCGTCAGGTTTGTGGGGAAACAACTCCAGCGGGGAAGAGGAAAGGAGGAAGCCCAAGATCGCTATGATGGGGTGCAGAGCAACAGAAGCGAGTGGGTTCTGCCAGATCTGGAGGTCACCGCCTGCAAAAAACCACCAAGTCACGTGATGCTGACGTCGCTGAAGACGGTATATAGGGAACTTCACAAATGGCCATGTTAATATCGTGTTTGGAAGGTACCCTTGAAATATGTAGATTATTTCAGGATGAAAATATTCATGCAGTCTGATCAAGATCATTGGTAATAAACTTTAAGAACGTTAATACAGGCTAGGAATTTATATTTGTCAAATACTCCCCTTTCATCAATAAAGGACTGCAAATGTACCAAACAAACATAAACATCATTGTATCTTCTTCTATAACTATTTTATCCTCAGTGAAAAATCCACTATTTGATGTGTTCAAAGGATTTTTCCATATGGGTGATGCAGTAAATACCCCAAATCATGTGATGTGCAGTCTGACTGCGCCAAGACTGATAAGCCCCAAGAAAAAAAAAAGTTCGGAGCTGTATGCGCAGTCTCATCTCGACTCCACCATTGTGCAACGCTTAAAAGGAATAGGACAATTCAAGTCTCCAGATTCCTCTCACGATGGGCAAGAAATCTAAACCTCAGTCTGAGACTAAGAGCCAGACAACTGTCTCTGACGGTCCTTCATTGCTCGGCGGTGTCGCTCTGGACCCAACCTTGTCCTCCCTTTTCAGTCAAAGTGTATGTTTTGATTGTCAACACTCCTTAGAGATTGTGGCTAACAATATGATTCTTAGTCTGGACCTGTGAAAGCCCCCGCGGTTCAATATGTCAACGTGCACCCTAAGTCAACAAGACAAGACAAGGCCGACGAAGATGATATCGCATCGGATGAAGGCTCAGTTGCCTCGGGAGATGAAGTGATGGAGGATGCTTCTGATGCTAGTGAGACTGAGTCCACTGAGGAATCGGCACCGGAACCCCAGAACCGCAAGCGCAAGCGTGGACCCGCTGGAGAGGACGTAGAGGAGACATACATGCGTCGCATCGCCAAGGAAGAAGAGAAAGAAGAAGAGAAGAGAAAGGCCGAGTATGCGAAGCGCCAGAAGCCTACTGAGGAAGAAGGCAGCGATGCATCTGAAGGTGAGGATTCCGAGGCCGAGGACAGTGACGAGGAAAAGGCTCCAGCTCCGGTCCACGAGAGTGTGTCAGGTACTCAAAAGGCCAGCGAGGTCGAGAAGTCCAACCGTACAGTGTTCTTGGGTAATGTCTCCACCGAGGCCATCAAATCTAAGACCGCCAAGAAGACCCTTCTTCGGCACTTGGCCTCCTTCTGCTCCGATCTGCCGGAATCAACTGGCCCGCACAAAGTCGAATCGCTTCGATTCCGCTCTGTTCCATTTGCTAGCGGTGGTGGACTTCCCAAGCGGGCGTCTTTTGCCCGACAGGAGATTCTTGATGATACCACTCACAGTACCAATGCCTATGCCGTCTACTCTACTGTCCAGGCCGCTCGGAAAGCATCTACTGTGTTGAACGGAACCATAGTCCTGAACCGCCACCTTCGCGTCGACAGCGTTGCTCACCCGGCCGAAATTGACCATAAGCGTTGTATTTTCGTGGGTAACCTAGACTTCGTGGATAATGAAGGTCCTGTGGAGGATGCTACAGGCAAGAAGAAGAAGGTCAGACCTTCTGCTGATGTTGAGGAGGGTCTCTGGCGCACCTTTAACGAACACACCGGAGATAAGGGCAAGGGAACCAAGAAGAGCGTTGAATTTGTTCGTGTGATCCGAGATCGCTCAACTCGCGTTGGAAAGGGCTTTGCCTACGTTCAGTTCTACGATGGCAACGGCGTTGAACAAGCCCTGCTTCTTAATGAGAAGAAGTTCCCCCCGATGCTTCCCCGGAAACTGCGCGTCACCCGTGCCAGAAAGGTTTCCAAGAAGCGTGAGGACAGTGGTGGAAGAGATTCGAAGATGGCAGAGGCCCAAAAGACTATGCAGGGTCGTGCAGGCAGATTGCTTGGTCGGGCTGGCGCCGCCAAGGTTAAGGCGGAGGCAAAGAGCACCATCGCTGGAAACTCATTCATCTTTGAGGGTCACCGAGCCACTGAGAAGGGTGCTTCATCTCAGATGAAGCTCAGGGGCAAGAGTCGTGGGTCCAAGGCTAAAAAGAACGCCCGCAGCAGTAAGCGGGCAGCAGCATACAAGGCTGCTGGTGGACAGAGACCTTGAATGAGAAAAGAAAAAAACATCATTTTGTATCTATTATTGGCGTTGGAAAGGGCATTCAAAGTATTATGCAGAATCAACCATGATCTCTACGTTTCCAGATATTCCACTATGCTACAGGTATAACGAAGCATAAAATAATGCGAATTCCTTCAATCCCCTCTCACTCGACCAGGAACCTATCAATTTCCTCAAGTCAGCTAAATAGCCAGATACTGATTCTTTCCATCTAAAATATATCAGAAAAGTCTATTGAATGTGGTATTACACCGCCGTGTTTACCCCAATCGACGTGAAGAGAAAATGCGGGGTGATAAGATAAAGGTCATATGGAGGCTGATGTCATTTCTGGTGATCACAGAATTGTCTAAAAGAGCACATTCAAATAATGAACTGTGAAATAATATGTTGTACATTCAATGCTTTGGAAATCTTGTTGAAATAATCCCTGTCGCAACTGACAAAGTAGAAAACACGTAAATACAAAGCTTAGCTGTGGTGGGGTCAAGGCTCCACCATTTATCTTCCCTTCGTCATCCTTCAGCTTTCTCAGATTGTGGCTTGACCTTGACAATACATCGCCCTGACAAGACCCAAATACTTACATATTGCTTGATTTTTTCATCCGCCATGTCATTTGGTCGCTTTTCTTTGCCGCGAGGGCTATTCAGGAGGTCAGATGCTCCAAGCAATGAACCGGAGACCGATCCAGAGGCTGGGTTGTTTTTCCCTGACATATGGGACGTGTTCAAGGTGCGATACATCTTGCAATGGAAACTTCGCGAGGGATTTCCTGTGGAGTTGGTAGATCAGATTCTCGATGCAGCCGAGTATTGGCCTTCCACCGAGCACTATATGGTGGAAGAAGATGACCGTAGAGTTGTTCACAAGGACTGTGATCAAGTTTTGTTGAAGACTGTGCCTCTTTGTTATTCGCGGAAGGTCAGTACATCCCTCAATCTATGTTGATGGTTTCTCTATTAACTCCTATTTTGGTATCTTAGAGTCTAGAGGAATCGCCATCACCCAAGCCACTTCCTCATCGTGGTATGCATCCCTGCCGCAAGATCATCTTTCAACTTTCTTCACACGACCAGGGTCCTAGGGGCTTATCGCGAGAGAACATGTATTCCGGCAGCTGGACTTGGTTCGATACTGAGGTGATACCTGCCGCACATACCCGCAATATGTATGTCAATGGAGAGGAGCAAGAACTATTGCATAACGAGCGGGGTCAAGTGCCACAACATTACGGACCTGATCATGAAATTCTTCTCCCCCGAGAGAATAAGGTGCAACTGAATGCCAAATCAATGGGAGACTTGCAGAACAACACTATCGTGTGGCACTATCTGGATAATATCCAGTCTGACTCCGCCGAGGCTTATGAGATCGAGCGGACTAAAGGCCGGGGACGGTTCACGTTGGATGGACGATATGTTCGCGAGCTGGAGGTTGGGGACTCGATTGCACTTTGGGCACGAGCGAGATTCCCGGGTTGGACTAACTATGTTTACCGTGCCAGTATTAGAGTATTTTGGGCTGTCTAGGTGAAACTGAGAAGCAGCAAGTTTCCATTTGCTTCGTCCATGATTTCAAAGTTATGTTACTCTTGACCTCAATGCGCTATGATATTCTTGATGCGGAGAGTAAGTATCCAGCACGATAAGCTGCAGCTATTTACTTCATGTTACTTCAGCCTAGTTATAGTTAAATTAATTCGTATTACATTTCCGCCTTATAATTCAGGCCAACATGAGCACGCAATTTCGCCAAGACCAATGGATCAACCAGAAGAGCAAGTATAAGACCAAACGACTGCCACCACCAGCTTTCTCTTCTTCTTTTCCCCCCAAATCGACCCTGCCGATTACAAAAATGCTACTCACGACACTTACTTACCCTCCTAGGATTCCCCATTTATCACGCCGTGATAAATGTTCGTTCCCACTAGGAAATTCTCTCACACCCTCCCAAACCACCTGACTCATCCGACCGAGCCGACAGGCCGATGGAAAGCGTCCAGGCAGTGGGGCACATGCGTCAGTCGCCTTTTTCCTCTCGGCCGTGTACGCAGACAAGCGAGCAGATATCGACCGGGGGGCCAATCTATTCCCACCTGAAGCGGAGATAACCACGATCGACGTGCCTCTCGACCGAAAATCCCTATGTGTCATAGTTGCTGGGGGATCTGGGGCCTGGAGCGGTTGACGATGTCCCGACTGGATGTTGGTTGCGTTATCTGCACCACCAATTGGTGATTGAAGAATTACGCATTCCCATATACGTCCGGTCTTGGCTTCCAACTCAAAACCCCCCTTTTGGCTTGTCCCGTGGATTCTGGCGGTCTGCCGGTTTCCTTTCACTTATTTAGATACCCGAATGAATCCATTTTCCGTTACATTTTCATTTTCAACTTAGAACACGTTTTCCCCTCTTTCCCTTCTGACCAAGTTCCTCGCTCTATCTTGCTTTTTTTGACCTGCTCTTCACACCTTCAATATGGCAACTCGAAAATTTGCAGCTGTTGTTGTTGGCGCCGGTCCAGCTGGTGTCGCAGTTATGGGCAATTTGCTAGAGCGCCAGTTGGGCACGATCGCCTGGATTGACCCCTGTTTTGAGTCTGGCCGAGTCAACCGCAAGTATCGCGAGGTTCCTAGGTTCGTCCTACAGATCCAAAGACGTGGCTTGACCCCGCTAACCACCGAACTCCCAGCAACACCAAAGTATCACTCTTTCAGGCCTACGCCACAGCAGTCCAACCCTTCAGGGCAGTAATTGAGAGCACACGGCAACCAAATGCATTCACCACCATGGCCAAGCTGGATCAGGAGAAACCCTGCCACCTCCACTATGCAGCCGACATGATCCGCGGACTGACAGACGGCCTCATGAAGAGGGACGATGTTTACCCCTGCCGCGGCTTCGTCACAGCAGCCAACCTAGCCGACAGGGTTCGTCTAAAACATCCACCCCCACACCCAAGCTACACTAACATAAAATCCAGGCCTCCACATCAAAGTGGATTGTCCGTGTCAAGCGTGATGACTCCACAGACGAGGTCGAGATTGAAACCTCCCGTCTGATCCTCTGCACAGGCTCCCACCCAACCAACATTCCTGTGCCAGTCCCCGGTCTAGATATTGAGTGCCTAGACCTCGACACAGTCCTCAAACCATCCGAACTCGCCCAGATCCTCCCCACAACACAACCCACCACCGTCGCCGTCGTGGGTGCTTCACACAGTGCTATTCTCGCCCTTCTCAACCTTGTCAATCTTGCCCGCTCCACTCATCCCCATCTGCGAGTCAAGTGGTTCACGCGCCACCCTCTTCGCTATGCGGAGTACAAGGACGGCTGGATCCTGCGCGATAACACAGGCCTCAAGGGCTCCGCGGCAGAATTTGCACGCAACCAGCTCGAAGATGAGCGGCTCCCGACCTCGTCGGCGGGGGAGGTGATTACTAAGATTGATTGTGCGGGCGGCGAGGCGAGGGAATCAGCGCAGTATCATGCTCACCTTCCTGGCTGTTCGTTTATTGTTCAAGCAGTTGGATTTACACGTGATCCGCTACCGCAGCTTGTTAAGGGTGGGTCTCCGCTTGCGTTGGAGTTTGATCATGAGACGGGTCATTTCCATGAGCTTGGGAATGGGCCTGTTATTCCGGGACTGTTTGGTGCTGGCATTGCTTTCCCGCAGAGAGTTGTTGATCCTTACGGGAATGTTGAGTATGCGGTTGGCTTCTTCAAGTTTATGAAATTCTTGAAGACGGTTGTTCCTACTTGGGGATCTGCTTGAGATGATTCTAGCGTTAACTCATTGGGCTGTCCTTTTTACATCATTTATTTTTCGGTTGTCTTTGATATCTTGGCGCGGGCGTTTACTTGGATTCAAATAAGGTTCTTAGCTCAACAATTGAGCATCACGTTTGCTAAATTATTATTGAACGAATTCAACATCCAATGATACTCAAATTGTGTATGGCCCCATAGTATAGTTTCACCTGATTCTCAATACTATAGATTGATCCCTCAATATGAACTGCGACACTTTTTATCATCGTCAATTCATAAGCATTCCAAGTCCACTACATTTTTCAACGCAGTAGATACCAAATCAACTCACATCCCAATCTATAACATTCCCCATCAAAACACCAAACCCAAAACCAAACAACCAATAACCAGGAGGACCGCAGGCTTCACCACAACTCCCGCATTTACAGAAGTCTGCGCCGCAGACGTCCCCGTCTCAGTCCCGGTAGCTGTCCCAGTAACCGTCCCAGTAGCCGTAGATCCACTATTAGTAGCAACAGCCTTAGCATCAAACCTAGTAGCAGTAATTGTCCACGTAGTCTTCGACTGCGACCAAGTAATCACCGTCCCGCTAGGCGGCGCCGAAACCGTTCCCCCAACATTACTCAACGTCGAGCTCCCATTCGACGGGAACTCACCCGGCTTGTAAAACTTGTCTGACGGATCCGTGAACCCAATATCTTGACAATTTGTCGACCCGAGCGTACTATCGCATGTATCCCAGACGAAATCCGGAATCGAAGTATAGAGGTTTGGATAGTCGGATGGGAAGAATGTAAACCAGAGATCAGCGCCTGCGAGGCGGGGAATCGTGTTTGGACACACTTGCCAGGCACTGAATGAAAGTTTTGTTAATTCTTTCTTTTCTAGGATGAAAGAGGAGGTAGAGGGTATTGATGTTGGATGTTGATGTTAGTCTGGGAGCTTACGCTGAAAGACTGGCGCTACTACCGCAACATGCACATTCGGTAGCTGTGTTAGCAATGTCGCTGAGATTGGCGAGATCGCCTAGGTTCGTCACGGCGCTTGTGACATCGTTCACGGTGTGGTCGGTTACATTTAAGATACAGGACACTTGCTCCTTGCGCGCAGTTAGGGTGGCTCGAAGAACCTTGCCCAGATCACAGGAGCAGCGGTTTGGTGCATTGTCTGGTGCTGGCCAGAATGGGATTGGCTCGATGGCACTGGGGCATATGGCGAAATACTGCTGTATGAAGAGTTGGTATTCGCAGGAGTACACCTGTAATGGATGGTTCAGTTAGAGGATGTAGAGGATCGATTGGGTAAATATCTTATACCTGGTTCCAGCATGAGCGTGCCATGCAATTGATATACTCTTGGTGTGCGGTACAGCCGCAGTCCACAATGCAGTCACTAGAGCCATTGCATCCGTTCACGCAGGAACTCCACTTGTTTGCGACATCGAGGTTGCAGGACGAGTAGACAGTTGAGGCGGCGCAGGCACTGGCAGTGATATTGGTCTGGGCGTGCGCTAAATGCACGAAGCCGAGGCTTGCGGCGATGACGAGGGGGGTGATTGACGGCATGGTTTTTCTTTTTCTTGTGCGCACCTGGGAATGTGATTGGCGATAAACTATGATGGGATTGATTATGTTTTGCTTGTTCTTGTACTCCGAGCTTCGTGTTTCCGAAGAGCCTGCTCTGTGCTTGAGGGAGTTGATCTGCATTGCAACCTAAGAAAAAGTCGGGGGATTGCCCAGCAGGTTATATAGACCTCTGATCGCAGCTCATACGTAAGAGCTTGCATAAAAATAGCAGGAAGGAGGAGGGAAAGCCTTGAATGTCGGCTAATGTATTGCATTGCAGGATTGTCCACTATTTTCAAGTGAGACTGCAATTTTAGACTGGACTGCATTGTCATCGCTTCATCGTTATGAGCACCGTCGCACGAAAGACGCGGTGAGCTATCCAGGACCGCTGATGAGATCCATGTCCCAAGGTGTAAATGCTGCATCTTGCATATTTCACATGTAGTCATCTTTCCTTCATTTGTTAGGTGAGTGACTTGTCAGGATCTTTGAGTTTGAAAAGGGTACGGTCGTTTATGTGACTCGGGTTCCTGGTCAAGATGACAGGTCCCTTGCTGTCAACACGAGGCGCTCTTATGATACATCTGGCGATCCTTGCATGCGTATGTATCCTTGTAAGCCGGTACTAGAGTACTCGGGGTACTTCAGTACATTTTCCAAGAACTTGGCTTATCAGTAATAAAGGGCAGTAACGGCGGTAAAGAGGTCAACTGGTGGATTTCTGTCTTAATTGATTGCTAGCAGCTAGCATATTATTGTTTGAGATTTTTCCCCTGTATGACCAGTGATTTTATGCCCATATTCTCAATAATGTATCTGATTCCAGTCAGATGAACCAGTCGCCGAAATCAGACCAAACCAGAATAATATTACCTGAAACATGGCAACAGGGTTTGATCAGATATTAGCATTCTGATCTGGCGGTGTTAGGCATCAGAGCTCAATTGACCAACTACAAGTCGGGGATCAAATATAAACAGGTACGGAGTCAGATGCCTAATTACTGAGAAAGATAAGAAACTTCCAAAACGAAATCCTACTGTAATCTGATAGGATCAGCTCGAAAACGCCAAGTGAATCAAATGTAACTTCCCCCGAGACTATTGACGCTAAAACCGGGGTCTCCACCGTGCCAACAAAAGCAGAAAGTTGATCCTAATTAACTAATTTCCGTTGGCTAATGAGCTTTCTGCCGTCATTTATTTCTGCACGGAGTATATTTCCTCGGGGGAAGCTGTTTTTCGCCCTATAATGAAGGATGATATCACTGAGCACATTTTGTTCGTATTACTCGTTAATTTGAATCTCAGTCCTCTCAACGGTTATCAGTGCCAAGGTCGACCCACCATGTCGATCGACGGAGCGGATTGCCCAGCCTTGTTATGTTGTGGCGATACGTAATGTCAAGTGACAAGGAAATGATCAAAGTCCAAAAAAAGTCCGGAACCTTTTTATACATTATTCCATAAGTAAATTTATACATGCAAAATACATTCGTAAAACAAAACGCTCAGTATATCCAAGTACCCAGGACGTGTGGGGGAAAAGTGATATGGAATAACCGAAACTGGCATCGCATCCTCCAGATAGGAAGCGTTGATGTTGGTACAGTGGACGTATCAATGCCAGATCGGACAAGACGGAATATTAGAGTCCGTGTCGTTAAGAACAGAAATCTCATATGGCTATACAAAATCCAGGAACTCCACGAATTTACAGGAGAGCGGCAACGACGGCAACGACGGCCAGCAAAGCACCGGAGACACGGTTCATGCTACCGGCGCCAGTGGGGACGGATGTGGAGGTAGCAGAGGTGCTGGCGGAGGTGGAGCTGGAGCTGGAAGTCGAGGTGGAGCTAGCAGTGGAAGCGGCGGTGCTAGAAGCCGAGGTGCTCATAGTGGTCATGGTGGTAGGGGTGCTGCTGGTGCTAGCGGAGCTGGAAGACGAGCTGCTGGAAGCAGTGGAAGTTGAGGTAGCCTCGCTGGAGGTGGAAGCCGAGGAGGTCGAGGTGGAAGCCGCGGAGGTCGAAGTGGAGCTGGCAGAGGTAGTTGCCGAGGCAGTAGCGGTGGCACCAGCGACGGTGAAGTAAGGCAGGAAGTTGTAATCATCCGAGTCACTGTCGTCCAGGATCTCGATGGTGTACTCCCGGTCCTTAACCAGGTCAGTGGGCACATCCCAGGTGTAGGTGCCGCTGTTGTCAATGTCGGCTAGGATTTGGTCAGCATCTAAACTATGATTGATAAGTACGGATACATACAGGCAATAGCATCACCGGACTCGGCGGTGGTCACGGAACCCCACTGCAGACGCAGGGAAATAGTGCCGCTGGTAGTGGGATCCCAGGTCAGGGTGGTGGCATCACCGGAGGTGAAAACGTAACCACCAGTGGGGTTGCTGAAGGGGTTGGCAGTGCTGTCGGCGGAAACCAGAGCTGCAAAGGCAGCAGCAGCGATGATAGCGGAACGCATAATGAATATATAATAAACCTGGATGGGTTGAATAGAGAGAATAATTAGATCTGCGGGATATCAAAAAGAGTGTAAGCGCAGCGAAAGAGTGAACGAAAAGAGAGAAAAGGCCAAAAAGGCGCGGGAAATATCCCCGGTTATAAAAACCATCGGGGCTCGTAGGCTACAAGTGGGAATAGACCGGATGAACTAAATGTGGCTTAAGGGGAAAAGTCCCTTGTGAGTCAAATGGAGAGCGGATTGGTTGTCAATGTGGAAATGATCCACACTCGTGGCGGTGATCCACGAGTGAAATAACAGTTCTCTCACTTAATGTCCTCTCGCTTCCAGTACCTTAAATGACATCTCCACTAATAACACTAGTAAATCCTCTTTTATCTCGGCTAAGGGACAGTTGGCCCCCAATGGCTGAAATTTTGACTTTTGAGGGTTTTTCCCTTCCCCTTTTCCTCGTATTTTGTTCTTTTCTTTCAGGGTTCATAGTTATACTCTGTAATTTCCTGCAAAATACAGGAGAAAAGGCAAAAGGCAAAAGGCATAAATGAGGATGTGTTTGTTTATGACTGTTTGCGCCACGCGACTGAATCTCGGCTTTTTAAATCCGACCAAGAGCTCCCCCCCATTCCCGGATAAAGATAGAAATCCGAATTGTGCCATTGTGACCACTTAAAGCCATGAACACAAGCCATGGTTGGTGCACAGCCTTGTGTAAACCAAAAATAAACTAGTCGATTTTGTACCATGGCCAGTGATCCTAGATCTCCGATTTACGGACAGCGTTGTATAATACAATGAAATTAATTCTGAGGCCTCCGAGCCGTTGTGGTGAATTAAATTTACGTAGATGCAGGTACACTGATTTCCTCGAGATGTCTGTCCAACTAAAAGCCCAGGATCTTGACTCATTTAGATGGATTAAATGTAAATTGATTTTATAGATGAAATTACTCGAGATGTAATATTTCTCCATCAATTTCTGAATACTTTGTAGCCCTCAAAGAAAAAAGAATTCCTTGCGACCGAAGGCCAAAGGAAGTCTCATTTTACGGATACAGCGTTGGGGTTCACGCTAAGTATCCACTTGCGGGGCTTCCGTCGCTTCCAGCAATCCATGCTGCCCAAGCCAGGTAATCACCTCCATTGCTCGCTTGTTCTCCTCAGTCTTTTGCTGATCAATCAGCTAGATAATCCGTTAGTAAAATAACGAATCAACAGATCAGAAAAGTAAAAAAAAAAAAAAAAAAAAAAAGCGTAGCTAAAACTAGGTCTGATACTCACAGCTTGGTAAAGTCCCTTACGACCCTTCTTGTCAACGGGCTTGCTCTTAGGTCCTGGTTTGGTCGTATCGTGGGAGAATTTACATTTGTCGCCACGATTGCACTGCCCAGTACGAGCAAAGTGACGGCAGCTTTGTTTCTTGCCTTCACGAGGTGGTGGGGCTACCCTTTCAGGTCCCTCACGCCGGGAGCTCACGGCCTCTGGCGCAGAATCATCGCTCCCGGAGTCCGAGTCAGTATCGGAGCCACTAGAGGAAGTCCAGTCGCTGGGATCGGAGCCATCGGACATAAGGTCCATGGCATCCATACCATTAGACGCCACCGTAATTTCATGGGAATTAGTCAATAAAGACGCTTGGTCCTTCGACGCGTCCGTGGTACTAGCCATCGCGGGGTCCACTCCATTCAATGAGGCTGAAAGAACTGTCGATCCAGATGCGCCATTTGACTGCTCTTGTTTCAAGCCCAGCACCTGTTTTTGTAGCGCCTCGACTTTGAGCCGTGCTGCTTCAGCTTCAGCTTCAGCTTTGGCAAAGCGTTTCTGCTCTCGGTCCAGGGTGCGACGGATCTTGTCCGCCTTGCGCTGCGCCCTTTGGGCCTCTTCCAGAGCAGGGTCCCCTTGGGCGTTGCTAAGCTTTCGCACGGCGTTGGCTGGAGCCTTGCGTTTTTCTATTTCTTTGGCCCTTTCCTGCTCCTTTTCCAGACGCGCTGCTTCTCGTGCGGCGTTCGCCTCCTCTTCGGCCTTTTTCTTTTCCGCAATTCGAGCTGCTGTTGGGAACCTCTTCTTTCGCTCGGCAATCCACGCCGCGATATCATTAGAGGACTGTAGGGTGGCCGTGCGTCCTTTGTAGGTAAATTGCAATGGCCCAGCATCCGATGCGACTTTGGATTCCTCATCCGCTACCTCCTCTTCCTCGCTTGATTCGTGTTCTTCCGTTTTAGGTGTTAAACCAAGCATGTTTTGCGTTCTCTTTCTCTTGTTCGGCTTGCGGGTGGCATCTACCGCAGGGGGTGGTTTGCATGGCAAAGAATTTCCAAAACTTGGGACTGAGGGTGGAGCTGGGGTTCGGGGCATGGACGGTGGTTTATTGAAAGCAGATGCATGGTCTCGTTTGCCAAGGTGCCGTGGCTTCGGCCCATGGTTTCCATGATTCCCATGGTGGGAGCCTCGGTGTCCACCACGGCCATGTCCATTTCCATGTCCATGTCCTGACGGACCCGCGTATGATGATGGCGCTTCAGCGCCCCAGTGAAGCGAACCTACAATCACCGGAGGATTTGGAGGTGCGGCATGCTGAGTACTTGGTACCGGGGAGTATGCTGGCGTATGTTGTGCAGAGTAGGGACCAGGGTGTGCATGGTTGGTGTTATTATAGCCAGGTAGCGGTTGGTAGGGTGCCGATCCAGCGGGCTGTGAGAAATGTTGGGGTTGGTAGGGAGGATTCGGGGGATGTTGAAAGTTGGATTGCGCATGAGAATATTGTGTGGGAGGCATGTACGACGCTACAGTCATAGGGTGAGGTGGGTATCCATAATTTGCTGGGTTAGAGCTGTGACTCGGGGGATTGAATGAAGGCCGACCAGCATCGGAAGAGTAGTGAGAAGCGCGGCCTCGGATTGCATGGCCTCGACCACGACCACGTCCACCTGCCCCACGTCCAGCCCAGTGTCCATTACCATGCTGCGCAGAGGGGTATGCCGGAGGTTGCTGGGGGACAGGCGGAGGAGGTGGAGGTGGTGGAAAAGTAAAGCCCTGAGAGCTCATGCTTGTCACCCTGAGACAGGTCCCTGACAGAACTTCAGGACCATAACGGTTGTCATACAAGAAAAAACAGGGGAGAAACCGAAAAGAATAAACAACCGGAGCATGAAGTTTTCAAAGCTCAATAACTGACAGCGCAGGTCACGTGAACATGGCATGGATCCTCGACGTTGATTGGCGCCAAATCCTGCAGGCTTTTTTTCATTGAGAGAATCGCGTCTGGTGACTTCTAAAGCATGGAACTCCGGGACAACTCAATCTTTTAACATAATCTATTTCTTCTTCCCCACATACACAACTCACCATGTTTATCCTAGTAGGTGCTTGTGTGATTCGCTAGAGAGCTGTTCAACTGACTGCGGGCAGACCACCATCTCCGATCTGATTCAGATTGCACCCCAAGACTTCTCCAAGTTCAGCGCAGTTGCGATTGAAGACAACATTAATGAGAAATATGCCAACAAGGTTTGTGGTTATGTAAATCCGCTCCTGATCCATCGACTAATACCTCACAGGTCATTCAAAAAATTGGCCTATGTATCAGCTTCTATGACCTACTTGAGTCTTCAGATGGCTTGATTGGCCATGGAACCGGTCTTGTCAACGTTAATGGTCAGTTCTGGTCCTTATGATAAATTCCCGGCTCATGGCTGATTCAATAACAGTCAAATTTCGGATGATCGTCTTCCGCCCTTTCAAGGGGGAGATCATGCTTGGAAAGATTGCAAGTGGCACTGAACTCGGAATCAAAAGTACGTATCCATCTGAAAAATCACATGACAGCATGTTCTGACTTCATGCAGTTGGTGTGGAATTTTTCAACGATATCCTAATCCCACCTGAGCTTCTGCTCCCCGGCGCGAAATTGTAAGTCTCTTTGGGTTCCTCAGAAACCGCATACTAACAAATCATAGCGACTATGCTGATCAAGTATGGACATGGGATAACGATGACGGCACCACCCTGTACTTCGATGTCGGAGAAGTTGTCCGTTTCCGTATTGAGACGGAAGAATGGCACGATCAGGTCCCTAATGGTCCAGACAGCGAGCAAACTATCACAGAAAGAAAAGCTCCGTACTCGATTATTGTGAGTTCCCCTCCACTTGCGGTAGCATCTTCAGCTGACCATTTTCTAGGGCTCGATGCAAATGGGAGGTCTTGGACCCGTTACTTGGTGGTAGTCCAAGTCGTTGATGTGTGATGTCCAGAGCGCTGTCCATTTCTTTTTTTACATGCCAGATCAGATACCCATTACGACCGGTAAATATACCGTTCAATTTAAAACCAATTAGACGATTCTTTCAAATCCATGGACAAGTGCACTGCGTTCATAGCGCTCCATACGAGGCTTCATTTCGCTATCTCGATAGGAGCATTCTTCAAATTCCAACCATGTTCAAAATGAAGTCTGAGATCCGTTCAATGTTCGTCCCAGTTCATTCATATTAAGTATTTGAAGCGCATTCGTAACCGCCAGATAGCGTGAAATCACTACTCGGGTGCTTGGGGAGGCTTAGGAAGATAAGGAATTGTATTTCAGTGGTCCTCATTAAGAGGTCCCAATTCCCAAAACCTGGGAACCTGGTATGATGTCTTTGTAGGCTATTGTTTTATATCAAGTCACCTGACGCCTAGTTTGTCATATACTATGATCTTCTAACTTCTTCCATCTAAAATATTTACCTACCCTGTCTCCTATATCTCCTGGTGAGGGAGAAGATCTATCGCTTGCAATAAGTTTCCCATAATAGGCAGCAACCTTGGAAAACATGCAGTATCGAAGAAAGGTTCCCCAGGTTTTGTTTTCTCGTCCTTATACACATAGGTACTTCTACCACCAACCTTGAGCAGCAGTCTTACAACTTAAGGCAAAGCCAAAACAAGGTCAAAAACTCAGAGCAAATTTTGGCCTCGTTTAGTGCAGGCAAATGATATCTCAAGAGGTGGTAAGGAAAATCTTTTAATTTCATCGGAAAGCATAGGAATGACGGCTTATTAATCCAGCTGATCGGAGTAACGTAGATGGCGGAATCTGGGGATATATTGCACCATTGTACAATACGCCGAATGCGGTGTTGTATAATCTGGAAGACCTGATTGTACTAGGTTTAGTCTGGCAGAAATTTTTAATACGTGTACTAAAACAGATGTGGTCGTTAATCTAACTTCTGAGATTCTTGCGTAGGTAGTATGGTTGAAGATCACGCCGATCACTCCGATCAATCTAGATTTCTCCGAGCCACCGGCGTGTTTAGAAAATTTTCACCGATGGCGCGGCTGCAGCCGGCAGAATGACCCAATTGTGGATCATCTAGCGTCTCCTTGACCAGTGAAAGCTTGACGATCAAGATCTGCGCCCTACAAAGAACTGCTGGAAACGTAAAATTAAATTAGTAAGTTCGGGTTTTTTTCTGCCTTTCCATAGATATAGAAATCGCCTCCCTCTGCAAGGTTCCTGGTAAATTCCGCTTGATAAGCACAGTGATCTCATCCTTGATAAAAGCATCCCCTTCGCTCTGGAAATCTCTTTCTATTGATTTTTTATATCTTCTGTCAAAATGGGATCCTTTGAGAACTCCCAGTCTACTGAGCGCCGGTTTGGAACCCTCGCGGTTCACGCCGGTGCCCCTCATGACCCCACGACTGGCGCTGTCATTGCTCCAGTAAGTTCATTCCTTCAGTTGAAACAGCTCACCAGCTAATTGATGACGTCCAGATCTCTCTTTCTACTACATTTGCTCAGACCAGTGTTGGTAGCCCTGTTGGTCTTTACGAGTACACCCGCAGCTCTAACCCGAATCGGTCAGTCGTAAATCCTAACAATTGTCAAAGCCCCACTAATAAATATAAAAATCTAGGGATAACTTCGAAGCTGCTATTGCTGCCGTTGAGCACGGCAAGTATGCCCTTGCTTTCTCTTCTGGCTCTGCAACCACCGCAGTCATTCTGCAGTCCTTGGCTGCCGGGTCCCACATCGTCTCGGTCTCCGACGTGTACGGTGGTACCCACCGCTATTTCACTAAGGTCGCCTCCGCCCACGGTGTCGAGGTGACCTTTTCGCCTGCCATTGAGGAGGAGGTTGAGAAATTGATCCGTCCTAACGAGACAAAGCTTATCTGGATTGAGACTCCCTCTAACCCGACTCTGAGCTTGGTGAACATTCGTGCTGTTGCCGAGATTGCCCACCGCCATGGCATTTTGGTGGTTGTTGACAACACCTTCCTGAGCCCCTATGTTCAGAACCCCTTGACCCACGGTGCTGATATTGTGGTTCACTCCGTCACCAAGTATATTAACGGTCACTCCGTAAGTTCCTTTTTTTTTTTTTTTTTTTTTTTTATGTAATGAAAATCTTTCCATCTCATTTACTGACCTGGAGGTAGGATGTTCTCATGGGTGTTGCCGCATTCAACTCCGATGAATTGAAGGAGCGCCTTACTTTCCTCCAGAACGCTATCGGCGCTGTCCCATCTCCCTTCGACTGCTGGCTCGCCCACCGTGGTCTGAAGACCCTGCACCTGCGTGCCCGTGAGTCTACCAAGAATGCTACCGTTGTGGCCCACGCCCTCGAGTCTTCCCCCCACGTCATCTCTGTCAACTACCCCGGTCTTGATTCCCACGCCCAGCGTGCCATTGCTCTCAAGCAGCACCGTGATGGCATGGGCGGTGGTATGCTCAGCTTCCGTATCAAGGGCGGTCAGGCTGCTGCCCACAGCTTCTGCGAGCACACCAAGATCTTCACCTTGGCTGAAAGCCTGGGTGGTGTCGAGTCTCTCTGTGAGGTTCCCGCTACCATGACCCACGCCGGTATCCCTCGGGAGCAGCGTGAGGCATCTGGGGTGTTCGATGACCTAGTTCGCATGAGCTGCGGTGTTGAGGATGCCGAGGATCTCCAGGCCGATGTGCTCAAGGCGCTTGACCTGGCCGTTCTTGGTTCTAAGGCTTAAATGATTACCGCATAAAATTCGCAGATAGTGAGCCTTTGATTTGAATCTTTGCATAACGAAACTAGATAATAGACGATTCCCTTTTGTCCTGCTCCACTGGGAGCTTTGGCTGAGCAATTCCAAACCATCTCTTCTCTTTTGGAAGTTAATTTCATACAAAGTAGTTTCCAATTCAAGTAAGTCCCATCCTATGGGAAAGCGAGCAAACTATTCCCACATCCTTATCCCACAATGGCACGTTGCTGACTTGGGCTGAACTCTCACCATATTTCAATACCATTCTCCCAAGTCTGCCCATTCTATGTGTTCGGAGCGGTCGCCCCAAGTGTCATCAAAGGCTACCTGCGACAGTAAATCTTCCGAACTGGTGTCGTCCGTTTTAATCTCCAAGGCTGCCACTATGTTTTGAATGGAGTCTGTCCTGCTCTCAAGCGAGTCACTGAGCAGTATGGTGTCGATCAGTACGGATTTCAATTGGCAGCATGGCTCTGTAAATCCCTCGAGCTCCTCTACTTTGTTCTCGTTTGCTTTCTCCTCTGCCTTTATCGCAACGAGCGTCGCCAATCCTTTGATTCATTGTTTCATCTTGGAATCAAGTTCTTCCAAGCTCTTTATGATAGCAAGTTCATCTATCTCATTTTCTTCCTGTTCCTCTTTGGACCGTTGCGGTAGGTCGAAGTACCCCTTGTTTCTCACTCCTTCTTGAACTGTGTGACAGGCTTTTCTCCCGTTTAAACTTGGATTTGAGGCTTGGTAACTCTCTTGTCTTAAGGAAAGAAGTTCGCCTATGCTCATCTTCCTGGTCTTCGCGGTCTCTTGTTTCCTGGCTCTTCTTTCTCTTATATTAGCTTGTGCTTTTTTCGTAGCTTCGACATTTTTCGATGCCTTGGCATTAAAGTCTGCTAAGCTGCAATCGAAATCCGCTATGCTGATATCGAGGTCTGGGGGCTCCTCATTGCTAATACTGCATGTATCCGTGGCTGTGGTATCCATGGATGTCCTTAGATTGGTGGGTATGTTGGTATTCGTAGTATAATGGGCTCGGATGGGTTGTCAGGAAAAAATGTTTTCTCTGAGTTAAGTAACTTTATGTACCTAGTTAATATGACATATGTTTGGCATCGTTGAATGATATGAATCCATGGAACTCCCAAGGTTCCATCTGAATTAAGTCTAGTTCTTATACTTGCCTTAACCGGATGGCGGGGCCGCGACTTAGTCATCAACGGCAGAATTGCAATTTTTGGATATAATCGCGATTCACGAAGTTTAGAAGAATCCAGTATCTGAATTCAATATCGAAATTGATCTGCCTATACTGGTCAGGCTACAGTCGGAACCATATTCACAGAAAAAGTCTAGGTTGACGCGCACTTCGCTTAACTGAACTATCATCCACACTTGATCATGGCATTCAGCTTTGGCTTCGCAGGAGATGACATCGATATTGATGACTATGATGTCAATGATACTCAAGATGCTTCTGTTCAGACACATGCAGGCTCTAGGAACTCACTCCCCGAGCTGGTGAAGCCCTGTAAACATATTTTGGAGGAATGGGTGAGTTTGTATATGTACATGTTTTTTCAAACAGTCAGTCTAATCAATTACAGCTGTCAATCCTTCCGTCTCAAATATTTTACAACAGGCTTGCCATCAATGGTACACCAATTGTCATTGCGCGCCGAGAAATCATTGATATTCGCACGCAGCTGATGGCGGAAGATACCGCGGACCACGAGAACGAAGAGTTAATCGCGGGCCTCGAAGAAGGCGACCTCAAGCCTAATTTCTATGAGGGTGGGTTTAAGACCTGGGAATGCTCCTTGGACCTTGCCAAGCTTGTTGCCAACGAAAGCACAACCATCGAGTCATTGGACGATTCACAGACAAACTTTCATATCATCGAGGTGCGTACCTAGATGACCCTCGGATCGATGAATGCATATACTCACATACAAATAGCTCGGCTCAGGCACAGCAGTGCCCTCATTGACTCTTTTTGCTCATATTATGAAGCAAACCGTACCTTCACAAGGAGCTACCCCGCAACGGAAGATCCTTTTCACATGTGCGGACTACAACGATGATGTCCTGCGACTAGTCACGCTACCAAATCTTCTGCTGACGTGGCACCACATCCGCCAACAGTCTAACACGGTGGTAGAGCAAGAAGCTACCCCAGTGCAACCGGAAGAAGAGCTTGACATCACGCCTGAACTGATCGATGAATTCAAGAATGATCTGACTAGGCGCGGAATCATCCTCAATTTCGTCTCAGGCGCTTGGTCTCCTGAATTCGTTGATTTGGTTTTCTCGGCGTGTGAGGCCGAGGACTTCAAGACGTTGCTGCTTGCCAGTGAGACTATTTACTCGCCGGCGTCATTGAAGGCATTTTCCGAGACTCTTCTTGAATTGTTGCGCCGTTCGAGCACAGCCCCTGTGAAAAGCCGCGCGATGATTGCAGCTAAGAAGGTATATTTCGGGGTTGGAGGTGGTGTGGATGAGTTCCTTGCGGTGCTGAAGGACGTCTCTGGAAGTGAACTTGCAGTTGAACAGAGGGTGGATATGCAGTCCGAAGGTGTCGGCAGGGTGGTTTTGGAGGTTACACCTGCCAATTAACATGTGGCAAACAATACATAGATGCACATATGAGACAAATATACCAGGACGATATCTAGTTGCTCTTCCTACAAAATTCAAGTTTTCGAACAAATGGAATTCAAATGATCAGGTACGGGATGAATCTTCCCAGTCCCAACGTATATGTACATGTTTTGTCTCCCCAACAGCGCAGGTCTATTAGACTGCTAACCAACATAAATAAGAAAATAGACACCATCGCTTAGATGGCCTCATCGTGGATGGAGATCTCCCGACCCTGCATCCGTGCAATCCGGGAAGCATCGATATCCTTATTGCGCTGCTCGTAGTGAGCCACAACCTTGCTCAGATCCGCCTGAGAGCCCGGGGAAACGTTCCAGGGAGAACCGGAGTTCATCAAACTAAGAAAAGTGACAGTTAGTTTCAAAACTATCCACTAAGGGTACCTGGAACACGTACTCAGGCTGCATCAGCTCATAGGCCTCACGAGGTCCCTGACTCTGGAGCAGGTGGCGGTCCTCGGCGGCTTTCTCCAGCATCGCGGTGTGAATGGCATTGCGCTGCTCGAATGCTTCTTGCGAAGGAGTGTACTTGCTGATCAGGCCGGAGATCATGGACTCGGAGCCGGATTCCTGGGTCGACTTGCTGAAGTGGTAGAGGAGGAACGCGGAGGCGAAGCTGCCGACGGTCACGTAAAAGCTGCGCTGTTGATTGCGTAATGCATGTTAGCGAGGGTTCTCGTGCAATTGGGGTGCTAGTATCTCGTTGCATCCCAGGGTTGGCTGGCGGGGGATGGAGCTTACGCCAAAGCTTTCGTTCACGGGCTCAGCGTGCGCGTGGGATGAGCCGAAGCGACGAGGTGGCTGGGAGCGCAGCAGCTGCCGCGATGAGGCAGCACAGCGTCTGGCGGCGAACATGGCTGGAGGACAATTGGCAAGAGTCGGTTGGTGATGACCCTTTCGGCAGCGGTGATAGGATGAAGTTGCGAACAGATGAGGAAGTCATGTGACCATTACTATATTTGGACTAGTGCGCTGCATCACCTACAAGTGAGATGATCAAAACATCCAACCCAACCAACTCCCAGGCTGGAATTTGAACTCCCTGCTGATTCTTCTGTTGCTATTTCCATTGTGTCACTGAAACTGTGGGGGCCGTACAGCCGATGCAAGAATATCGAGACCGGGGAGCGTCTACATCCTGCCGGGATTGGGTGGCTGGTGTCCGACTGGATGCCTCATTTATTTCCATCTCCAACTTCCCCCCCCCCCAACTTATATGAAAGTGGATCACCGAATGCTAATTCTCCTATAGCTCATACTAATTTAGTTAGTATTACTTGAACTATACCTAACGAAAAAGCAGTGTCTGGCTATCGATTGAACAAGTCAGCTTTTTGGGGGGGTCCCCACTATGCCTTGTTCACACGCCCGAACCCCATTGATGCCCAATTGCCATGGCGCACTACAATTGGATCTCGCTTCGGTTCAAATTCGAATCCTCGCTGTGCGTTCCGCTTTGTGGATGTGCCGATCAGCGTTACGCTACCTTGTCAACCCGGTCGGCCTCAGGATGGGTACCAATATACCCACTAAGGTTCGGTCCGCCATGAGGCCTGACCATTGAGAGCTTCTCATGTCTGGTCGACTTTCTTTTCTCTTCTTTTTTTTGTGTGCTCTAGTCCTTCCTCATCAATCCAATTACCTTGTTTTCCTTGTGGAAGATTCCTAGATCCATCCTAGCAAGTTTATTCATACTCTCAAACCGCCGGAAATTGTCATCTGGACTTGCCCGAATTGTCTACGTGCTGGAACGGACAACCTTGACTTCGTGGACCGCACTCATTTGTGCCCACTTATCGAGTCGTGTGCTATTGATTCTCTGCCCGATTATCATCCAGCGCACCTTGACCCATCACACACCGCACTCCGGGCCCCAGTTTATTTCCCTGCGGTGTGCGGCCTTTTTGAGCTATATCTTGAGGCCCATAGCACCTTGCAAATGTACAGTCCAGACAGCCCCATGAATCGCCCGACTTGGACTTCTACTTATCATCTGCAATTATTTCATCTTTGAAACAGTCTCCCTATTGGAAACACGTCTAATCAGCCCACTTAAGAAGAAGCTTGGGTGCCCATCAGTCTACCACAATGGCAGCTGGTGGTAAGAAGGCGAAAGCCAAGGACAAGAGTAGCAAGGCTGCTTCCAAACAGAAGAATAAGAAGACCAAGAGCCCAGAAGCTACAGATGATCAGACGACAACTGAAACCCCTATGCCTGGTAGCCCAGACTTAGTGGCGCAAGATCAGAAACCTGTCGAACAAGTACCGGAGCCTGTACATGAACCGGCTGTACAGCCTGAGCAGTCTGAGCAACCCGAACAACCTGAACACGCTGAACAACCTTCAGTATTGGACTATCTAGACGAACAGTCTGAGCAACCCGAACAAACCAAACAACCTGAACACGCTGGACAGCCTTCAGCGTTGGACTATCTAGACGAACAGTCTGAGCAACCCGAACAAACCAAACAACCTGAACACGCTGGACAGCCTTCAGCGTTGGACTATTTAGACGAACAGTCTGAGCAACCCGAAGAAACCAGACAACCTGAAAACGCTGAACAACCTTCAGTATTGGACTATCTAGACGAACACTCTGAGCAACCCGAGCAATCCAAAGAACCTGAACACGCTGAACAACCTTCAGCGTTGGACTATTTAGACGGGCAGTCTGAGCAACCCGAGCAAATCAAAGAACCTGAACACGCTGAACAGCCTTCAGCTTTGGACTATCTAGACGAAGCCTCTCCAGCAGCAACGCCACTCCCTCCATCACCACTGCCGCAGGAAAAAGCACTTGGTAATGCGGAACTGGAACAGATTGTCACTCAGTCACTGGAACCTGACACAAATCAACCCGCTGTGAACAGCGATACGCCAGAGGCTGGTCTACCTGTGCTTAACGACGAAGAATCTCACGAGCCTGTCGTTGAGGTCGAAGAGCAGTCGCTACCCAAAGAAGATAGTGTTCCTGTCGAGCATTTGGAACCTAAAGAGAAAACGCCAACTCTGTCTTCTACCTCATTTGCTCCATTCTCCCCTGTGCCTACCCAGGTACCCCTGCCATCGCCTTCTCTGACCGAAGCACGGTTTATGTCAAGCCCTTCACCAGATAATTATTATTATTCTGGATATTCTGCATCGCCGGCGCTTGTTCCATACGCTTCGCACGCTTCGCCATACGTTTCCCAATCTCCATACGCCTCGCCCTACGCATCACCCTTCGCCTCGCCCTACGCCTCGCCTTACGCCTCACCGGTGCCCAAAGTCAGCAGCCCTCTCGCTCGCTCCCATTACCCTTATATGCCTCCTGTTATGTCACCTACCGCAACTCCTCCACCACCTCTCGCCCCGGCAGCCCCTGTAGCTCCTACCGCCCCTGCTGTACCTACAATTGCCTCGAGAGCACCATCGATTACTCAAAGCTACGGAACGGCTGCCCACTCCCCAGTCATGAGCTCAGCAAGTGCTGTTTCTCCATACACTCATCCAGCCTATCCTTATTACCCTCCAGAGGGCCACTCTATGCAACGGAGCTACAGCATTAGCGACTCCTCACCGTACGCTGCGTCTTTCCAGGCTATCCGTGACCTCGGCTTAGGCAACGCCAAACCGACTGAGAATGGCTCTCCATCGCCACCAGATAGTGACGCCGAGCACACAGAGCTTCTTCACCGAATTCAATCTGCACTTCCCGATATCAACCGCCTTCTGCATGGGTTTAAGGCTACCCATAGCAAACTCTCAAGCCGAGAGGCGGAGATGAAGCAGATTGGAAATCAACATGAACAAGCTTTGCTGCACAAAGATTTCTATATTGAGGCGTTGCAGTCGCAAATGAAGAAGACGGCCGCTGAAAGTGCCGAAGAGGGTGCAAAGTTGAGAAATACCATCAACGAGCTGCGAATGGAACTGGGAAGTTTACAAGAAAAGCAGAAAGACCTCGAGGATGGTCTGGCTATCCATCAAAGGTCGAACGAGGAACTCTCAGAGTCCAAAGTTGAACTTGAAGCGGAGATTGCCAAACTCAACACCACAATCCAAGAGACCCAAGATGCGCATGCGAAAGAGATGGAGGATCAGAAAGAGGAGCATGCAAATGCGCTTATTACCCAGAAGCAGGAGCTGACCGAGCTTTTTGAAGAGATCAAGAGTGAAGACGAGAAAGCAGCCAACGACACTTTGGAGGCACGTGAGAAGGAACTTCGCGATGAACATGATGCCCACAAGGCAGAGTGGGAAACCGAAAATGGGAATTTGCAGCAGTCTATCGAGGCCCACCGCAATGAACTCGAAGCCACGAATGCCGAATTGGCTTCTAAGGTCGCTGAGCTGGAATCTAAGGAAACTGAAATACAGACCCAGTTGGGTGAACTCACAGCTGTACGCGAGGAGGTGGCATCCAAGCTGATGGAGTTGGAGACCAAGGGAAACGAATTGGAGGCAAAAGAAAACGAGTTGGCGGAAGTTCGGGCAAAGAGCGCCCAGGACCTGGAAGCTCTCCAGCAAAGACATGCCAGCGAACTGGACTCCATACGATGCACCCACCAACAACAACTGGCCAACGCGGCAAAGGAATTTGACGAAAAGATTTCTGCCATTGAGGCGCAATTGAATGACAAGGAACAGTCCTGGTCGGAGGAACGGGTTGAATTGGAGAAGCTGCTCTCGGAGAAGAATAACGACCTGATGAGCTCGGAGCGAGAGAAGGAGAAGCTAGAGGAAGACGGTCTTATCAAAGAACAGCAACTTCAGCGAGCCGTTGATGGGATGCGAACCACCATTGATCATCTGGGTGAAGACTGTGACCGATTGAGGAAGACACTGCACAGCCTTGGTGAAGCGACCGACCTCAAGACCACCAAGGGCGATAAGTTCTTGTAAGTCAGCCTAGTCTCCGACTCCTCTGATTGTCTTGTTTTATGACTTTTACGTTCATGTTCATGATCATGTCTCTCATTTTCTTCTCTTTTGTCTATACACTGAGACCGAACATCTCCTCTCGTTTTTTTCATTTCTTATTCTATAGAATCTCATTTTGATAACATCATAAAATGTACTGGATTCTAATAATCTTTTCTGATTTTTTAGTCAAGACTGTTTCACTCAGCTTTCGCAATTGATCCACCAGCTGTCAAAGGAACACTTTTCTTACCTCCCCATTGACCCGCCCAAAGATATTCTCTCCAAAATTCCACCCGAGCTGCCATCCTTCCTCGACAACACCCCAGCCTCTCAAGCACTTCGATGTGCCTATGTTGAGCATGTGGTATCCAAAACCATCACCTATCGGGTATTCCAGCCCTTCCTGTTCACCCTGGGTCGCCGATATGATAAGGCCGACACTTTCTTCCAAATGCTGTCCATGGATATCCGTCGAAAGTCCGTCCGCCGCGAGGCCTTTTGGCGCCAGCAAACCCTCAAGGCAGCCTACACCGCCTCCGACGCCAAACAATCCATCAACGTGGCAGCAGCGGTGATCGTAGATGAGATCGTTGACCACATCAAGCACTTCGCTGACCCCAAACACCTGGACACCCTTCTAATCGGTGTTCGCAAGATTGTGAAGCTGGCTGCTGAGACCTGGCGCCACGCCCGCGTCGAACGGGAACTCGTTTTGGCTTCCCTGCCCGCACCTGATGCCCAGGGTATTTCCAATGAAGGATGGGACGAGTACGGTACCTCCGGCGCTTCTAGTCCGGGACCTAAGGGTGATCCGGCCCGCCATGTCATCCTTCGCACTTTCCCAAGTGTCTTGCGGGAGGCTGCCCACGAGGACTTTGCCAGTGGGGAGCGGGCTAGTCCTTGCATATACTCACATGGTGTCTTACTTTATTCGGATTCTCCGGTCGTTATGGCGCGCCTGCAGGAATTGGCGAAGAGATCGACTGATACTTTGGTTGCTGATGAGCAGTTGTTGCCAAGGACTCCGAAAGGCTCTCGTGAGAACTTGGCACTCAAGGAGATCGATAGGTTGGCAACTTTGACTGTCCAGTCGGCGCCGACTAGTCCGACTAAGAAGGGTCAATTTTGAAGACAGAGTTGATGATGTTCTCCTTTACTGTCTTTTAAACATTCTACACTCCTTCTCCTTTCCTATGGTTTTTTTTCTATCGATTTGAGCGTGTTATGTATGATCTGAGGTGTTTATTCTAACGATTTGGGCTCGATAGCATGTACTGGTGCGATGATATGTATGTAGTGTTGGATGTGATTTAGCATGTTTGTTTCTACCATCAAGAAATATTGTATAGGACATGAGATATGATTGATCAACAGAATATTTGTACTACTCTAGACTGAGGTACCTCGATACCCTCGTAAATGATTCCCAGAGGTAGTTCGTGGTTGTAATCCTTGAACAGCAGTCTGTTGGCTTTCTGGTGACGCAACGGTGGGGTAAGGTCATTTTGAATTATTTGAAAAAAAAAAGATAGGATAGAGCGAAACGAGTAAATAAAAAGACCGTGATTCCTGAGGCAAGGCCAGAATTTTATCGCATTTGAACAAAGAAGTTTTGCAGACGACTGGGGACTATGGTGATAAATCTGCGAATATGAACAAATTATTCATGACAGGTCAAAAGAACAACGACAGTAGCAGTTGATCCGCAGCTATGCTTCCGATTCAGTTCAGATAATCTTGATCTTAGCTGTAAGCCACTTTATCTTTCATCATCCCCTTCACCGGGATCCATCAATGAACTTAGCTCATTCTGTACTCTGTGAGTCATGAAATATCAGTCCCAGCCGCTCATTTCTATTCAGCTATTGTATTGGACTAAATCAGGGCCTAACTCACTATCTGAAATTTCCAAGGTTATTCTCAGTGCTCAGTCTTCCCAGCCATCCACAAATTCCTGAACCAGCCATCTTTCTCAATGAGCTCCATCGGTGATCCCTCCTCAACGAGCTTGCCATGGTCCATCACCAGAACCTTGTCAAACCCCATAATCATATCTAGCCGATGACTAACCATGAGCACAGTGTATCCTACAAATTCCCGCGATATGATCTCCAGCATGACCTTCTGCGTCTCGGTATCCACACTACTGTTGATCTCGTCGAGGATAAGAACACCGCTATCACCCCGAGTCCAAAGTGCAGCTGACTTCGAACTCACGTATGCATCCCCTACCTCTGCATTAAGCTGCCGGGCACGGACTCGCCGGCGTAGAACCGCTCTGGCCAGATTGAATAGCTGCTTCTGTCCGTGGCTGAGCGTGTCGGCTGTGAGTCCTACCTCTAGACCCCCACGGTCAGAGACTAAAGGCCACAGTCCTACTGTCTGTAGGGCTGCGTGGCACTCGTCGATTGTTGCAGAGTTGAACGGGTCGAGATTCTTTTTGAAGGTAGTGCGGTCCGGGAAGAATGTTGGATCCTGTGGAACCGCGATAATACATTGGCGTAATGTGGAGCGATCGATTTTTAGGAGTGAGATATCGTCAATGATGAGTTGCCCAGTGCATGGAGTGAGTGGGTCCAAGAGGCGCAAGAGTAGAAGAATGACGGAGGATTTGCCACTATGCAGGAGCTGTTAACACTTCCTACTAGGATATGGGGGGGGGGGGGGGGGGAATGGTCTCTGATGTTCCAAAAAATGGGTTCAGACTCACCTTCCGGTTCTTCCACAGATGGCTACTTTTTGCCCTGCCTGTATCGTGAATGTCAAGTCTCGAAGTGCAAGATTATCCAAGCCTCCACGGATCTCTGCTAAATCCGTCCCGCTGTAGCCAAAATCAGGATATATTCCAATCGCACCAATTTACGTATGTAGAGAACACTTACCTATATGATGCAGATATGTTCTTGACCATGATCATACCCCTCTCGGGCCACCTATTAGGGGGTTGAGTATCCTCGCCCGGTAGATCTTCCGGGACGGTGTCATCCTGAAAAGACTTAATGCGAGAAACAGCCCCAATCGAAGTCTCCAGTAACGTGTAAGATTCCACTAGAACAGCCAGATTCTTACCAAAGCCCATGATTGACACCAAGCTCGCACCCGTCAAGCTAGTGCTAGAGCGAAGCTGAGTGGTAAGGATTACTACTAGCAGTGCAATGACCGCCACAATCATGTTGAGGACAAAAGACAGGCATCGCTGTATCATACTCAATTGATAAGCAGGGCGTTGCGATGTGTCTAAAAGGCCACAGTTGAAGATGACAGAGTCCTCCGTCCAGCCAAAAGCTCGCAGGGTGATGGTGCCATTAATCGTATCGAGGAAATGCGTGCTGAGAAAAGAGACTTAGTAAACAATCATAGATACGGCTGCAAGGGTCATACTAGAGTGGGCTCTTCGCCTCGAGATCCAAGAGTCGAAGCTGGCGAGATGTGCGAAGATAGAATCTTTGAACCCCGAAAAGAATCAATACTACAAAAGGATAAGTAATAATGATATACGGCGATGACGTTGCGATCACTGCCGCCCCTCCTGCCGCAATCCAGATCTGTAACGTAGTGTTGGTCAAGGATTGGGGAAGCTCCCCATCGATAAGTGACAGGTCCTGGGAGAACAAGTTGGTGATGACGCCCGTATCCATCCGAGAGAAGAGTCGCAGCGGGGCAGAGATCACTGTTCTCAAAGCTGCGTCGTGTAAACGGGACCCGGAGTTGCGAATGAATATTAGGAAAGCAATAGCGGCAACACTCAACAGTGTGAATAAGCCGAGGGATTGTAGAAGAGCGTAGATCCCAATATAGAAGGATTTTGACTGGTTGAAAGAGTCTGCGCTCCAAAAGCCTAACCAGATAGTAGGGAAGTTGAAAAGAAACCCCGTTAAAACACCAAATATCACAAAAATGGCCAGCCAGAAAGCACCAATGTTTCGACAGTAGTATGTGAAGACGGCCGCATCACCCATGGCTCTACTCGGTTCTGTGCCGCCAGATTCATCCGCGAATTCTTCATTCTCCGAGGGGTTCGCTTTAGGTGACTCCCCTTGAATACCGGTTTCAGATTGGGAAATCTTCGTTATTGGGTCGCATGGATCGGCGTTGGCCTGGAGCCCGAGAGTGTGGATATATTGTGGATTTGCGACAAGGTCGCAGAAACGACCCTTTTCCACGATGGTACCATCACTTCCCAGAGCAACTATATGGTCAGCTAGAGGAAGGTGTCGAGTAGTATTTGTGCAAAGTATTGAAGCCGCTCCTCTCTGTCTAAGGATGCCTGTCGGGCCGAAAAGGTTGTGGAAAACTCGCTCCTCTGTATTGGTGTCCAGACCACCAAGAGGATCATCGAGTATGAGCAAGTCACATTGCAGATACAAAGCTCTTGCAAGTGCAACACGCTGCTTCTGTCCACCACTGAGAGCGATTCCATTGCTACCTATCTTTGTTTGGTCTCCTTGAGGAAGAAGAATCAGGTCCTGAGATAGCATGGTTGCTTGAACAACGGCGCCATATCTTTCCTCATCGACGTCTGAATACCCTATAATGACTTCCTTGATCCGTTCGTTGGGCAGAAAAGGAACTTGATGACAGTACCCAATTTTGGCGAATTTAGTTCGTATGAAGGTTTCCCCAGATGCGATCGGTATCTCTCCCAGCAGTGCTGTGCACAACGTTGATTTACCGCAGGCAACGGGACCAATAATCATTGTCAAGCCCCGTGAGATGGACAGATTGATGTTCTTCAGAGTGACAATATCCTTTTCATATCCAAAATCCGCGTTGCGGACCTCAATCGATGGCCAATTCCCAGCCGAATCATCTTTCTCGGAAGATCCATACGCGATAAGTTGGCGAAAGTCTTGCCTGGGCTCTTGCTCCAAAAAGAGTTGTATTCTTGACAGACACGAAAATGCCGCAATCAACTGAGGAACGACTTGAAACAGCGAAGTCAGTGGTCCAGAGAGGAGCTGGAGCCATGAAATTGAGGTGTACACTTTTGAGATATTCAATTCGCGAGATGTGAGAGCGAATGCGAAAACCGGACCTAGAAGAACGGGGACGTATGCAATGCCCACAGACCCGACGAGAAAAGCTCGAAACTTGCCCCCGGCGTCTATTTCCTCACCACGCAACATTTGAATGGCATCTTCCACAGGCTTTGTAAGCCCGGAAATCTTCAAGTGTTTCATATTGCTGATGACGTTTGCGGTATGACCAACCCGCTTCTGAATGGACTTCATCCAAGCTGTTTGTCTGGGACCGACAAATCGTACAAGGATGCTGGATGAGATGATGCAAATGAAGACAACAACCATTGGAGCCACGAATGCTGCCCCGAGCCGCTGCTGAAGTAACCAACAGGCGACTGCTACCTGGATTGGGCTTGCCCAGAATTCGTGAAGCTGCATCAAACCCATTCTAACTCTTTCCACATCGGTACTCATAAGGGTCACGGCTGCCGCATCATCTCCATTGGAGCCCCGTGCTTGAACTGTCTGGCGATATATCGCAGAAGCTAAGCATGCTCGAGTTTTAAATAAGGCTCTCTCTTGCAGGTACCAATAGAGGGCAGTGGAAAATGAAATTCCTGCGTAGACTAGAGCTGTAGCACCAATCAAGCCGTAGCCCTTATTGGTTGTCAAGCTGTTGTTAGGCTCCACGAGGAAGCTCAAGATAGCCTGAATGAGAAAAGGCTGGCAAATTGTGAATCCTACTAGGGCGATGCGAGGAGCAACTGGCAGCAGAAAGGGAAGTGCTAAATTGCGAGCAACTGCTTTAGTTAAGCCATTCTTGTCTCCGTGGAAGCCAGTGAGCTTGATGTGGGTGAACGATGGTTCCAGGGACTTCACAGAGACACTCTTGTCTAAAGGAAAAAGATCCGACAAGTTCAGAACCTTTCTGTACCCCAACATAAAAAGTGGAGTAATCCAAACGAAGGTTCCGAGCCCATAAATACCAGTCGCTTCTTCGGGGCTATGGATTCTCCAGTCCCATCCCAGCCAGCTCCGTCGATGCACTGATTCCAATAGGACCAGAATAGCCTTCCATGCAACGGTTGCAGTAAAAATTTTCACATATTTGAGCTCATGGTAGCTGTGAGCTAGCAGCCACAGGGACCGTACTTGTGCAGCATCACAGAGCACAGTCAGGGAGAGGAAAACACTGAGCAGTATTGAAGGCCGGGGTGAGCGGGAATGTTCTAGAAAGCTCAACGCAGCTACAAGTATTGCCGCAAACAAGCTTAACACGGAAGCTGATGTAGATAGCTCAGTCGGAATGAATGGCTTAATGCTGCCAATTATGAGGAGAGAGAGTTGCAAGCTTGTGTAGATTGCCGCTGCTGTCTTCAAAGTTACCCAGGCCCATTAGTTTCGGTTCATCACAGTTCCAGGGTCGAGGGAAACCATACAAGCTTGATCAGTTGGAAGATTTTGCCATCGACTGTCTTTGCATACGGTTTGCGTGTCAAGAAAATGACTCTCGGAACTGACAGAACGATAAAGACAGCGGATGGCAGTATGGAGAGAATGATCTTTTCAAATTTCAGCGTAAAGTCGAAGTTTCCCCGGCAGCCTTGAACGGTAGGGCCAAAGGAAGTATCATCTGCGCATGAGACTTCCATTCCGGTGATCTAATCGGTTGACGCAAAGTTGGCAGAAGCGGCGATTGGGGGTTGGTACCAGTTGAGAAGGCACCGGGAAGGGGGGGGGGGGAGGGATGATATGCTTAATAATTCGAGCTTACAATGGGGTAGATCAAGGGGATCATAAAAATCAAACTGTTTCGTAGACCGACGGTGATCCGTAGATAAGCGAAACAGTCTACACCCCTGTAAGTCTGTTCTAGAACTCAAGGCAGCCACTCATTGCCCAGTAGTGAGTGGTGAGCGTAATACGCCATTATCTCCTGTGATGGGCATTCCTAGCTGGTACTTCGTCTTTTATGATCCCCTGAGTAAGCTTTACAAGTTAGTATCAGTGACTATCAAGGTCAATTCTAGGCATGACAACTCAAGTTAGTTATATGTATAAGTTGTAAGCGAATCTTGTAGGTGCCTGAGGCCATACCTTATCGTCCCTATTGTTCACGTTGATTTATCAAGTCTGTTCATGAACTGTCCCATCTTTTAGTAAACATTGAAAGTAACCTTACATCTCCGATGTTGACAATTGAATGACGTCGAGACAACCACAGACTCTTTCCCCGCGGCCCGGCATTTATATATTTTGTTACCCATGGATCCAATGGATTGGAGCAGATCTTCGGAGACTTTCAGTGTAAACAATATTTTTACTGTATAGTACATGCTGCAACTGCAACTTGCAGAGAAATATTGAGGATATGGGGCCAAAAAGATAAAAGTGGGAAATTGTTGCCCGGGCGCAGTTTCAGCGCGTGCGTTCAGCCTCGAGATAAGTTGGGAATTTCCAAGCCTTGGGATAATTCATGTCAGAACGTTCAAATTTCTTATGAAAATGTGGAAGATAAATAGCTCTAAATATTGGAATGCTTCTAGATACGAAAAGAATCAGTTCCTAGAAAGAAGTGAAGGCGCCAAGCGCTAAATGAGGCTCATTACTGTCCTCACAAGGCTGACCTCTGTGGAACTGTGGACCTCAAGCTGATTCCCCTCAATCCTGAATCCATCCCCCCCCCCCACCCCTGCAACAGGGCGCTTAACTTCCTTTTCCCTTTCAAACACTTTCTACTCTTTCCGTTCTTTCCGTTCTTCAGCTCTTCAACTCTTCAACATTCAAATGTTCTAGTTCTATAACCATATTCGGCCCCCATCTCTTTCCAAGTTCTTCACTTTCAGCTACACTCGGGCCTTATCAGCGCGCATTACTCTTCTTCTTTTCTTACTCTCGACTCTTTATCATCAAGAAAAGGGAGAGACAAAGAACGACTCGATTTTTATTGTCGCACGACAACCTCGATGCCCGCTCATCTCTATAACAGATCTAAACTTGCGTCCACTGCCCTACACCCATTCAATGCTTTCCCCTCTTCTCGTCCCCTCTCGCCTCCATCTGAAGGTGGCTCTCCCAAATTGCCTGCATGGGCCACAGGACCCGCTCATCACTTGAAAATGGAGAGCACTCCGTACTCCGGACGTTCGCCCGTGCTAGAACCGAATACCCTGGATCCTTATTTGTCAGTGTCGTCAGACCCGGAGGAAATCGTTTTTCAAGCGAGTGCTATCCGCTTGACGCCTGTGGGGGGCAGCCCGAATCAAACCAGCCCTTCTCCGATCGGGGAAAATGATACCCAGGGCGGCTCCACTATCCAAGCGAACCACTGGGCAGGAAATGATCATCAGAACCAGAGTAGCTGTGCCTCCCCTGTTTCGGGTGGCTTTCTGGACCCATCAAATATTGAGTTGGGTGGGGTCGACTGGCGCGATGGAAAATTCAACGTGGAGTCGACTGGCTCGGTTGTCCAACAACAGGCGTGGTCATCTTCCATTGCCGATTCGTTTCCCCGACAGTGGCTCAATCCAGAGCAAACCATCCCAAGCCCTTCTTCCGTTCAATGTCACGCGACAACTCAGAGCTATGCGCCCAGCCAGGGCTCGTTGGCTAGTGCTGACCAATGGTATGGGCCTGCACAACTGACTGTCACGACTGATCATATCCCGGGAAATGACTTGGTGTCGGCCTCTACCGCCAGAGGGAGAAGTCCGCTCAAGAGCCCAATTGGGATCACTGTGTCAAGTGTGTCGCGTGGGGATTCCCCCGTCCCAGGGCCCTGCCACGGTAGACACCCAAGCCGATCGTCGATGCATCTCTCGCCGGGACATATGTCGAGTGATTCAGACGATGATGGTCATGTCGATGACGACCACCGTTCGGTCTCGTCTCTTTCTGTCGCGCGAACCAACAACGGTCAGTGGATCCGGAGCCCCACGACTGGTCATATCGGCCTTGAACCGTCCTCCCGAGGGGATGAATACGTGCAGAGTCCCAACGATCTTAAAACACAGCGCGAACGCGATCAGAAAAACCAGAATATTACAATCTGGCTGAGCGCCAATGCCGAAGCAGGCGGCGATCAACCGCCTACTCGCCAAAGGAAGCATACGAGTAACAGACTGCGAGCAAGGAGTACTGGGGACCGCCCTCTTCATCTTCAACAACAAGACTACTTCAATCTGAAGCTTCCAGATGACAACTATACCCCTGGACCCGGGGTCTTGGTGCGTGAAAGCGAGGGGAGCGATGACGATGCTAGTGTTGAGTCTGATGGTTCTGCGCCTGGCTCTCCTCCAGCTGATCTCAATGATCCCGGCCGATATAACACCGCACTCGAAGGGTTCGCTTCACTTGAATTGACCGAGCCAACTGAGGGCTTCTGCCTCTATCCTTGGCAAGATCATTCATGCGACTCAACGCCGAGGAAGGAAGCCATGCAGCCGGGGAGTTCCACTGCGGCGATGGTGGAGTTTGAAAAGCGGGCAAAAGACGTCGAAACCGCATCGCTGGCGGCGACTGTGGATAACAACAGTCTATTTCACGTCAGGTCTGCATTTACGGAGCTGAGTATTAGTGCCGAGCCAAAGCGCAAAGAAGGCCGCTCTCTCTTTTCAAAGCGTTCATTCTTACAGGCAAGCTCGTTACTCAAACGTCAAGCATCGGATCTCACGACTGCCACTGCCAACGTCGGTACCCAGAATAGCTCCGGAGTACCACAGCGGAAAGAGAGCCACTCACATCGTCATCGGCTAAGTTTGTCAACGAGGCATCAACGCTCTCCGAGCTTGACTGATGCTCTGATGTCTATGACAGGGCAGATATCAGCCATTGGAGGAAATAATGCAGTTCATGCCGTCTCGCCAAACGCAGAAGTCGACGTAAAAAGTCATGCAGCGAAAGCTCGCGGTCGCAGTCGAAGTGAGGTTCCACGACCAGTGACTCCTGGACTAATGTCCCTAATGACTGGCCATGGTGGGCCACCTGTTGCCAATTTCCTTTCCTCGCCAAGGAGCTCAGCCGAGAATGAACTTGTTCGAGCCGCTGCACAAGACGTGGGACATCTGGCTGTTAAAGATGAAGACGACGATGAGGACCACATGGATACGGATGTCAATGGATTCGTGATGAAATTCCCACCCGTGTCGCACTTGCCAGTGCCAACTTTCCAAGGGTTCAAACAACAGATCATGGATCTGAACCCACTACTAGAGCCGGTTCTGATCGAACGGTTCGCTCGTGAACAAGTTTGGCGATATGAGAATTTGGTGAAGCTGCAGCAGACTCATTTGGACGAGATTGTCAATGGTACATGCCAATCTGGTAAATTCTGCGTTGCTCAGGGAGGCGAGGCGGCATTTATAGATCAGAACAAACCCTCCGCTGAAGCTGGGCAGACCCAGTTCCGGGTCACAAATTCGAGCAATTGCCACGAGTCGCCATGTGTGGGAACGGAAAGCTCCCTTGCATCCGCCCAATTTCCCCCGGGTGTGCCAATTCCACCTGTGAACCGCCTGCCTGCAGAGTTTGAGTGCACCATTTGCAACAGTGTCAAGAAGTTTCAGAAGCCATCGGATTGGTCCAAGCATGTTCAAGAGGATCTGCAGCCATTTACGTGCAGCTTCCCTGATTGCAACGAGCCCAAATCTTTCAAGCGTAAAGCAGACTGGGTTCGACATGAGAACGAAAAACATCGACATTTGGAGTGGTGGACCTGCGCTATCTGTGGCCATACATGCCACCGGAAAGACAATTTTGTCCAGCATTTGGTCCGTGAACATAAGATGATCGACCCTAAGGTGAAGAAGGGCAAAGGAGTCGAGGGGCAAGCCAGTCGGGACCGACTAGCGAAACTGCTCGACGAATGCAGGCATGAGACCGAATTAACGGCCGAGTCCGAGCCCTGTCGATTCTGCGGGAATATCCTTGGCAACTGGAAAAAGCTACAGGCGCACCTGGGGAAACACATGGAACAGCTGGCAATGCCTGTTCTAGAACTTGCGAAGCAGAGCACAGCCACTCCTAGCCTCCCTGCAGGGGTGTCTGCAGAAACATACCCCCCTCTTTCCGCGCCGTTTCACGGACAGGATGCAGGGGTGAATCGGGCAACACTTCCCACGCAATATGTCAAGGCTGGCCCTGTCAACCCCATCCCTTACGCCATGTCACTTCTTGATTATTCTTCTATCTCGGGAACCGTTCTTTCCACAGAGCCCGAACCGATTGCCGAGTCCTTCTACGGCCAAGTCAAGCTCCCGTCTCAGACCCACCTCCCGCACCAGAACTCTGTGACGTACCCACCGTACAATCCGACCCACCTGACAGAGACAGAGACGAACGCTTCTTATTCCAGCTCGTTATACCCCGCACAGGCGAGCTACCCGCCGTACCAACATATGGCCCCTACGTCGCCCTACTCAAATTCCTATGTGAACAGTTATTCCTCGCAAATTTGATTCACGATTTATTACTTCTTCAGCTATTTGGTCTTTCTTGTCTCGTGTTTCTTTTTCTTCTTTTCTCCTTTTTCTCTTTTTTTTTTTTCCAACTTTGATTCTTGATTCTTGGAATATTTCCGAGTATACGTGTATACCCCTTCTGTCGATTTTTTACTCTTGTCGGTTGAGTGCAGCGTGTACGTCACGGCAATGGATGCGCATGAAAGGGATGAGATATTTGATTTGACGAATTTCTTTCGTTCTCTTTTCTCTCTATAGTCTTCTCTATAGTCTCACTGTCCATTTATTTTGCCTCCTTCTCGCTTCTTTTCTTTCCATTTTCTCTCTTCCCCCCCCTAGAACAATGGTGAGCATGCGAGTGTTGAGCTATTTCCTGCATGAAGCGGAATGAGCCGATAATCGCTCGAATATTATGTACATATTTAGTGCGGGAATTCTGTCTCAAAGTGGCGTCGAGTGTGCATAGCATATGAGAGATCATATTTGGGAATCGGATTTACCGGACAAGTGACGCACCCCATCCAAAAGGGGGAATTGAACCCTAATCAAGGGGCTTCAGTGTAGCTCCCTAGCAACGCGTGGGATGGCCTGTCAAGATGTTTCAAGCCGAAACCTTCCCCTGCCATGCGCTCTTTATCCCTTGAGTCTTGACGGCATGGCAATGGCATGGCGAAGGAGTGGATTTGATCGGCCCTGTCACAACCCGATGCGGCTTCCTTGCTTTACGCCAGCCACATCTTAAGCGACAGATGCCAAAGGAATCTCGCTTAACCAAGAAGGGAAAGACATGAGAAAAACAAGAAAACATGTACCGACAGACAAAACGGTAAAAGCCTTGATTCAAAAAGAAAATATAGAACCGTACACTCGGGAACGGGTGCATGATCCTGATCGGCAAAGAATAAACTAAAGATTGGATCTCTAACTAGTTCTATCGTTGATGATCTACCCGGGTGAACATCTCCACATGGGGCTGTGCAAATCAAGGGATGTACATTCCTTGTCTCACTACGGAGTACACCCCTCATTTTTAACCCTTGATTCAACTTTTTCCGCGTGGTTAATTGTATCGGCTCGGGGCGAGTGGATCGACGATGCGTGTTTTTTTTTTTGGGCTTCTTTTCGCGCATGCATGCACCTCGTTTTTGTTTTTTTTTTTTTCATTTGTCATTTTCCATTTTTTGCCTTTTCGCCATTTAAAAAGAGGGGGTTTGCTGCATTTTCCCTAACCCTGTCATCCCGGCTCCTTAATACTATCTTGGATTGGTCGAGGTTTGAAGGCTCATATATACGGGGCTTGTTTTCTTCACCCGGGTTAAACCTCCTTAGCCTATACATCACCTGGTCACACTATGGAGGTTAGTCTTTCAACTGCGGCTCATTTTCATTTCCATTTTATATTTGTTTCGGAATTCCTGGAAAGTTCCTAACTTATTCTTTCTAGGATATACGTTGGTGTGATTCTAATGACGTCCTGCAGGAGATCATGGTCAACTCCGTCAACTCAGATCTAGCGGATTTTCAATCCAATCTAGCTCTGGGGGATTCAGCCCCAGATCCTTTACTGGAACTACATTTGACTACAGATCTGGCATCGCTCGATCCACACAGCCACACTTTCCTGAATCAGTGGGCCCCCGGGTCCCAGGACTTTTACTATCCTAACTACCCCGCCTCTAGGATGGAACAGGATGCATGGAACCCGTTGTTAGCTGCTGGTGTCCCTGCTCCCTCAAATATCTCTCAGATGCACATAGCCGACTGCGCTTTCCCGAAAACCCACTATAGAACCCCGTCCGAGGCCGGCAGTCAATATATGGGAAGTTTGCACTCGGCGGATTCTGGATATGGCAGTCACGGGGCTCACTCGGTCGTTCCATCGTCGTATGTGGATTCGCTATCGAGCCCACAGATCGGTACCAAGGAACAAGGTTTTGTTGAGCCAATGCCGTTCTTTGATCAGTCTCATATGACGGGATCGACATTTGCGCGGGATTTCGGTGAGGCTTTGTTTGATGCTTCGGTCAAATGTGATCACCCCGCTTGCTCCTGGGTTGGAAAGTGTCCTTCCGACAAGAGGTAGGTTCCTCTTCATGTGTTTCATTTCAGTTGGCCATGGTATTGATTCGTTCCAGAAAACACGAGGCTCGTCATCGAAAGCTTTTTAAATGTGATGAGCCGAACTGTCCTCGTAAAGAGGGCTTTGGGACAATCAATGACCTGGCCCGACACAAGAAATGTGTGCACAACAAGGAGCCCGAGCGAGGTCCAAAGATGATGTACCTCTGCTATGGGAAGGACTGTCCCCGTCCCAATAAGCGATGGCCGCGTCTGGACAATTTCAAGCAGCATCTCAGTCGGATGCATGCTGGGGAAGATGGAGAGGAATTGCTGAAGAGGTAGGTTTATTTCGTTGCTTTGATATGCCCTGGCCCGCTAACCAATTACTAGATCGATGGACTGGCACGAGAGTATGACTGGTCGGCCTGACTACAAGCTCGAAGATACTGGCTCAGTAGGGTCATTGACCGACATACAAGACCACATCTCTTCTCACTCTGGTGATATGGATATGGATTCAGATGGACCCATGCACCACGCACAAGATGAATATCTCTCTCGTGAAGAAACCCCCAGACCACTTTCCAGCAACCCCCCATCTGAAATCGGTCTCCTGGATTCTCGATCACAATTACCACCTCTGGGATCTATGGGTGTAGACGATACGTCTACACAGGATAGCCCCGATAACGCCATAAAACATGCACACCTCAAGTCGGAGCCATTTGTCACCGATGCTGCCGACAATCTCATTCACGCCATGACCAAGATGATGAACTACCGGGCTCGGAAAAATCAAAATAACGACGAGGGCATTGAAGTGGAAACCGATCCTACCCTCTCCCAACCTCAACGACAGATGCTTCAAAAGGTGCTCTCAGTAGCCCTAGAACGACTCTCTGATGAAGCTCCAGCAGTCCAAGAACCCGACCAAAAGCAGGACTGGTTTCAATGCGATATATGCTCGAAGCGTACTCGACTTCGCTGCGAGATGAAGTATGTTGACCAACCCCTTGATGTTCAATTTAGTCTAACAGTATCTAGGAAACACCAAAAACGACACGAACGGCCCTACGGGTGCACATTCCCCCACTGCGCCAAGTCTTTTGGCAGCAAAGCCGACTGGAAACGCCACGAGACTTCTCAACACCTACACCTTCAAAGCTGGCTCTGCGCCTTCCACGACCCCTCCAAGGGTGAATCATGTGGACGCATCTTCTACCGCGAGGAAACATACACTCAACACTTGAATCAACAGCACCAAGTTCCCAAGAACCGGTTAAAAACTACCCTCTCCTCCACTCGTCTTGACCTGGCCGATCAATCCCATTTCTGGTGCGGCCTGTGCACTCGCACCATTCTACTCCAGAGTAGCGGTTCTACAGCGCTAGATGAGCGCTTCAATCATATCGATATTGAGCATTTCAAGAAGGGCGAGCGAGGCCATGATTGGATTTTCCCGGAGTTGAGGGAGTCGCCTGTCCTGCCTGGTGCGGGACAGGGACCTAACATTATGAAGGCTGGGTTACCAATAGTCCCAGAGGGTAATCAACGCAAGCGCAAGTACACGGGTGTGCATGCGCAGTCTGATAGATTGGGTTGATTCTGCTTTTTTGTTCATAATGAGTCTTTGTATAATGTGATATCTCCGTGGCAGGGCCCCGGCTGGGAATAGTTTTAGACATGGAACAATTGCATATGAATATAAATCACTGAGCACTATCCCGTGCTAAGCTTCATTTGATAGGAAGTAAGGAACAATATAGTACACGTCATGCATGACTCAGGGCTTCATTTCTGAGCAGCCGCCAGCTCCCGAGCCTTTTTTTCCAGGCCAGAAAGTTGCTCTGTAGTAAGTAAGTTAGATAAACAAAAACAAATCAAATCAGAAAAACAGAAATTTCAATGTAGAATTTTTTACCATTCTTTTGAAGTTTAATATCATCCGTCTCCAGCTTCATCCATGTCCAATAGATAATCTGGTAAGTGAGCACAGCGCCCAAGAAGACCTTCCCAAAGGGACGGGCAAAGGCACCGTATGCTGAAATCTAGACTCGTATTAGAAATCAATGTACTTATTGCATGGTATGAATATGCATTCAAATGATCGTAGAGAGACAAAACATACCCCTTCCCGGTAGGCACTTTTCTTTTCACTGAATCTTGTAGCGGTAGAGCTCCATGTCCGAGAGCTGTTCGCGTTACGGATAGGGCCTGCCAGCCGTGTAGAGAAACGAGTGAACTGTGGGAGCAACATGGTGTTGAAGCGGTATGGAATGGAATGGGGTTGGGAGTTTTGCTGGTGTCTGAAGTTGGTGGATGAGGTTTAGCGTGATTGCCTTTTTGGGGAAGGTGGGGCTTGGCATTTGTATGAACATTTGATCGAATTTTATAGTGAAGTGGATTTGGTTGAGGATGAAGGATGAAGTGATTGGTGTCATATTTTTAGGATCACTTTTCTATAATTTCTTCTACCTGTTGACTATAGGGATTGTGGGCTCCATAGATGCAGGTGTGCAGTGTGGGCGGACTGGAGGATGGTTTTAGTCGACAAACCGGCCTATCGATTGAAAGATTCATCCATGGCTCTCAAGAATGCCAGTCTACGTACGAGTTTGAATTGATTGATAGATTTCGATATGACTATAATATTCTTCAGCGACTAGTCACTTAGTAACGCGGTCAGCTAGTAGATCCTTAGTCAGCGATCACATGATATCAGGTCTTGAATTCTGGTGGGCAGCAATGAAAGGGAGCCACAACCCAAATAATGAAACGGTTCCGGGTTACGATACTCCACGTCCCTGACTGCTCTCTGACATCTCCTTCTGCCACCATGTCCGGTCCGGTCTCCCCTCAACATGGGAGCTCGAATCCGCCCAAAAAAGGGCAAAGACAAACTAAACTTGCCACATACAGATGATTAAAGACCTCCATATTCCTGGATCTCAGCGATTACATGGAGGAATCATATCATTGAGGTGGTGGGCAATGACAGGGCGACTATTCACTTGGGGGTGGTACGTGCACGTATGTGACTAATCACGCCACAGTTTGTGGCTGAAGTGAATGTGTTCAGCGCGAGTCCCTTCCGCCCTGGGGTCATTCACTCAGTCGTCGGTCGCGATATTCAAAGAACAGAAAAGGTCCCCGGTCTAACACACTTCTACAGCTCTACAATTTGTTCTGCTGTGTGGTTGACTTGATCGTCTTTTCTTTGTTTTATCTCCACGCGTCGGTGCCGAGTCCGTGAGGCCCTGCCCTGGCCCCGACTTGCGCTCCACCATCGATTCGTTACTGACCAACCCAACCGCGTTAATCCCCAATTGTCATCAGATATTGTGGGCTTCCTCCCTGCTAATTGCCCTGGTGAAGGGCTGCGCGTCACCATATTCCCTGTCATTCGCTGGACGAAGACCTGTTTGTCATTGGTAAACTCCCACCCCGACGTCCTTGTTCTCGCGATCCCGATCTAAGGACCCGTCGGTTTCATCCGACCTGCCTCAACTCGATCTACTATCCTCGCTGTATTTATGAAATATGCCTTGACTCATTGTAGCTAACGCTTTTGTTTCACAGTGATTTTCTCATCCTCCCCCGCCCATCCCGACGCCATGCGCCGTGGTTCCAAGCGCTCCCTCGAGGAGCTTGCTAACAAGTCCGACTCGAATGACGAGGACTGGAGCGAAGGCTCCCAACCCCCAGATTCGCGACGAGCTGCTCGAAAGAGCAAGTCGAGCCCCAAGAAGCGATCCCGACCCGCGAAAAAGCAGCGCCGCCACTCAGGCGACATCGTTTCGGATGACGATGCCCTTACCACTGACGATGAAGACCTATCTGTTCAAGAATCGGAAGATTCCGACGATCCCTCTGTGCCGCGAAATGTACGAGGAACGGCACGCCGTCGAACAACCCAGAACCGTCCGCTCTACGAGGAGCCTGATTCTGACGAGCCATCCCCACCTGATGATGAAGATGATGAACTTGCTCCCGAATCCCCACCGAAGAGAAAACGGACTGTTGTGAAATTGAAGCTTCGACCCGAGATTCTGTCACAAGCCAATCGACGTACCACTCGCCGTACCCGCGGTGCTTCAGAAGACATCTACGCTCTGACTAATTCAGGCCGACACATGGAAACCGTCGAGCGGGGTACAATGACTCCAGAGGCTGAGGTACAACGGCATGGTTCGCGAGCCCCTCGGGAGTCAGCCATTCCCGAGGAATCCATGGAAACATCTGCAGAGATCCAGGCCTCGCTCGAGGTTCTGGAAAGCGATGCCCCAATGGAAGGCGATACGGTCATCGGCCAGGATGATGAACAAGATCGGCCTGATACTCAGATGTCCATGGAAGACGGTGTTGTCCCTGAGTCGTTGAACGGCGATGCGAAAAACGAGAACAACGATGAGGATGATGACGACGAAGATGTAGGCCCCATCACTCGGCGACGAACCAGACCGAGCCTTCTCGGACTACACGATGAAGAGGAGGTCGATGAAGCATTCGTGCCTGATGAGGGGCCCCAGCCCCGTCGATCTGGTCGCAAGCAGCCCCCTCGAAGCTCACAGCGCAAAAATCGCGACGAGGAGAGTGATTTTGAACCAGAAGAAGAAGATTCTCATGATGATGACGAGGCCTCGCTATCTGGAAATTCTGCTGCCTCGCCGCAAAAGAGCATGGGCCACGATGACGAGGACAGCTCAGCTAGCCGTCGTGCCGGCCTGCGCAAACGACCATCTCAATCTCGTGGTCAGTCGGAAGTCGCAGATGAGCTAGCCGAGGAACTTCAAGACCTTCGGGGTGGTCGCGCTCGACGACGTGCGCCTGAGATCATTTACGAGAAGCCGCGTCGGAGTCGCAAAAATGTTGACTACCGCATTATTCGCCCTGATCTATTGCTCGCCACGGACGATGTTGAGAACGATATCACAGAGTCTCCTTCTCGTCGTGGACGTGGCGGAGGAGGTGGAACCTGGCAGCGAAGCTTCCTCCCGATAACTGGTCCCTTCGGAGGCAACAGTGTCCTGTCTGTGCTCAACCCCGCTGGTCCTGCCGGTCCTGCCGGTGCGGCTGGAGGTGTTGATAGTGACAGCAGTGATGATGAGTTTGCCCGGCCAAAGGGCAGTCTTCTCCCTGGACAAACCCATTCTGCAGAGAACGCTCAACACCTCGCGGGTACGCCGGCGAACTTTGGTAAGATTCCGGACAAGCAAACGCTGGCGGACGCAGATCCACTTGGGGTGGACCTGAATGTCAATTTCGATAGCGTAGGAGGTCTCCAGGGACACATCGATCAACTGAAGGAAATGGTTTCACTCCCGCTGTTGTACCCGGAGATTTTCCAACGCTTCCACATTACTCCTCCTCGAGGTGTGTTGTTCCATGGACCTCCAGGAACCGGAAAGACGCTTTTAGCTCGGGCTTTAGCCAACAGTGTCAGTTCCGAGGGCCGCAAGGTTAGCTTTTACATGAGAAAGGGCGCCGATACGTTGAGCAAATGGGTCGGTGAGGCCGAGCGACAATTACGACTTCTCTTTGAAGAGGCTCGCAAGAACCAACCCAGTATCATCTTCTTTGATGAAATTGACGGGTTGGCTCCCGTGCGATCAAGCAAGCAGGAACAGATCCATGCCTCCATTGTGTCGACCTTGCTGGCGTTGATGGATGGCATGGACGGCCGAGGTCAAGTCATTGTGATCGGTGCCACCAACCGGCCTGATTCAGTTGATCCTGCCCTCCGTCGTCCTGGTCGTTTTGATCGCGAATTCTACTTCCCTCTTCCCAATATCGAAGGCCGTCGCGCCATCCTCGATATTCACACCAAGGGCTGGGACCCAGCGCTTCCAGGCGACATCAAAGATGAGCTTGCGAAGATTACCAAGGGGTATGGAGGTGCTGATCTACGAGCCCTTTGCACTGAGGCTGCTCTCAATGCTGTACAGCGAAAGTATCCTCAAATTTACAAGTCGGACAAGAAGCTTGTGATCGAACCGAAGAATATTGACATTCTTCCCAAAGATTTCATGATTGCTGCTAAGAAAATGGTTCCCTCTTCAGAACGATCTAGCTCCTCTGGAGCATCAGCGTTGCCTCACAATGTTGAGCCTCTGCTCCGTCAGTCCTTGGCAGATATCCAGAAAGCCCTGTCGGAGGTTCTTCCCCAGCGCAAAAAACTCACTGCCTTAGAAGAAGCTCAGTATGAGGAACCTGCAGACAACAATGGATTCCGTCGTGAACAGATGATCCAGGAGTTTGATCGGTCGCGTGTATTCCGCCCTCGCATGCTTCTCCGCGGCCCCCAGGGAATGGGTCAACAATATCTTGCCGGCGCTCTTCTGCACCACTTTGAGGGTCTACATGTCCAAGCTTTCGATCTCCCAACACTTCTCAGTGATTCGACGCGATCACCGGAAGCCACGGTTATTCAGCTTTTTTCGGAAGTCAAGCGGCACAGACCGAGTGTGATCTACATTCCTAATATTCAGACATGGTTCGAGACGGTCGGTCCCACTGTCATTTCCACATTTTTGGGTCTGTTGCGATCATTGCCTCCCTCTGATCCAGTTCTGTTACTCGGTGTTCTTGAGTCCAACGGAGACGATGTGGATGAATCTTTGGTTAAACAGTTATTCGGATTCTCGAAGAAGAATTTGTTTACTATTCCTTCTCCTGATAGAGTTGCACGTCGCGAGTTCTTTGGTAAACTCATTGAATACGTCAAAACCGCCCCCTCGGACTTCCCTGACCCTGAAAATCGCAAGAAGCGCCAGCTGGAAGAGCTTGAGGTTGCGCCTCCACCCCCTCCAGCAAGCGAAACACCGCTCAGCAAGGAAGAACGCAGGGCTCAAAAGAAGAGGGACCGTCACACTATGAACGTTCTCAAGATTCGTATCCAACCTGTTATGGATCAGCTCCGCAAATATAAGAAATTTCGCGCTCCTGTAATTGACGATAGTCAGATTCGATACCTGTGGGATGAAGCCGACCCGAACATCGTCACCAGTGATCTCCCTCCTGAGGAACAAGGCATTTATCGTCCATATGAAAGGGGCTTTGATAAAGAAGGTGTCCCGGGCCTTGTAGAGGTTGCGACTGGGAAGTTCTACTACAACCTGGAGACTGTGACCATCGAGAAACGTCTGTCGAACGGATACTACAAACGGCCCTGTGATTTCCTGGCAGACATCAGGCGGATGACGAAGGATGCCCGCCAGACGGGAGACGTGGACCGAATATTGAAGGCGAATGAACTGCTAGCCAATGTTGAAGTTGATATGAGCGCTCTTGAGGCAGCTGATCCGAATCTTGGGGTAGAATGTGAGGCTCTTTACTTGCGAGAGGTAGCTCGTGAGAAAGAAGCCGCTGAGAAAGCCAAGCGCGCTCGGGAAGCGGAGGATCAGCGGCTGCGAGAGCAAGAGGCCGCTGAAGAAGCCGCCGCTGCCCCTCAGGGCAACACCGAGTCGGACCTATCCAATGGCCCCGTCAAGACAACCTCACGCCCAGTGACACCTAATCAACAGTCACACGTGAGCTTTGCAAACGGATACCAGAACGGCGGTGGCTCGGACCTAAATGAGCCTGGCCCTAACGGCCTGAGCAACGGATCTCACGGCGATGGCGATGGCGATGTCGACGGTGATGTCTTTATGTCTAATTCCGAGGATCAATCGGGCAGCAAAGATACCTTGAACAGCTCGTTCGGACCGTCTGCGCAGCCTAAGCCTGCATATTCGCACACTGCGCCGTCTCAGCAAATCCGCCGCGAGTCTGGCATGTCCAGCTTGTCTCAAAAAGGTCCCATGACGCCAATGGCTCCTGGCTCCCAGCCCGGGGATTACACCAATGAAGCATCTACAACCCAAACTACCTCATACAAGAAGTCCTCCGATCACTCCTCAAATCAAAATGACCACACCCAGAGTCCCAATGCTTCCCGACTCGAGTACCCCGATCTTACCCAGTATCCTGACCGTGTCTCCCAAGACGACCACCTGCCTGATACCCAGCAAGGTGGCAGCAGCCAACTTTCCCCTCGCCCCCGAGATTCGCTGGCCTCGAACCAGACAGAGCTTGACCCCACATTGAATGGAAGCCAGTCTCAGTCAAAGCCTCAGCCTCCGTTGTTTGCCGAGGCTTTGAAGCCCACCAACCACGCTTCTGTTACCCTTCAGTCACTGCTCAATGAGCAAACTCCCGAGCTCGTTCTTGACCTTGCCTACGTCGAGCATGTTCACGGGCACTTGGCCGAACACACTAGTGGATGCTCCGTTGAGCAACTGGAGCAGATCAACACATATCTCATGGACTTTGTGTGGCAAACGCGCGGCGAGTGGAACCGCACTACTGTCACCAAAGGCATCAAGGAGACCTTTGAAGAAGTCATGGACGATATGCAGGCCATGCAGGACATCGGGCCGACCAGCCAGAACAGGGCTGTCATGGAACATTCAAGCTTCTAAGTACGGATGTTGGGGCCCAAATGTGATGGCTGCTTACTCTTTTCGAGCATTATTTTCTTGTTCATACGTCCATCCTTATTAAAGGTGATTTTGTCAGCTCAGACAGCATTGTTCTTTTTTGTCTCTTTTTTTGCGTTCCAAGGGCCGGTGTTCAACAGCCATTTTTTTTTCCAGGTTTCTTGTTTCGAATGTCAGGATGATAGCATTTCCAAGCAGTATCGGTGGTTTCAAGGTTATTATGGAGATGTATTAAGTACATCTAGCAATGGGAATGGAAATGATTTAATAATCATTGCATCCAAGTATGTTGAGTGTAAATCATCTGTGGGGCATCTAAGAACATGATATTGGGGGACAACATTTACATGGAGAAGAAAAATGATTACTTATAAACTCAATAAATTTCCAATCACTCTAGGGACTCTAGTATAACTCACATAACTGAGATAACTTTTGACATTGATCCAAAATAATTGATTCTCATAGAAGTGTGTGTATACAGACCATGTGATCTTGACCCACTAAACACTCTGGCCTTTGCGTTCAATGCCTTCGATACCTTCAACCTTCTTCACCCTTGCACCTTCCGAAAATATTTGGGAATTGCTGCTAAACTATGATTCCAGCTTGATTGTCATTCCTTTTAAAATTGCTAAACTACCTGAACCTCTTTACCCTTCTTTCGCCACCGATCGCGCATACACACATCCATTCCCGTCATCATGGTGGACTGGCTCAGTCTCGCCGTTCCCCTCGCCTACCTAGGCATCCTGATCGGCTCTCTAGCTACATTCTCATCTCTCTATCGGAAGCGCAAGTCCCGTACGTACTGCTACCAATTCCAGCGGCGACCAATCTCAATAGCTTCGCCAGCCCTATTCCACTTTCCGCCGGGGCTTGAGCTTGGGTTCCTTGCGCACACACAAACTCCCATGAACTAGCTAACGCGTTCGCATACAGAAAAGGCAGCCACGCTTGAACCATGGTTCCCTGCACACCTCCAACGTGACATCTACTTCTCACTCCTCCATCTTGACCCCTCCGCACAAAAAGAGAAAAAGACCCCCGCGATCCCTGAGTCCGTCGTCAAGGCTGCCCTCCTCCGCCGCGCTAGTGAAGATATCCGCCGTGTCCTCGCGCTGCGTAGCCAGAAACAGGCTCTGTCTGTGCTGCTCCAGCGCGGCAGCGTCGGTGATGACCTTTGGCAGCGCTTCTTGCGCGCCGAGAAGGAGATGGAAGAGGAAGTTAAGGATGTTGTTGCTGAAGTCAGTATTCACGTCCTGGAAATTTTCTTTGGGTTGAACACTCGCTTACATTTTATAGGCAAATGCTTATGTGCCGAACTGGGGCCAGACTATCTTCCAGTCTGCCAACGAGATGATACAGAATGATATTTACCGGCAAAGGATGACTGAGCAGCAAGATAAGGTTGCTGAGGAGAAGGAGTGGTGGAATAAGAAGAAGGCTAATACTCAGGAACAATTCATGAAGGAATTGAATGAGGGATCTGAGTCGACTGCGCAAACTGCTCCCAGGTCTCCGGAGTCTGCTTCGGAGTCTGCTCCGGCTGCACCTGCTGCTCCTGCTGCTACTGCGCAGGTAAGTGATGATGAGCCGGTGTTGGTTGAGGCGGAGCCGTCGAGTAGTACTCCGTCTGGTGGAAAGAAGAAGAAGGGGAAGGGCAAGAAATAGATTATAGGCCTGTAACATTACTTTTTTTCTCTTGGTTGGGCTTTATTAAACAATTGAGCATTTCATGACAATCTTGGTCATCTGGCGTAATGAATTCAGATATAAGTTCTGGTAGTAAGATCTTGGAGAAGAATAATATACATTTCGAATCAGATCGAGCAAAATAAATCTAATATACAGGGCTTGATGATTAACGACAAAAGTACAAATGCGCCGAAGTATGCGATGCAAATCCTTAGCAAACCAAAATCCCCAAATTATAGCAATTGGCTATCATCCACTCCCAAGGGCAAGCCAAGATCGATTTCTGGTAGTTCCATCTCCACTGCAGCTTGTGCCAATTTCTTCTCAACCTGCACGGGGTCTAGACGATTTGTCCGACTCAACACAATGCGCAGCAGCTGGGCCATAATCTCGAGCTGGTACTGCTGTGTCTCATGTGGATCAAGCTGCTCAACACTCAAGCCCTGGGCCTGGAGAGCCATTGACTTGCGTTCGCCGAGTAATGCAAGAAGTCGATTGACTTGTCCTATATTTTCTTTACTGCGTGGAGTAGACGATAACCGTCGGAGACGATGCTTAGGTGTATCGGCAGGTACACCGGCTAGACGCGCAACTTGGAGAACAATCAAACGAGCAGTCACGTCATCTGGTGCAAATCCAAATGTCGCTCGCATCGAATAGATTGCCAGAAGAGTACCCGGTATATCTTTGGATAAACAGAAACAACGTACAATCTGGTCATAGAGTTCTTTGGAGAACTCGGAGTTTGTAACCTTGCGGGCCCGTGGGGTGAGCTGGGAATACCACCGCATCATACCAGCGAACAGCTGGCGAGCAGATGGGAATCCCGCATCGAAAGAGGTGCGACCACGGTCAAACTGCAGTTTTGCGCAATCCCACAGGCATGCGTAGGTCTCTAGATCGGGTCGGACGGAGGCGGACATCTTTTGAAACTTGGTCCAGAGAGCACGGATATCTTGCTTGCGAAGTTCGGCATAGAGAAGGTGGTTCATGAAGTAGGAGTTTGGTTGGATGTGGGCGTCACCAAGGCACTTGACCAGGTACTTGATCATGTCGTCGTCGCCTCGGCGCGTGTAGTGGAGAAGAAGGATAGAGAATGTCTCGATACTAGCAGGCGGCACCTCACGTTTCATCCAGCGCGGGAGTCGGCTGGGTTCCACTGCCTGATGTTGGACCTGAAGCTGGGGCATCGTTTCAACAGGCTGATATCGCTTCCACACGGCGTCGATACGATGTTGAATCATTGACCACGCTAGTCGTTCTGCTTTGTCTCGTGCCTGGGGATTGCCCTCATGGAGCCATCCAGCAACCAAGCCATTAAGATGCTTGGTATCCGGTCGCACACCTCGCTCGTACATGAGCTCAATTACTAATGCAGCTGAATCGACCTGACCCATTCCAATAAGCTTCTTCATCCAGCTGGCATAGAAGAACCTATTTTGAAATTGACGAGGCAACATCGTGAGTGCCGATAAAGAGACCTTGTTCACGGCCTCCTCATTGATGCTCGACGCGTGAAGATTGCCGGCGAGGCCAAGAGCTGCTTGATATACGGCTGTGGAGTCTTTAGCAGGGTCTTGTCCCGTCACCATCATATCCTTGAAGATAGCGACCGCAGTATCCAATCGGCCAGCCGTCAAAAGTCCGATACTGATCTGATCATAGTCTTCCATGGTCATTTCTGGACCCAAAAAAGTTTTTAGCTGCAAGTATAACGCCCATGCCTTCACCTCCGCTTCCTTCCCTGGAACCAGGCCCCATGCTGTGATAACCGGGATGAGAACTCTCGGCTGCCGAGATTGATCGTTTGAAAGGAATGCCAAGGCGATATCCTGGGCTCGTTGAGGGTCCTTTGCGGCCGCAAAGAGGCGTACACCGAGCATCCAATATTCCTCGAGATCATCCTTTTCCTGCGAAAGCTCTGATTGATATGCCTCCCATTGTTCCAATGCCATGTTGGTCGCACCACCAGTGTGCAAAGCTTGGATATATGACAGAATCTGGGGCTTGGCAAGCGATCTCCCGACGGACGTCGAATCTTGGAAAAGGGTTTGCAGGTGTGTTGAGCGTACAGTATTGGATAATTGAGATGTAGTTTGTGATTTCCATACTTCTTGCATGGCGTCGGGAGGTAGTGCTTCGAGAAATCCTGGGATTGCTTGTTTGCATCGGCGATACGCTTTCCATACTTCCTGACAAGCGCGATCATCCGATGGATTCATCGTATATTGTCGAAGAGCCTTTCTGAAACGTTCACCGTACGGATGAGAGTTGGAACCCACTAGCTTCCTGGCCTCCGAGGCTTTTCGCGCAGCTGCCTTGCGTTGTTCTCTGGCACTGTCCTGCAAGTTCTCTTGCTCAAATGCCAGGCCCTCAAACTCCTTTTTCAGCATATCGTCCAGCTCCTCGTCAAACACATCATCCAAAGACGGCTGCGGTTCTAATGGTCCACGTTCTTCTTCATATTTTCGAAGGGCCTCGAGGGCAATTTTTCGGTCGTCTTCTGGTAGACTCTGGATAAACGGACCGTCGGGGTCGAATGGTCCTTTCTCTAGAATTTTGAGCTCCTGCTGAATCTTTGTGAGCTCCTCCTGCACCTCCTCTCGCTCCTGAAGCTCTTCAGCCTCAGGGTCGACCTTCCGTCGCTTCTGACCGGGGGCATCTTGTTCGTAAAAGTTGACCTTATCATTTGGCCCACCGAAGTCAAGCCGACGCGCCGTTACAGCGCTAAAAGCGCGCAGGGAAACCGGCGGATTGCGCGCCGCATGGTGCCATCGAGCTCCTCGAATAGCCTGGCGGAGCATATGGGGAGTGATTAGGTCATTTGAGGGACTTGGATAAGGTGGGAAAGACTGGAAGTTCTGCACGGAACACCATTAATCCTACCTCTTTCGGTCTAGCGCGCCCCGTTGACTTATCTCTCCTTCTTCGATGCGACACTCAATTGCGACCAGCAATGGATCCCGATAGACTGGAAGATGCGTTGGATCTGTCGAAGGACAGGTCCCAGAACCAGGTATGCTTTTTTTTGTTTTCCAACTCCTCGGCTAAGGCTCAAGAGTGGACGACTAACGTGGAAAACAAGGGTGTGTACATTTACCAGCCCGCAAAAGCTGGCAAAGCTTCCGGTGAACGACCCTCGAAACGCCGTAAGGTCTCGATGAACAAAGAATCGAATGAGAAACCCGATAGCCCAGGCTTTGTGTCCTTGTTGAACGGAGACGAGAGCGCCGAGTGTGTGAAGTTGCGATACGACACCTACAAGCAACTATGGGCGGAGCAAGAACGCAAGATTCAGGTAGGGGCATGGAGCGATCCTGGTCGAGAGATTTGTTGCTGACATCGGTTCAATGAAGTTGGTTCTTGAAGATGTTGACGCTGGCGTTTTGAAGGACGTGCTAGCTTTCGTGAGGGAGACATCACCACAAACGTAAGATGACCTTCCCCATGGAGAATTACTTGTTTCTGATGAGAATTTAGGTGCAACGGATGTATTCCGACAGCACTAGTCACTGTGGGATCCAATGTCTCCTCGCTCAGTAGATTGCTCTCTCGCCTCAATGATCAACTCACATCGACCAATGAAGGTGGTGTGATCGTCCTCGAGTCCGGCGATGCACCCAATTTAAAAACATCCTTGAAAAACATCATTCGAGCGGCAGTGACCAACACCGAGGGAAATGATGGCTACCAGAGATTCCTCACAGATCGTTCTGTACGTGTCTACCAGTACATGGGCCACTAGCTCGTGCTAACAGAAGGGCAGGGACCTCGAGTGCTCGGGTATGATTTAGATCTACTCTACGACTACGTCCAAAGGAGAGGCACCAAAAAATTAGTGCTTGCTTTCCGGGACAGTGAAGCCTTTGATCCCGGTCTATTGACCGATCTGTTTTCACTTTTCACGTGAGTATTAGTCTGCCAGATATCATTAAGCTATTACTAATGCTTACCTAGATCCTGGCTTGATCGGATACCATTCACAATATTGCTTGGAATTTCAACATCTGTTGAGATCTTTGAAGGTCGGCTACCCCGCTCGTGTGTCTCGTTGCTCCAGGGAAAGCACTTTGAGGTTCAAGAAGCAGGTAACTGCGTGGACCGTATCTACGCAGCGCTTCAGACTAGCTCAGATGGAAGAATTTGGGTTGGTCGCAATATAAGTAGCACCCTGTTTGAAAGAGCAAGCGACTATTTCCAAACCCCTGAAGCCTTCAGTCGCATGGTCAAGGTAACAGTGCTTCCCCATTTTCTCAGATCCTTGTCTAATTTCGTCGCAGTACGCGTGCATGTCGCACTTTTTTGCCAATCCCCTCGCTGTGCTTCTGGGAAATCTAGACATTTCTATCCTGTCGCAAGGCCAATTTTGTGAAGCTATCAGAAACCTACCGTCATTCCGAATGTAAGTACATGTTCTAACTACCTGTTGAGCTCATGACTAACTCTCTCAGGTTTTGTGAGGACCTAGTAGAAACAGGTTCCACAAATGAAGCGCGGAGTATGATAGAGGACGATGCTTATCTACTGCGGGCAGCCTTGGACCACGTTGACGCCGGTCAGCAAGCAATGCGTCACCTCTTCCGTGCAGTGCTTGTCATCCATACATGTCTCCAACATACCCAGGCCACGAAAAAGATGACCATCTCAGATCTCTCGGTTCGTGCCCTTGCTGGGGAACTCATTGAGTCACCACTTGTGGAGGATATGCTGGCCACGGTCAGGACTCTCGACTCTGAGAAGCTGGGCGAAGTGCTAGACACCCTTCCAAAGACACTATCAGATGATTCGCCTCTCCCTGGAATTCAAGCCGATTTGAAGGTCTTGCTACAGGCATATCCTGGCTCTTTACCGTTACGCAGCGAATATAATATCAACAGCTCTGTGATGAAAACAACTGTTATTCAGCAACGGGTTCTGCTCACCAAGGGCAAAGCCAATCTGCCCGAGCAAGATATTGAGTACACTCAGATCATCGATCGTCTAGTGGGTGCGTTGCAGGAGTATTTTACCGAGACTTTGGCTCGACCACAGGATCTCTTCATGCATGAAGCGTTTGTTTATGACCTGCGCAATCCCCTGAAAGAAACCTTCACGCCTCGGCCCCGTTTTGCTATTGAACGTGCCCTGGCTAGTCCGTTTGATTATTTGATCTCTACTGATGCTGCTGCTGTCGGGGCCAAGATCTCCGCAAAACAGCCAGCTACTGCCATCTTGTATCAACTTTATCTGGAGTCAGGTGCGCTGGTCAACGTTCATGATCTGTGGCAGGCTTTCTATGGAATCTACGAAAGCGACCAAGGCAAGAAGAAAGTCGATGAGCGAGTGGTCATGTCTTTATTCTATAGTGCTTTGTCCGATATGAAGATGTTTGGCATGATTAAGACTAGTCGGAAGAAGACTGATCACTTGGCCAAGTCGGCATGGATGGGATTGTAGTCTATAATGAGCATTGACATCAATGAAATTTGCATTTTTCGCATTTCAATCACAATCACATTTGCCAATCCTGGCGGGGTATCATACATTCTCTGAAGTAATAAAAGTAAAGCTTGCGGTTGAAACTAGTCTCAGGTGATGACTGAGTCACGACCAGCTATCCTAAAGTGGTCGCTGGATAATATCGTCTCTTCCAAGCGGTCGACCCCCTTCACTTAGAACCATAGCTTCTCTTCGCCGTCGACGAAGAGCTTGCTCATCCGCGTTGCTTTCTCGGGGCCTGCGTGATGAGGATCCTCGGTAAGAGCCAGCTGTATCTTCTCCATCAACCATCCATACATCACCGTCATCGTCATCGTCGCCATAATCTTGCTCATTCTCTTCTTCAATCAGGCTACCCATCAACCCATGCTTTCGTAATTGCTTTATTCCTTCGGAATGTGTGGTCAAGTTATGGAATATGGAGCTCATGAGTGTGTCATCGGACCACCATGTTTTTAAGAGACTCTCCACATCCTGTCGCCGTGGCGGCTCGTCCAAGGCACATGGGAATGGGTATTTGGTAAGCCATCGAGTCACGATTCCGGCTTCTAATGCCGCGGGAATATTTTCGGGGAGCAGGGTGTTGAGGATCTGTAGTGCTTTCTTCTCGCCGAGAGGTCGAGTCCTAGCAAGAACGGGTGAAGTGGTGGGATACGTCACCTCAGTATGCTCTTCTAGAAAGTTGCAGAGACAGTTGATGATGGCTGTGTATGCAGGAAGATCACGAAGCCGACTGCAGACTGAAGTTCGAGATACTGTAAATGTTCAGCATCACAGCAGGGAACCTTCAATGGTATACATACAGGCTCGATTCGAGACCAGGAAATGGAGCGCAGTTAGCGCTCGACCTTGTCGTGCTTTATTCTTGCTTGATAGATCCTCTAGAAGAATATCGCGTGTGTCGCCCTTCGTTGATCGTTCGGCAATGATGCGGAGAGCTCTATAGCTGTGTTAATAGTTGTTGCGCATTGAATGTGAGGCCTTCATACGCAGCACGTAGGTCATGGCTTGTACTCGAGGAAAGCTTCAGGAGGGTGTCTAACTTGAGAGCTGAAGTATTGTTAGTAGCGATTTGACTAAAATTGGCCAGTCTACTTTACCATCCTCCGTCCCCTCGCTGATGATCTTGTCTTCCCGATCGACATGTTTGATCTCCGTCAGATCAACAACTTGACGGAGATCTGTAGCGATGCCGCGTACGGCGAAGAAAAGGGATATGCCTGTCAGAGTCAGTGAATTTTCATCCAAAATATCACCAGTACCAACCTAGACATAGCCATAATACACCATCACCAGAAAAAGGCGCCATGGTGGTTGAATCATCATGGAGGTAACTCCATGCGGAGAGATGCGCGGCAGAATATCGCCGACCGAGGGCGGTATCTTTTTTTTCTTCAACCGCTGGTTTACAAGCAAAAGAAGAAAACTATACATTCCCACGCATTCAACACGCCACAATGCCGCCCTCTCAGCTCAAGCAGCTGAAAGCGTCACTTCGGGACAGCGGCGTCGTTGGTCCTCAGCAATCCAAAAAGCAAAAGCGCCAGAACGCAAAATCTGGTGCTACGGCGCAAAACCGGAACCAGCGCAATGCCGCTTTGCAGGCCATTCGGGATCGATTCAACCCCTTTGAGATCAAAGTTCCCTCGGGCAGAAGCAAATTCGAATCTACTACCCGAGATGGCAACTCAACTGCTGCTGTGCGCAATCGCCCAGGAGTCACCAAGTCACTTGGAGAGGAAAGGGTATGTGAATTTCCAACACCTTTCACGATCACAAGCTAACAAGTCCTCAATCTTTAGCGCCGAGCTACGCTTCTACAAGAAATGAACAACCGGAACAGAGTTGGTGGACTTGTTGATCGCCGATTCGGTGAGAACGACCCGACCATGACACCCGAAGAGCGGGCTGCCGAACGATTCGCCCGAGAAAGTCAAAAGAAGATGCGCAAGGAGTCTATGTTTAACCTTGAGGAGGAGGAGGATGAGTTCCAGCTTACCCATATGGGTCAATCTCTGTCATTTGACGAGGCCAATCGTGACGACTTTGAGATGGGCGAGATGGACGGCGATCTGAAAGGCGAAGAATCCGACGACGAGGCGACACGGAAGCGCAAGCGCTTTATCGATGACGAAGCAAATGAGGAAGATTTCATCCACGACCCGGATGCAGAAGATCAGCCCGAACGCAAGAAGTCTAAGGCCGAGGTTATGAAGGAAGTCATTGCCAAATCCAAGTTCTATAAGCAAGAACGGCAAAAAGCCAAGGAAGATGATGAGGATTTACGAGATGAATTGGACCAGGAGCTCCCCGATCTTTTTGAGGCCTTGCGAGGTATGAAGGCCCCGGGCAAGCCCGAGCCTGTTCAGCAAGACCTGGATACCATGAACCCAGAGCGTGCCGCTATGCTCCAAGGGGTTGAGAAGACAGATGCTGAGAAGCAGTACGACCAACGGATCAGGCAATTGACTTTCGACAAGCGATCTGCGCCCACGGACCGTACAAAGACAGAGGAAGAGAAGGTGGAGGAAGAAGCTGAAAGGCTAAAGAAACTCGAGGAAAATCGACTCAAGCGCATGCGCGGTGAACATGTTAGCGACGACGAAGATGACGACGACAAGGAATCATTTGTCCAGGATGATGATGATGATGATGAGTCGATGATTGATGATGCGACAGCCTTTGGTCTTCCCACATATGAGCCACGGAAAGACCTGGCTGTTGAAGACGAAGATGATTTCATTATTGACGACGATCTGGTCGAGACGAGGTCTAATGCCAGCCTTGATATGGATGGAAGCGATATGGAGGAGGAGGATCTCTCGGAAGACGATGAATCCGAGCAGTCGGAACAGGAAGACGAGCTCATCAATGGAATGTCCTTACCGGCTGCCAATGCAGTATCAACAGCTGTTGCAGCTAACCAAACCGAGGAGGGCAAATTGGCCTTTACCTATCCCTGCCCAGACGACCATGAGGCTTTCCTTGCTTTGATCGATGGAGTACCTAGCCAGGATGTGACGACTGTCATCCAGCGCATTCGTGCCTTGCACCACCCCCGTCTTCATCCCGATAACAAGGCCAAGCTGGGTCGGTTTGCCGAGATTCTCATTGAACATGTTTCCTACATGGCGAACCAGCCCGAGGAATTGTCATTTGCCCTCATGGAAAATATTCTTCGTCATGTGCACTCGTTGGCCAAGACCCACCCCATGAACGTGGTTATGGCCTTCCGTGCTCGTCTTCGTGAGATTTCCAACGACCGTCCGTTGAGCTTGCTCCCTGGTGATCTTGCCATCCTCACCGGCATCTCGACTGTCTTCCCTACATCGGATCATTTCCATGCCGTGTCAACGCCCGCTCATCTGTGCATTGCACGATTCTTGGGACAGTGCTCAGTCAACACTCTGTCTGATTTCACAACCGGTGCTTTTGTCACGAGTCTTTTCCTCCAGTACCAAGCAGTCTCGAAGAGATACATGCCTGAGTTCATGAACTACATTCTCAATGCTCTTTGCAACCTCGCTCCCACCGAGCCCGCATCTAAACTGGGATGTTTCCCATCCCGCAAATCCGAGGAATCTGTTCGACTCGCACCATCTCAAAAGGTCACTCCCCGCAAGCTGCAATTCCGTGACATCATTACTTCTCCATCAGACCCTCAGGCTGAGGAAGACTTGAAGATTTCCCTCGTGACTACTTTCGTCTCCCTCCTTGATACCGCGTCGGATCTTTGGGCTGAAAAGTCCGCCTTCACCGAGATCTTTACTCCTGTCGAGGCCATCTTGAACCATCTTAAGGAATCTTTCAAGACCAAGGCCTTCTCCGCAGCTCGGGCCCCGATCCAGTCCACAATGGACAAGCTCGACGCTCACTTGGTGAAAGCCCACCTCACCCGCCGCCCCCTCCTTCTCCACAACCACCGTCCCTTGGCTATCAAATCCGCCATCCCCAAGTTCGAGGAGAACTTCAACCCGGACAAGCACTACGACCCGGATCGCGAGCGTGCCGAGTCCAACCGTCTCAAGGCCGAGTACAAACGCGAGAAGAAGGGCGCCATGCGCGAACTTCGCAAGGATGCCAGCTTCGTTGCTCGCGAGAAGTTGCGCGAGAAGAAGGAGCGCGATTCCGAGTACGAGAAGAAGTACAAGCGTCTTGTTGCGGAGATTCAGAACGAGGAAGGTCGTGCTGCCAACGACTACGAACGCGAGAAGCGGGGACGTCAGGGCAAGCGTTAATAGTCTGCTTGTCTTGTTTCGATACCATTTGGCATACGTTCATATATCTCGTTTCCTTTTTACATATAGTCTTCATTGCCCTTTTCACAGGGCTGGTGCATGGGTGGGGAATCAAAAGTCGACGTCCATTATCAAATCTCCCGCCATAGAGCGTAATTGTAATGTACCAAAGCAAAAAGGCCCTGCATGACCATGCGTCGTCATATCAACGACCTCAAGACAGACTATGCACGAGCTATGATATATACAGTATCAGACGAAACACTATTGTCTCAACTCGACGCCAATGTCAATCAGATAATTACAACGTTCCTGCTGCTTCGCTGGCACCCTCTCCATCCGTGTCTTATTGGTTCGTAAGAAGATGCGCTTATAAGCATCATCTCCCTCGCCCCAGGTGTGCCAAATGGGGCTGGAAGATTCTCGATAGGTGTTCGGATCCAAAGTTCGCACAAAGCTTGTCCAGTAGCCCTGCATTACAGGTACAATGTTGGCATTGCTGGTATAATATGAGTCAGGGGGAGTCGTGCTGACATGGTCCGGTCCCCAGATGGCATTCACTTCAACGGTGTGTGATGTTCCAAAACCCTTGGCTTCATCTTCGGGGTCCAAAACGGCATAGTGGTAGTTCCAGCTTGGAACGCCTGCTGCAGCGTAGATGGAGGACATGTGGATTCCAGGACAAATGTATCGAATTTCGCCATATGCATTACTGGCGGGCCGCCAGTAAGAACCAGCATTGGGAAATTCTCGAGTCTGGTTCTCGTTGAGGTACATTTCGTTGACCTTGTTCATTTGGGCTTTTGTCATACTTGGGAATTGATTTTTGATGAAGGTATCCGCTTGGGCAACACTGGACGTTCCAACTGGGGCGAAGATCGTGCCTTCGTTTGTGTCATCACCAAATATCACTGGGACTTTGACGAATTTCCCCTGCTCGAACAGGGTGTATGTGTAGTCTTGAACTAGATCTCCATCGATCGTCGGGCTGTATAGGTATAAGGGCTTTCCCGGTGCTCCTGGTAATGGCGTGACAATATTCTCGCTCTGTAGGGCGCGGACATCGAGGTCACGGAGACATGCCAGTGTATTTTCACTATCGCTGCACCCCGTGCGAGTAACCAGTCTGTTGTAGGCGAACTGACTCTCGGTCACATTCAGCACTGTTCCGAAGCTTTGTGATTCAGCGGCTGCCCCAATAAATAGTCCATCGTCTCGTCCACCGTATGCCGAGAGTAAAAAGGTGACTGATGCTCCTCCAGCACTGTCACCACCGATAACGACGTGATCTGGATCTCCCCCGAACTAACATGAAATGTATAAGCCTCATTAACGCAAGTGTATATGCCAATGTCTCGTACCTTGCTGATATGTTTCTGCACCCACTCAAGCGCCTTTAGCTGATCCTTCAATCCATTATTCAAGCTTGCACCCTGTGACACTTCTTCAGAAGCAAGAAAACCAAACGGCCCGACGCGGTAGTTGAAGGTCACAACCACAATGTTGTGTCCCGAGGCTTGAATCAAACCAGACCCGTTATAATTAGGGTTTGACAGCGCAGCAAAGCCACCCCCTTGAATAAAAAAGTATACAGGAAGAGACGCCTTCGAAGTGAAGGCCTTGGTAGGGGCATAAACGTCTATGAAGAGACAGTCCTCCGCGGTCCTCGATGGTATAGTTGCATTTCGCCTACCAGCGACTGGAATACATATCGGGCCATGCTAGGGAAAACATGTCAGCCGGGGATTAAAAGAGTCTCGTGTACCAAACAAACCTGCGTAGCCTGTTGAGCTCCTGTGACAGGGGAAGGGTCTTCAGGCTCCTCGAATCGCAAGTCTCCCACTGGCGCGGCAGCATAGCGCATCCCAAGCCACTGAGATATTCCCATTGAATTTGAGCGGCCATGATACTTAGCATAACCCAAGTCCACCACTGGGGACTCCAATGCCAGTGCCAGTGAGAACAATAAGAATAAAGCCAACATGACAGAAAAGACCGTGATGCAGAAAGGAAGAGACAGCCTACATGTTTAAATCCAAATAAACAAAGCCGGTTCCGGATTCAAAGACCGAGAAATCTAGCCAAGGGTTTCTCCCCTAAGGGGGAAAAAGCAAATGGAGATCAACTTCTGATTTCGACCAGATTAATCCCTAGATACCAAACATTGGAAGTTGAGCCAAGTTTCTCCTTGCATATCAAAGAGACAGTATTTTACGTTTGTTGGCTGGCGCAATCTCCACTTTACGGCTTTTTTCCCCGCAACTTAATCTGCTTGGAAAATCTGCACGTTTTACCCAAAGTTCATCCCATTCCCACCATGGCCTCCGATGATGAGGATGACTACATGTCCATGGTAATTGAAGAGCCTACACAGAAAGAATCATTTACCCAACGGAAACGGAGAGAACAACGAGAGGTACCCACATTCCTGGATTTGCGCCCTTTGCATGCGGTCCGCGCGGATCACTAATTTTCCTTCTCATTTAGGCAGAAGCTCGAGGAAGAGTCCCCTCCAAAGCAGAACGAGCTGCACAGGAAGCTATCCGACGCGATGAAGCTCTAGCAAAGAGTACCCTCGACCCATCGAACAAGGGGTTCAAGATGATGGCCAAGCTGGGCTTCAAGGCCGGAGATACCCTGGGAAAACGCGACTCGCATACACCAGATATGAAGCTCGACTCGACAACTCGAGCGATGCAGGCACGCACGGAGCCGCTGAATCTCACTTTGAAGGATGGTCGGGGAGGTATCGGGTTGGATAGTGAGAAGAAACGGAAGATTCGTGAGGAGGCCGAGGAAATGACTAAAAAGATTAAGCGCGAGGAAGGGGATTATCGTGGTCGGGTTCGTGAAGAGCGCGAGTTACGACGTACTGAGGCGCAGGTTCGGGCAGCACAGAAGGTTGCTGAGAGGCTGGATATAGAGGCCGATGAGACTGTCCAAATCCAGGGGGAATCACGTACCGAGGAAGACGCGTCTAGAGAGGACAAGGACGAGACTGAAGATCAGAAACCTAGGCCTAAGCGGGTAAAGCCGACTTCGCAAATCAATGTCCTTTATCGTGGACTGGTCAAGGAATACGAGGATCGTGAGCGGGAGAAGCAGGCTCGACATGCCCTTCAAACTTCTCTTCCATCTTCGTTCTTCGGGAACCCTAAATTGCCAGGCTACGAGGATGAGGACTTGGAGCGGGAGGACAAACAGGCCATTGGGAACCAGCTGGGTCCATATACTGCAGCGTTGGAGCAGGAGCTGGAAGAAGAAGATCCTGAATTGGAGGCCTTCAATGCTCTGGATCCCTCTGAACGCCTTGAGAAGCTGGTTAAACATCTGCGTGACACGTACCGGTATTGTTTTTGGTGCAAATACCGTTACGAATCCGATGAAGAATTAGAAGCTTGTCCTGGGTTGACGGAGGAGGATCATGATTAAACAGCGATAAGTGATGCATCATTTCCTTTGATCTTTTTAGCGACAGCTGTTGAACAGCTCAGACTTTTACTATGTGCAATGATGTTTACTGCTCAAAACAGAACTCATATCGATAGATTCCACCCTGGGTAATCCTAGTATACACAAAAGCCCTTGGTATCATAACAAAAAATAAACAAAACAAAGAACCCCAGATATAGACCGCTCCATATGCCTCGGTCTCAACCTAGCGCACTGCGCTGATCATGCAGAAATATCACAAAAGCAAATACAAGTCACAGAATTATGTTTATAAGAGTCCAACATCAGCCGATCTTCTCCATTAGCTCATCCAACGACCGATTTTTGCATTTCTGCAATGCTTGGTAACATCCTTCGCAGATGCGCAAGCAGCAGAACACACATCGATGTCGGATCTCCTGGTTGACCTTGTGGCATGTCTGGCATGGAAGTGGACACCACACGTTCTGAGCCACGGGCATATTCCGATGCCCCTGAAAGCAGGCAAAGTGGACTTGGCTCAAGGGCGCCGCAGTGGGCTCGACGTCCGGCATGGGGGGTACAGACACCTCTTCGCTGGACAGGTCCTCGAGAGGAGTTCCAGGACCTTCGGGAGTGGGAATGAAGTCTTCAAGGGGGGTCAAGGCCTCGTTGTCGTCACTAGCTGGGGGAGATAACGTCACCGGGGGGGCGTTTTGGGGTGAGGCTTGATGCTGCGGCTTGGATTGCACTGGCTGCTCCGGTCTGACCAGTGCCAATGAAGCGTGCACTTGTGATTGGGGTGAAGCCGCTTGCGGTGTTGCTGGTGGAGATTGTGCTTGCGATTCCGATTGCGATTGCGGTACGGGTACGGTCACCGGCTGAGCATTTCCAATGGGTGCACCATTGGCAACTTTTCGTCGCGGTGGCACTTTGGTCAACATGCGCGGGGGAGGAGGAACTTGATCTTTCGGTGGAGGCGGTAGCTCCTTGGTCGGCGGGGCTTTTTGTGGCGGCAAGGAAGGAACCACCACCACCGGTGAAGGCAATTCTTCCTCGGTTGTTTTCACCTCGGATTTCTTGGAGAATGAGAACTGTGATTTGGCAGCTCCATGTTTCATCGCCGATAGAGATGGAACTCTCAGGCCACGAGGGCGCTTTTCGGAATCGAAAATCGCCATGACAATTCAGATTATAGTTCGAGTCACGATGTCGGGATTATATTATCAGCGCCACAAGAGTTGGCGATCTTTAGGGCCCGACGGGTCTCCGTGCGCAAATGTCAGGGTCCAAAGATTGCGAACTGGAGGTATAGAGAAATGAGAAAGAAATGGATATAAGAGGATAGATGAAAGAAGAAAAACCAAAGATCGAGTCCCTTAATCTTACTTAGGGGGAAAATGCAGGTTTTCGTTCGTTAGATTTGAATCCACTTTTTTTTTCTCGGTTCAATCCATCGAGTTCAAAGTCCGGATCGTTGGATTTTGTATCAAAACCCATGTAATCTTGGAACTAGTTAGTTAAGACTCGTCATCCCCTTTTCATGCCCAATGATTCATTTGCAGTCGATCGCATCCAGCGGGAATGTAGAAACTTGAATCACGATCGCCGGACCCAGCGATTGGATGATATGAGGAATGAGGAGCTTTGATACCCGAGCTGGTGGATATCTTTGCAAAGAACTGGATTTTTGTTTCATCTTCAGCGAATCCGATGCCATGATAAGTAAATGATTTTGACCCATCACAAAGTTGTAATCGATCAGCTATCGAAACATGATCCGGCGCTAAGAACCAATAGATCCAAAAAATTTCCTGTACAATGCATCAGCGCCCCCTGAAACTACCGGAGCCGTCCAGTCGTTTACCCGGCATTCCTTTATGCCACTTTACTGTGATATAATTGGTGATCGGCTCGGTCAAAGCCGCCATCACTGGAATTTCCGTTGTCGTCATATTTACTTTGACTTTACATTTTACTTGACATCAATCCGGGATTATGAAGGTGAATTAACTATCGCCTTCCGCAACGGGCATATATGATCGGCGTTCTCGTGCAGCCTGAGTTAACCGTTAGTCGCTGCCTGCAGCCCAAAACGATTCTTCCGCTTACCTCCAGATATCGCTCAATCCAGGGCTTGGCAAGCGCCCAGGCAAGCAGTCCGCCTGTAGCAAAGATAAAAATAAATACTACCGCTTCATCCTTGCGTGAATCCCGCTCTATACTGATCAGTCTTGTTTGCTTTTCTTCTGTCCATCTGTCACTCACGGAAGCAAGTAGTGAAAACATCCTCCTCCTTCGCCCCTTTGCATGTCGGGAGTTCGTAGTTCAGACAAAATTTGCGATTGCAGTCATTGCAGCTGAGTGCGCGGTATTTTTGTGCTCGTGGGGTGATGTCGTGGTCGCCTTCTGAGTTCGCTTCCACACTTTCGAATGCGCGCTCGTCAAGACTTAGGACATTGTCGATGGAGGGTGATCCAGAGCTGGATTTGGCTGGGTCGAGAGGGATGATGGTGCTATTGGAGAAGCAGGTGCATTTGCAGAAGGAGGTCGGTGCTGGAGGCAGAAGGTTAGCATCTGGCAGGTCAATCTTGAACTGCGCTCTTACTAGAGGCCAAGGTCAGGGAGGTGAGAGATAGGATTGTCAAAAGCAACAATATAAATTGCGACTTTCCAAACATGATGAACGCAGGAGATAGTAACTCCCAAGTCAATTCAATCTCGTGCTTAATGGAGATGACGCGGTTATCTGTTATCAGTATGTCACGTGGGGTCCACTCTAGATCTATGGATTGAATGATCTTCAACACAAACACAAACACAGTAACATACTCGCCGATTGTGGACCTCTTTGGTCTTAGTCCCAATGTTGAAGGTCGACTGGAAGACCCTATTTTGCCTTATATATCATGACTGACAATGTATGGAGATATATTTCCTTTCAGAATATTTCATGGAGCCCTCATTCAGGCTTGCCCAGCCTTCTTGAGGGGTATCCCCTTTTATCGAATGGATTGCACAACTGGATCAGGAAATATGGGTCGTTCAGGACAGATCATCCTAGTAGGTACAGATGGAAGCCGGGCCATCATTCTGATGGATTCATCACCGAGCGAAGAAAACGTCAATCCCCCAAATTCCCACCATCACAGTCCGAACACGGTTTCACTGACCCCTATTTGTTTGTTCCTTGAGTGTATATCGAGGCTTGAGAAGGTATAAACCGACTGTGTCGCGAAGCCAGCTACGGCGTGTGCCCATGATGCCCTCTGCAGACTCGCGCCTGGTAGAGATACTTCATATATTTCTCGTCGTCTCTGTGAATCGGCTTGTTGAGGCCCACAGTGAGGACATTGTTTGCTGCAATATTTTGTTATCCTCATAGATGAGTCTGGTTGTTGAAGATCAATAGTTGTATATGCAAGGGGTCGGCGTGAGTGGTTGAAAGTGATGTAAGTGGTGACAGTAGAACGAGTCGGGGAAGTTGGTGGATGATGGAATGAAGAGAAGAGAAAATTGAGAAACAGCATGGAGAGTCATCTCTCACTTCATGTTGTTCCTTCACTTCCATGTATGCCCATCTTCAGAGCAGTTCATTTTCCCTCGCAAATTAGCTCCACATATTCTGTATCAAATATCCTCACTCTGTGATCGTTGCCTAGGTTCTTTTGGGTTGCCCCTGATACGAATTGAGTTTCAAAGAACACAGACTATCTTTGGCGGGTTGAACAGCACCTAAAGGGCTGCGGGGCTGTTAAGATTGACTCGCACTCTGAATATGGCTACAGTGTAAACTGTTAAGATGCTAAGTCGCAGAATGTTCAGTTCTAGAGCAATTCTCGTAGTTTAGAAAAGGGCCTTGGTATAAAGTATCAATTTAGGGTAGAGCATTTATCATTCTGCTTGATCTCTATACTATTATATCATTGGATGATGAAATTGGTGAATTTTTGTGTTCGTAGTATATGCATGTACCCATCTGACAACATATCGAAGGTCATATCAATTTGCATGACACTCATTTCATACCGGAAAATCCATGCTGGAGAGATGTGAGGAAGGATGAAAGGGAATCTCGAAAACGGTAGGCAGTGCGCTAGTCCTTTTCAGATCCTTTATTATGGCTGACATGGTCAAATTAATGAAAAACACCAAAAAAATGAGACTTGCTCCCTTAAGTTTCTGCCTAGGTTTAACTCTTTAACTAATAAGCTAGTTTACTACAGGTGGATTTTGTCGATCTTTGAGTACAGTAAAATGCAGAGTTAGAGAGGGTGGTGAATACAAATATGTGATTTAGCTGCTCCGTCCTCAAGATCCTTATGGTCTGCTGTAGACTGTAGGTATGACAATACAAATCTTGGAAGGTTGCGCTTAAGGTCAATAGTTCATCCATAAATGTGATGTGATACCTACTAAGGTATGTACCTGCCCATGTGACTCGCATCAATTTCCAGCTGTTTTGGCTTTCTAACCTTCTTTGCTATTGTTCTGTCCTTCTGCATCCCCGTTTTTTACCAAATATAAACCTGAACCTTCCTTGTTTCAACTCCAAGCATATCTTCGCTCGCTACATATATACACTATTGATAAGCAGCAACCCTCTCAACGTCCCCTGCCTTGGAATGAGACAAGGTCAGGGATCATGGGAACTCCCAGTGGGGTGATGCCAATCGGTTCCAAGGCCTGATTTGTGCCTCTACTGTCAACTTCGGATTCCTTCAAGGTCTTGAGGATAAGATCTTCCATTATCACTCTGGATTCGATAAGTTCAAATGGATGTCATATTTTGGGAATCCTGACTAGACGTACCGTCTAAATAGCACAAAACTCTAGTTGATGATGGCGACACAGCTATCAGAATCGCCCATTCTAGACATGAAGGCTACTGACTACGCAGTGGCTTTGGAAGTATGGGTGACCGATATCTTCATTGCTAAGACATGGTTCGAGTGATGTGATCCATGCCCGCTCTTCCATGCTGTGGCGCGCTTCGCTCAAGCCGCGACAAGGTTTAATCAGGATGTGGCGTTGCTGACACCACAGCCACTTCCTTGGTGGAAGCCAAAATCCGATCGTAAGATGCAGGGACCGATTAAAAAGGCCAATCAGCGATACATGCAAAAGAACCCTTGACTGATAGGGGCAGAAATGGCGAGATAATATGAGCAATCGATGCCGCAATCTTGCTCGAAGAATACGACGATGTAACTGCTACTTGAATGTAATCTTCAAGTTTAACGGTGCAAAGAAAATCTGACAAAGAAAGCTGCAAGTATTTTGGTACCCCAGTAATAATTCTGTCGAGTCTCTTTTCTCCGAGCAGATTATGATCAGATAGTCTCCTATCTGATTATGGAAGATTAAAAGAGTGCCAGATTGCGTGATCATTTAGGACACTTGCCCATTCGGTCTCCTGCATGGCCAGCCCTGTTGTAAGTGGTAATATAGTGACCGGGTTTTTAGGCGCGAAAGCATATGGAATCTCACGGACTTAAGTCGGCGTCCGTCGGGATGGCGGAACGGCGTCTAACAACGATATAATCCGACATATTCATTTCTTGTAGAATTTCTACTTGTTCTTTCAGATGTCCCTATTTAATCCGATCTCCTTGCTGACGCGGCCCGGTTAGGAATTGCCGATATCGCCTCTGTCCTCCGAGCAGGGACATTTCAATATTAGATTCGGCAAAGCTGCAGCAATGATCGCCACTAGTAGCTTTACGTCAGCTTCATGATAGATTGCGCGCGAAACTAATCAAATAAAGTGCATCGCTTACGGGGAACTACATAAGATAAGTCTAAGAGATTTGTGGAATACTTTGATCCCCGTCGCTAAGGAACGCCAATCATCCGTCTCTTTCCCCCACCATCCGTTATACAGTAAACACGGCTTGAGTGGGGTTGGACGGTATGATCAAGACCTGTATTTGCCATCCGTCTGCACAGTGTCTTTGCTTTGTTGTCCTCTCGACATTTGAATCATGAAACTTCCGGAACTCCGTTAAGTATATATATACATCTATGATCCATGATGAACGCATGGAAATTGGGATTTGGTCTTGTTGTCTTGAACTGAGACAAGAAATTTACAATCTCACAAACTTGAGCTAAAAATTAACCTAATGTGTTTTCCATTTTAGTCCCATTTAGCACCATTGCCGGTATGAAGGTGTGGCGACCAATCATCACAAGGTATCCTCTTGCGGAATTCATCTCAACTATGCAGGTTGTCAGAGCTCCGTGGTGGCACCGTGGGATAATTGTCCTCGTGGGCATTTGGCTACTGTTGTGGAAAATGGGACGAGAGGAATTGGACATATATTGATGATCTTGCCCGAGAAATGGGCTTGTTTCTCGAAATGTGATATTTCTCCACCCCTTGCAAGGTTATTTTGTGCTCTGCAAATGCCGAAGCACCGTCCTTCGCCAACATGGAGACTGAAACCCCCGTCTTCCATTATGAGGAAAAGAAGTCCGACATCGAGGAGCATGTATTCTCCTCTGATAGGGAAGTCACGGACATTGAGCTGGAGGAGTTGACGGCTTTGGTCAAGGAAACTCTTTCCGAACACGAGATGGACGGCAATTTCCCACAGGAGATGCTGGATGAGGCACGAGAGTTTCTGGCGAAAGATCCAAAGCAAATCACTGCTTTGGAGGCCCAGTCGCCCCTTCAAGATATTCGTAAGCAGCGTGATATCTTGTTGAATGACTCGCCCTATCCCGAAGTCCGTGCTGTCGTCGATCCTACGGATGATCCTACTGTGTCCGCCAACACCTTTCGAGCTTGGTTCACTGGTTTGTTGCTCACCATTGTCTTCACCGGTGTCAACCAGCTGTTTACCCTGCGATACCCGTCTATTTTTCTCTACTCCTATGTGTCGCAGGTCGTAGCCTACCCCATGGGCAAGTTTATGGAGAAGTGGCTGCCAACTCGCCAATACTCTCTATTTGGCTACCGCTTCTCGTTTAACCCAGGTCACTTCAATCAAAAGGAGCACATGTTGATCACCATCATGGCCAATGTTGGATACGGAGGTTACCTGGGCACTGCCTACACTACCAACATCTTCACCGTGCTGAAAGTGAAGAAGTGGTATGATGATACCACGCTGTACAACAAAGCTGGTTTCCAGATTCTTATGACACTCTCGACTCAATTCCTGGGATACGGATGCGCGGGTCTGGTGCGCCGCTTCTTGGTCTTGCCACCTTCCATGATCTTCCCCAAGGCGTTGGCGACCATTGCTCTCAACAAGGCTCTACATAGTGACGACAAGGGGGAGATCGTGCACGGGTGGACCATGTCCCGTTACCGATTTTTCGTGTATACATTCTGTGCCATGTTTTTCTGGTATTGGCTCCCAGGATATCTCTTCCAGGGTCTGTCCTATTTCAACTGGATGACCTGGATTGCTCCGGAAAACACCACCCTAGCGGCCGTTACTGGTAGTATCACAGGACTGGGAATTAACCCGTGGCCCACATTTGATTGGAACATAGCGTCAATCGTCTACGATCCCATCATTACTCCCTACTATGCCTTGGTGACAATTACCCTGGGAACACTCTTCCTCTGTATCTGCGTTACCATCCCAATTTGGTGGACGAATGTCTGGCAGACCGCATACTTCCCGATCATGAGCAATTCTCTATTCGATGATACCGGTGCCACGTATAACGTTTCGAAGATCATGGTGGATGGTGCGTTCAGCGCCGAGGCCTATGAAGCCTACAGCCCTCCTTACATGACTGCCTCATACGCCGTCATGTTCTTCTGCTTCTTTGGAGCGTACATGGCGGGAGTTGTTCACATCATCCTTTACAATCGATCAGAGTTGAGCAAGGGATTCAAGGCTCTACTGCAGTGGAAGAATGCTCGCGAGGACCACGAAGATGTCCACAACCGTCTGATGAAGAAGTACAAGGACGCCCCAGACTGGTGGTATCTCATCATTTTGGCCCTTTGTTTTATCGTCGGCTGTGTCGTAGCCCATGTCTACACTCCAGGATTCCCCATCTGGGGCATGGTCGTCAGCTTACTCCTATGTCTCATCTTGCAAGTCCCCTACGGCATGGTGTATGCCATCACCAACGCCGAAGTGACCAACAATGTCCTTGCCGAGTTGATTGCCGGATACGCTCTCCCCAACCAGCCAATTGCTAACATGATCTTCAAGACCTACGGTGTCGTTTCCTGCGCCCAGGCCATCCAGTTCGTCTGCGATTTGAAGATGGGCCACTACATGAAGATTGCTCCCCGCACCATGTTCAGTGCGCAATGCATTGCCACCGTGGTCGCTGCTTTTGTCAGTATCGGAGTGAACGCCTGGGCGCTGGCGAATATCCCCGATATCTGCGAGACGGGCCAGGCATCCGGATTCAACTGCGAGGGCTATACCACCTTCTTCACTTCCTCGGTCATTTGGGGTGCCATTGGACCTAGGAGACTCTTCGCCGAGGGAACGATGTACAACGCCACCTTGTACGGATTCCTGTGCGGTGCCCTCCTGCCCGTGCCGTTCTACTTGCTTTCCAAATACTACCCCAAGTCTGGTGCGCGATACATCTACTCACCGCTGCTGTTGTATGGAATGATGAACTTTGCTCCTTACAACCTTACCTATGCAGTCGCTCCGCTGCTCGTTGGTACCGTCTTCAACTTCTATATCAAGCGTCATTATCTTGCTTGGTGGGAAAAGTACGCCTACGTGCTTACTTCCTCCTTTGGTGCTGCTTTAGCTATTTCCGCTGTGATTATCTTCTTTGCCGTCGAGTACCACCCCGTTAGTGTTAAATGGTGGGGAAACTCAGTTTCGTATGCTGGTTGTGATGATAGCGGCTGCACATTGCTCGCTGTTCCTGCTGGCGGAGTTCCAACATGAGATAAGCATTGAATGATAATGATAGGAAGAGACATACTTGTAATTACGACCCTATATGAGTGTGTCCATGTCGAATGCCAGTATACTTTCTTTCACTCTTGGATCACATTATCTTTAACTTTCAATAAATACAGAGGGACATCAACTCGAATGAGTATTCGTTCATGACCTTCCCTTCATCCCCTTCTTCCGGTTCTCTCTCTGTCTCTGCTCCTTGGCTGCGTCGCGCCTCCTCTTTTTCCATGCCCGGTTGTTATCACCTCTGTTTTCCCAGAACCATTTCGCAAATTCAGTCTCGTCTTTGTCACCGGATCCTTCTGTTCGGGACTTGGAGACTGGGGTATCAATCGGGCTTTCGTCTTCCTCCATGTCATCATTATTCCACTGCATGTGTCGACTAGCCGCAGCTGTATCCGGAGTGGGAGCTGCACTGCGCATGCCCCGATCCTGTAGATCCCTCTTGGCAAATGGCGTAAAGGGAGTCTGCGGCTCAGCGGCTCTAGACTCTTCCTCTGATTCAATATCATCGCTGTTGCCAAAGAAGCTGAATCCAGCCTCAGCATTTGGTGGGGCCTGATCAGACTCTGCAGGTGCAGAACGTTTGAAGAGAGCCTCCAATGGGTGGACTTCTTTAGGCGCTTCCTCCACATCTTGTGCGGGCTCGCTGGCCAACTCTGGATTTGATTCATCTGCGACAGTTGTGGAAGCATGTTTGACACTTTCTGGCGAAGATTCTTTTTCTTCGGGGGCCGCTTCTGCGGGAACCTCCTCGTCTGCGGAGGACTCGGAGTCAGGGTCATCGGAACTGGCTTCAGTTTCACTCTCCGAATCCGAGCTTTCATCCGAAGACCCGCTTGATGAAGTGTAGTCTTCAGACTCGGAAGATTGAGCCTCTGGTGTTTTGGCTTTCGGGCTTGAAACTGGAATCTTGCGGACCGGTCGCTTCTCTGTCACTCCGGCGACCTTACCTGGCCGATAATCCTTCTTCTGAGTCTTCTCGCTGACAGCTTCCTTCACACTGCCCGTAGTATCTATCCAGCCCTTCTCTTCATCGAATGTAGCTGTCTTTGCGGTGTCATCTCCTGAGGAACGGAGGAAGCTAGGGTAGGTGGTTGCTTTGGCGAATTCGTGCACCACAGACTCTGTAGTTGTGTGCTTCCTCTTGGCCTTTTTGTCGTCGGCAGCCGCATCGGAAGCGCGATTGGGAGGAAGTTTGGTGCGGAATAAACACTCGGACTTCTCGGTGTATTTGGATTTGGCTTGGAGTTTCTCCTTCTTTTCATCCTTGCTCTTTTTCTTTTCGTACTTCCGCTTGTCTTTGGCCGACTTAGGTTCAGTCCAGCCTCTCTTTACTTTGCGATCAGAGGGAAGCTCAAAGCCATCCAGGGTTTGATCTTCTGATTTGCTCTTCTTCGACTTTTTCTTTTCCTTGGGAACTTCAGGTTCGGCGTCTTCTTTCTCCAATGGTCGCTTGGACGGGCGAGCTGTTTCAACTTTGAATTTCTTGCCTTTCAGAATTGATCCATTCAGCTTCTTCTTGATCTTATCAGCATCCATCTTCGAGAGAGTGACGTATCCGTAACTATTCTCAGGAAAGGTAGGAATGCTATGGTAGGAGATATCGGTGGCAGTTGATCGAATTGATGCTGGTAGTACCGCGGGGAGGATATCGGGGGTTAGAGGGCTGATATGGAGTCTGACTTGCTCTGTCGGTTCCGTCATTGCAAGGCACCCAAAATCAGAGGTTTAGCGATTGTGGCTAGTACATGCTGTTGGGCGATCTTGACCTGGTAAACTTTTTTTTTTCCGGTTCGACTTGGAGAGTGACCACCGCCTGCCTCATTTAGAAATTTACCTACAACAAAGAATCCACTTGAGGATCAGTGATCACGAGGTTTCGATCACGGGGGGATAGAATCTCTGGATGATTATGATGTAAGTTGTAGTAATCTGTTCGCTCACCGTATTTACTTTTAGCACTTAGGATGTCTGTAATGAATTTTTATACTTGTACTCTTGTGTGACTTCTAAAATAGACACCTACCTCTACCTAATCTTCTATAGGCAGAACAAGGCTAAGTCAATTTCGATAAAGTTTGAACTATAAGATAATTTGTAGCTAGTTGTGGTTATTACATGTCGTGTATATCTCCGATATAGTCTCGTATAACTTGAAGTTTCGGCTGATGTAATAAACCCCATGATGACGACGGTCGTGTGCCATAGAAGGTCTGGCCCATCTTTGCCTATGTTTTCTGGATTATTGGGCTTTTCCTACACAGCTTCAACTTCAAAATTCTCTTTCACTTGAAATTCCTATTTGAAATTGTGATTTAGTTCATCCGTCCCTTCCGGAAACCTTGGAAGTCCGGACTTGTCCCTTTACGTATCATTAGTTCGATCGGTACCGATCCGTTCCCCAGTCACTCCGCCTTGTCCCCGCTCTATTTCCCACTTCCTTCCCCTGCATCTGCTCTCTCTCCCTAAATGTGTCTTTGGCTTTGGCCGGTCTTTGCTTTTTATTACACTTTATCTCCCTACCTTTCTTCCCCCTAGGGGGCCACTTCGGAGGTATTCCGTCGTGTGTAGAGACACTCCCAACCCCTCCCATTCATCCCTTCCAATATGGGGAACTCCCAAACCAAAGAATCACGGACCGCGGCGCCACGTCGCCGAAGCCAACAATGGTCATCGGATACCCCGGGTCGTGCGTTGTATCAAGGCTCTCGATCTGGTAGGAGCAGTCGGCCAGACCTATCTCTTCTTGGAATTGGTAGTAGTCATCATGATCGCGATATGGCCACCCTCGAGCACCGGCGCGAAACCAAACAGGAGCGGGAGGCACGCCGTTTGGAAAAGGAAAGGGCAGCTCGACTCAAGGAGCGAGAGCGCAGTATGAAAGAGGAACATGTTGATGGAGGATATCTAGTGACACAGGGTGTGTACGTTGGGACAGAGGACTTCAATAAGCCGGTGGTTCGGCAATTGATGGTAGGATCACTCGGAAACTATCCATTTCGGATGAATCTACCTGCTAACACTAGTGTAGATTGAACGTCGACTAGCCCCGTTTTGGAGAGGGCTGAATGACTTCTCTGACTCCTGGGCAGAGCACCAGCTTATGGCCGCGGCCCGGGGTATGGACATCCCCCCACCGGACGAGATTCCACCTGAGCTAGAATACACTCTCCCGAAAGCCACTCCGAAGGCGCCGGTGGATGCAAGCAATATTCAACACCTCACCGTTCCCATTAATTCCCGCTCGCAGTCCTACAACTCAGATGCGTCACAAAGCTCGAACCCCGGTCAATCATTACCCTCGGCAATATCTCCGATCGCATCTGGTACCTCAACTTCGCCACTCTTTCGCGCCCGCGCAAAGACCATGGCAGCCTTGTCAACGTCCTCAAAGTATGGCTCACAGACTGATCTAACCCCGCGGGAGCTGCAACTACCCAAGGACCCGTTTGTCAATGGCCAACCGATTGAGGTCTATTTATACAAAGAAGCAAGCGAATGTCCCATCTGCTTCCTGTACTATCCTCCATACCTGAACCGTACTCGGTGCTGCGACCAGCCCATCTGCTCTGAATGCTTCGTCCAAATTAAACGCCCGGAGCCACACCCACCAGAGCACGGCGAGCCCGAAGCGAATTCCCCTTCGACAGAGGGACCCCGGGCCGAAGAAGCAGAGTCACAGCTTGTATCCGAGCCGTCTGCATGCCCTTTTTGTGTTCAGCCAGAGTTCGGAGTTACTTATGCTATGCCTCCCTTCCGCCGAGGTCTGACTTATGTCGCCGATCCCAGCGGCCGTCCTTCTCCTCACATCGCTTCCCCAGTGTCCTCGACCTCGTCTCTAGTATCCGCAAACCTTGCTCCCATTCCAGGTCGTCGCCGGGCGACCTCCCTATCAACCACTGATCCTTCTGTGGTCACTACCGATAAGGTTCGACCGGACTGGGCCCAGAAGCTGGCCAACGCCAGAGCTCACGCGGCACGTCGGTCCGCTGCTGCGACCGCTCTACACACTGCGGCTTACTTGATTAATCCCAGCTCCAATGATTCTCGCAGCCTTCGAAGGGGTTTGCGGAGGGCCACACATGGAGATGCCGGCCGGACCGGCTCTCCTGCACTCAATGCCCTTGCCTTTCTGTCCGAGCGGCCTGATCGATCAACACGTGCACCCGACACTGACTCCGCCGAGGAAGGCTCAGGAAACATTGCCCCGCCACGGGAAAGCTCAAGGCGAACTCGAGTTGACGATCTCGAGGAAATGATGATGATGGAAGCCATTCGCTTAAGCTTGGCCACCGAAGAGGAACGTCTGCGGAGGGAAGAGAAGGATGCCCGGAAGGACGCCAAGAAGAGAGAGAAGGAGGCGAAGAAGGCTGACAAGGCCGGCCGTAAGTCTGGTCTGCACGGTGATAATGCCAGCAGTACCGCTTTGGATGTACCTGGCGAAGGGTCGCTCGCCCAGGCTAGCAGCACGTCTTCCTCTATTAGCGAAGAAGCCTCAACCAACAAGGGCAAGGCGGTTGATCGCGCCGCTTCAAATCCATCTTCTTTCAACAATGCTAGCCAGACAGAGCAATTCCCGGTGTTGAATGAACACCCCGCAACGGCCGAGCCATCACGCCCATCGCATCTCCGGAATATGTCGAGTGCCTCCTCGTCATTCTCCTCCATTATGGAACAAACCCCGGACGAACGTCCAGCTGGTCATGTTTCCCCAGATGGCAGCAATACCTCTCTTGAGCCCATGTTCAACTTCCGCAGCCTAGCAGCTGTTATTGGAGACGAAGATAAGAGCCGTGAATCTGAGCATTTTGAGAATGCCGCTAAGCCTGATGCTGAGGGCTCGTCAAGTGCTACTCCCTCGGTCCACCAGCCCACGGCCGATCCTGCCAAGCCAGAGTTCAACCCGGTAGTGAGCACTCAGGTAGATCCAGAAAGTGGTAGTGCTCTGCCCAAGGAGGTTGAGACGCGCTCGGTGGAAATTCCAGCTCCTACCGCAAACCCCGAGGCGACTTCATAGCTTACATTCGTTCATTCACCTTTCCCCTCCCCATTCTCCATTTCTTTTTCTTCTCTTCTCTTTTTTGTTTTCCTTTATGATCTGTCGCAGCATGAGATTAGCCGGCGCAGTAGGGGGACTTTATCCAGGACATTTCGCTCCTTCATTTTCATCTTCATCGGTTGACAATCGTGATGGCTGGCTGTCTCCGTTCATTGCATCGGTTTTTTATTTTACTTTTCATAGAAATCCAATCAAGATATATCCCATTCTAAATAGCATATTCCGATAACAAAGTCTGATAAAGAAACGTGCGTAAACGCAGTGTAACGTTACGGGCGGGGCCGTGATGGCTGTGATTGGGTCTAAGAAAATTAAGAAATCAGATCAACGGCCGCTAACGATAGTGGACCTAAGTGGATATTGACTTGTATTATACTCCGTACTTGGGCATTTTAGAGTATTATTGATAACAATCGGATCTTTTTCCCTGTCCCCGTCCCTGTTCCTGTCTCCGTCCCTGTTCCTGTCTCCGTCCCTGTTCCTGTCCCTGTCCCTGTATCTTTGTACTTTTTGCCACCGCAAACTTTTTCTCTCGACCCATAGATATTGACTCGGCCGCAAAGCGGGCATCTAGACAATAAATGATGAACGAGAAATACTCTGGAGGAAGGCAATTTGATGAGATCAATGGTCTGAAATTATTTGTGAAATATATCTTGTTCAATGATGAATCGGATCTCGCCCCTTCATTCCCTTCCTTTTTCAGATTATCAGTTTGCGGCCGCTCCCGGGAGTACCATCGGGAGTCAAATGGCAAATTCTTATTTTTTTTCTCCCCCAAGTATCTTTTTCCCCTCCTCAAAACTTCCCATCGAATACATTGCACCAGGCTACGATCAAAAACGTCTCGCAACCCTTTTAATCCTGCTTTCATCTCTATCCTTCCTTCGAGACAGAATTCAAAGGTCTTGTGCTCTACAGCCGAGACCAGAAAGATTCGGCTTGCAGTGAGAGATAGCCGTAAGGTCTTCAACAGTTCCAAAAAACAATGGTATTAACAAATCAGGCAAGATCACACACTTCGCTCGACTACGGTTTCCCTACTGTACAACTTTTTCTGCTGGGTATCTCTCTCTCCTTCTAAGGTTGCTATGAATGAGATCGACTGACCCCCATTATTAGCGATATGTCGTGTGGCCGAGCCAATTGCCTTGACTTCCATTCTGCCATACTCATGGGCAATGGTCAAGGATTTTCACGTGGTCAATAGCGGTGATTCCTCATTCTATGCCGGAATTCTGATCTCCGCCTTTTCCCTGGCGGAGGCCCTCACAGGCATGTTTTGGGGGAGTCTTGCAGATCGACTTGGGCGAAAGCCCATTCTTCTCTCTGGTTGCTGTGGTACCATGCTCTCTCTACTTGTGGTGGGGTTCGCTCCAAACTTCTGGGTCGCTTTGGCAGGCCGCGCTCTTGGTGGAGCGCTCAATGGGAACATTGGAGTCATTCAAACCATGGTGGGAGAATTGGTTAAACGACCTGAACATGAACGTAAGATTGTTGATGGATGTTCTTTATACATCAGACTGCTAATGATCCTTATTATAGCCCGTGCCTACGCTATCATGCCTTTCGTCTGGTCCATTGGCACTATCATTGGGCCTGGTAAGTCACCACCCATTCACAGGACAATAACATGAAATGCAGGAAGCTAATTGATAACAGCCATTGGAGGCTTGCTTGCAAGACCTGCGGACGGTTTTCCTAACCTTTTCCCTCGGGATGGTCTTTTTGGGCGGTTTCCATATTTGCTGCCCAATCTCGTCTGTTCCTTTCTTCTTCTTCTGAGCATCATTGGTAGCTGGCTGTTTCTCCAGGAGACTCATCCTGATATGCAATCTGATTGCGATCGTTACTTTCAGCACACGTCAGTCGACCAGCCTCTTCTAGCGACTTCAGGAACAACCGCCAATGCGACGGTTGACCTTCGAGCCGATTCATACGGCACATTTGACCAGGTTAGCTTATACGAAGACAAGAACTGGGAGCTGCAGGCAGATGGAACTGCAACTACCTGGAAACAATCAACTGAGCCAAAAGCATTCACATGGCGTGTGACTATGCTGATCCTTGCTCTCGCTATCTTCACTTATCACTCGATGACCTACGACCATTTGCTGCCCATATTCCTTCAAGACGACCGCACTCGGAATCCATCCGCCACATTATCCGTTCCGTTCAATATTCCCGGGGGGGTTGGGCTTTCAACTCAGACTGTCGGTGTGATCATGTCGACTGATGGCATCATTGCACTCGTGATTCAAAGTATGATTTTCCCTGCATTCGCTCATTGGCTTGGGGTGTGGCGACTCTTCGTTGTGGTGACGATCCTTCATCCCATCTCATATTTCATGGTCCCATTTTTAGTATTCCTGCCGCAGAGTCTTGTCTTTTTCGGCATCTATGCTTGTATGATTGTCCGCAATCTTCTCTCCATCATTGCCTTCCCCGTGCTCCTGATTCTCATTAAGCAAGCCAGTCCATCGGACGCGGTTATGGGCAAAATCAATGGCCTTGCCGCCTCTGCTGGAGCCGCCTCACGCACAATGGCTGCTCCCATTGCGGGATTGCTGTATGGAGCTGGTTCAGAAATCGGTTGTACTGCCGTGGCTTGGTGGGGAAGCACCTTTGTCGCGCTGCTGGGGGCTTTCCAGATTTGGCTCATTCAACAGAAAAAGCTCTCACTGGCGAGCGACAAATCAGCTATGCCGTGTCACCTTTCTCCAGTTTCTGATCGATGCCCCAATGAAACTGCTCATATCGTTGTGACTGACGCACACAGTAATGATGCTCCGCAATCTTTACTTACCTCATCATTGAGAGAGTGAGGACATGAGAACTTTCAATTGGATTTGTGGGGGCTTCTACAGTGAAGGCGCCTTTCTCTTATTTTTTTACTCACTCGATACATATACGAGATCTATGCTGCTTTATTTCCGTGCGCTTCATTTCGTTTCTTTTTTTTTTTGCTCTCTTTATCGATGAAATTAGCGATGAACGTTTGGACGACTTGCATGTGCGGGCGGAGTTTGGCATCGGTTTTTTATGCATGGTTTAGCGTAAATTTGTGTAAATTTGCTTGCTTTCCGTCGGAATAGAATATTGCTACAACATCCTTTATAATACATCTACTTCAGCTTTTTCTACTTCAATTTTATTAAATTCAGTTAGTACCTGCATGTATAATAATATCTCGGCAGAAAGTCAAGTCAGTGGGGACTTGACTGGAAATTCGAATTCATTGTTGGTAGCGATTCTGGGCGGTGAACGATAATGCGTGTCAAACTAGTCCAATTACGGATTAGCTCTGTTTACACAGCAACCGCCACGATCAACTCAAAACACTCGCAACATTGAACTTCCACCACACATTCGAGGGCCCTTGCGATTGTTCATACATCACCTTTATTTGCTATCAATATGGCAAATCCTCTTTCCCCTCTCAGGTCCTCTTTTCAGAACGCGCGAGCGCTTTCTCCCAAGCTCGGCTCGTCGCCGTTCCTCACCAAAACAATCGAAGAACAAGCCGACTCAGGACTTCGCGTTCCGTCAAGTCCGTTAAAAAAAGCATGGACAGCTCCTGAATCATCAAGACCCGATATTGGCTACACGAATGAAAACTACATACCTAACGACAATGACGACTTTCAAGATACCGATAGCTCGCCATTCCGTGATGATGCGCGAGAAGACACAGTTGATTTCCACAAAATGCAAGAGTTCCAACAGCGAACACCCTCACAATCACGACATCGCTTTGGGATGGCGCCAGTAGAAGACCCTATGAGTTCTCCTTTCCGACCGGACGGAAAAGATGAAACAGTGGATTTTCAAAGACTGCGTGAGATACAACCAATGTCGCCCGGCCTGAGTAAGCGTCTTGCGATCGATAACCCGGCTAGCTCTCCATTCCGTCCGCAAGGGAAGGATGAGACTGTGGATTTTGATCGTTTGTGTGAGCTGCGGGCCGAGTCACCTGGTTTCGATCAAGAGTCTCTGGACCCCGACAGCTCTCCACTACGCCCCGACCCCAGAGAACAAACCATCGAACTTGATGACCTCCAAGAGTACGAATCCAAACGTGATTCTATTGGTGAATCCGAGTCACTTCCTCCGGTGGCTCACAGTTCACCTTTCCGACCCGATGCCGGAGATGACACGATCGATATGCAAAAACTGCGCCCAAAAGCCCGCATATCGCTGGGCATGGAGATCAGTCCGTCTAATGCTGCCACGCCCCGAAAGCGTTCATTTGATCAGACCCCGTATGATCACGATGATGACAAACATACTAATGAGCGGGCGAAAAAGGGCATGCTTAACAGAGCTGACGGTCCTGATATTCACGTCGACATTGACGAGGAGTCCAGCATTATTCATGACCAAAGTTTGCTTTCAACTATTAGTGTCACTCAAGACCCGTCTACAATCGGAAATAGTATGATTGAAGACAAGCAAAATGAGGGCATGAGTACAGTTCTCCACGATGGTGACGAAATGGCAGATAAGGAAAATACAGACCACTCTGCGGGAGATAATGCTATGCCGAGTGACGATGATTGCGATGCCATGGATGATACTGGCCTGAGTAATTTCTCCGTGCTACCAGACATGACCTCCTTTGCGAAGCTTCGTGCCGATTCGCCTTTGAAGTCCATGCGTGGCAGTTTTGGGCCCAGCCCAGGCCCTAGTACAGACATCTCCCGTCGCAGTGTCGACCCAGCAACTCCAGGCACTGGGCGCAGATCGCACAAGGCCGGTGCCCTGCTCGATATCGATTCACCGATGGGATCGCCTACTCCTAGGCGACGAGTTTCTCGAGATGTTGGCAACCCCAACAATACTCCCAGCTTGCTCGAATTTTCCGATCAAATGAACTTCTACCCCCGTCACTCAATGCAACAAAATTCCCAGTACTCACCACGCCGGTCTCCTATGAGAAATGTGCGGCAATCCATGCGTTCGCCATCGAAATTATCTCTCCTGGATTTCGATATTCCGCCCGCACCAACACCACGCTCCATCCCCACTGTCACGCCCCGCGAGTTGGAGTCGCTGAAATCCGGCTTCATGTCAGAAATTTCCTCGCTCAAGGCCACTCTCAGTGGCAAAGAGGCGGAAGTCGCCTGTTTGAAGACAGCAGTCGGGGATGCAGAGAGACGAGTTGGAGAAGCCTTGGAAGAAATTCGCAATGAAGCTGCTCGGAGAGAGACATTGGAAATTGAGCAGGCTGAATGGGATCGTCGAGGCAAGGACATGGAACGAGTCCTGCAATCCGTCCGCGATGAGTTGGAAGAGGGCGAACGTGAGCGAGATCGGCTCACCCGAAGGGCTGAAGAGGCAGAGAAGAGGAAGGAACAGCTCGAAGGCAGAGTTGTAGAGCTTGAGAGTCAGTTATCAACCGCGCGTTCTTCCACATCAGAATCTACAACCGCTCCGGGATCGCGACGGGCCTCACAATCGGCCGAGGACACTGCACGGGAAGTGCAAGATGCCGTTGAGAAGGTCGCTCGTGAGCTTCACACCCTCTACAAGGGCAAGCACGAGACTAAGGTTGCGGCGTTGAAGAAGAGCTATGAGGCTCGCTGGGAGAAGCGTCTTCGGGAGTCAGACAACAAGCTTACCGCCGCTCGCGAGGAAAATGAACGGCTCAAGGCTGAGCGTGACGCTGCCGACTCCGAATCCATAGCAGCTGCTAACGTCAGTATGATCGCCCGTGAAAACGATGAGCACGAAGCCCAAAAGCGTGTCTTTGAGGCTCAAATCCAGGGTCTGCAACAGGAGATGGCGGTATTGAAGGAAGACAGCGAAAGATTGCGATCCGAGCTCAAAACTGAGCGTGCTGAAAAGGGAGAGCTTGTTGCCGCTGTAGATGAGTGGTTGAACATCCAGCAAACCCAGCCCGCTCCAGCTCAGCAATCTGAACGGGCAGCTTCTGTTTCATCTGCTGGTGTCCCCGAAGAGGATTACCAATCGGCTAGTGAAGCTCCTGTCGAGAACTTTCGTCGGAGTGTGAGCCGCTCTGGATCTAGCGGTATCCGCCCTCCCTCCACGACTGAGAAGAAAAGCCGGTTCGGAGCCCCAGCTAGTCATTCTCGTGGTAACAGCGGAGGCAAATCCGGCATTGCTGTGTTCACTCCTGGTAGAGGTGGAATCATGAGCTCCATTGAGCGGATGGGACGTGGAGGTGCTTAGATAGGATCTGAGCTTGGTGTTATTTTGGGTCAAATGGGTTCGGTTCGGTTTTCGGGCACTTGGGATTCCTCTTTTCTCCTTTCTATGTTTGTCTTGATTCCCCTTACGTTTTGTATGACATTCTATGCTTGAACGTGCTATGAAACCCCAATTTGAGTTCTGCATTACTTGATATTGCATTCGAGCGTCGATGACCTGAGAAGGTAATATTGTACATTATTGTGTAGCTTTTCCTGGTCACTGAACAGGTGCGAATACTTATTAAGTGTCCTCCGCAAGCATTTTTTGCACTTCATCTGCAATGTTGTATTCTAGCACATCCTTGGCCGGGTTTGCCGAAGAAAAAAGACCTGAGCACTCTGTGAGTCACGAGTACAAAGTCTAGCCATCGACAACCACTTACCAACCAACCACAAAATCAGATACATCATAAATTCTTCCACGAAGTTCTTCTGTTGCTTTTTCTGCTGACGCTGTTGAGCCTCGTCCAGAAGAGTCTTGACGCGCGGATACCGTATAATTGTATGTTTCTTTGCAGCAAGCTGTATAGCATCCTTCTCGCTGAGCTCTGCAGATGGAGGATCTCGAACTTCCTCATACCCATATACCCGCTTGAGGTAATGACCCAGGATCATTGGGAATGATTCTGAATCTTCCAACGCCTGTGCCGAGCCCTGCCCCGAGGTTGGTGGCAATGCATGGGCTGCATCACCTAGTAGCACGATGCCATCCCGATCCCAGATCGGCAACTCTGGCGTCGTCCACGTCGGGTACATGGTCTCTACATTGACTGATCGAATGATTTCCTGAATGACAGGGTCACTCCAATTCGCATGTCGTTGCCGCAGATCTTCTGTGATGGCCATACGATCCACAATTTTAGGATCCGGGCACTCTTTCATCCCATATGTTGACCACCAGGTGACCGTATTGCCAGGTGATGAAATGTGGTCCGCTGAGGCCCGGTGCTCATCTGCCTGGGAGCTGGATGAGTAGACATATCCGAACATACCGGATCCACCGTGTGTGATTGTCATTGTGCCATTTGGAATGTTACGTCGGAGACTCTCTGTCACAGAGGTGAAGCCACCTACTCCGACAAGACCTCTAGATCACTGTCAAGTCTTCGTTTTGATACCCCGAGATATAGACAACTTACTCGTATTTCGGAGGATATGGATCATCTTGTGAGTCCTCAACATCAAAAAGAGCCCGTTTCACGGTCGACTTGAGACCATCAGCGCCTATCACCAAATCGGCCTCCACAGGCTCACTTCCATCTATGAAAGTCACCATATGTTTTCCTGTAGAACTCCCATGTGGGATCACGTTCGCAATCTTCTTGTTCACGATCACATCATCTGGGATCCGATCTCGCAGACATTGCCAGATGGAATGGCGACTCATGGCCACCGAGTTCATCACGTGTCCATCTACCTGCGCTGTTGCCTGCACCTTCATTAATGTCCATCCATAGGCATTTTTGAGGTGGAACTCCGAGTAGGGATATCCACCGCGTACGACGTCCCGTAGTAGGGATTCATCCAGTCGTCGCAGGACGTTCAGGCCATTGGGTCCGAGACCTAGTCCGCCGCCCACAACTAGAGTTGCGGATCGGGTGATTCCTTCACCAGTGACGGAGGTTGGTCTTTCACGGAAGGTTGTGTCCCGGGCTGTATCATATGCCTCATAGATGGTGTAGGCATGTCGCTTTCCAGTTCCCGGTGGTGGGGGAAGATGCTTCTGGAGAGAGAGGTAGGTTGAGCAGCCACTGATACCAGCACCGACAATGATGATTTTCATCTTGAGATACTCTGGGGTTTCATGGCTCAATAAGGGAGTGACCTTAGATCTTCATGTCATAATATAGGGTACCTAAAATACGTAGATGTTCGTTATGGTTCAGGTCAGCTGACTCTGCTTAGTTAGCAAATTGAGGATATACAGAAGCAGTGACGCTAACTCAGTGTATTCTTGTACAGAGGTGATGATCATGTGGACTATCCTTAGATCCAATCATAACTCAAGTTAATCAAAGTGGGCAAATCTGAGTCAAAGGGGGCAAAGTGGCAAAGTCAACCCTTCCCCACCCCCGGAGTTGAGTTTCGCGGGGTGCCGATTTGCCTTTCAGTTCCCAATGCGGTCCGATTCCCCTCGTCCGGACAACACAGACAGGTGCCGAGATAATGCGAGATAATTACAACCAATGACTCCTGAAATTATCAGTATCATTATCACATGCAGATTGGAGGGGCAATGCACTATGACGCCAATGGGTCTTTCATGTCAAAAACTGCCCCTCATCCAGCCTAAACCGTCCTCGTCCTTAGCGCGGGGTGTCAGTACCAGATTTCTCTGACAATTTAGACCTTTTCCTTGTCGTGTCGGCTTGTCTCCGACATTCAAAAAACGTGGGGCAACTCCAGACATTCAAGCCACATCGACCGTTTGAGCTCGGACATTTCACCTTGAATGCCAAGGCCTGAAGCATCCGGGGTTGAGAGCGAACGGCGTGATGCCCGAATAGATGCTTCTCCGCAATCCCGGTCTTATCTTTGAAGGTTGCAGCTGCATGACATCTTAATGTAAGTGTCCGCTATCTTGACCCCGCTGACACAAGTCTTGTTTCTTTGAAACGCAGACGTGGGCACTAAGATATTTGAAGGTACGTTGAAGCACTCCAGGCTCGATCGGGGGTAGCGTTGACTTACAGCTCTCGGGCTAGGCCTGCGATGCTCTCGCTAACTATATCATGTATATCTGTCTACTCCGCATTGATCCATGGACAAGTGGACCGGACGGCCAGGAATTCCTGCCCGGCCCCGGAATTCCCATGTCGGCAAGAATTAACAGGATCGAGCGCACGGAACAGGATTCGGGAACCTGACCTAACTTGACCTTTGCCAGGTTTATGATTGGAGTCCCACATAGGATCCGCTTTTGACCTCGTGAGAGCCAGAATTCTCTGATCCCCCGTGATTCTTCTCCCCCACATTGAACCAGGATGAGACTGAGTACCTTTTTATTTCCTCTTTTCTTTTTTTTTTTTCTTTCTTTCCATAGGGTCCTTGGCTCCTTTCCAAACTCAGTAGATAGTGGATCACCACTTGTAAACCAGATCCATGCATTGTTGCGTATCCTCCGATTATCGGTAGTATTATGCACGGACAGGCCCGTTGAGCAATCAAATTGCAGGGTATAAATTCAGAGTCTGCGCTACAGTAAATAGTGATTCACGGCCATGGAGCGGGATTTTTTGCAATCTCGTATGAACACAGGACTGGACCGGACGGCATGTTAAACTTTTGCATTCCAGAATATACATCCGGTTATCGGCATTGGAGAGTGTGGGGTTTTGAAACCTTGGTAATGTATCTGGGGTGAGATTGAAATTGATTGGTCGTTCAATTACTGCTCTTCTTACATATACGGACATGCTATGTATGCAGACATGGACTATATATGTATTCAGCATTAGAGTGATGGAGGGACTTGCTTATAATTACTATCTATATAGAACTTTACACTCAATATCTTGAACATGAAGCAGCTGAAACCTATGAATTCAACCTCAACCCAGAATGGTTAGCGTGCGACAAGCCTCCACATTAAGTCCCACTTATTCTCCGCCCATCGGAGACTAGAGACGGCTCCCCTTTTGAATTTCTGTTTCTTTTTCCCGTTGAATCCACCCCTTGGCTGGCCTGAGTACTCTATCTCCTGAAGGGAAGTCCGTCCAGACCCCCCCAGGTTCCGCTCCACGACATACTAGCGGCTGTGATCTACCCCTGATGACCCATGGGACCCATGGGTTGGGGAGAAAAGCTAAACGGTTGGGTATTCCCTCGGCGTTACTCGGAACTTATGCTTTATATGGAGTGTACTCGTTTATATACATTTTAGTAAATATTTAAAATGCTAATCTATTGGAAATCTATGAAGATCTAGTCGGATTGCTTGGCAGAGGGGGCTATACAATATCCAATACAATACGGATATATGGAAATGACTTTTTTTCTAGACTGTTTTATGACACACAAACCCTCCGTCTCCACTCTGTGGATGGGGTCAATTCCTGGAGCCGGTTTTTTTCTCACTTTTCTCTTTTCCGCAGGATTTTCCTATTTTCTCCCTTGTTTTTTCCCCCTATATAATTTGCCATTTTCAATTGACATTGTTACTTCAAATCCCATTGAACCTTTCCGCATTTACTTAGTATACACTTGGATTCTTACTGTCGGAACACGCGGCATCTTTTGACCCGGTGGTCCCGTGACCGGGCCGAGCGTCAATAACGCTAAGCCCAAAGTAGTTAACATGACGACATTCCTATTTAGCGCTTTGAGTGATTTTGGCTTTTGGCTTTGGATTTGTACCACGAGCCAGGTAGAAAGTGGAAATGCCTCTCGTGTGGGGAATTCCTGCCATTCCCGGCCTAGCGAATGATGAATACGCTATTTGGTAATTTTACATACTGTTGGGTTCGTCCAGACTATGGGGTTTTTTATCCATATACTTAAGGCAATCCACTCTCCCCCGGTCCCCCCCAGCGCGCCTCCCCCAGTTCTACTCCAAAAATTTATCAAAAATAAAATCTCCACTCCCCCAACATTCGTTGACTCGAATGTACCCCGTACGCCCCCGGTCAATATGAATACAACCGCCATGACCGAATCCGAGTCAGGAAAACGAAAGGCCTCCACCGCCGGTTTAGCCGCTCATAGCCGTCCTGTCAAACGCCGAGCTTCGAAAGCATGTTGCTGCTGTCGCGCCCGCAAGGTCCGCTGTGATGTGGTAGAGAATGGTTCCCCGTGCACCAATTGTCGATTAGATCAGGTCGAATGCGTTGTCACAGAAAGCAAACGGAGAAAGTTCGTCAACACTATGAACAAGAGAGACAAGTACTTGTTCCATGTCCTTTTGCTAACGGAGATTCGGTACTACAGAAAGTCTCGGGTGGAGGTAGATCATGCTGCCCACTCTGAATCCCCAGAAGCCTCTGAGGAGAATTTGCTGCATGGTTTTCAGGGTTTGTCTGAAATGGCACCCACTTCACCCTCTCAGGCGTCCGTGGATCTAGATCACGGACAACATATGCCACATTTGCTATGTGCGTACTCGCTCCAACGGAGATAGAACGTGTCAATCTTCAATTTGGGATTGTCCAGCTAACCTGCAACCGTAGATCAAACACAGGCCCAACGCATTGGTTCCGACGATCAAAGCCGCCGTCACATGGCCCCCAATCCTGCCGTGCCCGCGTCAATGCCTCTGGGAAACGCCACGTTGCAGATCCAGCAGCTACTTGATCCCTCTTTTGGAAGCCATCGATCCGCGAACGCCTACCTACCAGACTACATTCGAGGCTTGCCTGCACGGTTCCAAAAGGAGGATATTGATTATCTCGCTGCAAAGGGAGCTTTAACAATTCCAGACGCAAATTTACGAAATGAGCTTATGAAGGCCTACATTCACTATGTGCATTCATATATGCCTTTGTTGGATCTGGAGGAATTTCTCCAGACCATTGTTCAAAACGACGGAATCCACCGCATCAGTCTGCTACTATTCCAGGCCGTCATGTTCGCCGGTATGGCGTTCGTTGACATGAAGCACCTGCAAGCCGCTGGTTACCAGACCCGAAAAGTGGCACGTAAAATTTTCTTTCAGCGAGCCCGCCTCTTGTACGACTTCGACTACGAGGTGGATCGCATCTCCCTGGTTCAGTCTCTGCTACTCATGACCTATTGGTATGAGACTCCAGATGACCAGAAAGACACCTGGCACTGGATGGGTGTCAGCTTGTCTCTGGCACACACCATCGGCCTCCACCGAGACCCAGGTAACTCGCGCATGGATCTTCGCCGCCAGAGAATGTGGAAACGCATCTGGTGGAGTACATACACTCGTGATAGATTGATTGCCCTCGGCATGCGACGGCCGATGCGCGTCAAGGATGACGATTGTGACGTACCGATGTTGACCATGGACGACTTCGAATTCCATGCCTTTTCACCTGAAATTGTGAAAATGGTTGGAGACTCGGAAATTCTGCAGAATGTCAGCCATCAGCGAGAGCTGGCGCTGATGTTCATCGAAAAGGCCAGACTTTGCCTTTGCGTGAGCCATGTCCTTTCCGCACAGTACTCGGTGCTCAGTCACAAATTCGGTGGCACCATGGAGACCACCATGATGCTGGTTCCGAAGAAGTCTACCGCGGAGTCATTTGAAGTGCGTCGATGTGATCAGGAGTTGGAAGACTGGCTGGCCAATCTCCCAGTGGAGACACAATATACGCCCTCGGGAGTATCGAAGCTTCCGGAGGCCCGTGAAGTACTTCATTCACACCGAGCCCTGTTGAAGATGGTTTATCTCACTACATCCAGTGCTCTTCATCGCCCACAGGTCCTTCCCGCAGTCCCGTACCCGTCGATGGATTCCGAACTACAGGAAATGTCTCGCCAGAAAGTTCGGTCCGCCGCCGTGGAAATCACCAGCATCGCCCAGGATCTTCATGTCCTGGACTTGACTCGATACTACCCGACGACTGGAGTGACGGTGCTCCTACCAGCCGTCATCATCCATCTACTTGATATCAAGTCGAGCGACGCAAGCGTGCGGATGACAAGTCTCCAGCGCTTCTACCAGTGCATGCGCATCTTACAGCGTCTGCGGGAGATTTACGCGTCTGCCGACTTTGCGACCTCATTCCTAGAAGCCGCCATCCGCAAGGCCGGCATTCAGCTGACAGTCGCACCCCAAGAAGTGCAATCCAAACGATCTCGCAAGACCTCAACCAGCGATCCATTTGATTCGCTATCTCGTAACAACACCCTGACCCCTCCTCCGGACTCCCTGGCCCAGAAAATCCCGGACCTCACCTACCCGCAGGCCCCCGCAGGCGGGCGGACCACTGGAAACCTCTTTGCCTCGACCCCACCCCAGTCTGACGGCAGCGAAAACGGCAGCACCAATAACCTCAACCTGGCCCACACCCACGACGCTTTCGCAATTCCCGAACTTAACTCCGAGCTGAGCCTCACCGAATTGATGGACCTGGCCAATGACGCCGAGGTGACCCAGAACGACTTCGACGCGCTCATCAACTTTGATGATGCTGGCAACGAATTCTTTACGGATGAACAACAGCCCGGCGCCGAAGACAAGGGCTACGATTTTGGCGTCGATATGAACATGGGCTTTGGCACTGAACCGAAGCCGATTGACTTTGCCAATCTGACAAATCTCCACGGCGATCACGACCATTCAGCCGAGGTTCATTCACGGCCCGGTTTGACGGCGGATTTGGACACAGACCTTGGAATTGGTCTGGATGAATAAACATGTGCAATGTTTTGCCTTTATGATTTTTTTGGTGGATTTTTACTAGCGGAATTATTTAATTACTGTCTTACTACAAGCCTTGCACATTGGATCCGACAGGTGGTGTTCATATCTGGCGCATATCCCGGGATTGATTTGGTTTGGGTTTCTCTATGATGATGATGACGACGTCCTTTTGTACTTTTGATATAGAGGGATTCCAAAAAGTATGACCAATATGACGACTTCCATTCCATCAATGCACTGTAAATATCTAGTTAATATCCTGTAAAACACCTGGGCATCGGGTGGATCGATGCCGATAAGCACTATCGGGATCACATGCTGCCCGGGTGGATCTCGCAGTGATCGACGTCTTATTATTCTAGTCGATTCTCAATTTAAACGGTTCCGGGGATTCGGTGAGATCGACAGGGGTCAGTTTTATGCGGGAATTAATGGTTCGATGTCCAGATGCGGCTAACATCCCCGTGAGCCGAGGTAACTTTTCTACATGAGTACAACACCGGATTTCGGGATTCAAATCGTCCCGTTTGAAGACTGATGTCTGTTAAGGTTTGTTGTATAGTTATGTAATACGTGTCTATCAGTGCTTTCTCTTCAGTTCGGCAGCCCTCGAAGCAGTCGGTAAGGCAACCGACGACTCGGTGTGCGTCGCAGTAGCAGGACCACTCGACCCAAAGCGAGAAGTCAACTTCTTCTGCCCAGTAGGCAACTCCCAACCATTCAAGGTACGGTTGAAGAGCTGCAATGCCGCAATAGGCTGATAGAAGGGCACCTCGTGACCCGCCTCATATACTCGAGTAAAAGAAAAGTTTCCGTACTCGCGTGTCTTTCCGTACTCAACACCATCTACCAAGAAAGGCGCATACCCAGCGGCTTGGAATTCTTTACTATGCTTGTACTTGGTGGCAAGGGAGATGGCTTGTCCTCCAAACCAGTTGCAGATGTAATCAGCGTCGCCGTAGATGAGAGCTACGCGCACGGGGCGCGTGAGGATGTCTTCCAGGTCCTCGATGAAATTTGGCCAGATGAAATCGCCGGTCTGCTGAAAGGCAAAGTAGACTTCGTCGTTGGATTCGGTGTAGTTTAGGTCGACGCCTAGGGCGTTCATGACGGAGTCTTTGGCGAGGTATTGTTCGTAATAGCTGGGCGGGGTGGGATCATTGCTTGGGTGACGGATGTCATAAGTACCACGGCCGCTGAAGGAGTAGTATGGGCCCTCTGTAGAAAGTTAGGTATCGTCAGTGAAGTATAAGAGGCTATGATACGTACCGACATTGTCACGGCACATGTTGGTTGCCTCTGTGCACAATGAGTAATCTGATAGGGAGGTGCGGTTAGTGGCCTTGCATGTGGCAACCTGGTCCTGGCAACCGTTGGGCATCTCGTTGGCGAATTTCATGTACTCGTAGACAGTCTTGTTGACCTGGGAATCACGTTGGCATATGGTCATAGTTTGGAAAAAACAAAAACTTTACTGCTTCAATGCCATAGGTGTTGTGCACGGCGAATTCGGGGTAATAAGGGGCCTGGATTGCTTCGTCGATGATTCCATTAATAATACCAAGGGTGTTGAACTCGAGTTGAACGCCTTTGACAGAGCCATTGGCAATCTTTTGATTCTGTTCATAGAAGTGGTCGAAGAACTGCTCATGTTAGATCAATTGAGGGGAAATCTTCAGGTCTAAACCTACTGCCGGGCCATAGTGTCTAAAGAGCATTAGTATTGATAAAACAAGTAAGAAGGCCAAACTACCTACCCGCCATAGCTTTCAGTCCAAAGGTTAAATTCCTTTGATTTGATCTTCGAGTCTAGCTTGGGCAGCGCCCCAAGGAATCCCTGCAGAACTTCCCAGGTAGCCTCAGCAGCGAGGTAGGTGGTGTCTGTGATCATTAGTCCATTTGCCTAGACTTTCTACCAATGCCACTCACCGATCATGGTAGCATTGATCACTGGATAACGGCCTTGGACTCCCGCAAAACCGGCAGGTTCGAACGACCCTGTAATCGGGTTGAGGGAGCCAGCTTCTTCTTCGGAATATGAGAAACCTTTGACGGGTTAGTGTTTATTGACAACATCACTTTAAAAAGGTTAGCAAGGATCCTACCAGTGCCAAGCGGCTGGGAAATGAACAACATGTTGGAAACCTCATTCCACGAATGCGGGTTCAGATACGTATCATAGGTCTCGTTGACGTGACAAGGTCCCAATTCTGGTTTGGCAATCAGCGAAATATTATTTGTTATCTGTCCTGAGCTTTTACCTTCGAATAGCCCAATCAGGGAGTCACTACCGGGGCCACCATTGAGCCACAGGGTAACCGGGGCTGTCTCTGGCTTGTGCCGGGCCTCGAAGAACCAGAAGAAAGTGTGCTTATCAGGCGCAAGATCAACATATCCTGCGTATGAGTTCACACCAGGGGTAGTCTCACAAACACCTTCCTTCCCAGGCTCCTTGTAGCGAATGGTGACATTGTTGGCAGTTTTGATGGTCTTGACACCGGTAGGCTCCTTGGGCAGCTGGCGACGTGCGAATTCCGTGCCCAATGGCACAGAATGAGCCGCCGCGAGGGGCCACAACAGCGGAATCCAGGTATTAATGCGCATTATATATCAAGCTTGTGTTGTATATTGGAAGCCGCCCCTTCTATCGTCTTGATCAAGGGAAATAACAGCGGGTCCATTGTACCTTAAATATCCGCCCCGGAGCTCCGGGTTGAGAAGATAGATCGACGATTGTGAAAGGAGCAGGCAGCAAGATGATAAAGTGGGTCGCGACGCCGGCGATACAAAGGTCGTGATCAGAGCAATCGACAGTCATTTGCCATTTCGAGAAGCCAAGGCGGACAGCCAAAAGCCAGTGATAGGCATTGATAGGTGATCAACAGCATAGTGGGGCCATCTCCGATTCCACTCCGCATGAGCTCCGGTAAAGGGTAGTATTGCTAATGCAATCAGCATAGGATATCTTGGCGGGGGCTTCCAATGAGCGATTCGGGACGGGATGCCAGAGCCAGGGTCATGGTGAGGGGAAGGATCGGCATCTATTTTACTCTCTTGAGTTGTTACAAGATCATACATATCACCTTGGAACATAAGTAAACTCCCATTAGATTATCCTGTTTCTGTTTCATACATATATACATGTACCTACAACCCACATGATAATATGATAATTTGGTGGAAAGTTATGTTTTGACGCAAGGGGTAACAATTTCATACATCGAAATTGAACAGATAACATTGTCCATAATGTGCATCGACCAAGCATTTTTTTCTTCTTATCAAAGGATAGTTTGTCCTAAGGGAATAACTACTTCACCAGGTTTAAAAAATACGGGACACCATGAGAGAAATATAGTAGCGTTTATATATACTGTATATGCCTCAGTAGTGATACATATACGTATATAAGAGGGGTAAGGGTCCGGTCACCAACAATTCTTTGAGTCATTGGCACCCCGGCGAACTGGACTACTCCATATAGACTGTGACAGAATAATAAGTGATTTGACCCTCGTGCTATGTATAGGTTCAGTAATACATATATAGAAAATCCGACTATTCCGTACGCGGTAGAACGGACACGCGGTAGAAAGGACCGCGAAGCTTGTTTTGTCTTAGCTGCATATCAGGAACTTATACTATACGTTACTAGTTTTCCGCATTGAATTTTTCATATCAGTATACAGTTGTACTTCAGGGTTCAATCACACTACAGTCCACACTTGACCGTCATTTATGAGTATCAAGACCTCAGAAATAGATGAAGTCTCCTGGGAAGGCCGTACAATGATGTTCAGGTCAAAGGGAACAGATACAAGGGAAGACAGAATCAGGTCGAAAAATGATGAAATTCAATCCTCGATGGGAGAAGGCGTAGCGTAATCCAGGAAGGGATATCGATGAGTCATTGAGAAACCCACAAAAAGCAGGAAGAAAAGAAAATAAAACACGCCTCGTAAATGCAACTGAGTCATGGCATCCATTGCGAATGCAAGAATGGCCGTCAAAGTGGTGTTACACGCCGTGGGATCAGAGCCCTTGACATCTATAGCTTTAAGACTTCCCGGGGGTATCCTCATGAGACTCGGGCTTCTCATAGTCATCCATCTGAATGGTGGTATCTCCCAGAACGTCGGCAGTGGTTTCGTCCGAAAAGCGTAAGTCATCCTCAATGGCCGTGCTATCCTTCACCTTGAAGAAGATGATAGGCGAAGCAATCAACATACTGCCGACAAGCAGACCCCAGCAAGAGGCGAACTCGGCCATGAAAGGAGTCTTTTGGGCATCCAGTCTAAATTTGCTATTAGAAACTTGATTCAACATAATGGAAGGCATACATACCGCCACATTCCAGCTGCACCGGCAGACTGGATCCCCTTGTAGAAGCCAGCGAAGTTGGCCAATTTGCGACTGTTGTTGGAAAGAGAGCCCATGTACCTGAATATCGAGATTAATAAAAAGCTTCTCATGTAGAAACATGCCGAGAGCTTACCAATAGGTGCAGGTCTGGAATGCCGCATCATAGAAGCCGTAGAACATGTACAAGAACATGGGTCCAACATAGCCGCTATCCATGAAATCCATGTCGGCCTTGACGGTCTCTCGGGTGTATTGTTTCTGGAAGGCATAACCACCGCCCCAGATGCCCATGGTGATAGCGAGAAGGATTCCAAAATTGACCTTGGCGCGGGTCGGGCGAGAAAGAAATTTCATATCCAGAAGCTGGCCAAAAACAAAGGCACCGACCATCTGCATCAGCCAGTACAGGAGACTGTTTAGAGCCCGAGTGCGAACGGTGAAGTAGGCGAGATTGACCGAATTGAATTGGTAGCCGTAGAACCAATTACTAGCAAAAAACATGGGGAACATGAGAACGATGTAAAAGTCGGTGCGTAAAGTCTCCCAAAGACCCAGGAACTCGGACTTCCACGTGGGGTTCTTGATCACAATGATACGTGAACCGTCCTTGCGCTTGATATACTTGGAGTCGGCGATGGTCCAGCAAAGGGCAAATCCCACTGCCATCAACACCAGGAAAGCGATGTAGGTGCCGTTGTTCACACTGCCGGCGGTACTATGCATGTTCTGGCCCAGCGGGATTAGACTGCCAATGACTCCACCCAGGTTGAAAATCACCCAGAAGATGGCAATGTACTTGCCCTTCTCATGTTCATGAGGATAACTCATCATCACGGCACCTTGGGCACACCACAGCAGACCGGCACAAACACCGAGTAGGGCACCGGCAAAAATGAGAAAGCCCGCATTCTGGTTGATGTTATAAGAGAGAAGTGCGGCAACATAGAGAAAATAGCCGAATCCGCCGAGAGACAGGGTCAGACGCAGACCAATGCGATTGGCAATGGAACCGGCAAAGAAGCCAACAACGGCGAAGGTACTGTATAGGGCGGTGTTGGAATTGTTCACATCGGTCGCATTGACTTGACCACCACCTCCTAAGCCGCTCACCGCGTTGTACATGCCAGGGCATAGAAAACAGACAAAGGAGACGAGAATCAATTGCGTTTCGGGCGACGCGAACCAGGGAGCCTCCCAATTGCCAATTTTCATCATGGGCTTATACATCCACGGTTTCCCCACCACCGCATGGTCCATTGCAGTTTCCGGGTCTTGCATATTCATTTGTTCCATCTGTTTCTCCGGGGTCACAGATTCTGAAGCATGTTGCCGCTCAGGCTCAGGCTCGGAGGAAGCCATTATAGATTCACAGAAGTGGAAGAGATCAAAGTCGGAAGAATGGAAAATCTGGGAAGGAATGCTACGTCCACGTGAAAGGGCAGGAATGTGCAGGAGAAAAGTTGATTAAAGAGATTCGGTAAGAAAGGAAAATTATTTTTCTTTTGGGTCAAAGTATAGCGCTAGCTTATCAATGTTTCACAGATAAGTTAGAATGATACGTTGGGGTAATGATAAAGTGGATGTTAAACAATTTTCCACAATTCTGGTGAAGTTTTGGGTGGGTAAATTGCGGGGATAAAAAGATGGAGACTCTGGAGAGAAGTTTTTGGTGAAATCATCGGCGCCGATTTAACCTACAAAATGTGACTCTGCATTCGGTTCTATTACTTGGCATGCAACACCAACTTTGGTGACTAAAGCGGGTCCATACTTAACATCGATGCATTGGGGTTTGACTAACATACTACTATGATCCACTTGATAAGACCCTTGATTTTAAAAGGCTTTGATCATCTTCAATTCATCATTGATCAATGGATCTGGTTAAATGAAGTCATCAAGTTTCCCCAAATATCTGAGGATCATCAAAAGCACGGCTCTTCCCGGATCTAGGAATCCTGCATGATCTATATTGTCTACCTTCCGAGAACATAATAAACTTTGTTCGGAATGGATACGAAGTCATCCAAATTTGTGTCTCAGTCAACTTGGTCTTGGGTCTTTAGTAATGCCAAGATTGTATGTAGGAACTTTGAGGAGCTTAAAAGAACTTGAATCTGATAGCAAGGCAATCAAAGACAACATATAGTCATTTCAGTTCAAAAATCTTAGGAGCTTATTACGGAGTAGTTGATCGACATGAGGAATGAACTGTATTCGGCGTATGACCTGTTTGCATCTGTTTTGACACCAGAAGGCGGTGTATGTATTTTTGATCAAACAAGAAGGCGGTCTGCTCACGTTTGGTCCATTACCTAAGCCTACCATTTGCGGCCCCACGATAACCAGAACTACGACGCTATGAGGTTACAGTCCTCTTTGCCCCGGATTTCTGTATTTTGAACTTATTAATCTTTCTATCACCGAATGCTACTTGCTGGTCGATGGAACCCCTTCATGCCAGCTTGACATCAGGATCCACATTTGCCAATCATCTATAATCATTCTCAGTACTATTGTTGGCCACCACATGGGACAACATGGACATCCAAAGATGGGGAAATGTTGGGTTCAGAATGGGGCTACTTGTTCTGGTTACATGAAATCCATGGTAGAGCAATCAGAGAACAATAAGAACGAATCAGAGAATAGGGAGGACGAAGGTGCTTGTCAAAATCCGGTCTCACCCACATGGCGCATGCGACGATAACATTCTCCGATGATCTTATGGTGTAGTAGAGGGGCGAGTTACGATTGTGTACAAGGAAGCCCCCAACGTAACCAGACTTTTTTTTTTCTCTATCTATTCCATTACTTCTTCTCTTCTTTCTTCACTTCCATTTTCCATCTCTTGATCTTCCGTCGTCCCAACTCTTACCTCTTTCACCCGCAGCCTCTGACGTAACCACCATGTATGTGTCGGTTCATTATTGAGGCCCATCATCGCTAACTTGAGATCCTTTTCTGATAGGCGTGTGATCATCAGAGAAGATCCCCAAACGGCTTCGGTGTATATCGCTGAATACATCGTCAGTAAGTGAACCTCCAGGGTGAAATGGCTCAAGTCAAACTGACAGGTTTCAGGCCGCATCAAAGCATTCAACCCCACCGAGAACCAGCCCTTTGTTCTGGGGTTGCCAACAGGTAGCAGTCCCGAGATAATTTACAAGATTCTGGTCCAGCGTCACCGTGCTGGAGAGATCTCCTTCAAGAATGTCGTGACCTTCAATATGGTAAGTCAATCACCCAAGGTAGTTCTCGGCGCATTCTGCTAAACCCCCATTGCGCAGGATGAATACGTAGGTCTTCCTCGCGACCACCCCGAGTCCTACCATAGCTTCATGTATAAGCACTTCTTCTCCCACGTCGACATCCCTCCCCAAAACATCAACATCCTCGATGGAAATGCGCCAGACCCTGTCGCGGAGTGCGCCTCATTTGATGCACGTATTGCGCGCTACGGTGGCATCGAGCTTTTCCTCGGCGGTGTTGGACCCGACGGTCATATCGCCTTCAACGAGCCTGGCTCCTCCCTGAGCAGCCGCACCCGTGTTAAGACCCTAGCCTATGACACCATCTTGGCCAACTCGCGCTTCTTTGACAACGACGTGACAAAGGTGCCACGCATGGCCATGACCGTTGGAATTCAGACCATCATGGATGCGCGGGAGGTGGTCATTGTCGCCACTGGTGCCCACAAGGCGTTTGCGGTACAAAAGGGTCTGGAGGATGGCGTGAATCACATGTGGACTCTCTCTGCGCTCCAGCTGCACCCCCACCCGCTTATTGTTTGTGACCGTGACGCCACTTTGGAGCTCAAGGTCAAGACGGTCCGCTACTTTGAGTCCATTGAACAGGCTGGCACCGATGCTCGTACCCAGGGTCCTGCGCTGGTCTATCGCCCTCGCACCTACGTTCCTGCCCCCGTGCCCGTCAAGAAACCCTCCACGCTACCGAGTCGGGATATCACTCCGCAAAAGGTGCCTAAGGATCTGCGCATCAATACCGAACTTGGTCGATCCTTGGAGGATGATGAGCTGACCCCGGACAGCATGTCTTCACGTATGGTTGACTCGGCTATTGCCGGACTGGATGGGACCCTGAAGAATGACCTGATTTTTGATCGAATGGGAGGCAGAATGACTGCAATTTAAATTTCAAAACCTTGGTTTTGGGTTCTATCCTCCCTGTGATGTGCGCTGGGTCTGGACCTGGAGAATGGTGTTTGGTGTTTGGGTCTGATGCATGCCATAGCTGCTTGTATGCATGTTTTTCTCTTTTTTTCGGCTGAGGAGTTATCTTTCCTTTCTTACTTGTTTTTGATACATTTGAAACTGATAGATAAGATATGGTGGATATGCTCTTGAATATTCATGCAATAAACGATTTAACATTTAGCGAATACACATTTTATCTAAGATTGTGAATACACCGTAGTGCTGCTACGCCCAGCCTCGAATAAAATTGGAGGACTGCCTCGGTCAATAAGTTTAACGTTGATGGTCGCACAACATAGAGCGGGAGAATGGAGAAGAAGAAATGGTATATGACATTTACGATTTTCCTAAATACACATTACATCTGAGACTCATGCATGGTGTTTAGAACATTATAGCTTGGCAAAAACAGTCGCAACAGCCCCACTCATATCAACCAGAGTGCTCTTGTTCTGCAACCAAGCCTCGATGCCCCGACGACCATTTTCCACGCCCAGGCCACTCTTCTTCCAGCCGCCCACAGCCATCTCTGCCGGGCTTTCACCCCAGGTATTAATCCAGGTGATACCAGCCTGCAGCTGGTCAATGACCCGGTGGGCCTGGTTCAGATCCTTGGTAAAGACACCCGCTGCGAGCCCATACTCGGTGGTGTTGGCGCGCTTCACGGCCTCCTCAACGGAATCATAGAATAATAGAGTCATGACAGGCCCGAAGATCTCTTCCTTGACAATACGCATAGAGTCGGTGCAGTCGGTGAAGATGGTGGGCTTGACCCAGTAGCCAGCCTGCAGGTCTTGGGGCACGACAGGCTTCTCAGGACCACCACAGAGCAGAGTGGCCCGGTCCGTTTCTATACCGTGGCGAATGTACGAGATCACTTTCTCGTAGTGCACAGCGGAGCTCAGAGGACCGTAGTTGGTCTGCTCGTCAAAGAGGGGGCCAGCCCGCACAAAAGGGATCTTCTCCAACAGACGCTTTTCAAAGGCGGCCTTCATGGACCGTGGAATGAATACCCGAGTGCCGTTGGTACAGACCTGACCGGTGCTGTAAAAGTTGGCCATCATGGCTCCATCGACAGCGTTCTCCAAGTCCGCATCGGGGCAGACAATTAGAGGACTCTTGCCACCCAGTTCCATGGTGACATACTTCATATTGCCTGAAGCCGAGCCTGCTACTTTCATACCGGTCGACACCTGTCCGGTGAACGACACCTTGGCAATGGTAGGGTGGCTGGTCAGGTAAGCACCAACGTCGCCAGCGCCGTTGATCACGTTGAAGACACCAGCAGGCAAACCCGCCTCAGTATAAATCTCGGCGAGAGTCTGACCGTGGAGAGGGGTGAATTCACTAGGCTTGTATACCATTGTGTTACCTGCCGCAAGACAAGCAGCGGACTTCCACAGGGCACTTCAAACACAGGTATTAGTATTTTTGGCTCTCCAAGTTGCACAGTTTCCCCTTCATCATAACCACTTACATCTGAATTGGGTAGTTCCAAGCACCAATGCCGGCGCAGACACCCAACGGAGCCTTCTTAGTGTAAACCCACGCATCCTCTCGCAACTGTGTGGTCTCACCATTCAGACCACCACCACCAATGAAATTGGCATAGTATTCAAGTACATCTGCGCCAGTGACCACATCGACAGTGCTTGTCTCGGTGTATGCCTTTCCAGAATCCAAGGTTTCTACGCGGGCGATCTCATCATTGCGCTCCCGAAGAAGGGTAGCGGCCTTTTGGAGAATACGAGCCCGAGCAATAGGAGGAGATTGCGACCAAGCGGGGAATGCACGGTCTGCAGAGTTAATAGCGGAGTCAATGTCAGAAGGAGAGGCCACCTGAATGTCGGCCAGAGGGGTTGCTGTGGCAGGGTTGATAGTCTGGAAAGTTTTTCCGGACGAGGCGACCTGCGCCTGACCGTTGTAGTAAAGTTGACGAGTAGGGAATGGGAGGGCCATGTTTTTTTGGGATATGTACTATTAGAGAAATCAATTAAGGAAAGAAGATGTTGTCCATGACCCAAATTAACGGGATTTCATTTTCATACATGCCTCACCGCCCTAGCGGGTCCCAACGTAAAGGGCGTTTTGTGTGGCTGCGGGAAAGTCGGACTAAAAATGGTATTTCTATAGCGGATCACAAGTGACGTAGTATAATATCAGAAATCATTTAGTTAGATTTTTACCAACTGAAAGATTGTGAAAGATTGTGAAGCATTATGAGAGATAGTCAATTGTCTAGATCATGTATAGTATCTTACAGTCCTTTCTGTAAAGAGTAAAGTAGTCCTGTTGCTAATCTTAATTAATTCTTTGATTCTTTAATAAATCCCGTAATCGGTATAGTGGATCCCCCCTTCTTATCGAGATTTCTCCACTGTAATCTCTTATCCAACCAATAAAGTCCATCAATAATCAGCCCCAAGACCCAATTCGGCAAGTCGATTGAGATTTAGTATCGGTGTGGACTCCGGGGACTCGTTGAACTCGTTGAAACTACCCATCTCTTTCCAAGGTTCCAAGTCTTCTATCTTTTCCAAGGTTTTTTTTCTTATATAATAGGTCAGATAGAGCGCCACTATTCTCTCTCTCAGCCTTTCTCTTACTCTTCATCTTTATTCAAACATGGCCACCACCAACGAGTTCCCTGCCCAGGATGTCAACAGCTACGACTACATTGTCGTTGGCGGTGGTACCGCTGGTTGTGTGATTGCTGCTCGTCTGGCCGAATACTTGCCCAACAAGCGTGTTCTAGTGATCGAAGGTGGTCCAAGTGACTTCTCCGATGACCGAGTCCTAAACCTCAAGGAGTGGCTGAACCTCCTTGGCGGCGAGCTGGACTACGACTACCCGACTACTGAACAACCCAATGGTATGTCCATTTGAGTAGTACACTTCCCTTGCGCGACAATCCTCTTGTAGCCTCCTAGCCCATGGATATCTCTCTTGGATTGGTCGATTGATTTAGATTTATAAAATACTTACTCTTTTTCCCCTCCCAAAAGGCAACAGCTTCATTCGTCACTCCCGTGCCAAGGTGCTGGGTGGCTGCTCAAGCCACAACACCCTTATCTCATTCCGCCCATTTGAGTATGATTGCCGCAACTGGGTGGCCAAGGGCTGCCAGGGCTGGGACTTTGAGACCTTCACTCGCCTGATCGATGGCCTCCGTAACACCTTCCAGCCTGTCCACGGCCGCCACCGCAACCAGCTGTGCAAGGACTGGATCCAGGCCTGCTCCTCCGCCATGAACATTCCCATCATTCCCAACTTCAATGCCGACATCCGCAAGAACGGTGAACTCACCGAGGGTGCAGGCTTCTTCAACGTCTCCTACAATCCCGATGATGGCCGCCGGAGCAGTGCCAGTGTGGCCTACATCCACCCCATTCTGCGCGGTGATGAGAAGCGTCCTAACTTGACTATCCTCACCAACGCCTGGGTGTCCAAGGTCAATGTTGAGGGTGACTCCGTGACCGGTGTCAACGTCACCCTGCAGTCTGGTGCGAAGCTCACTCTTCGCGCTCGCAAGGAGACCGTCCTCTGCGCGGGTGCTGTGGACACTCCTCGTCTGATGCTACTCTCTGGTCTGGGTCCCCACGAGCAGCTTTCCGCCCTGGGCATTCCCGTCGTCAAGGATATCCCCGGTGTCGGTGAGAACCTTGTTGATCACCCCGAGAGTATCATTATGTGGGAGCTGAACCAGCCCGTGGATCACAACATGACCACCATGGATTCCGACGCCGGTATTTTCCTGCGCCGAGAGGCCCCCGATGCTGCCGGTTTCGACGGCCGTGCCGCCGATCTCATGATGCATTGCTACCAGATTCCCTTTACTTTGAACACTACTCGTCTTGGCTACGACGAGCCCATCAATGCCTTCTGCATGACCCCTAATATCCCTCGTCCCCGCTCCCGTGGTCGTCTGTACCTCACCTCCGCCGACCCGTCCGTCAAGCCTGCTCTGGACTTCCGTTACTTCACCGACCCAGAGGGCTACGACGCCGCCACCATCGTCGCGGGCTTCAAGGCTGCCCGTAAGATTGCCGAGGAGTCACCCTTCAAGGAGTGGATCAAGCGTGAGGTCGCCCCTGGCCCCAAAATCCAGTCCGACGAGGATCTGTCCGAGTACGGTCGTCGTGTCGCCCACACTGTGTACCACCCCGCTGGTACCACCAAGATGGGTGACCTCGTCCGCGATCCTATGGCCGTCGTCGACCCCAAGCTCAAGGTCCGCGGCCTCAAGAACGTTCGTATTGCTGATGCCGGTGTTTTCCCGGATATGCCTAGCATCAACCCCATGCTGACCGTGCTGGCCATCGGTGAGCGTGCGGCTGAGATGATTGCTGAGGAGGCTGGCTGGTCCCACTCCCAGCCCCGCCTGTAAATGATGTCAAAAACGGATATGTTTGAGCCAGGCTCGACATGTCGGAGTTCAAGTTCTTCGTCTTTTGGATTTTTAATATATTTTGTCTAGCATATAAGCGCGCGGCGCAAAGCTCAGTCTGCACTGGTGGATGATACGTACTTGCATATATCAGCCACGTCACTATCTTGGACAGAGGCTGGCGATCAATGAATACAATGAAATTTCTTCAACATGCAATAACAAATCGCAAATAACGGAATGGAAGAATCTTATAACATTTTTTTTTCTCTTTGATTTGATTTGTGGTATCTTGGAAATAGAATCTATGATGCGCTGCAAGGTGCTTCTCTATGCTTGAAGAATGCAATAAATGCCCGAACTCCTAAAGCACCGCTACTGGAAATAATGAATTCCAAGAGAAACAGAGCGCCAAACCCGAAATTTGCTGAAAATAAAATACCATAGCGGCCTAGTTGAGGGCCTTAAACCATCGCCTTGTCAGTGTCATGAATCTTCACACCAAATTTCCATACTTGGTCGACTGTCAGAATGGAGCCAGAGAAGGGATCTTCCTTTTCACCCAGAACAACCAAGTCAGCATCTGCCCCGCTTTCCAGGGACCCCTTCACCCCTTCCACACCGAGCAAGCGTGCGGGAGTGGCGGTAACGGCGTTTATAGCGTCCGCAGTGGAGGCGCCCGACCAACGACGGAAATTGTTCACACACTCGATCAGGGTTGCCGAACTGCCAGCAATTTTATCCGATCCCTCCAGAGTCAAACGAGCACCAGTCTTAACAATGCGTTCGCCATTGGTCCACTCGTAAACGCCATCAGGCAGTCCACACAGGCGCATGGCATCGGTTACAAGGACCAACCCATCTGGGTGGGCATTGTAGGCGATCTTAATGGAGGTTGGGTGCAGGTGGATGCCATCAGCGATCACGCCGTAGTAAGGGCGACGACGCTCGCTTCGGCCAAGTAGACCGAAGACACCCGGGTTGCGGTGGTAGAAGGGGCGCATGGCGTTAAATAAATGCGTGATCATGCTGGCGCCCTGGTGTGTAGCGGAAACCGCCTGTTCGTAGGTGGCATCCGAGTGACCGATGGAGTAGATGATGTTGCGCTTCGTGATTTCGGGGATCTGGGCCATCATGTTTCCGACCTCCGGGGCGGCTGTGATCATCTTGATATGGCATGCGCTGCTCATGTTCTCGGCACCATAGCAGTAGATAAGGTCCTCGAAGTTCTGAGCTGCACGCAGAACCTCTGTTTTGTGGATGCCGTTACGGCCAGGACTGATGAAAGGGCCTTCAACGTGCGCTCCGAGCGATTCGGCACCATCTTGCGCAAGGTGAGTGGCAGCAGAGGGGCCAAGGGAGGGGAGGACCTGTTCGAAAAACATTAGTTTTGTAGGCCTATATTCATTGGAGCAATTCACGTACCTTCCAGTAGACTTCAGGCAGCGAGCTGACGATTGTCGGCAGGTAAGAGGTAACCCCATCGCGAGCCAGACCCTGGTTCACCATACGCAGGCCTTCATCATATTCCTCCTTAGTTTCGCAGGGTACGGAGAAATCAAAACCATGCGCGCCGTTTAACTGCACATCAATCAGACCAGGAGCCAAGATACGGCCGCCGAGGTCGATGATCTCATCTGGAGAGAGGTGCAGCTCATAAAAGGCTTCTTGGTCCTTGAGAATCTTTCCCGACAGGGAATCGATCCAAAGGTCCTGCTCAACCAAAGTTGAACCGCGCACAAGGCGACAGTTGATGAACTTGGTGATGCGAGGCGTGGCGGTAGTCTTGCCAGGCATGTTGGCTGGGATTTGATAATCTTTATTTCCTTAGGATGAAAAAGCTAACATACAAGAAAAATCAAAACAGAGGGAAATAGTCAGAGAAGTATTGTATTGAAAAGGGCTGCGCAATGATGTAACCGTTGTGAGTATGGACAATTGTATTCTGCAGGTGACATTAAAGGTTGGTTGAAAACGGGTATAGATGTAACCCTTGGACTAATCAGAGTGATTGGAGTGTAGCGTGACATTGAAGGTGGAGGCGCTTATATGTACAGTATTGTCATATTAGTACCAAACTTCCGATAAAGAAAGTTACTACGTGTATCTTACGGACTAAAACCAAATAATACAGCCTGTATTATCATAATAAAGATGAAAACGACTATCTTTTTTTCTGCCAGTTGTATGTATATTTCACTACATTGTGCCATTACCACTTGGTTCTTCCAATTCCGTACTAACTATGCGCATAAGTAGAAGATGACTAAAGTATTATTTACTTATCTTAGGTAAGAAAGTCTGGGGATAACTATGCCGTGTGGGGTTATCTTCATGACGCATTAGCTATCTTATCTCTCATCTTTGTGCGAATTGCCGACTCCCGATTGCGGCTCTGGGGCCGTGTTGGCTATTCCCCAAGTCTGACTCCCTCTTTTCCGTCACCTGACTGCGACCTCGGAGTTCCCCAAACTCATCCCAAATCTCTCTCCAATCCAAAAAGAGAAACAAAACCTTAGAGCGTGAATCCTGTTCCTGCTTGCAGCCCCTTTTTATTCGGATCTTCTTTAGTCCCTAGCATTCCTCATTCTCCCCCCAGGGCCATGGCCCCGAAAGAGGACATGCTGCCCCCGGGCTGGGAGGATCTAGACAGGTATGTTGATCTCCTGTTCCGGATGCTTCCCAACCCTGCGCCCTGCCCACCCTCCATCTCCACGCGTTGTGGAACCCCAACGTTCCCCACCCCATCTCCGGACCATTTAAACTATTTCCTCTTCGTTAAATTTGGGGAAAGGGAGTGATGAGGGGTCGTTTGAAGAAAAAGAAGTACATCATGCTGACATATGTGGCAGGCAGATGGGCCAGCTCTTTATGATGGGCTTCGATGGTACCTCAGTCAGCCCAGAGATTCGCTCGCTCATCGAGGATTATCACCTAGGATCCATTCTCCTGTCCGCTAAGAATCTTAAATGTAATCTTTAGAATCCTTCTCTTCTGTGATACGTTACTGATTTTCTCAAATAGCCGCCGAGGAAGCAACTCAGCTGGTCCTTAAGCTGCAAACCATTGCGCGTAATGCTGGTCATCCCGTGCCATTGTTGATCGCCTTGGATCAAGAAAATGGCGGGGTAAACAGCCTTTATGATGAAATATATGTGCGTCAATTCCCAAGCGCCATGGGCATGGCTGCGACAGGATCAAAAGCATTGGCCCACGAGGTCGCAGTGGCTACCGCCCAGGAGCTCAAAGCTGTTGGCGTCAATTGGATCTTAGGCCCGGTCTTGGATGTCTTGACCAACGTGCGGAATCAACCACTCGGCGTGCGTACCAGCGGAGATGATCCCCAAGAGGCCTCTCAGTATGGAGTCCAGTTTATGAAGGGGTATCAAGAAGCAGGGCTGGCCACCTGCGGCAAGCACTTTCCTTCTTATGGTAACCTGGAGTTTCTGGGCTCCCATGCAGACGTTCCAATAATCACAGAATCCTTGGAGCAACTCAGCTTGAGTGCGCTGGTGCCCTTTCGCAATGCCATCATGCAGGGTCTTGATGCTATGATGGTGGGCGGGGTGTCCTTGTCATCGGCGGGAATGAATGTCATGCACGCTTGCCTAAGCGATCAAGTGGTGGATGAACTCTTGCGGAAAGATCTCAAGTTCAAAGGGGTTGTTGTATCAGAATGTCTAGAGATGGAGGCTCTGACTCATAACATCGGCGTCGGAGGTGGCACGGTGATGGCCAAAAATGCCGGTTGCGACGTCATCCTGCTATGCCGGTCTTTCCCAGTGCAGCAAGAAGCAATTAACGGATTGAAATTGGGCGTGGAAAATGGCATTATTGGCCGTACTCGGATTAGGCAGTCATTAAATCGCGTGCTGGATCTGAAATCACGCTGCACTTCATGGGAACAGGCGCTAAATCCTCCCGGTCTCCTCTCCCTCACGCAGATGCAACCCTCTCATACCAACCTCTCAACAAGGGCCTATAACAACTCGATCACGGTCATGCGCGACAAAAAGAACTTGGTCCCTCTTTCCAACGTTATCGATGCTAAAGAAGAGCTTTTGCTCCTGACGCCTCTAGTGAGGCCACTTGCAGCATCGGCGGTGACCCTGTCAACAAATGAATCCATGCATGGGTCTCTTGACCCGGCGGCAGCATTGGATCGAACTGCCTCGGTGGTAAGTGGAGAAAGTGTCTTTAAAGAGCTGGGAAGATCCCTTTCTCGGCAAAGGAATGGCCGGGTGCTGCATACCTCCTATACGGCCCATGGTGTACGTCCGATTCACGAAGATCTCATTAAACGAGCTAGCGCCGTGATTGTCGTTACGGCGGATGCCAATCGCAATCTATATCAACAAGCCTTCTCGAAGCACATCTCATTGCTCTGTCAGTCCCAGTACTCTCTGACCGGCGAACGCCTGGAAAAGCCATTGGTGGTGGTCGCTGTCAGTTCACCATACGATTTCGTCACGGATTCTTCCATAGGGACTTACATATGCACATATGATTTTACCGAGACTGCGTTGCAAACTTTGGTAAAGGTTCTTTATGGCGAACTGACACCAACCGGACGTCTACCAGGCTCGATCAGCCGGAGCCAGAAAATTCACCAGTCCCGTCAGCATTGGCTGGTAGAGAATTGGAATGAGGATCGAGATGCCCTTGCCCTCGATGTGCTGTTAGACACCGTCCGGGAGGATTGTGTACAGGGCCAGCAGTCAGAGCTTTCCGGTGCCACGTCCAATAGCTTCCTTCTCCGGAAAGCGGACGTTGATGAAGCCCACTTTGTGGTTCGCAATAGCAGCACACAAGCATTGTATGGATTCTGTGCAACCTACTTCTTCCGGTCCAGTGGTACAGGGGTCATTGGATGCCTAATTGTCGATCCCTCGCGACGAAAGCTGTCCATCGGACATTCTCTTCATAGCCGGGCGATCCGCACGCTTCTTCAGCGAAAAGGAATGAAGAAATTCCAGCTTGGATCACGACTCCCAGGGATCTACCTGGGCATTCCCACCATGAGCTCTGTTGAGCGCAAGCGGCTGCGACAATGGTTTGCCAACCTTGGATGGAACACGGCGCTCTCCCGCCCGGTCTGCAGTGTAGTGCTGCGCAACTTGGGCACGTGGACCCCACCGGACGGACTAACGGCGGCGCTGAAAAATGCCGCGGTAAGCTACGACTTAGTCTACGGGTGGGACTATGCGCATGAGATTCTCGAGCATATCAAAACGAATGCGCGGCAAGGGGTGACGGACATCTACCGTATCGCGCTCGGGGGCGCCCCTCACTGCGGCATCATCCGAGCCAAGCGCCCGGCCGATGAGTTGATCCTAGGCAGCATTGTGATCTACAATGAACGGTCGGCGTTGGCGGAACATATGCCGGCTTTACGCGCCACCCAGGGCCCGGTCGGGGGAATCTCATCGCCGGTCATCTCGCCCTGTGCGGACGATTATTCGATCATAATGCAAGGACTGATCCTGCTGGCTATTAAACAGATCCAGAAACTGAGTGCGCAGGCAGTGGTGATGGACTGTGTAAGATCCATATTCTCTTCTCTTCTAATTCTGGCTAACGTGATATATAGGTGGATGGTGACGGCAACTTTGACTGCATTTCATCCTTGGGCTTTAGCATGCTCCATAGTTTCGAGGAAGTCAACTGTGATGCGACGACTTGGACTATGATGCATCCCTGACTGCCTTGATCCTTTATACAGGTTTCATCTCTCTTCCTTTTTCACTTCTTCTTCTCTTCTTTCTTTATTTGTTTGGTTCATTTTTGATCGCATCTATGATATCCATCTGGCATTGATTATATAGTTTTTGGGTAAGGTGTCTGAAATAAACCGGACAAGACCCGAGGAGTTTTGGGGGGTGGCAATGATGAATCTTTGGCCTTGATTTACACCTGTCCCGGCTTCCTTTGCATATTCAGATTTTGGGCACGGGTGGGTGGGACAGGAAGTTTGTACGGCGTCATTCGGACCAATATGACATCTTTCTCTTTCATTTTGACTTCCGAATTGAAACAAAATGCCGATCACGGGAGATCCGCAGGTTGTTGAGTACAAAGAGGAATCAAGAGGCAAATCAAAAGCCTTAGAATCCCTTACCCGTAATGATGGATCCGAATGCAGGAAGTGGAGCAGGGCGAGGCACCAGAATAATGGGGGCCGCTTACTGGACCGGAAGTCCGTAGGCAAATTAACGAAAATGCAAGAAAAATCAGGGTCCTTTTGATAACCTTAGCGCCGGAGGCGAACAGAAACCAAAGTCAATCCACGAAAAATCCGGTTCAGTCGGGAATAGCGTGGTTTTCCTCGACGAAAAAACGTGAACGGACATCGGGATGAGAAACTCATCCGGCAATTTAGTAAAGTTTTACCTATCTAACTAGATTAAGGCGTTCTTGTAGGGACGTTAAGTGGAAAATACCACAATGTGTCGCACGAATCACATTCAACCCCCATAAACTTCAAATCCGATCTCACAAACATATAGGGATTTTCATTTCTCTTACCGTGTAGGGGGGAATCGTACGGGGATAAGTCGAATCGGGTAAATGCACAGATCAAAGCCCCCAAAGTCGATCCCTCAAACCTTCACATGGTGCCCCCTTACCCCCGTTCGGTATAAGTCAAAAGTCCACTTTTACAACGGTCTAGGCAAATGGAAATTCGTTCATGTTCCACCATACTTGTGATGCCGCGTGAGATCACACGAGGATGACCTAGATGCATCACCCGATGCACATGAACCTGCAGAAGATCATTGAAACAAAAAAGTCAAGTAGACGGACATCGCCGGTCCTACCTGAACTTCTCCAGAGCTGGAAGCAAGATTCGGTTCCTGACTCCGACTGGATGCGGAGAGTGGATTTTGCCCGTTCGCGGTGGAACCTTTGAGTCTTAGTCAAATTAATGACCCCGTGCTGTTATTCCCTTTGTTTCTGGATCGTATATTGGTGGCGTTCTGGGCCAACCCCTTCAATCTGCATGTCAGACGGAACATGTTGATCATCGATTAGAATTGGTCGAGTTGGATTTTGTTATGAAGTTCAGAAAGGGGAAAAGTGGGGAAGATAGAGAGAGATACGGAGAATACGGAGTAGAGATAGATTAAGTAGAGAAATGACTGAAAACAGAGAACAGAGAACAGAGAACAGAAAACAGAAAACATGAAACACGTACGAGGTCCACGAGGGAAAGATTGCCAACCTTTTTTATATTTGTTGTTAGATAATCTGAGATTTACTGGAATTTAATGGAATTCAATAACACTTTTATAAAGCTTTTGGTGGCGTAGAAGGATGATTATCGGTGGATTCGTACAACTTCTGCATGATCTTCAGGGCCTTACTATACAGTATACCATACAAACTAGTAATACCCATAGACTAACTAAAGAGTATTAGTTGCCGACAGCCGACCCAAACCGGACAGATATATACACAAAATTCATACACCAATTCATATAATACTGTAATATACCGTCTTCGTCCTTTCTCCGCAAAAACCGCGGCTCCACTTTTCCCCGAATCCGTTCGCATCTCGCCCTCAATCCCTCTCCCTCTAATCCCCCCCCCCTCAAGACATTCCATTCCCCTTCTTTTCTGTTGAAGTAGTCTTCTTTTTTGGTTTGTATCTGCCCGCCATGGAGGGCTTTGATACCATGGCTATGCCCTACTTGGGGAGTCCGCTCTCTCTTGGTAATCTACAAGGCGACTATCTCAATGCCATGCCCGGCCTCGATCTCCCCGACCACCGTTCCAACTTTGACTCCGAGACCTTTGTTAGGTAAGGACACCAGATCCGATGAACATGGGAAACCAAATTGAAAAAAATATGTTCAAAGACTGACTGGGGTACAAATATTATAGTGGGGACGATCTTGCCTTTGCCCAAGGTGGGCTTTCACGCTCCAACGTTCCGCCCTCGCTCGAGCGCTTCCCCTCGGGGTACGATGACCATTTCACCGACATGGTCGCTCCCTTTGATCCTGTTCCACCAGAGCAACCACAGGACTCTTCGATCGATCACAACAACAAATTGTTGAGCTTCTCGCTCCCAGTCTACCATTTTACCTTGCTCGACTACTCCATGCGACGGACTTCCTTGTCCGTCTCCGCCCAGTTGCATGGCATGTTTTTTTTGGCTGAGTCGCCATATACCACATCGCCGTCCGAGAATGCCCCGCCACAGCAGGGGGCCGAGTTGACTTGCTATCGTCGTAATTTGTTCCAGATCACCGGCTCCGTCACCCTCCCCCGAGGCATGCGCTATATAATGACCGATAACGGTGATCGGATTCCCATACTGGCCCAGGAGCTGACCGTATCTGCCACCGAATCTGTCGAGGGGAACCCTGTCAAGATCATTTCGGTGCCTTGGAAAACTCCCTCCGCCGCAGCTGCGAACGCGGGGACTGCCATCGAGGATCACAACAACGGTGCCGCCAAAGTCGAGAAAGAGCCTCAAGCGATCCCGTTGGATATCATGGCGGGCCAGGATCTGGATACGGACTACGCCACATTCCCTATTGCCTGGAAGCGTCTGCAATTCCGGGTAGCCACGGCCAACAATGGTCGTCGGAAGGAGTTGCAGCAACATTTCGTCGTTCGGCTCAAAGTGGTCGCAACCTTGTCCACTGGGGCCAAGATCTCCATTTCCGAGGTGCAGTCGGGACCTGTAATTGTTCGGGGTCGTAGTCCACGCAACTTTCAATCTCGAAAGGACCTTCCCCTCAGTGGAAGTGCTGCAGCATCACGAAAGAACCAGGTCAATTCGGCAGCACTCAACCGCACTCCAACCAGCGAGTCGGTGCCCCGCCGAGCTAGCGTCACTCCAGCCAAGGCCAAGGCCCCATCTACTACAGTCCAGAGTAGTTCCCCTGAGACTACGTCCGTTCCGCCCCCCACACTCATGCAACAACCTCAGGCGACTTCTGATTGGACTTCGATGCCCCACGCATCTAACCCCGTAATGTCCCACCAGCCTCTCTTCCCCCATTCCAGTCCTGAACAACTTTCCCAGGTTGGTCAGCAGCGCCGGGTGAGCAATACAACGGCCGCTGCGCCTATCAATTTATCTCTTTTGGATGAAGACGACCAGCTGGATCAGAAGATCATGACTCCTTATAATGAAATACCTCAGCAACAGCCTGGTCTAGATCATGCCCCACCGGCCAAGATGCGTAAGATCTCCCATAACATCTCTCAGACCCCTTCCCGGAGTGCCACGTCATCCATCCCCCTGCTGGAGACTGCCAATCTACCACATCAGTTTGTGTCTTCGCTACCCTTTCCTAATGAGGGCACTGACTTTCTCTACGAATACTTCCCATTGGGGTTGGATGACTGGCAGGCACCCGTGGACGCTGTCTACCGGCCACATGTGGTACATCACACCAACATGCCCGAGATGAAGTTTGTGGCATCCAGAGGCCGCAGCAAGCGTTATTTTGCCGCAGAGGATGTTTTCTAGGTCTCATTTTCATTGGCGCTAGAGAGGTGTTTCTTTTGATCTTGAGGGTCGCATTTACATTTGCTGGGAGTGGAAAGAGGAGCATCCGATTTCCAATCCCTGCTTCCTATCAATTGTTTTAGATTTTTCTTCTCGTTCTCTTGTTTGTTTGATTTGTCTCTCTCTATTGTTTCTTTTCCCTTTACTGGAGAAGCAAACGTGCTCATTCTATGCCGGTTTTCCGGGATATGGGGTTGAGATTGATTTCGTGGTTCGGCATTCTTGGGCTCTCATGGTGGTCTTTTGGTCTTTGTATCTTTCTGTCTTTTGTCTTTTTTTGGATCTTATGAGTCCTTCTGGTGTTACTATTGGCAAATGTGGCGTGTGAGGAGTTCTTTGATTATGGATATGAAGGGATTATTTCATGGTTCCCGGTTAATGGTAAGGCTCAATGACCCTGGGTCACTGGGCCGTTATCCCTGGACTGTTGGAAAGAGAAAAATAAATCATCCTATGTCGGGATTTGGGTATGGATATGGATATGGATATGGATATGGATTTGGATTTGGGTCTGGGTTTGGGTTGGGGCTTAGGCTTGGTTAAAGGATCTGGTTTGTTTATTCTGGTTATATCCCATCGTGTTATGATGTTACGCTGCCGCTCGACCTGGATTGATGTCAATTCTGCATGACACACTGCAGGCTCAATTTATTTATTTTAAAAATATATATAAATATATATATATATATATATATATCTTTTATATAACGCTGAGTATATACATAGCAGTATTTCCAAATGCTTCAAATCTTCAAATGTTCCTTTTGCTCTTTCAATGTTTCAGGCGATATTCAGCTGTTCAGAAGTGATTAACTCATATCTACAGTAGAATATTCCGATATTCATGATTTCTAATGGCTAACTACCAGGTCAGATTTCTGAAGTAAAAGCATCAATTGATGCTAATCCAGGATCATAGATACCCCAAACCGTCTCCACCGATAGCTTCTAGATCGGCCCTGATCTCCCACTCCGTCGCGCCGACTCGACCTGCGAAATCCGCCTGGCGCTGTTTCCCCAGACTCAGCCACTGTCGGAGTAAAGTTCCATCAACCATTCCCCGGCCAGATGCGCCATCACTCTCAACTGCTCGGAAAGCCCGGGGATTCAATCCTCCAGGATGTTCCATCGTGTTGGTCAATTGAGACTGTAAAGCAGATAGACGACGGTAAGATTCTTCCTTGACGGTCGTCACCAGGGCCAAAGATCCATTCTGGGATGTAATTAGGACATTTTGGGTAGAAAGGGCCTGATCCACATCCATATCATCTGCTGTTGACTCGACCAATTCAGACGAAACTGCTGTGCGGGGCAGCAAGGTGACGGTCGAGGCAAAGTTACCAGTATAGAATTTGCTTCTGTTAAGCAGTCGATCACCGTTGGACGACTTCGGGTCTGGCATCAGATATAAGCATGGTTTCACAATTCGAGCATCAGAACCTAGTATTACACACCTTCAGGGTCATATTGCAGTACGTGCAGGTTGCAGTCACTGTCTGCTACCAGAATGTAGAGCTTGTTTCCATCTGGCAGGAAATCTGCAGCCACAACTTCCAGATAGTCGGGATCTTTGCCGAAGAGGGTCATTTTGTAAGGTTCCTCCTGCGCCGGGTATTAGGGTTCGAGAATTTCATGTCAGTTTGTTGGAGGGGGGAGGGGTCATACCGAATATCCTGCAAACCACAGGCCCTTGACTGCATCACCCAGGATGCACATGCCTGTGCCCTTGAGTTCTTTGGCAACGTTGACATAGCATTGCATATCCATGAACGCCACGGGCAGGAGGCTTCCATCCTCTTTAAGTCCCCTAACCATACATTTTTGCCCTTGGGCCACGATCACAAAGCCCTGGCCGCCGATGCCGGACAATGCGGTCACTGCACCTTTGACGACCTCCTTGCCAATGAGCTTGAGTTTGCGACCCGTCTCTGGCTTACCTGGCTCCGGGACCACCTCGATCACGTCAAATACATAGATGCAGCCACGGGCTGGAATATCCTCGCCCTTGGTAATTGCCGTCCCCACCACAATCAGGTCTTTACGTTCATGTGTGTTCTCTGACACTTCCAAATTCACGTTTCTCACCGCAGTCACATGCTCAGCGAGCTCCAATGGATAACTATGCATGTGAGCTTGATAACAACTTCAGTTTCGCTAACTTCAAGCCTTACCTGTCTATAAGTTCCCAAGTCTTTGGACAGATGATTTTGACGAAGCTCTGAGGAACTTCGGGTAGGAATGATTTTGCTAGAAGTCGAATTAGACAAAGAGCAAAAAAACCAGAAGCCAAAGGTAGAGCAAGCGAACCTACCTTCATTGCGCCATTCAGGGTGTAGCTCATCGTTTTCGGGTAACTTGAACCCTACGTTGGAGCTGGTGGCTAGAACATAGGTCTCAGATGCCGTGGAATAAGTCAAAAGGTCTACTTGCTCTTCCAACGAGACTTTGCGCAAGATCCAGGAATAGTCAAGTTGAGTGTCTGGGGGGATTTGACACGCTCGGATAGTATTCTGGTCAGGATTTGTAAGCATTGAGAGGATTATCCTATATTAGGGAGTATCTTTTACCTTAGAATCCACATAGATGAAACCGTTTCCACAGCCAGTTGCCGGTGAATCAAAGTCACTAAGCCACCTGATGAATCCACCACGGAGACGAACCCCATGTGGTGAGCTTTTCGCTGTTTTCACGATAAACCTACCCGAGTCACCAGGCATAAACACAGTGCTGAGCCCTGACACATTCTGCAGAGCTCGCAGTGGTCTTCTGCGGGGATGTGTCTCCGCTCCCGTGAGTGATTCATTTGAGGTGAGTTTAGAAAGAGTATGGTGGGCTTCTCGGAAGAATTGAAGACGATTCGATTGTCCGCTCTCGGCTTCGGTCGGGATGAAGACTGGCTTGTACAGCACCAAATCGTCATTATCGGTTCGAAGCTAGATTCCGTAGGTTAGCGTCCGAGTTCAAAGGCGGTAAAGTTGGGTTATCAGTACAATTAAGTAGGGTTGGACATATGAGGAATCGCCAAGATCAGCCACCAGGATTTCTTTCAGCAACTCTCGGGCATTTGACCGTCGAGGTGGGTCTATCGATAGCACGGGTTGCAAGCAGTCAAGGCCATCCATGATCGACAGCAGTTTCATGTCTGAAACGTTGAATATCTGTATTAAAACTGTTAGAAAAAGCATGTCATTCATTTCGCGCAGAAATCACTAACCGAGAGCTTATATTCGGCGCTTAACAAGAACAGAAGGACATTTCCTTCAGCACCACTCGATTTTGATTGAAGGGAACCGAATGCCTGGTTTTTGTCATGGTAGAGGCAACCCGACTGCCACTTTAACATGGACATTTCATCTGAGACTGGTACTTCGTCAAGATCACCGCTGGCATCTGCCTGCAGCAGTAGGAGCGAAGAGTCATCCCGTAATATAGATAGGTAAGGATCGGCAAAGCTTGCGCTTACTGCTATACGCTCTTCATCCGTGTCTTCGTCCCATATGGGATAAATCTGTGCTAGCCCCAGATCTGAAAAAAATTCCCCCATGTTAATCTATGAGTACAATCCAGGAAACGTACTTAAAACATACCTCGGTCATAAATTCTGACTTCATTTCGCAAAACCTGAACAAGGCGTGATTTTTCGGCTAATAGCCCAATATCGACAGTAATTTCTTCACTTGGGTTAAAGTCCGGGGCTTTGAAGGGTTTCAACGCCGATTCCTTCATCACTAGAACCTCTGATACCTCTTTTTCTGCGTCAGTAAGCCGTGCGATTATCACATATTGGACAAAACTTTCCCCATCTGATCCATCCAAATGCGAAGAGCCTCGTTTGCCTGGGGTCATGATAGCCGACCATACCCCATCAGCGGCGTCAAGGTTCATTGACATGGTCGTCAATGGGTCAATCTCCCTCTTGATAACAACAAGACCACCACTCTTGCCTGAGCCTTGTGATGCAACAAGCTCTAGGTCTGCAGAGACCCTCTCGGTGCCAGAAAGAACTGAGTCGTCTGAGACTGAACTAGCTTGGCCCAAAGTCACATCCCGCAGAGGGCCAATGCCGGGGAGTCGATCATTCAGTTGGAGATGATAGAAGTCTGGTGTTGAACCCTCCGAAGTTGGGCGCGCGTCAGTGTGGGCTCGCTCGGGCGCCGAAGAGTAGAGATCATCTTCGTAGACATCTTCCTCCATCTGATCCTCGTCTGATAAATCTTCGAGGCCATCGGCGATTTGCTTTGATTCCAGGCGTGCCTTTTTGCTGAAAGCCGAGTGGGACCACTCCAAAAGCAAAGAGTCTGCATCTTCGCTACCGATGAAGACATTGCCATCATCAAAGCAAGTAGAACAAGAGGCAGCCGATTTCAAGATGCCCCCGCCTGCTTGAGCTGGTAGCGAATGAACAGACATCCCCGACACGGACCGGCCATCCAGTTTGAATTTGATCAGGGCCAAATCACCCGAGGCGAGCGCAAGAAGAAGGTCACCACTGCCACTACCCAGTCGCTCCACAACACAGCCCTCCAGGCGAAAGGCTAAGTCAGATTGGTCACTCATGGAAAAGGCGGAGACTTGGCGCGAGAATTCATTCACCCCAACTGCATTTGTTTTACCTGCTTGATCCACATGCACAATCTCATTGGAACCGATAAGCAAAGCTCCTCCCACAGGAGGCGGTAGTGCTACAACCTTGAATAGGTCACTTGGAAGCCGGGAGACTGAAAGAAGTGTCGTCGATGCCCTTTGCTCTAGGTCTAGCGTGAAGACGGTATAGAACATCACATCTTTCCGCTCGTGCACAAGGGCATTGGAGGTAGCAATTTGAGAATACAAAATGCCAAAAGTTGGCTCTCTGTACTCGTACAGAAATGCCAGACTGACAGGATGCAACAATGAAGGATCCAGGGCTGTCAGCGGCAGCACGAACGATGCACCATAAGGAGTGGGATGAGCAGAATCGCCCTTGTTCTTCTCCAGTGCTTGAGTAGAGGGATCCACGTCCACCTCAGAATCATATTCATCCATCACAAGGTCATCTCCTGCCTGGTGAAAAGGTAAGATGGCCAAGTTACGAACACCGAAGTTGAAGACCGCACACCGGCTGCTAGGGTCCACACTAAGAATACTCCCACATCGACTCAGGTCTGGTATCCAGGGACTGCGACTTAGGTCATCACGTTCATAGTAGTGAATAGACACCGTGGAAAGATTGTAGCGCTTTGGGTCCCACTCAATCAGGCTGAGCTTGGCATTTCGAACAGCTAGCAGAATGGCTTCTCCGCCACTCTTGGAATTCAAGATCTTCACTCGACTCAAATCTGTCACCGTTCCTGGCAAATGGTATTCTTTTTCCAGGATCAGTTTCGGCTCACATGGATGGAAATGTGCCGAGTGGGTCTCCGTGCTCTCAGATAAAGGTTTGATCAGGGAAAACACCTGCAACAGGGACGATCGCACCACAATCAAATTGCTAGCTGTCTCTGATAGAAATGGAAGTGCAAGTGCATGGGTGACCCCCGTTGGGGGTAAAAGCTCTGTATAGCACTGCATTGCAAAAATCCAGTGCGGTTCAGGGTGTTTGGATTGCTCCAATCAGCAATTTACAGGAGCAGAATTTGTGATGCACATGGCAAACCTAAGCCCAAATCCACCAGCACTAAAACACACAGGGCAACAAATAGAAGGGGAAATAAAAGAAAAATCCCTTCTGAATATCTCAATGTCGGGGAGAATGTAGTCAAAAGAGGTGCATCCAGGGCGGACTCCAGGAACAAAGCTCCGAATCACGTGATGTTTACCTGATTGGGTTTAGCTATGACGACAATGTAAAGCCAACTTCTTGTCTGCTTCTCATTCTCACTTGACTCCCTCTCTCTTCGGAACTAGCACATTTCTTCTTCTTAAATTTCTCTAGCCCAAGATATTTGGAGCTAAGAGGCCAAAGAGAGAAGAACACAAACAAATTTTCTCGCTTAAGTCTTGAGTCTTGAGTCTTAAGTCTTGACCTATCTATATGGACCATCAGTCCTCTCCATGATGGCGCTCCTTCAGACTTCACTGATATGGATCGTTTATGCAGTTGTCATTGCTATCCTACTGGCGGTTGCCTCAGTGTTTATCTATGTCTACCAAACTCCTCGTGATCGATCTCCTTCTGTAACGCTGACCTGCATCATTGCCATTACCAGTCTTCTGGCAACTGTGCTTCTACTCCCGGTGGATGTTGCACTCGTATCGTCAACCACGTCATCCCGCCTGGGCCAGCGGAAGGACTGGGCCACCCAGGATACTGTTGATAACATCACCTTCTCACTGACAATCGTCTACTACATATTGTACTCACTGGATGCCTTGCTCTGTCTCTTGGTGATTCCTTTCACCTACTTCTGGTATGAGGAATACGACGAGGTAGCCAGCGAGACGGGGGAGCAAACAGTGGGACAGCGACTCTGGGGATCTCTCAAGTACACCTTTTCATTTATTGCGATTGTGGTAATTCTCTTCCTGGTTGGATTCTTTGTCCCAGTCTCCAAAGATAAGGTCGGTATGGACTTGGACTACTTCAAACGTCTCCTGACAGAGAATCGTAAGTCATTTGATCCTTTCATTCTTCCGGATTATCAAACTAATATCAGCACAGATGGCGAGCGTGCATTGACATTTGCTTTGGGCCTGCTTATGACCCTGGGTATTTGTCTTTATGTGTTGTATACTTCAGTGGGGCTTGCTCTATTCCCCATTAGCTTGATCAAAACTGCACCATCGATCTCTAGCCCCACTCTTCGGGCTTCAACGGCTCGCCAATTAGAAGCCAATCAAGAGCGCCAGAGACAGCTTGAAGGTCGTTGTGGTGGAAGCCCCGACCTTCTTTCGTCCAAAGATCGCAGGGAACTAGATACCCTCACACGAGAGGAAAGAACATTGATCCGGCGGCAACGTCTCGTTGACGAAGCTCAGGGGGAAGGCCGGAGTTGGTTAGTGCGCGCATGGTTTAAGATTGAAGCCATACTACGGCCCTTCAAATTGTTAGGAGGTCTGCTACTCCTATTGATTGCTTTTGTTACATGGGTTTCTATGCTGTTGACGGCTATCGACAAGGCAAAAAACTCAATTTGCAAGCAGCGTTGTGGATATATCCTCGGCCATATCAACGTCTTCAACCCAGTCAATTGGGCACTTGTTCAATCTGCCAAAATATTCCCAGTGGATTATGCTATTTTTTCCGTTCTTGTGCTGCTGCTGTTTTGCAGTTCGGTTGCTGGTATTGCCGCGGTTGGAATTCGCTTCCTTTGGATTCGAATTTTCCAGATCCGCAAAGGCCACACGTCGCCTCAGGCTCTCCTCTTAGCAACTGCGATGTTGATGCTGATTATCCTGGCGTTGAATTATTCTATTTCCATGCTCGTGGCTCCTCAATACGCCACGTTTGGCCCACAAACCTTTTGTGACCGTGCCCCGACAACACTGTTGGAGCAACCGGATTGTTCTAACCACGAAGATCTCATCAAGCCATGCTCTGAGCTAGCAGACAATACTGCCGCCAAAACAGTGTGCACCCCAAGTGTTGTCAGCACCTTTCTCAATCGTATCACCCTCAATTATCCTTTCTTCGGTGTTGTCTTTTTTTGGGCCCAGTTCTTCTTCATTGGTATGATCCCCTACATCTTTTTTTAATTAACTGACACTGCTTTCTAACCGATCATCTATCTACAGGTCTCTACCTTGTCGTCTTTGTGACATCTCTCTTCCGATCACCAAACTTGGATGAAAGACAACTTGATGAAGATGCCGAGGAGGCTGAAGAAGAGGGTCTCCTCGCTAACACAGGCAGACGTTTCAATGCAACCTGGCAAGATATCACGGGCCGAGCCGACCGCAACCGCTCTAGAGATTGATGAGGCCTGGCTGTTCAGAGGCCAAGCAATAGAGCAGCTCGGAGAAGAATTACTAACTGCGTCTGCAAATGATGTCCTAATCAATTTTGCCATTATCCGATGGTTTCACACTCGGTCTAAGATTTGATCTAAAAAAGTACATGGTAATCTGCGACAGGTGATCTTCTTGTGTTATTATCCTCTGGGCGACATGGCCCAGAATGTCCCTTTTGGGGGCTCAAATAGTTGAATCACTGATTCTTAACTTCGTAAAAAAATCAAGCCCTCATTTGCTCATTGAGTAAGGCTAGAGCACTCTGGAATGCTTTCACAACCTCCGTGTCTTAAATGGGTCCAAAGTAGATCAGCATTTGGTCAAGGAGGGAGGTGATTTTGTTCAGCTTACAATGCTGCTTCTTATTCTCTACGTTGACTTCCGAGTTGTGGACGTGCTGCATCTGTGTCTTGAATCTTGACGACCTTTAGAACTGCAATAGACGAAGGAATCATGAAGTGCATCCTCACCTCTTCAGCGCTCGTTGCTCATCTTGCAGCACCGCTGTCTTGGACCATGCTGTAAATGCCTGCTAGATGATTAGCGCCGCGGAAGAACTGCAGATACATCGATGTCCTTACACCGAGTAGTTTGGTGGTCTGCGCACGAAGGTCTTCCTCAACACGACTATGCTTATCCATAGCATCGGTGTATTTTTCTTGCAGCTGGTTCCAATCACATTGGTCCAGTCTTTGAGTTAAATGAGCTACCAGCATTTCTTCCCTGTCAAGAACGGGCTCAGCTGGTTCTGGGCTGCAGGTTTGCTGGGGCTCTTCTGTTGTAGGTGGTCGCGAAGCACTATCATGGTTATCGTCACTCGAGGTCATTATGAACGAAACCCTCCTCCAAAAAATAGTAGTTTAGAACAAATGAAGGAGTCGATAACAGTTTAGATCATTTTGCAGTATGAAGGGGGTGATTGGGTCGATCAAAGCGGAACAAACAGCTGCTCACACACCGCGTCAGGTGACGGTATCATCAGCAACACTTCATGTCTTTGGGCAAAATACCATGTTTCCCCAAGGAGCTCTCGCGGCTTCCACAACACACCATGGATGTGGGACTCTCGGTCTTTCAGTTAAAAATAATTAACCGTCTGCGATGAGTTGCCACATATGCACATCTGTCCACTCCCGCTTGCCAGTTCTGTGTCCGACATGTGCCCGCAATCGTCTTTATCAGCTGCGTCTCGAACACACCCAGATACTTCTCGAGAAAGAGTCCATAAGCAACCAAATTCAAATTGCAGTCACCCATGATCATTCCATGAACCAGAATCTCAAGGCTGAGGCAGGGCTCTCAGAAACTGATCACGACAGCTCTTGTCGCTGGGCCCTCCAGACCATCTTAAGTCGGCAGGCTGGCTCGATCTCCAGAGAGGATGCTGTGGCGCAGCAGATAAAGAAGTTGAGGGAGGAGATTGAGGCGAAAAGGGCCGATATATTGGAACGAAAGGCGCGGTTGAATCGCAGACGTTCCGATGCTGAATCGGCCCAATACCAACTTGGAGAGCGGGAGGCTGCCATTTTGACAGGCCTGCAGAACACTACCAAGAGAACCGAGCATCTATGGCACACATTACATAGTAAAACAGCAGAAGCCCGGATTTTCCTATGTCGCGAGGCGGCCCATCTGTACGGCTTGAGGCAAAAGGCATCAAGAAAAGGTGACGCTAGTCAAACCTATGCCCTCGCAGGCCTAGCAATAATAAATCTACGGGAAATGAATGGAAAGACCTCCATATCATATATGCCATTGTCTTATTCCATACTAACAGCTATACAGGCTCCACGCCAGCTCAGATATCTACGTCACTCTCCAACATTGCTCTCCTGCTGGTACTCGTTTCGCATTATCTTTCACTGAGACTCCCCGCTGAAATCATTTTGCCCCACCGGAATCACCCCAACCCAACCATCTATACCCCTGCCGCATCCTACGACTTCCATAAATCCACCGATGAAACTTATATGTCTCAACCTTCATCTAGCCCGTCAGTTTATCGATCTGCAGATACACAGCCGCAGCCGCGTCCAAGGCCATTATTTATTGATAGGCCTCTTCCACGTCTGGCCAAGGAAGACCCCGCCACATATGCCCTCTTTCTCGAGGGAGCTACCCTCCTTGCTTGGGATGTTGCATGGCTTTGTCGGGCTCAAGGAATTAACCTAACTTCTGACTCTTGGGAAGAAGTCTGCAACATCGGGAGTGGCCTGTGGCAGTTACTGGTTGCACCACCAGCGCAGCCATCCACTTTGATGCGGGCTTTCGCCGGTCGAGACACCCAGAACAAGATGAAACCCACTAAAGATTCTCCTCAAACCACAATCCAGCGCATGAAATCTTTTCCTATGCTGGGACACTATTCTCACGGCACCGTTCATTCATTTCTCGGGGCATCCGAGGGATCGGAGTTTATGCGGACATGGAAACTGCCAACCCCAACAAAAATCGCGGATAAGTTAAAGTCCAACCTCCTTGGAGAGATGGCCAGTGCAGAATGGGAGCTGTTGGAAGAACAGGAATGGGAGGACGGGACTCTGGAAAACCAACAACCACCGGCAGCCGAGAGCCACACCACCCGCTTGCCCAGGCCTTCCGAACGGACCCAAAGGACCGAAATAAATGAGGGCAATAATCAACCATCAAGACCAAAGGGCACAAGTGGCTGGACGAAGCTGAACAGTAGATAATATAACTAGTCTTTTTCTTCCTTTTGATCTCGCAAGAATTAATACGAAGTATCTCGTGTATATATAACGGGAGTGGTTTTATTGGGGTTGCCTCACAATGCCTGTAGCCTCACCATGTCTGTAGCCTCACGTGATATCTACACCGACATTTCCGAGGGCCTCTTCCTCCTACAACTGCCTCACGAGAGTCATTTGATGGCCTCTGCGGGTAGCTCGTAGCTCGTCATCTCTCAGGCAGTCAAGTGTCAATTTTGTCCCTCCCACCTTCCCTCTGTATATAGAATCCACTACAATACAGACACATTGCCTCCCTTCAAGGGAGCGCGGACGGGGCCTATCTGACGCCACGGTCTACGACCGCAGCGACAGGTAACCCGTTGCGGCCAAACTAAACTCTTCTTGCTCCTCTTGACTGTGTGAGGTCACCAATAAAATGATACATATAAGCGGATTGCGGAGTTACTGAGAAGCCGAGATAAGATTGTACCGCGTGGCCCGAGTCCCTCCGTTAGGAAACTTAAGGACCTGTGTACTTTCCCCCGACTTCGGGATCTTCTGGACGCAGTGCATTTCTGGAAAACCCCCCTGAACCAATTCCTAGTCCAATTGCATGAAGTTGTCTCGTTAATACGGTCGGAATCAATTCCTGGTGAGAAAATCAAGACTGAAGCTTCTATTTACTGGCGATGTGGCCGCAACCCATTCGCATTTAAAGTCTCCAAACATGCAGAATGCCCAGGCATGGCAGACTACCGGCGAGGGGTCCCTGGGTCAGTATCTTGTGATTGAATCCCCCTATAAGAAAATGACAAAAACTGACCCTTCTATTTTCCCCGGCAGACCTCAAGCGGGCGCTCTCCGGCATATCAGAAATCCCTGAATCTCTCCTAAGAGCAGAACTCCAAAGACGAGACGCCATAGGTTCCTCAAATACAATAGAGAGACCCTCATGTGGCTCCCAGGCGCAGGGCGCCTATAATACACCTTTGCATGTCATGGCGCTTTTCCTCATTTTGGGGCTGAGCACATTCGGTATGCGCCACTTATCCCTAACTGATATGGGTAGATTGTTGACAGATTCGTCCTACACCAGCATGTTCATTTCCAGTCCTTGCGCGCCGTTTCCCCGGTCTTCCGATCCCGCGACGTTTCTTGTTTATCTCTAGGCACTTTGGGACCGGGGTCTTGATTGCGACAGCGTTCGTGCACTTGCTCCCGACTGCATTCGTTTCCTTGACAGATCCTTGTCTCCCTCGATTCTGGAGCCATACGTATCGCGCAATGGCTGGCTTTGTGGCCATGATATCGGTCTTTGTGGTGGTGGTGGTAGAAATGTTCTTCGCCATGAAAGGTGCAGGGCATGTGCATGGCAATGATTATGACACCCTGATGGGCGGCATCGGTCACGAGTCTATAAGCGACTTTGGACATGACACGTCAGACTACTCGCGCTTGGAAGCTCAAAGAGTCCATGGACATATCCGGTTAGAAAGCCTACGACAAAGTGATCAGGCTGAGATGGATGAACCTGCGTCGACTTCTTCGCATGGATCGGAGCGGCCGCGTTCGGCTGGGAGCCAGCCAGACAAGCAGGAGGATGATGATACTGATCTTGATGAGCTCGATGCGTATGCTGACGACGAACCGCCTCGTGGACACTCCCGGTCACATTCGCTTCATCATCACCGGCCGCACATGAGTGGTCACTTTCGACAACAGTCCGGCTCGGAGTTACCAATGCAGAATCCGCAGCGCCAGCTTCTACAATGCCTACTCCTGGAAGCTGGTATTCTTTTTCACAGCATCTTCATCGGCATGGCACTCAGTGTCGCGACTGGAACCTCGTTTGTTGTCCTTCTCATTGCCATCAGCTTTCACCAGACATTCGAAGGATTTGCACTGGGCTCACGCATTGCATCACTCATACCTGATCTCTTCTCTCCCTCGTCCGCAAAACCCTGGCTGATGTCACTGGCTTACGGAACAACCACCCCCCTTGGTCAGGCCATTGGCTTGGTCTTGCATAATCTCTATGACCCCGCAAGTACCACAGGCCTGCTTATGGTTGGCATTACTAACGCCATTAGCTCTGGCCTTCTGCTCTTTGCCGGTCTTGTGGAGCTTCTCGCAGAAGACTTTCTGAGCGAGCCAAGCTATGAAACGCTCAAAGGAAGACGGCGTGTAGAGGCATGTATATCGGTTGCCTGTGGAGCCCTCTTAATGGCATTTGTCGGGGCTTTTGCCTAATTTGCTTGACAGCTCTCTATGCCACTTCAGAGCTATGTGTAACCTTTCCTAGAAGACTAGAAATTCCAAGTATTTTCCTCTATATGCTTCATGTTCGAAGACTGGGGTTATCACGCGGCTGTTGTTGTGCCGGTGTGGTCCAAAAGTTTGACTAAAAGCTATATTTTTTCCTTTGTGTACCCTCCGGAATACGCTACAGAAATTCTTGTCGACGTTGTGAGCTGTTTGGAGAAATATTAAATTCTCTACTTCCAAATTATCTATCTCAAAGATTGCGTTGGTTGGTATTTCGCAGAGGATCGATAGTCATGTCATATCCGTACATCATTAAAAATATCTCTTTAAAGCAGAGATTCGATCACGAGGGCACTAGCACCGCCGCCGCCGTTGCAAATGCCAACGCAGCCAAGCTTGCCCTCCTTCGCCTTCAAGACACCGATCAGAGTGGCCAAGATACGGGCACCGCTGGCTCCCAATGGGTGGCCAATGGCAACTGCACCGCCGTGAATGTTGACCTTGTCCTCGGAGAGACCAAGCAGCTTCATGTTGGCGAGAGCCACCACGCTGAAGGCTTCGTTGATCTCAAAGGCATCAATGGACTCCTGGGTTACGCCAGCGTGCTTCAGGGCCTTAGGGATGGCCAATGCGGGCGCAGTGGTGAACTTGCTTGGTTGCTGCTCAGCATCACCCCAGCCACAGATCTTCGCAATGGGCTTCAGGCCGAGCTCCTTAACCTTGGCCTCCGAAGCAAGGACAACAGCAGCCGCGCCATCGTTCAGGGGAGAAGAGTTGGGGGCTGTCACAGTACCAGTGCCGGGGATGAAGGCAGGCTTCATGTTGCGAAGCTTGTCGGGGTTGAGCTATCCTCACGGCGACATATCAGCAAGTGATCTAGGCATGTCCTTCATCTACTAGTTGACTTACGTTCTTGGGCTCGTCATCCTGAGATACAGTGACACCGGGCTTGCCACGGAAGCCGGGCAGCTCAATGGGTGCAATTTCGTAGTCGAAAGCACCGGCCTTCTGGGCGGCCTGGGCCTTTTCGTAAGTGCGGATGGCATAGTCATCCTGCTGTTGGCGAGTGAACTCGTAGTCCTGTGCACACTCCTCCGCCTGCAGACCCATGAGCTCCTGCTTGCCATAGGCATCCTGCAGACCATCCTTCATGATTCCATCGACCTGGGTCTGGTGGCCAAACTTGGTACCAGTGCGGGAATTTGTGAGGTAGTGGGGGGTGTTTGACATGGACTCGGTACCGCCAGCCACAACGATATCAGCGTTGCCGGTGATGATGGTTTGAGCTCCAAGGATAACCGCCTTCAATGCAGAAGCGCAGACCTTGTTGACGGTGGTGCAGACGGTAGAATCGGGGAGACCAGCGCCAATGGCACATTGGCGGGCAGGATTCTGTCCAACGCTGAATCGGAGTCAGTTTGAAAACGACCACATGGATATGATAATTAGGGGACCTACCCAGCAGAAAGAACATTTCCGAAGAAGACCTCTTGGACATCAGCGGCATTGACACCCTCAGCACGCTCCACAGCGGCTATACATGCCATTAGTTAGTTATCACGATGTAAAGATTTCTTCCGGTACTTGAAGAGTCATCATACCCTTGATAGCATGGGCACCAAGCTGAGGAGCAGTCAAGCTGGAAAGTGAACTGTGCAAGAACAATGGTATTAGGAATGTGTGTTGAGACAAGTAGAATTGAGGAGATATAACATACCCAAGGAAGGATCCCACTGGGGTGCGAGCCGTGGAAACAATGTAAACGGGAGGAAGGGAAGACATGTTGACAACGAATTTTGTTTATAGAATGAAGAGAGAAGAGAAGGAAAGGGGGAAAGGAGAAGCAATATAAAAGGAAAAGAAATCAGGAGGGGCGATTAAGAATAATAGTGGGGAGTGAGGAGCTGTACGGTGTAGGAGCGAGTACTTGGGGGAATGGGACGCTCGGACCAAGTGGAAAGTTGAGTTCCTTCGACTTCTCCGGCGTCACGCCAGCAATCAAATTGGGGATCTTTAACTTCTTTGCGCGTCACCCATTATCCCACTTTTTTCTTTGTCATGGATGACCTTTATGATGAGTAGGTTCTTTTCGTTATTTTTTTCTAATTATCTTTGATTAACCAATTGCAGGTTCGGTAATTACATCGGAGAGGCCGAGTCGGACGAGGAGCAACATGACCAGGTACCGGAAGCCTTCAAGTTCGATGAAGCTTTTGAAGATGAGGAGGAAGATGAGAATATCAATGACCAGCAATTAATGGAGCTTGATGGTATGTTTTTGCGCATTGGAATGAAGAACAACGGAGAAGAAAAGAAAAATTACGACAGAGAAGGACAAAAAAACCCTCTCTGCCCCTTCTGATCGTAAAAAGCTCACCAATTTTTGCTGCAGAAGGACCTTCCAACGCCGTGATATTGCATGAAGACAAACAGTACTACCCTAGCGCTCAGCAAGTATACGGTGCCGATGTCGAGACTCTAGTCCAAGAAGAAGATGCGCAACCTCTGTCCGAGCCGATTATTGCTCCCGTCCAACAGAAGAAATTTGCGCTCGCAGAGACCGAGCTACCACCGGTTTATTTCTCTCGAGAGTTTATGTCTGATCTTCTCAATTTCCCAGAGCAAATCAGAAACGTCGCTATCGTGGGCCATTTGCACCATGGCAAGACCGCGTTCATGGATATGCTGGTAAAACAGACCCATGACCTGACAGAGCGATTACAGAAGCGGATAGGCAAGCGCAAGGAGGAACAGATCCGATACACCGACGTGCATTTCCTAGAGCGGGAGCGTGGTCTCTCGGTCAAGGCCGCGCCAATGAGCTTGGTTCTCCCTGGAACCAAGGGCAAATCCCATCTCCTCAACATCATTGATACCCCCGGACACGTGAACTTTGTTGATGAGGTAGCTGCATCTATTCGCTTGGCTGACGGTGTTGTCCTGATCGTTGATATCGTGGAGGGCGTTCAAGCGAACACTGAGCAGATCATCAAGCACGCAGTCTTGGAGGGCCTTCCACTGACCCTAGTTGTCAATAAAGTGGACCGCCTCATTCTGGAGCTTAAGTTGCCGCCGAATGATGCCTATTTCAAGTTGAAACATGTGATTGAAGAGGTCAATACAGTCATTGAGAACGTTCTACCAGGCCAAGGCGAGCAGCGTCGAGTCAGCCCGGAAAAGGGCAACGTCGCCTTTGCATCCAGCTCAATGAACTGGTGTTTCACTTTGCAGTCATTCGCCCGAATGTACGCAGACACTTATCCCCGACTCGACTCTACCGAATTTGCTGCTCGACTTTGGGGGGATATCTTCTATAATCCTCGCAGCCGAAAATTCACTCGCAAGGGTGTGGAAGAGAACTCGAAGCGTTCCTTTGTCAAATTTGTCCTGGAGCCCATCTACAAGCTCTATTCCCATTCACTCAGTGAGAGTCCCGAAGATCTCAAGCAAACGCTTGCTAGCGTGGGTGTCAGTTTAAAGCCCTCGCAATTGAAGACTGATGCAAAGGAGCTCCTGAACCTTGTTTGTGAGCAATTCTTCGGTCCCCCTACTGGATTTGTGGACATGGTTGTCCAGCAAATTCCTTCCCCGGTTGATGGAGCCCAGAGAGCATTGGATCGATATTACACTGGTCCACTGGACTCAAAGGTTGCGTCATCTATGGCTTCTTGTGATCAAGATGGACCTCTAGTCATTCACATCACCAAGCTCTTTAGCACCACTGATGCTACGGGTTTCTCGTCCTTTGGAAGAATCATGAGTGGTACCGCCAGACCAGGTCAACAGGTTCGCGTTCTCGGTGAGGGTTACACGCCCGAAGACGAGGAAGACATGGTCATTGCGACTATATCAGACACCTGGATTGCGGAAACCGCTTACAACATTTCCACGGATGGTGTCCCCGCCGGTAATTGGGTTCTGCTTGGGGGCGTAGATAACTCCATTGTGAAAACAGCTACTTTGGTGCCTCTCAAATTGGAAGATGACGAAGAGCCCTACATCTTCCGGCCTATTCGACACATGACCGAGTCAGTATTCAAGGTAGCAGTGGAACCGGTCAACCCGTCTGAACTGCCCAAGATGCTGGACGGCCTGCGCAAAATCAACAAAAGCTACCCCTTGATCTCTACCAAGGTCGAGGAATCTGGTGAACACGTGGTCTTGGGTACAGGCGAGCTATACATGGACTGTGTGCTTCATGATCTTCGACGGCTGTATTCTGAGATGGAGATCAAGGTCTCCGACCCGGTCACCCGTTTCTGTGAGACGGTGGTTGAAACCTCTGCCATGATGTGCTACTCTATTACCCCGAATAAGAAGAACAAGATCACGATGATCGCCGAGCCATTGGATGAGGGGGTTGCAGAGGATATCGAAAGTGGTAAAGTCAGCATCAAGGACCCTATCCGCAAGGTTGCCCGCTACTTTGAGGATCACTACGACTGGGATAAGCTCGCAGCTCGCAGCATCTGGGCGTTTGGCCCTGACGAGATGGGACCGAATATTCTCCAGGACGACACATTACCATCTCAGGTGGACAAGAAGCTTCTGGGGACTGTCCGGGACTCAATCACTCAGGGATTCAGCTGGGGTGCGAGGGAGGGTCCGTTGTGTGAAGAGCGTAAGTTACCTCTAGCATTTTTCTATTCTGGATTATCGATACTGACAAGCCTTAGCCATTCGAAACACCAAGTTCAAACTCACAGATGTATCCCTTGCTGATCAGGCCATCTATCGAGGTGGTGGTCAGATCATCCCCACGGCTCGTCGGGCGGTATACTCGTCATTTTTAATGGCATCCCCCCGGCTCATGGAGCCAATCTATTCCTGCACCATGACAGGTCCTGCCGATGCGGTTGCTTCGGTGTATACCGTCCTGTCGCGCCGACGAGGCCACGTCCTGTCCGACGGTCCCATTGCGGGAACCCCCCTCTACTCCGTGCGGGGACTCATCCCAGTGATTGACTCGTTCGGTTTTGAGACAGATCTTCGCATCCACACCCAAGGTCAGGCCATGGTCAGTCTTGTATTTGATAAATGGAGTGTGGTACCGGGTGATCCGCTGGACCGAGATGTCAAATTGAAGCCATTGGAGATGGCCGGGGCCATGGCTACTGCGCGAGACTTTGTTCTGAAGACAAGACGGCGCAAGGGGTTGGCAGAGGATGTGACGGTCAGTAAGTTCTTGGAGCCGGAACTGTGGAAGGGCCTGAAGGAGAGTGGTGTTTTAGACTTATGATCACCAGTAAGAAAGCAACGCAAACAACCAATTTTACTCTGGGAAGGGGGTTTTGGAGGCTACGGAGTCATCGATTATTGAGCATCTTGGCCTCTCTGTAATTCTAATGCGCTCATCAAAATTATGCAAATGATATTATCCAAATTAGCAGTCTATTTCGTAAAATGGGGCTCGTAAAAACCGGGAGTAGAAAGTGAGCCCCCCGGCTGAGTGCTAAAAATATTACAACCATGGCGAAGGGACTTCTTTATTGACAGGTTTCCATCATCTTGGCGATGACCTGCATCAAAGCACCATTCTCCAAGGCGGCAGCAACTCTCTCTTTGTCCCCCAGCTGCTTATTGACCTCATCTCCCGTGCTATGGGTTCCCTCCTTGATACGTACATCGACGCGGAAGCGAGGTGGCAGAGATTGTTCCAACCGCACACGAACTCCCAGGCCAATCACTGTTGCAAGACTGCAGTGGGTGATTGTCGGTGTGATCAAAACAACGACAGTCTGAAGAGGTGAATCTGGAACGTTGGGGAGAGTTGGTTTGATAAAGATGTCTGGAAGGGAGACGACTGCCAGTTCGCCCAGTGATAGGGGATGTTCTGGATCCGAGATTGACTTGATCAAGTCTAGAAAAGAGGGGTGAATTCAATAAGATGGATTCAGTTAACTTAAGAGGGAAAAGGTCTCATACCATAGATCTCTTGCTCGTCAATTGGCTCTTCCAACAGGTCATCATCTTCCGAGTCCGATGAAAGAAAGTCGGCAGGATTCGGGACCGCAGCAAAGATGCCGGAGTTATAATCCCCTGCTTTGATAGTGGAGCGATCTCTAGTGGGGAGATCCGCCACGTTGAGGATCGTGGGGTTGGAATTCTGCATCTCCATGATGTTATTATTAATTTAAGGTAAGGATTAAGGATAAAGGAGGGGCAAAAAGCTGAGATTTTGATAAAGAAAAAGCTTATCGGTTGGTTTCACGTGCCGGTAGATCCTCGGTCCATTTCCTGTTTAGGTAAGCTTTGTTTTTAGGTAGGAAACGGAGTCCTTTGGATATTTTACTCATAGACCCCATAGGGCTTAAGGAGTGGACAAAGGAACGATATGGCTTTGACCCCCTGAACAATGCTATTTAGGTTGACAAAATAATGGCCTGGATTGTGCTGCACCCTATGACTCCACTTGTGATCCCTATCTTTGTAACCATGGCGGTTTCCGTCGGTTCTTCCAGAACCCTAGAGGAGGGGGGGGGGGGGGGGTCCACTTCTTAGGCTATTTTGCGTCAGAGAACCCAAAAAGCCACAAAAGAGAAAGATAAAACACGGCGGTTTCATCTTAAAAATGTGGAAGAAATGATTTAGTACCTCGGAACTTAACCGTGAATAAAGGGGGAAGAATAGAGAAAGGAGGGTTTTTTCTCCGAACGTACATTGGTATCGGACGTGCATGGTATCGAACGTGCATGGTATCGAACGTGCATGGTATCGAACGTGCATGGTATCGAACGTGCATGGTATTTTATTTTATTTTTCCGGTGAAAAGAAAATGTGATCCATATACTAGTTAGTATCCATAATGGCGAAATCTGAATCGAAGGCTTATGTTCCGTTGTTTTCCCGAGGTTTCTGCTTTTTTAAAAGAATTAAGGAAACTGGATTTTTCCCTTTGAATTTCCTCTCTATCTCCTAGATTTGAATATACTTTTAAACCCCTATTAAACATCGAAGGTATACTAACAGAGTAATTAAGTTAACTACTGTAGTAGTGAACTCAAACCATAAACTAGATTAGTCATCAGATACCGTACCATTACGTAACTTTCAATCCGGATCGTCCGCCTCCACTGAATCCACCGTGCGGGCGCTATTGGATGTCCATCACCACCTTGGCACCCCTCTCAGCTTTCCTCTCCGCCCTTTTCCAATCTGTTCTCCCCCTCCCTCAAATGCGCCCCTGATGTCTCCACCTTAGATGCTTCATGATGCCCTGAGCGTGTCTGCTGTAAGTCTACCTGAACGACTCTTCATTATGCGATCGCATGATTCGACATCTAACCTGAACAATTGCTTCAAGCACTCGCATCCCTGTGCCGACTGAACGACCCTTTTTTCAAATCCCCTCTGCGACACCTCTAGGTCCTAGTGACTAATCCAATCCTCTTCCGGGCTTTCTGGGTTGTGTGGGAGCTGTCGCATATCTTCGAAGTTGTGCGTTGATCCCGGCGCAATTGTGTTGCGCTTGAAAGCTACCAATCGCATCACCTAATCTCATCCTTGAATCTATACCGGAGTCAATCACAAAACACAATCACCCTGAGAGTGCTGTTTTGTTTTGTAATCCGCCTTATTATCCCCTCCCCACCCCATTAACCTCCCAATTCCGCGGCCGGTCCTTGCGGATAATCTCACCGAATTCTCCTCAATCAATCGCTTTACCAAGTGGAGCTCAAACGAGAGAGTGCAGAAGAGAAAATTAAAAACAAAAATCCACGAATCTCTCAACTGAGAACCTAACACGATTCAAAATGCAAGGCTACTCCTTTGCACCTCCGACGGGACCTCCCCGCGAGGGCCAGAAAAGTATATTCATCCTGAAATCCCAGCATCAAATAGGGCCAATGAAAAAATGGATGTTGATCTGGTCTTGGTTTAGATTACGTGTTTGTTGATGAGCATAATCGTCACAAGAGGCTAAAGGGTAAGGTGTATCATTACCTAGTGGCCATTTCTTTGAGTTAACTTGAAGCAGTAATGCGCGCATGCAATGGCTGCCGGAAAAGGAAGATCAAGTGTGATGCTGCAACAACTAATACCTGGCCATGTTCGGCTTGCACTCGTCTGAAACTGGTCTGTGTTCCTCCAACAATCGGACAGGAAGGGGAATTTGGCCCAGAGGCCCACGACGTGGATCCCACTGAGACGGGAAGTGCCTCCGGTCAAGAGGCCTCTCACCATTCATTCTCAGTATCTCCAGCCTACAGAGATGGCAATCAAGCCACCCTGGGGCCCTTGCCTTCGTACGATGCAATGGGCATGTATTCCCAGTTCGTTCATGCCCCTCCAGGCCAATCTGGAATATATAACGGCATACGATCTCCTCCCATGATCATACCACCGCAACCTTATCAACAGCCTTCAATATATTCCGCCACTCAGTCATCTTCCATTGGCCCCACGGATCGGGCAGTCTTCGTGGAACCTGACTCGTCTACGGCAGAGAACCTCAGTGAGGTTTTGGGGGAGCTGAAAATCGACGAGACAGGCATCGGTATGCTATCTGTTTCTTATACATTTGAATCGACTTCGAATACTGAAATACTAATGTTCCCCAGCTCCCTATATTCGAAGACAACGAACGGATCGCATCGAGCCTGATGCCCCTGTTCAAGATGACGCGGAAGAAAGGTTGCCGCCGCTCAGCACAGGCGCGGGTGCCACGATTCGAATCCCACCAGAGCTCATGCCTGCAGAGGAGGACGTGATGGAGTATTTCAAAATTTACTTCGATGAGATTCATCCATACGTACCTGTCATACCTCGAGCCCATTTATACTACCAATGGCAAAATGATCGCCGCTCTATATCTCCTCTTCTTCTCGAGGCTTTGTTTGCGTGTGCTGGGAGGTTATCGGAGGAGCCTGCTGAGGGTGCCCAGTGGCTTGCGCTGGCAAACAGTGAGTCGTTCATCAAACCCACGAAAGATATCCATTCTTGCTGATCTCGCCACCTACTCTCAGGACATGAATCGAGTTTTATGGACGTTCCACGAGTGAGCACGATCCAGGCCATGCTTCTCCTCCTTAAAGCCCGGGAGTCGTTACCCAAGAAAGGATATTATTACCGGTCCTGGCAGACTGTCAAAACCATTATCGCAATGGCCAAGGATTTGGATATCCATGAACATTATAGCAATCACGCAGAAAGACGGCCTTGTGATCTGAGCCCGATTGAATGTCTGATTCAAACTCGGATCTGGCAGGTCCTTTTAGTGGTGGAGGTGATGATCGGAGCACCCCAGGGTAAATTTCAACCAGTCGATTGTCTATTTCCAGGATCACTAACTCGAATATGCTTAGGTCGCTCGGATTATGGCGTTGACCCCCAGACTGTTGATATGCGCCCGTCGTTGGATATCAGGGGCTTGGATGCCTATGAGACCGATCGCTCACGGCAATATGCTTACTTTGTTCGCAACGCACATCATATTCGCATCATCACAGATCTTTATCACAAGGTAAAAAAGCAAAAGGACTGGGGCGCCGATCCTCGATTCGTGCAGAAGAACCCCCTTTTCGATGATTGGCTTCACAACCTACCACCTGATCTGCAGGTCAATTATCCGCCTGATGGCTCTGCCCCATGGCTCCCTTCTCATTTCGTGGGCAATATGCATTCTCATTGTCACCTGGCGATCATCCTACTCCATCGACCACAGCTTCAAGCATCCCAATCATTTGCAGCAGGGGGGGACTGGAAGGTTCATTTCTCTTTGTGCTATTCATCGGCCAAAAGCCTCTGTCGCTTACAGGAGGCCATTCTGGAACGATTTGGGTTATCCGGTTTGTTATACATGCAGCGGGGGATCAACTTCTCCATATATTGTATTCTCACATGTACCATGCTTCATTTGGTAAGTATTTGAACCCAGAGTTGATGGGAGCTATTTCTGACGTGTACAGGTCGCAATCACGTCTCCTGATCCCGAATTCAACTCGGATGCTCGTGAATTCTTCACCCGCCACATGCGCATTCTCGAGCGATGCTCTACTGCCTGGCCTATGCCGGAGACTCAAGCTCAGATTGATTCTTTGCGACTGGCCTTCTCGGCGGATACCAGTCGCGCCTTTGAGCTTAAGCCAAGCTTCCCTTACGGCAGTCCCTCAGAGAGCTACCACCCTAGTCCGCCTATGGATGCGCATTATCATCCGCACTTGAGCCATGTCCAATCTAGAGTGGGTTTCAATACACATCCAATTACTCCTCCGATTTCCGCTGGTGCTGAAGACTCGAAGTCCGACACATCCTCTCAGTTGCAATCCCTTGGAATGGTCCCCCATCAACCGGCTGCCACCCATTCTCTCGATCAGCCTTTGGTGGATGAAAACAGCTGGGACCCGTCCCGAATCATCCAGTAAGTGACGAAAATTTTTCTGGGCCTTAAGTGAGGTATATTTACTAACCCCCCCTCTCCATAGTCAATGGGATATGGCCTTCTCCGTGAATCCCTCTACCGTCAGCACCAACTCTCCCCCAATGCCGATGAGTAACCCAGCCCAACAACCGATGTCAAATATGGTAAATCACCAATACTCAATTCAGTACGACTCGCCCTCCAGGGTAGCCCTCCCCCCGACACAATCAGTCTCCCCGCCACAATTTCAAGCACCCCAGGTTGTGTTCAGCGCTCGCGACTGGCAACAGAGCGTAGCAAGTGTATATGATCCCCAAGGTTCGAAGCGGCGGTGGAATTATTCAGTTGACATGGACTCTGACAACATCGTCAAACGTCAGCGTGGATAGTTCGGCCACATGCTCTACATGAAGCTTTCTTGGTTATCGACTCTGTCAACATTGACCGGATCATTGTTTTCAAATTCTTCTTATGCTTCTTGATTCCCCATTGCAGTACTGCTAGTTCGGGTTTTGTGTTCTCTCTCTCTCTCTCTCTCTCTCTCTCTCTCTCTCTCTCTCCATATGTCTGGTGTTACATTGTATGCTGTGGCATCAGACTACGGCTCTTGAACTTGGAACGAACCTTTTGGTAAAGATGACCTCGACGCAGAGATCGCGGATTGAAATGACGATTGAATAAATGAAAAACCCTTTGTACAATCATAACGAATTTTGGCTTCAAACGGCCACTTCCAATGAAATGGTATTTGGAATCAACATTTGGAATTGCGCTTCTGATTCCAATTCAAGATTTTGCTCCCCGAACTCCATGCGTAAACACTTTTCCTTCCCGGATACATCTTTCGAGTATCCCACATTTCATTCTCCCTTGTCGGTTCTGATTCTCTATAGTCGACGGAGATGAACACAGACCAAGAATGAAAAAAGGGTCTCTTCAGAGTAGACCAAGTGACGTGTTGTTAGGTAGTTGGTGTTCTCAAAGGGATGGGATTTCAGGATGCGAGAGTAGGAGGGTCGTGAGTATGATTGATTCACGAAGGCCGTATTATTGACCTCGACGACCGATTCCAATTCTCTCTTCACGAGATCGAACAATTCGGGCCTTATCACCTGGAAGAGGTTTCAACTCATCACTTGGGTCATATTTGGTGTTCGAGTTGTTTCCTCTGCCTTGCTCGGGATGTTTGTTCTCATCCAACTGGCGAAGCCTCGCCTCTTCAAATGCAACAAGATCTTCCGACGTGACTGTGATGGCAGTGGGCTTTCGGCGTAACATATTTAACTTCGAAGCTCCTCGACTTGCTGGCGTTGAATTAAGCTGAGAGGGACAAAGGCGAGGGAGAAGCCGACGGGGTATGAAGGTACGAACACGTGACCGAAAGTTACGAAGTTCCCGAACCCAAAAGTTGTGCTTTTCCCCGTCGACTTCGGCTCTTCCCACCACAACGTCCTTTCTGTCAGTGCATCATGATTCCACTTCGGCAGATCGTTCGCAATGGCGATCGAGTGCGATTGGGGTCGAATATTCCTCTTCGCTACTTCTCCGTTTCTCGCACCGTTGCCGTAGAGGGCGACGGTGAGCCTGCCCGTATGTGTCTACACCAACGTTGAGGGACTTGCAATTGCATGGACTTCGAACGGAACTCCGGCAAAGTGTTGCAGATGTGCTCAGGATCTTAATTGATTTTTTTTTTCAAAGAGACAGGAAGCTCCGTATCGAACCGAAAGTCCACCGCAACTTCTCCCCCCAAGCCTCGCCCTTTGAACAAAGCCCCAGGATCTGGACCGCAAAGCAGACCTCGTCCCGCCAAAGCCCTAGATGCCAGAGCATTTGCTGCGCCAAGAGCTGGTGGTGAGCAACCCAAGATCATTCGCAGCCCCCGGCTTCGGACCGCTCGAGGCGGAAACCAAGCCCAGGGCAAGGGCAAGCCAGCAGCCAAGAAAGACCGACGGAAACCTCGAACTAGAATGTCAAGAAAGACGGAAACGGATGAAGGCGAGGATGTGAATGCCGCTGCTATCGAACAAATTGAACAGGAGCAAGTGCTCAAGGCTCGACCGACACCGGTTCGCTACGAGCCCCAGGAGATCGACTTCTCCACGCTCCAGCAGACCTGGCCATCTCTTCCGACCGACACAAACGCTCGATCGGCTGCAATTCTGGAAAAATTATCCAATCTCAGCGGTCGTTTCCCGAATGGATATGTCCCTCCCTACGAACTGGGTCGGCGGATCTGGAAGGGTCAAAATGTTTTGTTCCACAGCGAGGCGGAAAAGGAGGAGGCAATGGAAGAGGTCAAGCGATTGGCTCATGCTCGCGCGGACAAGATCTCCCAGCAAAAGGGGGATCTTGTGGAGCCTCGTATCGTCGAGTTCAGTGCCATTGACACACAAGAGTCCAAGGTCTTGCTTGAAACATATGCACAAGGGAAATACCCCTCTGTGGAGGTTGTTCAGGGCCAACCGGCTATCCTTGGCGAGGTAATGAAGAATCTCCGCAACAACGGGACATACGAAACTGCAGGCAAGAGGCCGCAGTTCTTGGCCAAAGTCGAGTCCCTACTGGCCTCCAGTCGTGTCAAGCGTTGAGAATTGCAAGTGATCTGTACTATATTGGCTCGATTATCTGGGCGCTTTTTGTTCCTTTCTGTTTTTCCTAGGAGGGGGCGACACTTTGCCCTGTCCCTGTATCTAGAATTACAAGTGTGACTATCTTACAAAAGCAGAATCATTCAGGCCTGCTCCAATGTCTTTTTTGCTGCGTCAAAGAGATCCTTGACTTCTTTCTGGCCTTTATCGGTCGCTTTCTCCATCTGATCATGAGCCTTGCGTACGTCGTCAGGTCGCGCCAATTTCTTCTTCTGCAGATCTTGTAGACGCTTATGCATAGCCCCTCTAGAGTCACGGACGGTGCTGGTGGCCCTCTCAAAGGCCTGCTTGGCTGCTTGGACACTTTGGTCCCGGGATTCCTTTGTCGGTGGTGGGATTGGAAGGTTGAGCTGAAGGGAGTTATGGGGGTCTGGTTGCGGAGTCAAAGAGAGGTTCGAAGAGATAATCGCCGACGTGACCGATTTGATATGCTGTACGGGAATACCGTTAGCGACTATTAAGGGCTGTTGCTCTCTTATGACACAAAACTCACCTCTTCTTCAGAGACCAATATTGTCACCATCCTGCCTCCCTTGGGCACAACCTGAGCGAGATCACGTAGTTTGACAGATTCATGGCCGTCTTTGCTCAATTGAACTTTTAATCCTTCGAGAGACGCGGTATTGAATCGTCCACCGGCGCGAAGCTTCGAAAGGTCATCTTTCAGTCGGGCAACAGCGTTTGAGATGCCAGTCTGGAGTTGGGATAGATCAGACGGATCCTCTGAAGCCACAGGGTTAGAAGCTGTAGCTGTGTCCGAGGTTTTCTTTGCCTTGTCCTTCTTCTTAGACAAGGTGGGTGAACATGTAAAACTCCGATCCTGCAGGGTAATAGGAGAGGTGAACGGTGTAGGGCATGGCAAACGTAAGTTCCCGGGGATCCGTTGTCGTATAGAGGTAAAAGACGGTCGAATAATGCGATACATGGTCGAAGGTGGGAAGGGTTTAGGAAGAAATTGATACAGAGAAAGAGAGACGTGGGGAGTTAAAATGGTAAGAAACCCACAATTTAAAGTGTCCCATACGATCAATAATCGATACACTCAAATCATAATGTAATTCCAGAACACTGATTCGTCACACATTAAATTTGCAACGTCGATCTTCGTCTACATAAAAAGCATACTTTTTCAAAGTGAAAAAAAAACAAATAATAAAAGAAAAATCACTGCGCCCAAAGTTGTCCGGCTTTAAACACCAAAACATGGACCAACATGTCGCCCCTACCCCCATCTATATGGCGCAGATTCACCCCTCCAGACGCTATCCGGGGGATAAGGGTAGATAGACCTAACATTGACCATCCTATGTTCATCGATCAATTTAGCGGGTGGCCATGGCCTTGGTGATCAGGCGCTTCAGGGCCAGCTCCTTCTTCTTCAGGTCCTCGGGGGTAGAGTCCTCAATCTCGAGCTGGGCCATGGCGTCGCTGAGAGCAGACTCAATCTTCTCCTTGTTGCCACGCTTGAGCTTCATGGACATGCCGGGGTCGGAAACGATCTCCTCAACACGGGAGATGTAGGACTCGAGCTGCTGGCGGGACTCGAACTTCTTGGTGAAAGCCTCGTCGCTGGTCTTGAACTTGGCAGCATCCTCAACCATCTGGTCGATCTCAGTGCTGGACAGCTTGCCGACAGCGTTGGAGATGGTGATGTTGGCAGAGCGGCCAGAGGTCTTCTCAGTAGCGGTGACCTTCAAGATACCGTTGACATCGACCTCGAAGACACACTCCAGAGCGGCCTCACCGGCGCGCATGGGAGGAAGAGGAGCGAGGGTGAACTCGCCCAGGGAGGTGTTGTCAGCGCAGTTGGTACGCTCACCCTGGTAGACAGGGAACTGAACGGTGCTCTGGTTGTCAACGACAGTGGTGAAGGTACGCTTCTTGATGGTGGGGACAGTCTGGCCACGGTTGACGACCGGGGCGAAGATGTTACCCTCCATGGCAACACCGAGGGAAAGGGGAACAACGTCAAGGAGGAGAAGGTCCTGGGTCTCGGCGGAGGTGGCCTTTCCGGAGAGGATACCGGCCTGGACGGCGGCACCGTAGGCAACAGCCTCATCGGGATTGATGCTCTATAAGATAATAAATCAGTAAGTGTCATAATAAAGGGGAGTCAAGAGGATATTACCTTCTCGAGCTGCTTGCCGTCGAAGAAGTCGCTCAGGAGCTTCTGGATACGGGGGATACGAGTAGAACCACCGACGAGGACAATCTCGTCGACCTTCTTCTTCTCCATACCAGCGTCCTTCAGGACCTGCTGGACGGGGTCCAGGGTGCCGGAGAAGGCCTTGGCGTTCAGGTCCTCGAAACGGGCACGAGTGATAGAGGAGTTGAAGTCCTCACCATCGAAGAGGGAGTCGATCTCAACAGTGGTCTGGGTGGCGTTGGACAGAGTACGCTTAGCACGCTCGCAAGCAGTGCGCAGGCGACGGAGGGCACGAGCATCACCGGAGAGGTCCTTTCCGGTCTTGCGCTGGAACTCCTTCTTGAAGAAGTCGAGCAGGTTGGTGTCGAAGTCCTGACCACCAAGGTGAGTATCACCAGCAGTAGCCTTGACAGTGAAGACACCACCCTGAATGTTCAGAAGGGAGACATCGAAAGTACCACCACCCAGATCGTAGATCAGGACGTTGCGCTCCTTGTCAGACTTGCCGGAACCAAGACCGTAGGCGATAGCAGCGGCAGTAGGCTCGTTGATGATACGGAGGACGTTCAGACCGGCAATGGCACCGGCATCCTTGGTAGCCTGACGCTGGTTGTCGTTGAAGTAAGCAGGCACGGTAATGACGGCCTTCTCAACCTTCTTGCCGAGCTTGGTCTCGGCGACTTCCTTCATCTGTTCTCAATTGTGAGTATTGCAGCTGTTACAACTATAGCCGAGAAGCACTTACCTTCATGAGGACCATGGAGGAGATCTCCTGGGGGGTGAAGGTCTTGGTCTCACCGAGGTACTCAACCTCGACGGCGGGGGAAACACCCTGGTCGACAACCTTGAAGGGCCACGACTCAACATCCTTCTTGACAATGGGGTCATCGAAACGACGACCAATCAGACGCCTTTTTATTACTAGTTAGACACAGCCAGATCAAAAAAGGGAACATGGACGATTCGGTACTCACTTGATGTCGAAGACGGTGTTGGTAGGGTTCATGGCGGCCTGGTTCTTGGCGGCCTCACCAATCAAACGCTCCTTGTCGGTGAAGGAGACAAATGAGGGAGTGGTGTAGCTACCCTGGTCGTTGGCGACTGGATTATTCCCAGTCAGTACACACAATTACCAAAAGGATTCGGGGAGAAAAACGCACTGATCTCGACATTGGTGCCCTCGTAGTTGGCCACACAAGAGTAGGTGGTGCCTGCGGATAGAAGTCAGAGGGAGGAATTGAGATACATGGGATTTTTGCAAATATCATACCAAGATCGATACCGATCGCTCCGTCGTACACCGGAAGGTCCGCCATTGTGAATTTGAGTGGTAGAGTTGGAGGAATGGAAAAAGGTGGGAAAGAGGGGTTTGGACGGGTCGAAATTTTTTTTTATAAAAGCAATGCCCACACTATGGGCAGGGCAGAAAACTTTGCGGTGGCGGTGTATCACGTGGTGTATGAAGAGCCGAATGATGACTTAGCATTCAACTTTTTTACGAACTGACACCTGAAATATGAGGCGCGACTAAAAACAAACCACAACCACCCGACTACGAGTGATGCACTGATAAGATCATTTCTTTGATGTTTTCCATGGTCACTTTGAAGTTCTTGTTCAAGTGAGAGTAAAAGAGAAACAAACATCAAGGACTTTGAACACAATTTGGCAATAAAATTGCAATGGCGAAAAGTGGGAGAAAGGGGAAGAGGACTATCAGTTAAGAGGGGTTGGAAGGCCAAAGGAGAAATAGATTCGATTTATCGGCTCATTGTTTACTGTACACTTTCCTAGGTAGACCTGAATACCGTTTTTCCCATAATATGACGGCAGGTTGATTCGTTCTTGACACAAGACAGCTCGGAAAACTAACTCCAGTACTCCAGAGAAGACATTTAGACCCAAGTACATCGGCAAGCAGATTCCATTGCTATTTCCGGTCATCGCAATAGATTAAAAAAGATAGTGACCCGCTCATAGTCCACCTCGGAGCCCGGGGGCCCAGATTTAGGAGCCCCCCTGGCTGGTCCGGCAATGGCTTCAAGATCGACTTTCGTAGTACCCGGATGGAGTTGAATATCGTACGCCAGCGTAGATGCATCTCCAGTCGGATGAAGGCGTTGCATGCCCATCAGAGCAACAACCTTCACCTGTCGTTGCGCGGTGCCAACCATTAATGTGGGTTTGATCGTCAGCAAGTGGTGTGAAGGGGGTAGAGGGATGGTAATGGTTTGTTGAGACAATCTGGATGACGGAGGAATGTCCAGGCGAAAGTTCTCTTTAAGGGATAGCGAGGGGTGCGTGGAAATTTGAACATTGCGGATGAGTGCTGAGTTGGCGTCTGTGTTTTTGGTTAGCGAGCTGACTCTTTTACCATCTTAGCTAGTTAAAATCACTAGATTGGAAATTAGACACCATACCTTGACCTGGTCGTCTCCAAATAGATTCCATAGACGATGTCTCCGTAGGAAGCTGCGTCAATACTGAACATCAAGTATGAAATGTCAGTATTTGAGCGAACGCCAAGTCCCAATTCTTCCACGGCCTTGTCTTACCATCTTGGGAGTGAAACCAGCTTGTGGAGTCTGAGGGAGCCCCATGGAGACCAGTGGAAGGGTGTATCTCGGCCCGTTGAAATGATCTCACTGGCGTTTCGTCTTTCAGGACACCAGTCGTGTCCCGGCCATTGGTCAGGCTGTATGGTTGCTCGGACGCCGACAGGGTGGTGGCCGCACTGGATTTGGGGCTTCCAATATTTCTGCGAAGGGATCTCGTTCGAGGTGACAAGTGTTGTGGGTCAGCCTCTTGGCTCGTGGACCCGTTACGAACTAGCTCTTGTTGTCGTTTGAGGGAATCATTATCGACAGTAACCCCAGATGGTGTTTTATCGTCCCTCATGGTTTCGGGGGTCTGTCCAGTCATCTTCAATGTTAACCTTTGCACCCCTAGCTGCGGTTTGATCGAGGCCATTTTTAACTTGATGCGAGGTAATTCGGGGTGACCATCTACCTGAATGGAATCTGGAACAAGCTTCTTGGCCTCTGCCACACGCTGTTGAAAGTAATCCTGACTCTATTTCAGTCCTCATCCATGGTCGTAGAAAGACATTGTCCACTTACCTCCAGCACACCTGCAAGAACAGAGATCTCACTGCCATCCTCGTTGTACTCTCGCGCATTTCGCCAAAGATAGCTGACCTCCTCTTCGAAGGACAGCCACGAGGGAAAGGCAGTCATCTTTGTACCTTTCTTTCTTCCGTCGGTGCCACGGACCTTTTTCTGAATACTCCGCAACGAGACCGGATGATGAATGACTTCATAGTAGTCCCGATACAGGTTACGGTCTGGTTTACCGACAAATGGGTAAGCTACCTCTTCGCCACTGCAAAGCATGGTAAGTGTCCGATCGATTCCCTAACCGGGTCACGAGATCTCACTCTGAGTCCTTCAGACGGAATAGCTCCGTTAAGATCTTGTCCTGGGCGGTTTGAATGGTATCGCCCTCAAAATCCACCTCGGGCTCATCCTCGTCATTCTGCGATACGGAGCTTGCGTCTGCTTCAGCCTCATCTACTGGCTCTGAGGATGAACGGTTCGACTCTTCGGGGTCCTCGAGATCGTCCTAGTACATATTCACGAGGGTCAGTTAATTCCCCATTGCGACACGAAGCGCAGTTGGTCGCAACTCGCGTCGCACTACCCCCGTATGTCGAGAAGGTATTCTAGAGTTGGCCAAATCACGGCGGCTATCCCAAGTATCATATTGCTGATTCATTGTCTTTGGTGGACAATAGGAGGTAAAAAGTACTGGCATGAAGGTGACTTACAGACAGTTTGCGACGCTTCTGACTTCGCAGCTTCAGGTCGGGGGAGGCCACTGCCGCAGCCACGCGACGTTTGGTGCTCATCTCAGGGGAAAGAGGAGAGGGTGAAGATCAATATCTAATGATGAGGATAGTGCAAGTGAGAAACAAAGGACCTAGAGGATGTCCCAGAAACTCATACCTCGACGTGTGCAGACGCGCTGCGATCGTCGGAGTGGAGCCGTCTTAGGTAAGTTGGTATTTTGCGCGTCAGCGTATTGGCGGAAATGGAATAACGTGGATTTACCTCCACCACCTAATATGAATGAATTCTTTGGGACTGACCAATTTGATATGGTTATAGAGAGACACATACAGAGGATTTGATATTCAAGAATAGTTTATAGACTTAAAATGCAATATATCATAGATTATCAGACCTAATTACATATATTTTGTACAAGACCTAATCCGTTTATCTTTGACACCTCAGGCATCAATATCCCCCCCTCCATCTTTTGCTCTTGCTGTCTCCTCCGCGTCCCGCAAAACAAACTGGTTTGTGTCTCCAAACCATTCACTACACAACCCCACACTCCAGTCCTCTTAAGAATTGAACCCCTCGGTGAGCTCATATCCTCCTGTACCGATCCTACCCCCCTTCCCAACAAACAGATACATGCACACAGAGAGAGAGAGAGAGAGAGAGAGAGAGAGGAGGAGAGAGAGAGACTACCTTCCCTTTGAAAAAAAAAAAACTTAAGAATGCTGTGCACCGAACTTCACATTGACTTACTTACGTGCCACAGAAGCCAAGATTCGTCAACCACATAGCGTTCCCTTTCCAAATATCTTTCATCTCCAATGGATATCGATCCAGCCAGAAGAAATAAGAAACCACGGCTCTTGTTGGAGTCGGAGCGAGATCGTTTAGATGAATTTATCGACTCCATCCACTACTCGGCAAGGCATGAGCCCCCCACCCTGCACAATCAATACGCAGCTGGTCACTGACTTGGAAGTAGATATTCGGATGACAAATTTGAATACCGCCATGTGCAGCTTCCGAAGAACATGCTTAAGAAGATCCCCCCGGACTACTTTGATAGCTCGAAGGGGACTCTGAAACTTCTGTGGGAGGAGGAATGGCGAGCTTTGGGAATAACACAGGTACACTCGGTCGATCATTCAGCACAATCATGACGTTTCTAATGAGATTTTGCAGAGTTTGGGATGGGAACATTATGAGGTGCATGAGCCGGAGCCTCATATTCTCTTATTCAAGTTAGTATTCCCCGAATCCTGCCCCTTGCCATTCTTTACTGATTCTGGGCAGGCGGCCTCTGAATTACCAGCCGCCAATGGCACAATAGACTCTCATGATGAATTCGGTTGCGCAGCGAACGGAGGTCTTCCCTCTCTTCCCTTTCAGGGACACAAATGTGATGAATCTCTTCTCGTTATTTTTTCTATTTGTTTTATTACATGGACATGCATCCGACCAGTATGCTCACTAGGGTCCACAACATCTTCTTAATGGAAGCTCTGGAATGAGATATGATTCAAAATGTTCCAATTGAGCTCGGTAGGGGTGTTACATCTACGTGAAAGATGAAATACCCAGCCTGTCATAGATAGGTCGCCTTCTCTGGGTCAAACCACGTTCTGAGCCAGCCACTCCCCCCATTGAGCCTCTGTGAAGCTGCTGCTGATGCCTCGCTCCTCCACTCCCTAGGTTGGAGGTCAGTAATATTATTATTGGCAAATGGCTTTGTTCGGGCTCTCTTACGTCGAAAAAGACGGTGGGCGAAACATGGACCCCGATCACTCGATCCGTCTGGCTAGCATTAGGCAGTCTCCAAAGGGCTAGGGGCATCAATTGCTTACTTTAATGATCCATTTAAGATCATTGGTGACCTTGTTTCCCACGTTCAAATGTCCATCTTCGCCGGGAGCTTCTGGGATCCTCAACAAATCCAGGAACTTAATCTCGTCCACGCCAACTGACCCGGCGATCTTGGCCAACCGTCCGTATGTGGCATTGCGGGTTTCATTTACCACATTCACATCAAAGAACTCGGTCTGTTGCTCGAACAATGCAGCGCTGAATTCCCAGAATTTGCCTGGGGCGAGACGAAGCACCGCTACTCCAGCTTCATGGGTGAGCGTGGAGGAGGGATGCCATGGCTGGACATGCTGTCGAAGAATGACCTGAAGCCGGGCCCCGTACTGCTGTGCGATTTGGGGACTCAGCGCGTAAAAAGTGTTAAACATCTTGGCGGAGAACTACAACGTAACTTAGTCCGATGTATGATTTACCCCCGAGAACCCAACTCACCGGGCAGACATAGTCAAGATCTGAATATGGTCAGCTTCTAATTGGTTCAGTGAATTATCTATCCATCAATGTAGACATACACAATTCCAGTGTATGCTGGCTCTCGTGGGGGGTACCAGCAGAAAGCTTGAGCCCTGCAAATTTGGGAGGCACCGACATGGTAGCTAGAATCTTATGTTCAAAGAATCTGTGAGAACGTGGGTTGATGTGTTCTGGGTAGATATGGGGAAAGTGTTGCGTCACATTACCCCGCCTCGAACCCCATTATGATTACATCAAGGGTCGGAAGCCGTTCTTATGCTGCTGTTCCGCCCCTGTCGTCTTGCCTGAGCCACAGTTTGCCTAGGATGGACAGGATACCTACTTATGTCTATCCTCCTACATATTAATTTTGGTAAATATTTTGTTTATACAGTACACGGCATTGTGATATATATACTAGAGGGTTTCCGCCGCGCTTTTTGCGCGGCGCCTACTTAGGTGTTAGACCACACGTCCTACTCGGTTTCCTATCAAGTATTCTACCTTCTGTCATACCGTATTAATCGAATGGCGAAACGGCCCTCCAAATGCATAAATAGCGGAATAGAAAAGAAAGAGATAAAAAGAGAACAGAAGAAAAAATGAAGTGGAAGGAGAAGCGGAAAAAAAGCCAAAGTCTGGTGGAGGTTTCGAACGCATGTCCAAAATGTCTGCACTGTACCCTAGTAATAGAAGGGTGAATATATGTATCGAACATTATTGAGTGCAAGAGTGTATAATACATATATGCGACTAATAAGTCATTTGGTGTATATGATCAATGCATCTGCACACATACACCCAGATGAATAAAGTAGGGTTCTACACATACAATCTATACAAGGGTTGGAATGACACCTTAATCTCAAAATAACATGCACATGTACCAGACTTACAGATAAAGCTTGACAAGTGTCATGTAGCGGGAATGGTCTATTTGAAAGTCTCAATTTTATATCATGACAGCGTGATGTGCAACGGCTGGCTGCCATCAAGAGAAGTAGAAATGGGGCCTTGATTAGTCTGCTTGGCCTAGACAAGTGGTATGACCAAAAAATTGGGTATTTATTAATTCAAAGTTTAACGGCCACCAAGTGCTTTTTGCTTCCGGAGGTTCACATCACGCAATTCCATCTCAACAAAGCGCCATCCAGACTTGGAAGGGTCGTATTCCCCGCGCACCTCATAGCGACAGAATCCATTGGGTCCCTTGAGACCGACGGGGCCACAAATGAAGAATGTTCCTCGAAGAGGGGTTCGTGGGGCATTGGCCTGGTATTCGTTTAATCGCAAACGAAATGCGAGGGATGCCAGATGCAAATCTGACCCGGGGCCTAGATCAGGCAAAGGAAGTCGCTGTAATGACGATATGATGGAAGAAGGATGAAGCTGGATATCTTCGTCTGGAGGGATGTACTCCGAAGGCTCTTCAGGCATGGCAGGCTGTAGGCTGGATTGTTCAAAGGAGTTGATGGGGCTAAGGTTTTCGTTATTTGATAGGTGTCCTTCACTGAATATTCCCAGAGAATGAGGCGAATCGCCCCTGAAGCGAGCTAGATGTCTTCTCAACAGTACTAGGTAGGCATCTTTAATAGCAAGTGCCACATGAATTGGTTTCATGAAGGCCTGTACCTTATCGCCTATTTCGGTATCGATAGGCTTCGTAACCCAAGCCACACCATCATCTGTAATTTCGATACTAGATCAAACATGTCAGCACCCCCGGGATAACTTTTGTTTCAACAAACGTACCCAGATCGTAAATATCCGGGAGGAGCACGGTGCGGAAATTGATGTACAAGCCAAAATCCAGTCAGGGACAGAGGACTACCGAGTACCTGGGACAACTGGCCCGAGGCATTGTCTCGAACAATAGCGGCAAGTTCACCTGGGAGGATTAGCAAGTTACTAACACCTCACATGCAGTCACATACCTCTCAGTTTCTGTAGTTTTTCACGATCCTTGGATATTTGAACAAACTCTTGCCACTCTGGATCCGAAGCCGCATAGAGCTCGCCCTCTTCCAGCCAGGACCAAGTCAGCGGAACAAACAAGGGCGCCCCAATCTCCTCCTCATCTTCCAGCAACCCTTCACTCCCGTAGGAACTCCGGCGCAAACTAGTGGCTTCCGCGGTTGGTTCGGGCGCCGCATCGGCATCATGGGTATCATCGTCAAAGCGGACGAGAACAAAAGAACTCCATAATTGATACGCGACACCGTAAAGAAGACACTTCGAGAAGAATGACCTGAAATCATCTCTATAAGCATGGTCTTTGACGTTGACATAGACGGGAGTCAAACCTAAGCCAAGGCCGTCTGAATCTCACATGTCGGACAGTTGGGGTTGTATAGAGGGGTTCACGAGGGCCAGAATGGAAGCGAAGGGGGCGGACTTGGCTTCGGAACAGATGCCTGAGCCGAAGCATTGAGACAATCCAAATGAATATCCTTGAACGAGTGACGATGGAGAGGGATTTGGGGCGTGGCTCATGGCGGGTGACCACGTGATATCTTATCGCAGCCGGTTGACCTCCACGTATTCGGGAACACAAGGACCCTCAATAGCTTGACTCTGGGAAGCTTCATTCCACCCCGAACGTGGAATCTGGACTGTTTTCAATACTCGGAAGGCTTACGACGACAATATCGATTTCAAGTGAATCTTAATCGCTGCTGCTGCTGCTTCTAGACGAACCGACAATATGTACTGGGTCTCCAAGCTCCTTGCCCTTGCGGCGACAGGTGCTTTGGGGACGAATGCGATGGAGGCCTCGATCTTCAAGTTTCCATCTCCTTCTGGGCTGGATATGGACTCAGGATCTGTGACGGTGTCGGAGAATTTTGCACAGCTTGCCTTGAAGATTCGTGTGGAATCTTCTCTAGCATCAGTTCTCAGCGGCATGGAGGCTGAAGTGGACCTCCTGGACCAATTCGCTGCTACTCAATCACCTCTTTTCGGTAGCAACCATGCGGTACCTAGTAGAAGTTTGGTTATTCTTGAGGGATTTGATGGAGAGGCCGGTAAGTATGGGAAATACGCTAGCTAAGATATAAGAATCCAAGGCTAACACCCAGCTTCTTTCACCAGGCATGAGCATGCGCAAGATGCAACTGCCCAACCTCTTCGTACCCAGTGCCTCTTACAACTTGGTTGACGGGCCATTTGCATCTCTCGTGGAAGGCAAGGATAAAGGCATCCACTGCGTATACCAACAGGGTGATGGCGAGATAAAGTCTACTCAGGTATGGAAGTTTAACAGAACCCTGCTGGGGGTTCCAACGAAAACACACTATACATATCACGGAAAAGTTTCTCTCGCTGACTGCATGCCATAGACCGCCAGGGACTGCCTTTCCAAGGACCCGGTTCTTGCTCTTGGTCAGAACTTGTTCGATCAGGATCTTCTGGATCTGATCGATTCGGTGGAGACATGGGTCAGCAAGGACCAAAAGACAACCGCTTCTCGATTATCATTCAAGGTATTTACTTTCACCTCGATTGTTTCTTTGCTTTTTGGAACTCCCAGTGCTTACTTTTCATCCCTTTTCTCGCAAACAGGCGTCACCCAGTGGAAAACTTCTTGATAGCCAGATCATAGGGTCTATTTTCCAGGACCTGGCAAAGTTATCCTCCGCCGAAAACTGGGATGCCACAGCTGTGCTCCTTGCCACCTCGAAGCATGACTCGGGGGCCCGTCGGAATATCTTCCAGCGAGACCAGAAATTGTGGGCAGAATCAACAACATTTGTCTCTGAGGCACAAGATGACCTTCAAATGTCATCACGGGACTTGTCCCTGCACTCGAACCTCGCCCCTGTTTGCCATGCTTCGAACTCATCTTGTGCAGAGGCAACCAACAACTGCTCTGGGCATGGGTACTGTTATCTGAAATATGAATCTGGTGGCGAGACGACCGCCGGCAATTGTTACGCATGTCGCTGCCAAGAGACTGTGGTGCGCAAGAAGGACGGCACCACCCAGAAGATTCAATGGGGTGGGCCAGCGTGCCAGAAAAAGGATATCAGCTCACCTTTCTTCTTGATAGCCGGGGTTAGTGTCTTTGCTATCATGATGGTAAGTAGCGTAGTTGGAATGTTGTTCAGCATGGGCCAACAAGAGCTGCCTAGCGTGATTGGAGCTGGAGTGGGTGGATCGAAAGCGCAGACATGAAGACAAGCTTGCTGTCTTTTTTGGTTTTTTGTTATCTTTCGGGTTCTCTTTGTGTCCCTTTGCAGGGCGATTGGGGTTTTTTTTGTGCATATTGGCCCAGATGTCTCGTTACACTTATCTTGAGGGCCGGGCTCTTTCTCCGCATATCTAGATCTTTTCCATGTCTGTATCATTACACACCAATCTTGGTCGAACCCTGGCAAAGGGCATCGCAACAAAATGATCCTACTAAAATCTATGCTCGGGACTCAAGCTTGACCACTGAAAGTGTAAAATTGGCTAGTTTATTTATGAAACTAAAATAATGAAATCTGAATACTGTTCACTCCTTTTCTTCCAGCGACAAAAACAACTACATATGCTAAAACGTCAGTCATCTTTGCATGTAAATACATATACTTCAAATGTTGACTCAGTAAATCCGAATATGTCTATGCCCAGGTGGGGTTATAAATACCGCAGAAATACGGAGGTAGACCAGACATTGCACAGAAATGAGTAGACATACCAGATGGATTGAGGTTATGAGCAGCTTTGCAAAATACGGTGGCATTTCAAAATATGTACTCGAGGTATTGTGATGAAAAACATGTCCAAAAGTCAATCGAGAATAGTCAAGATCATATCTAGAAGTTTGCTTCTTCGTATATCCAAACCAACTCTCTGATAACCACCCCCATTCTCCCATGGGGACCCATGAGGAGCCAAATGAGGAAGAAGGAAGGAAAAGCCGTTAAGTCATAAAAGTCCAGAGTACCCGATAGCCTGCGTACGCCCGCAGGATCCGAATGAATCAATAAATTACACAGAATCAAATATTCAACAAGGAAATGGTTGACTGCTCTGACCAAACATTCCAGATGTTGATGCAGCATGCAGACATTCCGGGAATAAAGGAATGGTAAGCAGAAATAGTAACACAGAATTCAAAGTCCGGCCTCGAGTTGGCCAGGCGTGCGGGACTGTCCAGCTGACGGTTGGATTTCTGAGGCCCCAGGGGAGTGTGTCGAGGGAGTATTGGAAGAAATCCCACGAGGACGTATTGAAAAAAGCCGTGACCAATAAGATCGGCGTGGTAAGCTCTCTGGCAGTCCAGATTCTTGGTGCGTGCGACTTGGGCGACCTTCTGAATGTGAAGGCCCCGCGTGGTGTTCTGCCTGTGCGGTTTGAAATAGACGTCCTGGGAGAGCCATCTGTAACCGGAATAGGGGAGTCCGGTTGTTTCTTGAGTGAGCTACATGAGGAGGTCTCGGTAGGACGTCGTTGCCGCTCGATGCCGTGCGCCGCCCTTGTCGATCGCCTGCCACTTGTCCTTCGGCTGCATGTGCACGAGGCTTGGGAACATAGTAATCGGCTTTACATAGAGGACAGCAGGCTCTCCTACTAGTCAACCAAGGATCCACACACGAGGCATGAAAAGCATGCCCACAGGTTAGCCCACGGATATCATCGTCGTCCTCAATAATGTCTAGACAAATTGCACAGGAATCACCCGGATTCGGAAGCAGTTCAGGTGGAACAGCTTTACGAATTTGATCACTTTCTTCGTCTTCTTCTAGGTCCATATCTTCATTGACCAACGTATGCTGCCACTTCTCTTCAGTGATTTCCGCACCGGTTCTACCCGGGGCAATAGTAGTAGATCGGGTGCCCTTCTCTGTTGGCTGCATGGTTGTTCCAGATTGTGGATGAGAGGAAGCATGTGGAGGATTGAGACCGTCACTCTCATGCTCCATTTCAGCAGGGGTTAATGCAGCTATCTCTGCGCCACCTAGCGCAGAGATAACGCCCTCCTCATGGGTCAAGCTCTGTGGCCGGCTGTTAGGAGCGCTAATGCCTCCTTCTGTGGGGAGACCTTCATTGGCGCGCGACGACCTCCAGACTTTGTATTTCATCAAGGGAAACCGCGCATTGACTTCGTCCATCGTCATCAATCTCTTTTCCCGCCGTCTTCGATGGGGTCGAGGCATTGTGACCAGGTCAATAGGCTCCCCAGTCTCCTCGCTGCGCAACTGACGATTTCGTTGATTGTACCGGAAACAATACTTCACCCCGACTATAATCCTAAGTGAACGTCAACTTTGAGTTCTCTGGAAGACGTCTATCTGAGAAGGAAGAAGAAGAAGAAGAAGAAGAAGAAGAAGAAGAAGAAGAAGAAGAAGAAGAAGAAGAAGAAGAAGAAGAAGAAGAAGAAGAAGAGAGTCAAAAGCGACATACCATAGATTGGTGAAAACAACGCCGAATCCAAGGGCAACAAAGAACAGAAGAGGTGAGCTCGTCGCAGAACCAGAATCATTTGCACTATTACCTGTAGTAGTCGCGGCGCTACTGGCAGCGGAGGTTGTGGATGCGTTCATATCTGCCTCGTTTCCCTTGGTACTTTCAATGTTTGAGTTGTTCTTTTGGAGGTGTGTTTCTTTTTCTTATATAGAGAAGCAGTCGGTGGGGGATGGTGATCAGGCGTAACTCGCGTTGATATCAGGATACCCTGGTGTTAATCCAGCATCCATAGGCCACGACTAATACCCTAGGCTTGGAATTACCACTCTCTCGTGGTAAGAAAGAAAGTTGATGAGCCGTCGCTCAGGAGACTGGTGCACTGGAAGTCATATAGTAGACCGTTGACCACCTTAAGAAAAGGGCGGGTCCAGTGGATGATCGACCACAGGGTCAATGTATTCCTCTGCACAGATCAGGTAAGGGTTTCATGTCACTTCGCCCTCTTTTATAGAGAAATTGAATTGTATTTGATTTGATTAAAGATCCCGAGAGGATTCAAGAGAGCCAAGGAGGCTGTGGAGAGGGGGGTTTACGGTAGGGGATGGGGGGGAAACCTGAGGCTGGGAAAGGAGTCACGGGAACCGCAGGTGGAAAGTAAAGTTTCATACCATACCATACCATACCATACCATGCATATATATTTCGGAGTACGCAGTATATGAAATGTAAGTCACAACTTAGATAACAACGGATTAACTAAAAGGATGATATTGAGTAATCTTTTTTTATTGAAAAAAAAGGAATTTATCTTCTGGATATATGGAAATTTGATACTTTCTATTATGGTGAAAGTATCAAAAAGAAGAAAGAAACCAATTCAAATTATTTCTCCCTATAAAGGAATTACCAAAAAGTAAAGTCACTACCTGGCTTCTCTCCCTTCCCCCAATCCATTGAATCCTCCGACGGATCATCATGGCTGAATCTGTCGTAACTGACCCATCTAATCCGGTGGTGTTCTTTGACATAGCCCTTGCAGGTATGTATTCATGATTACACAGGAATTCGCAAATTAATTTCCCACAGGTGAGCCTCTGGGCCGAGTGAAGATGGAACTTTTTGCCCATGTGACGCCACGGACCGCAGAGAATTTCCGGCAATTCTGCACAGGCGAGAGCAAAAATCCCAAAGGACAGCCCCAGGGCTATAAGGGGAGTAAATTTCACCGTGTGGTATGTGCTTTTCCTGGTCAAAATGGGATCAGATATGCTAACAACAATAGATCAAAGATTTTATGATCCAAGGTGGAGACTTCATCAACGGGGATGGGACAGGATCGTGTACTATCTATGGAACTCCCAAGTTTGCGGACGAAAACTTCGCCTTGACCCATGACCGCGCAGGTCTCTTGAGTATGGCTGTAAGTTTCTTCAGGATAATCATATTTCTGCGGTTTATTTTTTGGCTAATAACAGGTCAGAACTCGGGACCAAATACCAATGGTTGTCAGTTTTTTGTCACCACGACCGCAACACCTTTCCTTAACAACAAACATGTGGTGTTTGGGCAAGTCATCGACGGCATAGATGTGATTCGCATGATCGAGCATACACGAACAACAAGGGACAAGCCAAATCAAGATGTGACAATTGTGCAATGTGGAGAAATGTAGATACTACCAGCTGATAACTAGATACAATGAAGCTTCAGTGGAAAGAGAAAATCATTTGTGATGAGGAATCAGCACGATCTTTATTTCTTTTGACTATTAACACTATTAAGAGAAATACAGACTATATATTCACTCCACCCCTTCTCCACATCCCTTTGGCCCCTAATGGTAACAGTATATGGCCAATAAACCGAAAATTGATCTCATGGATCCAAATCCATATCCATTGGATCATCATGGTCTGATTGGAAAACGCCATAGTTTGCGTTCGAGTCCGAGTGGTTGACAGGTATGGGTCGGGAAGCGCGAGCCCGCGCTCTCGATTCGATGATTGCTTTGCGTACACTATCCTGTTCTTTAGGAACCGTCAGAGATGAAGGTTCAGTGTAGAGAACCAACTCTTTGCCCTGCGCTGGGTTGGACGACAACACCGGTTTAGGCATGGAGATCATTCTGGCCGCGAGGGGCAGTAGCACCAGGGTATCGGTTGGTTCAGGCTCGGCCAATTCATGATCCAAATTATAGATATAAGTGGTGTGTTTGGTATCATCTAATAGCATGGTAGAGTCGAAAGAAGACGTGTCATCTAATAGCATGGCAGAGTCGAGGGAAGACGAGTCAGTGTCTTTGGTCCGAGCATGGCTGTCATGATCTGCAAGTCGAAAGAATGTTAATTTGAGATCTTCAACTTCTTCTTCTTTTTTTTCCTGTCGCTTGACACAGGATAGGCTTGGAAACAATTTAACAAGAAACAAATAAATCCTACCAATCTGAAGAAAGCCGAATCGCTTGGTTAGTGGTTGCGCGCCATCCGGATCACCATCGGCGGGACGCTTTTGGCCTTGGGTTTTCTCATTACTCCGTGCCATCCACCCCCTTGTTTTTATCCCACTGAGGAACCCCCCTGGGATCAAGCTTCTTAGAAACAAGAAGGGGGGAAAAAAAAGAAAAGAAGAAGAAGATCAGGTAAGTGTGTGAAGATTAAAGATAGAGAAAGAAAGAGAAAGAGAGAGATAGAGGGGGAAGGGACGCAATCCTTATTCGTTGATGCGGGTTCCTGGAATTTGGAGGGGGGAGCCTTTGACTCATCTCTTCGCGCTTCCACCTTTCTACCCTCCTCGATCTGTTCGCACAATCTTGTCTCCCCCAACTGCCAGGACTGTTAGGATTGCCAGGATGTCGTCTGATACTTCCACCTGGTCGGCCCAGCGTGTCCGAGAGACCTTCTTCGAGTATTTCAAGCAAAATGGCCACACTTTTGGTAAAAGACCCCGCGATTCGCCTTTTTCTCTACCCCTCCACCCAACGCTGACCCCCGCCACCATGGCTCGCAATTAGTTCCTTCCTCTCCTGTCGTCCCGCTGTCTGATCCGACCTTACTCTTCACCAATGCTGGAATGAACCAGTTCAAGTCCATCTTTCTGGGAACCGTGGATCCGCAGTCAGACTTTGCAAAACTGCGACGCGCCGTGAATTCGCAAAAGGTATTGAGGTTTAACCTGTCGGGACCAGAGAGGAAATCTCCGCTAACAATCATTTTCTTTCTCCCTGCTATAGTGCCTACGCGCTGGTGGAAAACACAATGTAAGAACGCAAGAAGTGTCCCCCCAGAAGCTCCCTTCGTTACTGACGACGTCTACGCAGGATCTCGACGATGTCGGCAAGGACAGCTACCACCATGTGAGTACCACCTGTCTTTACCCAAAGGTCACGTTAGGTAGACAACGCTCATATATCTGGAACTAGACCTTTTTTGAGATGCTCGGTAACTGGAGTTTCGGCGACTACTTCAAAAAAGAAGCGATCTCATATTCGTGGACCCTCTTGACCAAGGTCTACGGCTTGGACCCTGATCGTCTCTATGTCACCTATTTCGAAGGAAGTGAAGCAGGTGGCCTGGAACCGGATCTCGAGGCTAAGGAACTCTGGAAATCAGTGGGCGTTCCGGAATCACACATTCTTCCCGGCAACATGAAGGATAACTTCTGGGAAATGGGCGACCAAGGCCCGTGTGGACCATGCAGTGAGGTTCACTACGATCGAATTGGCGGCGGTCGCAATGCTGCCCACCTGGTTAACCAGGATGATCCAAACGTTTTGGAGATCTGGAACAACGTCTTCATCCAGTATAACCGAGAGTCAGATCGATCTCTGCACCCCCTTCCCAATAAACATGTCGATACAGGAATGGGCTTCGAGCGACTCGTCTCGATTCTTCAAGACAAGTCCTCGAATTATGACACTGACGTCTTCACTCCGATTTTCCAAGCCATTCAAGTTGTCACCGGCGCCAGGGAGTACCGCGGACTGTTTGGAGCGGAAGATGCTGACGGTATCGACACGGCCTACCGTGTAGTCGCGGACCATGTTCGGACCTTAATGTTTGCCATTTCAGATGGTGTCATTCCCAACAACGAGGGCCGTGGCTATGTCATTCGTCGAGTGTTACGTAGAGGAGCCCGATATGCTCGCAAGTACTTCCAGGTTGATATTGGAAACTTCTTCTCCAAATTGGTGCCGACGGTGGTGCTCCAACTAGGTGACATGTTCCCAGAGCTAAAGCGAAAGCAACAGGACGTGATGGAGATTCTCGACGAAGAGGAGTTATCCTTCGCTAAAACCCTGGATAGAGGCGAACGCCAATTCGAGCAGTACGCCCAGCAAGCCAAATCGAAGGATGCGGAGAAGCTCCACGGTGCCGATGTGTGGAGGCTGTATGATACCTTCGGCTTCCCGGTTGACCTGACTCAGATCATGGCTGAAGAACGCGGCCTGCGTATTGATGACGTGGAATTTGAAGAAGCACGCCTCAAGGCCAAGGAGGCTAGTAAGGGTCAGAAAAAGACTGCTGCAAATGCCGTCAAACTCGACGTTCATGACCTAGGCAAGCTGGAGAAGATGGATGATGTTCAAAAGACAGATGATTCTGCCAAGTTTGGACGTGGCAACATCACAGCTCACGTCAAAGCCATTTATCAGGGAAGGAACTTCTATGAGAGCACCGAGTCTGCCTCTGACGGAGAGCAGCTTGGAGTCATTCTTGACTGCACCAACTTCTATGCCGAGCAAGGTGGTCAGGAAAGTGACACCGGCAAGATTGTGATTGATGGGCAAGCCGAGCTTGAGGTCGGTGATGTTCAACTCTATGCAGGATACGTCCTCCACACAGGCTTTATGAAGTACGGAACTCTCTCTGTCGGCGATGCCGTGATTTGTGAATACGATGAACTTCGGCGTTGGCCCATCCGGAACAACCACACCGGCACCCACATCCTGAACTTTGCTCTTCGAGAAATTCTGGGGGATGGGGTCGAACAAAGAGGTTCCCTTGTGGCGGCAGAGAAGCTCCGCTTTGATTTCTCCCACAAAGCAGCCATCTCAGATGCCAGTTTGGAGAAAATCGAGGCAAAGGCCACCGAATACATTCGTCAGAACTGTGCTGTGTACTCCCAGGAGGTCCCTCTGGAGACAGCCCAGAAGATCTCCGGGGTCAGAGCAGTTTTTGGAGAGACATACCCTGACCCGGTTCGTGTTGTTTCTGTTGGTGTTGAGCTGGAAGAGATCTTGCGCAATGTCCAGGATCCCAGATGGGAAAAGGTCAGCATTGAATTTTGCGGTGGCACACATGTTCAGAAAACCGGTGATATCAAAGACCTGGTGATCCTAGAAGAAAGTGGCATTGCGAAAGGAATTCGCCGCATTATCGCTGTCACCGGTGAGGATGCTCACGAAGTGCAACGGGTAGCCGAGGAGTTTGGCAAGCGCCTGGACCGGTTGGATTCGCTGCCCCTTGGTCCTGAGAAGGAGCGAGATGCCAAGCAGATACAGGTGGATCTCAACCAGCTTGTTGCATCTGCAGTCCAGAAGGCTAGATTCCGGGAACGGTTCACTGCCATCAACAAGCAGGTTCTTGATGGTCAGAAGGCTCAGCAAAAGCTAGAGATCAAGAAGGCAGTCGAAACAATTACCACCTATTTCCAGTTGCCGGAAAATGAGAACTCATCGTCACTTGTTGTCAGACTTCCAATGCCGGCCAGTGCGAAAGCGGTCAGTGAGTCTATTAATCACGTCAAATCTAAAATGCAAGGCAAGAATGTGTATGTTCTGGCTGTGGACTCTGAGCAAACCCGAATTGCGCACGGTTGCCATGTATCCAAGGTATGTATATTATTTCCCTGTTGGTAGTGATCCCCTCCCATCTTGAATTTGAATCTGATGCTGTTGGGTATAGGAACTCGGTGACCAGGGTGCTTCTGCCAATGACTGGGCTGCGGTTGTCTCTAGTGCTATAGGTGGTAAGGCTGGAGGGAAAGGATCGACATCTATTGGTAATGGTGTCAATATAGATAAGGTGGATGAAGCTGTTTCACTGGCTTCGGAGTACTTGAGTAAATTCAAGCTTTAGGTTGGTTTGAGGCTCTTTGAGGGATCTTGGTGACAATATTATTAGTCTGAATCTGCTATTACTTGATTATATCTAAGGATTTCGAATACAAAAAGTTCGCTTATGGGTCAGGGTCAACCTTGTCTATATACAATAACCTTTCTCATACATATTGTTTTACCTATTACCTAGATATGTATCTTATGAGACTGAAGTGAAGATTATAAAGAAAATAGTAGGTATAGAAGAGGTATAGAAGGTTTTATATAAAAAAAGTAGTAATATAGTATAGAAGATTTTTAGGAGGAATTCTTAAAGATAGAGATTAGAGTTCCCTCCTTTATGATTTGGTATCTTTTTCTTTATCTTTCTCTATTATCCTAGTTATAGACTTAGAGTCCTATATCTATATGATAAATTAATTAATATAAGCTAAGGAATGTTTTTTAGAGATTAAATAAGTATTTATTACTTGGTCTTTGATTAGGATATTATATAGTTACTCTCTAAATTAATACCATCACTCCCTAATTATCTACTTAGGAAAAATCAAAAATATCAAAAGTTCTACCTATATATTAGAATATATTAGTAGAATATTTTTCTACTACTTTTAGTACTATCTATAACTACTTTATTTATAACCTTTATTATTATTACCCCTACCTCCGCGGAGATACTCCCTATATAGGCTTATATATTAGTGAATTCTAGCTACTATACTAAATAACTATCCAAATTAATACTTAAAAGCTATTATTTAATATTATCTAAACGCTTTTTATAATATCTAAGTCTATCTCGCTTAGGCTTTAGTATGGGCCGGCCCATTAGGCTTTACCCTTGTCCAAGCCCATGGGTGCCTGATTCTGCCTGATTTTTGGATATAAACTGCTGAGTCACCTGAAACTAATTCTGTTATTTACCCCTGTTTTCGTTAAAACATATACTACCTACCCTATTATCTATCTTCTGTATAGTATTTTTATGGAATATCCCTATTTATGGATAGATAATATATCTTTATTAGTATAATAGCTATTTTTAATAGATAAGGGTAGGTTATAGGGTGTATTATAGAGTAGTAGTAAATAATCCTACTAAGGTATAAAGATATATATTTCGTATATATATGCCCTCACCACTTTTTCTAGTCATCCCATCTTTAGAAGGATAGGGTTATAAGCTAGTTAAAGGATTATTATCTTACTATTCTAGTATATTAGTATAGTTAGTATATACTATTCTAGTTATGAATAACTAGGGTTCGATTCTAGTATATAGACTAGTTTATATTTCTTTAATTTCTGAATTTTCAATATATTTATTATGTGTGCGTATTATTTAGCTGTATTAATAGCTAGTATACCAAAAATACTACACATTCTTCATAAATTATAAAAAAAAAGGTATCTCCACTCTAATAGGCCGCTATAGGCTTTTCATAGGCCTATAGGCTTAGATAGGCCGGCCTATAGGCTTTACTAAAGTCTAATCTCGCTACTCTCTAAGTTCCCTATAGTTCCCTATATAAACTTCTAAGTCCCTTATACTAATAATTTAATCTCTATATAGATCTTCTAAATCCTCTAAATATATATATATATAGACTATTAAGTCTACTATATATTTCTTAAAACTCTATAGTATCTATTATATCATCTAGTATATCTAGTACTATATCTTTATTAGTCTTTTTTAGCTTATTAAGATCTCTTTTTATTAGATTTATTAGATTAGTATACTTTTTAGATATCTTCGCTAAAGACTGCTTAACTAGGATCTATCTTAAGAGTCTTATCCTATTATATAAAGTACTTTTAAGTAATATTTTTATAAATTTATTAGTCCTCTTAAGATTACTATATCTATTAGGCCTTCTATATTTAAGTTCTCTACTAATTATTATTTATCTATAGTATATTTTACTATAGATCTATAATCTTAAATTAAGATTACTTCTATCTATCTAGTCTTGGTCTTTATTAGAAAATAGACTTGTAAGTCTTTATTAGATAATAGACTTCTTAATCAATTACTCTTTTAGCTAAATAACTATATAGGGTTCTTAAACTAGATGTTATATATTAATAAAAGGAGCTATAAAAGAGATATTAATAGTCTTTTAAGGATTTAGGAGATATTAGTACTAATAGAATTAGTCTTTAGTTAAAGATATTTAGTCTCTCTATTAGATTAATATTATATAAATATAAGAGATTCTAGATCTATTAATCTTTTTAAATAGATTATAGAGTATCCAATCTTCTATTTACTATTATTAATAGATCTCTTTAGTAGATTTTTATTAAAAGATAGATAGATCTTAAAGATTACTAATATCTCTATAATAGCCTTTTAAGAAATAATCTTATTAATATTATATAAATATAGCTTTAAGATCTATCTATAATTATCTATAGATAATCTAGTCTATAAGATTCTACTAAATTATTGTAAATTAAGTCTTTATAATACTTTAAAAAGACTAAAGAGTCCTTAAAAGATAACTTCTAGTCTTTATTAAGTTCTACTTTTAATATCTAGTATTCTCTTTTAATATAAGAAGTTACTATTTTAGATAGATAGAGATAGCTCTTAATATAGTAGACTGTAAAATACTTACTATAGTCTTTAATCTAGATCTTTATAATATAGTTATTGATCTTATTAAATCTAAGTTAATCCTTTTTATATTAAAATATATACTAATTTCTCTAAGAACTATTAACTATAAAGAAGGAGAAAATCTTATTAAGGTTTTTTTTAAACTCTATCTATAATATTAGAGACTACTCTTTAATTTTATCTTTTTAAAGAATATTATTATTAATCTATCTAGTAATATATTTAATAATAATTAGATATAATTTAATCTTAATATTCTTTATAATATACTATAGATAGATTATATAGTCTATATTAGAGAAGATATTATTAATTATATTTATTAAGATAGGCTTATAATCTATAAAAATAGTCTATAGTCTAATTAGATAATATTCTATAGAAATTTCCTTAGTATACATCTTCTTAAGATAGTCTAAAATAAAGATATATAAGTCTCCCTATTTATTCTATAGAAACCTAAAAGCTATATAAAAAGACTATCTAGCCACTATAGATCTAATAATATTAATAAGAGATATCTTATAGAGGATTATTTTATATATTGAATTAATCTATAAGATCTATAGAGATCCGTTAAATAAATTAAGGTTTATCTAATATATTATAAAAAAAGTAAAAAGACTATCATTATTCTAAACTATATATTAGATAAGCTATTCGCTATTCTTAAAAAGATCTAGAATTAGGGCTTAGATTAAGAGTTAACTACTAAGAATTTTATCCTAGATCTTAGCTTAGATATTATAGATATGTCTAATCTTTATATATAGATATCCTATCTTAAGTAGTTATATTAAAATATACTAAGATTATAGGCCTTAAAGTAATAAAGCTAAAATAGTCTCTCTTTCTATAGCTAGAGTCTAATACGAATATATTTACTAGATTATTATATTTATAGAATGATAGTCATAGATAGGATTAGTAATAAAATAAGACTATTAAGTTAAATATAGTATCTCTTAGAGATTAATTTAGAAAGGGTAGTCTCTATTAGGCTTTAATAAGCCTATCATAGCCTATTAGAGTAGAGATACTATTTTTATATAATTTATAAAAGATATACTATATTTTTAGTATTCTAGCTATAAATACTATAAATAAAATATATACTTTTACTATTGAGAGATAGGGTTTTATATATAAAACCCCTATTATCTAAAGTTTTAGGAGTTATCTATTTATACTAAAATTAGTAACCCTTATTAATCTAATGAAATATAATTAATAAATAATAATAAATAATAACTAAAAATATCTAATTAATTATATAAAATCTAATTAGCTAATTAGGGCGCTTCTATATATAACTCGAGGTATAAGATATAGGTAAATTCCTATTATCCGCACTTTTATCTAAACTTTCTTTAGATAAATCCCCTCTTTTTCTCGTTAATCTTATACTCTCTCTTATATATACTCTTATACTCTCTCTTGAATATTACTAATTTTACTAATATTACCCTTTTCTACCTAAATTTTATCCTTTTCCCCCTTATTAAAGATATCTGAAGATTTAATAAAAGTAAGCTCAATCTCTTCTATCTTAAATTAGGTAATTTAACTATAGAGTATAAGATCTTTAATTATATCCGCCTTAAGATAATTATATAAATAGTAGTAAATATTATGCACTAAGTTAAAAAGCCTTTCTACCCTAGTATCTATTACTAGGATATAGAAGATAGTATTTGGTCTTATTTTCTCTCTAAAATTATTAAGTATTTAGTAGGATTTTATCTAAAGATTGGGTTAGTAAGCTTTATTAGCTAAAACTTAAAAGAGAGTATAAAAGGGTATAAAAAGATAGTAAAAAGATAGTAAAAAGTACTAAAAAGTACTAAAAAATATAAATTATCTTATTAAAGATAGTAAGATAATTTATCTTAGATAGAAGAGCTCTCTGCTTTTAGGGTTAGTAAGCTTTTGAGCTTACTCTTTATATTCTACTAAAGGGTAATAGAGAGTAGATCTAATAGACTAGTATATTTATTTTAATATTCTTTTATCTAATCTTTTAAGCTTATCTCATATTAAGTAGTATAATCTTAATCTATTAAATTAGTAGTTTAGAAAAAGCGGAGCTTATATTAAGAGATAAGAATTGTCCTATATATATATATAGATTACTAAGATTAGGGCTATTAGTTTAAGTATAATACTTAGATAGCTTAATCTTAGCTACTTCTAGGGCCTAAAGTATATATTACTTCTATAGAATCTTAGGAGAAGATATTAGCTTTTTAATATAAAAAGATTAGATAAATAAAAAAAGATAAGATAAATTTTTCTACTATAGCTTCTAGATTAAAGCTTTTAGATAGATAAATAGCTTATAATAGATTAGGAAGATAGTATAAATAGTAATATCCTTTATTTTATATAGAATT